CCCCACGCAACCCCCGTATCTATTAACTGTAACTAACTTTATAGTGCTGGATCGCCCCCGGCCAGCTGGCATTATGGGTCTGGACACACTACTTCTGGATTTTCCTGACCCAATTCGTCACACTACTGTTATATATAGCCCTCTTCATGCAAATCCGGCGACGAATCGCCGAATGCACCAACCTAGGAGGCCGACGAAACAGTCTACGCAACATGCACCGCGTCGCGAGCTACATGGTCGTATACCCAATCATCTACACAATCCTAACAGTCCCGCTGGCTGCGGGCCGCATGGCCAGTCTGGCGGGGCATACGCCTAGCATGACCTACTTTTGCGTTTCTGGGACGCTGATGACGCTGTCTGGGTTGTGTGATACGGTGCTTTATACGTTGGCGCGGAGGCAGTCGGTGCTTGATTCGGAGCGGAGGGGGTCGAGTAATCTTACGTCGGATTTGTTGGGGAGTGCGGAGGGTGGCTTGGGGAATGGGTATGTAGGTAGGACTTCGCGTGGTGGTGAGGTTATGGTTCAGTCGGATTTTGATGAGGATATTCGTTACTAGATTAGATGATACAAGAAGATCTACTGGTAGATGCAAGACTAGGGATAGATCTGGGAATATTAGCATTACCTGAGGGATACTCTATTCTTTAATAGCTAGCGGTATATATTTAGTATCCAGACTGAGACTGATACATAGGAAACAGACTTATCAGGCTTATAAGCATCCAAGTCTTTCTACTTTTATAATTTCTTTTATAGGTTCCAACCATTCTTATCAGTACTCTGCTAATTAATTATACCTAATCAGCAACTTGTTGGGAGGCTTCCAATTAGAAAGAATAGGGCGGTCCAGGTAGTCCGAGTAGAATAGCTTTAGATAGCTGGTATTAGTGGAGTAAGAGACTGCCATCCATCTCTATCCATACTGGCACTCGGCGTGGTTACCTTTTCCGTACCAGCGACCGATAATGACGCCAACTATACGCCCGCATCTGGTCCAACAAAGCGAGCCCCCTAGAGCTAAGCCATGGCCACTTTCATCGGACCGACAATTGTATGCAACGTCGGCCAGCCATTGACGGCGGATAGATCCGGAATGACGTGGGAGTGACGGCTCGACCAAGGACAAGGGCCATCCCCGCGCCAGATGACAGCTACACCCATGGCGCTGGCAACTCGTGGTCTGAGGAACTGGGCATTTGACTTTCGGTGGCGAGTCCGCCTCGTTGTTGGCCGCGAAGCGCAGCGTCATGGATTCTGGGGTATTAATTCACCGTCTGGACCAGGCCCAGCCATGCATGGCTAAGCTTTGTAGACACTCTGCAAAATGGGATTAATGAGCAAACTGCGTCCGAATGTCGGCGCCCATTTCCAGGACCCGCATGCGCTCAGACATAACAGCGAGGATCTGGTGGACACGCCTATCCCGCTGGTGACATGGCGGTCCTTCGTTATGGGCTTGTTCGTGTCTATGGGAGGATTCACATTCGGCTACGATACGGGTCAGATCTCGGGGTTTCTGGAAATGGACGACTTTCTGCGGCGGTTTGGGCAATTGGGTGATGACGGGACTTATCACTTCTCTAACGTTCGCGCTGGGTTGATTGTTGCTTTGGTGAGCCTCGACTTCCTTTCTTTTCTTTACTTTGCTAACCCTGCAGCTTTCCATTGGAACCCTGATGGGAGCACTGGTCGCAGCCCCGATTGCAGACCGTCTCGGTCGGAAATGGTCCATCAGCGTGTGGTGCGCCTTGGTCTGTATTGGGATCACGGTCCAGATCTCATCGCCATCTGGGAAATGGTATCAGGTTGCGGTGGGTCGCTGGGTGGCAGGACTGGGAGTAGGAGGGCTGTCCCTGTTCGTCTCCTAAGCATGTCAAATTCGATATACTAACATCTGCAGTCTCGTACCGATGTATCAGGCAGAGACCGGACCAAGACACATCAGAGGAGCCCTTGTCAGGTACATATCCCAATCCCATCCGCTACATAAGCATCAATCTAACAGACGCAGCACCTACCAGCTCTTCATCACCCTCGGCATCCTCATCGCAAACATCATCAACTTCGGCACCGAGAGAATAGACAACACCGCCTCCTGGCGCATTCCAATGGGCATCACCTACCTCTGGGCCATCGTGCTAGGAGTAGGAATCGCCTTCTTCCCCGAGAGCCCTCGCTACGACTACCGCCACAACAAAGTCGACAGGGCCATGAACACTCTGTCCAAAATGTACGGTATCCCGCGCAACCACCGCGCCCTGCGCATCGAGTTCGACGAGATCCAGGAGAAGTACCAGCTCGAGGTCGAACGGGGAGTAGCTACCTGGCCGCAGCTGTTCCGGGCTCCGCGGATGGCATACCGGGTTGGCGTCGGTGTGGCCCTACAAGCGCTACAGCAGCTCACAGGTGCCAATTACTTCTTCTACTACGGGACGACAGTCTTCCAGGGCGCGGGTATCTCCAACTCATACGTCACGCAGATGATCCTCGGCGGGGTGAATTTCGGCACGACCTTCCTGGGTCTATATCTGATTGAGAACTACGGCCGCCGAAGGTCGCTGATTGCCGGCGCGCTGTGGATGTTCGTCATGTTCATGGTCTTTGCCTCTGTAGGGCATTTCGAACTTGATAGGGAGGACCCGACACGGACGAAGACGGCGGGTGTTGTGATGGTCGTTTTTGCCTGTCTTTTCATCCTGGGTAAGCACCCACCGTCTCCCGACTCACCATACATGCTAATAATGCAGGATTCGCCTCGACCTGGGGCCCGATGGTGTGGACTATCATTGCAGAGCTGTACCCTTCGGTAGGCCGTTCTTCTGTCTAACAAGCTCCTGTTCACAGCTAACACTATATAGGAATACCGTGCCCGCGCAATGTCACTCGCAACAGCCTCAAACTGGCTATGGAACTTCCTGCTGGCATTCTTCACACCCTTCATCACAGGAGCCATCGACTTCCGGTATGGGTATGTCTTTGCGGGCTGTCTATTCCTCGCCGCGGCGCTTGTCTACTTTGCCGTGATTGAGGGGCGGGGGAGAACACTCGAAGAGATTGACACTATGTACGTGATGAAGGTGAAGCCATGGAAGAGCTCCAAGTTTGTCTTCCCGGAGGACGAAGACAATGGGCGTGCGGCTTCGCCGGAGGAGAAGAAGAGTACGTCTCATGATGGGCCGCAGAGGGAGTGGCAGCATGCGGAGGGTGCTGCTGAGCGGGTTTGACTTGTTTTTTAATACTTTCAAAGCAATGAAGTCAGGTTACAACATTACAAGAGGTGAGGGTGGCATTATACATGTATCCGTATGTCCATCCTATCGTAGCTGGTCCACACCCGGTGTAGACAGGAATGGCCAGATATAGATTCAAGCGCCCTGTTTATAAGACGCGTAATAGAAAGCGAGGGAGTCAGGGGGGAATGAATAGCATACGCAGGGGTATTTCAATAAAGTTAAATGTTGATATATTCGCCATCAAGACATCTATCAGAATTAATTGGAATCTCCACCCAGCAAAAATGCGGAGAAAACTCGACATTTGCCGGCATTCCCCTGATCCAGATCTGTGGGACTGCCCTCAGCCAAGAATGGTGGCTCTTCGATGGCTTTATATTGGCTTGTGCAAGGGATGATCGCCCAATGCTCCACAAGGCGCGATGATTTTCATGCGATCGCTGCCAGATTGAGGAGCCCTGTTTCCTCCAGGTCGTCCAAGTATTTCGTTCTGTTGTGGGCGTTCCACTGCAGAATCCACAATGAGTTCGTCTCTTCGTCAGGTGAAAACTTGGAGTTTTTACACAACACCATGGCCTCGAACGACGATGCGACTGTCGCTGCGATGGATTCGCACGAGTGCGACAAGACAGCCAACATGTCCGACAAAACACCAGCGGCTGGCACGGACTCGGAAACACCAGAAAGCGTCTACAGCGTCAAAAGCACCAGCGAGAAGATATTCATCGTCAGCCTCACCGGCCTGGCCATGATCATCTCCATGGTCCCAACCAACATCGTCCTGCCGATTCTCCCGACACTGAAAGCGCAGTACGACGTGACAACAACCCAGATGAACATCCTCGTCACCGCATTCTCGCTCGTCCAGGGCATAACCCCCGCCCTGATGTCTTCACTCTCCGACTTCCAAGGCCGGCGCATAGGCTGGATGGTTGCATTGCTCTTATATACGGGCGCCAACATCGGGCTCGCCTTACAGGACAGCTACGCAGCGCTGATTGTGCTGCGCTGTCTCCAGAGCGCCGGAAGCAGCTGCGCCATTCCATTCGGGTTCGCCGTTTCAGCAGATATAGCCTCTCCGGCGGAGCGCGGGCGATATATAGGCACGCTGCAGGGCGCTGTACTCGGCTCCTTCGCATTTGGCCCTGTTATTGGCGGCGCGCTGGCGTCCTCGTTTGGGTGGCGCGGCGTCTTTTGGTTTCTGACTATTGGCAGTGGCTCGGTATTGGCTTTGTATATCCTGGTTATCCCCGAGACTGCGCGGAATGTCGTTGGGAATGGCTCGATCGAGCCGAAGTCTTGGTGGAGGAGGCCCATGACGGAGAATATTTGGCGGCGCCGGTATACTTTGACGAAGAACGATGAGCCGCCGAAGCCAAAGAGCAAAGTTACCGTCGCGCAGCTACTGCAGGCTTTCACCATTCTTGCCGAGAAGGACGCTTTCATTCTGGTCCTGTTTACGAGTCTGCTCTACTACGGCATCACGGCCATCTGGGCGTCCACTGGGAGTCACTATGGCAGTCTATACAACCTGAGTACGCTCGAGGTCGGATTCGCTTTTCTGTAAGTAACGTATATATCCCTTAATAGATCTATTCTAATCTACTAAGACCATACGGAGTCACCGGGGGCATTGGCTCAATACTCAGCGGCAAGCTGCTTGATATGAACTACCAAAGAATCCGGCGCCACCAACAGACAGAGAGCACAGAGTTCCCATACGAAGTCGCCAGGCTACAGGTCGCAGCCCCATTCATACTCATGGCCACGCTCTCGTTCATCGCGTACGGCTGGGTCGTGCAAACGGGACAGTCACTCGCAGTGGCATTAGTCCTGCAGGCGCTTATCGGGGGCGGCGCCACGCCATTGCTGGGGATTATATACACGCTGCTGATTGATTTATATCCCACGCAGGCTGTTGCGACGCAGGGGGCGGCTGATCTGGTGCGGTGCTGGCTGGGTGCCATTTCGGCGGCGGTTATTGATTACTTGCTCGAGAGCATGGGGTGGGGTTGGTCGTTTACTTTTATTGGGTTGATTATTATCGCTTCAGTGCCGTCGCTTTGTCTTGTATATGTGCGCGGTGCGAGTTGGCGCAGGGAACGACAGTGTATACAGTCTGGGTGATCTAGGCACTATCTCAACAGTCCTTCTTAATATATAGACTCTTTGATTGCTTTTCTGCAGTATATAAATGTTATGAATATTATTAATATACAGATGCTGACTGTTAAATTCATGAATTATGACCTAAGAAAGAGCCAACAATAAAGCCATGCGTCAATGCTGGTCCCAGCGTTGACCCGGCGCCCAAATAGGACCGTCCCATAATACTTGCAGCCGTGTTCCCAATAGCAAAGAGGCCCGGTATAGGCCGTGATTCTTTATCCAGGACCCGTTGAAACTCGTCCGTCAACAGTCCCCCCTTCGTTCCCAGGTCACCAGGCAAGATGGCCACTGCGTAGTACGGCGCTCGATCCACCACTCCCATATTTGGATTTGGGCCTGCGGCCGGATCTCCCAAGGATCTGTTATAGGCATTGCTTCCCTTGCCGTAGTCGGTGTCTACTCCTGCTGTACAGAAATCGTTATAGCTCCTGGTAGTGGATGCGAGACCTGCCGGGTCCACCCCAATCTGCTGCGCCAGGTCCTCAATCGTTTCGGCCTTGAAAATTACTTTCCTAGCGAGAGCATCCTTCGACGGCTGCATCCCCGGGACCAGCTTCCCGAGCATGTATTTCCTGCGGTGGTTCGCGTCCATGATCAACCAAGCCGGGATAGCGCTGACCTGCTCATTCCTGGCGTACTGCGCGTGCCCTGCATCGGTATAACTCTGAGCCTCATTCATGAAGCGCCGGCCAGTACAGTCCACAATAAAGCAATGCGGTCTCGCACGCTCAGTGAGCGCAAAGTGGTTTTTGAACGTCACTGGGTCCACGATCGTTGGCCCCCACCAGGCGTCGTCCATCAATGCCGTGTCTGCGCCAACTCTTATGCCTTCGGTGATAGCATCCCCCGTATCTCCTTTCGGCGAGCTGCTCCATTCCGTCTTGGTAGGACTCGGCAGGAACTCTTCCCGCATTTTTCGGTTCTGCGCAAAGCCCCCTGCTGCGAGGACGACGCCTTTCGTTGCCTGTATAGTTTTTAAGCCGGATATTGTTTGCACTTCCGCGCCATGGATAGCACCTTCTTCCCCCTGTATGAGCTGCGAAATCCTGGTGTTCACGCGGATGTCCGTACTGCCGTGTTTCAGATTGAGATATAGCAGCTGCGCCACCAAGCCCATCCCCAGGCTGGCCGGTTGCTGGCCAACAAGTGCCCTAGCCACCAGCGGCAGTACTGCTCGCATCGTGTAAAGAAAAGCACCCGGAGATGACATGAGACGAGTAAGCACGGGCGCATCATTCCCATATATCGCGAGTGGGGATAACGGGGGCGGCAACTTGGCCCACCACTGCTTATCCAGGTTCTTCAAATTAAACACCCTTGACTCTATCGTCCGTCCTCCCCCTGCACCCAGTGCACCCTGTAGACCCGGGTAATAGTCAGGAGAGCCTTTGGCGAAATGGAACTGGAAGCCCAGACTCTGCAGAAACTGGACCATCTTCGGGCCATTGTCGACGTACGCCTTCCTCCTCGGCAGTGAAGACGCCGGTCCTGCATCGCCGACGGCTTGCTCGAAGTATTTCAGCGCTGCCTGTTTCGAGTCTTTGATTCCGGCGGCTGCGGCGACCGGATTGCAGGGGACCCAGAGCCCTCCCCCAGACACGGCAGAGGCTCCCCCGATCGTCGACTCTTTTTCGACGATGACGGTGCGCAGGCCCAGTTTTGTTGCCCTCAAGCTGGCTGTTAAAGCGCCGGCGCCGGAACCGATGATTAACACATCGGTCTGTTCGTCGTATTTGGTGGATGTGTTTCGTGTTGTGGATAAGGGCCGCACACGCGTGCCCTCAACAACACACCGGGCCCAGGGTCTGACTCTCTGCATATTGGCAGGTATCTGTGAAGAAGAAGAGCTGCAAGTGAAGTGACAGGTCAGCGGGAAAGCTCAAAAGCAATGCATTGCCAAGCCACTATTCACTGTCACTTCTGTGACGCGTGAGCGACCCCGCTGCACTTCTCGTATTATTACAAGCATGTGTTCCTTTCATTCTTCGCATGTGTTGCTGTCAATCCTCGTATTCCTACGGTCCACCTGTCAACTATGTTGCGTTTCAAACTAAGATCATTTCCCGGGCGATCACTTCATAAGGCTATCCAAACCAGCCTATCCGGAGCCAGCTGTCGCTTCTCCTCAAACCCCGAATACCCGGATGCCGATGTCGTAGTAACCGGCGCAGGCATAGCCGGCGTAACAGCAAGCATCGCCGCAGCCGAGAAAGGCGCATCAGTCGTCCTACTCGATGATGCCCACGGCGGGGGCGCATCAGCTCTATCCGGCGGCGTCGTCTACGCCGGCGGAGGCACCTCGCACCAAAAGGCCGTCGGATACGGCGACGACACGCCAGATAATATGTTCCAGTACCTGAAAGCAGAAACGCGCGACGCCGTCGACGAAGAAACACTCCGCCGGTTCTGCAACGAGAGCGTTTCGCGCATCGAATGGCTAGAGTCGCACGGCGTGAAATTCGAAGCGTCGCTGTGTCCGCATAAAACGAGCTTCCCAACGGACAAACACTATCTGATTTTTTCGGGCAACGAGAAGGTGCATCCGTTTAATCAACTCGCGAAACCAGCGCCGAGGGGACATCGTGCTGTTGGGCGTGGGTTATCGGGGGATCAGTTGTGGAAGCCGCTGTTTCGCAGTGCCATGGAGGCGGGCGTGCGCTTTCTACCGGCGGCCAAGGTCGATCGTGTACTCGTGAATGAAGATGGGTCTGCACGGGGGATTGAATTCAAATGCCTCGACGAATCGGCTAATTCCTTCTCTCAACATCGAAACCTGACTTCGGTTGGGAAGACAGTCCAGCTTGCAGCTCCGCGAATTGCAGACTGGTTCTTAAACCGGGCAGATCGTTTATGGAGTCGAGATGCCATACACAGATCTATCAATGCCCCTGCGGTGATTCTGGCCGCGGGTGGGTTTACATTCAACGAGGATATGCGACAGAAATACCTCCCAGAATATTCACAGGTTGCACCGCTCGGGACAAGAGGCGATGACGGGTCCGGTATACACTTGGGCCAGTCCGTCGGCGGCTCAGTAGACAAAATGGAGAACATGTCTGGGTGGCGATTCCTGTATCCCCCGACAGCCCTGATCGAAGGCGTGATTGTCTCGCAGACCGGTCAGCGCTTCATATGCGAGGACATCTACGGCGCGTTCCTAACTGACAGGATGATCAGAGACCACAACGGCAGGGCATATCTCATTCTGGACTCGACGCAGCGAGATAAAGCACTGCAGCAGCTGCGTGAACAGACGCGGCCGGAGTTCTGCATTCCACGGCTTCATTCATTGAAATGGGACCATGTCAAGGCTTCTTCTCTTCCGGATCTTGCGACTAAGCTGGGTCTTCCTGCTGCTCCCCTTCATCAGACTATCGCTTCATACAATGATGCAATCGCGGAAGGAGCACCAGATCCGATGAACAAACATCCCGAATTCTGCTCCCCTGTTGCTAAGCCACCATTCTACGCACTGGATATTTCCCCTCGACGAACCGGGCTCCATGTTGTCCATGGACTTACACTCGGAGGCCTGCGGGTGGACGGCAAATCCGGATTAGTTCTGCGAGGGGATAATACGGTAATCGGTGGCTTGTATGCTGCGGGGAGAACTGCTGTTGGTATTTGTTCGAATGGCTATGTGAGCGGGCTCTCTCTTGCCGATTCGGTGTTTGCTGGCATCAGGGCTGGTGAGCATGCTGCTACTTTATCCAAATCCTAGTCAATGCAATACTGCCTTTATTGATTGCAGGAAAGTAAGCCTAACATTAGTGACCTAACGAGATGCTATATCTGAGCCTACTCGTAGCAGTGATAGTCACTATATCGAAATTAGCAAAATATACCAAAGCCAGACAGAGAACTTACTCAGAAACCTCCCACCCCACACACTTCCAACAATCAAAGAACCGCCCCGGATCATACCTCCTCTTCACCTCCAAAAGCCTCGGATAATTCTCCCCAAAGAACGTCTCCTCCCACTCCGGCTCCAAATAATGCGCCTCATTCACATAAGATCCACCCCCGGGCGTCAATTCCTTCAACGGCTGCACAGTCCCCAACCACGCCTCCTGCAGCTTCGCCTCTTGCTCTTGGGCAAGCTTCGTCGGCCAGCCACCCGTCATGATCGTATGCCAAAGCGCATCTCGCCAAGCAGGATTAACGCTCGTAGTGTTCCCATTCTGCACATTCACCGGCGTGGTCATTATAACCTGCGCCAGGGCGCCGTCATCGGGGATGAGTTTATTGCTGAGCTGCACTCCCTCTATGAAGGCATTGATGAGGTCCGAGAGATTGTTATTTGATTCGAAGAGGGATTCTGGTATGAGTCTGCTAGCGACGGCCTCGAATATCCCAGCGGGGGTTAGTCTGGCTGCGATGCTGCTGGTGAGTTTCAGGAAGTCAGTGTAGGTTGGATAGGTGGTGAATTTGCTTTCTGAGACGCGGATATCTGGCTGGCTTGTTAGGAAGGATGAGAAGTCGGTAGTTAAAGCCTTCAATGCGGTGACGTTGTTCGACGGCAGGACGAGGTATATCTCCGCTTTGGAAGGCCAGTAGTACGCGTGTCCTGAGATGTTATTGTGAGACCACACGGGCTGATGAGTCGCATGTTGAGTGAGGATCTTCTGCAGCGCAGGATAATTTGTCTCAGTAGTGTTTTTCTTCCCCTCCGTCGTGAAATCCGCTTTGAATGAGTACACATTAATCTTAACCGCGGGATGGAGCTGGAATCGATAACTCGTTAAAATAGCATAAGTGCCACCGCCTCCACCACGCATAGCCCAGAAGAGATCCGGATCGTTACACTGGTTGATAGTGCGGAATTTCCCATCCGCCGTAACGACGTCAAATTCAACTGCATTATCCACCATAAGGCCGTAGGAAGGGCCAAAAACGCCATGCCCACCTCCTTGCCCGAACCCGCCGGCCAGGCCAACAGACCCTTCGTTTCCACCGGTCACGTCCATGTTGAACTTCTGGAAGTAGGCGTAAACATCGCCCGCCTGGGCACCGGCTCCCATCTCTCCGATGTGTTTTCCATTTGCGGCGGGACAGTTCGACGCGGTGAAGCTTTCGTGGTATTTGGTGGCGTTCATATTATGGGTCCAGATAGCAAGGGTATCAGGGCTGGTAGACCGTCCGAGATAATCATGTCCCGTGTTCTTTATGCTAACCCGGAGTTTATGTGTCTGGGCAAATTGCACTGCCGTGACAACGTGTCCGGGTTCATGGGCATCGACATACAGCGGCGACAGTCGTCCGCGGTAACACTGATCGGAAAGATGCTGAGAGGTATTCGCAGCATTTAGTGCACATGTTTGCGAGTGGCACGATTCCCAGTTGAGGCCTGTTGCTGCGCCGTATACGTCTGTTCGTGGTTGGTTCAAATAGTAGCCGGCTTTGGCGGCGTCGCATGCTGAAGGGTCGTAGTAGGGAGAGTCATAGTAACAGCTTGCGGCGTAGGGAACTGTGCGGTGGAGGTTACCGGCCAGACTCTGGTTGAAACTTTCCCATTGCTCGTTTGATGGCCAGCACGGCTGTCCAGGTTTGCAGTTGTAGCCTGATGCAGCCGAAGTAGTGATCAGGCCGAGGCCTATAAGGAGAGAAAGCATGGTAGCAGGGAGAAAGTTAATGAGCTCTACTATGAGGAGTTACCAGTGCTCTGACGTCTATTTATACCAGTGAGCGCAGCAATTATTGCAACTAAGCCCCAGCTCTCATGGGGAGCTGAACAGAAGAATAACAACATGATTGGTCCGACTACTGGATTGCCCTGTTTGAACTAGCGTGGGAGATGCTCTTGGTAAAGATCTACATAGTCAAGGCGAAGCTCAGCTCGAGGGCCAATCAGATCGTCAGCCCTATCCACGGCACCGACGCCGCAATGCTTATCACCATCTCGAGTTGAGCACTGCCGCGTGGAGCTCTGGACGTCGTTAAGAGAGGTCGAGTATGTATGCAGTAATAATCGGATTGTACGCTGTTGTGTACGCTGTCACAGTATTCTAATTGTAGTATGTTGATTTATGGCTACCTGTGTGGGAGCAACCACTAGATATATATAATTGATCTTATACGTGTTAAACCAAGTACATGACGCAAAGGTCAGAAGGAGTCTATATCCTGGGAATTAATTGCTCACTTCCTCTCGTAATCACCAGTTTGCGACAGCCTTCTGGTAAAAACCCCGTCTGGTAAGATATCTGCTTTGGGAAGGCACCCCTGCTTTAGGAACCCCTGCTTCCACAGGTGGCTAACCAGCCCTAACTGACGACCGACAGCTCTAACAAGTAGTCGATGGATTGATCAATATAAAAAAGTGTCATTCCCCAGCAAAAATACCTTCCGATGCGGGGAATCGAACCCCGAGCTGCCGTGTGAGAGACGGCGATGTTAACCATTACACCACATCGGATGTGGTTCCGAGAATACCCGAATGGGGTATAAAAGAATTCTCTTCACACAAGATATAGACTACTAATGTATTTAGAAGCTAGACTATATACAGTTTACCTTCAGACAGGATAATTAGATAATTATACAAGTACTTAATATGTACTCCTACTCCACCCGACAAAGCTTTCCATTCTCCGCAGGAAGCCCATTCTCAGTGATAACCTCCCAGGACTCACTCCCCACAGCAGTAACGGCATAAAACACATCCTTCGGGTCAATCTTCTTCTTCAGCGCCAGGAGGCGTTCATACTTGGACCCATAGAACGCCTGCTGGAAGTCCGGCTCCATACGATCCGACTCGGACAAGTAAGCGCCAGAACCAGGACTGGCGTCGCGCCAGCGCTGCATGTGCTTGTATGTCAAGTCATGGCGCGCAGATTTTATCTCATCGACAGTGGCATCCTCGGCCCAGCGGGTGCTGGAGATGGCGTGCATAACGGCGCTGCGCCACGCGGGGTTAACTGCGTTATCGGGGTTGCCGCCGTTCTCGAGCGTTGGGGCAATGTTGAAGGCGATGAGGATGAGTCCTGCGTCGGAGGAGGCCTTGATGGCGTCGAATGTCTGGTTGAGACGGGCCTCGTCTTGCCAGTTTTCTCGGGGGAAGAGGCGGGATGATGTTCCGGCTGTTGTCTTTTCGACGACTTCGAGGGGGAAGGAGTCCTGCCATGCGTCGTAGTAGTTGTCGTATTGGACTGTCTTTGGGGTGACTGTGATGTTTAGATCCTTTAGCTGTTTGAACCAGGGATCTAGAAGGGCGTTGGTCTCTTCGAGGGTTTTGTTGGGAGCAAAGAATGGCTGCATGAGGAAGGTGAATCCGCCATCTGTTCCGGGTGTGATGAAGAAGTACGCGTAGATGCCTGCGTCGGAGTGGGGGATGAAATAGTCAAGGTAGGCTCTGAAGCCTGCCCAGAAATTGTCGTAGGTAATATCCCCGCCCGTAGAGAAGGTGAAGGTTGATGTTGTCGCAGGAATAGTTGGGTATGCCTTGATGGTGACGGACGTGACGACGCCAAAGGTGCCGCCACCACCACCGCGCAATGCCCAGAACAGCTCTTCGTTCTCGACAAACGAAGCCGTCAAGAACTTTCCGTCAGGAGTGACAATCTCCATTGACAGGACCTGGTCCGCAGCCATGCCGAGGAGAGAGCTCAGTGGGGAGTGGCCTCCGCCAAGAACGTAGCCACCTATATCTTGTCAGCTGTGTACAAGAGATGATAGAGACTCTTACCCATTACACCGACAGTCTGGAAACAGTTAGTGTGTGTGGCCTAATTTGAACAGACTGTTGAGACGTACCTGGCCTTCGCCCCCCACAACCATCAAACCCTGCTCCGACGCGGTCTTATAGATCTCATACGCCTGAACTCCGGCCCCTACTTTGAACGCAGCCCCAGTCCAGTCCGTCCCTTCAGCCTCGTAGTTTTCAATATACTTAACGTCCTTAAGGTTATGCGTCCAGATACTCAGAGACTCGCCACCACCAGACTTGCCCGAGAAGTCGTGGCCGGTGTTTTTGACGACCAGACGAACACCCGTCTCGCGTGCAAAGTTAATACCCAATTGCACCTGAGCAACATTGGTGGCATTGATAACGTAAAGAGGGTAACCACCCATGGTGCATTTTGCGTCAGTGTCGTTGGTGGGCTGACACGTGAGACCCTGGTATACAGGGGACAGCATCTCAATAGGGTCAGGGAGGCTGGAGGTGTTAGCAGAGTAGTACGGCATGTGTTTCAGAGACATACTGGAAATACGAATCGGTCCATTGCGAGGTCAGGTATTCGCAGTCGGCAGCATCATACCCCGGGCCACTGTAGCAGGTCGAGGCACGGGGAACAGCTCTGACAAGAGCCCCTCCAGTTGTCTTGTTCAGCGAGGCCCATTTTGCGTCCTCTGGCCAATCCTCGTCCCCTGGATAAACTTTGCAGGAGGCCTGCGACCGGGGGGTGTTGGCATTGTGACCATGCAACGAATCGAAGTCGAACAGGGCTGCCTCGGAAGCATCCAGATGCTGCAGATCGGTCGGTTGCAGCTGGAACTTCTCAAAGTCAAAGTAGTCCTTGCCACGCGGGGACACCGAGCTGCCCAAAGTACCAGAGGAGCTGGCTGCCGTGGCTGTGGCAGTGGCCAGGAAGAGGCATAGGGCTCGCGGCGTGAACACCCCCATGTTGACGTGGAAGGAAACGAAGGAGTGTGAAACGTTAGGAAGAGAAAGAGTTTTGTTTAGATTTAAGTTCCGGCATTTGATAAAAAGGGGAGTGATCACAGCTGGCGGCGCAGCACTGACGATTCATGCAGCATCTCGGCCCCCTGCTTCCCTCCAGATGGCCCCAATCAGACTCGCGTCGGTGATTGCCGGGTTTCAGGCTCAATGTGGATGCATTTACCAGCCAATTGAGAGCACGCACCCATGCGATCGGTTCAACTCAACTCGATCTCCAAAACGACAATTAGGGTTCCCGCCCCCAATCCCCAAAGCCAATTTCCCACGAGGGAATGGTAAGGCCTCGTAAATGACGGGGAATCCACCTATCATAATCGCCAGCGCCTGTAACAACACGGACAAAACGAGGTCGGATTGGAGGTGCGATGGAATCGCATCCTTCCGGAGATTTGGCACGCATGCTCCGGCCGGGTGCTTGGGAGACGGTGGATTAGACTTTGGAATATCTTCCTGAGTTTGCCCGATGCCGGTGGCACACTGACGCACAGGGTCCATCTGGACCGGTCCTGCGATCGTATCCCAGTTAAACTGCTATCCTGCACGAGCTGCACGAGTCGTACTCGCCTCTTGATCCCAGTCTCGATACTGGCTTCACTGGCGAACCGCGCGACATGGGCTGAGGCTCTATTAATCTAATCGAGGTTTGTCTGGCGGATTATGCACAGGGATTGCTATTTCACCGTGCTAACGTTTGCCAGGTCATGGCGGATAACATTCAAAAACCCAGTTTAATCGTTCTCGCGCTCTTCCCAGCCCTCAGCACGCTGGTGGTCATATTGAGATTCTGTTCGCGATATCTGATCCGGCAATTTGGGTGGGGTGAGTTGGTGAGACCAGGTGCATATTGATATAGTACTAACTTACTGCTCTACTAGATGATGCCTTGATTATACTCGCATGGGTATGCGCCTTGCCCTCTATTCAGTCATTCCTTCTAACCAAGTGTAGCTTCTAGCCGTTGGTCAGGCAGCCGCAGACTGGATGTGTACGTACCAGACGCAACTCCCTTCTTCATCGCTAATGATTTGTTATGATAGTCACGATAACAACATGGCAAGGGTACCATGTATGGGACATTCCAGAACAAAGCATGGAGGAACAGACCATTGGCTTGAAATACAACATTGCGAACCAATTACTCTACAACCCAATCCTCGCCATTGTCAAAGCCTCTGTCATTGTATTCCTCTACCGCCTCGAAGACCGTCGCCCGATAGTCCTCTGGAACCTCCGCATCCTATTCTGCGTCAACATCGCGCTGATGATTGCCATATTTTTGGCTGATCTCTTCCAATGCACCCCGATGCACTATTTCTACGATAAGCCCGCAATGGATCTGGCCGCACAACAGGCTGCCGGCGCCGATGAAAACGGGATGAAGGATGGCGAGCTTATAACAGGCGGAACATGCATCTCGCAGATCAAGTTCTTTCTCATCTCGGCGGCCTTTACAATCATAACCGATATATGGCTGCTCTGCATTCCCAGCATCATCGTCTGGCGACTGCAGATGAACAGGAACAGGAAGATCGCTATAATTGCGGTTCTCAGTATGGGTGCCATGTACGTCCCAACCCTGAAAGTTACTCTTGCTCTTCCGATCTAACCATAACTTGCAGAGTCACTCTAGTCGGAATAGCCCGACTAGCAGTATACGCGCACAGATTCCGCCCGAACAACCCAGACCCGACCTACGATATTGGCCATATCACCTCCAGCATCGAAGTCAACGTCGCGATAATGACGGCATCAGCCACCGCGTTCCCGGCCCTGATCAGCCGCGTTGCACCCCGAATCTGGTCCAGCATTGACCGCACGACCGAGCGGCGTCGTCAAACAGGGCATTCGTGGGCAGTAACGGGGGGTTCTGGGAGTGGCACTGCCAGTGGCACCCGTCGTGGTCGCGGTTCTTATGTGATGATGGGGAATATGAAATCGAATGGGCCTGATACTAGCCAGGAGCGGATTATAACGCAGGAAGCGCACGCTGTCTCTAAAGATGACCGGATATGATTGGGAGGAATGTATAATAAAAGTTCCTGAAAGACAATTTTAATGTTTTAATGTATGCAATGATCGATATGGGAACGGCCCCGCAGCCGAATCGAAGCGGGTCGAGATCGGCGCTTTATTGTGATTCACAATTTATGCATTTATACAGGTGCGCTAAGTAGCTAAGATATATGTCCTATAAGATATAACTGCTATATCTGCTGATGTCACCCGCAGTGGCTCGTGCTTACTCCCGTATTCCCCTTTACCCCTCTGTCAGCCCCGTCAGATATCAACAATCCCAACTTCTCCTACACCGTCACTCAGTTCAGTCAATATGGCCTCTCCACCCGAGCCGGAGATCGTTCTCTACGACCTGGCCTGCACAAAGAACGTCTGCTTCTCGCCCGTGGTCTGGCGCATCCGCCTCATGCTCAGCTACAAGCGCATTCCCTACCGCACCATCTTCCTCGAATTCCCCGACATCGAGCCGACACTGAAAGAGCTGTACGCCATGTCTTTCATCAATAATCATTAAACCACTAACAAAGGTCTATTGATGCAGCGGCATCCCCCCAGCCACGACAGAATCACCAATAAAATACACCGTCCCCACAATCCACCACATCCCAAGCAACAAACACATAATGGAATCCGCGCAAATTGCAGAATTTCTCGAATCAACATACCCCTCCCCATCGGTTATACTAACCTCCGAACTTGGTCGCGAGATCGAATCCAAGGCGCGCGCCATCATCGCGACTCAATTCGGCAAATCCCTTCTGCCAAGGGAGGTATACATCCTCTCCCCGCGGGCGGGGGAGTACTTCCGCAAGAGGCGCGAGACCATGATCGGACGGCCACTCGAGGAGTTACTAGAGAATGAGGAGCAGGCCTGGGACGCGGCGGACGGGGATCTGCGCTCTATCAGCGATTTAATGCAGAAGAATAAAGCCAGTGGACCGTTTGTGCTTGGGGGACAGCCGAGTTATACTGACTTCTTTATCGCCGGGGCTCTCCAGAATGCGAGGGTCATCGATGAGGGGGTGTTTCAGCGGATTTCTAGATATGATGGGTATAGGCAGGTTTATGAGGCGTGTTTGCCGTATATGGAGAAGGAGGATTGAATTGACGTTCTCCGGCTACATTGATGCGTAAATGATACTTTATATTGCTATACCTAATTTAGTCCCGTTAACCTGGCTGGCAATCTCGACTTAGCGCCTCTATTGCTTGCGATAGATTAAGGGTTCAGATGAAGAAGGTGCAGTGAAGGGAGACATGTTTGATAGGAAGGGGCAACCGGTCCATCGCTCCTGCCTATAGATCTAATATACCAAAATAGGAAGCCACGACTGAATCAGGTTATTTGGAAGATGCCACCGTCATATTCGAATTCCGACTAGACCAGGGGCTGAGAGACGTGGCGTAAAATAGAACAGGTTGGATTCCGGGAGTGGCGCTGTGGCGTGCGGCTGCGGCTGCATAAAGGTTGGACTCTAAGTTGACCTTTGAAGATAATAGCATAAATCTGTAGTGCAAGGTTAGTAAGGTACGGCAATAATGCTACTTTACCCACTCTACAAAGTGCAATCGGTTCAGACTGCCATAGTCCCATTTTATCGGCATCTTGAGCAGGCTTACCGTCAGAAATGCTCAGAGATCCATTTACGGGTTACTTTGAAGGGCACAGAGATATCGCAAAAATCAAAAGTCAATAACATTCTAGGCGTCTTGCAAGTACCCTATAAAAGAGTGAAAGCCCAACCATTGCTAGCAACCCCCATCCGACAAAGCCATGACTCTATATCTCAATCACCAATCCCCGGGAATTCCTAACTGTTTGCAGGCGTGCAAGCAATCTAAGCACGCTCGACGGTGATGTAGATGTTCTCGTTGCCACCGATGGTAGAGCGTCCTGAGATAATAATCAGCCCACGAATCCTACAAGAACCAAAGTTGGAATAATAATTGAATTACTTACCTCCAGCGCTTTTGCCATCAGCGTTGGTGCACTGTCCGAGAATGGCCTCGGCGGCAGCAGCAATGTTTTGGCTAGAGAGAACCATGTCAGACTCAGATACAATAAAGTCCATGGCAGAAGGGGAGTTAATATACCAGTTAGTCTTCCTGACACCATGGCCCAGGATCACAGCAGATCCATCCTTGCAGAAACCACCGTTGCCGCCACCAACCTCGCAGTCGGCAGTACCCTTGTCCTTGAGGAAGTTGATGCAGTTCTTGATGTTGCTAACGGGGGCGTACTGCTGGCCACACTGGACACCGGCAGCAGTGGCGCCGGTGGCGATGGCAAGGGCAGAGATGACGGTAGCGGCCTTCATTTTGAAAGTTTGAAAGTTTGAAAGTTGGCTGGAAAGATTTGAAATCTGAATTGGACTGTAGAGAGAAGAGTGAGTTGATGATGAGAAGAATGAGGATATTGACGGGCTCGATGCCTCCTTATATAGCTTTTTCGACGCCTCAGAACGGGCTGTTGAAGCTGAATCTGACGGTGAGTACCTCACTGATGTTGTTGCCCGCCTAAACGGGGCTATGTAGCCTCGCTGTCACGGACTGAGCGGTATACGTTGTTGCTATACAAGATCGAGGGCTTACTCTGGGTCGTGGCGCTCCATTCAGGATGAAGATGGGCTGGGCGTCTATCTTTGGAACTCGACGCCGTATTTCCAGCGCAGCTTGCATCCTAATTGAGAAGGGGAACCTGGCTGCATACACCGAGAGAACAATGGTACACCTTGGTGGATTGTTGACTGACGAGGAGGATGCACTACATCCAATACCTTCACCATGCCCAGCTGAGCAATATTAGGGCAGAAGGTACTGGACCCAGAGTATGAAGCATGGAAATATCACCAAAGCACGGTGACAGGCATCAAGGCGTCCATTGAAGCAATCTTGATCAGGTACTGATCCTCGCCCTGCATAACTGGAATGATTCCTAGTCAAGGCCCCCAGCGAACTAAGCCCTGTGTAATTGGTTCTCTCGTCGGCATTACAAGTCTTGTTTTCTCTGCCGGCAAGGCTATGAGTAGCGCCCGAACCATGTTGTGTTTAGCAGCCCAGAAATACACGGCACCCAGGATTCGGTATGCCCTTGTGGGGGTTGTTCAATATCGCGAGGAATTGGTTCAATATCATGGGTAAAGGAAATACATCACTGTGACAAAGTTAAGATCCTAGGCCTCCTGACAGCCAGAGGAATCTCGGTAGTCCTGTAGTTTGACTCCACGCAAGATCCTATTACGGCATATCGTGTGTCAAGTTCGAATCTGTGGGGTATCTTGCATTATCCCTGTCAACGGGAGCGAAGGAAAGCAAAGGGAATTTCTGCTCAATCCACAGCCTTGGACAATGAGCCAAGCATTGACTAATACTTCCCCAACAGCGGGTGGCTGTAAGTGGCTTTCACCAGTACAAGGATTTAAGACTGAGTTTAACAGGACTAGATCCTTGTCAAGGCCGCCCATGATCGACATCAGCTTACCTGTGGGGAAGTGACACCTCACGCCAGCGTGAAGAGAATTGACGTGTCCATCTTTCAATCGGGCGAGGCGGAGTCTTTCGGTCGCCTTGCAGTGGCTGTTCAGCCTCCTACACGAGTGTACAGTTCGCTATGATCGGTATCCACTGCTGGTGATGGAGTCTCTAGCAAGCCACTGGCTGCCTTATCCTCTGCTGCCTCTGCCTTTTCCTAATTTAGAACTGTCAACTGCATTAGGTGGATACCTTGGTGGTCAAGTTAAAGTCCTTCGTAGAGATGAATGGGGTCATGGCTGGAATCTGATATCGCGAGCCACACGTCGCTAAGAAAGCTAGTTTTGGGATACTCCGACAGTAGTTCAGTTCCCCCGAAATAATACCGGCGAGGCTACCAGGGAATTCCATCTGCACCTTGCGTCTGGGATTCCATCCAACATTCCTCAGAAAGGACTGCCGGGCTGGGCACACTGCTTCAATGCACGAGCAAGCGCGGCATCTAACCGCTATGAGAATACGCAGGACGAGTACTGAGACAACCTGGTCCAGAATGGATATTTGTAGGGTTTGAGACCATCAAACTTTGGTGGATATCCTCAATGACAAGCCTACCGTCCTGATTGCATTGGTCACGACGAAGAGTTGTCATCTAGGCCCTGGAAACAGACCTATTGCTACAGCGCCCCCGACACAGCCATGATTATGACGAAAGCCTCAGCTCCAAGAGGTAGGTTGACGTACTCCATAGAGATATTATCTCCGGTCGTGAACGTCCGGCATGTACAGGCACCACTCATGTGGCATCTAGCAACCACACTGAAGCCGCAGTCGTACATGGAGCCGAGGATCCTGCCAAGGGGGTACGTGCGCTGAAGGCTCAGCTCTCCATCTACAGGGAGCTGAGACCTGTCGAGGCCCTGGACCTTGTTCTTTGTGGATGGAAAAGTACTGTATATTGACAGGATTTACTGCCATTTCGGGTGATATGCTGCGGTTCAGCTGCTACAGACAACGACGCGGTTCAGTGTAGAGGTATCGTATCAAAAATAATCAACAGACCTATATGGTACAAATTGTGGGTGATATATATATTTGGGCTGGGAAAATATGTTCCTGGCCAGGGAACACTGGAGAATCACATATTCTATTTACTGTGGAAATCCCTCGGGGCTTCGTAAGTTGGTCACCGCAATCCACTGCCCAGTCTGACATCGCATCTGTGGAACAAATGACAGAGGCCTAGCAACTTCGAGAGAAACTCTTCTAATAAATCTCTATCTGAGTGACGATTCAGCGTAAGCTTCAACCTAAAATAGTCTTTCAACACCCAGAGTGGCGATTCATTGATACATTTGCCAACATATTAAATACAATTCTTAAGTAAATAATCAATGACAAGCCTTCCCAAACTTCCTCAACCGCCAATAATTATACGGCAGCGGCGCCAGAAAGCCAGCACCAACAGACACCACAGCAGCCATCCAGAAGCGGGGGTCATCGAGGGCCACGACACCACCAGTAAGATGGTAATCGACCAGGTTCTCCGCAGCCTCCATAGCCAGCATCGAGACAAGGCTCATACCCATTGCCGTCCGAGCGGCCATCGACCACGAAAGCCTATCAGGGCCGCGTCGAAGGAGGACAGTCTCCAGTATGATGGACGTTGTGATGCCTGAGGCCACTGTTTGGCGTTAGTCCAGCGCATTCCAAGTAAGCAGGTGGCAAGGGATACATACTCGATGCAGCCATGATAGTCCCCATCCCCAGAGCGGGAAAATAAGTCTGCAGCATCCACAGGGCCGAAAAGTCGCCGATGGAGCATCCGATCAGGCATCGCAGCGTGTTGATGCCCGCCCGTCGCCACGTGGAGCGACAGGTCCAGAACTTGCGCTGGAGGGGAGAGAGTTTGTGTGTTGGTATATTATCATGCTGGGCAGCTTGGGCCTGTTTCTTGCATGTTGAGGACGAGTGCTTCCTGTCAATGTAAGCCGGTCGAGGTGCGGCGAGACTCGGAAGGCCCGTGTTGGTACGCAGGACTCTCAACAGTGGCTGCTGTCGACACAGGAGTGTCATCTTTGAGGGATGCAACATAATGCTGGCTGATATGCTCGCATTATGCACGAAAAATATAAAATCTTTGGTCTGCGTAAAGGGGAGATGTGAGATTTAATCGCTGGCAGAAAACGCGAAAAAAGCGCATCTGGTCACGTGCAGCTCCTGGCATGAAGTCGACGAAGAGGTTATGCTGCAATTGGAGGCATATTCACCTAACGAACTCATTAGATTCGGCATTGGAATAATGGCGCTATGTCGAGGAAGGAGTGCTGGGAATTGAGATTTCGAAGCGGCGATGGGCTGTTTTGAAAATGGTTCCAGACAGTGACGTAGATAATGGCGGACGCTATTAACAGGCTCATCATTGTTTGGCCTGCTATGCCCTAACTACTGTAGGTTGTTCCATTTGAGCATAGGAGATCTTGCATTTGCGTTCTGCTACTTAATATATATTAGTCTGTCCCAATAGCCCCAAGATCTTCAATATAGATTCAATCATTAGTAACTCTTATTGAGTTTAACCGGCTTTCAGATAGATCTTATATATAACAGCAAGACAATCAGCTGGGAGCTATATACAAAAACCTCCAAGATATAACTAGACAGACCTGAATTCTTTATAGATACCAAGGCTATTGCCCTCCCAGTTGTTATATTTTGCGCTTTCGTCCAATGCTCTATCACCCGTTTCTCAGATATGAGCAGTACTACGTTCAACTCTGTTATTTAATGATATGCAGAAGGTGGGGGCTATCTCGCACAGGTGGCACTGGAGGAAAAGCCCCGCAGCAATCCACATTTTAAATTGATAAGTGGTCCATGACGAGCCCCTCCTTGATAGAGGGTCTCAATAGCGAACGCCCCTTTCCTCATTCTTACCCCCGCAGCTGCCTCAATCACAGATCACACGCGAGAAACCCAGGCTTCTGCCCAAGGAAGCGCAAGTCCATCACACGCAACCACGTATCATGTACGAATGCAGTGTTGTTCGGGAGGAGGTGTTTCGCAGTGTAAGTGTGTGTGGAGGAAGCGGGCGGAGGAAATCAAGTGGGTGCATGTGGCACCTCAGCTGAATTGTTCTTTTGTTTACCCAAGACGAGGATGAACAGTCAATCTAATAGGCGGATGACCCTTCCGGAACTGCATCGTCGTCACATCGTCGATTTGCTGCAGAATGTCCTCGAACGGTCAGACTGGGTCCATGACTGAAGGAACCCATTAAACATGACGATTGACAAGGACAGATGCAAGCCAGTTTCCTTCGGGAGAGAGAATGTGGTCATCCGAAGTTGCATAAGCCAGCTAAATGCCTGAAAAGCAGCTTTTGTGCTCCTCCAGTGGCGCTTATTAAGGTTCGATCTACAAGAACCCGATGTGCCATGATGTACGTGCTCCACCGTCAAGAAGATCTTTACCGAATGTTTTGTTGGCATTGGATCATGTTAGTGCTGTTCGTGCTTCCCACTCTGGCTCCCCAACATTTAAGCTAGATGCCGCCCGTCGTGCGTTGCTGCTGGTCAATCACTGAAAGAAATCGAATTTCTCTTCGCACTGATACATAGCCATACACCACCATGTCCGGCCAAAGCAAAGAGTACGCGGACATCATGGGCCGGGAAACCTCCTTCGGGACTTTCCTCTTCATCCCCCAATGGTTCTCGACCCTGCGACTCGGTTCGGTCGGCTACTTCGACCGCACAGGCGAATGGAACGAAATCACAAACCTATTCGAGAAAGGGCGGGCCGAAGCGGACGGATTCAAGCCGTTTAACCAGGACCTGAAGCTGCGCGATGTCCGCGAGACCCAGTGGGAGGCCGGATCCGCCGAGACCGAGTCAGGTCGGAGTGCGCGTCTCACAACTGAAGCCAGCGGTGCCATGGCTGCTGCGCCTGTTGAAGCGTCAGCGCAGGTTAAAACGAGCTCGTCGGAGACGGGCAGTGCGGCGCTGATCACGTCGTCTGTGGTGCGGAACCATCGGTTCCAGGGTGACTTTAAGGGGCCGATTAAGGTCTGGGTGGAGGATAACGCCAAAACACTGGTTGACAAAAGAAGTGATATCGCGACGCAGGGACTGTGGACGATTATGGGAGTATGGGTCACGGACGAGTGCGCCGTCAAGATGACCAGCGGGAAGAGCCAGGAAATCGACGTATCGTTCGACTTGGGGGCTACGGGAATCGGCAAGCTGGGCGCAGGCGTCGGGGCGTCTGAGAAACTGAAGCGTGAGGGGTGGTGGACATATCCCAAGAACGAGGTATTTGCAGGTGAATCCTCTACCAACTGTTCGGTACTGATGGCATGCAGAAAAGCGAGGGCTACGTTGTTTCATTTGCGGGCGTTGAGTACAACGTCCGGCATTTCAGCAGACTCAGAAGCACAGTAAGATTCCATTTTCTGGTATTTTAGAGGCCATGGACTGATCATAAATAGCCACTCAAGGTGTTCAATGAGACAATCAGCCTACCAACCCCTCAACAAGACCAATCTGGCTCAGCGGACGATGACCATCGAAAGGAAATGATCATGAAGTTCACGCAAGTTCGACAAATTGAGGATAAGGACGAGCAACGGGCGCAGCTGATGAAGCTGGCGCAAGAGTATCCTGAGATACGCGAGCTTCTATCGAAGAAGTCTTCGTGAGCAGGGTCTAAGATCCATTTTTGTTCCTGTCACGATCTAATTCTGGCCGAGTGTTATATACTGTTCATTTGTCTAAACAAGTGAATCTTTGCTTAACGTATCAAGTCCACATAAGCGTTGCAAGTCTTTTGTAATTGCAATACTGGATGTTTCTTTCGTCGAAGATGCATATCAGTGTCGTATATTTGACCACGTTAGATTGCTCGAACTGCCCCATCGACCTCGGTCCGACCTAATGGCCAATAATCAACCAAAGGTTGTTACAAGAGACAGTGATATATGGATACGAACCAGATGCTGAAAGTAAAACTAGTATTGGACGAAGCCCCTCATCTGTCTCAGCCACGCGCGTACCTTGGTGGTGCAGTTCTACCATATATACCAGCTTTGAAAACGATGGTTGGCATTAGGCAAAGCAATAGCGAGCTCATTCAAAAGGTCTACAAGTATATACCGTATCTAAGAAGATGTCCTCAGCACAAACCCCAGCACCTGGCACTGCAGCAGCAACATTCGACAAGTCCAGCAATGCATACGAGCGAATGACCGGCGGATGTACCAGAGAAGTCGCGCAGTTCCTACTCACCCTTGAACCAAAGCTCGATGCATCATCTATAATCCTCGACAACGCCTGTGGAACGGGTATAATGACATCTGAGATCCTGGATCTGTTTCCCAACGCAAAGCCCAGGGTATATGCCGCAGACCTCGCGCCATCCATGATTGCCAATTTCAGTGCCCTGGCTCGGGCGAAAGGTTGGTTAAACGAGGGCGACAACGACTTGACAATCTGTGTTATGGATGCGGAAGATTTGACGTACCCTGATAACACCTTTACACATTCGTATACGAATTTAGGGTTTCCGTTCTTTCCACAGGCTGAGAAGGCCGCGGCTCATGTGTATCGCACATTGAAGGTCGGAGGGACTGCGTTTATCTCGACTTGGTCGAAGCTTGGATATCTCAGGCCAGTCCAGGAAGCTCAGCTGAGGGTTCGCCCAGACTCGAAGCCGTGGGAAATACCCATGCCAGAGGAGTGGCTCACGAGGGAGAAGCTGATTGAGGTGCTGGAGAGGGGAGGGTTTCACAGCGAGAATATCCAGATTCAGGAACGGACTGTCGGGTACAAGGGAAAGGATTTGGATGATTTGATCGATATCATGAAGGCGTCCTTTGAGGGACATGTTACGAATGGATGGACCGATGACGACAAGGAGAAATGGGTTAGAGAGCTGCGCAATAGTCTGAGCGAAGATGAGAGGGAAACGGCAAGGATAGAGATGCTTGCATGGGTGGCTGTTGCGCAGAAATAGGTTGGTGTGCCTGCTCTATACCTAGACAGGACCACAAGCTTGTGACGATGAGAAAGTGCCCGGTTTGATTATGTCTGTTATTCATGTGTTGGTGCAAGGTTACAAGTATGCGGTTGCCTACATGGCGTTGTTATCCACCACCATGTTGTGATAGAAATGCAGAAGGACTTGTGTAATTGTCATACATTTAGTTTATAACCGTCATAAGCACCTGCGCGTGGCTATGCTCTTGTCTCCTGTACCGGTACATATACTAAGACATCGATGTACCCCCAAGTAGGCAGAAAGACTACCTAACTAGAGTTCTCTCCGTTATCTACCAGTACTCGATACATCCTCTGAATTCGCTGCTCCAGGTGTAACTGAGGATTATGTCCGACCGGGCAAAGAGCCAACGGGCCTGTGACCAGCTTCTGATACTCGGATCGCTTGCACTCGACATCCCAGGATATTGCCTCCTCCATATTCTCCACCTTATACTTGGTCTGCCACATGAGAGCCGTAGAAGACCGCGGCTTTCTGAAAAGGGCAGCAATATCTGACGCAGAAATACATTGTTTCGCAGTGGCCATGAAATCAGCCGCTGTCTGGCGGACGTACAGCGGCGAGGCACAATGCACAACACCCGTGGTTTTATTTGCCAGGTGAAGCAGACAGCAGTTGGCCACGAGGTCGACGGGGACTTCCTCGAAAATGTGGTCCGAGCTTCCAACACGGTCGAGGTCCGACATGCTGAAGCAGAGAAGAAGGGTGTGCATGGGGATTGCTTTCTCGGGACCATACAAGGCGAAAGGCTCTGCGATGGCTGGTCCAATGGCGGATGGTCGTATAATCAATAGTGGGATAGGACAGGGCTGACGAAGAAGTAGGCGCTCTGCTAGATGCTTCGCCTGCCCGTATGGCCAGGCGTATCTCTCGTCTGCGGGTAACTTGGAGGAGTCTGCGCCTGGATACCCGGCGAGGTCCTCCACTGGGTCGGGGTTGGGGTTTGGTGCTGGATACAGGCGCTCTTCGACGACACCAGCTGGGAGAAAACTATTCACAGCCAGACTGGAGAAGTGGATGAATAGCTGAATGTGGGGGAATTCAGATGCCATTTGGAACAGTGCCATAGCTGTCTGGCAATTGTCCCGAACGGACTTGGCTAGGTCCTCGACCAAGGAGATATTTGCGACTGTGTTGATGACCGAAGTCACTTCATTGCGCATTCTGTAGCGGATGACGGGGTCTATTCCAAGGCCTGGTCTGGACAGGTCTCCAGTGATCAACTCAACCTTGCCAGAGTCGAGGATATCGTCCATTTGCTGCGGCATGCTTGATTCCCACTTACGGATCGCTTCACCGACAGAGCCTCGACATAAGGCGAATACCTTCTTCGTAGGTAATTGTGTGGCTAGTTTGTACAGAAGGCAGCCGCCCAGGCTACCAGTAGCCCCGGTGAGAAGGACAACCTGGCCCTTGAAATTCTGGGTATATTCGTCTGGTGGTACGGCAGATTGCATCCTGTTCAGCTAGGGCTGCTTGCTAGGCCGGTACCGAGGAATCTGAAAGGAAAGAATGTGCGTGTAGCTTGATAAGAAATTTATTAACGGAAGACGTGCGTGCCGCTTGTCCGTCCCATGAAGAAAGCGTATAGAGACGGATTGCACAAGCCATTAGCAGAGCTTACTCCTTAAGAAGCACATGGTGCAGCAGGCGCGGGGTACAAAGCTCAGAGCTTGTAGTACGAGCACAGACTGTGTAATATATTGCAGTCTGGTCATCCCACACTATATATCCATATTTAGCTTCTTTGTGCGATACAGTCCAGCCCCAGTAGGCCTGGATGCATCCGGCCGCCCACGAAATCGCGCCAGGCAGTTCTGGCCATGCTTATACAATGCACAGACCTGGAAACAGACATAAGCGTGGCTAATAGCGACGCCCGATACAACTGTAAATGGCCAATGAGCGATGCAAAGTTGCTCAGCAGTGATAATGATTCCCGTCAAATAAACCCCCTGGACTCCAGAGAGATGGATAAAACTTACATTATGCCCGTCGAAGTCGCGGCCGTCCCTCGATATCTCATGATAACGCTCCGTAATAAATCCAGTCAGACTGACACTACTTGTGTTCACACTGCACCAAATGGATAAAAATGGCGAGATCAAGGTTGACGTGAGGGACCTCCCCATATCAAATGGAACAGAAAGAAAGCAGCAGTCGCCCACTGCATCCTCTGCTAAAATTCTTCATGATAAGCCTCCCCCCATAGCCATTGTCGGTATGGCTGCGAGGCTGCCGGGGGGAGTAAATTCCATTCCAGATATATATGAATTTCTCCGGGACCGAAAAGACGGGCTATGCGATGTCCCCTTATCGAGATTCAGCATCAATGGATTTCACAATGACGGAGACATACCATACTCGATGAAGAACCAGAAAGCGTATTTCATCGACGACGATATCGCCATGATGGATGCTTCGTTCTTTGGATTATCTGAAGTGGAGGCTGCTGGCTCGGATCCTCGCGCGAGACTCCTACTCGAAGTGGCTTACGAATGCCTCGAGAATGCAGGCCAGACGAGATACCGTGGCCAAAGGATAGGGTGTTATATTGTTGCTTGGGGTGCCGATTGGGCAGAGCTCACACTGAAGGATGGCCAACATCGCAATCCAATGATTGGGGCAGCAGCAGGGGGTTTCTTCTTGTCTAGTTATATCGCGTGGAACTTGGACCTGCATGGACCGACGTGAGTATTTATACTGCTATCCCTATCTCTGTTAACTTCAGGTAGGATGACTATTGAAACCGCATGCTCCTCGTCCATGGTTGCCCTGCATGAAGCCTGTCAGGCCATATGCTCTGGTGAATGTTCGTCCGCACTTGTAGGCGGCGCCAATCTGATTCTCACTCCGACATTACACATGAACCTGGCAAGTATTGGAGTGCTGTCTCCCTCAGGACAATGCAAGACATTCGACGCATCAGCCGACGGCTTTGGGCGCGCAGAAGCCGTGAATGCCGTTTTGATAAAGCCGCTGGACGATGCTGTACGAAATGGGGACCGAGTCCGCGCTGTCATCCGCGCAACAACTGTAAATAATGATGGGCGGACACTGGTTCTTTCGACACCCTCAGCAGATGCCCAAGAAGAGCTTATTCGGCATGCATATAGGAAGGCTGGTATTGACGACATACACGAAACGGCATATTTCGAAAGCCACGGGACTGGCACGATGGCGGGAGACGTTGCAGAGATGGCTGCAGTGGCGAAGGTGTTCCCAAACGGCGTTCACATTGGATCGGTTTGTGGCCTGATCTCGTTAAATATCCCAGCTAATAGGCAATTCTAGGTTAAACCAAACTTTGGCCATTCGGAGGGTACTTCGGGCATTACGAGTCTTATCAAGGCAGTGGTGTCCCTGGAGAAGAAGACCATACTACCGCATATCCATATGGTAGAGCCCAATCCAAGGAGTAAGCCACTCCCAAAGATCAAGAATAGACCATTTTCTAATCGAGTGAAGTTCCATTCGAGGGTGCCGGTTTGATAGTTCCTACTGATGAGATGCCATGGCCACAGGGCCGGAAAGAGAGAATCAGCGTGAATAATTTCGGTGTAGGGGGAACAAATGCCCATGTTAGCTATCATTACCCATCACACCCCTAGCAAGGAAAGACTAACTATTTGCCAGGTTATTTTAGATTCGGCCTCCTCTTTTGGACTGGACAGTACTGTTGCTCGACCTGTTCCGGACCCAACGCATCCCCGGCTAGTCGTAGTCTCAGCCAGCAGCGAAAAGTCCCTCCACAAACGAATAGAACATATTGAAGCTTATATTCAATCAAATCCAATCTCCATTGCCGACCTAGCATTCACACTGGGAGAGCGTCGAGAACACCTCGAACGCCGGGCCTTCATGCTGGCCACCAATGAATCCGCAACCGGTTCGTTTAATATAAGCACTGCGAGCCCTGGATGCAAACCAGAGATCATATTTGTTTTTACAGGCCAGGGAGCCCAGTGGCCAGAAATGGGGAAGTCGCTGATACATTCCTTTCATCGGTTCCGATCGAGTATCCAGCTGCTTGACCATGCTCTTCAGGAAATCGAGCATCCACCAAATTGGAGCTTGCAAGGTTGACATCCCGTCAGAGAGTAAATAATATGCGCTGACATATCAGACAGACCTTCTCTGTAATAGTAACAGCTCGGAATTGAACGCTGCAGCATTTGCACAACCGTTATGCTGCGCCATTCAAATCGGCCTCGTGGATCTTCTGGAGCACTGGGGGATTACGCTGGCGTCTGTCATCGGCCATTCCAGTGGTGAAATAGCAGCAGCGTATGCGGCCCGGGCTTTGACTGCGGAAGATGCTATTAAAGTCGCCTACCATCGTGGCCAGATCCTGCAGAAAGTGCAACGCCAAGGGGGTATGGCAGCCATCAGTATGGGCCGCGAGCAAGTTACTCCCTACCTGGCAAATGGTGTGGTGATTGCGTGCGAGAACAGTCAGCACAGTGTTACATTATCTGGGGACCCAGATGCACTGGATAGTATTATGGAACGAATAAAAGCCGATGACCCTGACGCTCTCTGCCGTTTGCTCCGGGTCGACAAAGCCTATCACTCCCCCCATATGCAGGACGCCGCTGACGACTACGAAGCCTCACTTCAGAGCTTGTCTTCAAGGAGTACGGATACTTTGTCTATGATACCATTCTTTTCCTCTGTCACTGGCGCACGCATTACCGACCCATCTGCGCTGGATGTTAAATACTGGCGACGCAACCTAGAGTCTCCTGTGCTCTTCTTAACTGCAATGAATGCGATACTAGACGCTGAGGAAGAGTCAGGTAGGATATTCCTTGAGATTGGACCTCATTCAGCCCTCTCCGGACCAATACGACAGATCCTCTCGGAGCATCAACACGGGGAGTCCTGCTCTTATATACCATCCCTAGTCCGAGGAGAAGACCCTAAGACATCTGTGCTCTACACTGCGGGAAACATATACAATACTGGAGGAGCCATCAACTTCCGTGCAATAAACGGCGAGGGAAACCTCCTTCTAGATTTACCTCCATACCCGTGGCAGCACGATACCAGATATTGGAGCCAGACACCCGCAGTCGAAGCCTGGAGACTCCGCAAGTATCCACACCATGAATTACTCGGCTCTCGAGTATTAGGGTCCACAGACCTCGAACCGTCATGGCGCAACACACTATCCCTTGACGATGCTCCGTGGTTATACGGCCATAGAGTACTAGGAAAGACGCTGTTCCCTGGGGCGGGATATATCGCAATGGCAGGGGAGGCAGTTCAACAAATCACCAATTCAGCGAGCGTCAGGTATCAGATTAGCCATTTAGTTCTCAAAAACGCCCTGTTCATCGACAGCAACGACTCGGTAGAACTTATCACCAACCTAAGGCCATCTCGGATTTCCGATATCCAGGATTCGGATTGGTATGACTTCTCGATTACTTCTGTCCAGACCGGTGAAGCGCTACGACTATGCATCGGCCAAGTGCGAGTTGCTCCAGCGTCAGTTCCGTCATGTATGCCACTGATAGATGGCACCCGACTAAAGCGGCGCGTTACATCGACATCCTGGTACAAGGGGTTAAAGGAGATTGGAATGGACTATAACCGAGAATTCCGAGGCCTCGACGACATCTATGCTGACCCGATGCAGTACATAGCAAAGAGCACGGTAAAGACGGCCAGAGTGTCACCCAGCCGGTATGTAATGCACCCGACTAGTATCGACCGATGCTTGCAACTGCTTTCAGTAGCTATGTTTCGAGGCCTGGTCCGGAATATCAATATCCGGAGTCTCCCTGTTCTGTTTGAGGATATCCTCATTGGTCCGGAAACTGAGGAGCTCCATGTACAAGCCCAGACAGACTCAGGAAAAGGAAATTTCATCATTGGGGACGTTGGCGCACTGGCTCAAGACCAAAAGGAACTCGTTCTGTCAATTACAGGCGCAAGGCTTCATATTATAGGTGATGACAGCGCACATCATAAGCAGGATGACCTTGCATCTAGGCCGGTATGGATGCCTCATATTGACTTTATACCGGCTGTAGCCATGGCAAAGGCACCACCACCATTGACACTCGATACCGAAGCCCGCGACAGAGTCGTCGACCTCTTTATAGCAGAAGCTGCAGCTCGAGTAAAAGACATAGGACCTGCGGAGGACCACCTTCTCAAGTACAAGCGGTGGCTGAGGGCCAATCAGTCCAGGATCCAGAAACAGGGAACATGGAGACTATCCGACTTTGGATACGCGCTGGACTGCCCCTTTGACTCCTCTACTCCAATAGATATGCTGAATTGGTTGACCGTGAAGACCGATGAGTACTCTCAGTTAAATCCCCTAGTCGGCTGCATGCATCGGGTCTTGGATAACATCGTGGACATTTTTTATGGCACAGTTAATGCCCTCCATCTCCTGATGGAAGACGACGGGTTAAAAGACGTCTACGATGTGCTCTTATCTTTCGACTCATGCAACGAGTTCTTCACAACGCTGGGCCACTCGAACCCGGAATTAAATATCCTAGAAGTAGGCGCTGGAACGGGAAGCGCAACCGCTCGTTTTCTGGAATACCTCCACGCGCCGGATGGGAGTCGCTTATATTCCAAGTACACGTTTAGCGACATCTCGGCCGGTTTCCTGGCGGCGGCGAGGGAAAGGTTCGCGAGGTATGATGGGATGGAGTACGCGGTGTTGAATATCAGCGAGGATCCTACGGCGCAGGGGATTGAGTTGGCCAGGTATGATCTGGTTATTGCTTCTAATGTATGTTCCCTTCTACCTTTTGATTATATTCAAGTCTCAAAGGGTTGAACAGGTTATCCATGCGACGCCGACCCTGAATAGATCACTGTCTAATATCAAATCACTCCTCGCCCCGGGTGGTCGATTGTTCCTACAGGAGCTTGCTGAAGGTACGTTTCCCAATATATTTACATATATTATACAGGAACATTTTAACAGTTCAATCAGAATGTCGTGGGGCCGAGTATATATTTGTATGCCTTTCGTTAACCGTAAGACTGACTAGGAGTGCTAATTAAAACAGGGCCTACTTCCAGGCTGGTGGATAGGTGAAAGCGACCAGCGCATTGACAAACCCTATGTCTCTGTAGACCGATGGAGACAGGAGCTGAAGGCCGCCGGATTCAACGGCATCGACTTTGCAATCCACGAACAGACCAGTCTGCTCGTCAACCTAGTATCACGCTGCCCGGTGGCAGCACCGTCGACGCAAACAGTGAACCTACTTGTTCCTGAGAATCAATCCCAGTGGACCCAGGATGTCGTAAAGCGATTCACATCGAAGGGGTATCAAGCCAACGTATGTACACTGGACCAACCCCCGCCTAGGGGGGGAGATACCATCTCCCTCCTCGACGCAGAAGGGCCATTCCTCTTCGATATCTCGGAAGAATCGTTCGAGCAGTTAAAGTCATTTCTCCTACGCCCTTCAATCAAACGCGTGCTGTGGGTGACGAGGATATCCCAGATTGCCTGTGCAGATCCACGATATGGCCTAATACATGGCTTTCTGCGCGCGCTGCATGGAGAAGCTCATACGGATGGCACTAGTCTATCTGTGCTTGACGTTGATGAGTTTGGTCAGGACAATATCTGCCATTTACTACGGGTGTATGACCAGCTGAGTCGCGTACAGCTGTCAGATGAATCCCGGCGGGAGGAATATGTGCTCCGCAACGGGGTAATTCACGTTGGGAGGTTCGAGACTGTGGATATGGGAAAGGAGCTGGAGAGCCCTGTGAGGGATTCCACATCTAGGAGGTTAGGTATTGAGTCGACAGGACTCCTGGACTCGCTGTTCTGGAGAGAAGATACTCTTTCCAACCCGAAGGCTGGAGAGGTTCTCATCAAGGTCGCATACATTGGCCTAAATTTCAAGGTAATCAGACGCTCTCTACCAAATCGCAATTTTAACACAAAGCCAGGACATTATCACTGCTCTTGGCCTTATTGCAACACCAGACCAACTAGGCTTAGAAGGAAGCGGGGTGGTTGAGGCAGTCGGACCCGGCGTATCTAGTATCAAACCCGGAGACAGAGTGATATTCCTGGGGCCTGGATGCTTCGCGACACATCTTATAGTACCCTGCCTAAAGGTGATACCTCTGCCAGAGGAGTGGTCACTCGAAGACGGGGCGACGACCCCAATTGTGTCTCTAACTGCAGCTCAATGCCTTTTGAGAATGGGAAATCTGCAACGTGGTCAGGTATGCGCCATCATAATTACCAAGAACGGATATTTCATTAACCACTTGCGTAGTCAGTATTGATCCACGCAGCAGCCGGCGGCGTTGGCATCGCGGCTATCAGGATATGCAAAGGCATAGGGGCTAAGGTAACTCTAATAAGTCTCCTGGCAGTCACTATTCCTAACGACAATAGATATATGCCACCGTTGGGAATGAAACGAAGGTACAGTATTTAATGGATACATTCGGTATTCCACGATCTGATATCTTCCACTCGCGCGATTCGTCATTCTACACCGGCCTAATGCGCGAGACGGGTGGCCGTGGAGTCGACATCGTGTTGAGCTCACTGAGCGGCGAGCTACTGCAAACATCATGGAAGTGCGTAGCCCCTGGCGGAACAATGTTCGATATCAGCAGAAGGGATGTACTGGCGGACGCGATGCTCCCGATGAAGCACTTTGCCGGACGACGATCCTTCGTCACAGTGGACTTGGGAGAGTATATGGAAGAAGCCAAGGATCAGTCCGCTGATTTGTATGTTATACCCAAGGTCTGTTTGTCATTATGCTAATACCTGGCAGCTCCATTCCAGTGAAGCAAGGTCTTATAGGGCCCATCTCGCCAGTAACCTGCTTCGACGCATCTGATGTTCCGGCTGCATTCCGTCATATGCAAACGGGGCAGCATATCGGGAAGATTTTGGTTCGAATGCCAGAGGACCTCAATACGCTACCTACAAAGGATACTCGTGCAGAAGTTTCATTTTCACCTGACTCTGCGTATCTTCTCAGCGGCGGTCTAGGTGGCTTAGGACGCGCCCTGTCCAACTGGATGGTGGAGAGGGGCGCTCGGTGTTTGGTATATCTTTCACCAAGTGCAGGTACAACCGAGGAGCATCATAACTTTGAGGAAGAGCTCAAATGTCAAGGCTGCGAAGTGGTATTTGTCCACGGTACAGCAGCCGAGATGTCCGATGTGCAACAGGCTATATCGCAAAGCCCAAAGCCAGTGAAGGGGGTCTTCCAGCTCGCTTTGGCATTGAAGGTATGGCAATCTCCCTATTAGCAACTGCCGGTTAATCATATTTCTAGGACATAACCTTCGAGCGCATGACATTTGAAGACTGGACTATCCCACTGACGGCCAAGGTCAGCGGTACATGGAACCTGCACCAGGCATTCCAAAACACAGCCCTAGACTTTTTCGTCATGTTTGGGTCCATTGCAGGTATTGCCGGCATGTCAGGCCAGTGCAACTACTCCGCAGCAAATACCTTCATCCACGCTCTATCCAGGCACAGGCACTCTCTCGGCCAGCCAGCCTCTGTTCTAGATCTCGGCCCGGTAGCAGATATAGGGTACGTGAGTCGCAGTCCCGAGCTGATCAAAGCATTCAGCGGCCGGCACGAATTCCAATATATCAAAGAACGGGAAATGCTAGATGCAGTCGAGGCCTTGATATATCATTCATCCGCCCAACAGGACTCACCTACTCGATACGACTTCAATCACATAATCCTAGGTCTTACGCCAACAGCACTTTGGATAAACCAGCGGGGAGACACCCGACTTGCAATACTCAGTAATCGCGCACAGAGACGACAACAAGGCCCCGATACCGTGGACGACATCGTCGACTTTGTAGCGCAAGTCGAGTCCGAACCGGAAGTCCTCAACCGCCCATCGACGGAGGAATTTCTGATCGTAAAAGTAGGACACATGATCAACACGCCAAATTCCAAGGCCCCCGTGAAACCAGATTTGAGAGCGCTGGCTGCCATCCCGATCGACTCTCTTATCGCCATTGAAGCCCGGGCGTGGGCGAGAAAGCGGCTGGGTATACAGATCAATTTGTCTGATATTACAGCTGCAGGGAATGTCAAGGGGCTGGTAGGTTTGGCCATTGATGGGATGAAGAAAAGATATTCTATTTCGTAGTGTATATAATGTGGCAGTTGGGAGATTGAATGTGGTTCTATACGAACGTGTTTGCGAACCCGTACTCGGTAGTCGTGGTAATGAGTATTGATAGTGACGAAATGGCAACTCTCCTGGCCCAAGTAGGTACTATTTTCAACCCTGTTGAATATGGTCAGTTCGTTGTTTCCCCTTGTTTGCATCTGGAGGCAGACGCAGGACTAATTACTAAGAGGGACCTCGGAAAGAAGCCCATTGGCTAACCTCGTCATGGTGGGGCTCTTTGCCGAAAGTGGTATTCTTTCAGCCTTAGGCGTCCAGGTTTGTTGTCGTGTTTCTAACGTGGGAAGAACTGAGCCATCAAGCTGCCGTTCGGTCGCTGAAACTCAGCCATGGCGAATCTAGTTTTTGTCACCGGGAACCAGCACAAGATATCAGAGGTAAAGGCTATACTTGGGTGCAGTGCTGTGATTAAGACGGCGTCTCTTGATCTACCAGAGATCCAGGGCACCCTCGAAGAGATTACACGAGAGAAATGTCGTGTCGCTGCGCAAAAGGTACGCTGTGTCCAGGAGAAATGACTTAGTTGACTTTAACCCATGATGTTACAAGGTCCATGGCCCCGTCCTGGTGGAGGATTCGGCACTGGAGATGCATGCGCTGAACAAACTGCCCGGTCCATACGTGTTAGTACTGTTTTATGTACACACGGATAGTGCTTCTGACTGACATGATATGCTCATACAACAGGAAACCTTTTATCGAGGCCCTCGGCAATGTTGGTTTATGTAAACTGTTGGAACCGTATGAGGATAAAACTGCTGAAGCCGTATGCACACTTGGGTATTCTCCGGGGCCGGAATCGGAGCCAATGATTTTTCAAGGGAGGCTCTTGGTATGCCTCGCCCCCAGCATCCACGAGGGTGAAATTCCAAAATGGAATGCGCTAACGTCAAGGCAGGGTCGGATAGTCTTGCCACGGGGCGTTTCATCTTTTGGTAAGGCAAGAATCAACGGCGTGAGTACCGTAATAACCGTAAACAGGCTGGGAACCAATATTTGAGGTTGATGGGCAGACACTGGCCGAAATGAATACCGAAAAGAAGGTCTGTAACTCCCTATTCTTGCTTATCACCCTAAGCTCTTCTAATATCCCTCGTAGAATGGGCTATCCCATCGGTGGATGGCTGTATCAAAATTCACTGAATGGTTGCGAAATACCCATTCCTCTCGATAAACCCTTGACCTGCCGGTCTGTCCAAATGGGATAGTGTCTGATGTTATACATTTAAGCTTCTAATTCTTCACGGTAACAATATTCTTTGATCATAGACAACAGGTGTCATATCACCTGCTCTTCCCGGTGACCCATTCCCTCTATTTCTATCTGTAATGTTATTATGTTAACAAGTCCGACATTTTCTATACCGTCGGCTTTTTGTTCGCGTTTGCTTTTCATTTCTATGTTCTAGTATAACAGCTTTGTAGATAATTATTCCTAGCATGCTCTTTGCCTTTATTCAGCATGATAGCATTTCTTAGTGTCATACTCTTAAAGCAATCCTAGCCTGGCCGGTTCAGCCCACTATTTCCCTGTCGTTGTCACGGCGCTAGCTACGGCGCAGTAGGTTTATTGACAGCTTGTTAGGAAGTCACAGGAAGTACTGGGAGGAGGTACCACCACCAGCAATTATATATATAAGATACACATAGGTGGAACCACACCACACAGGGACATTTTTTTAATGCTGGCCTTTGATGGATCTGTTTCGCAGCTGCTTCTATAAACAGCTTTGAATCCCCCTACTACAAGTAGCCCCCGCCAGAATGCCCTTATAGTCGTGACCCAGTTCCTCGACCAGTGCGAGAACCATGTTTCTAGGCATATATCTGCCTGGTGTTCCCCAGAATGGGCGCCCTAGTTCATCCCTAAGGACCAGAAGTGAACCCCCTCCGTATTGTGGCCCCAGCTCGTCCGCCTGGGGTTGGTACAGCCGCACAGTAGTCTCTTGTGCCTTGATTTGCTGGAAGATTGATTGTACCTTGTCGGTTTGTTCCCATTCAGAGGCTGTGCGCTCGAAATCTCGTAGCGATATCTTCCTCTCAGTTTCGGCTCTCTGTAGCCTGTCTTTCTTGGTCTTAAAGGCTTCCAGGGGGCTCAGGGCTTTGTGTTGCTCGTTTGTGGTTGGAATCGTAGAGGTCGACGGAGGCAGTGACGACAACGATAGCGATAACGACAGTCGTAAGAGTAATGAATAGGGTAGAGAAACCGAAATCAGAGTGTTCCAAATTGAGCGCATGGCGGGGAGACTGGTATAGAAATCAAGATGGCATTATACTGAAGTGCTTTTTGTGAGGGAGGATAGCTGTCAGGTATGAGAGATGTGCTGTGGGAAGACTCAAACACCAGGAGAATACGAGGGTGACTCATAAATAAGGGACTTCTAGGTAACACACTGGGCAGGAACTCCTTGACCCAGAGATAGAAGTTTAGTATTGGGCGCACATACTTTGAGACGGCAGTGGGATGACCGAAGCTGGTCGCTCTTGCAGTAATTGAAAGCTTAACTTGATTGCCGGGTCATCACCCATTTCTAATAGCCATGAGGACAATGCCGATGAGAAACAGAAGCGACCGTGGACGGGCAGGGCGACGAGATTGCAGACGAGGTGGAACCCGGCTTGTCCAAAGCTCATATATCGTATAGTGCCCCTTCTACCGTCCAAATACGATTCACGACACTATATCCTATTTCAACTCTTCGCCGTGGTTGACGACTCCGCCCTTGGCCGTACGAGTAGGCAATGGTCTGTAGGCAATGAGCAATTGAAATTAGAGTAGTCCCATGGAATGCTGTTTATATGTTATTTCCTTTCTACACTGATAAACCAGGCCTATAAGTATAGCCTTTTGCTACTATACAAAAAGGGTCAATCCTGCTTACGAAGGGCTAATTCTAACTAATATTCTCAGCGCCAGAACACTATAGCCTGTGACATCCAGTCATTCACAGTTTTATTGGTAAGGAGCGGAACAGCTAAGCTGCGGGAAGCTCTATTGGAACGACAATCGTGCACCAACGAGTAGCTTTGCATCCATTACACAACTACTCTTCACGCCAACTGACCCTCCCACTGCGGAATTGGCTAATAAGCCCGATAGGCAACAGACCGGGGTCAACAACATTAAATCCACCAAACCGATCCACAATCTCAGGCCCATAAAGCTGCGTCACCCATTTCCAGTACGGTGACATGGCATTCCAATCAGTCCTGATCCCGCTCAGGCCATTCTGGTTCTTGAGCTGCGCCAGTCCTACAGAGATGGGTCCTGTCGAGTCATAGCCGATGGTCTGCTGCGCTGGCTGGCGGAGGAGTTCATCGTAGAACTGAACCAGCTGGCGTCCGGGCTCGTAGTTGAGGAGTTCGCGGTGGCGGGTATACTCCTCGAAAGACATGAAGTCGTCGATATCGTCAGGGCGAAATCCCTGGTTTTGCATGACGAGGAGGTCTTTGTCTTTTGCGGCGTGGCGGCGCTTTAGAGTGGTGTACTTTTCCTGCTCAGCCTTGAAGAAGTCGTCGAGGAGGGAGTCCGGGCTTGTGATGATGGAGTCCCGTAGGCCTACGAGGTTGATGAATGGGCTGGATAGTTCAAGGCCGCCGAGGTCGATTGGGAGGAAGAAATAGCCGTCTGGAATGGACGTGTTCCCGAAGCGGGCCTGGATGGTCTCACGCAGGTAGGTGATGACGCTGCGATCTCCAGTGCCCTTCTCGGAGGAAAATATCTCGCGTTGGATGCGTTCATGTGTTTGGAGCATCATATCGACGTGCTGCTGCCCGAAGCAGTTTGCGGGTGTCCCGAAGTTGTAGGTAAAGAAGGTCGAAGCAAAGGCATTCCAGGCCTGGATCCAGCCGAAGACGCTGCTTTCTTTATCCTGCAGCTGCCGTTTCAACTCGTCGATGTGGCCGTCTACCATCTCTTGATCGATCTCGAAACGGCCGGACTCTGGATTCAGATAGAGCATCCCCCATTTGATTCTGCCGTTGGGCAATGACGGCTGGATGGTCGTCTTCGGCCGATCTTGAGCCGTAATATGGGCGCCACCAGATTTCTCACCGATGGGGAGGCCCATGGTCTCGCTGAACTTTTGAATGGCCTTCCACGCTGTAACGCAAGTATCCTGGCTCCGCGACCAGAACCAGAGATCGTCATTTACTCGCCACAACGACTGGCCGTTGCTCTCCTTGTTGACCAAGAAGTCGAGGCAAAATAGGGTGACTTCGCCAAAAACTTCACTCAAGACATGAGAGCCATGAGTCCCGCGTCGACGGAGTCGGGGCTCAACGTCAGGTTCGTCAATAAACTTCAGAGGAGCAGCAAGGAACCTTTCGAAAAAGCCAGTCCACTTCTCGGACACACCAAGAAACTTGAGAACGGCCAGTATCGTAGCATGGGGCAGACTCGGGTAGAGCGACTCATACTGAGCGCGGAAGCAGGTAATCTCCCCATAAAGCCGCTTGTTAATCGTGATGTCCGCGCTGAGCAGCAGGAGGAGGTTCTGCTTCGCCTGAACCGGGTTTGAGGGATTCCTAACTTTCGGCGCGAAACCGTGCGAATCATAAGAGTCCTCATACTCGGGCGTACCGCTGTCGCCATCGTACAAGCCAAATCCCATATCGTCGTCCAATTCATCCTCTGACTCCGCGGCCCTGGCACGGTACGACATAAACCGCGCCGCCGGCGCCTGCTGTACCATTTGGGCCTGTTGTACAGCACGTTTGCTGCGTTTTTCGAGGGATGTCAGCTCAGCCTCTACCTCGCCCTCGGCTACTTCCCTCCTCTGTTCTTCGGTATCCAAAAGCTGAGATACGAAGTACGCACTGCGATGAATAGATTCTCTGACAGCCTGCAGGTTGGGCTTATCACCCGCCTCATCAAGGAAAAACCGACGACGTTTCTTATCTATAGCAGGGACAGCAGATGTTGGTGTTTTCCAGACCCCTTTGAGTTTTCGAAAGTCAAGCAATGACCTTTTGAAAAACACCGACCATTTGATACCCAGAAACTGCAGGAAGATCGCCTGGATGAGGTCTTCGTGCATGTAGATGTGGTAGCTTCCGTTAAGTTGGCGTCGCTGTTCAACAGCCACCTCGGGGCCCCAAGACCAAGTGTTCAGCGCTGCTAGGCGCATGTTGAGGACATCGGCCAGCTCTGTTAATACTGTGTTGTCTTTGAGGAACTCTCTGAGAACGGATCTCTGCTTCTCGGTGGGTAGGTCGGAACTCAGCAGACTCGATATAACCCATTTCAGTGTAGTAGGGCTGAACTGCGTCGATGAGGTCAACTCGGTCTCGAATTTCGAGACCTTCTCGCGCAGTCTCTCGAGCGCCTTAGCAATGACCTTCCGGGTATCGGTAGTTTCGTCCTCGACAGGCCCAGATGGGCCCGTGAACAGGTCACTGAGGAAAAGTGTGACCGCATCGGTGTCAATGTCAGCGGGTGTGAACACATTCTCCTCCCATTTTCTCTTCGCTTCCAATTTCTGAGCGCTGGCCAGCTCTTCAAAGTCATCAGATCTGGCCTCGGCTTCTCGCGGCTTTGGGTTCTTCTTCACGGACAGCCACTCCATGGTGAGCTGGGCAAACAAGGTGGCATACTCATACTTCAACGTCTGAACGTCGAGCAGCGACAGCAAAGAACGCCGCCATCGCTCCAGAGTATCCGGTGAAATTGACGGATCATACTCCGCCTGCTTCAGAAAGCGGTCGAGATTGGAAAGCTCGGTGATGAGTTGGCGTTTGGTATCTGTGTTGTCTGAGATGCGACCATCGTCGCCGACGCGGACGTCGAAGCAGGTCTTGACGCCGTTTGACAGGGCACGGACCTTTTCGATCGCCGAGTCCAAGGATTCCGCCTCTTGCAAGGCAGCGGCTTTGCGTTCCTGGAAGATGCGTCTCTTGTTGGAGAGCTCCTCGAGCTTGGCGTCGGTGATGTGCTGCAGGGTCTGGGAATACTCGGTATCGGCGGAAGTCATTCCGGTGATAGTGTACAAGTATTAATTAAATGGCAATGTTTGGTAGAATATTTTCGATGATACAAGATGGGAAGTATTAAAGTCAGGGGTGGTGGCAGGATTCAAATAGGCTCCGAAAGCGCCGCATGAGGGGCAGAAACACTGAGGCTGTGGTGAGTCGCTTCCTGATTAAGCCAGTCCAGGCTGCAGTGACACAGTTGGAACCTGGAGGGAATAACTTGCGAGAATCAACAGTGACCCACCAAACATCTCTCATATTATTCGTGGTCCCTGTCACCAAGTTCCCTCAACTTCAATCTTCCTTCAATTTTTCCCCGCCCATAACAAAATTCACAATGGACAATTTCATCCTAAATCATGACCTCATACCGACGAAATACTGCGTGAAGGAAACCCAGCGGTTGACACTGGGAAATCATTTGAGTTCAGAGTATTTATTCACTTTTACATGACTCTGAGTTCCAAGTTTTATTCCCAGAAGCATTGAATATGCTTTCTTTATTAATTCCCTTTTCGTCTTCGATATGGTCGACTACGTATGACATGACTATTCCAGGCGTACCCTGGGCTGTTAAGTATCAGAAGAACTCGATTGTCGATGTTGAAAAGGGTATTGGCCCTGTAATCGAATCCCACGAGGCGATCAAGCGCTGTTACATCTCAACCTCATACGAGAAATATAGCTGTCCGAATGGCTGGGCTCGAATGTGATGAAGAATCTTGGGACCGTCAGGAGGAGGCGGAGTCGCCGTAACCAGTTCAGCCACCTGCCCATGGAACTGCAAGTTCTGGGTATATTGACTGGCATGGCTTGGACCGAAATTCTCTCATCTGTCCTTATTGCAAGCTTCTGTGCTGAAAGCTTTTGCACTCCAGATCCTCATTACATCATAAACGGCCGACTCTCATCGTTCAACACCCAACTCAGCGGCTCAACATCGCCAAAGTTGAAGAAATTATCTGAATCCGACATCTAAAACATATCAGTATAACCTGTGCGAGAAAGTCTAGTGTAGTCACTTACGATGCACTCCCAGTCGCCCATGAATGGCGCCGCGCTCTCGGAGATCTCATTTACAGCATCGATATTCATCCCATTATACCCCTGTGCAGCTTTGTCCTCCATGAACGCGATACATCGCTGCTCCGCCTGCTCTGCCGCCCGGAGAAGATGGTCGGGAACTTCACTCGGGCCCAGGCCCTGCATGAGCCCCTCAACCTGGGCAGAGACCAGTGTCGCCAGTAAGAAGGCCTTGATATTTGTCTCTCCGCATTCAATCATATCCCAGAACCGCACCTTGGCATCAGTCAGGAGAGCGAATAGATCCATGCGGTATGGACTAGGCCCAAGACTATCTTCGTCTTGCAGCTGTGCTTTGAGCTCCAGTGACACAAACATGGCCGCAAGCATGCTCCCTGTGCGATAGAAGCCGAATCCGCATGTAACGAAACGCGTCATATCCTCCCTGTCTGAGACCCGTTCATCCCGAGGCGTAGCTGCCATGATATTGGATGACGGGTATATGGCGCACCAGACTTTCATCGCACTCTCGATGACGACTTTTCTGGAAAACGCGTACGTCGGGTCGCGTAGAGATTGTTCGAAGAACGGCATATGGAGGCAGCAGAAATAGTAGTGGATGATGAAATCCAGCACCCGCGTTTCAAACTGCGAGGGCGCCCGGCCATGTCTGGACCTGAACCCGCGCAGTGTTCTACAGATGGCGCGGTATGAAGCTCGGAGTTCCGTGTCCAATTGGAGGGTGTGCTCGTAGGTCGCATAGGACTCTAGATTGTTCAGGAACCTTGCGATTGCGAGACGCTGCGGATAGGTCTTGCGGAGCTCTCTGGCAATTGACGTCTGTGTGTATTCGTCGTCAGCCTTGGGTACGGGGTCGTCGGTCAGGAGTTGTTCGTCGTCAAAGTTTGCCGGGGGTTCGCAGTCGTAGTCGTCAGCAGACAGTAAAGGCGCTCCGCCCGACATGATGCTGGACTGCAGGCACAGCTCTAGGATTGTGTTCCATAATCGTCTTCGCATTTCAGCGGCGACGGTGGTCCGATTGGGCAGGTAAGATGGATCTCTGTTTAATCCCATATGCATCGCTGTGCGGAGCAAAGCGCCCGCGGAAATCCAACTGGAGTCGCCGCCCACGTTGATCGTCTCTCGCGCGATCAATAGCAGGATTCTGCTCTGCAAGCACTGGATGTTCAGTCGCGGTTTGAAATCCGGGTCTGACAGCCAAGTGTGAGCTTCGTAGACCCAGCGGTTAGCCGACGCCCGGAGAGAAAAGCGCTCGTCATACGTGATGGCCCCAATGGCAAGAATAAGCTTGAGCTGCACTGTGAAGGCGATGCTGGGCCCGGCATCCGACACCCAAAGCGCATCGTACTCCGTTTTGAAGGTGGGTATATGCAGCACTCGGAAGGTGGTTTCCACTGTCCGCAGATAACAGTCAACCAGCTCGTCTGCAATGCCTTTGGGTGGGAGTTCTGTTGTCGGCGGCGTTGGCCAACGGGGTGTCCGCTGGGCTTTAATAATTCTCGCCAAATCCTTGCATCTCTTCATCCCGGAAACTGTCTTGGGGCCCTTGGCGCGTATATGCGGCTCAATCATCTCGAATACATCACGGAACTAGGAAATTTTAGTAAAAATCGCCGATGAATGAGGGTTCTTACCATCGAGGCACCCTGCGCCCAGTGGCTGGCACCAAATAGCCGACTCTTATGAATGACCAGATTTCGGCTGACGGCCTGTGAATTCGCATCAACACCGCTGCCGTGGTTAATATGAAAGGTCCCTGCCAGCTGCGAAGTCGTCGTTTCAATATTAGTAGAATTAGGAGCCACACGAGGCTGCGGACTCGCTGTCTGCGTAACTTTGACCAGCTGCTCTTCCAGACGTCTAATCGTGCTCTTCATAGACTCCACCTCAGAGGCAGATGTAAGGCTTGTCCGGGATAACGAGCCCTTCGAGCTAGAAGCCATAGATCTAGACGCATAGCTTGGAACCTGCGACGCAGCACCATCAGGAGGCCCCATTGAATGGCGTTCTGGCGACGCCTTGGCAAGATCCAGTTCGTGCGAGCCCCGGAATCGCAGCGGCGACGCATCGCCGTCGTAGATGCATGATTCATTCTTGGATCTGATGCAGTTGCTGCAGGGGCTTTCGCGATTGCATTTTATCTTGCGTCTCCGGCATAGAGTGCATGATCTGGGAAATTAGCTGTTATTCGCTTGAAACCTGAAGGGATCTACGTACACTGCTGGCCGTCTGCGCCGTCGCTCCCGTCCAACACCGGTCATCGTCTCACAATCAGCTCAGCCGGGAATGGAATGCTCGATAATTTGACACATTTAGAATTACAATAAGAATGAAGGACGAGAACAGTGAGAAAGTGCATGTTTGGTCCGTGTCGCCCGCCATTCCCCGCTCCGGTGTCGGCTTAAGCCGAGTCCGATCGGATCCCCGGTCTATCTCCGACATATCGGACGGCACAACAGGAGCATATAAGGAGCTGTCGCCGATCGACTGTTCTGTGCTTATCCAGCAGTGACAATTAATTCTGGACTGTGTACAGTTTGTTCTGACAACCGACGAAATGGCGGACGCGAAAGCAGACTTCCAGCCCTCCGATCCTGAGGCATCCAATGTACACACGCACACGCAGAACAGCATCGGCGAAAAAGCCAGCGATAAGCCCTCAGAAAACTTTGCTCCAGCTCCAGACGGCGGTCTCAAGGCCTGGTCCGTTGCCATTGGTGGCGCCTGCACCACCTTCGCGACTCTCGGCTTCGCAAATTCCTTCGGGGTCCTCCAAGAATACTATGCGGCGCACCAACTGTCAGCAGAGTCCGCAGACCGCATTGCCTGGATTGGATCACTCTCTGCGTTTCTGCAGTTTGCAGCTGGAACCATTGCAGGTCCCCTATTTGACCGATATGGCGCTTGGGTAGGTTTCTTGTCACATATCATATCTGCGTGCCCTAACAACCCTAGGTCATCCGCCCCCCAGCAATCGTCTACGTCTTCGCCCTGATGATGACCAGTCTCTGCAAGCAATACTGGCAGTTCATGCTGGCGCAAGGCGTCCTCGTCGGGATTTCCACAGGCCTCCTCCAATTCCCCGCCATGGCCGCCGTAACCCAATACTTCGACAAGAAGCGCGCCGCCGCCCTCGGGCTCACCATCGCCGGGTCCTCCATCGGCGGCGTCGTCTTCCCAATCGCCTTATCCAAGATGCTCAACAGCTCCTCGCTAGGGTTCGGCTGGTCCATGCGCATCGTCGCATTCATCATGCTCGCTGCAATGGGCGTCTCCTGCCTCACCGTGACCGCGCGTCTCCCTCCTCGGACAACCGCCTTCTTCATCCCCGGCGCATTCAAACAATCCCTCTTCGTCCTCCTCACATTCTCCCTCTTCCTCCAGGTCCTAGGCCTCTTCACGCCTCTCTTCTTCATCCCAACCTACGCCGTATACCGCGGCATGAACCCAACCCTAGCCTCCTACCTAATCGCAATCACAAACGGCGCATCCACATTCGGCCGAATCATCCCGGGAATCCTCGCCGACCGCTTCGGTCGCATCAACGCCCTAGGCATCGGCGGGATTATAACAGGCTTGATAATCTGCTGCATGAACGAAGCAAAAAGCAACGCCGCGCTGATCGTGTTCTCTGCCATCTTCGGGTTCTGGTCCGGCACGGTCATCTCGGGCGGTAGTGCGGCTCTGACGTCCGTCCCGAAGAATCCGCAGGAGTTCGGCACGTATCTGGGTATGGGATTGGGGGTTTGTGGGTGTGCGGCGCTTATTGGACCGCCTGTTAGTGGTGCCCTGGTTGATCGGTATGGGGGGTTCTTGCAGCTGTCGCTGTTTAGTGGTATTGTTTGTATTGGGGGTGGGGTTGTTGCGCTGTTGTCAAAGGGGGTGACGGATAAGGGCTTCTTTGGGAGGGTTTAGAGTATACTTGTATTTTATAATCTTGCATCGTGGCTATAGACTTAATATCTACACTTCACTCTGATAATATTTCTGAGCTGGTTCAAAGTGGTGGGCTGTTTCGACCTCCACGTAGTCCAAGTCAACTTCACATTTTCTTGGCAAGTATTTATTAGTTTCACGATACAGGGCTAGCTGCAGCCTGGTCGAGTTCCAGTTTTTCCGGAGTTCCGCGAAGTGCCGTCGTTGGTTGGATGGTGAAGGGCAAGCAGTCCGAATATATATCTTTGGGGATGACCATCGTTGCAAATGATGCGGAGAATCCACCACTACCACTGGTAAAGGTTAAAATACCCAAATTCCTCGCGGATAAATAATAAACATACTATTATACACTTATAAATCAGGGTTTATTAATTACTGCTATATATATTCCGCCCCAAAAAGCTCAAGATGGCCCATATTGACGTATGAAATAGTGCTGTTGTTTGGCTAATCTTCGGTGGATGAACAGCGCGCCAAGTACATTGCACATTCCATGCCAAGATCTCCGGGGCTTTAAACAAAACACCAGGGGGCTTGGGCATTCATTATCTTGCTTGACTTGTTGAATCTCGGATATCCGCCTCGGGCGGACCAAGTCGAGGAAACAATATAGCTCTCGCCAAGCTCCAGGGGCGGACCTCCTGGTCTTAAATATGTGCGGATTCTCCTCCGTGTCAGTTTGGTTTAGCGTCGTACAGAATCGTGCAGTGGATTTCGTCAGTTCAATGGCCGGGGAATAAAAGAGCGATGGAAAAATGAATTTAGATATTTCGCTCGATAATGTCGCGACGTCTGCGATGCTGGGCGTGATACCTATTTGACCCTCTAACCCCGGACCTCCGGATTTCGCTTCATTTCCAAGACAGCACTGCGGGGAACCAAACTTTATACAATACGGCCAAGGCGGGATTATAACCGAGGTAATCAGTTATTTTCTTGTTCCTGCAGCAAAGATCGGCGTGTCGAAATGGATATATAACATGTACTATACCCAGTATGCGCTCTCGCCTCGTTAGGGCAACACCTCTGCAAACACCAACATGCTCTTCTCCAAACCATTCTCACTCGCCTTCCTGGCCGGGACTGCAGCCGCCCGACAGGGCTTCGTAACTACAAATGGGGACAAATTCCAACTCGACGGGGAGGACTTTTACTTTGCGGGTAGTAACGCGTACTACTTTCCATTCAACGATGTACGTATAACATCATCAGTACACCCTGCCTCATTCACGACCATACTAACAGAGCAGAACCAAACGGACGTCGAACTCGGCCTGACAGCCGCCAAGAACGCCGGGCTAAACGTCTTCCGCACATGGGGCTTCAACGACAAAAACACCACACGCGTCCCCGGGGGTCTACCCGACTACGGCGGCGAAGGGGCCGGGGCAACCGAGATTGTGTTCCAATGGTGGCAGAATGGCAATTCGACGATTGACCTGGAGCCGTTCGATAAGGTGGTCAGCGCGGCGGAGAAGGCGGGGATCAAGCTGATTGTGGCGCTGACGAATAACTGGGCGGATTATGGGGGGATGGATCTTTATACTGTGAATCTGGGTGGGAGGTATCACGATGATGTACGTCTTCACTGTTCGATCAGCGTGGGATAGATGGATGGTACTGACAGGACAGTTCTACCGTCTCCCCCAAGTCAAGACGGCCTTCAAGCGGTACGTCGAAGAGTTCGTCACTCGGTACCGCGACTCGCCGGTGATTATGGCCTGGGAGCTGGCGAACGAGCCTCGCTGCAACGCAGACGAGGTGCGGAATCTCCCCCAAAGCCCAGACGGATGCAGTCCCGAGCTGCTGACGTCGTGGATATCGGAGATGAGCACGTTCGTTAAGGAACTGGACCCGGACCACCTGGTGACGTGGGGCGGAGAGGGAGGGTTCAACTACGAGTCCGATGACTGGGCGTATAACGGCTCTGATGGGGGCGATTTCGAGGCTGAGCTAGAGCTGGAGACGATTGACTTCGGAGTCTTCCATTCGTATCCGGATTGGTGGACGAAGACTGTTGCGTGGACGGATCAGTGGATTGCTGACCATGCAGAGGTGGCGAGGAGTGTTGGGAAGCCGGTTGTGCACGAGGAATACGGTATACTCTATATACCCTTGGGTTGAGTTATGCTAATTGATATAGGCTGGTTGACGCCTCAAGGACGGCTGGACAATCTGGGCACGGTCTCGAATATCACACGACTGCAGGCAGTTGGAGGATGGCAGAACATCAGTCTGCATGAGAAGATGCCAGACATGTTCTGGCAGTTTGGCTTCTCCGGCTATTCCTACGGCCGCAACCATGATGATGGGTTTACCATCTACCTGGATGAGTACGTCTCCTCCCCAGTACAAGACCATGCTAACGACTGCAGTGCCGAAGCAAAGGAACTGGTATACAAGCACGCAAGGGCAGTCAATCAACTGAACCGCAGATATTAGATAGCCTAGATGCTAGTTCCAATAACCATATCCCTCACCCACCGTATCTCCTGCACAATGACGTCCGGCCGCACAAGATGCACATTATGCCCACAATCCTCCAGCCTCACAAACCTCGTCGTGGACGAAAGATTCAGCTGTTCTTCCTGTAACGCACGATCAATCCCATCCCACCGATCCAGTAACCCCCGAAACGCAGCCCTCTGCTCCCCCGTCCCATTCCCAGCCTTTACCCCAGCCTGATAGATCCGCTCATAATCCCTCGGACTATTCGCCCTAATAACACTCAGAGGTCTACTCCCCAGCGCCCGATTTCTAATCTGCTGCTTCTCCCCTAGCGTCTCACAAACCCTTACAAACGAACCAGCTTCAGCCCTCGCAGCCTCAGCCCCAGCATAGATATCCCTCGCCCTCGCCCTCCACTCGTCATCACTCAGGACAGTGTCACTTCTTAACCCCGTCACCCGGGCGTAGTTCAGATCCCCAAGCACAGCCGCGATATTCAAATCCGGCACAGTGAAGAAGTCACTCGCGCGCTCGGTCGACGCGTCACACAGGACCAGCCCCGCGACAGAGGCTGGGAATAGATGCAGGAACTCGCGCGCGACTATACCCCCGTAGGAGTGTGCAACCAGCACCAAAGGATCGTTATGGAGATCCAAGTTCTGTAAGAGCAGGTGAAGTTCCCTCGCGGCCTTCACGCTAGCGGACGTCGAATGGGGATCCGGACCCGGACTCGGATTCGGATTCGAACCGGGCTGTGTTGGTGGGTCTGGGTCAGGGTCAGGATGTTTATGCAGGTGGTCCACCACGCCAGGGTTTACTATGCTGGGGTCTTTCTCGCTGCGACCGAGGCCGGAGCGGTCGTACAGCAGCGTGCGCGTCCACGGGCGCAGGAGTCGCTCGACAGCGACATAGGATGCGGCTACATCGCCAGCTCCGGGGATGATCACGACGAGGGGATCGGCAGCAGGAACAGCGCTCGGGTCCGAAATAGAAGACCGGACTGGGCCGGAGATGAAGGCACTGAGGCTGTGGGTGCCGATCGGTACCAACATGGGTGCCGGACTGCTGGTTCTGCAGCTTGCTGGCGTACACCGTATGTATGGATTTGGGGGCTGGATTACGACTGAAGGGTTTTCTCCAGGGGTCGGCCGGATCCGCTTGACGGGCGCAGTAACAGGGGGGTGTTTCGTGTTTATGATGGATTGGAGTTTTCTTGGTTGTTACCGTTATTTGGTGAGGATGGGATACTGGATGTCGGTAGACGCTCGTGCGACGCGAGGATGTCCGATATCGTGATGCAGAGTAAGAATGACTCAGGGCAGCACGAACAAGCGGCTCTGTAGGATACAGCCTTGCAGAGACAAGAGATGAAACAATGATCCTTACCGTTCACAGCCCCAGTGGAGACTGGAGAGCGCGAGGGCCGTAGCGTGGTGCCAGACAGACAACGGTGACGATCTCTCGTGTCGTGAAACACGACAAAGAATACCAGAAATAATAAACAAGCGGGTGAACAATGCAGCGGAGATGACGATGCACCGGACGCTTCATAACAGAACCTTGCTCGAACTGGAACACGACGACCGGCGAACTCGAGACTGACAGGCGAAGGTCACTCAAAGGATGCTGACTGCAGCGTCGAGTTGGTCGGGGCAGTCCGCGAGACTGACCAACAGCGGGCAATAACGAGCCCTGGTAAAAATAGAGCACCTGTAAAGCGTTAGACACGGGGCTGAAGCTCTGAACAACCACACAATGTAGCTTGGCAACAGATCTGCAGCGGGTCGTGGCTATCCAGAGTAAGCCAGGATAAGCCCAGTGGAGCAAGCCTTGACCTGCAGAATCAACAATGAGCTGCAAGACAATGATATAAAGAGGCCTCTCGATCATGCCTCAATTCATCATCCATCATTCAATCCTCTCATCATCACTATCCTATTATCCAATATGCGCTTCCTCCCCATCCTCCTCGGCTTCGGCGCCCTCGCAGCCGCCCGATGCGGTACAGGCCGTGCCTCTGAAGAGCAACGGTCCTACCACAAGTATCTCCATGAAAAAGAAGCCCGCGAGGCCCATCAGCCTGCTACCCGCGATGTGTTCGACGTCGAGATCGACACCTACATCCACATCGTCAACGGCAACAGCACCACAAACCACACCCAGATCCCGCAGCGCATCAACAAGCAGATGGCCGTGCTGAACGAGAAATACGAGCCCACCGGCTTCTCCTTCAAGCTCATCGACGTCTCCTACACCAACAACGCAAGCTGGCTCAACATGCAAGACGGGTCCGACCAGGAGCTCGACATGAAGCGCTCTCTCCGCCGCGGCGACTTCAAGTCCGCCAACATCTACTTCGTTGACCTCGAGGAAGACCTGCTTGGTGTCGCGTAAGTCATCACCTCTTTTATATAACATATATATACTAATGAAAAGACAGAACATTCCCCACAAACAAAGGCCCCAACAAATTCAAGCTCGACGGCATCATGTGCTCCCTCGCAACCCTCCCCGGCGGCCAAAAGCCCTACGACCTCGGCATCACCGCCGTCCACGAAGTCGGCCACTGGCTGAACCTGCTACACACCTTCCAGCCCCCCGACGACGCCGCAGAGGACGACCTAACCGCCGGCTGCCGCGGCCACGGCGACTTCGTCATCGACACCCCCGCCGAGGGAACATCAGCCGAGGGCTGCCCTCGTTTCCGGGATACCTGCACCGGCCGGAACGAGACGCTGAATACCCATTCTATCAACGGACCTGACCCTATTCATAACTTCATGGATTACACGGATGATCGCTGTCTTACGGAGTTTACCCGTGGGCAGATTGTGCGTATGCAGAACTCGTGGGAGCTGCGCGAGCACTATACCCCTGGTATTGGTGGGCGTCGTGCGAGTCCTCAGTCTGGGTGGGGGCACTAAACTTGGATTACGGTGATTGACTGATATGTTTTTAAAATAGCGAGGAGTTGAGTTGTCATAGACATGGGCGGTTGTTGCGGTGTTGAGTAATGATGGGGGTGTACGGTGGTTGATTTATGAATAGAGTATATACCCATGAGCTGTTTAGAATTATGTCTAATATGAAAGTCAATAAATATTCGTTATTATCATCATCTCATCTTCAAAATCAGAGACTTTCTTCGAAACTAAAACACCCCTGCCAATCGCTCATATATCCCGCACAGCTATATCTCTTGGCGGGTCTTGGGAAAGACATGGATCCACCTCTAGGTGACAGCGGTTTCTCCGAAACCAGACCGTGAAATCTCCGTTCAGGGTAGAGGTACGGACAGTATTCCCGGCTTCCGCAGCTATAAAGCCCGGGCCGTTATGTGGAAAGAATACCAGGGTGCCAAGTGAGACGCTCTGTAGCACAGGCCATGTAGGTGTAGGTGTCGCGCAGACAGTGCAATATCGCATTGGAGGTCGAAATGCCCCAAAAGAAGAAGCTTACCACCGCAAATGCACTCCGGACTAGATGATATATTTATTTATTGCTGCCCTGAAGCTCTGTTCGTAGTCAGATCTGCTCCGCCCCTACCTCCTTTCGTGATAAGCAAAGAACACGCCGACTCGGCCGCCTGCACCTATTATATACACCACACTACGTACAATCTCTCCATATCGAGACTGAGGATCTCTTTCTCGCGAATAAACTCCAAAATGGCTCAGCAGTGTCCAGCCAATACTGCCTGGCACGAGCGACGATCAGGACGCACAGCCACGATGGCAGCGTCAGCCAAGAACTCGGCGCAAGAACAAATATAACGTCCAACTCCCCAACTACCCCACGATCCACAATCTTATCGACATGACAGTCGAGTTCTAGATCACATCAACCTCAAAACCAATACGGAATTATGGACCGTGATCTCCCACCGCCGTCATACGAAGAGGCCATTCGCCAAGAACCCGGGAATGGCAACGACCACGGCCACGGTTACAATCAAGGACGACTTTCTCTAGAACTCCAAGGCGAGCTGATACGCGACCTATCAACCGGCCGTGTTTTATACAAACTAAGCCGGCAGGTAACAAGTCTCCCGAAACCGGGGGCGAACAACTCATCGTCGGTGACGTTCGAGCGAGTAGAATACAGCACCACCACACCAGCAGACAAGAAGGTCGACAACCCAAAGGAAGATACCCATGCCCATGCCAAAGCTGGATCACAATCACAATCACAATCACAGCATAAACACCTCTTTTACCTCGTCCACCCAGCCGACGCGCAATACCGCCCGGAAGTCCCAGGATACTACATAACATGCCTCTCCGCCGATGCTCAAAAGTCACAAGGGAACATGCAATTCGAAACATCCAAAACAGTCCTGCGCGGAACGGAATTCCGGGCTCTACTCAGCCCTGGTCGGACGTGGGCAGATAAACCGCTCTTCGACACACATGGGCAGGCCCCGTTGTTTATTGCGCGGCGGGAGGGGTTGAGGGGCAGTCAGTATACCTGGCGGAAGCCGTTGGGGACGGAGCTGGGCCATGATTTTTGCAAGAATGGGGAGACCCATGGGCTGGTGATTACAAGTCCGATGGAGCAGGAGGGTAGGGATGCGTTGGTGGCGCTGTGGGTGTTGAGGGTTTGGCATGATGTTGCTGAGAGTCCAAAGGCGAAGCGGGAAGGTCAGTACTCTCTTACATTTTATTCTGTGTTTGTAATGACTGCTGACTCTATTAGCGTTGGCCCGCCTGACACCGGCATCGGCTGCTTTAGGTCATGGTATGTTTCCAAAGAAGGCTGGGGCTCTTGGTGCTCTTGCGGTTCTTGGGGGTGGTGCCGGTGGTGGTTGTTGAAGCCAACCTTTAGAGATTTGTCGTTGTTTGGCTGGTTTGTGCATTGTAATGGAGTCTTCTATTATACAGTCTATGATATACATGAAATAACCGAGTCTCCCCGTTTGGAACTATGCGTTTCATTCAAGGGCGTAACGTCGTTCGGATATGGACGGCGTCTTGTATAGCAGAAAGCGGGCTTGGATAGCCTTGGATAGGCTACCTCGGAAGCCGAGAGTCAGCATCCGACTGTAGGTGCCCAAGCAGGGCATGATGTTTGAGTGGTGGTCGCTCAACACCTAAATCTTGATGTCGCCGTCCAGAGCTCATAGTGTAGGGGACCGGAGTATGAGGAGTCCAAGGAGAGTCTCTGATATCTCCTTAGAAGATCAGCCCACTGACTGCACAGGTTGCTCACCCACAGCTGCAGTTTTCTCCGCCATGGCTAGCACAGATCTCTTCTCCGGCTCAATGCCCAACCGTGCCTGCGCCGTATCACACAATTCCACATTCCCACACTCACAATCACCCTCTCTCGCCCAGCGATACGTAATACTCCATCTCTCCCCTCTAACCCTCGCCGTCCCATCATCCAACATATCCGTCTTCCTCTTCGCAATCCCATGCGTCCAATGCAGCCTCGAATCCCTCGTGAAGCGCATCATACTCCGCGGCGCCAAATCAACATCAACCTTCTCATCGCCATACTTCCCATGTCTCATGCGCATGAACACCGGCGCCCCAAGCGAAAGCGCATAAAGCTGGTCCCAGCCGCGATGGGAGTCGACGTGCGGCGGAATCCCCGAGCCGGGCGGGTAATACTGCAGACAGACCTGGTCGGGCGGTCTTGATTCGGTTATCGGAATGAGAGGCTCGAGCCAGGAGGGGAACGGCTTGTAAGGGATTTCCGGGTCGATGCCGAAGGTCTTGTAGTCGAAGGTGTAGCCATAGTGGAGGGAGATGCGGCCGGGGCGGTCGGGCCAGGTCAGTTCGTTGCGGAAGAGGGTGAGGAGGGATTCTTCGTGGGCGCGGGTGATGAAGTCGGCTTGGTAGTCGAGGCCAGTGATGGTTGGATGCTCGGAGAAGGAGGATTGGGGGTGGGATTGGATGCCCATCGTGATTGACAAAAGTTGATCAGAAATTCAGTGGGGGAGTTGTGTATAGGATATTGTACACAGCTATGCAATAGCTTAGTCATCCTCTATGTTATGCACTTTGTTGACATGCCTGATCTGTGGCTGTCGAAGGAATTTGAAATGCTATTATTGACATGAAATTCCTCCACATAATTATACGAAACCTGCACATTCCAGTGCCGCATGCGAGATGTTGCCTCCGCGGGAGGGTCCTAGCGCAGGCTGGAGTAAATATACAAACAATACTATTGATCAGCACAATCCCATATCCCATCTATTCCTCTTGTGACTGTTTATGACAATCGACTGAGTTTTTCTCTATCACTACCATAGCTATGTCGAAGCTAGTTCTGCTTGCACTGCCATGGCTAACCCTACTTTCCTGGGCGGAAGACGTCCATCTCGAATGGGATATTACCTGGGTCTGGGCTGCCCCGGATGGGTTTGCCAGGCCGCTAATAGGCATCAATGGCGAATGGCCTTGTCCGCAGGTCGACGTTAACTTAGGGGATCGGGTGATTGTGGATGTATACAATGACCTTGGGAATCAGACTACTGGAATCCATTGGCACGGCTTTCACCAGTATATGACCGGTATGATGGACGGCAGCAGCGAGGTGACACAATGTCCCATTCCGCCAGGTGAGAAGATGCGATATGAATTTATGGTAAGCAGATCAGTTTATTACGACCATAATGAGACTTATGCTGTCAGGCAAATCAAACCGGGACGTACTGGTACCACTCCCACAATATGGGCCAATATCCAGACGGGCTGCGCGGGGCTTTTATAGTGAACGAACCATCACCACCATTCGAATACGACGAAGAGCTCACCATAACCCTATCTGACCTCTACCATGAACAGATGCCAACCCTACTCAATCAGTATCTGTCTCTGGAAAACCAAGCAAACGGCGGGCTGGAGCCTCTGCCAGACAGTGCCCTAATAAACGACTCAACAAACACCACCATCCACGTTGAGCCCAACAAGACATATCTCATCCACATAGTCTGCGTCGGCAATTTTCCCGGGCACACCTGGTTTTTCGACGAACACGAAATGACCGTCGTCGAGGTTGACGGCATCTTCACCGACCCATACCCTGCACTTGACAAGCGCCTCCGAATAACCACAGGGCAGCGCATGAGCGTCCTAATCCAAACGAAGAACGACACCAGCCGCAACTACGCAATGTGGAATACAATGGACATGAACATGATGTTCTTTTACGCAAACAGAACAATCCCCGAAGGATTCAATCCCAACGTTACAGCCTGGCTCGTGTACAACGAGAGCGCGCCTCTGCCTCCCCCTCCTATCGTGCACGACCTGGATGCGAACAAGGATTTCGTTGACGATGTTCTCTTCGTTCCTGCAGACCATGAGAAGATCCTCGAACCGGTGGATCGCCAAATCATCATAAACACCACTTCGAAGGCCATTAACGGTGTTGCGCGGTGGACTGTGAATAACGAGACATACATCCCACCAACCGTCCCCTCACTATATACAGCCCTCTCCATCGACGAAGAATACATCTCCGATCCCACGGTATATGGCCAGGTCAACCCGTTCATAGTCGAGTACGGCGAGGTCGTGGAAATCGTGATCAACAACGACCACAATAACCTGCATCCATGGCATTTACACGGGCACCAGTTCCAGGTTATTCAACGCTCCGCGGTGGATGGGGGACTTTTCAACGGATATTTCCAGAACATCTCGTCGACACCGGTGAAGCGGGATACGATCATGGTGCAGAACCATGGACATGCAGTGATACGGTTTCGCGCGGATAACCCAGATAAGTTCCCAAGTCTCTATACTCTATGCCTGGCTGACAGTCCCACGCGTCTGGCTCCTACACTGCCACATAGAGTGGCACGTTGAAGCTGGGCTTACAGCGACGATTATTGAGGCGCCGAAACAGCTACGTGAGATGTCTTTGCCTGTGGACCATCTCAAGATCTGCGGCAGCTATGGTAGCCCAAGCTCTGGGAATGCCGCTGGAAATGAGGGATTGGATTTGACTGGGCTAAATACGGAGGTAACCCCTGGTAGTTCTGGGTAAGTCGAACCCTATTTGGTATAACTGAGTGAATGGTCTGACATTAGCAGTGCGATGTATGATGAGGACCATGCGGAAAAGAAATATAGACCCTGGGCTACAGGACATACAAGGGATAGCTTTGGTCAATAGCGATATACGAGCGAGAGTATGGTTACATCAAATACACCCAGATTTGTAGCAATTCCAGCAGTACAGCAGTATCAAGAAGTACTTGAACAGAAATATTAGTTGGGCAGTTTTTTCACCTGTGTGGGCTTGTCATTATAGGTAGGAGCCACATTCCCCAGAAGATCGTCCAGCCACTTGTATGCCACCATCAAGCTGTCAGGATATCCCATATGCGGCAGGCCTGGGAAGAACCTACATACCGGAGTAAGTCCACAGCCACTTAAATACCAACGAGAACTTTAAACATACCTTCCTTCCTTCGAAGTTCCATAGTTGAACAATTCCAAACAGTCCTCAATCGGCGTGACACCGTCCGCCACACCCTACGCAAGTCAGCTTGGACCATCAGTTCTAGGACAGGGGCAGACATACATTCAGCAGGAGCATTCTGCAGCTAGGCTTGTGCACGATTCCCGTCTCCACGAGGGAGAACTTCTTCTGCGCATGCTCCTTGAATTCCTCCACGTCTTTGTAGCCATGCTTTATCGCCCATGCCGTAGTTATCCTTGTCCTAGTTAGCACAGCCCAGCACACACAGCGTTAAACCAGACTCACGTAAAAGGATACTCATGATCATCCACACGACTCAACCATTCCTTATCCAAGAAAAAGTGACATCCAGGGCCATGTGCAATGACACCAAACAGCCGATCCGCATGCGTATGCGCCGCACGGATAGCATAGAACCCCCCTGCGCTCAGTCCCCACACAACAACCCTGCCCGCGTCCAGTCTGGAATGTGTCATGATAAATTCCAGCACGCTGTTACACAATCGATCGGGCGATTCGGGATCTGCAGGGTCCGCTGGACAATCCGCTGTGCCTGGGATTTCCATAATCACCGTCGCCCACCCGCGAGCGGTGATTTCGTGGCTGCGCTGGCTGTTGTCTGTGCGGTAGCCGTCGAGGCCTGTCATGATCAGTATTACCGGGACTGGGCCTGCGTTTTCTGCGGTATCAGGTAGGCGGACGTAGATGGGGAATTGGCATCCGTCATTCCCGCTCCTGTGGGTGTGGGTGAGTATAGTCTCCCGCATGGGTAGATCCCAGAGGGAGATCGCCTTCTGGTAGACGCCCTTCTGTAGCTCGAAGGCTGTGCGTTTAAGGGAACTTGGCTGGGTGACGTCTACGTATGGGAACCGTGAGATTCGGTAGACAGCAGCGGCGCGGCAGAGAAGCTTGGAGACTTTTTCACGCTGTCCGGCGTCGAGTGCTTGGATTGCAAGCCGTTCAAGAGAGGATGCAGTGGGGAAAAAGGATGTAGTATAGTCATCGGATTCTGCGTCGTTGATATCATCCTGTTCCATCCAGGTAAACCAGTTAGACAGAGGAAACAAAGGGATGGGTGTAGAACCGCCTTACCGAGATAAGCTTCTGGAAAATAGGTTCAAAGTCCTCATAGCAGCCGTCATGAAAGGGATATACGGATTTTTGGCACTGTATGACTTAATGTCCATCCAATGTTCATTCTCAATATGGTCAAGGGAACATACGACAAATTTCCAGCGAGACTCCCACAAGGTTTTGATAGACCCCTTGTGAGGGTAGACAGTGTTGAATTTCGTGCCGAGGATCCAGTTAGCCATGATGAATATTGTAAGATATCGAATATAGATTAATAGTTTGCACAGGAATGATGAGACGGTTTCGTGGCTTTTATAGATCCTGGGGCCCCATATCAACCCCGCCATGTGCAAGGCTCTATACTTAGTACTCCACGAGTCGTGGTATCAATGACGAAGCGACTGTGATGGTAAAGCAAGGGTCTCTAAGCGAGATGATCATTGCGACTGTAGATCGCGGGGGATTGTATTACGTGGATTGATGCAAACAGGGGAATATGCTGTGCGCGTTACCGAGGGGTGTAGTAGACTACAGCCTAGAACGGAGGTATAAGACAGTTTATTATCCAATACCATTATTATATTCAACTATTACACTCGCAAGGGGGTGTGTACTATGCTACTGTATCACATGTAGTCTGGGAGACCGGCTATATGTTCGCACCTCCATTGACTGCTATGATTTGACCTAAGGCTCATTAGCAATCACTTAGTCGAAAGGAACCACGAGACTCACCATTGACCCATTCGCTATCAGGACCGGCTAGGAATGAGACCACTCGTCCAATATCCTCTGGTACTCCACACCTATCCAACGGACTGCCCCCCGCCAGGGCCGCCTCGATATCCTGCAGGGAAGAGTTCTTATCACAGCCAGGAGCATATCGCCACGAGTTTGCAAGCCACATATCACTCTTAATTCCAGCCGGGGCAATGGCATTGACAGTACATTTCACCTGTCCAAAGTCCGCTGCAAGACAGCGGGTAAATCCTTCGACGGCAGACTTGCTGCCCGCATACAATGCATGACCAGGAACACCTACCCCCGCGGCAATAGAAGACATGAGGATGACGCGTCCGCCAGGCTGGATATGCTCGAAAGCATGCCGAGCAACAAAGAACTGCGCGCGGGTATTGAGGCTGAAAACCTGATCGAAGTCATCGAGGGTGGTTTCGTCCAGAGCGCCGAATTTCTCAACGCCGGAGTTGGATACCACGATATCCACCTGGCCGAAATGGCCGACGACCTGGCGGAAGAGGCTTTCTATATTAGATACCTGGGTCAGGTCTGCCTGGAATGCGGCTGCTTCGATATCGAGGCTCTGGATGGTTTTGACTAGGTCCTCTGCGGGTTGGCGGCTGCCGCAGTAGTTGATGGCAATGGAGGCACCTCGTTTGGCCAGTTCAAGGGCGATTCCGGCGCCGATTCCTCGTGCTCCACCGGTAACGAGGGCGATCTTGCCACTTAGTGTCTGGGGTAGTGCGTTTGTAACAACCATAGCTGCGCTCAGTGCGAAAGTTCCTTTACAGTCCACCGGATAGTGTCGGAATTTCTCATTAACAATTTATATAATACCGTATAGCATTGGCGGAGAGATCCATGACAACTACACCAATGGGGCGTTTATGCTAAGCAGTCCTTAATGTAACATATATGTGCTCGCCAAGTAGAAGCTGAGGGGAACTCGTCAAGGATGGGCGTTGGCACGTTTGCTCCATTGGGAGGCTGCCTCTTGGAACTCACCCCAACACGCCATACCTTTTATGACCTTCAAAGAATATCACCGCATACGGATATTGCACTGAGCCTGCCCTGGTCCACGTCTTGGTCCACGTCATGAAGACCCTGACCGCACTATATAGGTCAGGGAGAGGCCTTAGCGGAATACAACAGTGGGATGCTGTGGCTTGCGACACCAAGCCCAGATCGCAGTCTTGAGATGTTGGGCAGCCAAGGCAACAGGGAATGTTGCATCTTGCTGGTACGAGCGATCGTCATGGACTCATTCCCTTAGCTGCTAGGCGTATTATATATTCTCCTTTCTCGTTATCAAGAATGGTGGCGAGGGTCGTCGAACTATCTGCACTACATCTCCCGTTTTCATCATGCTTAAGCAAGACCCAAAGTTGGAGCTCAGCTTCCAGGGTAAGATTCCCTCTGATCAGGCATAGTTCACGCTAATATAGACAGACTTCCTAGCCCTTCAAAAGGTCGTATTCGACTGGGCTGACAGCTATGATGCAAAGGTATGCCCCGCCGGATGCATATACGAGACGTCCTGCTAACCATAAACTACTGTACTAGGACTGGGACCGCCTTAGGAGCATTGTTGCACCTACGCTCACGGTTTGTATGCCCTATCCTTCTTGTATCCATCTTTATCTGACCACCGGAACAGGTGGATTACACCGAGATTGGGCTACGCAGATGGGACCCCATGGCGGCTGAAGACTACCTGGAAATGGTAACTGAGGTTGGATTCCTCGGAAATCCCACCATCAAAACTCAACATCTCATTGGGGCTACATGGTGGGAGGTTGTCTCGGAGACTGAGGTCATTGGCCATCACCAGCTGCGTGCCGCTCACCAAGTCTACACCAGCCCTGACCTGAGCGATGTAAAGCTCAAGGGCCACTCCCATGCAACCAATGAGCATTACTACCGCAAGATTGATGGCCAGTGGAAATTCGCTGGTCTTAAGCCGACGGTGCGTTGGAATGAGGAGCTGTTCGAGGAGGTTTTCCCGGCAACCCAGTAGGAGTCAATTATGCCTGGGCCTAGTATTTGCTGTCTTTTTTGGCACCCTGTGCTTGATAAAAATTGAAATAATGAAATGTCCGTTCCATCCCTTTCTCCAGCAAAGTTAAGTTCACTGCTATGTAGGAAAGTATATGCCGCTCTCGGAGATTCCGAGCTTAATCCCTATCCTAAGACCACCAACATGCTTTGGCCCAAGAGAAGACAGTTGACCCCCTTCAATTAACCTTGTTCACATACCAGGTCCCTGTCAATTGTTTGGCACTGTGAGGACATTCCACTGCTCTCCAGAAGGATGGACAGGCAAAGGAGTATGAATCTATATCCCGTTATATCTAACATGAGACTCCCATCCAGCTCGACTGCCGAATCTTGGTTGCCCAATTAAGCTCCAAATCCACCTCAAAGTCTGCCATTTAGTCCCACTAGCCATGATGAAAGTCCCTACATTACTTAGCGCGGTATCCGCTATATCGACCCTACTATCGGTACCGGTTGCAGCAGCACTATCTCCAAACCCACCGACCCTGGAGTTCCTATACTCGCTGAATGCTACCGTCGGAGAGCCAATCGAAGTAGGCAATGGACCATCGGGAGAGCGCGTCGCCATCCCCGTCACTGGTGGGACGTTCAAAGGGCCCAGACTATCAGGTAGGTACCCCCCCTGGTCCCTAACGTAGTGTCCCAGCTAACACCTTCCAAAGGAAAGGTTCTCAACGTAGGTGCCGAATGGGGCGTGACTGATCCCAACGGAACATTCAGAGCCGATGCACGGTATCAGCTTAAGACCGATGACGGGGCGAACATCTATGTCCAGCTTAATGGGCCGAGCAAGGGCGAAGGACATGCGCAGTCGAGGATTACACTGGAAACGGGGAGCGAGGAGTACTACTGGCTCAACGATATTGTCGCAGTTGGCGTCACGACTCTGGGGAAGGGGTGGGTGGCGGTTGATGCGTGGGAATTGGTTAGTCCGGAATAGGTCGATGTGAGGCACTGTTGAGTAGGACTCATGTTGTCATGTAAGCAATTAAAACGGCTGCTAAGCCTGGACCAGTGTCTTCGTGGTCGACATTAGTTTTAATAATCATAATTTGAGGAGCTGGTGGGAATTACATGGCCTTTCGACTGTCGGACGGGACAAGTACGGGCTACAGGGCGCGTACAAAATCGACTTAGGGATTAGACTACCAGTAGCGGCGGGGGATACCTGTTTCCAGTTCGTAGAAATAGCGCTGGGCCTTCAAGAAGTATCCATTAGTCTGGTGCCGGTTCTACCATGTTCAATAATACGCATCTGGATTAGGAGGGTTGGTAGAGGCAGAGTGAGTCTGCCCTACATACTCGTATTCTCAGCTACATCACAACAGTATCCGACGATAGACGAGAAGCTATGCGCAGCTGGTGGCTAGGCAGCTACATCCAACAGCAATTGCATCTTGCAATGACCCCCTTCTCAGCATACCTATTAGCTTCGTTCACAATTATAAGGCCCTGGAAACGGGATGCGCACGGTCATTGTGTTCGGTTGACAGAGGGTGCCCGCATACCAGGCACGAGGGCGTGTCAGATTCCTCTCGACCCGTAATATGGGGTTTGTGTAACAGGTACTAGGAATGTTTACATTTACTCTGGTTGCAGTCTCTGTTTTGCCAAGAAGGCACGACAAAATCGATGTCTACATACGCGCCATCTCCCCGAGAATTGCAGGAATTGCAAAAGCTCAATCGATGCTATCCTCACTTTGGCCTCCAGTTCTTCATTTTGAAACGGAATAATGGCCTTCGTTGCTCGTTTGCTGTTCATGGCAGCCCTTGCCTGCGCTGCCGATGTCTCCTATACACTTGATCTGACCTGGGCACCCGGATCACCAAACGGCCTGGAACGGGATATGATATTCGTCAATGACCAATTTCCAGGACCACCGATGATTCTGGACGAGGGCGACGATGTGACTGTACGGTCTGACCTATTCAATATGACGATCTTCTGACACGGGCAGGTCCATGTTCATAACCACATGCCGTTCAACACGACAGTACACTTCCACGGAATTGAGTATGCATCCAACTTTCTCGGCTGAATCAGCTACTCACAAGATTTAGACAGCTGGGTACCCCATGGGCAGATGGCGTACCTGGTCTCACGCAATGGGCGATTCAACCAGGCGAGTCGTATACCTACCAGTGGCATGCGAATGATTATGGGACTTACTGGTAGGTGCTGAACCCTACTATCACGGACAGGGAAAAGTAATACGAAATACAAACAGGTATCACGCCCATAACCGAGCAACACTGCAGGATGGTCTGTATGGCGCTATTCATATCAGGTAAGTAAACGCAATGCCCCAACTGGACAGTTGAATAAATACTTTCAGGCCATCGGAAGACCGCGAACGTCCCTTTTCCTTAATATCCGATAACACGGACGATATCGACGCCATGAAACACGCAGAGAGACACACAATACCTGTTATCATGTCGGACTGGGATCATTTGACATCAGTGGAGTATATGGAAGCAATGGAAGCGACCGGATATGATATTTTGTATGTCCCGGAATATCCCCGTTAACTGGTATACTGATCAGAGTAGTTGCTCCGATAGCATCCTCGTCGGCGGTATGGGATCTGTCTACTGCAAAGATCCCGCGGAGCTGACGGCGCTCCAACCAGCCGGGGTTCAGCAGGTTGTTAATGCGACTTTAACCGATAGGGGGTGAGTCCGCTATATTCAATTGAACATCTATCATTCTAACCTCACCAGATGCGTCCCATTCGTGACAAAACTGCAAGGAGACTGGGAACACCACCCAGATCAACTCCCACCTGGTTTGAACGACGGCTGTACCCCTGGCGAAGGTCCAGAGGCCGAATACGTGGTCGACGCAGCATACAAATGGGCCAGTTTCAGCTTCATCAGCGCAGCCAGCCTGAAAGCCCTTGTTGCTTCCATCGACGAGCATCCCATGTACGTCTACGAAGTCGACGGCCGGTACATCGAGCCCAGACTCGCAGAGAGCATCGAGATATATAACGGGGAGCGATACTCGGCTATGGTGAAATTGGATAAAGAGCCTGCTCAGTATACAATGCGTATTGCCAGTACTGGCGCAAATCAGGTTATATCGGGCTATGCCAGGGTGACATACGAAGGGGGACAGGAGAACCCACGGGAATCGACACCGTATATCAACTACGGCGGACAGAATGTTACTGAGTCGCTGGTGAAATTAAATACAAGTGATCTCCCGCCATTCCCAGCTGTTTACCCAGCAGAGACAGCAGATGATTTCCACCTGCTAACACTCGGCCGGATTAATTCATCCTGGGAGTGGACGCTGGACGGGACGAAATTCTTCCCAGCCGATATGGACACCATGCAGCCTGCGCTGTGTAACCCAGATAGCCCAGAGCTGGAGTCCGCGCTGAAAATCACCACCCGCAATGGCACTTGGGTTGATCTGGTGTATCAGCTGCGCATTGACGCCCCGACAGTCGTGCAGCCTCCGCATCCAATGCACAAGCACTCGAATAAAGCGTTCCTAATTGGCCGGGGTTCAGGGCAGTTCCAGTGGCGGAGTGTCGACGAGGCGCGGAAGCAGGCCCCTGAGAAGTTCTTCCTCAACAGGCCGTTGTACAGAGATACGTTTGTGACTGCGCCGTCTGGGGAGGCGTGGATGGCGGTGCGATACGAAGTTGTTAATCCTGGGCCGTTCTTCTTGCATTGTCATATGGAGACGCATTTGCATGGGGGGATGGGGATGGTGTTGCTAGATGGGATTGATGCGTGGCCAGAGGTGCCAGAGGGATATTGCTGATGGAGTTTAAATAAGCCATTGTCAGCTCCAGTCTAATACAACTACAGCAGGCAGAACAAGAATCTGAATGAAGTATTCTGAATTTTGATTTGGCTATTTACATAATAGGTGCCATGAAACTGCCCAGGTAGTCCATCTTCCCCAAAGGCACGCCCTTAGCCCTGAGGATATCATACGCAGTAACCAGGTGGAAATAGAGGTTAGGAGTAGCAAACAACACCGCATACGTCTCGGGCGTAAACTCAAACTCCTTAGGACCCATGGGCGCCTTGAACTTCTTGCCCTCGTTCGCAGCAAGGACAGCGGGGTCGACCTTCTCGAGCGCTGCGAGGGCCTCGTCAATGCGCTTGTAGAAGTCGTCGAAGGTCTTGTCGGTCTGTTCCAGGGCCGGGGGCTCGACAAAGCTTGCGCGGCTGGCGGTCTTGATCGCTGTGCTGGCGACGATGAAGACCTGGAAGGCGAGGCCCTTCATGTCGTGGCCGAGCGAGGCGTTGAAGAGGTCATCGATGGGGATGTTGTTGGCCTTGGCGTGCTCTTCGGCCTTTTGGAGGATGACCTTGAGGGATTGGAGGCCCTTGATGAAGGGGTCGACGGTGTAGGTGTAGATTGCGGAAGACATTGTGTGATAATTAGGGTTGTAACTTGTGTGTGATTGCGTGATTGTATACTGGAGTTGCTCAGCCAGGAACGGCCAGGAACGGGCCAGCTATTTGAATACAACCTCCCGTACTGGCCATTATTAATCGCTTTCCACGGGCTTCGATTGTTCATATCGTGTCGCACAATCTTGATTTGTCAGAACCTTCGTGGTGGGCCATATAGCGGTGAGTCCCACCCTGCTTGCCAGGATCATTCGCAGTTGTTGTAGCAGCCAGCATTGCAAGGTTTTCGGTCTAGCGGCCTAGCGCTCCGTCAGCAGTGATTCATGCCCCCTGCTGTTTTGGAGTAAGGAGAATTTCTAAATGGAAGAAATAAGCCACGCTGTCCAATAAATAGAAATGTAGAGGCACGGGCCTGAGTTGCGGGGCGGGATGTCTGGAGATTGTCACCGTGAAGTGGGTCAGTCAAAGCACATGAATATTGCTTGGTTCCACTGCAGATGTTCATCTGGAGAGACGACCGGGCGGTTCTTACCGTCAAGACCCTTATTACGGAAGATTGGGTCGAGGAAAGCATCCGCAAAGTATCCGGCGACCTGTCACACCGTATGCGTATACGAGTTCGTATTCAGAGGCTCGTGTTTCAGTTCAGCTGCAGGGGATAACATTGAACGTCGAGATCAAGATCAAGGCACGGTAGATACATAGAAGAAACTCGAAGACCTACAATCACTTTCGAAATTCCAGCTGCTGGTCAACCACATCTTTAACCTGTTCCTCCATCCCTTTAAACGTAATCCCCAACTCCTTCTCTGCCCTGGTCGTGTCAACGGTATAATTCGTGGCGTCAACAGAGGACAGCGGCCACTGCACATCGGGATACTGCGCTTTGACAAATTGCACGGCATCAGTCCATGGCCGTCTCTGCGCGGCAAGCAAATAAGACCGGACTCCTTTGATATCGCTGTCGTCGCCGTGGATTGGAACTTCCAACGCCTTAAGATACGCCTCTGCTACGTCATCAATATGCACACCCAAGAACTGACCCATAGTCGGTTTCTCTGAGTTGAGCGCCTGCCACAGAATGCCCGGGGTGCCGGATAGTTCCTCAGCAGTGGTCTGCACAAGGCTGCGCCCGAATACAAAGACGGGGTGGAGGCAGATGGTAGTGTAGCGCGGTTGATTCTCCTGTATGAAATCGAGGGTCGCTTTGTGAGCTGCTAATTTGCTGGCGTGGTATTGGCCCATAGGAGGAAGAGTAGGAACAACAGAGGGGTCAATTGCTCGGTCGATTGGATTCGTTTCTGAATATAAATAAGTCAAAGCATGAGATGCGGTGGAGAATGATGCCCACCTTTGACAATCAATCCATCTCTCTGGCCTCCCAGCGGAACCAGCGCTATAACTGACGAGGTAATAACAACCCTTTTAAGTGATGTGGTTTTTGCGGCTGCGCCCAGTATCGCCTTCGTCCCCTCCAGGGCTGGGGTCAATAAGTCGTCGGTGCCCGGCGCCGGAAGTGGTGAGGCTAAATGGAGGACATATTCCACGCCATCGAGGACGCCGTCATAACATCCACTGACAGTGAGGTCTGGCACGATGGCAAATTCCAAGTGGTCGGCGTACTTTGCGAATACCTGTTTCAACTTGGTGGCTTGGTCGGCACGTCGGATTACCAGTCGGACTCTGTATCCTGCTTCGAGGGCACGCTTGGTCACAGCCGAGCCGATGAACCCTGTTGATCCGGTTATTAGAGCTAGAGGCGACATCTCCAATTCTGGTTGGTTCTTTGAAGAAACAGTGGTGTATACTGGTTGTTGATTATTTGAGGATATGCGATAACTACAGTGAGATAACCTTCTCCTCGACCTATTTAACACCCAGAAATCTCTATTTCGTCATGGAATATATTACAAATCCAAAGTAAACTGCTATCTCCGGTGTAGACTCGTGTAGAAGCTCGCTGGGGGCGTGGTTAATAGTGTGGCGAGACAACCGAGGCGTCGGAACGATCACTAATCTTCCCTATACACTACCGTGGATGCCATGATCAATAATCTACATTCGATACACAAATATACGACATGCTACGCAATGACTGTCATGTCCGAGGTTGACATCGGCTATCTGCGTTGTAAAATAACATTATATGGTATATTGTCCATATAATATCTCGTAAAACACCACCTTCCAACGCGATAGAATATCTGTAGTGACGCAAGATACCACTGAAAATGCCTACTGAACCAAAGACCATTCCCATTCCCAATTCCTACGTCAACCCCCCAGGCAGCCATGTCCGGATTTCCAACTATCCAGAGGCAGCACCAGATGTCACCCCCATCCAAATCGTCAAGCTCAACCGCCCCGAGAAGCTCAACGCCATTACCGGCGCCATGATACAGACGCTTATCGACTTCTTCACAACAGTCTCCGTAGACGACCGCGTCAAAGTGGTCGTATTCACTGGCGCAGGCAAGGCATTCAGCGCCGGCATCGACCTCACCGGCGACGTCAGCCAGGAGAAGAATAGGATCCCTTCGAGCCAGATGCGCGACCCGGGCGGTACATTGGCACTGGCCATGTTCAACTGCACCAAACCCATAATCGTCGCGTATAATGGGCTCGCTGTGGGTATTGGAATGACTTCCACCCTGGCGGCTGCTATTCGGTACTCTGCCTCATCTTTACTATTATTGAGGTCCTAGCTTCTAACTTGTATATAGGATTGCCCCAAGGAATTCCGAATTCGGCTTCCCATTCTCTAGAATCGGCCTGACCATGGAGTCAGCCAGTTCCTTTTTCCTCCCCCGGATGGTTGGCTACAGTAACGCCACATATCTCCTCGCGACGGGGAAGCGATACCCAGCACACTCCTCTGTGCTACATGGAGTCTTCGCAGAACTCCTACCCGAGCCAAAGGACATTCTCCCCCGCGCCATCGAGCTCGCACAGGATATCCTGACGAATGTAAGCACAATGGCCGTGCATCTGAACAGGCAGCTTATCTGGCGGAATGCGGGCTCTGCGGAGGGTGCGCATCTGGTGGATAGTCCCTTGATGTATGACATGTTTGGGAGCAGGTGGGTTAGACGAATCGCATCAATACGGTATCATACTAACTGGAAATAGTGATCATTTGGAATTCAAGAAATCGTTCTTTGAGAAGCGGCAGGTGCATTTCACGGATCTCTTGTCGAAGGATGCGCCCCGGACGTATCCCTGGTGGAATGAGCTGTCGGTGGAGACGAAGCCCAAGGCGCAGGGCTCTGGCAGCAAGTTGTAAATAAGAAATATCACTGACTAGATGTGGTGCTGTCCAGGAGTCTCAGTTGTGACTTGCAAGGTTCTCTAGCTGGTATTTACTAGTAGGGATGTAATAATTACTAGTAAAATTTACCTAAAAGAAATCAATCAATAAATAAAGCTACAACTAACTCGATAATAAGGTTATACTCTATACTACCTAGTAACCAGTAATCCTGATCTATAGCCAGACCGGGGTATCACAGTGATGTGTGCAGTTGCCATGGCGGCTTCATAGCGACAGAGCTGTAAGGTGAACACAAGCTCCGGATTTGGAGGGCAGTGGCCTATATCTTTAAGGAAACATTGTTCTTGGATAGTCGAGTAATAGCCTTGTTATGATCCTAATCATGCAACCGCTCTACACTCTTCTTCGGGGACATCCTCTCTAGCCGCTCCTGCGTAATTAGATATGCCTCCGGTAGGACATCTTGCGGTGGCCGTCCCAGTATCATTTGCCCAAGGCTCTCCCCAGCAAGCCACGCACTGGGCATACCGTAACCACAGTAGCCAGCACAAATCCACTCGCCTCGTTCGTCGCCATGTGTGAGTGACGAAGGTAACCGCCCAACCAGGGGCATCCGATCACAGGAAAAGCACATTATGCCAGACCAAGAGCTGACAATAGACGGCGTCTCTCGATCAGGCTTAGATTCATGACCAAATAGTGATGAGACCGATTCCTGCAGGTATGAAACAGACGACGAAGACAGGTCGCTATCATCAGCCGTCAACATATCCGCCATAGACGACTTCTGCCCACCGAAGAACATAGCCCCAGTTTTAACATTCTGCATGCCGTAGATCAGCCCATCTGCGAACGTCTCGTCTTTTGGGTCAATCCATGAGTCGTAATGAACCGCCCATGATGTCGAGTCGCCCTTATTCTCATGCGAAGCCCCCATGTCCTGGACGGTCATTGTGCCCTTGAGCGGGTATATTGAACCTCGTAGAGACGGCAGGAGATGGCCCGTATATCCATTCGTGCAGTATGCGACTTGAGCGGCTCGAACTTCTCCGCGCGGTGTGCTCAGTCGGTACGGGTACTTGTCTGTCGAAGGGTCGAAGATGACCCCGGAAACAGGAGTGCCTGTTTCGATTGCCAGACGGGTGGGAAACCTCTTTGCTAGCACCTCGAATACTCTAGTCACTAATTTGTACGGCCATATAGTACCTGCTGGGTGTAGGACGCCGCCCACGACACCGAACACTCCATGTTCCTGCCATACGCATTAGATCTTAAATCTCTATCTGACGGCAGGACCTACCTTCTCGCATCTCTGCAGATCTAGGATATCGTATATACCCTTGAGATCCGTATGATCCGCCTCCAACTCTGCAATACCCCGTTTAACATGGTCAAAGGACTCCCTGTCCTGATAACAGCGCAGCTTCACCACATCCGTCAATTCCACATACTCCACCACATCTATTTCAGCAGCCACCTCACGCAGTCGACGAAGCGTCTCAATATTGAACCGCACAATCTTCCCCGCCATCTCTGCACCAACAGTCTCTTTAAGCTTTACATATATCTGCGCAGCATTGATTGCGAGTTGTCCGCCATTACGCCCCGTCGCGCCCGAGCAAAGCGTGCGGGCTTCGAGGACAGTCACGTTGCAGGAATCATGCTGTTCAAGGAGAATCTTAGTGACGCTGGCTCCGGTGATTCCCGAGCCGATTATGGCTATATCGGTGGTTGCTGGGAGCGAGGGGCTTTGCGCGCTGGCTAGTGGGTGGGGGTCTTTTTGCCAGTAGGGCGCTGTGGGGTTTTTCCTTGGTAGTCCCGGGTCGGATGAGATTATTTCTGTATCGTTAGAATATGTATTCAAGGGAGGGTCTTGAACGTACTGGCTAGGTATTCGTGAGTCATGTTGTTTATTGCGTTCAGGTTGTTGGGTATCAGAATGGTGATATATATCAAGAACTACCCCGCTCAAGTTGGAGATAGGCAGATCAATTGATTGTGATTACTCACATTTACATACTAGGCAATCTTAAAGAGTATACAAATCGATCCAAATACACGCGAAAATAGTTGTAATCCATTGATATAGGTTAAAATACTACCGGCCAGGAGTAGCGAGATGAACTACAGCGTAAAGAAACTCGGCCACGCCTCCGCAACGGCCTGAGCAACGGCATCCTGAATCTCCAGCCCAGGATGATAATCATTAAACCAGAGACAGGTAATTCCATCCTCATTATAGCAGTTCGCGGCATCACCGCCCGCATCGAGAAGATCATTAAACGCCGGCTGTGTATCGACGACCTTAACAACCGCATCAGTGTGGTTAGCCGCAAATGCATCCGCCTTCTGCGTAAGCTGCGTATTCCAGCTCTCAATCGCTGCTTTTAAGTGCGTAATGGTGTAGTCTGGGCTCTCGCCCTGTGTGACTTGTGGTGTTCGTTCGGTTGCTGCTGCTGTTAGCCAAACAACCCCCTCACTCCATAAGGGTGTCGGATACATACGGGGAACAGTCAAGATGGCAAAGTTGCGAGCTCCACCGGCATAAACCAGCTCGATTTGCTGGAACAGCTGGTTGAGGATTTCGGTTAGGAGGGCATCGGGGTTTTCCTGATACCACGCGCCGCCGACGTCGTTGACGCCCCTGATCCTGTTAGCAGTGTGCCTTTACGGACTGAGGGTCAGACATACTCCCACACAGCGAAAAGGGTATTGTTAGCAGTCCATGGCGCAGAAGCGTTTGCCGGGGAAAGATACTGCTTGAACTCGGCGACCTGATCGATAACCGAGAGGACCTCGGGAGAGTACGGTGGGACAAGGGAGGCGTTGACGGTAGCGCCGCCGTATGCGAGGTTATAGTTCAACAGAAGGGAGTTGTTATAGGTGCCGACGAGGTTTCCGATCCAGTTCGCGCCGCCGGCTGAGGTCCATCCTGGGAATGGGGGGTTGCCGATAGGGTTGGACGATGAGGGCTGTTCGCCGGTGATGTCGAATTCGGTTGCAGTGTACGAATCTCCGAAGCTGATGAGGTACTTGCCTCCTGGGGCGCGGGCGTGAGGGACCGCGAGGGCCGTTGAGGCCAACAGGGCGAGAGAAAGAGTCTTCATGGTGATGTTGATGAGCGGATTCTGCATCAGTCGCAGTTGGGGCAGGGGATTATATTTACATGACGAGGATGGCGTTATAAGTTATATTGTGAGCAAAGTGATCGGGCTGTCACAGAAATATGCTCCGTGTCCGTTTAGGGACCACACTCTGCCCTGAATCTCGCAATTGTCCGGAGGTAAATAAAGGTGGAGAGTCATTCTGGGGTTTAACTGCTGGGAACTTGGCGAGTCATGCAAGAGACGTTCTTTAGCTGAGACAACCCCTGTTTGATAGCCAGGAACTAGCAACCAAATGGGCAACGGAGACTTGGCCGAGTCTCGGTGCACCGGAAACAGCGCTGAAGAACGCACAGACTAGATTAATTACTCCGGCGCCGGGCTGCAGGATCCTATAATGCTGGGACCTTGCATGTTCACTTGATGCCTCATGGTGTGGTTCATCCCATGTCACGAAGGGTGCGCGTGTCGAAATTAATGTATTAAATCCATATTAAGTACAATATTTCAATCTGATTACATCCAACATCATATCATGCTAATCGTACTTACTATAAGGGTTCGCCAGGATCTTCTCCCCAAATCCACCAATGACAGTTGTGTGCGCCCACGGCTTCAAAGTGGTCTCGTCGCGTACCACAGACGCAAAGCACGAACTCCAGCCCGTGCGTGGATAGTGCTTAATCACATCCTGAATCGTATCATCATGAAGCAAATGGGAGTGTGCCCCAGTATTATCTACGCCGTTAGCTACAGCCATTCAACTAAAACAGAGGGCTACACACCAAATATCGTTGCAAGCTGCAATATCTGCCCCATGGCCGTAAGACTCCCCGTCTGACACAAGTTCTGGTGTCGAATAATGGCCTCTGCTACACTCTCCGCCTGAGGCTTCGACGCCACCGCATTCCCGCCCGCAGAGTCCTTCTGCAAGAGGTCCAGGGCGAGAAATCCGGCAAAGAACTCGTGGCTCAGTAAAGTCGCGCGTAGGTTCTCGGGCGTCCCACCAAGATCGTGCAGCAGACATGCTAGGAAGTATGTCTCGTCACTGAACTCCCAGTCTGGGGCGACGTAGCGCTTCATCGCGAGTCCGAGGTGGTATACCCGTAGGCTGTGCAGGTATACGGGTTTGGGTAGCTTCTGGCGACTGTATTCATCGACTCTACGTGCCAGAGGAGTCGCAGGAGTGGGTGTTTCAGATACTGCAATTGTAACTGGGCTGCCTTTTGCTTTGAGGTTTGCGTCCTGGAAGACGGTCTCCGGGTTTGCGGGGACGGCGGTGAAGCCGTGCTTTTTGACAGTGTCCGACATTATATCTGATCAATGTATGCTGTGGGAGTAAAAATACGAGGGAGGGTTGTTGGTTTATTGCGGAGATGACGCTTTTATACCCAAAGTTCGGATCCCCGGGATTGATGTCATTGGGTGATGCAGTGGCTGTCAGCTTCCACGTTCTTAGAAATTATTAGCAATGCCTTGTAATAGGCGGGTCTAGACTCGCTAGGGTCTTTGTTTGTAATATTGTATATAGGGAATAATGATCTGGTGATATTGTAAGCACACCAGACAATCAACGACTGCTGGAACCCACACTCTCACCATATGATGTCGGGCTGGAAAGTCGGCACTTGTTTGATTGTGAGATTATCCCTGGTACAGAGAGGCGACAGGACGTTATGCAGTGGTTTATAGAGGAGCATATTGGTCCCTACAAAGCCCTGACCTGTGCTTCGTCACCGGAGACACAACCGCTTGATATAGGGCCCGGGAGTTCATTTTCCATAATAGAGACGATCTCCGGGACCCGGGCGCCAGCTTAAGCTCTTTTTCGATAAGTTCATTGTTTGGAATCGTCATAGTCTCAATAGTGTAGTAAATGCATTCCCTCGAATAACCACTTCCAACTACAATGGTGGACTGGCATCGTATGCTTCAATATTGTTCTTTACTTCCAATAAGTTAATCGCTGTCTAATACAACAACCTCTGCCTCAGCTTCACCAAGGCTGTCCACACCAAGTACATCGCCTGCATTAACACCCGTGATAAAGGCGCCGTCTCCTTCCTCCAACACTGCATCCTCCCTCCGATCCAGGCGGATCCTCGCCTTCCCACCCTTGGTCATTGGCAAATGCACATAGACATTGCGCTTCTTTTTCTTAGACACAACCTCAGTGCCAGCACCAACCGTCCACTCAAACCGCCCCTGTGGCTCAATAATCCCAGCCCCCATAACAAAGTCCGCATGAATCGGAATCGTCTCCGGGATACTCGGAACAGCCTCCTCCTCCTCCTTGGGACTCGCTTCCGGCCCAGCCCTCAGCGGCGACAAAATCGGCACAAACCCCTTCCTCTTCTCCGCCTCATCAAACGTCCGCGTATGATAATTCGGCTTAAGCCCATGCCTCCACGGCAACGCCCAGATCTGCAAGAAATGAACCGGCTTCGTCGACTCATTCTGCTCGGCATGCGCAATCCCCGTCCCGCCCGTCGTGAACTGCACATCACCCCTCTTCATCCGATAAAAGTCCTTCCCCTGTCCCCCCTCCGCGCCCTTCCGCACCATACTATCCCGATGCGTCAACTCGCCATTGAGGATATAGCTAAAGATCTCTGCATCGCGGTGCGGGTGCGTCGGGAAGCCGTTTTTGGGAGCAACCCGGTCTTCGTTCAGCACGCGCAGGCTGCCAAAGTTCGTGAAGTGGTGGTCGTAGTAGCTGGCGAAACTGAATGTGTGGTAGGATTTGAGCCAGCCGCCGTGTTCGGCGTACCCGCGGTCTGCGGAGCGGCGGGCGATGATTTTGGCGTGGGTGAGTGATTTTGACATGCTTTTTTTTTGGGAGTTTGTGTAGTGTTGTTTAATGACAATTAAATGGGGGGATGTGATTTTTTGATGGATTGGACGTTCGTTCATTGACTGTCTGGGTTTATATACTTTCGGATAAGTGGGTCGGCGGCTTTTATAATCATCGGATAAGCATGAGTGATGGACCGGGACAGGCTGGAGTGGTGAAGAACCTTCGAAATGCACGGGATCTGATTGGCTAAGTCTTCGTCATGCTGAACTAATTTCCTATCTTCAACTAAGCGTTTATAATAACGAAGTAAGAAACTAAGCATAATATCAGTGCCTTGTCAGCGATCGGTCAAGCATAAGCTTATGCAATTGCCTTACTAAGCTGGATAAATTGTGGCCGACCAAAGGACGACAGCAATCGCTGGATTTACTTTCTGATTTACATCGTTGATAATATTTTCCTACATATTGATCTGTTTAAATTCGGCTCATTAGGATGAAATACTACTCAACTGTAAGCATCTCGCCAAGGAAATCACTACCATGGATATAATCCATGTTAGCTTAATGAACCCTGCAATGGTATCTCTATACAGCATTCCGTTTCCAGCGATCATATGTTGAAAGCCTTATCCCAATCACCGTCAGACCTGACTAGCTAGTGTTGTAAACAAACAAGTCCTATCAACACACCAAGACGAGAGTGACAACTGCTTAGTAAGTTCAATTTGCCACCACGGAGATCTTCTCCGGCATCAACAACAACAACCCCTTTTCCTCTACCTTGTTGTCAAAATCCGCATTGCTACACCAAAATGTCCTTCTACGCCCCAGGGTGGGACTACAACCGGCTCCTAACCGCCACCAGCGCCGACTGGATGACCCTAACCGACGAACAACACACCGCCATGATGACCGGGCTGAAAGAAGCAGGTCTCTTCGACGGGCTAATGGCCGAACTCGAAAAGCGATATAAAGCAGAACAAGACGCCATTGAAGCCGCAAAACCAGAGGAACAAAGACTCGCCGAGCGCGAGTTAAGAGCCCCATACATCGACACGCTGAAACTCGTATTCAAATTCGACACGGCCTGGTCGGAGTGGGGGTTTGTGGTTTTCCGGGCTGGACTTTACGGGCCGCAGCATAAGGCGCGGTGGGAGGAGTTTCGGGCGCGGTGGGATTGCATCTTTCAGCAGGAGTTCGAGGCGCATAAGGGATATCATCCGAAATCGGATAGGGCGATGGAGTTGTTTCGGTTTCGTTGGGTGGAGGATCAGGCTCTGGATATGGCTGTACCTGAGGAGGTTTCGCGGTGAGCTTTATTGGCCTTGTTTTTATATTCATGCTTGGAGCTTGGTGTCTGTACTGGGGCTGATTGAATTACAGCCGCTTTGATGGGATGTGGCCGGATCTACCGCGTGGATTCACGACGTCCACGTGTCTGGTGGTTACGCCTGAAGTCGTAGAATCCGTTCTCAATTCGCCACTGCCATCGTCAGCGAAGCAGAGTGAGCGGAGCAGGCTTCCATTCGTGGTTGCAGTGTCGAGAGCTGCACATATCCCGTCCCCGGAGGAAGGAGGGGAGGATGTATTCGGGGCCGACTTCAAGGGGCACTTTAATGTTGCTTTGGAGTCGCTTCTGGGGACCTTTTATGGGATTACGGCGTTGGATATTATCGACTTGCCGAAGTTGACTGTAGGTATGAGGAATGAGAGGGATGTTTGGTGCCATCCCCATCGTGGTGGTGTGCGGCATTACCAGGAGGGACTTGAAGGTGAAGCTCTGCCCTAATAATCATATCATTCATAAGGACAAGTATATAGCAAGCCCATATAAGAAATATATACACATACGTATTCAAGCTAGGCCATCGCCCCCTGCAACGTGCCTAAATATTTCACAGACCCCAATGGATCACCACCCCGAATGATCTCATCAAACCGATCACTCAACCGGACAAAGTTCCTGCCGTAGCATCCCAGCTCTCGTAGACGAATAGACACCCAATCCTGGTAAATCCGGTCGCGTGTCGCAACACCGGCAAGGAAAAGCTGCCAGGGGATTCGAAGTATCAGACGCGGTCTGCTCCGGTGAAGCCGTAGCGACAGTTCCAATACATGTGAGACTGCCGTCTCGAGGGGCATTAAGCGTGAGTTGGAGTGTGTATTTCTAAAACAGAGATAGAAGTAGACGATTGTGCCGTAGAAGGCGATGGATGCCCAGTACATGGTTTCCATGACGCGACGGCCGTCGCTGCCCACGTCGCAGGAATGCGCTGTTTTGGCTGATGAGAGGATGACGTCGTATTCCTGAGATGTTAGTTCAGTGCTGTTATGTGATGGCGTAGCTGGGAAGGGAATACCTCTGATATACTGATGATCTGGTCGACGATCCGGATGTAAATCTCTTCCTCTAGCCCTGTCGGGTTGCTCTTGAATAATTCGCCAATCCTGAACTTCAGTATATGGCTGTGATGGTATAATCTCAAGCCAGGCATGTTTTCAAGATCATCCAGCTTGGCGGCTGCTGGGTAGGTATCGCCCCAGTACCGAGAGGGTGATTGCCGACTGATTCTGTATAGCTCCTCCAAAGTTAAACCATCGATCCCCGTCTCCCCTTGGAGGAATAAGCGGCACAGGCTATTATCTATGATCGTAGCATCTGGGCCCCTGAAGACCGCCCCTGGCGTATAGAAGTAGAGGGTCCATAGCAGGAATAAAGGCACAGCCGTCTGGCGAAGGTTGGCACGAATCACGTCTCTCTCACCGACCGGGTTCCGGGACCTTACAGACTGATCCCCATCAGAGCAGGTTCCAGATAGGATGACACTTGTCTCAGGCTCGAAACTGATGGCCTTTTGGTCTCCATCCTTCAATGACGGAACAACGTGATCGACTAGGAGACTATGGATGCCGCGAATATGGATATTTATCGCCTCGGCGCCATTCCCAAAGCGGTTCTCGTAGTCTATCAGCAGCCACAGAGTGATGAAGATGGCCTCGACCTTTTCAGGTGACCTCTCGTTATTCTTCAAGGCCTCGCGGAGTCCAGCCAGGGCGCGACCGTAGTGTACTCTACCGTCAATATCGGATGAATCCACGCCTGCAGAGATACTGAGACGCTCTTGGCCGTGCAGCCGAGACTGGTGGATTTCGCTCGCTGTGCTGGCCAGGATGGCACTCATGAGCATGGGCTGTTTGACCGCAATTTTTTGATACGCATAGGATATCGTAGACCATGGCCAGTGCTTTCCAAGCGCGATGACAAGCGCCGAATCCTGGAGATAGTCCAAGCAAAGACGATCAAAGGGCGATAAAGTAAGGGAGTTGGCAGCCTGTAGGACACTTCCCGAGCTGCCTAGTGAGATCGGCTGCAGGGGTATTAACGCTGCCGACGATGACGTCCGATCCCTTGAAACCGGGACCAGTGTCTGCTTGCTTGGACCACCTGCTGTACGCCGTGGGCTTAATTTCGCTGGCTTCCTCCCCGGCGTTGGTCCCTGCCATTCGCAGCGGATGCGAGCAGCCGAGCAGCGCCGACAGTGTGGCTCTGGCTGGCCTCCAACGCGGAGCTTCTCTTCATCGCACTTGACCTTGCGAATGCGACACGTGCGACAGCCTATGAAGTCAGCTCTGAGTTGTTGATATCTGCCTATCTGCCAGAGTCTTACCGGTTTTCGAGCGCGTCTTGCCGGATTTCGGCCTGGTCGCCTCGTTTTGTTTATTCATGTCTGTTTAATAAGATAATGCAGATAACAGAGCAACTTCCTCCAGAAGTCTCAGTCCGGGGTGAAGGAGCGGGGATGTGGGAGTGAACCTGAAGTCTCCAACTTTGAACCGAACCAGAATTCGGAAGCCGAGCGCCGCGCTCTGATTGGCTGCGTCGGCTGTATAAGGACGAGCGATCTCGCCTACAGATAACAATCTACTGCATAGATACATCTCGTCAAGTTGGCGAGATTGCCGATATGGAGGACGGAAATGCGGAAAGCGTCCGACTCTTCTATTTAAGCCACCAGCTTGACGCTCCAGTAGCACACATCCACCATACTCACAATGACTCAAACCGCCCAAGTACCAGAACAACGCTTTATCGAGGCAGTGCAAGCCTGTCTGAAGCGATACGATGAGAAACTGCAAAACATAAACCAGAAGGTAAGCACTCTTCACTTCAATCTTGCAATTACTAACTCCCCAGATCTGGTCCAATCCCGAGCTCGCCTACGAAGAACACGACGCCCACAAGAACATCTGCGAGTTCTTCGAAGGGCTAGGCGATAAACACTACAGTATCCGCCGACAAGCGTATAAGCTAGAAACTGCATTCGAAATCGAGTATAAACACGGCGATGGCGGCGGACGCGTTGTGGCGTTCAATGCAGAGTACGATGCCTTGCCTGGTATAGGCCATGCGTGCGGCCATAACTTGATCGCAACAAGTTCGATCGCTGCATTCGTCGCCACTTGCGAGGCTATGAAGACTGTATCTGGTAGCAAAGGATTCACGGCTCGTTTGATCGGTACTCCAGCCGAGGAATCGGGAGGTGGTAAGGTCCGACTTATCGACAACGGCGCGTACAAGGATGTAGATGCCTGTCTTATGGTGCATCCTATGCCGGTGGCGCCGGAGTATCCTGATATGTTGAGCGTGGCAACTACTACCACTGGTGGATATCTTGCAAACGACAAGGTCACGGTGACTTTTACAGGCAAGCCTGCTCACGCTGCCGCCGCGCCGTGGGAGGGTATAAACGCGCTGGATGCAGTGGTAGCAGCGTACGTCAATATCTCACTCCTCAGACAACAGCTCCTCCCATCGCAAAAGGTCCATGGTGTTATAGTCAACGGCGGCGATCGCCCGAACGTCATTCCCATGTCTGCCTCTGTGAACTACTATATCCGCTCCCCGACCGTCAAGACCCTGAAGCCTCTTACGGAGAAGATCATCAAGTGCTTTGAAAGCGCGGCAATGGCCACTGGGTGTAAAGTGGATTTTAAGTGGTATGTTGGATTCCCGTATTCTCAGTCCAAGCTAAACAGTAAAGGGGCCCTTCATACGCAGACTTGAAGACAAACACTCCCATCTGCGACAGCTACGTCTCCGCCCTGCGAGCAATGGGCCAGCAGGCTGCTTTCACGACTCCTCCACGCGAGGGCTTTGGTGGTGGCTCTACCGATATGGGTATGCCTTAAAACTCTTCAAATCACACCCTAGAGTGCGAGAGCTAATAATTCCAGGAAACGTATCATACGTCGTTCCCGGCTTCCACGGCATTTTCGCCATCCCAGCCGAAGGCGTCAACCACACTCCGCAGTTCACGGCAGGGGCAGGATCGCTGGAGTCGTATAAACGGGCAATAAGCTGCGCGGCGGGAATGGCGATTGTCGGTTGCAGGATCTTGGACGATGCGGCGTTTGCCGAGCAGGTTAAGGCGGATTTCTTGAAAGACGAGTAATCTTAAGTAGTGTGATAGGTTAATGCGACGCATATCTTATCTATCCATATAGACCTGCCTCGGCTTTGGGTGAAAATCATTACGGGAAATTTATCAATATTTTACGGGAACAATAAGAAGGCTATCTTCACCTGCCAGTCTCGTATCTGCCCCACTGGTTATCTGGGGAAACGAGCCATAATTTAGCGTTGCCGACACAGCCAATAACTGTGCTTTTAGCGAGCATTAGTGCTCGCTTATCGCAGTTAAGCCGATATCTCGTGCGGAGAAGAGGTCATTCTGATACGGGGAGATTGTATAAAGAGGGTGTTTGTAGGAGAGCAATCTATTCTCCCTAAATCACATTGAGCTACTACATCTCATATTCACAATGACGGATACAGGCGAAAAGAAATCCGCTGAGTTCGAGCAGCCAGGCCTCGAGCTGGGAGAGCTGCAGTCGGAGCCTACCTTCTCGCCCGAAGCAGAGAAGAGACTTGTACGAAAGGTCGACCTGATGTACGTTGCAGTACCTCTGATGCATATAAGTGCTAATCAAGTAGGCTGCTACCTCTTATGCTCTTCGCCTACATGATGGCATTCCTCGACAAGCAGGCCTTGAACTATACCTCGCTCATGGGAATCAGAGAGGATCTGCACCTAGTGGGATCGCAGTACAGCTGGTCGTCCAGTATATTCTACCTAGGATACCTGTTCTTCAGTCCGATTGCGTCTATGCTACTGGTCAAGTTCTCACTTGGGAAATACCTCGCTATGAATTTGTAATTCAACCCTACCCCCATTGACGTTGGCTAATATTGGACAGCATCATCTGGTCCGTTATCCTTGCGTGCCACGCCGCAACAACGAACTTCACCGGGATTATGATCGTTCGCTTTTTCCTGGGTTGTACCGAAGCTAGTATATCCCCTGGCTTCAGTCTGATAACCTCTCTTTGGTATCGCGCCTCAGAGCAGCCCCTGCGCCACGGGATCTGGTTCTGTGGAAACTCGATCTCGCTGATTTTTGGCAACCTGATTGCCGTTGGAATCTGGAAGATAGAGGGTGGTCTCACACCGTGGAAGGTACCGACTCTAATCTACCTGTTGTCAACGAGACTGACATTATAGTGGCTGTTCATAATCTTCGGCCTTGTTACCTTCCTCTGGGGAGTCCTGATGCTCTTCCGGCTCCCAGACTCGCCAACAAACGCCTCCTTCCTAACTGACGAAGAACGGGAAATTGCGCTCGCTCGACTGCGATCAAATAAGGCTGGCTATAAGACAAACAAGATTGATCGGCGACAGATCGTCGAAGCGTTCATCGACCCGAAGACGTACATGCTCGCTTTATATATTTTGGCAGCCAACATTCCAAACGGGGGGTTCACCACGGTAACTCATCCCATCTCGTTTCCCGTAACCACCTGCTAATATAGTTGCAGTTCTCCGGTCTCATCTTAAAGGGATTTGGGTATAGCACGTTCCACACCCTACTCCTCGGCATCCCCCCTGGTGTAGTTCTCTTCATACTCGTGCTTGGATCGTACGTTACCTCTCTAATTATACTACCCAACTAACCACCACAGATCCATCGTAGCATCCAAAGTCCGCAACAGCCGCCTCCTAGCTTGCGTCTTCACCGTTATTCTCAGGTACTGATACACTCATCCCAGCACTCTTGTTATTATCTAATCAATAAACAGTATCATCGGCACCGCCCTGGTCTACGGAACAACTGCAATCGCATCCCGCTACGTCGGCATCATCCTAATGGGAATGTACTCCGCCGCCATGCCGGTGACAATGGCAATGATAACATCGAACATTGGCGGGTTCACGAAACGCTCGACCGTCAACGCGATCTATTTCGTCATGTACTGCGCGGGCAATGTCATCGGCCCGCAGCTTTTCTTTGAGAGTGAGGCGCCGCGGTATCAGGTTTGTACCATCCCTTATGTTTATTTCGCAAATTGGATATTGTGAGAGAAGCTGATTATTTGGTGGGTTAGAGCGGTCTGCAATCTATTTTGGTTTGCCTGGCGGTTGTTGTGGTTGATTGTATCGGACTATTTATTTACCTGCGAGTGGAGAATATGAAGAGGGATAGGGCTGCTCGAGCTAGACCTCATCAGCATACAATGGACGAGGGGCTGGTAGATGTGACGGATTTGAAGAACCCCGCCTTTCGATATGTTTACTAACTGCCTATTTATTTTCCTTCTTTTAATTTTGTGGTTGGATTCGGGTTGGCCAAGTCATTGTGTAGCACCAGAATCAATGTAATAAATTCAATCTAACATAGGCTTCTCGAGGCCAGACCCAGACCAGTGGGTAGTAGAGTTGGAGGAAAGCAAAAGAAGCAATGACCCAAGTAGGGAACTGTGCTCGGATGTCGACAAGCACAGCAGAACTGATCAAGGAGCAGTGGCTGGTTCGGCATACTGAAGGTTTGCGGGGATACTACTAAAAGCGAACAATGCATTTCCTTTGGAAGTCAGAATGATGATATCGTTAGAGAGGATGTGAAGAGGTTTGAACATCATCCAAGCAGGTCCGTTAACCCGGGGGAGGGATCAAACATAGGGATCGTGCCAAACCATATATTACCAAACGTGGAATCCTGCAGATGGATATATTCCTGTCCGGGGAAAAGGGCAGCCCCTGGCCTGAGCAACTCGGATCCCAGTTGCCTGGTTCTGCGAGGAACATGCACATATGCAAGGACGATTACAGTCGCCCATTAAGGTAAACTGGCAACTAGAGCTATATAGGACGTACAGGCGTTATTGGATATGATTTGATGGACGATCCCATGGAGCTGTACCTGTGCAGCTCAGGACCCGTTAACCGGTAGCCTCCAGGCTTGCAGCGCTCCGTGCCCTGATAGGTATATGGAGACAATTAATTGAGTTCGTTAATTTCTCTATATTCAACCAGTCATACTTCCACTTCCGTGGTCTCTGGGCTGGCCAGACTTATCGGCACCTCCTAGCGCACGGGCTGTGATGTAATCGCGCTGGCTGGCTGGGCAGCTGGAGGCCGATGCTTGCGAGCGTTTACCTATATGGGGAAACGGCGTAGCTGGACCGTGCATTGTACTGAACATGCTGTTCATTCTCCATCCTGGGCTCGGTATATTTCAGCGCATTAACAGAGCACGGTATTTGCTCAAGACCTGGCGGTGGGTGCGGAGGGTTTCACCGCTGGAGAGAAATTGCGCAATTCGACGCGCCTGGGACGTCTAGATATCCGAGTGTCTGGCGGAGGGATGTGTATTGAAATGCGCTGGACTGCGCGGTTGCCTGCGCGGTGCGGCGGGGCTTCCCACAGGCCTGGTCGGGGATCTGTCTGTATACTTCCAAGGGGGCAGCACTCAATCGGGGCAGTGAGATTCGGAAATAATAGGGCGAATGGAAGTGCTCTAGAAATTCGGTGCAAGTGGATTCTGCACGGAGCATCTGCTGGCCCTGTCAGATTAACTTTTCGCGATGTTTCACGTCTGGGCCAGTGATAGACCACAACGCCCAGCAGCTGGGGCTTCCCCATAATATCTCTTAATATTGCTGCTGCGACTGGCTCACCCAGCCGCCTTTGCATAGCAGTCTCTGGGAGAATGTCGGTCTGAGCCAGATGTGTGGAAGACTGGGCCTCTAGTTCACTTCTAGTTCACTGATCGATGGACGGGGATCGACCCGGACCGGACCATCGAACGCCAGTTGTCTTGTGGACCTGATCGTGCTCTGCCTGTTACGTTGCCTTGCAGCCAGGCTTTGCTTTTTACAGACTTTGGATAGCCCCATTTCCAGATGTACGCACTCAGCCCCGATGCCCTAATTGGGAAACCGCTGATCCCAGCTCAGCTGCACGACGTTGCTGCGCTTACCTCCCAGGGCTATACGACTGGCAGCCAATGAAGAAAAAACAACAGCTGGGTAACAAGAGACAAATCCTCGCAGTCATGCTTACTTTAATATCGCGGGCTCACCCTCCCACCAGCATGCGAAGTTGTATATCGCAATCATGTCGACTCCCGACCGTGGCTGGATTATCCTGGCCGTCTCATGGCCGCTCTTCGGTTTCTCTGCAGTCCTGGTCGTGCTGCGCGTCTGGGTACGTACCAGGATTATCAAGTCCTGGGGCTGGGACGACCCGTTCATCATGCTTGCCCTGCTCTGTGCGACCATCAACTCAGCCCTCGCTACTATAGCGTATCACTACGGCACCGGGCGCCATGCGATCGATCTGTCGCCGTACCAGCAGATCGAGTCGACCAAGTATAACTGGCTCTCGCAGGGCTTCCACGTTATGTCGACGAACTGGGGGAAGGTGTCGGTTGCGTTGTTTATGCTGCGGATTAGCCAGAGGGCTAAACACCACCGTCCGGCGATGTGCACTGGCATTGCTTTACTTACTATTATAAATGTGGTCTGCGTGTACACAATCTATGGGCAGTGCACGCCGACAGCAAGGCTGTGGGATTCAGACGTGCATGGTTCTTGCTGGGATCCCAATGTTCAGAAGAACTATGCTTTCTTCCAGGGGTGTATGTTTTCTTTTCTACTTTTGCTATCTAGCTAACAGTTGCAGCGGCATCGGCCCTTTCCGATTTGCTTCTTGCAATCTATCCCTTGTTCACTATCGGCCCGCTCCAGATGGCAATCAAAGTCAAGATCGGGCTGGGCTTTGTTCTATCACTGGGTGTAGTGTAAGTACTACCACCATATATACTCTACGAAACTAACAAGATAGTGCCATGGTCGCTGCCATAGTGAAAACCGTCAACCTCGCCGCCCTCTCCGGCCGAGCCGATTACCCCTGGGACACCGTCGACCTTACAATCTGGATCGCAGTCGAGCAATACCTCATCATTATAGCCGCGTGCATTCCCACATTGACACCGCTATTCAACATTGTAGTCCGGCGACGAACTACCAGACGAAGCAGCTCGAATAACAAGCCGTGCCAGACTCGCACTCACAGCGAGCAGTCGGGCAAGCCTCCTATCCACGGACCGTTTGCCAGTGGAGGAAAAGGCCCGCGCGAGGCTTGTGTTTGGACAGAAAATGGAGATAGTGATGAAGAACCGATTATATTACCAGGAGAGTCGCAGGAGGGGATTCTAATGACTACTGATATCCATGTGCAGGCTGGATCTGCATTGGATAATGAGCGCATGGGGACGGAATCAGTATAAGCATGGCAGTGTGATTTAATGTAATGCCTTTATGAATAGTTTATGTTAACGATATTCCCTAAATATACGTACTGTGCTATAACAAATTGTTCGTATGCAACACGACGATCCCTGCCCTCCCCCGTCTAGTCTCCAGCATCATTCTCCCCTTCAGCGATAGATCGTCGCCGCGCTGAATTTCCCTCATTCCTTGGCCTGTTATTGGATGCAATCATGCACAACAACTGCGCCGTGCTGGGACTGTGCAGCTTTTCCACGAGTCTCGAATTTCCCGTCTCGCAAAGGACCTGCAATGACCCTCATAGGAATGTGGGCTGTCTGATCAAGGGGACTTCCAACAGACACCACAGGCTACGCCCGGCCTAGCCACAACCAGTTTCTGCCACTAACTAGGGCTGTCACTCTCTTAAAGCCAGGGTACAGTACTAAGTACGGATACTGTCTCCAACTCGAGCCGCTCTACTCTTCTCCCCGCACACCCCGGCAACTGCTTCGTAAAATCTACCGATGAGCCGGGAATTCCCCAATTTCTCAGGCTAAATAAATACTTATTGCCGGAGTGCAGCCTCTGTCAAGGTTTCATTTCCGTGCACTCTTTCCCCCCTGCATTGCGCAGCGTCGCCTCACAATGGACATCGAAAAGGGACCCCTGAGTCCGGCCCAGCACACCTCAAGGTCATTCTCAGACGCAGGTAAAGACAACGAACCAATCGACCTAGAACAGCTGGGCGAGAGAGAAGGTTATGTCCTGGATACATCGCTGGCGCAGCACGAGGGTCTTAAAACGACACCCGACGGCAAGACAGTCCTCATTCCCCAGCCGAGTGAATCGCCAAATGATCCTCTGAACTGGTCCTCTTTCAGGAAACACCTGATCCTGATTATTATTTCCGCGGCGGCGTTTTTACCGGACTATGGGAGTGCGACTGGTGCTGTTACGCTGATTCCGCAGGCTGCGTATGCCCTCCTCTCTATCCGTTATTCTGGGCTGCATTTCTGTAGCTAACAGTATGTAGAGCGTGGAATATGACCCAGGACTACGTCAACCACTCGCAGGTCGGAAACGTGTTCATGCTTGGAGCCGGAGGCCCGTTTGTCGTTGCGCTGGCGGCATACTTTGGCCGGTTCCCCGTTCTCTTCTGGTTTATTGTCCTTGCGCTTGCCACAGCGATTTGGTGTGCTGCTGCGCAGTCATTTGAGTCGTTTATGGTATGCCCCATTTTCAATTTTGTATTGATATATCTGACAGATGAAGGCTGCACGCATCCTGAACGGGTTCTTCTCGACCGTTGCACAAGGCGTACGTTCCCACCCCCATATCCATAAAGGAGATATTCTAACGGTTATAGGGCGGTTTAATGTTCATAAAAGACATGTTCTTCTTCCACGAACAAGCGCGCAAAATCAACATCTGGTCCGCCTTCATCGTGCTCTCGCCATACATGGGCCCGATGCTCGCGGCCTTCATAACAAGCACCCAGATCTGGCAGTGGGCGTTTGGGGTGTACGCGATCGAGACGGGCCTGTGTTTAATTGCGATCGCGCTCTTCGTGGAGGAAACATATTACGATCGCAAGAATAGACAGTTTGAACTGGTCCCTAATGCGCCGAGATGGAAGCGTATGCTGGGGATTCAGCAGAGGCAGACGGGGTATATTGTTAACACGCCGCTTGATGCGGCGATGAGGCCGCTGAAGGTCCTGGTTAAACCGGTGATGTTTTTGTCTATGCTTTATTACATGCTTACCTTTGCCTGGGTGGTTGGTGTTAACACGACATTGTCGATATTCGTTGGGCCGTTGTATGGCTTTGGTCCGAAGCAGATTGGTACCCAACCCTACTCTGGCAACTGATATACTTGTATATTAACGACAGCAGGCTTCTTCTACTTCACCCCCGTGGTCGCAGCCATCCTCGGCGAAATATCCGGCCACTGGCTACACGACTTCGTGGCAGCCCTCTCCTCAAAACGAAACAACGGCCGTCTCGAACCCGAAGCCCGGCTGCTGGCTATCTACATCGCATTCCCATTCATGATCGCGGGCTTAGTCCTGCTCGGCTTCGCGCTGGAAGAAGAATACCACTACATGCTGACAGCACTGGGATGGGGGTTATATGTCTTCGGCATCATGATCGTGACTGTTGCAGTGAACGCGTACGTGCTTGACAGCTACCCCGAGGCGAGTGGGGAGGTTGCGGCGTGGATTAACTTTGGGCGGACGGCTGGTGGGTTTATTGTGAGTTATTTTATGGTCGAGTGGGCTGGGAAACAAGGCGCGAAGAGGCAGTTTGGGACGATGACGGGGATTGTAGGGTTTGCGTTTTTCATGGTTATTTTTCTGGGGGTTTTTGGGAAGGGGTTGAGGAGGTGGGCTGGACCGGTGCATTTTAAGACGGCATAATTATTACATTGGTTCGTATGAGAGTGGTGGATATGTGCAGGCTGTATAGTTAGACAGGTATGTATATAATAGTGGGAAGGAATCTGCTTCATATAAGCTCTTTGTTTTTTTTTTTTTTTTTTTCATGTGTCAGATATCGCTTTTTCGATACCGGAGTGTTCACCACAGGTCCATTTACTGGTATCTGAGAATTGTTGCCTCGATATCAGCATCATACCTTGACCAATGGTGATAGGCTAGACAATCGAAATATCTGCGAGAAGGCTTGCCAGAAAAAAGCAATGCAATCTGACAGCCCATGCGCCACCGCTGAGTTGGCAACAGCCATGCATAAAGGCCACCTACCCCTCTCAGCTGGCAGTCGACAAGGCCAACTTGAAATAATCACTTCCTCACGGTCCTTTGCTCCCATTCCGCCTACCACACGTTCAAAATGGCAAAACGCAAGAGACATGGTACCAACCCAGAGTCCGCACAGCGGAAGCGACCCCGGAATAGCAGCACCAAGAGCAATGGGGACTCGCACGAAAAGCCTTCAAAACAGCTGGAAGATGACACTCCATGCTCCGGCACATGCAACAAACGATCGCCGTCGATGTATCCCAACGAAATGTACACGGTAGCCTGGGTGTGCGCTCTAAGCATCGAGCTGGCAGCGGCAAAGGGAATGCTGGACGAGACACACGGCCAACCTCAGTCGCAGCCTAACGGCGACCCAAACACATATACCCTCGGTCGTATCCACGAGTTCAACGTCGTGATCGCGTGTCTCCCAGCAGATGGATACGGAACATGCTCTGCTGCCAACTTGGTAGGGACGATGTGGACAACGTTTCCGAACCTGAAAATCGGCCTGTTCGTTGAAATCGGCGCGGCCATTCCTTGGTTCAGCGGGGATTCGATTCGAGATATCCGGCTGGGCGACGTTGTGGTTGGTACGCGTATTGTTGACTACGAGATGAGAAAGAGATACGATGGAGGTATGGTGAAGAATACAGGGCATCCGGAAAAGCCATCGAAGATACTGCGTTCCGCTATCCAGGCACTCAAGGCTGATCATCAGACAAAATCGTCCAAGATAACCCAGTATATCGACGGTATGACCCAGAGGTATGCAGAACGAGGTGCCTTTACATACCCATTGGGCATCCCCGATCGACTATGTGAAGCGTGTTTGTCTGGTGGCAAATGCGCCGGCGGAGGAAAGGCTACAAAACCACAGTCCCGTCCCGATCGTCCTGACAAACATTCGCGAATCCATTATGGGGTCATTGCGTCGGGGAATACACTGTGCAGGGACCGCGACTTCAGGGAGGAGATGCAGAAGAAGTTCGACGCCATATGCTTCGATATGGAGGCAGCTGGGGTCATGAATAACTTCCAGGGTCTTGTCGTCCGAGGAATATCCGACTATGCGGATTGCCACAAGAACGATGACTGGCACTCCTACGCTGCAGCTTCTGCGGCAGGGTACGCTAAATTGCTGTTGTCCTACGTTCCTCTGAATGTGAAGCACGCAGGAAGTCTGGGTTAGTTGATTATTCCTGTCGTCGGAGCAGTATACTGACGATTTTTACTATTTCCATAGGGTACGGAACAACCAGGGCCCCTGAACATGGGGTACAGGAGATGAAAGTTCTTGACTGGATCAGTAAGGAAACATTTGAGTCTCGCCATGTTGATCACCTCAACCGTCTCCAGCCGGATACTGGCGACTGGTTCCTCAGGTCCAGGCAATTCAAGAGGTTCGTCGGAGGTATCGTGACACGCCTTTTCTGCCCTGGGATGCCTGGAGCAGGGAAAACGATGATCAGCACGCTCGCTATCGACTTTCTGCGTAGAGAGTATCAGCAAGACCCGATGGTTGCAGTTTGCTTTCTGTACTTCGACTACCGAATCAAATATGATAACGTCACCGAGCTTCTTGCCATTATCCTACGACAGCTGGCGGCACAGAAGCTTCCACTGGCTGAACCCGTGCGGTTACTGTTCGAGAAGTACGGCATCCGGGACAGCAAACCGCCGTTGAAGGAGCATATATTGACGTTACAGGCGGTGTTGCTTCAGTGGAAGACAGTATTTCTAGTGGTGGATGCTATAGATGAATGTCCGTCCTCCAACAGTACACGGCAGGCATTTCTAGAGGATCTCCACGCTATCCAGGCCAATTCAAAGCTCAGAATAATGATTACCAGCCGCCCAAACCCTGATATAGTTGGGGTAATGAAGTACGGCGGAGCAAGGTTTCTGGAAATCAGAGCTAGAGATGAGGATGTAAAGGCATACATCAAGGGTCGGCTTCGGAAATCAGACGGCCTGGCGGGACAAAATTCGAAGCTTCAACGCAGAATTAAACGGCAAATCACAAATGCCGCAGACGGAATGTATGTTCAGACCGTCTACTGCCGGATGGGCCAGTGAAAGATGCTAACAGGGTGGTAGGTTCTTACTTGCCCAACTCTACATTGATCGTCTAAGCCACCTCAGAGTACCTAGAATGATTGAAGATGCGCTTACAGAACTCCCGCAGGGAACCAACGTGTATTCTGATGCTTTTGACCAGGCAATGCATCGGATCGAAAGCCAAGTCACAGAAAATAAGGAATTGGCGAAGAAAGCATTGTCATGGATCACCAATGCCACCCGCCCGCTGAGCAAGAAGGAGCTGCAGCATGCTCTTACACTCAGGCCAACAGATATTGTCTTCCTCAAATCCGGCATGCCACAGATGGACCATATCCTCAGCGTGTGCATTGGCCTTGTCGTATTGGACAAAGAAAGTGGCACTGTTAGGCTGGTCCATTATACTGCGCAGCAGTACTTTGAAGACAAGTCGGGTCAGTGGTTTGAGGACGCGAAAGTAACCATTGCGAAGACTTGTCTACAATATCTATCGCTGGACGATTTCCGTGGCCAACCTGGCATAGACGAGATAAAAAGCCATTACGATCGGCGACGATATCACCTTTACAATTACTCAGTAAAGAACTTGGCATATCATCTTCGAGGCACCTTGCCACAGCTAGGTAGGGAACTGATGCAGTTTCTGACCCACGACAAGTTGACAGATACCTTCGCCAACGAACTTTTTTACTCTAACTCAGATAGACTGTACACCTCGCCGTGTCACATTGCTGCAGCTCTTGATCTTGATGGCACTATCAGTGAGCTGCTCAAGGACGGGCACAACGCCAACGCCCCAGATGTTGGGGATAACAGCCCCCTGGTGTGGGCTGTCAAGTTTGGTAGTTTAAAGGCTGCCCGCCGCCTACTCGAAGAGGATAATGTTGAGCCAAATGCACTGGCTCGTTGCAGGGACTCTGAACTGGACTACTCGTACACGGGGTTAATTCTGGGCGGGCTTTCTGAGTCTAATATCCTCGGTCCATTGGGCTATACACCGCAAATCTCGCCATTAATGATGACCTGTAAATATGGCCATGAGGATATGATTGCTATGCTGCTGGCCAATAGTCAGATTGACGTGAATGCTGTGGACTATTGCGCTCGCACTGCACTGCACTATGCGTGTCGAGCCAACAGAACAGGCATCATCGCTTTACTAGTCAACCGGCCCACACGGGGAAGGATATGCCCTGATGGTAACCCCCCGCAATTGGAAGGCGAACTTCCAGTCGGCCGTATCCCTGATATGTTCAACGATATTTTGCTCGATTCTGTTGACTATCAGGGGGAGACTCCATTCTATCTTGCAACTGCCCGGGGTAATATCGACGCAATGAAAATGCTCCTGGACACAGGAAGAGTGGGAGTCAACAAGGGTAATAAATATGGCGAAACGCCGCTGATAGCTGCAGCGAAGCAAGGATATACAGAAGCCGCATCCCTTCTACTACAACATGGTGCCGATCCAAACCAGGCCGATTCTGTGGGCGAGACACCACTACACCGGGCAACAATCGCCAAACACACAGATGTTGTTAGAATATTGTTACAGCACGCGAGAACAGACAGTTTCGCCTTGACAAACTCTGGTCAGTCGGCGCTATCGCTGGCTGCTGAATCGGGATCAGTTTCCATTGTCCGAATGCTCTTGGCTCACCAGAATTGGGAGCAGATATACCATGACACTGGCGACCACGAGCTTCTACAAATATTATCCAACGACGAAATAGCAAACCTACAACAGCTAATTCGGTCGGGGAGGGTTCATCCCAACGCGCAGCGCAACTCTAGATCTCTCATCTACTGGGCCGTCGAGAAAGGTCACTTTGACGTCGTCAAAGCCCTGCTCGATTCTGGTGCTAGTGCAAACTCCAAAGGGCCCTTGGGGGAAACATTGCTGGCAATTCCGGCCGAAGATGGGCGTATCGACCTGGTGCGATTGTTACTCTCGCGGGGCGCCGATCCAACGTTATGCGATTTCCACAACAGAACCCCAATTCATTATGCTGTATCAAGAGGGCACTATGCGATCACAAAATTGCTGCTGCAGGAAAGCGTTGCTGCTGACCTTCCGCAGCAGGCGAGCCTTCTGGCCGGGGCAGCAGAGGTTAGGGGTGGCCGTTGTCTCGACCTTCTTATCGAACAAGGATGTAATGTGAATCATGTTGACTCTGATGGGAACACGCCACTGCGTTCTGCGGTTGAAAGCAAATCTGTCACGGCCGTCAAGCGTCTACTCCAAAAGGGCGCATCCGCCGATCTTGTTGATGAGGAAACACTGGAGTCTGCGTCTAAGGAGATGGTAAAGCAGCTGAAGGCAGAGGTATGAGAGGAACTGACGAGGAAGCCATGCCTGAATGAGCCCTATCCTCGTCCCCAACAATATCATAGCGGTGAACATGCTGCAAAAAATGCAGTACATTTACTAGAGCATCCAATGATAATTCCATAGATGCTGGTACGTGTAATTGGCAAGAGCTATCCAGGAATCGCGACTTCCAATGTTGTCCGTCGGGCTCCTGCCTGTCTGCCACGACAACAAGAGACTACGGACTTCATACATCTTCACATCACTTCTCTGACACACTCGTTGGCTATCATACTCTCTTTAATCTATCTTCACATTGCATATATATTGCTACTATTGATATACTTTATATTACCACCCTCGATTGAGTCTCGATGTTTTCGCGAAAGTACAAAAGCGTCAGAGAATGGACCCACGAGAAGCGAAATAGGTTTACCGAATTGGCCTGCAAAGACCCAATGTTCCCTACACCTGGCCCCGGCAAACGCTTGGACGCAGATGGCGTTCCCGAGGTCAACTACGCCGTCATCGGAGCTGGGATCACAGGATGCAGCGTTGCCCACACCATGCTTCGCCACGAATTCTTCCAAAATGACACTATTATGGTCCTCGAAGCCAGCGATAGGACTGGCGGTGCGGCTGGGATCTCCCATGCCCAGGTTGCACCAGCAACGGCGATAGACTGGGGTGAGCTCGTGCGAAGAGTTGGGGTGCGCAGTGCCAATCAGGCCGTTGTGTTTTCGCATAGAAACCTGGCACGTTTGGGCGAGCTTTGTGCGGGTCTTAGTGCGGAGGATAGGAAAAAAGTCCAGTTTCGACGAGTTAAGATGGTAACGAACTTTGCGAACCGCGAACCCAAGAATCTGTATCGACGCTGGGACCCTGCGTTTCGGAGGATGTTTACACACTTGGGAAATCGGTTTACGGAGAAGGATGCCGGGGCCGCTGGCACTGTTCGTAGACCCCCAACGTTCAATGAAGAGGTACGCTAATGGGGCATTTTTAGGAATATCGATTCCGCATCAAGAGCACCTCTGGGGCCGTCGAGGGCCCGGGGGCAACCCTGAATGTTGGGGAATTGGTCAATGCTCTATTTAATGAGATGCTGCGTGAGCACGATGGGCGGATCTCAGTCCGGACCAATACAGCCGTTAGAAAGATCAAGTACAGGACTGATAATCCTAGCCTTCCCTGGCTATTGCACACCAACTGCGGTCTGGTGCGGGCGTCGTCAGTGATATACTGCTGCAATGGTCGGGCAGCACATCTTAACCATCAACTGCTCGGGAAGCTCTTCCCTGTGAATCATCCCATGTCCGTAGAAGGACTCACTCCATGCCCGCCGGACGACTCTGGGACGTATTCTTGGAGGTTAATCCAAAGGCCGACCGTTGACTACTGCACCGGCACATTCAAACCAGGCCAGTACTCGGTGGTTCAGGATGGACGCTCGCTCACGTACCAAGTTTCAGGAGGGCCGCAAACTGTGGCCAGCCTTTTCCCCATGAGCGGCGAAGACGCCCTGCAATTATCCAAGAACGACCACCGGGAGCGACTTCACCGGCTTTTCAGGCAGCCTGTTGAGCGATTGGAGGATTGGCTCGATCTTGGTTCTTCATCGGCCGATGAACCTTGTGATGGAACGTATAGACTGAGTACTCTAGGGCTGTCATCTAGATGTGTGGGTTACACAGCCGACGCCCTGCCTCTTGTCGGGGTCATCCCAGTTTTGAATAACCATACGCGGCAAAATCGGCAGTGGGTTGCTGCAGGCTGCAACGGCCAAGGGCTGGACAAATGCTGGCTGATGGGCGAGTACCTCGTTGCCATGATTGCTGGCGAATTCGTCGACAATCGCCTGCCGGACTGCTATCAAATCACGCAGGCACGACTAAGCGCGATGGATCCCCAGAACTATTTAAATAGGCTGCTACAGGTTGATACCTACGAGGATCGAACACCAATTAATACGTATTTGGCTCCTAATTAGATTATAGATCTAGCTAGATAGATAGTTAGTGAATACTATACCCTAACAGGTGTTTACGAGATGCAAAATACTACACAAGCTCCGCTGGTTTGAAAGATAATCATTATAGCTACCGACTATGAAGAATCCCCATCCCGGAACCATGTAAAATGCGCCGAATTCGCCCTGGACGGACTAGGCTTAAGCGAAAACAGACTCCCTTCTCTACTTTGCGGTATAAAGGGCGGCGGCCATAGCCTCGTTGGCCCTGGACTCGACGGGTGCTGCGAGTGCCACCCCGGCTCTGGGACTGCAAGCTTCCTAGGACTCCCTCGATGCTCAAAAGAATCCTTCCTGGGAACCGGCGGACCCTCTCGTAACGGCCACCCACCATCCCCATCCCGTTCAAGATCACTAGCCTCAACCTCCTCAAGACGAATGAACTGTCCCCCTCCACCCTCAATATTTGAATGATTCGATTTGGGCGAGATCTGGGCCTGTTCGCGGGAACTCGATCCACCGCTAGGCTTCCGTCGCGAGCTGCCAGACCCGTATGTATAACCTGTTGGTTTGTGGAAGAATATGTTATACAAGCGTTTAATCAAGGCGCGGATCCCGGGCATGCACGAGCACATGATTCCGATGTCGATTTCGAGTAGCGACCAGATTCCGACGGGGACGAAGTCTCCTATAGGAAGGTTAATCAAGCTGCAAATGGGTGGGTGAGGGGGGTGGGAGATGGGGGATGGGGAGGTACGTGTTGGGTTTGTTGTGCTGTTGAAGCCGACTGCTTCGACCAGACGGAATATGCTTATTACCGTGACCCTACCTGTATATTAGTGGTTGTCCACAGTATAGGGGTTTTTGGGGACATACACAATACCCACAGCAAACATAAGACACATGCCTATCCGCTTCTCCATGGACATCTGCAATTTTAACAGCACGGGCATAGGCAGCGCAATAACCACCACATCAAGGACAATATTAATAACAGCATGAGCCAGGAGTAGCGAATTATGGTCAATACATTTCCCCACATGCTCGCCGTCCCATTGCGTCCAGTAATACTTTATCGGTTTGCACGAGAACAGCTGCGTGAAGAAACTCCCGATTCCCCAGGCTGCTGTTATAGCCAGCCATACGTATATGGCTAGTCGTACTGGTCTGTTTGGGAATAGGCGGAGGTAGAGGAGGAGCATGGAGCATTTGATTGCCACAATGGCGAAGACGTAGAGGACTTCTTCGATGAAGAAGAGCTGGTTTATTAGCCTTGCTTCCCCGGTTGGTATAGGATGTTTTACCTTCATGGTTTCGTTTACGTGGTCGAAGGGGACTGTCCAGATGTTCTTCCCTAGGCCATATGTGCGGACTATAGAGTTAGCTAATATCAAGATAATACTCGGGTGAAGGCGTACGTGGAAATCCAACACCGGCGATTGCAGCAGCGACTAACTGCGGCTGTTAGTTTAGTCTTAAAATGGGTTTGAAGACATACTAATGCACTGATAATTGTATAATCATCCCAGCCTATCTGCCACGCAAGGATGCGATTCGTTACGCGCAGGATGACTGAGATAATCGCAACGATGATGCCGACTATATTGACCGTGGGAAAGGTCGTCGTATCTTCCGTCACGGGGTAGTTGCATGTTGAATATGAGAAGTTCTGCGCGGCTGGATGTTGTTAGTAGTGTAGTGTAGGATAGTCAGGAGGATGCGCACTGAGGGATTCTTTAATGGAGCAGCTCCCCGCGATACACGGCTGGAGGGCTGCATTTAATTGCGCATCGGCGCAGATACAGGCGAAATTGCCCAACGAGCAGGTTGAGTTGCTTATCGCGTCGACCAGGCACGTTAGCTGGCAGGTTAGCATCCAGCTACTGATCGAGGAAGGGAACATACAGCACAGTCTGGGAGGGCATCCATAACCACAAAGACCTACATCGAAATCGATGAGCCAGAGGAAGACTTCCCGGCGGAGTTAGTGGTTAGTTATATGACCGGCGTCAGGCAAAGATCGTGGGGAAGCGGGGATCAGGATCACAGTGTGGGAACCGGTTCCTCAGCGCTCGGTAGAGAGGCTTCATATTGATTAACCATGGTAGTTGCAACGGGCCTCCATGGAGTGCAATGGCGATATTGCCCAAACGGTCGATGCTCCGCATGGGCCAAGCAGGTCTGGTGCAGACTCCGCTGTTGACTCGAATTGTCTGACAGGGAATGACAGGGTCTCTGTTCCTGTGGCTGCTGGTTAGCGCGTCTTCTATGCAGCTCGGGCCGGCAGGATCTGGACGCTCCCTCCATCTCTGTCCTCAAACGAGTAAGGTGTGTCGTGGTGGTGTTTCCTTTCAACCTGGACGGTCTGATTCAGGCTGGTACTGCCATGGTCTCCTTCGTTAATTGTCTGAATTAAGGCTGCACTTCGACTCCAATATGCAGGACAGGGAGCTAGTAGATCCCGCAGGAGCACTGTCGCTTGCTGCATGCAAACAATTGGCTTGTTCGCTCGCTCCGCATCGGCGACAAGGTTTTTTTTCCCTGTCTCCGTATATTAATCTATTGAGCTGCGAGTCGCCGCGTGCGTCCAGCTCTCAAAGCCTTACGTCCCACTTCATCTATTCCTACTGGCCTGTACTCAAGAGTATATAGGCAACATGCATGACCGTTGGGCTTGACACATTCTTCCCTTGAAACAGTTGACAGCCACGCACCCTTTTACGCAGCCCTGGGCACTTGTGATTCAATCTAGGGCTCACGGCAATCCCCGAAGGATGGCTCTGGTCCCAGAATGGACTCAACCCCACGAGTCTCGCAATGCGGGGTTTGCATCCTGAATCCTTGGACACGAAGAGGATTGCGCTGCTCCACAGTCCCAGAATCCTGGGTGGCAAACACTCTGCGGATTGAGTTTTGTCTTTCCGCGGTCTGCTCAAGGCTGGCTCGCCTTGCCGGTTACGCTAAGCGATGTCGCTGGAGAAATAGCGGACTGGGAATTCAACTCTGTGGGTTCTAACGGCGAATTCGCTTGGTGTCTTGATTGGATATATTCGTTGATATGATGACGAGTTCCCACCACGCCAACGTCGACGCAGGTCCAGGTCGAACTGAAACTCTAACTAACCTACGTACCCAAGCCACTGAACTAATATTTTCATGATTCAGGTGCAGCGACCACTCTATACGAATGATTAGGCCTCCAGCAACCACGGCTCGGCCGAAACTACCCCCTCACAATCTCACAGCGATGTCCAGACGGCGCAATCAAGAAATAATTCTTAGGCCTCATAGTTTCCCAGGTGACATCACTGGCCAGTTTCACCCCGCGAAACTCCCTGAAGAATTCCGCTGCTGCCAGCCTCAACTCCATATACGCCAGGTGGATCCCCAGACACGTTCTCGCACCTGCACCGAACGGCGAGAATGTCATCTGCGCCAGTGATTGGCTATTTGTATTCTCGCTCTTCAGCCATCGCGAGGCATCAAAGACGTCAGGGTCTGGGAAGACATTCTCGTCCCGGTGCATTGTCCAGCTCTGGGTGCTCACCGTGATGCCTTCAGGAATGAAATGTCCACCCAGCGTCGCGCCTCCTTCAGGGACAGCGCGGGGGAGTGAGCCCGGAGCGGCGCCGTATAGACGTAGTGTCTCCTTGATCACGGCGTTGAGCAAAGGGAGGTTCTCCAAGGCCGCCTCGTCATAGTCCACAGCTAGACCTTGTACCTCCTCTTCTAGCTCTTTCTGCAGCTGGGGATGGCTCAATACCGCCCAGACGAGATACGTCAATGTGATTGCCGTCGTGTCAGAGCCTGCAACAATGAGATTGCCAGCTTCAGTAACGACGTCCTCGTCGGTTAGACTGTCGCTGCCCTTTTCAGATTCGTGGATCATCCCCGCGAAGATGTTCCTGCTTGACTCGCTGCTCGTCCGGGCATTGACAATCGCGCGACGGCCGTAGTTGGACATGTATTCAGACGCCCTGAACATCGCTTTGATCGAGGGGATGGGAAGGTGTCGTCCGATGAAGCCGACAGCGGGTAGTTCCGAATTGATGCCAGAGCCCATCATGGTCGATTCCAGGACATGGATATACTCGTTTTTCTATCATTGTCAGATCCGCTGCTCCAATGTAGTCAAAAGTGGACATACCACGCCCAACTGCAACATCCCAAAGTCCTCACCAAACATCAAATGGCCCGCAACATCCGTCGCCAGGAACGTCCACCACTTCAACACATCACATCTCCCTTTACCACCTGCAGCATCCAAATCACTCCTCATCTGGCTGATAGCCATTCCAACCTTCTCCCTAACAACCCCCTCCCACACCCTCCGCAGTTCACTCTTGGAGAAAGCCCTCGCAAACAACCTCCTCCGCCCCGCATGCTCCCGCCCACCAGGCATATCAAACATACCGGGTGGCCGATCCATCACGAATTTCTGATACCATGGACTTTTAAGGAATGGTGAGCCTACGCGATGGATTTCCTTGAAATCGCGGAGCGAAGAGATGGATACTTCATCTGGACTGATGCGCACGATCGGGCCGTATTTCCGGTGCAGATCGTGGATGTAGTATATTCTGTTCCCGCTCAAGATGGATAGTTTTAGCGGGAGACGGGTGAGCTTTGTGCTTAGGGGGCCGGGGATTTGGCGGAGGGGTGAGGTGAACAATTTGTATGTTTTCTGTGCAAGTTAGTGGTTACATAGGAGAACGGTATAGGAGAGTACCTGGATGAGCCAGAGGGCTATCCCAATAATGGCGTAGAGCCAGAGGCGGTCCATGTTGGTGCTTTCCTCGCAGATACGGACGATGGATGATGAGTGTCGAGGTAATGTTTAAATATTGATATCGATCTCCGATCTGAATCGTGACTCACGTGGATCGACGCGGGATGTCCACATTCCCGCACCACGAAATACGCAGCATCCCCCGTCTTTTCACCTTTCTGGCTCAATGCGGGTATTGCTTAGTAAAGTGGCTTCCTAACTGCTTCCTGACCAGCCAATGGGCGGTCGATCACATTTACTCATACATGGCCATAACCATCTCCAACAAGAGCATCCCTTGGATTCTTATTCCCGCCCCATGAGAGTAGCGGGATTAACTGATCCCGCTGGTGAAGGATTAGGCTTTCGTGGCAAAACCATAACCCCAGATATTACACCCTCTCAGGCCCCGTTCACTGATTCCGGATATGAATCCAGTCAAGGAGGTCCTGTGGAGCAGTTAAAGGTCAGCGATAGCAGGGCGAGCCACGCAGATGCCATCAACAGCGAAGGGGTGTTAGCTCAGACCGCAATAGCAGAGGAGTCCGTCAACATACCAGATAACACTGATGTAGCGAATGACTGCTTCTGCAGCTGACAACACCAGTGTTTCCACAAGAAATTCCAGTATTGCTTCTGACATACAAAGAGGAGTATTAAATGAACACCGTGCTCCTATAGATGGAGCTAATGTCAACAGCTTGCATATTCTCCTGTCCCTGCTCCAGGCTACCCGGTGCGTCTTGATAGATGGTGGCACAGGAACGATCTCCAGCGATGCGCGCAATCAGATCCGCCATTGACAGCTCGATGTTGAGTTTGACCATATACGCAAGAGGATGAAACTGCATATACCTTATGATAGTGTCAGCAGTATTTCGATGTGGTTGTCAATTGTACTCACACGAACGTGTTTTGCAAACTCATCATAGAAATGATAAGCACGTCCATGCCAAGCGATATCCCGATGATACTCATATTGAAATAGATCAGCGTCTTGTACTTGACCAGACCAGCCGATACTAGGTTCGACCGAACGATATGAATGAAATAGAAGTTGAGCGACCCATCGACAAGAAGGTATATTACCTTCTCGCAACGGTCCCACCGCTCATTGATCCAGACATACTCCTCTGAGATCTGCAGACGAGCGGGGATCCAGATGGTATAGACCGAGATGTTGACGGCAGTGATTAGGGTGGCGACAGCGGCCTTCAGACACGTAGCCTTTTTTTGGTCCAGAAGCAGTAATGCGCAGCGATTTATGATGATTTGCAGGAGGAATTGGACCTGATCGGTTAATGCGTTTCCCGAGACTATGTAGGGCCATTTACCTGCAGGGCCCATAGTGTCACTTCCAAAGGTCAGCTTGCTGATATTATCGCGCAAGGTGCATGTGTATATACTATACCAATGCCGAAATAGAAAGCAAAGCTCACAATTCAGTCAGCACACTTCCTCGCCGCTATCCCGGATTAGTTCAACTCACCTTGGTGGAATGACACCCCTCACATATAACCAGCAGATTATGCTAAATATAAGGCAAACTATGATCTCCAGCCACACCATGAACACATAGGCATTGGTGAAAATGCGGCGGCCATTCCTCTTGTAGATGTTCACAGTCTGCTTCACTGCTGCCCAGCTAGTTAGCCACCCAAAGCCAATGGTAAAACCCCACGCAATCGAAGCAACTGCCATGTCATCCTCCGTGACCTTTGGGAGAACGAAGTCCGGGGAAATAAGCGTCATTATCGACGAGGATGCACTGATGGGACCAGTAACGAAGGTACCATCTTGGGCGAAACGGTGCAAACGCGGGCAGAATGAAAAGAACTAGCAGTTCAGGGGGTTTAAGAATTAAATACACGCGACCGCAACCAGCTTGAGGATGATTTCCCTGCATTCTCAGTGGGCAAAGCTATGTTCAAGGTTCAGTCAAAGTTTCTTCCTCCCACCCGAGTGACAGCACCTCCGCGGGCCCGACATCTAAATCCTTAGCTGAGTACTATCGTTCCATGTGGTAGCAATAGAACGGTATACCATATCCAGACCTATATCAACATTCCCCTAACATAGTCAGTTATATTCTATAGTAGGGGTTGCAGATGTTAGAAAAGACTGAAATTTGTGAAAGCATCCTACCCCCGCAAAAAAGAAGGATCATGGAATAAAGTTGTTCGCAGACTTGGTTGACAGCCACAGGGGAGGAGGGGGTGGCGAGCAACGTGCAGCGAACCGTGGAATATCAACGCCAGCCCGCAGCCTTGCGCATGCTATCTTCCGTAATGGCTTCTTCATGGGGTTTAATAGAATAGAATCTTCAGTAATGATGGTTGTTGTTGAAGAGTTCTCATTAAATAGGTAAAAGCTCATGCCTCAGCCCTAGCAATTACCATCCATATATTAAACACCCTATGTACATACTGTATACCATTAATACTTCTACTCGACATCCCCCGCAACCATCACCTCGCCAATCGCCTTCTCGGCCCCCTCCCACTCCCTCTTTATCACATCAACAACCCAGTCTCCTCTGGGCTTCAACCTAAACCTCCTCTCCTTGGGCATAGTCATGAACCCAACAACAACCATCTCCCACGGGTCCACAACATCACCATCCAGCGCCTCAACCTCAAACGCCCACAGCAGCGACGCAACCTGCATAAACGTCCCATCCGTCGCAACCCTCTTCCCCTGACATATCCTCCTCCCCTGCCCAAACACGGGCAGCGGCAGATCCGAACGAACCTTCATCCCATTACCAGACGGATCCTGACGCAACCACCGCTCAGGGATAAACTCCTGCGCATCGCCAAGAGAAGGGTCAAAAACCGCCTCGTCCCGTCCAATCGCCCACGCATTCGCAATCACCGTCCACCCCTTGCTTATCTTCGTCCCGCTGAATGAATCATCATTGTCTGCACGTCGCGGGATCGAACCAGGCGAGATCGGTCTCCACCGGAAGAGTTCATGCGTGACCGCATCAATGAACGCCAGATTCTGCCTGTCCGCAAAGGTCGGCAATCGATCTCTTCCGACAACGCGATCAAGCGTCTCGTGTGCTTTCGCCATGAAAGAACTGTTGCTCATAGCGGCTATGAACAGCCACAGCAGCTGACGCGGGGACGTCTCCATCCCGCCCTGGATCGAGGTCGCGAGTGTAAACGCCAGATCGAGGTCCGAGACGGGATTGTCAGACGGTGCGTGTTTCTTCGCTGTTGCCAGGGCCTGTTTCGTAGCGTTCCAGCCTGGTCCGTCGCGGCCGTGCGTGAAGAGGCGCATGTAGAGGTCTACCTGTTCGGCGAAGAGGGTGTTTGCGCTGCGCTGCCAGGGGGAGAGGGCTGTGGGGAGGTGGCGCAGGAGTGGGATTATATCGGGCAGCTGCGGGTTTGCGGCGAGGTGGGTGACTTTTGTTTGGATGTCGATGACCTCGTGGAGGATTGGTTCTTCGAAGCGCGGGATGCGTAGGCCATAGTGCAGGGCGAGGATGACGCTGGACTGGGTGCGTTCGAGTAAAGGGTAGACCTCTTCGGTGGAGAGGGTGCTGTCGGGGGATTTGGAGAGGGAGGTGAGGATGTCGAACAGGAGCTGCTTGGCCTCGAGTTCCATTAATGGCTGGTATTTGGGTGCGGCTGGGGCGCCGAGACTGGGCGAGAGGATGCGGTGGTGCAGCTTGAGGTGGTCGTCGTAGTCGTGCATGAGGGTAAAGCGCGAGCGACCTGGTTCTGCGCCGGTGATCATCTCCATGCTCACGGATGCCGGGCGGTTGCTGTACCACTGGCTGCGACGGCTGAACAGCTCGGTGACGGCCTCGTAGGAGTTGAGCACGACGATGGGGATGAGCCCGAAGAGCTTGGGGACGGCAATTGGGCCATTCTGCTTCGCCCAGTCGTCCCAGTTGACGAGGGGCTTCTCGATGGGAGAGCTGTGCAGGTCGCCGATCAGAGGCAGTTTAAGGAGAGTCTTTGTGGATTTTCCCTTCCTGGTGCTGAGATACAGCAGGGAGAGGGCTCCCACGACGAGGAGGACGACAGGGGCAGCCATTGCCAGCGAGAGTCGAAACTGCAAGAGAGCTGCAAAGAACTGCAAAGAACTGCATGAAAGACGGCAGTTCGCGACAGCACATGGCTTATATTGGGCCCACGCACACAGCCAATCCCACTGCACCAGGAGGGGAAATGTTGGCTCTCCTTATTCAGAGTTCTGGGCTGTCCATCCATTTCTTGAGTCAGGCCACTGTCAGCCAATCTTCGGGCACATAATTACGCCAAAACAAGAGCCGAGACAACTAAAGGCTCCGGGGGAGCGTTGCGAGTTCCCAGACGGCGCTAGCAGCGACGGCGGCATGAGAGAGCGACAGGCGAGCCCTAACTGCCAATGAAACAGCCCATAGCAGCCCACGATAGCCTGCAACGGCCCAGGTGGAGCTCCCAAGGCCGATTTGAGTTCGACGAACTGCTCAATGGCATTCTGACAGAACTCTGTTCACTTTGTACAGCGCCAAAAGCCGACTGCTCGGAAGCTTAAGCTGGGTGTCACATTTCTGCAGGCCACAGAGCAGCCTCGTCGGACGAGTCTGTTATACGGGCCTACAGATTGCATACTTCTGATCTGGCAAATACAACCGTCACATCGCGATCCTTCGCGCTCCATACGCTCCACCAACGCCTCACAGACCACAGACCAACGCGGAACAGCCGGTGGATGGGTCCATTCGGATCCTTGCGTTCGAGGCCGCGGCAACGGCCGCCCAGCCCAGCAGGGGCTCAGGTGGTAATACAAGTCTGCACGGCAATGCGGAGTCAGGAGCATTTAAATTGAATGGCCATCTTCCCTGCTGTTGTTCCTGCAGCCATTGTTCGAGTCAGTCGTCTCTCACAATGACCATCACCTTCCCCGTTCAAACGCACGACCAGCGGGCTGTGCTCGGCGTTGCTATTGCTTTTTCTGTTCTCTCTGTCACGGCTGTCTGTCTGCGGCTCCTGGCTCACAAGCTGGCCCATAAGAAATGGACTATCAGTGACTGGTTCCTCATTGCAGCATGCGTACGTTCTAATTCCCCCATCGATATCGGCACCATACTTATAAATACAGATCTTCGGCGTCGGCCTGCAATCCATCAGTATAAACGGCGTCATCCAAGCCGGAATCGGCTACGGGCACGTCCAGGACATCGCCATAGACCCCAACTACGGCCTGGAGCCGATCACCAAGCTCTCCAAACTAATCATCCCGCTGCAATTCCTCTGGGTGCTCAGTCTTAGCTGCACCAAGATCTCCATTCTCTTCTTATACCTGCGCATCTTCCCCGTGCGCTGGCTCGTCATCTCCTCCTACACCACCATGTCCATCATCGTCGCCTGGGCCATCGCCACCATCCTCGCCGGCTGTCTAATCTGTCGCCCGTTCGCGTTCAACTGGGATAAAACCATCCCCGGCGGATACTGCGGGAACCAGGTCTCCTCTTTCACCGCAACAGGCGTCATCAACCTCGTCACCGACGTCGCCGTGCTCGTCCTCCCAATGAGCAGTCTGTATAAACTCCAGATGGCGCTGTATAAAAAGATCACCCTGATTACAGTCTTTGGGCTGGGTATTGTGTATGTCTCCCTTCCCTCCTGTCCAATCATGCTTGTGTTTGTGGTTTGTATAGTGTTAATTTGTATAGAACATGCATAATCTCCGCCCTCCGCATCGCCGTCCTCTCCTCAATGGACTTCAACGACATCACATACACAATCCCGCGCGCCAACATCTTCAGCGGCGTCGAGCCCTGTCTCGCCGTGATCCTAGCCTCGGTGCCTATGATGCGTCCGCTGCTGGGGCGCACAAATACCACGCCCATCGGAACAGGCGCTACACCGGTTAAGTCCCACTCGAAGGGTAGTGGCGGGGGGCATTTGGGGAAGGGGTCGAGAGAGACGAATGGGGATGGGTTCCAGGTGCTGGATGATGATACGAGGCAGTTGTGGTTGAGGCCGTTGGGGCCGAAGCATTATGCGGGGATTTCGGTGCAGGATCGGGAGGATGGGGATGGTGTGGAAGAAGATGAGAGGGGGCTTGTTGGGAGGGGGGGGAGGGGGAAGGGGATTCGGGTTAAGCAGGAGTGGGCGGTTGATGAGAGCCGGTGACTTGATTGTTTTGTAGTATATGGAGTGGTTGGGTAGGTTTAAAAGGGGTTATTGTTTAAAAGCGAAGTAAAAGTTATAGGAACGAATATATTCTCAGTTCGACGATAAAAATCACTAGCAGTAGTAGGCCGTCTTTCTATTGCATATATGATTGAGTCAGATATATATAGTGGTTCCACCCGACACCCTCGAAACAACATTCTTGCTTTTCATGCAACCCACCGAACACTAATATTATATTAAAGCAGCTTTTTAAGAAGTATCTTCAACCCCCTCCTGAAACCTCTCCTCACTCTTACTCCCAGCCGCGGCGGTAAGATGCGTCCACGACGAAACCGTAACGAGCAGCGACGCCACCGCTATTAACTCGTTAGACAAAGATCAACCAGAAGAGAAGAATAAAGGTAGTTCCATACCAAGTATGCAATTCATATAATAATATCCAATAAGCTCAGAGAAAGTCCCCGACAATAACGGCCCAAGTACCATCCCGACAGTAAACGGGACTTCAGTTAGACTGGACAGTCGCGAGTTCCCACCATACGGACCGAATATAGCAGGGTTTTTGGACTCGAGTTCGTGCATGACGGCTAGAATTTCGTTAGTATCGCAAATAAATAAAAAAAAAAAAAAAGGAAAAAGAAAGGCGAAACACACCCATCATCTGAAACGACCCGGCACCCCTCGTCAACGCAAACGCAAAACCCAACCCAACAATCGCACCAATATAAACCCCTTCACCTCCCTTTTCGAGTCTACCCCAGGATAAATCCTCCCCCGGAACAGCCATCAACCAAAGCAAAGGTGTCGTCAGCGCCCACCCGATCGTTGTTGGCCAGCGGAGACCGAGATGGTCGCGCGTCCGCCCGACCACAGGTCCCAGGACGATAGGCGGCAGATTCAGTCCGAGGAAGAGAAGGCCGACGGGGAGAGAGCCCCAGCCGAAGACTTCGCGGACGTGCAAGGGGAGTGTGGTGTCGAAGCTGGCGAGGACGGTGGACATGAGGAGGGTGTTGAAGATCGATGCGACGATTTGGGGGTTACGGAGCATGATGCTGTAGAAGCCGCGGGCTGATTCGGGGTTAGTATCTGTTTTTTGGCCATCGGTAGGAGTTTGATGATCGCTTTGGTCGGCGAGGAGGGCAGTCTGTTCGGGCTCAGTCGAGTCCGGAGAAGTCGGTAAGGCTGATCGATTGTCTATCATGACGAGACGCATAAAGAAGTCTACAGCGAGAAGGACCAGAGCAGCCGACCACGCAGGCCAGTATCCGAACAGCTGCAGGAGGATACCGGAGACCATAGGCCCAGCGAGAATTCCGGTTCCGACGATGGACATTGCAGTCCCTGTAACCTTGCCCTTGTTCTCGCCATCGACATTATCGACCAGGGTAGCGAATGCGACGATCCAGACGCCGGAGCTGGCCAGAGACTGGAGGACTTGGCCAGTCATGAGGACCCAGACTGGAGCCGTTAGTGGTGGGGTGATTTAAAGCCAGGGTGAGCGTACCGGCCCGGGAGCAGGCGACGAGAATAGTGCCCGACGTGCATGCTGCTAGAGAGAGCAGCAGCGGGGTCTTTCTACTGGGTGTTTTGTCGGCGAAATGCGCGACGACTGGAGCAGCGAGAAGAGAGATGACGCCGTAGAGGGTCAAGAGAGTGGTGGTGAAGGTCTGGGTGTGTGATGGATCGAGATGCAAGCGTCTCTCGAGCATATACGGGAGGATTGGCACAATGAATCCGAACAGGAAACATTCTGATCAAGTCAGTATCCGTCAGTCAAATTGTACGGTTGACGCACCAGAGAACAAGCTGATAGTAGCTGTGGTGATGATAAACAACTGCGACGAGCGCCATCCGAAGCCCCAGGGCCTCTGCGTGCCAACCGCCATCGCGACGAAGTTTGAAAATTGCATCAGCCATGGGCGAGGCCCGACTTTATAAGAAAACTGGGCCAGTCCGGATCGACGAAGTAAGCAAAGCGAGAACGATAAGCGGAGTGTTATTGCATCGAGTGAGCCAATCTCAGTCGATCTGACGTGCTGCGGGGGTTGTCAGCGCTTTGTGTCGGAGACTTTGTGAGTCACTCGAGCTGTAGCTGAAGTAACACAACATTGTAGAGATACACTGTCCAGTTTTACCGTGGATGCTCAAAGACACCCGAAGGACAATCGACAATGACAATCAGTGCAGATCGGACAGTCCATGAGGCATGAACCGGTTTTATCGGGGACTCCACCGCGTTCAACCGTGAACCAAGTTTGCGACTTCGCGACCGTCTGGCAAGTCGCAACACCTCAATCCCACCTCGTCATCTCCTTGCTGCATACCCCGCCAGGTAAGAACCTGTTCCTCGAGATATTTTGCACCTGTTTTGCACCACTAATACGCGCCCAGAAGCCAATCTGATGATGTCCTCCCTCCTCCGCCGCCTCCTCCCCAAGCCCGTCGCAAACAACGGCTCGCAGCTCCGCGACCACCAGGCCAACGAGCGCACATTTCTCTCATGGACGCGCATGGGTCTCGCCTTCGCGGCGATGGGATTAGCTGTTGGAAGACTTGGCCTGATCGAACATTTCTTCAACCCGGCCACTGAAGCCACTGCTCCAGAACCACAGGAAACGCGCAAAAACACGACCGGCGATGTCGAACCAACCACACCTACGAAGGCGAGATTAAGAGATAGCCCCGATATTCTGGTTAGCCGGCTCTGTCAAGTCATTAGCGTTTGGTCGTTTGGGTACGGTCTGTTCCGGTATATAACCGTGAGTCGGAATCTCGGGAAGGGTCAGTTTGTTCCGAGTATCTGGGGACCGGTCGTCATGACTGCCGGGACAATGGGAGTTATCGGGACACTGATTGAGATGGACTGGAAGAGGCCGGGGCAGGGCAATGGCAATGGCAATGGGAATGGACGCGGACTTGATATTTCCCGGGTGCTGCAGCGATGGAAGGGATCGGACAAATAAACCCGTGTATTATAGTTGATAGAGTTTAATTTATATAGGCAACGGAATAGACAAACACATACACATCTAATACTGATCAAGAAAAATCACCCTCATAAACCATCCCCAGACTCCCCGGCATCGCATCCACAAACCCATTCCGCGCGTACAACTTTCGGCCCGGCTTATCTGCCAGGAGATTGACATACGGATTCCCCTCGGGCGCATTCTGTTTGATATGTGCCAACAAATTCTTCAGGATCGCCTCCCCAAGACCCTTGCGCTGATGGTCCGGGAGCACAGCCATATCCACGATGTGGAAGTACCACCCGCCGTCGCTGATGATGCGGCCCATCGCGACTGGGCTTGCGGTGTTGGTAGAGGGGTCGGTGTAGATGATGTAACAGCCGTACCAGGCGCCATTGACTGAGGCGGTCCCTTGGGCGACGCTTTTGGGGGAGAGGCCGGACGCGGCGCGGAGGTGGAGGTAGTCCGCCACGGAGGGGGGAGAATCGGTGAAGGCGTAGTTTGGGGGGAGGGCAGTCATTGTGGTTCTGGCAGGTGGGACATTGAAGACACCGCATCCATTTCGAGATAAATAGACTGCTCACCAGGTAGCAATCGCCTCAGTGTTGCTACCTAGTTGTATGTGGGGTGCGGCTACATTCGGGAAGCTAACCGCTGTTGTCGCTGCAGTAAGCACCGAGGGGTCCGTGATCTGAACACCCCAACTCAGGGGAACTCGATCCATGATTGCCAGTGCTACCAAGACTACGCGCAGAGCTATAGCTCGCATAAGATGCATGATATAACTTCCGTGGGCAGGCTTTACTGCTATCCTGGTCCATGCGGAGAAATACCGCTTCTGTCAAGTGGTATTTTTCCACAAATGATTGGCCCAGAGCGACTGTTGCTGTAATCTTGGCAGTGAAATACGGCGATCCGTGACCAAACGGGCAGATGGGAAGTGTAAATACATCTTAAAAAAACCAACTGACAGTAATGTTAGTCACCGTTCAACAGTTGTGTTGCTTAAGATAAGATTACATGCACCGTCTCACTCCCCAAGTCTCCCACAGCCAACAATGCTGCCACCAGTGCGCTGAGATTCCCAACACACCCGCTTCAGCATGGAGCACGCTCGCGCGCCATCCAGCGACGTCTCGGTAGCTCCAAGCACGACAACCAGATCATCCTCGCTTTTCGACGAAGCCATCTGGTTCCTGCAGCCGGACCACCACGATGAATTGCAATTCGAGCTGGACAACGGCGTCCCGGTGGTCAAGGGAGGCACCGCGGGCGCGCTGGTCGAATACCTCACTCGACACGATAAACTCGACACAGCATTCAACCAGGTCTTTCTCCTCACGTTTCCCTCCTTCATGACGAGCGCGCAGCTATTCGCCATGCTGATGGAGCGATTCTACATCCAACACCCGGACGGACTAACCCAGGCCGAATACCAGATCTGGCTATCGCACAAAAAGAAACCGACGCAGCTGCGGGTCATCAATGTCCTCAAGCGCTGGCTGGAGTACACCTGGGTAGAGCCCGACGACGACGAAGCCCGCGCCCTGCTTAAAAAGATTTACGAATTCGCGCTCGACTCTATCCCGGCGATCAAAACCCCGGGGTCGAATGGGTTGATTAATGTCATTGAGCGGCGCTTACAAGGGGACCGGAACGTGCGAGGCCACCAGCGCGTTTCACTGCAGAGTGTCGCTTCCCCGCCGCCGGTGCTGCCCAAGAAGATGAAGAAGATCAAGTTCTTGGACCTCAATCCGACGGAGCTTGCGCGGCAATTGACGCTACTGGAATTGCGACTGTACGATAAAATACGGCTGGAGGAGTGCCTGAACAAAGCGTGGCAGAAAAGGGCAGGGTTGGAACCAGCGCCGAGAATCAGAGCGATGATCCATCATTCCAACCAGCTGGCGAATTGGGTTGGGAATCTGATTCTCGAGCAATCGGATCTCAAGAAGCGTGTGCGGTTGATTAAACACTTTATTGACATCTTGGAGGTACTTCGCTTCCATCCTTAATACCTGATCGTGTCTAACTCCAACAGGCCTGCTACGACATGAGAAACTACTCGACCTCAATCGCCGTCGTGTCCGGACTTGGAACAGCACCGATACACCGGCTGGCTCGGACGTGGTCCCAAGTTAGTGAGCGCTCCATGGCGACCTTCCAACGGATACAGCGTCTCGTCAATAGCACGAGGAATTTCATCGAGTACCGAGAGACAATGCGGGCAGCGAGTCCCCCATGCATTCCCTTCCTTGGTGTGGTTTCATCTCATCCCCTGCAACATGCCCGCAGCTCAACTAACCTGCGTCGCTAGGCGTCTTTCTCATGGACCTAACCTTCATCGAAGACGGCAACCCCGACCACACCCCTGCCGGCCTAATAAACATGGACAAGCGCGCAAAGTCGGCCGCCGTAATTCAGGAGCTACAGAACTACCAGTCCTCCGAATACGTATTCCAACCGGTACCCGACCTCCAAGATTACCTGATCAGCAGCACCCAAGCCGCCGAAGACATGGCGAGCAAACACGATCGCAGCCTGGAATTGGAGCCGCGAACGCGCGTGGAAATGAGCGGCGGCGGCGCCCCCTATGTTTCTACCGGAACCCACATGACAGGCATCCTCGTTGCAAGCATGGCGATGGGAGATTGAACCCAGCCAGCCCAGCGTCAACAATTAATGAGCAATGCGTTGTATGATTACATTCGCCAGGGATCCCATCACGAATTTTCCCGCCCTGCCCCTCCCGCCGAAACCAACCAAAGCGAAACCCAACAGGGACCCTGGTGCCTCTCCGTGGATATGTTTTAGATACCCTGTCATTTTGTAATACTAGTATGTTAGAAATAATTTTGCCTTTCGCCCGTGCCCCGTTGGAGCCACCTCCGATGCTAACTGCTCACTGGCCAGGCGTGCTGGGGTGAGAAACCGCCGCTGTCTGGCCCACTCCTCCGATATCGCATCAACTCGCGAAGGTCCAACTCGAGGTCCAACTCGCCAGTCGCGCCTCGCAAGGCCATCCCATTTTCGTCGATGCTCGGAATACACCTACCGAGCTCAGGTCAGTCGATCTGTGCTCGGTGGACTTGACATGTCGAGCAGGACCCCACGTTCTGCTACGCTTAATCGGAGCTGTTATTCTGTTCGACTTCCATAACCCCTGCAGTCCGGAAAAAAGGAGTCGGTCTAGACTTGTTCTCTTGTATTTTCTAGTATATTCTAGAAATGCCATAATCTAAGCCGAATGTTATGTTCAACTTCGTGTTCTACTATTATACGTAATTCGGTCCACGACCACGGCAACGGTACGGCTGGCGGCCCCATACGGGCGTCAACCATTCTCCAGCAAAGTTAATACCGAATAAAGCACGTAAAAGAGTGGATATAGCTGATGTCATTCCAGTCGTCGTCTAGTAGATCCATTGTATTTGGGTATCGTTTTCTAACCACTCTCCAGTCGCCCAGCCCAACAGCCCAACACAGCCCCAAAAAGAAAAAAAAAAGAAAATATACAAATCACAAGAAAAAATCGAACCAAACAAAGGAAGAAAATCACAAGACAACCCCCTTATTCTGCTTCCTATCCAACCGATAATTCCTCCAAACCGCGACAGCCGGGAATCCCAGCACCAGCACACACGTAGACAAAATACAAGCATACTTCATATACTCGCTCCAAGCCTGATTAATCGCGTTCCGAATCTCCGAGCCCACAGGGTACGTGATCTGCTCAACATACCCCTTAATATAGATATCAGCGGCAAGGTCCTTGGAACTTTCCGGCAGATACCGCGTGAGGAACTTCAGGAAGGTATTATTGAAGACAGACGCCGAGGCCGCAAATCCCACAGCCGTCCCGATGCTCGATGAGAGGCTGAGAATGGACAGCATCATGGGAACACTCTCGCGGTCGGCGGCTGCCATCACTGCCATATCCTGCCCGATAGCTAGGGTAGACCCGCCGAAGGCGATGAAGATCTGACACATAACCACATACCCGATTGTGCTGTCCTCGTTCTGGCCGCGGAAATGGATCATGAGACCCGAGCCCAGGAAGAGGAGTGGCATACCGAAGAAGAGGGTCTGGTATTTGAACTGGCGTGTAATGCGGATCACGATACCCACGAGGACGGACCAGAATGTGCTGCCGACGTTGAAGATCTGGTTCACGTACCCGGCCATGGCGATGGAGAGATTGAAGACCACGACGCAGAAGTTGAGCAGGTATAGGTCCCAGCAGTAGAAGCTGAAGAAGAGCAGGGCGGAGAGGAAGCATGCGCCGAGCACGGTGCGGTCTTTGAGGAGTTCCCAGCGGATGAAGTGAGTTCTTGCGCCGAAGCGTTCCCAGGCGGCGAAGGTTGGGAAGAGCAGGAAGCCGACGATGACCATTGCGATGAAGGTTGCGCTGTTGTATTGGGCGGCGCCGTAGCTGGTCAGGCTGAAGGGGAGGAGAACCAGGGTGAAGGCGGCCATGAGGAGGAATGCGCCGATGACTGGGCTGTTAGTTTGTATACTGAGATATGAGAGAAAGTAATGTACTTACTGTCAAATTCGTGGATGTAGTGGATGATGGACTCGATGGTAGTCCGTCCACTTGGGCGTCGTCGGAAGATACCCTCGTTTTCTGCTCTCTTCTCGTGGACTTTGAATACTACTGCCAATGGAAGGAAGACCACTGGCGCGACGATAGCGAACACTCCATAACTCCAGCGCCAGCCGGACGTCTGCAAGAAGGATTGCGCCGCCAACGGCCCAGTAAATGCTGTGCAGATAAATGGGGTACTGGCAAAGGCGAAGGCGAACGCTCGGTTGCGAAGCCCGGTCGTATCGGCAATGAAAATATCCAGAATCAAGTAGAGAGCATCATATCCGACCCAATACAATACATATCCAGCGGCGTATGAGTCTGGGCCGTTGCAAGCCGCGAGGATGATAATACCCAAGACATAGATAGCGACGAAGACCAGCAGTCCCTCCGTTCGTCCCCAGAGGGTAAGGATTTTGGCAACGGGCAGCTTCAACACACCAGCCACGACATTGGACAGGATATTCGCGGTGCTGACTTGAGGAGCAGCACTGAAGTTGGCAAAGACGTTCTGGATAATAGCGCTGCTGATGGACGACTGCAGGGCGAGAATGAAGAATCCCAGCCAGACACTATTCCATTAGCATCACTTCAATATGCAACCAATGGATCACTTACAGGGCATATGTGCCAAAAGCCGCCTTTTTACTCCAGACCAGTGCGACAGCTTCCGCCTTCTGCACACCCGGTTGTGCATCCTCGGTTACCCCCTCGCGAGCATCATGTCGTAGTCCGGCACTGCTGCGAGTGTCGGTCGACGGGCCCCAGGCATGGACCTCAAAGTCACTCGCCTGGTGGTGCTTCTCATCCCTGAAGTGATAATCGTCGGTACCGACGACATTCTGCGCTGCCCGTGCATCACGGTTCCGAATAAGATCCAATGCGCCCATGGTCAAGCCGGATCTGTTTACTTCAGTCGACAATGTCGAGTAGAGTTTCCCACGAGATGACTTTCCGACGTAAAACAGACAGACAGAATAAATCCTCTTCGATCAGGGTACGGACGGGGCCAGCCCTTTTCAGCACACGCGAGGCGGGCCAGAGTTCCCAGCAAGTACTCGTCAGTACTAGCAAGGACCAGGGCGCAAGGCCAATGGCGGACAAATGTTACCGCATGAAACGCGATGCCCACGCCGGTCACACATGCAAGGTGGGATGGCTCGCTATAATACCCACCGGATATCGCGCCAGGCGGGAAAAAAAGCCACAAAGTCCCAACCAAGCACCAGCTCTGCCGCATGGTGATCCAGCCTGGGTGGGGCGTGTCCCACGGCTGCTGCGAACTGCGATGTCGGATCTGATAAAATACAGATCTGATAAGGCGGGTCGGATCAGATAACGCTGGGCGGGTTGTGTTTCTTTGCAATACGGGCACGAGGCCCCACAGACTATTGAATTGTGTGGCATGGCAGCATGCGATCAAGTCCGATCATTACATACTTGCTTTTGTTTCTTTTGGTGCTTTGGGCATGTCACGTTAATTAAAATGCAGACGGCTCGACGACCTGTCGACAGGGGCCTGTCCAATCAGCGGGCGACACCCCCCGGCTGGTGTGCGACGTTGCGTCCAGGGTTGTGTTTGGCTGGAAGAAGCGTTTTGGCTTGGGGCAAGCCCTGCGAGTGAGAAGCGACAATCGCAGGGGGCGGGATCGCTCCGGTCCGTTTTGCTTTGGAACCGGCCACCTCGCCTTAATGAGCCCACCTGCCAGCCCACTGTCATTACTGTCATTAAGCAATCACACTAACCACTTAGTAGGAATGCGAGCTGAGCGATCATGATCGGACACAATTAAAACAAACTCGACAGATCACATCAAATTAGCCCACAACCCAATCAACCTTCAATAACAGTATCACAATATCACAACATCACACATTCAACGTCGAGATTTCCAGTTCAGTCCTGCAATACGCTCGCCACCCGTGCATAGACACGCGGCTCAGCGCGCTTCGTATACCCAATGACGAACTCCCTGCAAATCTTGACATCCTCCGGCCCAGTATTGTGCAATTCAAACTCCACCCTGCGAGCGAGGTGTGCAAGGGCCATGTACAGTTCCGCATAGGCCAGGCTGCGCCCGTGTTAGATGTAAATTGGACTATATACGATGCGGAGATGAAGACGTACTTTATTCCCAGACAAGCTCTGCTGCCCTTCGTGAATGCAGTCAGGTAGCGATCGAGCCGTTCACCCGTTGCAGTCTTGCCATTTGTGCGAATCCACCGGTCGGGGTCGAATTTCTCTGGGTTGGGGAAGATGGTGGCGTTGCGGTGGATGAGGAAAGGTGATGAGCCCATGGGTGTCTGACAGTTCAGCATGCATTCCAAAATGCATAGTTCTGGATTGAACATACCCCTGGTGGGATTGGATAGTCCTTGTATACCAAAGTCTCATCAGGAGCAACACGAGGGAATCGGTTCATGGCCGGAGTGGCAATCCGAAGCGCTTCGTTGAGTACAGCGGTCTATACAAATCAGCCTCTCAAAAAGTCCGTTCCAGTGAGTAAACATACCAAATAAGGAAGTCTCTCCAGCTCCAGCAATGTACAAACACTCGTCGCCGTCGGAAGAACCGTCCTAACCTCGTCCCTCAACCGCTGCAACACGTCCCTATTCCGCGCCAGATGGTACGAAGCAATCGTCAAAGTCCGCCCAGTCGTCTCAGTCCCCGCCGCCAGGAAAATAAGACTTTCCTCCTCTATACGCTTCTTCGTGCGCTCCTCCGGCGGCAGCTCCGGGTCGATGAGTTTATGCACTAGTGTCGTCGCCGCCTTACCCGGCTTCGCCTCTTGCGTCGCCGAGTCCATCACCGTATCCAGAATGGATTGCTGGAAGTCCAGCACGGCCGTCTTGCCCGGTGCCAGGAACCGCACCATCCACCCCGGCGTCGAGCGGACAAGAGGGTCCAGGAATGGGAAAAACCGGTTAATGTGGCAGATGCCAGACACTTCTGTCGCGGCTGTGCGGATATCACTCCGGAAGTCCTTATCTTCGAGGAACCCCCAGAGTTTGCCGTAGCCGTAGTACGTGATGATATCGGCAGTTAGAGCTGCAAATGCATCGTCTAGCTGGACGACTGTTTGGGAGTGGTGGAATTCGTCGAACCGCTGGATTAGCTTGTTGATGCGTTCCTGGATCATGGGTGCTAGGTCTATGACAGAACGCTTCGAGAAGAAGTTGTTTAGTAGGTTCCGGCGGAAGCGGTGGTGCTCATGGCTGATGGTCGAGATCATGGATGTACCGACTGAGAAGATCGGGACCCAGGAGGGATCTTTCTCGCGACGACGGCTGGATGAGGTGTAGATCTCGTCGTAGAAGTCGGGGTCGCTGATGTGGACCTCTCGGGGCGTTATTCGGACGATAGGGCCTATTTGATTAGAACCTGATTATATTGATTCGGTGAGCATACCATATTTGCGGTGCATCTTCTCGATTTGGAAGAGAAATCGTCCGCCACCAGCAGCGCAGACATCGTAGTAGAACTCGTACAGGTGGGTAATGGCTGCCAGCTTAGGGCCCGGGATATGGCTCAGCGGGTGGAAGTACAGCCGGTAAATACTCCGAATTATTAGGAGACTGACTGCCCCAGGGAGCAGAAGCCAGGCATGAGTAGTGGTCAGCATCGTGGCAGTATCTAGTGGTATGGAATGGGTAAGGCAGGGAGAAATTGTCTGGGTGCGGCCATGTCCTCCCTTATACTGATGACGGGATCTCTTCACCCAGTCAAGGGATATAAAACCTACCACTGACGAGAGATTGACAACCCCTCTTTTGCCATGGCATTAGCATCACTGCACCTTTACCCTATACACTGCGTCGCCGTTCTATCAAGGCTTTCGAGGCACATCATGATAGGGAAGTGATAAGCCATCCCCTCAGACAATCCTTGTCTAATCCTGGTCATCACCGTTGGCAGCTGCAGGGCTAATGCAAGTCTGCAGAATGCCGTTTGAGTCTTGTGTGCTGCGCTCGTAATGACTATGCGTCTGTCTCCATTGGTGTGTGCCCTGTTGGGGTGATGATGCTTGCACGTTCTCAATATATCCCGCGCGACTGACTCAGGTAAACGCAATCATAATACACCACAAAGCTCATGCTCTCTAAAGGCCAATCTGAGCGCATTTAATATATCAGCCAAGAGGTGGGACACCCTTCATAGTCGGCTGGGCATGGAACCAGGATTCTAAGTTTCTTCAGTCAGCACTGTATTCCTTCGAACCAAAGCTTACCAGCGCATCCTCAAACTCAAAACTTGGCTTCGTATCCTCGTAGTCCTGTTTCGGTGACTGCTTCTTCTCACTCTTCCTGCATCGCCGTTGGGTGCATCATTCAGAGCGCGGTCTCAGACAAATGTACCATGCAGTACCCCGCCTTGCCGAGTATGCAGTATCAGCAGAAGCCCAAACCACCCCTCTTATTAGCTCAAGGACTAGCCGCCCACTCCCTATTCCTAGTATCAAGCCGGTAAGCACCAAGCCGGTAGCATGCACTTCGGAAGCACTCGATTCCAAGTCAGGCATGGAGGGGAGTAGTTAAAGGCAGATATGAATATATACCATGACCTGGACTCCTCTTTCATACTTAAGCCGATGAGGGGTGCAACCACTACGAGAATCGGAATTTCCTCGTTTGATGACTGACTGGCTTGTCCTTGTTGGAGTGTGACGCGGCCCGATACCTAGGAATGGTGTCTTGACCCCCAGCTCCGGTGGGCAGTCCACGTAAGTTGCTCGGCTGGTATTTCCCAGCCCAGCTAGGAAGACGCAAGCGCTTGGAGAACTGGATACCTGTTTGTTCTAGGGGAGACAATGAGATGAAAAGTCTAACAGTAGGAACTTGACGGTCCCTGGTCGCCCCTCTTTGGCTGCCGTATCAAGGTCTTATGTCAAGGCAATGGAGAGAGAGGTGACAAGACGAATATTACTTCTGAAATAATCAAAGAATACCGATTGACCCCCCGCCAATTTAAAGCTGGCTGTATTGTTTGATTCGCTTGATACATTCATATGACATTACAGTTGCTGGACAAGTCAACCTTATTCTCACTCCAGTCAAACCCGGTGATATTAATAAGGATAACTACCTGGTAGTAAAGTTTGAGACCCGTAGAAAGTTATATTCCACAATATTCTCGCCTTCACCTACCTCTGCTGCGCTGACAAGGTTGCAGCACAAGTTCCAGTACTGACATTTCTTCCATGACCCTGGCTGGTGTCTTGTGTGTATTCTAGACTTCCGGGGCCATGACGCGAAGGCTACTTGGGCTCGCAAACCCTAAGCCAGGCATCCACAGTATAAGGTTCCGGGCCTTTGCTCCATGAGATGGGACACGACCACCATCACCGTTGCATACAGTTTATATAGTAATATGGACATTATTCGGAAAGTCAAATATGACTCTTACGGCATGGAAGGTCAACGTCGCCTCCCTCGCATTCCCATCCTTTTCTCTTCCTCTTCATACCCTATTCACCACGTCAATCTCGCTCTACTGTCACATATCTATCAGATACCCTTATTAAACTGCCTATATTACGACAAAATGACCCTCCGCCACATCATCCGCGACATCCTGCGCCCACTCTGTATTCTGATCGAAAACACCCTCGAAAAGACACCGGCCGCCCAAAAGCTCCGACGCCTCCAACACCGCCTCTTCGGACTCACCGTCACCGAATGGCGCATGCTAAACATCTACCTCTCCTGCCGCGAAACCATGGACACGGGCGTACAGAGACAAGGCTGGATAAGCGCCGAAATCACCCGTCTTGAGGAAAAGCTATCAGGCCTTGAATTCAACGAGTCAGACCCAGAAATAGTCGAGCTCGCCATCGAGTGGTGGGAGATGTGTGAGGAGGGGATTGAGAATATGGACTTCTGTGACCAGACGCTGGGACTTTTAAGGGAGGCGCAGAGGGGTCTTGCGCATACGCCTGTCTACCGTGGGTTGTACGATACTAGGGGGAAGAAGGGGATGGGGCACTGGTCGTCGTGGTTGAGGGCGAGATGTGCTAAGGCTGGTGGGTGCTGTGGACGGCCTTGTCAGTGTTGTCGGAGGGAGAGGGATCATCTGTTTAAGATGTGGAGGGGGCATTGTACGGATGCTTGTCGGTGCTGTATGGAGCACGCTGGTGTGGATGTGTCAGCTGGCAGTCTGGATTGCACGCCGGGGTTGGCTTTTGATATTGGGCCTGGGAAGGAGCACAAGGAGGGGAGAATGCTGGTGAAGAGTCTTGTGTGGGGTGGTTGATTGTCTGGACCTTGGAAGTTTCGCAAGCTTGCACATGTATTTTGTTTCTTTTCTCTTATGTTACCTGTTCAATGTACTGCATTGCACTGTTTGCTATTGTTTGTTATTTTGCAGCATCGCATTTGTATATGAACTTGTCCCCGCGAGTGTCGGGAATACGAAGAATACATTCGTTCGTCTAAAATAATCTAGTAGAGCCGCTGCTCATACAGGCCGTGATTCGTATCTCTACTAGATTAATAGTGACATATCATTAAATATATAGATAAAGCAACGGATTCCAATCCAAAATCCTCGACAGCAATAAAATAACCACACGAATACCATCAAGCCTTCGTTTCCTTCGTCAGCCCATAATCCAACCTCTCCCACTTCATAAGCAGCGCACAAACCAAACAAATCGCACCCCCAGCAACAACAAGATAAAACTCCCTCCCAATCACACTCGCCACGGCCTCGACGCCCCGTTCAATAACCTCAGGATCCCGCGACTGCCACACAACAGACGAAACACCAGCAAGCGCCTCCCGCAGATCATGCTCAGAGTATCCCCTCCCCCCCAGCGCCTCATTAAGCAGACTATACCCGACATTATGAAAAATACACCCCGCGACAGCAAGAACAATCGCAATAGCGCCCATCTGCGCCATATTAAACAAGATAGCAGAATCAACCCGGTCCCGCGGGGATTTCTGGTTCATTACATTCGAGATCCCCACGCCGTGCTGGAAGGAGCAGCCCAGCCCGATCCCGATCAGAGCCTCCAGGCCCATGATTGTTGATTCGGTGGTGGATGGCTTAGGCATTATCGCTGCCATTCCAGCTGCGGCGGAGATGGTCGCCAAGCCGGCGAGGAGATATACAGGCGCGTAGCGGCCTATCTTTGGTAGAGAGCCGCCGACGAGGATGACGACTGCGATGAAGACGAGGATAAATGGGAGGAGGCGGACGGTTTGCTGCAGGGCGCCGTGGCCGCGGGCGAAGGCGAAGTACAGCGGTGTGTAGTAGAGGGTTACGGCGTAGGAGGCGCCTGCGCAGCCCGAGGCGACCCAGAGGGGGAGGAGGTCCATGCGCTGCAGGAGGTGGAGGGGGATAGAGCGCTCTTCGCGGGTGGTGAAGATGCAGAGGGATTGCTGCAGGAACCAGGCTATTGTGATGACGCCAAAGAGGACCCAGATGGCGATGGTGGCGCCGTCGGACCAGTTCCAGATGGAGCCGGAGAATTCGAGGGCCACGGCGAAGAGGACGGGAGAGGCCATGTTGAGGATTAGGCCGATGGGGTCCATTTTCACGATTCGCTGGACAATGGGGATGTCTGGGCCTAGGTATTTGCTGGGGATGCAGAAGAGGCTCAGGACCAGTGCGAGGCCGACCCACGGGAGGTTCATATAGAAGGCCCAGCGCCAGGTGGTGTGGTGGTTGGCAGCTAGGGCTGACCCAATGGGGCCTCCTATCACCAGCCCAATGGCCCAGGTTGCACTCAGGAGACCGAATAGACGCGGGGTCTCGGTAGGTGAGGCAAAGACGGCGACAAATGTCAGATTACTATGCAGTTAGTCAAGGCCCAAATGTAAAGAGAAAGATGGTACCTTTGATAGACAATCGCACCAGACACGCCCATTATGATGCGGCCGACAATCACAGCAGAAATATTCGGCGCAGCCCCAGCAACAGCAGCACCGGCCATGAAGATCACAACATTTACAATATAGATCCAACGCATATTGAAGCAATACAAGATCTTGCGTGACAGGCCGAGGACAGCAAAGCTGGCGAGGCTGTAGGACAGGCCAATCCACGGGAGGAGCTCGATATTGCCAAACGCCTCGTACAGACGGGCCTGGATATTGGCGACATTACTCACATCGTATCCTGCGCCGTTAGACGGGTTACAGTGAAGAAGGAGGGCAAGTACCGTTGATTACAGTCGTGAGTAGCAGCACAACAATGCTGCCGTGCCACTTCCACGCAGGCATATCCCCGCGGGGACTTGGAACAGCCTGAAGGGGCTCACTGACAGGGGCCTTCTCGGTTGACTGGCTATCTGGTGTGCTGTCGACATTTTGGCCTGCCTCCGTCGACGGTGTACTGGGGCTTTCTCGGCTCATTTTTGCGACAACAGTACTATCAGTTGGCAAAATTCCACAAGGCTCAAAAGTTCCACAAAGGCCAGCACGCAGCGACCACAACGGCGTTGCTGTCCTTATAGTCTGACAACGGCCCCCAGAGCTGCGCCCATCCGTGGTGTGCTTTGTGCAATATACTAGTGGCAGTGTTTAATGCGCGCCGAATGCTGCCCAATGCGGCATAAGCTGACCCTGCGATTACTGCGATTAGGTGCGGCGCTATACATGAATCGGGAACCCACTCCGATGCAAAGAGAACCGCTATCCCGAAATAGTAACCGTGGCTTAGGACTTGCTCTACTTTTGTTGTCTTTGTTGGCGATAACAATGCGGGCTGTGCCACCGTGCCGGCACGTGTCTGGGGACGTGTCCCACCAGCCTTGTGCCGCACAGCCTTAAAAGCGTATCAGACGCCAGAAAGCTGTTGGTGGCTTTTCTGCTGCATTGTTAAGCGCCAGTCTGGTGGACCGTTGACCTGTCACCTCTTTCACCGGCGTTGCCCTGTTTCGGAAGCTTTATTCATGGGTGAATTCTGTGTCTACTCAGCCCGCGAGATTATCCATCACATAGCCTTTCATGGCACGGTAAGCCGGCAATCCAAACATGCGCCCCGTTATTTGGGTATATATTGCCGCTTTGTTAACTTGCTGCCGCTTCGCACTTGGGGCTGGATGGTAACCGTGGTAGGGAGATGGGTCTCTCCATTCAAGATAAGAATTGTTCATCTGCCTGTCTGTTCGTGTTTCCCTTTATTGCGCAGTACATTCTATATTTTATACTATAAAATCGGAGCAGTGGAGATTCGTTGAAGTAGGTCGGACAGTAGATTTCTCTCTGGGGATGTTACTCCCCATTTCATACCACCCCGAGCACTACGGAGTAAGCGGGATATAACCAAAAGTATATTCTTTGCATCGTCCCCCTTGTTCAGTACGTAGCAAAGGTCTAAAGGTACGGAATCGCCCGTGGAAGGCCAGCAATCACAGTTACAACATCCTCTGCAGCCCCAGATGGTTAAGTATCATGGACAGCCACGGCTCTGGCTCAGCAAAAAGAGTGGATACTAATGGTGGGAGCCGTCAGGCAGAGAGATATTAATACGCCCCAGAGCCTGTATTACAATGGCTGTAATTGCCAGAGTCGGTTTGGGAGTATAGTAACCGATGGTATATCATATCTTGTAAGGACAGCCTGCTGGTGAGTACATCAAAAATAACCGAAAATCCGAAATCCTTGTTTGCATCAAATGTCAGCAAAGGTGCCGGCGGAGGAAATCTGTTTCAGCCTCAAGGGCCTCTTGAAGTTTACTCCCAGCATAGACCTCAAAATGACCCGCCCGCACAATATGCAGAGACTTCGGCTCCAGAGCCTTTGCATACGCCTTCAAGGCTAAATCAGTCGGAGCGGCTTGATCATTGTCGGCAACGACCATCAACAGGGGAGTTGGAGAGATATGCTTCATATATGCCGCAGGGATATATCCCCTAAGAGCCTCCAGCCTGATATGGAATCAGTGATGCAGTCACCAGGAGAGAAAAACAACATACGTTTTCACGGTAACGGTATTCAACCATGTTGTGCCCCGGCCATTCGTAGTGAAGAATTTATAGCTCTCTAGCGATGGAAGAGCTGATTGCGCCAGTGGGTCTTCATTGACGACCGGTAGAGACAGCGGTGTCTCCCCTGCTGCTACTGCCAGCCGATCTATAAGGCCATCAGTAAAAGTTCATATATGCGACATACATCGTCAGCGTCCACCTTTCTGAATCAACTCATCCACCAGCGGAAGAAAATCCGGACGAATCAAACGGTGGAGGTTCTCCCATCCATCAACCACAGGCACCTGGCTAACAACAGCCTTGACTCTCCTATCTATAGCACCCAAGCACAGGACATGCCCACCACTATACGAAGTCCCCCAGGCCCCGATGCTGTCGGATTTAATATCATCGCGAGTTTGGAGGTATGTGATCGCGTCCGAGTAGTCGCTGATCTGCTGCGCGGGGATAATCTCCTGGCGAGGCTGGTTTGGCTGGTTATCGCTATCGCCGAACCCGCGGTGGTCGTAGACTAGGCAGGCGAGATCGAGATGGGTGGAAAAGTGCTCTGCGATACTGGGGAGGACCATCTCTTTTACGGCGGCGAAGCCATGGGCCATTACTAGACAGGAGAGAGGTCCGTTACTGGAGTTGGGGGGCTTGTATAGCCATCCCCGTAGGGTTGTCTGGTCTGCAGTTTTGAAGGAGATGTCTTCTCTTGGCATGGTGATGGTACGGAATTTAATACAGAATAAGAAATTTTGTTCTCTACGAGAAGTCTTAAAAGACTGTTATATGGGCAATAGTCAGCAGTGTAACGCTCGGACAATGTAACTCTACCTTGCGGTCAATCAGGCCCCCTGCCGTATGTAATGATGGCGTGACCTACGATGACCTCATCATCCCCGAGCTGTTCAACAACTCAATACCACAATGACTATTCAGCGAATCGTGCATTGATAATTCACCGGATCCACCTCTGGCCATCTACTGCTTAGTATAGCAAACCATGAGTGGTTAGATTGTATAGATTTCTCATCATAGCCTCTAGCCTTCTAAACTGGACCCTGTAGCTTATTGTTTACTCCTATTAACTTCGCCAAATTCAAAACGCAAGAACCTCGCCGAGTCTCGAGCTCCAGGGATCCAAGAAAGTAAATACATAAGCGCACGATACCCCAAAGGAAACTTCTCAACGCCCGGTGCCTCCGCCAGGCGGACGGATTCAACCAATTTCAGCCCTGGATGGAGGCCTTCGAGCAACTTCGGGTCATCCACGCCCCAATGGAACTGTGCTCTGCTGCTATTGATGAACTCGATTGGATTCTGGCGCTGGAGACTTTGAAGTGTTGCCATAGTTATACATTCGAAGAGGAGTTCGCCATTGGGGAAGGTTTGGCAGAGCCGTTGTACCAGTCGTTTCACATCTTCTTCGGGCAGATAGCACAGTAATCCCTCCATCACGACAAGAACGGGTTCATGGGTTGTGATATTCTTCATCCAGTCCTCGTCGAGAACATCAACCCCCAGAAGAGAGTAATCTCGGCCAGACAACGATTCTGGCTGGACCTTTCTTCGAAGGTCGATGGCCTCAGGTAGGTCAATGTCGATCCAACGAGTATTCTCGCCCCATTTTACCCTCTGCATTCGGCTATCAAAACCACATGCTAGATGCAGAACCGTACTCTTCTGGTTGCGCTGGACGAATTCCGAAGTCCATCTGTCGAAATGCCTTGTTCGAACGGCGATAGCAGCACACTGGTTAGGTGTGGGAGCAATCTCATCAACGTCCACGTCAAGCCGGTCCAGGATATCTTGAGCGTATGGATCACCAAGAACGGGTGTGGGGGCACGGAAGTCAGAGGCTCTGGCAGCAAGGGTAACCAAGAGGGTTCTGGCAACGCCGTTGAGATTGACTTCTTCCTTGGTCACGGTGGTGTTCGGTAAATTATTATCGTTGTCGATAGCCATAGTTGCCCCCGAAATGAGCGACTTGACAATACCTCCCACCCTTATACAGTCAATCGAAAAACCCCTGAGTCAGCGGCGGCACATGGAGCCAAATCGGGAATGGTGCGGGAATGCAATCTAGGCCAAGTCGAACTTCCCCTCCAACTTTGACTGACACACACGGACCTTCCAGTGCAATAATCCTGATCCAAGTAATTTCATCCACTCCTATCACAATTCTTCAAAGGCAACGCGAATGGCCATAAGATCGTCCAGTGCAAAGGCGCTTGCTCGTCTAGTTGGCTGGTGACACTCGCTACTTCTGCCTAAAGTCCGATCTTAAAACTCAGATCGACATGGCGGAACGAAAGAAATACCTCAATGAAGAGGACTTCAGAGCAGGTGCGTACTAATTCACCCTACTAGACTAAACTGCACAGGCTCACCATGATTCTAGGTCTTGTCGCTCTGGACAAGGAGATGGGACAAAACCCCTGGCTGGTAGCATTCGCGCCTATCAGAATTGTCACTGCTGGCGGTTTCCTTGCCGTCTCCTATCTCAGGAACCGCGAGGCCACTGGGGATATTGACTACCTGATCGACCCTGAATTTGTTGGAGATGGCGATATCAACAAGGCCCTTCATGCGGCAATCGAGTCCGTCGGCAACCGATTGAAATTCAACTATGAATGGTTCAACGACGACATCTCCATTTTTGTTACCAAGCGCGCCAGGGAAAATGTGTTCGAGCGGGCCGATAAGCAGGGCATTACACTTTTCAAAGGCGAGTATCTCGAAGTGCTTGCTGCTCCAATCGAGTGGGCCCTCGAACGAAAACTAAGGCGCATTTATGCCGGTGATCGGGATCGCAAGGCCGAAACAGATATGGCAGACGCAGTCGCTCTTTTGAAGAAGCTGAAGGAACGAACCAACGAGCCTCTGGATTTGGAATCGATCCGAACGATGAACACAAACGGGTTCGACGTCTGTCCAGATCATGACACAATGCATCGTGTCGCCAATGTATATCGTGATGAATACAAGGAAGAGCCCTTCAAATAGACATGATGTTTCCGGGCAGAACCAGTCTGCAAGGAGTCCATTCCCCTTGTACGACGCTCTCCCTTAGATAGTGTAGAACCAGCCCGTATTCGTGATTATGTTGCGCCGGGCAAAATTCTGGCCCTTCCCGCCCTCCTCCAGGACCAAATTCCCCTCCGTGTCTAGAGCCTCTGGTGGAACCGAGATCTTCAGAAGATCCCTATCGATGGGGCCAACCTCGGTCGTCCAACCCGGAAGCTCCTCTGGCGTAAAAGGAGGCAACGTATCGTTTGCATCCTCACGATAAATATGCTGATGATCCCTCCGAAGCCCCAAGCTCAATCTCCAATTCACGGCCTCGTATAACTCCTCCACGATAGACGCCAGAATCGCATACCGGAGGGGGTCGGGGTCCTTCGGGTCGGGGATATCTCGTAGGCGCCAGTCAGGGCGGTAGAAAAAGTACTCCGTCTCCCATCCCATTAAGTCATAGTGATCCGCAAGGTGTAGCTCGTAGAGTCGGTAAACGGAGCGCAGCGAGGTGTCGCGCATGCGCCAGATTGGGATCGCGCGAAGGTTGTGGATTTCGCCAAACTGAGACGCGATTATTCCGGTCTCCTTCTTGGTGTCTTCAATCAGTGCCCGCGGGGCAAATGGGCCTGGGACTGGGAAGAACCATGACGGGAATGGGATGAACATGCGCAGGAGCGTCAGAAGGGGGTGTTTGTGGTTGCTCAGTCGAGTGAGACTGCCGCGGATCTTAAGGGGCGAGTGCCAATAGCGAATCCATAAGCGAAAACGATCCCACAGAGATATCTTCGGTCTTGGACGGCGAGGAGCGGCCATTAATGGAACGTGTTGCTTTCTGGGGAAGGAAGAGCAGCAGCGAGGTGAGTAAAGGCGGAGGCTTGGCAGATGGTCACCTGATGCGCCAACCAAATGTGGCAGCAGTCATTTATGAAGATAATGTTAATCCCAGTTATTTGGCTTGTGCATCCTTTTAGAATTTAGTGGCGGTTTGGGCTGTGTTAAGTTAGTTGTTTTCATAGAATTGTGGTGTCATTTCATTCGTTGTCAAAGATGCATTCAACGAATACGTTGCCGGTTCATATATATATTCACTGTTTCTACCACGAACCTCGGCTTAGCACCTTCAATGAGACTGCAAATGCTCTTGTCAGCAGTTAGTTTATAGAACACCTGCAACTTGGGTTCTGCGCCGTATCGTTCTATTGGGGCCAACAGTACCACACCAGTATCTTCCCAGCCCTAATAGTGATTTGTAACTATCAGTGCCCCAGTTTCAAGATAATCCTCCAACACAACGCTCGTATTGACACGGCGCAAGTGAGTCACTGCAATTAATAATGCAGGGTTACTCCAAGATACTACCCAAGCCCTCGTATTCGCGGGAGAGACAGTATATAAATGATAAAGTGCCCTGCGAGGCAAAGATATAATCCAGACTAATCAATAACCCATCTCTCAAACAACCAAAGAGAAGAAAAAGAAGAAAATGGCATCAGGAATAATTCTCGACCAACACTTCACCCACCACTCCTCTACCCACAGCACAACCATCCCCTGGACAACACTGGGCGAACTGACCAATCCTCCACTAATCTTCATCCACGGTACTCCCTGGTCCTCCGTTCTGTGGCATCCATACGCAAAAGCACTAGCTTCTAAATACAGTGTCTATCTTTTTGACAACCCCGGCTTCGGCGAGTCACCAGGCCGCAGTCCTCTCCAGACAAGCAATACCAACAATACCAACGAGATTGCATCCCTCGACGCCTCTCTCGCCGGGCAAGCAGAATCCTTCGGAGCGCTTTACCACTCCTGGGGGTTTAAAGAGGGCAACCTCCCGCATGTCGTCGCCCACGATGTCGGCGGGCTGATCAGCCTCCGTGGATTCCTGCTTCACGGATGCAAATACGCGAGTCTGTGTCTTATTGATGTTGTCGCGCTCCGGCCGTTCGGGAGTCCATTCTTTACCCTCGTCGGCCAGAATCCTGGTGTATTTACTTCTATCCCCGAGGTTGTTTTTGAGGGGATGTTGCGGGAGTATATCCGCGGGGCGGCGTTTAAGGATATCCCGGCTGATATCGAGAAGAGGCTTGAGAGGCCGTGGTTGTTAAGTAAAGGTGGGAGACAGGGGAGTGTAGGATTTATTCGGCAGATTGCACAGGCGGATGCTCGTGATGTTGAGGAGGTGGAGGGGCGGTATCAGGAAGTTGGAAGCGCAATACCGGTCAAGGTTATTTGGGGGGTTGAGGACCGGTGGATTCCAGTTGAGCGGGCTGAGGAGCTGGCGAAGAGGATTGGAGCGAGAGAGAATATATTGATTGAGGATGCTGGGCATTTGGTCATGCTTGACCAGCCGGAGAGGGTTGCTGTTGAGATCATGAGCTGGTTGATGGGGGTTACGCGGCGAGGATGATATCAACGCAGTATCGACCTCTGCAAAGACGAGTGTAGACCATGGCCATCGTGCAGATAACAGCACGCCCATACACCAATCCGTCAGCAAGGCTCCAGCGATGTCGGGTCTGTCTTCATGTGGTTTCGGCGGCGAACGTCATGCCTTCTTTGCACTTCTCTGTAGCTTTGCGCACTGGCCATTAATATTCAAAAACACTAGACGGGGTTCGATATGCACATGCAGCCAGCGCCGTTGTTGAAAGAGAAATGGAGGAGAATGGCGAGATACATTGATGTCTGATATTAGTGTTGCGCCACCAGAAACTCAGTTGATAACTTCAATCACCACCACATTATTGCTCCACTGAATTCATTAATACAGAAAGCAGTGACTAGCCACCACCACGTCTAGCTCCTCCACTGCCCATACCACCACTCTAAATGGTTCCTGGGCTCACTTCGTGCACATTCCACTATACCTCCAGACCAATTGTCTACTATACGCCCTCCAAAGCAGCTTCTAACCAGTTCCAGAAACCGACACGGGCTCAAACTTCGTGACACCACAAACACAACCCCACTCTCCTTACAGCATTTGAGAACTGCAGCCTATCAGCCCTAGAGATGATACCGGATAGAACTTGAATAACTGAACCTGATCCATCGAACCTAATTATTTGAGAACCGGAACCACCCGACTCAGACAATCTTCGTCAGAGCGCGAACTACGTCATGTCCCCACAGTTCTTATAAAGCTTCACCCCGCAGATCAGTTGAACTCAACAACCGCAATTGACATTGAATCATCAACTATTGCACATTGCTGATAGATTATTGCAATGACGCTCACAATCCACCACCTGCACGTCTCAGCCTCCGAGCGCGCCCTCTGGCTCTGCGAGGAACTCGGCATCCCCTACGAGCTCAAGACCTACGACCGCCAGCCCCTCCTCGCACCCCCTGAACTGAAAGCATTACACCCGCAGGGCTCCGCGCCCACGATCCAAGACGGAGATCTAACGCTCGCCGAAACAGGCGCATGCATTGAATACATTGCGCACAAGCACGGGAATGGCCGTCTCTTCCTGCCGCCCTCGCATCCGAACTATGCCGATTTTCTATACTGGTTCCACTGGTCGAACGGGACGCTTATGGGGAATGTCGGGCGCGTCATGATGGCGAAGTTTGCAAAGCTGGAGGCGGATAACAGCATGGTCGGCTATTCAAATGATCGACTGGCCAAGTCGTTGAAGATGCTGGATGACCGGGTGAAGGAGAACAAGTGGCTTGCCGGGGAGGAGTTTACGGCGGCGGATGTGATGATGGTGTTTCCGGTGACGACGGGGAGATATTTCGTGCAGTTTAGCTTGAAGGAGTATCCCAATATCGTGGCTTATCTCGGTCGTGTTAGTCAGAGGCCTGCGTATAGGAAGGCGATGGAGAAGGGGGATCCCCAGATGGAGCTGGCTTTGGGTGTTGAGAGTCCGGAGAAGCCAATTGTTTAGATTAGTCTAAAGCATTAGTCAATAGAGTCAATACTAGGATAGATTTATCTAGATCTTAGTCTAGTACCAGTTCCTAACTACATTTCCAATCTCTCTCTGCGGCTAAATCCCTTGGACATCTCACAAGCTCACTCACTGCTACTCAACCCGAGTAATTGGAGCTTGCAAGTCCGAATTACAAATTCTTGATTTCATCTCTCACCTCCTTGACATTACGTTCCTCCTCACTCGAACTGTCCTCCTCCTCATCCTTGGTATCCTTCTTCTTCTTCTTAGAAGGGGTCGACTTGGCGCTGTCGGGTGCACGGCGTTTCTTGGGGGTACCTGCAGGAGTCGCAGGAGTTCCAGGCGCAGATTTATTGTTTGAATCCGAGCCAACCATCTTCCTGAGCTTGGTGAATTGGTTTTCAACAGATTTCTTGTTGCATTCTGTAACACAGAAAGGATGTCAATCGTTAGACACACGTTACGCGACTAAGGTTCTGAAAAGGCAACGTACCAGGTCCCATGTAGGCAGCAAGCCTCTCGTTGTCCAGCTTGACGTTCTTTTCTTTCAGCTGATCCAAGACACCGAGGAAGAGCTGGGTTTGGTTAGTAGCTGGCGTCCAGGAGAGAGTGTGAAAGGAGCATACCTTGGCGTTGGCCTCTGGAGTCCAATTCATCGGCATTTTGGGATATTTTTGTCGTGATGGTTGAGAATTGTCAGGGTTGGTGGTTAATCCTGGTACACTGGCCACAGGTCTGGTGGTGAGAAGTGGGAAGCTATCAGAGGAGAACTCATTTTGAAATAAAACCTTTTGTGTTCTTGGGCTGATTAGTCGTGGTGCTTAGTCGTGCATTGCCATGATATCTTCTGTGTTGCTATAGAAGGTACCTTCATTTGCAGCTATTTCTTTGATGAGCATATCACTTCCAACTTATTGTAGGGGCTTCAATAACTTGTGCTAATAATAAACTGTAGCGAATCTCAGCATCCTCTGTGGAGTATCACTACCCGGAACGTGGTGTATCTATAGATCGGGGACGGCTGCCTGAATGCTGCCTCGTTCCCCAGGCACCATCCCCGCATGACTTTCTCCGCGTCGCAGCTGACGATTCCATCAACACCACCTCTGCCTGCATCGCTGGAAACTCGGCTTTTGGCTTGAAAGAATCAAATTAGAGGAATGCTTTCCAATGTCAGAAAAAGAGACTAAGCCTCCACCTGGCTGCAAAATCCGATTTCGCACCGCACCTCGCCCGAAGCCGACTTTCGACTTTGCCCCGGACCAAGAATGGGTGGGCTCTCGTCGGAAGCGTAAGTACACGGGACCAAAGTATTTATATGGCCGTATACTGAACTTGCTTAGGTCGCTTGACGTATGTTGATATGACACCGCGAGTTTCTGGGGGGTTGTCGAATGAATCTACCGCCCAGAGCCCAGCTGCCTCTCAACCCCCAATCGGGTTGTCATCTCCAGTCGAATCAGCCTCTCCATCAACAAACATCTCCAACCAGACATCGCCTCATATTGAGCAAAAGGATCAGCCCGAGGAGCATCCTGAGCGTGATCCCGGCTTAGCTTCACGCTTTCGCTATCCCATAGGACCCCTTCATGGCTGGTCAGATACTTACTCTGACTCGTCTTCGTCCTATCTCGAGTTCCAAGATGCCTGCTTGATGCGTCACTTCATCGAGAATCTGGCTCCATTGGTATCTTACCACACCCAAACGACCCTGAGAGTTGAGCTGACCGATATAGTTTGACACCAGTGACATGGACCGCCATTTCGCCATTGTTGTCCCCGAGCGGGCCCTGCTGTGTCCGGTGCTCCGATATGCTGTCTACACAGCTTCGGCTGGACACCTTATTCGACTCGCATATTGTAGGGGAGGGAATGGCAATATGGTTTCTGTCGATGGGACAAGACTACCTAATCTTACACCAGATGCAGCTATCCGCTATCACGATATCTGCATTTCACACTTGATTGAGATATCGAAAGATCCCGATGAGGAATATAATGAAGATGTCCTGACGGCTGCCACAATTCTGCGTTTCTACGAGCAAATTGACGGTACGTGCCTTCCGATGCCTTTAAGCGCAGAACTCATGATAGAATGCAGCCCCGTCAACCGGACCTTCCGAGGCATATTTAAATGCAATCCAGTTCATCGTCAACACCCAGAAAGACGAGTCGTTCTACTCCTATCAAACGATTCAAGGCCCACCCCGAGACAGCAGTGTTCACGTCACACCGTCGATATCCCTTCGTCATTCCGCCTGCCTCGCCGCGATGCGCCAAGAGATCTGGAGCGCATTTCTTCACCAGCGCCCATTTCGTCTGCCCGTGTCACCGCACAACGACTACAGTTTATTCGACCCCAACAACGACTTCATCCGGGCCAACCGGATCTTTGTCTGGGTTGCCGACCTGCTGATATTTTGCTTCGGAGACAACCACTTCACGACGGCACAGGAGAAACTGCAACGTTGGAACATGCTCAAAGCCGTCGAACAGAGATGGCAAGATCTAAGACCGCAGCCAATGCGGCCATTCTACTACCGCGAACGAGATCCCAGCTCCGGCCGATTCTTTCCCGAGGTATGGCATGCCAACGCGTGCCAAGTGGCCGGGGCCCAGCACGTCGAGCTAGGCAAGATACTCCTCGCGGTCTCCGATCCAACGAGAACCTCCCGATTAGGAATCGGTGCCATGTCACGAAACAACGCGTTGGCTGAGGAGCTGCGGAGTATCACTCGCCGTCTATGTGGACTGGCGCTTTCCAACCAGAAGTGCCCGTCCGCCATGATCACAGCGATGGTCGCAATTGCGGTTTGCGGGGAGTACTTTACCGACCCTGCTGAGCAGGATGCCCTACTTCAGTTGCTGCATGCCCTCGAGTACGACTATGCATGGCCGACCCAAAGCACTGTTGCCGCGTTGCGCGCGTCCTGGGCACAGAACACGGGGCTCTAGGTGCTATTGACTGTCGGGGAATTCCAATTTCCCGGAATTCAGCCATGACTCGCTTCTCGCATCTGAAAGAGCCGCTGTGATGACCACATGTGGTGTGCCCGACTTGGCTGCTGATGCGGGGAATGCAACCACACGAAGAAAGAAGTGAACAGGTGAGAAAGGCAACAAGGCCCACTGTAATATCATAAGGAATAATTCCCCGCAGTACTTCTTACCCTCTTTTTTTTCACGGGACGCGGGGAACACCTTTGTCAGATCGTCTACCGCGCTGCCGCCGACGAGCAAAACACTTCCCAAATGGGAAACTTTCCTATTTCGGAATGTGGAGATCTGTCTGGCCCGACAGTATCGAGATGCGCATCTATAGAATTCACGATGAGCGGCATATGATGCAGTAAGAGTCCTGACGGCCAATTTATAAATGCTTCATCATGGATCAAGGTCGCAAGCAGAGTATGAGCAGAATTCATCAATCATGTTCGCACCTCTGATTTTTGGCAGTGCGGCCTGGATCGCGGCGACCTACTTCTTCATCCTACCTGTTGTGAACTATTTCTACGATGCGAAAGGCTTCAGAAAGTATAATGATTTCTCACCTTGGTCCCCCTTTACCGACCTGCGACATGTCCTGCTCAGCTCTGGCGGACACCGTTCGCGCGACATATACGAAGCCCACAAGAAATCGCCAATCCTCCGGACTGGTCCAAACTCGCTCTCCTTCGGTGATATTCGCGCTGTGAAGGATCTATACGGACACAGTACGAGGGTTGTCAAGGATAAGAATTACACCATCCTCAGCGGCTCACACACTCAGCTGTTCGATGTTGTTGAAAAGCATGAGCACTCGAGGAAACGTAAAACCCTTTCCGCAGCCTTTGCGATCAAGCACCTCGAGAGATGGGAATTCAAAGTGGCATATAGCGCCAAACGTCTGCTGAACGCCATGGATGCCCATTGCACTGCACCAATGCCGAAAGGGCAAACCATCCCCGACCCCAAGGATGTCACATTCGACTGGGGCATGTGGAGCAACCTGTTCACAATCGAAGCAATCAACAACATCGCCGTATCGTCACAGATGGATCTCCTAGACAAAGGCACCGACGAGGTCACGGCGCAAAAGATGGACGGTACGACTTACACCGCCGGATACCGGTTCTCACGCGACCAACTCGTTCGTGCCCAGTCTGTCTTCGTCTGGGACTACAAGCTCTACCCCTGGCTCGCAAAGCTGTCAAACCTCACCCCAAAATGGCGCAAAATCTGGAAAGACGCCGAACCCTGGGGCGACGTAGTCTACCACCAAGCGGCAACCCGTCTGAAACGCTCCTTCAACGGCGAAAAGCTCGACGACTTCTTCTCCTCCCTCATGGAAGACAAACAGGGTGTCCCGAACAACCTCGAATGGGGCGAGATCATCTCCGAAGTAGGCGCCATCATCAACGCCGGCTCCGACACAACCGCAATCGCCCTAACGCAGGTCCTCGCCTTCCTCCTCCAAAACCCACATACCCTCCAACAACTCCGCGAAGAAGTCGACGCCGTCCTCGACGACGACGAGATCGTGGCGTCCTACGATAAAGTCAAGAACCTACCTTATCTCCGCGCCTGTCTAGACGAGGGTCTCCGCCTCAGCCCACCAACCTCAACCGGCCTCCTCAGACGGACACCACCCGAGGGAGCCTCGATAATGGGCGAATGGATCCCCGGCGACACGACGGTCTCGATGAGCGCGTACGCCACGCACCGCGATCCAACTATCTACCCGGACCCTGAAGAGTTCCGTCCGGAGCGGTGGATGGACGAGGAGGCGCGGAAGCGGATGGAGCCGTACTTCATCCCGTTCTCGACTGGTGCGCGTGGCTGTTTAGGTAGGAACATATCGTACCTTGAGCAAACGGTTGTTCTTGCGTCGATCGTGCACCGGTATGACTTTGCGTTGTCGAGTCCGGAGTGGAAGTTGGATGTGTATGAGGCGTTTAATTTGCTTGTTGGCGATATGCCGGTGAAGATCTGGCGGAGGGATTTGGGTGGGGATGTTGTTGCATAGCTGGATCATTCTCCTGGTCGCTATTTTGTACTTGTTAGCTGTGCAAGGTATATGGCAAGAAGTCTTAGGACCATTCGAGTTGTTGCCACTTGTCAGCAATATTCACCTACTCCCATTGTATATTGCGTATTCCCGTGATGTCAACAGGGTGGCTAGTTCAATGGTATGCATTCCCGTAAAACCATGAATATACTCTCGACATCCTTGCTAAATAACATCCAACGCATAAGCCCTAATACGGCTCTGGCGTCTATGAACCAGCACCAAGACGAGTGGCGTCGGCAGCAGCCAGCCCCAAACGAAGCCCTAATGGTTAAAGTTTATTCTAAAATGCCGTGGTATTTGCCCTTGCGGCTTCCACAATTATGAAGCCTTTTTGGATGCTTATAGGGCTAGGGGTGGCTGTTGTTGGGTCATTTACTGAGCCCTCGGTCGCAAATGTAACAATAACAATAATCAGTTTCAACAAATGCCCACATGTAACAAGAAAAAAAAAAAATACATTAATATACAATTCACCAGATCTCATCATAAGTCGGCAACCTCGCAAGCTCCCCACCATCCTGCCCCGGGTCCAACTCCGGCTCGGGCGCAGAAACCCTCACAACAGCCTCAGCCTGCACCTGGATTTTGGCAAACCCATCATGGATGTACTGGTGATTAAAGACCGCAACAGCGGGACTATGCCTCCGCCCCCGAGAGTCAGTAAAGAACCTCGTCATCGCATCCCGAAGCTGGATGGTAGTCTCCTGCTTCTTGCAATCCTGCGCTAGAGACACCGTCAACTTGGTGACGTCGCGTGGCTTCGCCCCGCCTAATGCTAGGGCTGTTTCCAGGTTCGAGAAAGCGAGTTTCGCCTGCTGTTCGAAGCCCTGCGGGATGGAGTAGATCTGCGAAGAAGTTGGGCGGCGCGGGACTATGAAAGATGTGGAGATGAATGCCATGCTTGGGTTGTCTGGCGGGAAGGGCACGATTGATATGTCGGACTGGGGGAAGATTGTCCTTGCGTTGGGGGTGCTGGCGGTTTGCACCAGGGTGTTGGAGGGTGTACGTGGCATTGTGAGATGTTTCTTGACGAATGCGACGAGAGGATAAGCAGTGTAGTGGGTTCTTTTGCGGAGTGAACGCTGTTTTGTAGCGACTGTGGAGGTGGAGGAGGGGCGAGCGTGGACTGAGCCTTGTTGTCGGCTGTGCTGGCGGTGTTTTAATGTGATTGGTACGTGTCCCCGCACGCGACCGTTACTGGCAATTTAACGTGCAATTTCAACCTTAATTGGCAATATAATGTCAGTGCGCCGTCATATATACGAGCTTTGTGGGGAGCTTGTGCCGGGGAACTTTGTGCCGGTGCGCGTCATAGAATAGGCACAAATACTCGAACTAAGTGTAGGCAGCTCATGACAGATCTGGAAACAATTATATAATTACTTTACAGGCCCAATAGTGGACTCTGTGGCAAAACCTCGTAGTTTGTACAACCTACGCTTTTTGTGCCTGACAGTGGATCGTTTGTAGTCAAGGCTTGTGAGCAGATGTAGAGCATATCTGATATATTGTATTATTTATTAATTATTACTGTACTATAATATTATATTACGCAGACATCCTCGAACGCTGCTGGGCACCAGGCCACTGGTCCGTAGCGGAGTAGCCTTCACTATGCAGCATGTACGTTTCGCGCGCCGCCTTGATTCCCTTATTGACCCTCTTAAGACCGCGGTTAAAATTGATCAAACACAGTATCGAGCAAACCAGTAAGGCCGCTGTGAGTACCAGAGCCACATAAGCAAACAGCTGCATCATGTCCTTCCCGGTCGTGTTGGCCCGCTTTCCACTCCCATTGAGCACGATCAGTCGACTGACGAAGTATGCGACGAGACCCAAGTAGCACACCTGGATATAATTAGTTTCGAAAGTTGATTTGAACTTCAAGGGGGCTTACAATAACTGGAATGATGCCGAGGATGATCTCATGCTGGACAAAGTAGATACCCAGGATCATGACGATGAATGCAGCCGGGATAATGGCCATGGTTAGGCTATACTCTGGCTCTTCGAAGTGGACGTCGATCAGGTTATACTGGACGATGAAGCCAATCAGGAAGAAAAAGTCGAGTTTGATCAGAACCAGGTAGACCTCGTAAGCCATATATCGCATCCTGGTTTCCGAGCTGCCGTGGACACACTTGTAAATAGCCCATGCGTAATCCCGATGCATAAAGTACGCGCAGGGCCAGAGGACAAGAGATGATAAAGCAAGGATAATAGGCACAATAATCTCAGCCGGCTGGATTCGTGGCCATACATTCCGGGTTGTATCGACCAAGGTTGGGAAGTTGAAACGCCCTTCGTACAACCTGGCGGTGGTCTCCTGCATTGTTGTGCACTGTAGACCTGCATAGGCGACAATACACAGATTGGCGATGCATATTGCGAATAGCAAGATGTTGTTCTTGTTGTGGATTGCATCCAGGGCAAGAATGAACTGATAGGCGCAGGCGAAAGCCAAAATGCCCAGGGCGATGGGGATCAGGTAGGACACGGGCACTTGCGTGATGGTCGGGGTTACCCATTTCTGCCATTCCACGAGGATATATCTAGTCTCTGGTTAGAGCGAGTTGTCTGGACAATGGATGGTTATTTACATTTCAAGAGCGATGACAAGGGTGGCTTGTGTGAGAAGGGCGGCACATAACCACCATTCGTTGCGGGAGGTTGGCCTATACATTGTGGCGGGTGAGCCTTGTAATTTCCAAAGAGACCATAGAAGGCCTGAGATTTGCAGACTCTAAATGAACTGGGCTGCGGTCAATTTTAAAGAGAAAACTCTTCAGCCAGCCAGTGGTTGTTGGCATCGGGCCCACTGCCAAATCGGGTAAGCAGACCCTCTTCCAAGCTATACAGCACCCACATGTCTCACCTTACTAACATACTAACTCATCTAGCATGCACTATGAAAGGGAGATGGGATGCGGTTCTCCGCGGCGAGGAAAACGGCCAGCGTGGTTAGGATTTAGCCCCACCTGTTTATTGCCACTAGTTCTTCACGACATATATAGCATGTATTAGCGTGCTTAGGTGGTGGATTCATTCTGTGACCATACAGACCTTCTTCCTGGACATGCCAGTATATAAGCCCTATGAAAGTATCATACTACGGAGGTATAGTTGGACTTGTGCCTAGGGAATGATTAAATTTCGGTCTGTCGTTGCATTGCCCAATCTAGTAAGGTCGTATATTAATGGCATAGGTTCCTTGTTACTATCGCTACGCTGCAAAGGCATATACACAATATCAATCGACAAATGGTAGGGCTTCGAGCCATTGTCCACGCTCTTCCTGATTCCTGGCTTCACGGTCTAGGGATCTCTGTCTCTGTACCCCCTCATCCAGCTGTTTCTTAGACTGTTCATAATCCACATCGCTAACCTTACCATCCCAATGTTTGAAGCACCCAGTGTCGTTAAGAAACGCACCCATGAGCTCAACACCTTGAGCCCACAGATCGCCGTCCTCTTCCTGCTGACAGATTTCTGCGTCCGAGAACTGCAATGGGAAGGGCGACCCGTCGCCTTTCACGCCCAGTATAGATGCCCATTCTTTTTTCACATCTCTCAAGAGACTGCTCAGCAGCGGCTCATAGTCCATCAAAATTAATCCCGCAATCACACTAATTTAATGGGGGAGAGAATTCTGGCCCTGTATTGCTTGAAATACTGTTTTATTACGCTGAAGATACTGTACTCGGTATCAGGGACCGGACCATTGTAATCGAGAAATGCAGGACGGCTGACTGGCATGAACAGCGGACATGCACTGACGGACCGCCAGTTAATAATTCCCACAATCCGGGCTGGCTCTTCAGGGTCCATGAATATATTCTGCGAGTGAAGGTCCCCGTGTCATAAAATAGACACATGGGTGGTGTTGTTTGCTGGGAGAACATGGGATGCTACCTTTAGATAGCCTTCCAATGCGGAGAGCTTTTTAGATAGGGTAGGCTGGTATTGTCTGGCTCCGTAGAAAAGACCTTCAGGCATCAAGGAATTCCTCAGACCAGCCTTTGCGACTTTAATTTCCCTCCACGCAGTACCTATCATATAATCTGTTGCTGTGGACCCTGCCTGTTATGAATAGATTAGCAGAAGATAATATTATCGGACTATTTGCAGACGACTTACACGGCCCATGATTTATACTTAACACGTCTCCTCCGAAGTCAAAAAACGAATAGTGGTTAGTTGGCCTAATGTCAGACACGTCGCTTTGTACTTCCTTGCCAGTTGAATCGATGTATAGGGGTGAGGTACAACCCGAAGAATCCGGAAGGTCGCCTTTATAATACAGCCCGCCGAACTCGGAGAATCTACTGGCAGCTAGAAGTCTCTCAACATCAACAACCTGGTCCAGAATCTGGAATTTCTGCTTTCCTTTCAGGCTGTTCCATACATCAGTGAGAACCACGCCGCCCTGCTTCTCCATTAGACTATATGCAGCCCTGAGAGGATTCTCTGACGCTCTGAAGTAAATCGATTGAGAGCCTCTAGGTCATGTTTTGAATCTGCAATGTTCTGGGCCTCATATCTCTTTGAATTGATGGAACAAAAGGATGATCTGATGAGGGCGTCGTTCTTGATACCATGGCGCGACAGAGTTCCCCTAGAATGTTTCTCGGAGAGGCGAGTTGGATGGCCTTCATATCGATTATTGAACAGGGATGGCGTATCATCTCGATATCCCCAGGATATGGCGCGACATGAGTCGTGAATCAACCACAAGAGTTGGAGTTGGAACCGTATTCAAGCTTGATAGTCCAGACGTTGACGGCGTCCAGTGGAGGAATTGACCGGTGCGCATTGACCTGGTATGCCGCCTCTTGGCAGGGCTGAGCGCATGTTAAATTACTCTGCAGAGGCACCAGCTGTTAATTGGATAAACATGACGGGCAGTGTTGCTGCGCCTCGAAGCACCAATTTCGACAGGGGCATCGACTCTTATTGACCGAGTGTTCCCCATCAATTCTTGCCATGTCGTGTGCCTCAAAATGGTAGAGGGATTGAGAGCCACATTCTGACCATACAGGATCTCAAGATCATGACTGGTAGGTCGATTATACGGCTTCCATTTGCCAACGAGATCGGTGTTGAGTATCCCCACGATACCATCGAAATACCAGCGTTTCGCGGTAATGTTCGGGACAATATCGTCGATCAAGCGGAGGCAGAGAAACTCCTGGTAACCCCCGATACACTCGTGTCAATGCCCCCAGTACCGCGCAAAAAGCGACCATTGTCTCTTCTCGCCTGTTTTCTCTACGCCTTTATTTTGATCTTCTGCTGGAGTATTACAGCTATCTTGTGTGTCCGACCAATGAAAGGCTCGGGCTGGCACGACTCATACGCATCCGTCGGGCCATGTACCTACTCCGAAGCCGGTAATGCGTATGGTTTCGATTGCGATGGTTGGGAAAATATCATGACGCAGGGCCAGCTTGCAGCGAATGACCGATGGAGACGCACTGTCCGGGTCCTGGGTACTATCATGTCTGTCGCTGCCATCCCTGTGTCTTCGGCGCTGTGCGCTCGGGGTGCGGTGGCGTACATTCAGAACAGATATTCCGGCGAATTTCCATTCAGCAAGGTAATGGCTCTTGCTGATCGGGGGTGGATCAATCCGACGACCATGGGTCATGCGCTGTTCGCCCGCGATAGACGGAAGTACCTTAGCTGGTATCTGATTGTTTCCCTTTGTATCTGTGCCCTCGGTAAGTACATGGATACGTTATCCTTTGCTGCTGCACTTGAGTGAGCACTCATGCTATTAATAGGAGCATTGATCTGGCCCCTGCAGGAGCTCCTCTTAACACAGAAAAGCGTGCAGCTCTTGGTTGTTGAACATGAAGGCGCCCCAAGCCCATCATCATACGTCCCAGATGCAGACATCGCCGGGTTATCGCAGGTCAACTCAACTTATGCCATAGGCGCCACCAGAGCTGCGATCGATACGGCTGAGTACTGGGATAGCCAGCCCAATATATGGCGCGACCCGGAAAATGCATGCAACCAAGCAGGTACCTGGGGTCGGTCCTGTATAAGAGATCCTCAGAAAGGTGGAACGTTCATCTTTCCACTATTGGGAAACAGTACCTTTGTTTCAAACCTCGCTAGTACGTTGAATACGGGACTGGCAGTGAACCATGCGTTTCGATTCAACTCTTCTGTTGACTGCGAAACTGTGCCGGAAAGTACCTATCCTGAACCATGCTCAGGCTTCACTGCATCCACCACGCTCAGCCCGGACTCTGAGTCCGGGGACCAAATATTCAAGGTCTGCGTCCCTGGGAATGTCAGCAAGTTCCCCTGGAACGTGACGCGAAACCGGCAGGATATAAGCGAAGAGTTATATTTCCATTTCAATTCCGCTGGTGTGTCTGCTCTTTCAAATGCCAGCTCTAGCCTTACACGGCGGTGCACCGCAAACACAACGGCAGGTTACTTCCAGCTGCCGAACAATCATAACTCTACATTTGGGCCCGTACTGGAGGAGTTTGACCTGGCACTTAGTGCGGACACACGAATGGCGTTTCCTCCGAAAGGAACATCCTCAAGCAACTATCCGCCTGAGAAGCTATTAGGGTACGTATCCTCCCTTCTTCCATTTTACACCACTCTAACCATGTAATCATAATGGTGCAGACATGCCTACCCCATCCCAGACCCGCCAGAGTCTCCGGCTCTAGGTCCGCTGTTAACAGCTGCATTGAGTCTCTTCGGTCCATCGACTTTCTTCTCCACCCGAGCAAACACGAGCGGATCTGAAAACACATCCACAACCCCAGACTGCACCGACCCCATCCCTCTCTACTACGTCGCTTCGCCCACCTTCGGTTCAGCCGGACCAGAATACGCAGAACTCCCTCGGTGTGCCTCAACCTCACAATCTGCCTACAACACCGATCTCAGAGCCTGGCTAGGCGCCCTGTTTCTTCTAGACTCAACAGAAAACTATAAATTCCGCGCTAGAGACGCATTCACACAGGCCGTTTTCTTTGCAAACAAGGCGAATCTAGCTCAGGCGGCGTCGATTCCGGACTATCGCCGGATTATTCCGTTGGATGAAGGTGTTCAAGTTGAGAGGTTGTATATGGCTCCGGCAGGTATTGCGGTATTGTCTGTAATTATTGGGTTGCATTTGTTGGGGCTGATATGGGTGTCGATTTATTCGGCGTGGGTTCCGACTTGGACGGAGGTGTTGGATGCTTTGGCGGTTGCGAGGTTGAGCCATTAATTTATATACACCTCACCCATAAGGATTTTGATGATATTATGATATTAGTGTGGGCGGGGTGAATGATACTTCCCTGCTTCATATTCAACTATCTATTGAACAACCTGGTACAGGCCAGTATCAAGCAAGATCTTCGATATCGATAACCCATGGGCAGTTCTGTAAGAGGCTAGTGCAGAGCCCAGTCCAGCCAATCAGTAAAGACGGTTCTGGATCACGTGGCACTTGACACAAAGTGGGGCCAACGGATGGACCGATTGGGAAAAGCACCTCCATCCTGCAACTCCCAGTCATCCTCGAGTATGCATCGGGGAAAGGTCCAGCCAGTCAAGGCTGCATGTCTTGCATGGTAGGCTTCATCCAACCCGTATCCTGCAGACCTTCTAATACCTATCCTGCACCAGCCGTGCCTCCAAAACCCGCTGCGATGGGCAAAATCCTTGTTCGCCGGTATGTAGTCTAACCTCCCTCGTCGAGGATTATCTGCAGCTGGCTAACCCATGTAACTGGAATACAAAGTGTACTCAGAGGAGTCGCGGCTGTGTCTACAAGCCCAGTCGCCGTGGTGGTCCTCGGTACAAGCCTCACCGTAAAGACCCTCAGGACACAGATATGGATCGTTCGACATCATCTCAGCTTTCTCCAGTGTCTAGAATGGGAAGTGAAATGCCGCAGATCGATGGAACTTCAAATTTTGCCAACTTGAATTCCAGCGAACTGTTTGGTCGACGTCTCGCCTCTATGAATGCGCTGCTTTCCCCAGCGTCCTTGCAGCCGGACCTCAGTATGGCCCATGACTTTTTATGGGATCCTCAAACTTCGCAGACTCCCAGTAGCACGGACGGGCCTTTGGTTCGGGTTTACACCTCTGAAAGGGAGATGTAAGTTTTGGACGTAAGACAAACAGCCCTCCCGCTAACAATAGGGTAGAATCAATGCGTACTATACTCACCTTCACCACTATCTGCCCCTGCTGCCGCCCCCTTTGACACCGCCAGAGTATCACGACCGGCCAAGGCTCATAAGTCCACCACTGACAGAGACCTTTACTGTCAACCAGTTGAGTCTACCATACTGGCCAACTACCTCCTTGGGTCTAGCTTTTTCTGCGATTCTGGCCTTGATCCCACCCCCTCAAGACTCGGCGCCATTGCAGGAATCGAATATTACGCTCCGGCGTGCCTTTGCCCAATTATACGCTCAGAATGCCCTGGAAATGGTCGAGAAAGAGGTTGATGCCATGGGGCAATCTAATGCTAACCGTGTCCCGACAACGAATTTGGACGAAGTCCACCCCGACCTACCCGCGCAACTATACCCCGTCTTGGCTTTAGTGGTGCTGAGCATATACGAGTATTCTCACCGGGGAAATATACCTCGCATGCGTGCCCGCGCGAATCAGGCTCTTACTATGGCTATGGACATCTCTATTCACAACCTCGGCCATAACGCACCGGAGGCGTCTAGGCGAGCATGGTGGTCTACTGTTAGTCTAAGCTCCTTTCACTGGTCTATTCTGTTTACTAACTGCCCCTAGGTTGTAATGTCATACATGTCATCCATTGCACAGACAACTGTATGTACCAAATGCTGACGTCCCTGAATTTAGCTTCTGACTACATTCTAGCTTCCAGTCATCCCAACTTCTGACCCCAGAATCACCACTGCATATCCAACCATTAAAGGTGCCTCAGTGGACCCGGAGGAATCCCATGTGAGTTCCAACCTCTCCGCAACTCCTATCGATCTGTACAAGCTCTAACTATACCAGCCGTGGGCTGCCTTGGTACGCGCGTGGAATGTATTGCTTCCGTGATCGAAATTCTTAAAATGGTCGAGTCCGATATGGAACGACCTGGGGGAGATAATCATCTACAACTAGAGATATCCAACCTTGATTCACATATTGTCAGTTTGTCTATGCAAACGGACTCATATATCGACATCACGCAGCAAGACAACGTCGAGGACCGCGCTGGGATGGCACTAGGCGTCATAGCAAACCTTCTAACGCATTCGTGAGTTCCTTTCCCTTTCCGCTTTCACCATCTCGTTAACATCTCCTTAAGAGCACGGATCAGATTACACCGTATTCAGGCCTTCTCAAACGTTCCCCTCTTCGTCGAACAGCACTGCGACATCGATGGCCTCATGGTAAACGGGGAGATTTCACTGACTCCTAAGTCTCCAACGGGCTCGTCCTCGTCCCCATTCACCATCCAGGAAGCGACTATCGCCTGTCTAAAGTCATCGCTAGGGGTTGCCCGAGCCTTCAGGAGTCTCTCTGAAGGGCTTTGTCCGTTAAATATTCACAATTCCCCAGCCCAAGTCGATAAGTCCACAATACCACCGACGACCGCTGCTAACGAAATATCCGGCTCGCTATCCTACTTCCGCTGCGCGGGGATGCAAGCCTGCTACTCTCTGTTCATGATCCTGCACCAGCTCCAAGCCGCCATAGCATCAGATAGTCTCTCCAGCTGCTATTATTTATTTGGACTGTCAGAGCCCGTGACGGAATATCAGGATGCGCGGAGGCTTATGGAAGAAGCGCGCCATGGGATTGAATGTATGCGGGCCTCGTTAAAGACAGATTCGGGCTTTGAGGCTATTGCTTCTATGAGCCGGGAGGTTGATACTGCGTATAGCTGTTTCTTTAGTACTTGAATGAGCTTAACACTTTCTTCATCAACATATAAAGCCATTCCCGAGTAATATGTAGTGCAGATGTAATATTTACATCCAATAGGGTGTTCGGAGTCTGGAATGTGTAGATGAATCAGATAAAAAGGTGTTGGTTTATTCCGCGTCGTTCAATAGCGAGCCATCTGACGGGATTAGTGATTGTCCAGCCTGAATGCTATCAACGGCCTTCTCCTGCTTTCAAGCAGTTGCATCATACATCCAGACTGGACAACGGGATCCAGGATATCAATCCCTCGTGTCCCAATCAAGACTAAATATAGACGCGGATCGGGCACCAGATCTCGGTTCGGGGAGATCAACTCCGAGATTACAGTCGTTCATCAATGTTGCAATACGAAGTCCGAAGGTATAAGACCTAGGGACGACCCATGCAGCAATTTGGCTTGTTGCCTGCGCACTTTCCATTTGGATCTCTTGAATCTATATTTTCACAATGAAACTTACCCCTACTGCTGTGCTGTTACTTGGCGCCTTAGCCAAATACAGTCTGGGCCAGTCAGGGCACAATGCCGACCTCTGTGTATGTACTTGTCCCTTAATAAAGTGCCAACTCTGCCTTCCGCTGACGAGATTTGATCTACGAGATAGTGCGCCTTTCTAAGTAACAGCACTATCGGCGATAGAATTGCCTTCCCCAACTCCACAGCGTACGAGGACTCCGTCCACTCCTACTTTGGCGTGAACGCCCAGCTAGAACCTAACTGTATTGTGCAACCACTTTCTGCTCAAGATGTATCAGCAGCCGTGAAAACTCTCACAACCTCTGACGCGGGGCCCTGCTTCTTCGCCATTCGCAGCGGCGGGCACACAACGTCCGTCGGTGCCTCCAACATCTCCCCGGGCGTCACAATCGATCTCTCACTACTAAACAACACCACGTACAACGCCGACATAGGCACCGCATTTATCCAACCGGGAGCGCGCTGGGCGTCCGTATTCGAGACTCTGCTTCCCCTCAATGTTACAGTCCCTGGTGGCCGGACTGCACCTGTTGGTGTTGGGGGATTTCTGACAGGTGGTGGGAACTCCTTCTACGCTGCACGTGTCGGATTAAGCTGTGACAATATCCAGAGCTACGAGGTTGTCCTGGCTAGTGGCGAGATTATCAACGTGAGCCGCGATTCACACGCAGATCTATTTAAAGCATTGAAAGGCGGCTCGAGCAATTTCGGTATTGTCACTCAGTTCGAACTAAAGGCTTTTCCGTCAGAGGGGATGTGGGGTGGGATCGTTGTCTACAACATCTCGGCTACGAATGAGTATCTTAGCGCGGCGAGCAATTTTATTGACAATATCCCGAATGACCCCTATGCCTCGTGGATTGGCATGTTCGGCTATAATTCTACGACTGACCAGACTACGATATTTACGCCGCTCGATTATACAAAGCCTGTGGAAAGGCCTGATGCATTCAGTGACTTTTACGCGATTCCTAATATCTCGGATACGTTGAGATTCTCAAACGTACTGGAGTTGACAACTGAAAATTCCCAGGCCCAGGGGTATCGGTAAGGTCAATCCCTTTCCAGAAATTTTCATCCCAGTCCCTAGAGCCACGGATTGATAATGTGTGACAACAGAAACATTCTCCAAACCGGAACATATCTGAACAGGGAAGATGTCCTCCACAAGGTCGTCGACATCCTGAACCGACAAATCGAACAAGCCAAGGTGTCCGCACAGGGAACAGACTTCGCGCCTATGGTTATCATCCAGCCGTGGATCCCTCTATTCTGGAAGGATAGTGAAGACCGTGGTGGAAATGTCCTGGGTTTGGAACGGTTTACGGAGAATTTGTTCAGTATGTTACCCTTTTCAATTAACTGACTGCGCCTCCTCTCGATTATCCCCTCTCAGTCAATTTTCATCTCCAACTGACCCAAAACAGTGGTCCTGTGGGATTACTCCTGGGACAATGAAGCAGACGATGACCTCTTCTACAAGCTCGCCGAGTCCGCGCAGGCGGAAATTGATGAGTATGCGCAATCTGTTGGTGCTTACACCGACTTCATCTACTTAAACTACGCCAACGGTACGCAAACCCCGCTACAGGGGTATGGAGCCGATAACTTGGCGTTTATTGCGCAGGTTGCGGACAAATATGATCCTGAGGGCGTTTTCCAGACGCTCGTCCCTGGGGGGTTTAAGATCTCGAAAGGGTGAGAGTGAGATTTTTGTTCAGGATATCCTTGAGCATGCGAGCGTTTGAGATTTCTGCAGGGGCCGGAAGTATCAGAAGAAGTGAAAGTGACTTGTTGTACTGGATGCAAGCGCAATCTTGTGCTGGACCTGGTAGCCCAAAAACAGTTATTTTTCAGATGTACCCAACGCCCTGCCTCATGTCTTGTTGTCGTCTGTACGTAATTCCGGTACCCAAAGTCCCGGTGGCGAAGAGCTTCTTTCGATAACCTGAAGTACGTAAGGTTGGATTAGAGTTAAAGAATTCTTCAGAATAGCCTGCATGTAAAACGCATCCTAGGCGGAGCAATCTGCCACTGTTGGCATCTTCCTTCTAAAGCCCTCATACTAGTAGAACTCACTACCTGATCGTGCCAAAGCGTTCCCTTGCTTAGGCAGTATGTCGCCCAAGTCTTGCCCTTGCTTGGGCGATATGTAACCTAAGTGCTCCCCTCATTTGGGCGGTAGGTTTGGAAATGATCTAACTGGCAGTTCATACTTCCGTCATTAGGCATGAGCATATTACTTAGTCGATATCGATTATACGGAACTGTATAGGCAGGGGCGCGATGGACATGGCAGCGCAGGACCTACGGAAGACAAATAATAGACTAAAAGTGCTGGTATTATACGGCAGTCTTCAGCGAAGGTCTTACTCTCGCCTGGTAGCGCTGGAAGCCAGCAGGATTCTCTTTCGGTTGGGATGCGATGTGCGCGTGTTTAATCCGGACGGATTACCAGTAAAGAATGACAACGATCACGGGCATCCCAAGGTACAGTAGCTCAGGGAGATGAGCAAGTGGAGCGACGGACATGTTTGGGTATCGCCTGAACAGCACGGAAATTTGGTTCGCCTTGCTACGCTACGCCCCCACCATGGTGTATTGGTATGTCACCACTAACAACTGCAGACTGCCGTCTTCAAAAATCAGATTGACTGGATTCCGCTGACTACAGGTAGCGTGCGTCCCACACAAGGCCGTACTCGTGCCATCGCTCAGGTGTGCGGTGGATCGCAATCATTTAACGCGGTTATCTCTCTTGGTATCCTTGGCCGGTGGATGCGGATGTTTACTATCCCAAATCAGTCCTCTTTCCCTAGAGCATACACGCAGTTTCCTGGCGAAGGTCAACCAGGAGATGAGAGGCTCATGCCTAGTAGTAATAGGGACCGGCTAGTGGGTTGTATGGAGGAGTTTGTAAAATATACTATCCTCATGCGGCCTCACCTGGGGCTTTTTGGTGATCGATTCAGCGAGAGAGAAGAGAAGAGGGTCAAACAGGAGAAGATAAAGCAAGCAATAGCGAATCAGCATTAACTCTAAGGAACGGAATTCTGCCATGCTCATTGCGCAGGTAGGATTGCAGTTTTTCAGGATGATATAACTTATATGTTTATTCATTGTCAGCCACCTTGAGCGATGGGTAGTTATAGAGGACGAGCAATCACCAAGTATCATGGCTGATAGTCTACTGCAGTTTCTGTTATTAAAAATAGACGCATTCTGTGCGCCTTTCCATCTAACTCTGGAGAAACGGGTGGAGGGTCACAACAGCAATTAATATCTTGTCTTTATAGTTGCTAACAGTACATGTCCACAACCCAAACGCTTCAAAGATCAGTCCTTCCAACCAAGCCGCTTGGCAATTGGCCTAGCAACATAAACAAGGCCCAACAAAACAGGAACCTCGATTAAAGGACCAACAGTCGACGCCAAAGCCTGGTTGCTATTCGCCCCGAAGGTTGCGACAGCGACAGCTATAGCAAGCTCAAAGTTGTTACTCGCCGCAGTGAAACTCTGTGTAGCAGCCAGCTTATACCCAAACCCAAGCTTCCAAGTGACAAAGAGGGTCATGAAGAAGATCAGGACAAAATAAACTATAAGAGGCGCGGCGACTCTGACCACAGAAACAATCTGGTGAACCACCTGACGGCCCTGTGATGCGAATAAGATAAGGATTGTAAACAGAAGCCCAATCAGTGACCAGGGGCCGATCCACTTAAGAAACACCCTGTCGTACCAATCAGGGCTGATCAGAGTGCGAACTCCGAAGCGAGTCACGATAGCCGCTCCAAGTGGGATTCCAAGGAAGACCGCAACACTTTTAGCTGCGGTACTGTAAGAGAGATCAATATTATCTCCGCCGCTGATAACCTGGATGAAGAATATGGCCATGGGTGCAAAGAGTACCATCTGCAGGAGCGAATTGACGGCAACGAGGATTGCGCAATAGTCGTTGTCGCCACCAGCCAGTCCTGTCCAGATCAAGACCTATGCATGTCAGTTAACAGTGTGGCAGATTGGCTCATTGAGATGAAACCTACCATCGCAATACATCGTGCTAGGCCTACTAGAATGAGGCCCTGGCGGAGCTCAGGTTCGTCTGGGAGGAAGGCCCAAGCTAACGCCAACTTCAAGAGAATATCAGCTACGCGATGAGTAAACGTCAGAGGAAGGTGCATTGCCTACCATCATGAAAGGGGCAATGATCCAGTTGACAATAATACTGAAGCCAATTTGGATCCAGATCTCTCGAGTGGAGAAGACGCGATGAAGGGTCTCGTATCTCACTTTACAGAGAATAGGGTACATCATCACCAGGAGGCCAACAGCTATTATTCACGTTAAACAGAGGCATCCCAGAGAAGTATCAAAAAAAGCCACATACCAATGGGCACTGAGACGTCGACGAAAGTCCCTCGTTGCAAGGCGGGACCAGTGTTTGGGACAAAATTGCCTAGGATGATTCCAATGGCCATTGCTAGAAAAATCCATAATGCTAGGAAGCGGTCTAAAATCCCCAGACCCTTGAACGCCGATTGCTTGGTGCAGGAGCTTTGTTGAGGCTCCTGATGAGCCTGCTTCTCAACGTCACTAGGGTGGACATGTTGATGGCTCATGGGCTGGTTGGCTCCTTCTGGCTGAGAGGCTGCGGTTTCCATTTCGTGCTTCAGCGGAAGTAAATGTATGTAAAGATCATACAAGGATTGAGAGAGCTTCCAGGGCAAATAGTTATTCCTGTACTCAGGGAAAAAGGGCCGGAGAAAGTGTTGCCGAGGAAGACTCAACGTCGAGCCAAAAGGCTCTTGTTATATAGGCAATTGAGGCGGCAGACAAGAGTTTCCAGCTCTTTTCTGGGTCCTTCCGCTGGCGGAGTGATCATCTCCCGCAGGAGATCACTCCTTGCTGTTGGTTGGCTGGCCGTCAATTGCCTCCACTGCCTTGCAAGGAAAACTTTCGCACCGCCCCTGTCAGCCAATAGAAGTCGGTCTGTGACATTCCCGTGCTTTTGCCTTTATAGGTCTTTTGGCACGTGCTGTTGCAGAGCTGCTGGATTGACCAATACTGCCAGTGTGAAAGCCCTGTCATAGCCGACCAAAGACCCTCTCACCGGTTGAATGACTTGTTGGGGGTTTGGTCCAATCAAGGTGGCGAAGTGACATATTGAATCAAGAGCAGGCCATTGAAGCGTGGGAGAATGGAGTGATAAATAGTTCGCTCACTTGGAAGCTGCTTGCGGCGTCGACCTTATACAGAGCTCTAAATCTGCGTTTCCAAGACATCCAGCCCCCTCCATACTGCATGTGAGTTATTCTATCCATGCGCTGCCTACCCCCTCTCACAGAATTAATCAATACTAGAACTTCAATTAGCCAGCCCAACAACAACAATGAGCGACAAGCCCAGTGTCTTATTTGTCTGCGTTCACAACGCTGGCCGCTCCCAAATGGCTGTAGGCTATCTCACTCATCTCGCGGGCGACACAATCGAGGTCCGTTCAGCCGGTTCCGCTCCGGCCAGCTCTATCAACCCCAAAGTCGTGGAAGCAATGCTTGAAGAAGGCATCAACCTTGCCGACCAGATACCGAAAGTCCTCACCACCGACGCCGTCCAACGCAGTGATGTTGTTATCACCATGGGCTGCGGTGACGCTTGTCCCTTTTACCCGGGCAAGCGGTATCTTGATTGGAAGCTGGACGATCCCGCCGGCCAAGGGCTCGATGCTGTACGACCTGTTAGGAATGAAGTGCGTCGTCTCGTGGAGGAACTTATCAAGGAACTTCGTCCCTCTCTGCAAGAATAGGCCAACACATTTGTTTTAGTCAATCGTTATGTGGTGGCTAGGTGTACGGGAAACGCTGCTCCGGTAGTTTACTTGAAGATTGGCCGGTTCACGCTCCATTGCTAGTCTACTAGTAAGTTCATATGACCTCCGAGAAGCGCGGAGGTTCGTTATCGACGTATCATTGGCCTGTCTCACATATAAGGCCTGGACTTGCAGTTGTCCACTCTGCTGCGCAGCTTCTTGAAGTAACATGGGGTATGCCGGAGGTCTTGTAGCAGTCCCGCGAAGTCCTTTACGACAACAACTATAGGGATTGTAATGAAAAGTAAGATTAATCCAGCGCACTCAGGCATTCCGACTTAACCATATATAGTCTTGAGGCTCACTGCGTGGCTATCCGAGCCAGCGGCCAACCATTCTTCGAGTACCAATCTCCTGAATAATATAATTTCAATCAAACAATACAGCATGTGGCGGTCAGCCATATCGAGGCGGCCGGACCTGCATTAAACCGATCAGAGAGGCTAATGCAAGGCTAGAAGTCACGTACATTGTCTTGCGCAAGAACAGTAATCGGGCCTTTACAAGGGCCCGGTCTCTCAGGGCCTTAAGCGCTGTCTGCTTCTGAAGGCTCTGGATAGACCACCTGCAGGGGTATCTCCAGCAAAGCATGTTCGATTTTAACTCCTAATAGCTGAACTTAGACGCGTAATGTATATGACCTTGCAAGTAGAGTGCTGCAAAACGTTGGCAGCAAAGCCTCCTGTAGCTTGAACGGGACTAGGACCGTGGTTTCCCAATGTCCTACCTCGGTCTTGTCTTTGGTGTCTAAGGAACTCAGCATTAATGCTGATGGCTTGCTACTGCGGAGCCTGGAATACCTGATGTTGCTCTGTCTCGTTCCCCCTCTCTTCCGAACTCATTCACTGTAGGACTTTTCGAGGAAGGAGTCTGAATAGACCGACCTATTAATAATAGAGCTAGTATTTAAAGCTGCCCGTTATTATACAGCACGGTGGATACAAAACCAGATTTTTCTTTATTTATCAAGGGCACCTCGGCTGGTCGAGGTTGGCTTTAGTGTGTTATAGTCATGACCTACTGCCCCCGATCGTGTGAGTAGAGGAGCTCGGAAAGTAGTTGCTTTTGCTCTCTTCTTGCTTATTTTCAAAGTGAGGCGATAGTTCGTTCGTTAAACGATTGCCCAAGGTTGAACCGTCTCATAACTTTCAAAGAGGTCTTCTCTTTCAACACTGTTATGTGGGGGTAAATTTCTCATACAGAAAACGGATTCAAATGTCCATCCAAATGAAGAGTGATATACTTGATATCAAGATCATCAGAGCTGCTTCCAGCGCCATCCTTTGTTTGTTAACTATTGACCCTTGGGCGATTTTGCCTAGAAAACACGTCCACGGAAGTAGTCACAATGAGGAGTGCCACTTCCACAGAACCAAGCCCAAGCCACAGGAAGTAACCAGTGAGGCAGACCGAGCTGTCACTAGAGAGGCGACAGAACAACATCGGAGCCGTGGGTCCCAACGGCATAGCTCTTCCAGCCTGCTTTCGGCAGATCAATGTCTGGGTCTCCTAACAAGAACCTCATGAACACTCCATGAGTTACAACCACAACGTCCGTCCGTCCTTGCTGTTGAAGATCTTCGCAAATTGTGGCAATACGAGATCTTACCCTCCGTGCCCGCTCCTCCACAGCTTCGATGGCGGGAGAATATAGGTCCTCTTTCACTTGCCAGCCCTGAGCCAAATCCTGGAAACCTAGTCTTGGAAAAGCCGCTTCCAGGACCCTAGTTGGGGACCCGGTATCACAGGGAAGAGCACTTCTCTCTTGTAAATCTGGGTCCAAGAAAAGGATTGCCCCATTCTGCGCTCCATGCCCAGACTCTGGGTCGAAATACCGTTTATCAAGGATGTGTGGAAAAGCAGTGAGGGTGGTTTGGACAGCTCGTTTAAGTGGAGAGGTGATGACAACACCCACCTGAGGGGCGGGGGGAAATAGCTGGCCGAGCTCTGTGGCCTGCTGAAGGCCAAGAGGGGTCAACTCAGGATCCAACTGAGAGAAGTCATGAGTGACATTGTGGACCGATTCTGCGTGGCGGACGAGATGGACCTTCGAGGCCATATTGAGGAACAAAGGTGCTATCTATCCATCCAGGGTCTTGCTAGCTATAAATACAACTCGATAAGCCCCGGCAAATAGCGGGCCGAAGAGGTAATTTCTGTGGCGTATTGCGTGACATATTTCTTCCGAAACATCGCTATGATTATCAGCTCCGTTGACTGGGAAGACTGAGAGACCTTTGGATGAGCTGGACCCTCCCAGGAAACTCTCGACTAGCTCCCCTCTGGACGAAACGGAGAACATTTTCTTGGCGCCGAGGAAGTATGTCTTATTTAGAACGTAGCATTGCGCTCGATTCTTACGAGACTGCCGGTGTTTTGATGTGGGACTCAGCAAATCCTGAGATCTATGTCATGGGCTCAAACTGATGGTGCGTCGATCCGTCGCAACGATGACCACTTAGGCACCCGCAGGAAGAAGCAGATTGGTCCTTCTCACCAAAGACAACCGTCACCCACCTGTCTACCTAAGGGGGGCCTCTGAACTAAACTTGGACAGGACCCCGAAAACCAACAGCCAATGAGAAGCTCACGGTGACAGATCGCGGACCGATGTACGTTACATGTGACCAGTTGCCGGCCTCCTATTGGATCCACGTTGGGTGGATTTCCAACCTCAAATTCACTGTTCCACTGATGTAGCTCACTATCCTCAAGTTGATATAATCTCGATCCCCTCTTGAACGACGGTCGGTTTGTTTTTCCTCATGCTTTGACAAAGCTGATTACCACATGCCGAATCGTAACCCAATCTAAAATGCTCCTCCCGACACGGTCGCAACCTATGTCGTCCCTACGAGCCCTGCATCGAAGCTGGCGCAGCAATGCCGGCGCAACCGACCCGGCACGCGCAGGAGAGCCCCTTCTTGGACGGTTGGGCGAGGTCGTGCGACATACATGGTATCTGGGATTTACGTCTTTTGGGGGTCCGCCGGTTCATTTCCAGATTTTTCACGCGCGGTTTGTCGAGCAGGAAAAGTGGGTTGATGAGCAGACGGTAGGGATACATGGATTCAACGTCCAGTATCGTCAGGGGCTAACAGATAGAAGTACCAAGAACTCTTCGCTATCTGTCAGGGCCTGCCGGGACCGGGTTCGACCAAGATGCTATTCTGCTTGGCGTTGCTTCACGCTGGTTTCATCCCGGCCTTACTGGCATTTGTCCTCTGGTGGTATGTCTACCGCTTTAACTGCGTCCCTTGCCATTCGGAATAATGGACTGATCAGTTTACTAGTCTTCCCGGCGCAGTCGGTATGTATGCCCTCTCTCTCGGCGTGCAACGGATCGACGAAACACTGCCCGCGCCAGTCTACGCTCTTCTCTCCGGTCTGAATGCCTCGACAGTAGGCATTATTGCCCTCGCTGCCGTTCAGTTAGCTCAAAAGGCGATACGTGATAAGATTTCCCGAATCTTAGTTATTTTCGGTGCATGTGCGGGCCTCTGCTATAGCGCACTCTGGTATTTCCCGGTACTTATGGTTGTGGGTGGTGTTGCTACAGCACTATGGGATGGTTGGGTGTATCAACAAATTCTCAGGGTAAGAATAGCGTGGAGAAATAGGAATCGGCAGCCAGAACCAGAAAGCGATGCCTCTGGATCAGCAGACCGCGAGCATCCGTCCATGCAGAATTCAGAACAGGGTGCAGGAACAGAGATGCTGCGGATGAGGAAGCCAGGTGTAGAGACATCCCGGCCTAACTCAGCTGATATCCAGGCCCCGGAAGGCGGGGAAACCCCTCCTGCACAGGAGCATATCATTCGGATGCGCGTGGGGGCTGCAATCCTTGTCTTTTTCTTTGGTAAGGTTCCGAGTGAAAGTTTGCAATATCTCTGAATGAAGGCTGACCCCGCAATCGTAGCCTCCTTTATCGCCATCCTTGTCGTAAGAGCCAAACTTCCTGCACCACCTCTATCTCTCGACCTCTTCGCGAATATGTACTTGGCTGGTACTGTGATCTTCGGCGGCGGCCCTGTTGTTATCCCCTTGCTCCGGTCATATGTTGTAGATCCGGGTTGGGTTTCCAGTCGAGACTTCCTGATTGGCCTTGCAATTATTCAGGCCTTCCCTGGCCCAAACTTTAACTTTGCAGTCTTTCTCGGTGCTCTTGCCCTCCAAACCATCTCTTACCCGACAGTCCTCGGTGCCTTCCTCGGTGGACTAGGGATCTTCTTCCCTGGAATTGCCCTTGCTGTTGCAATACAGTCCTTTTGGCGTGTTCTGCGGAAACAGAAGTATATTGTTGACTTCCTCCGAGGTGTGAATGCATCAGCTGTTGGCTTAGTGTTTACAGCTGTATACCGGCTTTGGGAAATTGGATATCTAACTCCGCAGGATCGTGATGGGCAGAGTCTGGCGAAGGAGCCATGGTGGGTTGTTATTACCGCTGTTACATATGCCCAGAGTGCATGGTTCAAGGTCCCACCTGCGGTCGCAATTGTGCTTGGTGCTGCGCTTGGGTTGTGTTGGTATGGAGTCGTTAGTCCTGCCTGGTGATGGAGTGTAAGGATTGTGGATACGCGAAAAGACTTGTTGGCAGCCGGGCAACTCATGATTTGCAACGCAATATTCGATATTGATCAGTTCACAAACGTAACATCCATCCATGGCGAAGTTATGGACAAACTTTGTAACCGTGCCAGCGGGAAGAAGGTGTGGGAGGCGGTTGGCACAGCCACTAACCGTCCGGAGGGAAAAGCGGCGGGGTAAGGCTGGCGAGGAAAACAGTGTGGGTGGACCGAAGGGCATGGATAGCCGTCTCTATATCATGCATTGTCCACAAATTATGCATGATATCTAATATATATTATACAGCTATCCACACTAGTATTACTAGTAGACTAATTATAATAGAAAATATTCTAGGAAGTTTAGACCTATTAGATTCCTACTTTTATTCTTCCAAGTCTCCCGTTTTACTATCTAATCATGAGCAGGCATACTTCAAGGCCCTCAAGGCAGACCAAAATTGTATTGAGTAGCAATAGCTCGTACGAAATAATTGGCAGCTGGTTGAAAGACCGCCACAGCATATTAGTAAATATAGCTGAGTATTCGCTCTTTGCAGCCTTACGGACTTAGCTTATAAGAGAATCTCTTTACTCTACAATGGATATAACTTGAGAACCCTAGCATTGATCTCTTAATAATATTTAATTCTTGAATTCCATTGCTTATGATACTTTATTATATACTACTAGGTGTATTACACCTTGTCACACTATTTAAAAACCCTTTAAAGGCCGAGGACCTTATATATATATATCCTCATACACAAGTCAATTAGAGCCCCTACATATAAGCGCAGTATCAAACACCATTAAGCCTCGTGAGTGTATATTCTCAAGGGTAGCTGACATAGCATCATTTACATGGCTTCTTGTTGTGACGGTCAGCCTGATTTTGGGGCTGTGCTTAAAGCGGTGACTCACCACCTTTTCTAGCTAACTGTTCCTCTGAGTTGAACAACTTTATATATATTCCTCTAGCTATCGATTAATCTAAGAATAATCTCTTTGATTCTCCGGTTGTAGAAATTCCGCACAACCTCGGCGAACATGTCCATATGTGGGTTCTCGTCATGGCCTTCTTCCATAATCACTATTAATGTACTAGCAGCGGCATCCCTCCACTCAACTGGGCGCTCACTCCTTAAAGCATGCGCTCAAGGATCGCTCTCCAGTGTGAAAGCCTACGCTCCACAGCTGTACAACAACGCAGGCATCGACAAAAGGGCCATCCCGCCCCTGAGCCTTGCTATAGCAACCGCCGCCGAGAACGGCCATTCCAATATTCTCCGCTACGTTTTCACTAATATCCCGCAGTGCCAACAATCGGTCCATGGGCCGTGGAATCCGAAGAATGATATCCAAGCACATGAGCTTCCCGAAGAATGGGGGTCAGCCGCGCTCCCAGACCTCGTCGTCCTGCGCACGATAAAGGGATCTAAACCAGCTGTCTTCCAGACACTCATGGACTTCGGTCTGTGCGTCCACCATCCAATGGACAAAATTGGGTCTCCTCTCACAGTCGCAATTCAGCGACAAGATGTAGAGATGGTACGGTTCCTGCTAAGCAAGGGTGCTGACGCGAACGATCAGTACTGGATCCCCAACGAGACTGTCCTGGCGCGCGCTGCATCACTTCCTTCGTTGGAAATCATGACCCTCCTCCTCGAATATGGTGCAAACGTCCAGACTTCACAGGCCCTCATGGGTTCCGCGGAGAGCGGCCGCATCGATACCGCCACCATACTGCTCGAACACGGTGCCGACGTCAACGAGGTCTTCCGACATAACCTGTGGGATGATGACGCCACGAGAGACACGGTTGGTACAGCGCTGCATGTTGCAGTCCAGCACGACCAAGGAGACTTTGTCCGATTTTTATTGCAGCGAGGTGCGCGAACGGATCTGGCAGACGGAGAAGGGTTCACTCCTTGTCAACTTGCCCAGGCGCAGGAGAAGGCAGAGATGGTAAAATTATTTTGATAGAGTTGGGAACGAGAGTATCATGGTGTAGGAGCTGTTGGGATCAGAAGGATCTCTTGATTTGCTGTGCTCCCGATCTTAAATTGCACAAAACTAGACATTGCCATGATCTGTATTGATTTTATACAGTCGTTGGCTTGCAGGGCCAGTCCCTTTTCTTCGAAGCCCTTTTTCTGGCGGGACTCCGCTTCGGATCGGTTCAGGCAGTAGATCTTGGAGATGGATGGATTGTTCAGCATTTTGCGGAGCAGATAGGTCCCCAAGGATCCAACTGAGCCGGTAAGGATCACTGTTGAAGCGGTTTGGCTTCCAAATTCGAAGTATGGCGCTGTGTTCCAGGAGTGGCGCTGTGGCTTGCGGCTGCTCGAAGGCCGGCCTCTTAAGTTAGCTCCTTAAGATCACAGTAATCAAAATATTTTCAGAGATGCATTTACGAACTACTTTGTGTGGCACAGAAATAAAGCACAAATAACAATAACATTCTAGGCGTCTTGCAAGTACCCTATCAAGAGAATGACAGTCCAACCACAACCATTGCTAGCAATCTCCTTCCGACAAAACCATGGCTCTAGATCTAGATCTCCAATTCCCCGGAGTTTCTAAGTATTTGTAGAAATCCAAGAAATCTATGCCTTCTTGACAGTGATGTAGACGCTGTCGTTTCCACCGATGGTGGAGCGTCCTGAGTTATAATCAGCCAACATATCCCATAAAAAGCAAAGTCGGAAGTAGACGACTTACCTCCAGCATAGCCATTGCTGGTGGTGCACTTTCCGAGAATGGCCTCAGCGGCAGCGGCAACATTTTGGCTAGACAGATAAATAAGTCAGATAAGATAATACGATAAATGTCCGCGGCAGAAGGGGCTTGACATACCAGTTAGTCTGCGTGGTACCGTGGCCGAGGATAACAGCAGATCCATCCTTGCAGAAACCACCGTTACCACCGCCAACCTTGCACTGAGCGGTACCCTTATCCTTGAGGTACTTGATGCAGTTCTTGATGTTGCCAATAGGGGCGTATGGCTCGCCCGCACAATTGACACCGGCAGCAGCAGCACCAGTGGTGATGGCAAGGGCAGAGAGAACGGTAGCGGCCTTCATTTTGATTGTTGGAAAGTTGGTTGGGGAAGATTTGAAATCTGAATTGGACTGTAGAGAGAAGAGTGAGTTGATGATGATGAAAGAAATGAGAATATTGACGGGATCGATGCCTCCTTATATAGCTTTTTCGATGCCTCAGAACTGGTAGTTGAAGCTGAATCTGATGGTGAGAGAGCACCTTTACCAATGTCGCTGTCCGCCTAAAGGGGGCTATGTAACCTCGCTGTCATGGCCTGAGTAGTTTCTTTTGTTGCTATACAAGGAACGAGGCCTATTCTGGGTGGCCGTGTTCCATTCAGGATGACGGTGGCTTGCGGTGGGCTATCTTGGAAGTTGATCTCCATATCTCCAGCGCAGTGTGTATCCTAATTGAGCAAAAGAGCCTAATTGCATACCAAAGGAAACGAGATGGGACACCTTAGTGGCCTATTGAGTGGTCAAGAAGATGCAGGGTGAACAATGCTAGGGCAGAAGATACAGGACCCAGAGTACGAAGTGCAGCAATACATGCATGCCAGGGCTGACAGGCATTAAGGCGACCATTGAAGGAATCTTGATCAGGTACTGATCTTCGCCCTACGCAAGGGTTGCGCCCTCTGCAGTCAAGGCCCCCCGGCTAAGGGCGACTAGGAGCCCTCGTCGGCGAACACTCGTCTGCATTCTCAGTACTCTGTACCTTATCCTGACAAGGCTGGTCGTAGCAGCTGTACCACGTTGCGTTGAGGAGCGCAGAAATAAAGCGCGCCCAGAATGGACGATGCCCTGCCAGTTCCAATTGGCGTTGTGGGTCAATATCGTAAGGAATGCGATTAACTGTCCAAAAATGTAGGCGACGGAAGATATTTCCGCCCTGAAGCCAAAATTCTAGGCCTCCCAATAGCGGGAGTAATCTCGGCAGTTGTACCACACAAGACTATATCTAGGGCGTATTATACACCAAGTTCCCTAATTTGTGGGGTAGCTCGGATGATCCCTGTCAACGGGAGCGAAGGAAAACAAAGATAGTTTACCTTTAATCCACAGCCTTTGAAGACGAGCCAAGCATTAACTAGCACTGACTTAATACCAGGTAGCTGTGGATAGCTTTAGCAAGCACATGGACTCTAGATTAGGCATGATAGGGTAAGATCCTTGTTAGGGCTGCCCATGATCGACATCAGCTTACCTATAGAGGAACTAATAATAAACGCCACCCTGAAGAAAATTGACGTGTCTGTCCTTCAATTGGGCGCGGTCCGAGCCTTTGGTCACTGTGCAGTGGCCGCTCAGCCTCTGCCCTCGCTTCCTCCCCCAGTTCGATATTCTCGCGAGGTACTGTTGGTCATGGCGTAACTCGAAACCCACATGCTACCCCATCCTCTACTACCTTTTCCTGATTTAGAACTCTCAACTAGGTGAGGTGCGTACCTTGATGCATCAAGTGAAAACGTTTCATTCAGGTGGAAGGAGTTATCACGGCGATCTTAGGTCAAGGCCGAGCCAGGAGGCCCGATATTCGCGAACAACGCACTGGCCACACAACTATTTCTTGAATACTTCCGCATGAATTCAGGTCTCCTGAAATAAAGCCGGTGGGCTGATGAAGCATTGTGCATGCGTGATGCGTCTGGAAGTGATTACTGGTGACGCCCATCCAACATACTTCAGAAAGGATGGCTGGGCCTGGAACTAAGTCAATGCACGAGCAATCCTGGCGTTTAACAGATACTGCAGTAATCAGAGTGAGTATTTCCAACATGGATGGTTGCAGCCTTGGAAACCATGCAGGACCTTGGTGGAAATTCTCTCACGAGGCTCGCCGAGTTTTGGAAGGGATGGACGAGCATGCTGATTCCCTTGGTCGTAATTGACAACTGACCACGTAGACTAAAACAGTTATCACTCCTTAGATAAGACTTCTTTGCCTCAACTCGCTGGAAGTGCCACGACATTACCTGTTGCTGCTTCCCAGTCAATAATGGCCAAGTTAACGACCTCGAAGGCCATGACAGCACCAAGACCCAACCATGAATGTATTTTATGTAAAGAAACCGCTCATAAGTGATCAGACCATTACAACGAAGCCGCACAGCCGTAATGTAGCTGAGGACATATCGGAGGTTGTAAATAGTGCGCATCGTCTGACAATATCCCTTATTTCACGCTAACAGCTCCATAGAGGTATACAGTGCCGAGGTCAGCTATAGACCAGTTTTCTACTTTATATTTATAAAGTCCTTAGAAGCATTTCTTCTATTACTAGCAATCTAAATAGATATTATCTATTATTATCTAATAGCTTAGATAGGCAAGGCTGCTTCTCGGGTAGATACTAGGGCCGACCACCCTATAAGGGGATCTTCTTGTGCTGGTCGCTGTCCGGGTCAAGCACGCATTCGATGTTCGTTTGCAGGCAGTTGGTGTACGGGCTCCTGGCACTGGCTCTGTGACTGAGCTTGATAACCAGGGCACAGGATAATCCATTACTATCACAGACTCCACAGGACATCCATTGATTGTTATATATAAAATTGAGAAGGTTAACCATAGGCCTCTGCTAAGAGAGGCTCTTCCATATACCTACCCTGCATGAAGTGATCAGGATAATGAGAATATGCTATGGTGTGGCCAATGCCAAAGTGAGTCTATGCCAGGCTCTTATTTTGCGAAGCCCTGACACTAACCTTCACTGCAGCACTCGCGTATGGTGGTATTCTAGTTTACAACCTCCGAGGCTACGGCTACTAGACACCAAGATATTCAGGAGGTAGTTGAATTCTATATCAGATATTTCAATTTCATCCCTTTGGATATTATGATACTGGAGGAGGTGAATATTCCACCTCTCGTCTTCGTCTGCTCTAACAATGGTGAAGTATACACTGCCCACTACTCCTTCATTCGCGCGCAGGGCAGCAGACCTGCTCTGCTACCAGGTCTGCAGTATGCTTCCTTAGGTTAAAAGCCCTAATCACCAATTCATGAGCCATGGGCACCTGGGAAATATCGGATATGAGCTATATTAGGCTATTGGGCGTCATATCAAATGAAGTCAAGACTTCGACTACTGGTTTGTTGGCAGTTGGTTCGTACGTACCCCGCCGTTTGGATAATAACGTATTGGTTGCCAGATCTGACTGATTATCCGCCGTCTAACTATTCGTGGAGGCTGTCTCGGCGAAATGCGCTGACTGTGATCCACAAATCCCCCGAAAATATGAAATCATCAAATCTTTGGTTTCTTGAACAGATTATTTTCGGTCGGAGAGAATGAGGTATCCTTATGTTCTTTTCGTAATAAATACCTGGAGGTACTCCCACTAGAACTATCTCACCAGGTGCAAAAATCTACCATCACCAATACAGAGATATGGCGCCAGTGGTACTACCTTCGGATTTCGAGTGGGGCTTTGCAACAGCAGCGTATCAGATCGAAGGCGCCGTTAATGAGGATGGAAGAGCCCCTTCTATCTGGGATACATTCAGTCACCTCGAGCCATCACGGACGAGTGGAGCTAACGGTGACATTGCCTGCGACCACTACCATCGATATGAGGAGGATCTTGATCTTCTAGTGAAATACGGCGCAAGAGCATACCGGTTTTCGCTATCATGGTCTCGCATTATTCCCCTTGGCGGACGAGACGATCCTATCAACGAAGCAGGCATTGCCTTTTATAATCGGCTGATCAACGGCCTTGTGGCCAGGGGTATCAGGCCCTGGGTAACCCTATATCACTGGGACCTTCCACAGGCGCTGCAAGATCGGTATGGCGGTTGGCTGAATATTGAGGAGTCGCAGTTGGACTTTGAGCGGTACGCGAGAGTATGTTATGAGCGGTTCGGAGACCGGGTAAAGGATTGGATCACATTGAATGAGCCATGGAATACCGCTATCAATGTAAGTATCGAGTCAATCTGGCCACATAATCGACCTCTTCGCAGCGGCTAAGGGGGTCTTAGGGATTCGTGAGATGCACCGAACCCCCGGGACGGAGCAGCACTCATAACGCCTGTACTCCCGGCGACTCGACAACTGAGCCTTGGATTGTTGGCAGGTCCCTTATACTATCACACGCGAGAGCGGCTCGACTATATAACATGGAGTTCAAGCCGAAGCACGGAGGCCGTATTGGTGTCTCTCTTAGCGGGGACTATATTGAGCCGTGGGACTCCTCGGAGCCTAGGGACTGTGAAGCTGCTGAGCGCAGAATGGAATTCGTTATCGGCTGGTTCGCCAATCCTATGGTGTAAGGCTCCCTGGTAGACTAGTCTTGGCTAACGACTCTGAATTGACCTCTCCAAGAAGATTATGGAAGACTGCTAACAGCTCATCATGCTTCTAGACTTGCACAGGATTATCCTGTGGCCATGCGTGAGCAGCTTCAAGACCGCCTTCCTACCTTTACCCAAGCTGAGTTCGCTCTCCTCCACGAGGCTGAGGTCGACTTTTATGGTATGAACTACTATACTTCCCTATACGCACGGCACCGTGTTACCCCGCCATCAGATACAGACTTTCTTGGTAATCTGGATGAGTACCAAGTAAACAAGTCGGGTATTTCTATCGGTGACCCGAGTGGTGTTGACTGGCTATACTCTACACCACAAGGCTTTCGAAAGCACCTTGTGAGAGTATATAACAAATATCAGAAGCCTATTTATATTACTGAAAATGGGTGTCCATGCCCCGGTGAAGATCGGATGAGCAGGGAAGAATCTATCCAGGATACATATCGCCAGAAATATCTCTCGGATCACCTAGATGCTATTATGGGAGCGATACAAGACGGAGCCAAGGTTTGCGGGTATTTTGTCTGGTCATTAATGGATAACTTCGGTGAGCTTTCCTGTGTCCCTGGCCTTTTTGAAAAAGTTTTCAGCAAGTGAATGATGCTTGTCTTATTCCTCATTCTAATCTTGTCCTAGAATGGTCCTCTGGGTATACTATCAGGTTTGGGGCGACATATATTGACTATGATACGCTTGAGAGGACCCCTAAGGAATCGGCCTTGAAAGTTCGGGGCATGATCGAGGACAGACAAAGGCGACCGAGGGACATGGACGACGAAAGCCAAAATAGTTAATACGCGCACAAATTGGGCCGCATCTGCCATTGAGAACATATGTGATACTTGACAATAATATTACCACAGGCCACTGTGCTGCTCTGCGAGAGGAGTTAGTTTGGGTCCGCACTGGTTTCCGATACGATCAGTGGTTCTAGAATAATGCGAATGTTGTTAACTATCGGTTAGCTGACAAGGCTTGCTTATAAAATTTCCCTGGCAGGTGATTGCTGGCTTCAAGTTCAACCAGTAACTAGTGATAAGTGTGACCAACTGATGTGCCCCTCTTGCTCTTCATAGTATATGAGTTGTTTAAAAGTGGCGAGCGTGCTTTTCCATCATTTTAACCACCTCAGCTTCTCTATGGAGAGACACCGGAGTACAGTCACTGTTGATGGGGTATAGACTATTATCAAAGAGAGAAATGGTGATCAACAAACTGGAAAACCACGGCTGGCGAGAGAATGGAAAACAAAGGAGGTCAAGGGACAGATCAAGCATTAATATGGCCAGTGATGATAATTCGGGGTGGGCAAGGGAGTATATAGCACCATCTGCAAGCGATATAGTACCTTGCTGAAGTAGTAGTGTGATTCCTAGTCCTTGATCTACTGACGATTATTGAGACGAGAAAGACGCAGGTTCTGGTTCATCTACATATATTCAGAAAAGGGGGAAGTTGTTACACAGTAGACGCCTTTCCGTGAAAGCGACGATATTCCTTAAGTTGCTTCTCTACATGTCCGATAGTGTGGCACGAAGCTATAGATTCAGTTTGACCAGCTGCGGCACGCGCCTGGTACACAGATGTTGGATGCCCAGCTGGTCCCCTTTGGCAGATACCATATTATCGGCGTTGAGTCCTTGAAGAATGGACCGGGTGGCAAAGCGTCCTCGGAGTCTCGACAAGCGGATTGGAGTGCTTGGAGTCGAGGCCGATGATGCCCTCGAGGCGTTTTGTCGAGCTGCTCGGAGATTCGCAGGATTCGTTTATTTGACCGACAACCCCTAGGTCCCGCTGAGTTTCACCGAACACCAGGAAAGCTTCCAAGGCTTGCATGTTCGGGCTCTCTGAAAAGTCTCTAGCTCCTGCTCGACTATCCGAAGACGTCGTAACTGTGAGTTGGCACTGCTCAGCTTCGTCGACATTTTGATAATGTCCTGGAAGATTCTCTGAGTTCAGGTACCGTATCGATCATCCACTTTGGACGGACAAATTGTGGAGTACCGATATGCGCTCGACATGTGTGGGACAACCAGTCAGTTGATGGTGTCGGCAAGTCTCTAGTCTCCCAAATTCTATAAGTACTGCGATCGTGTGCGAGGGCTCTGATACTTGCGCGGCACAATCTAGGCTTGTCCTTTTACAGCTTTGATTCGACGCGGCCATGGCGCTCATCGACGTGGACAAGGTGTTAGCAAAGCTGACGATCCAGGAGAAGATCCAGCTCCTATCCGGTGAAGATACATGGAAAACTTCAAGTATCGCGAGATTGAATATCCCCTCTATTACAGTAGGAACCTGCCACCGATATTCTTCCGCTGCGTGGTTCGTGCCTAATCTGTCGCTGCAATAGACCACCGATGGGCCGCACGGTGCTCGAGGAGTTTCTTTCTTCAATGGAGTACGTCCAACCCGATGAAACGACCGGATCGTTGCTCGGTGTTAACCTTTTTACAAAACAGCCTCCAGGGATGCTCCTCCCATGCGCCACGGCAATGGGAGCCACGTTCAATCGAGATCTCATATGTAGAGCAGGCACTATGCTGGGCAGGGAAGCTCGTGAGAAAGGTTGCCAGATTTTGTTAGCACCGACAGTCTGTCTGCAGCGGTCTCCACTCATTGGGCGAGGGTTTGAGGCCTTCGGCGAAGATCCATGGCTCAGTGGCACCCTCGCCTCGGGCTATATCAATGGTGTGCAGTCAGAGGGGGTTGGATGCGCCATCAAGCACTACGCTGCTCACAACCAGTCTTCCGATTCTCACGAGGATTCGATCTGGGCTTCGGAGCGAACACTCCGGGAGGTCCACCTGCTGCCTTTCCAAATTGCGACGAAGCAGTCCAACCCCTGGTCGTACATGACCTCCTACCACAAGATCAACGGAGTGCACACATCTGAAGATCCATGGCTTATCAACCAGGTTCTTCGAGATGACTGGGGTTGGGACGGCCTAGTTATGAGCGACTGGTTCGGAATGTGCAGCACTGCAGCGTCGCTCAATGCCGGAATGGACCTCGAAATGCCGGGACCCCCAAGGTGGCGAGGCCAGCTGCTGCTGTGGTCCTTCCTTGCCGGGAAGGTTAAACTGCAGACAATTGATTTTGCCGTGAGGAACCTACTTAATTTGATCAATAAGGTGCAGCCTTCTCTGAAGCCTGTCGATCCATTGGACGTAGCAGTGGGTGATACCCCTGAGAAGAGGGAGCTCTGCCGCAGGGTTGCTGCGGAATCCATTGTGCTCCTCAAGAACAAGAAGAATCTGTTGCCCCTCGATCCTAAATCCGGCGGCAAGACATATGGCTTAATCGGACCCGGAGCTTTGTACCCAGCTGTGAGTGGAGGTGGCTCAGCAGACCTGGTAGGTTACTACGTCAGTCAGCCCTTGGACGCCTTGAAAGAGCTGGTCGGTGCCGAGAACGTTACTGCAAATGTTGGATGTTATGGTAAGTGCTGCCGACGCCCATATAGATAATCCTCGCCCGGGTTTCTGATTATCAATGTTTAGGCCATCGTTTCTCGCCTCTACTCGAGTCGTCCATTACCGTACCTGGTACCAATCAGCCTGGCTACTACCTGGAATACTTCATGCAGCAGCCTGATAGCTCCGGGAGCATCGAACCATTAGTTACCACGACAACTACGCAAGCTCAAATGTACTTTGCTGATAACCTACCAGAAGGAATCACTGCAGGATATTGGCTTCGAGTTTCAACTACTTATACAGCAGAAGAAACTGGCATGATCCAGCTGGGCTTGTGTGTCCTTGGGAAGGGCCGGCTGTACATTGATGGAGTTGAGAAGATCGATCTGTTCACAAGCCAGCCGGAAAAGACTCTCCAGACGCCCATGTTCAACCAGGCCAGCATGGAAGTCACCACCGTCCTCGACGCGCAGAAGGGCCAAAAGTACCAGATTGTTGTCCTCTTGCAGAATGAGCACCTGATACCTGGTATTGGTGCCCTGAATGCGGGTGGCCTACGCATCGGTTGCTGTGAACACTTTGACCCAGACGCAAAGCTATCAGATGCCGTGGAAGTAGCCCGATCCGTCGATTACCCCATTGTGATTGCTGGACTAAATGCCGACTGGGAGAGCGAGGCAATGGATCGGGAATCACTTTCGTTAGCTCCGCAAGTTGACCGGCTCCTTGAAGCTGTTCTCAAAGCCAATCCCAACACTGTAAGTTCAACTTCGCTTTCTCTGAGGGAGCTTTCAGAATACTAATGCTGTTATAGATCATCGTCACCCAGGCTGGATGTCCCATTGCTCTTCCTTGGCTAGACTCGGCCAACACTCTGGTCCACGCCTGGTACGGCGGCCAAGAGACAGGCAATGCTATCATGGATGTTCTGTTCGGAAAAGTCAACCCCAGCGGCAGAATTAGCGTCACATTCCCCAATAGGATAGAGGACAACCCGGCTTTCCTGTCGTTCGGCAAGGTAGACAAAATGCTGTACTACGGTGAGAGCGTGTTCATTGGGCATCGCTACCATGAGAAGCTCCAAATCCCACCACTCTTTTACTTCGGGTACGGCCTGTCGTACACCACTTTTGCGTACCGCGATTTGAAGGTGCCAAAAACTGTTGATCTGGCGAGCCAAGACACGTTCAAAGTATCTGTGACGGTGCAAAACACTGGCACTCGCGACGGCGCCGAGGTCGTTCAAGTCTATGTCTCGGACGTGAAAAGCTACGTTCAACGACCTGCCAGGGAATTGAAGGGCTATAGCAGGGTGAATATTCCAGTTGGCGGTACTGTTAATGTTCCTATCACGCTGGACAAGTACGCACTCTCTTTCTACAGCCAAGAGCATGCACAGTGGGTGGCAGAAAAGGGAATGTTTGATATTATCATCGCCACCAGCGCTGATCCTAAGGATGAGCTTCTGCGGCAACGCTTTGAGCTTGTTGCCGATTATTTGTGGTCGGGATTGTGAGTAATTACATTTGATAGAGAATATACTTAGACGGCGATGGTTATATTCAAGTTATTGCGCTTCGTATTCGATCACTATTCAATGCAGCCCTCGGTCTCTAGTCGACCAAGATAGGAAGTCCAATGCTCCCAAATGGGTACATATTATCTCTGAGTGTCGTCAAAGTACTGTTCGGTAGAGAGTTGCGACGCTTAATGAGCAGTCGTTGGGCCATCGGATGAATGGGGTGGGAACTGGCATGTCCATCCTTAGATTTCAATGATGCGCCGCACAAAGTCAAGGGTATCAAGGCCAGCTAGGTCGAGCGCATCTACCTTGCCGAGTTCATTCTTCCCCTCTGTGCCGTCGCTGGAATTTAAAGGGGTTGACTTCTAGACTAATTAACTCCTAGCTTATTTGCCTTGATGATATACAAATATATATAGATTGCGTTATATAAGATTCCATAACTACTTTCTCTTCGTAAGCCCTTACGTCCGTAAGCTATTATAACTACTTACGTTGGATTATTATAGACAGTAGCATTTGGGATAATCATTACATATATATACTAGACTTGAACTAATATTTTGAGAATTTCAACCAACGTTGTACTGACCATATATTTTCCTGAGTGGACAAAGACAGCAGAACTTCGCGCCCGGAGAATCCACGTCAAATTAATCTACATGCAATCATATGGTCTGGATATCATCCGGGGTACTAAATTGAGCGGTCACTGGCCAGCCCTCATAGTGTGCACACCATATTCCAGTCGCTTTTCACACCGCACGGCCCCCACAAGACCAACACAGCATCATTATTCCCTGGTAACCTCCGCCGAAACCTTGTCCTTGTGTTCAGTTTCAGGTAAATCCTCACCCTTGGCCTCGTATGCACCTGCAAGCGCCTGATCTCCGTCAAAAATCCTGCTAACCTCTTCCAGTGTCAGGCCGCGAGTCTCTGGGAACGTAAAGTAAATGACGAAAAGCCAGAGCAGAAGGGCACAGCAGAACATGATGTAGTACTTCCATCTAAGGGCTTCCAATGCGATCGGGTTAACAAACCCATTGAACAGGCCACTGCATATCTGGGCCAGGTTAAACACACTAAGACCTTTGGCACGGAGCGTGTAGGGCAGCACCTCAACCAGGTAGGCAATGGGAAGGGGGCTCATGGCAAAGTTGTAAAAGGTGTAAAACACGAACACCATGACCACAACGCTGATACCGAGTCCCTGATGGCCCTCGGAGATTTGGTTTCGCGCCGCAAGGGCAGTCCAGATGGCAAAAGAGAATAACATGCCAATGGTGGAGGTGAGGAACAGGAATCGCCGGCCAAGGCGGTCGACGAGGGTGGCAGAGCCGGTAGCAATAACGAAGTTATAAATCTGAAGGGCTCCATTAATTAGGTTCTGTGTTTCAGGGTTGGTGATCCCGGTATCAATAAGCACGAGAGCGAGGTATCCTGAAATGAGTTGGTTACCGCACCACTGGATGATGAAGCCTAGGGCGGCAACAACAAACAGGCGATGACGGTTTCCCTCTATAAATTAAAACATGGATTAGTAAAACCCTTGGATAATTCAAGGAATGTAACTTACTTGTTTCAAAGAATTGAAGGTAAGACACCGAATTCAACGAGCGCTCAAATTCCATGGCGCCAGTAATCTCCGCGATCTGGAGTTGTACAAGAGCAGTTGGCTCTTCAGTACCGCAGTGGTATTTACTCAGAATATGAGTCGCATCGGCTGTCCGGCCATTGGCAATAAGCCATCTTGGGCTCTCGGGCACGAAGAAGATGAAGATAATCTGGAAGATAGAGACCAAGCCCTGCAGGAGTGACGGGATCTTCCAGCTCCAGGAATTTGGCATGTCGAAAGTGCCATATGTGGACCAGGCGGCAACAATAGATCCCACATACTATGCAGGCGATGAAGTTAGTTCATAAAGCTGGGGGTGAAAGTGATTATTCCGGGCTGATATATCTACTTACAAATGTAGTATTATAGAGAGCGGTTATCACAGGTCGATGTGCCGGATACGCCAGCTCTCCAAGCAATGGAGGAGAGGCAGTTGCGACAAACATTCCACCTAGACCGATGAAGAACCGTCCGGCCACAAACATGGCCATGTTGGAAGCAGACCCCTGCAATATTGCGGCACCGATAATAATGATAGAACCAATAAAGATAGGGATTCGTCGTCCAAACCTATCCGCAATGACGGGTGCGATTGGTAGAGCAACGACGCCACCGATAGTTTGCATATTTACCATAAGGCCGAGGATACCGCCGGACGGATGATCAAAATCTGTGAAAGCGCCTGGAGTCAAATCTTGGAAGAGATGGCGTCTATAACCGGGAACCTCTCGTCACTACTAACCTTCTTTCCATTGCTGGACCGTCTGGACACCATTAAGCATGCTGCCGTCGAAGCCACCGATATAACTCGAGACAAAAGGAACCATGAGGATCAAGTTCAGGTGCACAAGGTGTGGCACGCGCCACCATGACTCCTTTGTACAGAGTGCTTGGATCCTCAACTCGCTATTCTCGGTGGCAGTCTCCATACCGGATCAGTGGAGATGTTGTTTTGGGCTGGGGAAGAGAGTGATAAGGATTGTTGACTTGGTCCAGACCTGTTAGGATCGACGGCGGAGAGGAAGATATATAAAGCCTGACCTCAACCAAAACCCCAGATACTTCCGCGACGTGCTTGCAAGCTGGTATGGTTGACCGCTGCACTCCACACAACCCCCACGGGGAATGTAGTACCAGCAGAGCTTCGGGCTTTAGCGCTAGCCCTCTCCAGGCGAGTAAGTTTCGCCCGAAGGGATCGAGACCCTTGGGGCCAAGAGGCCGCAATATTTCGTGAGTTTCCACGAAAAGAGGCGGGTCGGAACATTCAACCAGGCCACTGGTTTAGCGATCGATAGACAAGCAATCATTAGTTTGCTGCTGGCCGCTGACCGGCCAAATTCCAGTTGAGAACATGCTGATTTAGCCGAATTTCACCGAGTGTGACTACCTTCTTGCATGAACCCTGACCTGACCATTCCAATGCTAGGATGGGCGCCCCGGTAGGCAGCGAATTTGCCACAACAAGCCATCAGTGTCATTTCGACTGACCTGAAGATGCTGACAGCGAAGTGGTGGCGGCTCCGCAAAAACTCCGCATTCCAGCGTTCGGCAGCTTCGCATTTACTTCAAGGAACCGGACTAGACCAACTGCACCTGGATGCTTTAGCCTGAATGTAGAAGAGGGAGATTGGTTCTCGCTGTCTGGTTGCATCACCCCGATCTCGTATTCGTATAACCTATTCGTATAGCTTATTCGTATAATGTACAACATCGCCTGGTCGTGAAAGGACCGCTCAGTCACTCCATCTGTCCCCGCATTCCCCACTTTCGGAGTCTTTGCACAAGGAAGCCAGTCGCCTCTCTACAGCCCGGTTTACAAATTAGCAAGCTTGGTATTCTGGACACTCTCCTTGGCTTGCTTAATTCTCTTCGTAGCTATTTTCCTGCACCTCTAAGTTTGAGCTGGGCCAGTAGCAACCTACCGGAAAGGCTTCGGCTACCGGGAGAGTCCATGATCTTAAGCTCCACCGAGCCACCGTCATTGGCAAAACCGCCATGAACATACACAGTACATACACTATAAATCACTTCATCCGGTATCCGATGGCCCAACTACCACGCATCGGAGAATCTCATTTGTAGCCGGCGGCCGCGGCGAGATTGACAGGGATGCCCCCTTCATGTATGGAGTACTGGAGTCCCTGGGTCCGTGCCTGGGGAGCATAATATTGTTCCCGGAGGAATGTCTTTGCCTTCATTAACAGATGACCTTCTGTTGCACAAGTAAAACACATTGGGCCAACTTGGACTTTGTCTGCGCTCGATATCGGCTCTACCTCTATTGTCCGACCTAGAAGCCTCTCGCGTTAGATTACTGTCGGAAGTCCCGGAGCCACTGTCCATTCTTATCAAGTGGGTATAAGCAGAGGATACGGGTAGGATTTCTATTTGACACCTCCATGATCAGTAACTTGTGTGTATACACCTTTAAGCAAGAATAAGCTAGACACGGGAATTGCCACCACATTTATACCAACGCAATCTCACGGAGCCTTGATGTCAAAGTCCCACTGACCACTGACTCCCTGCAGTACTTGTTCATGTCCTGGTATAAGGACATTCACTGAAATTCCCTCCGACATTCTCATGTCAATAGTAAGCCGCACATGTGTGTCCCCTTTCCCATTGCGTCTCCAGGCGACACGGACCAGACCTCTGGGCGTGCCGTCAACCATATTGAGCGGGATGGTCGCCTCTAGCTTCGGAAATAGATTGATACGGGGAGAAAAGTCGATGGCCCTCCAGCCAGGGCGAGTCAGATGGACCCCGGCAACCTCCACGGTGGCTTCGTAAATGGGAATGCTGCCCCAAGCGTGACAATCTGACCGTTGCCCAACCTGGTCCTCAACCCAAGTCGTCAAATTCTGGTCGAGCTGTTTCTGCCACATCGTCCAGAACGAAGGGAATACGTCATCGTATAAAGTGCCACCAGCGACGCTGAGCGCTCGTAGTGTGTAGAAAGACATGGCGATTGATTCCCGTACAAAGCTACCTGCAGCCGAGCGTTGTAGGCTCTTCCTCAGCAGCTCTTGGGCATCTGTGCCCTTAACACAGCCACTCAGCACAGCCCAGACCTGGCAATGTTGGCTGTAGTCTTTCTCTGTCGAGTCGCTACTCACAGTGTCTGTGAAGAATTCGCCGTCGTGACACATTGCTTGGACTCGTTGTACAATTTTCTCGGATCGCCTCAGATACTCTTCAGCAATGGCAGGTCTCCCCAGCTCTCTAAGCAGGCCCGCAGCAATGGAAAGAGTATGCGCATACATCTGATTCGTGTAGGTTGAGATCGTAGTTCGCTCCACGGCGGGGGGTACTCCAAAAGGGCACCATTCATAAGCCCAGTCGACATACTGCCAGACCTCAGATGTATCAGAGTGTACTAAGCCGCTAGGACCCACGCGTGTCTCAAAGTATGACAGGACAGCGTCAATGACTGGGAGGAAATGAGAAGTGAAACTGGCATCACCACTGTGGAAGTAGTGGTCACGGACAGACATGATCCAGTAGAGGCTAAAGTGCGGGATGAGCTGGGGGCGATGCGAAGGTGCTCTGCTGGCTGTCAATCCTATGCGAGCTTCGAACGAGTTGTGGAGCTGAATAAGGGCTTGTCTAGCGAGCCGGTCATCGCCGGATAAGTTGTAGGTGAAGAGCGCTGAGCTTCGAGCATCCATGGCATATTGCAGCTGTTCATATAACGGACAATCCTCATAGCAATCATGCATGCAGTTGACCAAGGTACGGACACTAGTCGACCAGAGCTGCTTCCATAACCCATTGCTCTCGGATCCTTGCTGGCCAGCTTCGAATCTGGCACAGATATCTAGTGGGTAATGGGTCTCGTCGACGTCCAGCCCATCAAATGCCAAACCGTCTCGCCCAGCGTCGATCTCTATTCTGAGGAAGCGAAATGTGCGGAAATGAAATGGCATAAAGATTTCATATTCCGATTCATCCGTGTAGTGCCCCAACGGCTCAAAATGACCCTGTCCCTGGAACTCATAGATGTCGCTGGGGCCGTACAGTCCCTTATTATAATCGCAACGATTGTCCTTGTTCCGCGCCCACGGTGTTGCCCGAGGCTCGTCCTCGTAGCTCTCCGAGTACGTCACCTGAAGAGTGGCGCCTCCTCTCCGCGGCCGCCGAAATTTAGCCCGGATAAATGCAGTGAGATGCCCTTCTGCTTCGAGCTCGATCGAGTGTTTGCTCCCTGGCGCGAGGACGAGGCATGCCTGGTCATCTGCCGCCGCTGCTTTACTGCAAAGCCTGGCCTGCCATGTGTCCGGAGACACTTCACTTTTGACGTTGTGGACTCGCCTCAACGCAATTCGTCGGGTACAAGATTGTGGTATCATGCGAGGCGCCAAGTGCCAGGGGGGAGAATACCCGGTGCGGTTGTTGAATGCGAGCAGCCTGGCGGGATACCAGGACAATCTTTCCTTTGGGGTGGCGCTTGTTCGCTCGTATATGTGAAGAAAGTAGTCCTCAGGTTCATCTACCCTAAGCATGGTATGCGGATCGATGGCAGTTTCCCACTTCTCGCTGCTCTCCAGAAGTGACGACCAAGGCTCACATTTGGCTTGAAGACCGACCCTAAGGCCGCCAGTTGGAAGCCGTGGGAAAGAAGGAGCATAGTCGTCACGGTAAAACAAGCGCAGGACATGAACTGCGATGTGGTTATCCCCTTGTCGCAGATATGGCCCAATGTCAACGTGGTCGTAGAACCACAACTTGGCGTCCCCCTTGACAGGGCCGAAAGCGACTTGCTTATTATTCACATAGAGTTTGTATTTGGTGTCGGCCGTGATTAGGATAACCAGTTTACACGGGGGCTGGCCTTGTACCTCGAATCGTCGTCTAAAATGGACGAATAGACCAGACGTGTTGGGGTTGTCTTCGCGGAAATGGGGATGCCACATCCAAGTCTGGTCAAATTCAGATGGCATGATGAGGTTGTGATTGAGATGGTGCAGTATCGCAGAGGACCAGGCGGCTTTGAGGGTGTGTCCGAGACGGTTACTGTAGCTCGCAAGACATGGTGTAGGGGTGGGGTTTGGATTATGCACTTGCCTGTGGCCCTACAATCGCCCAAAGGTCCACTGATCGGTGGAATTGCGGGGCATTGGGTGATCGGCGAAATGCCATCATTCGGGCGAATACCTGTGACCAACGGTGAGAACAAAGAGAGAACGAGCAGCTCTGCTCCAACTTTGCCCTGCGGATGTTGATGGAGGCTGAGGTACAAAAGGAGTCGGCAGTATGTGCAAAGATGGTTGAACATCCAACGTCGGCAGTACTTCTCTCTGTTGAAGTTGAATATTCAGCATTACACGATGGAGCAAGTTCGACTCAACCCGGTTGTTCCAGGGTTTGCCCCCGACCCTTCGCTTGTTTATGTGGACGGCACCTACTTTCTCGTGAATTCGACCTTCCACATGTACCCTGGATTGCCGGTATACGCATCCAAGGACTTGAGGGAATGGAAGCATATAGGTATTTGACACTGCAACCTCGGCCCTCATATAGTCGACCACCCCGCTGACCTGTTCCACCAGGCAATGCACTCGACGGGCCTCGACGGATGAGTTTACAACAGTCCATGACCAAACTGGTCGGTCCCGAGACTCCGAATGAGAGAATAGCGGCCCAGGGTGGCCTCATGGCCCCTTCCATCAGATACCACAAGGGCACTTTCTATATTATCTGCACCAATGTCTACCACAGACCACCTCTGCTACCCGACGGGAACGAGTGTCAGAACTTCATCTTGTCGACTACAGATATCTGGGCAGATGAATGGAGCGACCCGGTCTTTTATGACTTCAACGGAATCGACACCAGCCTGTTCTGGGATGATGACGGTCGAGTTTACGTTCTCGGCGCCGCTGGTCCTACTCCCGAGAGCAAGATCAAGCAATTTGAGATTAATCTTAAGACGGGGGCCAAGCTATCTGAGGAGAAGGTGCTCTGGGAGGGCATAACAAAAGTCTTCCCCGAGGGTCCGCACATGTACAAGAAGGACGGGTGGTACTACCTTCTTGTCGCCGAAGGCGGCTGCTTTGCCGATCATCACAGCATCATGGCACGGTCTCGAGATATCTGGGGCCCCTATGAGGTGAACCCGGTGAACCCGGTACTCCCCAAGGCAGACCCCAATGGGTATATCCAGTACACGAGCCACGGGGACCTTTTCCAAGCCCCGACTGGGCAATGGTATTTTGTGTGCCTGGGTGTGAGAAAGAACAATGGCCGTTTTATCATGGGACGCGAATCTGTCCTCACCACAGCACTCTGGCCGGAGGGTGAATTCCCCGTGATAAACCCTGTGCGGCCTGACGTCCTACTCCCCCCCAAGCAGGGTTCAGCACTGGAGTGGCCTGTGAAAAGAAGGCCTGAGCGTCCACATGTCAGCTACCTCCGCATCCGCGACCCTGTCGAGGAAAACTACCAATATGTCGGAAATAACGTCACCTTGACATCGAGCAGGGAGGATCTAGACCAATCCGACGTGCCTGTGACGTTTACTGGAAAGCGGCAGAGGTTCCTGGATGGCTCAGCTTCGGCGACACTAGACTCCCTTGCCGAATTGGCTACAGGAGACGCAGCACTGAAGACGGGCCTCTGCTACTACAAGGATGAACATCGGTTCGTCCGTGTTTATCCAGACATGGCCTCTCAGGAGATCGTCTGGGAGATTGTGAACAAGGCGAGAGGGATCGAACGGAGAGTATCCAGTAGCGAGCCTGCACTCAGTCAGGCCACGAACATTACGTTTGGAATCGACTATACCGAGCTGGAACTCGCGTTCTGGTATTCTATTGATATGGAAGCGAAGCGGGAGCTCGCCAGGATAGATACTCTGGACATGACTGGACATGACTTTGTGGGACCAGTGATTGGCATCTACGCCGTCGGCATCGAGTCACGCAAAGTACGGTTCTTGAATTTCCAAGTGGAGGGTGTGTGATATAGTTCTTTTTTATTTTTTTTTTTTTTGTAACTAGGAATCTCCCCTTTACGGCCCAAGAAGGTCTGATGCTTTTGAATCCAGGCGGGCTAACAAGTCGACCAAACGCATGGCGCATTGGTTCGCCCTAAATCCAACCATGCTGTTATTTGTGCTACTTTCTAGTTTAAGCAGCAAGATGCCAACTCGTCTAATCTTCTCAACCTATTACAACGGATCATGTGTAAGCGCGTGTGAACGAACGTCTGCAAGAGGAACAGATTGCAAATTCTCTCTGCCTCGGGTGGGAGCAACTTACGCACTGCTCGCCCTCCACCTGAAGATGGAGAAACGGAACGCTCTCAAGGACATTTAAGAAGTCTTGGGCTTGCTCAACCTGTCGCATGGCAAGCGTCAGGGGGTCCGCGCTGAGACCTATGATCTCGGTCATGTTACTTTCAATCAACGAGCTCAGAACAAGGACCTTTATGGTGTGCAGACTGACAAGGTAACTGGTCCGTTGCCGGTACAAGATATCAGACAGGTGCTTGGGCATCGCTGGGCCAGAACTGGGGGGTGAATCCTTGGCCGAGTTAGCCCCGGGAGGCGGATCATTGGCCAAAGTGATCATCTCGAAGTATGCTTCTGACAGCTGCGCGGCCCTGTGGCTAGAATCCCTTGGATGAGGATATGTGTCCCACGACCTCTCACGGGTTGACTCGACGGATTGGATCAACCGAGCAGCCATTGTCCACAAGCGGCGTATGACGTGGAATCCGTTCAAAAGACAGTCTTCGAACCCGGCATTGTTATTGTCAGTGTTCTGGCCGTAGTCGAAAAGTGACACGGGGTGTTGCGACCGGATCTGGAGACTCAGTTCACCCTCGAACAATGGTTCATGGATCGTTACCGGGCGGTCCTTTACCACTAGGGCTGTCTTGTCGCAAACATACAGCTGCCAAAACGCATTTCGAAGGATGGTCTCCTCGACAGGATCCTTCCCTTCGAGTGCGCTCTCATCATAGAGATGCATTCTCATTGCGATAATACAGGCTTCGTTTAGTATATGGAACGCTACTCCGCGGCTCCCTGTAGCGATCTGTATGGCCGACGACAGGAACATCCGGATGGTGAGCGATGAGGAGTCTGGGTGCTCGAGATCATAGTCCTCATAGACGCTCAGCATGCTTCGTGATGTGCGGAGAAATAGAGGGGCTGCTAGGCTCTTGTGTGGTAGAAGGGATTCGGGCACAACGTATGTTACAGCTGCGCATAGGGCAGTGAGAAGGGTGAGGTTTCGGAGGGCCTTGACATGCTCCGTCTCGCTGCGCCCAGCCTCAAGACAGTGAAAGGCCCAGGCTCGATTTTGTGCCGAGTCATCTATGGTCGAGGGCAAGACAAAGAACCGTTGAGCGGTCGCTCGGAGATTGGCCTCCTGGCACATTGGAACAGACCCGAAAACATACTGGGTGTACAGCAGGATGCAGTGATTTGCAATTGAGAGCGGTGTCTCGGAGAGAGTCACTGCATGCAGCGCCACCAGGAAGTCTAGATGAACTCTGATAGCACTCTCTATTTGAATTTCTGGAGATGCAAGCAGAGCATTTGTCCTCGTGGTGTAGGACGCGGGACTGCTGGGAGCTAGACAAGAGTATGTAATCGTTGCAGCCGTAGCTTCCCCAACTTCCGTTCCTCCAGGGACATCTGTAGAGATATCTGTGGCCGTAGATGGTGAGTTTAGAGGTCCCCTTGGGGCAACTTCCTGGCACTGGGCAGTCTTCGGACCCCGTTTCTTCGGGGGTGGGTAATGGCAAGATTCCTCTGCGAGCTGGCAGTTGGTGCAGGTCGGTAAGCCGTCACACTTGGAAATACTCTGGTCAGTAAACGGGGCACATAAAACAAAGAGAAACAAAAGACCTAGTTCCACCGTTTCCTTTGGGAAGCCCAGATCGGCATCGCTTACCTTAACTTTGCGGCGACGGCATACCTCACAGGCCTGCGTGGTGGCTCGGAACGCCATCTGGTCGGAATGTGTCGGTGAAATTCGAGAGCAGAGAATGTAGGCTCGGGGAAATGCGTCCTGAAATAGAGCAGCACCGGCTAAATGACGAGCATGGTCACCCCAAATGACCGGAGCAGCATGACTCGACACGCTTGTGCTCTCCCATTGGACCACGCGGGTCCCTGGGGCTGGTCGGGGTAACGGCGGATGGTTCAAGCGCCTCCATTCTGCTGCGGACTCGTGGTTCTGTGGGGATAGGCCTGGCGTTCTCCTCTCTCCGAGCACGGTTTGTCCGAGGGCACCATACGTGCCTCAGGGACGGAAACGGTCGCTGCAAATAAAGGCCATGCATCATCCCCTGTAGGAGCACGCAGTATGCTCTGCTCTGTTGAAGCGCACCCTTGTTTCGAACTCCGCGATCCATACCATCAATGTCCGATCTACCTGGCAAAATCAACATGATATTCGCCAAGCAAAACCCGCGTAATAGACTTCCCCCGAACTTCGTGTGGGGTTTCGCGACGGCTGCCTACCAGATCGAAGGTGGTGTCAATGAAGGTGGCCGCGGCCCTTGCATTTGGGACAAATTCATGCACCTCGAACCCTCTCGCACTAACGGGGTCAATGGTGATGTTGCTTGTGATCACTATCATAGACTTGAGGAAGATCTTGGGCTTCTCGCCAAGTACGGCGCAAAGGCCTACCGTTTCTCTATTGCTTGGTCGCGTATTATTCCACTAGGTGGCCGTGAAGATCCTGTGAATGAAGAGGGAATTGCATTCTATAACTCGCTTATTGATGGTCTCCTTGCCAGGGGTATTCAGCCGTGGATTACATTATACCACTGGGACCTGCCCCAGGCCTTGCATGACCGATACGGCGGCTGGTTGAATGTTGAAGAAGTCCAGAAGGACTTTGAGCGCTATGCTCGTGTGTGCTTTGAAAGGTTCGGTGATCGCACCAAGAACTGGATCACGCTCAATGAGCCCTGGATTGTTTCAATCCATGTGAGTAGCGAGTCCCCTATCCTCCGTGCTTTGCTTCGCTTCACAACATCGCAATACTCCAAAGGCAACCGATCGGCTGACACGACGACAGGGGTATTCAATCGGCATCGACGCCCCGGGACGAAGCAGCACTAACAAGATGTGTTCAGAGGGCGACTCAACCCGCGAGCCCTGGATCGCTGGGAAGGCTCTCATCATGGCGCATGCCCGCGCAGCAAGCCTATATAACAAGGAGTTCAAACCCACGCAAGGAGGTAGGATTGGTGTTTCCCTCAACGGCGACTATTTTGAGCCCTGGGATTCCGAGGACCCTCGGGACCACGAAGCGGCCGAGAGACGAATGGATTTCCATCTTGGCTGGTTCGCGAACCCAATGATGTGAGTCCCACTGGTCGTTGAACACACTTGAATAGAGCTCCAGGCGGACTCGAGCTTCTATATATGTGCAAGCCTGCTGATATCGTGCCCTTTTCCCTCAAGGCTTGCCCAGGATTATCCGGCGGCTATGCGCGCGCAGCTAGGCGACCGGCTTCCTGCTTTTACAGACGCTGAACTTGCCCTGCTTCGTGATGCGGAACTTGATTTCTACGGCATGAACTACTATACTGCTCAATTTGCCCGTCACTGCTCTATCCCAGCTGAGGATACAGACTACAAAGGCAATGTAGACGAGCTTGCGGAGAATAAAGCTGGGGTCCCAATAGGTGAGCCTAGTGGGATCTGGTGGTTACGCCCTTCACCTGAACGCTTTCGCAAACATCTTTTAAGGGTCTATAAGAAATATGGAAAGCCTATCTATATTACTGAGAACGGCTGCCCGTGCCCCGGCGAAGAGAAGATGACTAAAGAGGAGTCCGTCAATGATAAGTACCGCCAGCGATACTTTGCTACCCACTTGGATGCCGTTATTGGCGCGATCCAGGATGGGGCGAAGGTATCTGGGTACTTCGCGTGGTCGCTAATGGATAATCTAGGTCAGTTCCCTCACTCTGGCTGTTTTGCTTCACATTCCACAGTTAACCGTAACTAACCTCGCGTCTAGAATGGGGTCTGGGATACAGCTATAGATTTGGTGTAACGTACACGGACTACGAGACACTCGAGAGGACCCCAAAGGAGTCTGCGTTGAAGCTCCGAAGCATGATCGAGGACAGAATGAGCATAGAGGACACGGTTGGTTGAGCAGGAAGTTGTCGCTCGGTCCACTTGGGGTTGTGATGATTGCAGTGGCCAAGTCACTCGTTTTGTAAAAGCATGAGTCGTGGTGATAGCTGCCTATCATGGACCCGAACTATAGAAAGCTTCCATTGCATTCTCTTGTTGATTACTCTATACCATTGCTCATAGCCAGCAGTAAAATCAAAACATTAGGATCCCTATATCTGACGGACCCTGCAACGTACAACTGGATAGATGCTGCAAAATATTACTAGCTGGCTGTGAATTATGATATTGAGAATAGCTGGGCGGACATCAAGCAGGCTCTCTACGAGCAGATGCAGCGAGCAGGTCTTCGGTTCGAAGCAGGCCAATCCTGGCCATCTCTTGTCCAGAGATGGAGATGTCTTGATTTAGTAACGTCGGGCCCCAATCACGAAGCCGGTTTAGTATTGAGAATGATCCTAATCGAATGCTTGCAACCCACGCTACTGCGCGGCAGAATATTAGTGTGACTAGATGGGACTTTGCCTTTTTCTCCGAGCGAGTCACAGCGACAACAACGAGACAATCACGATTTAGCCTGAATATCGGCTGTTTCGACGAGATGCCGTCAAGCTCGGCTTCGCCCTGTCCTGCGACAAGTTCGTCTGACCAACTATAACCTCCGTTTCAGCTGTCTTTCCTCTTCCAACAACGGCTTACTCGGTCTCCTGTCTGAGCTCCCTGTTTACTACAGTGCACGATTAGTTCTTTACATTCGCCTGCCTCGGATCCGTTTGTGCCACCCCCTGCATCCCAGCCAGATAAGCCACTATGTCACGGGCCTACGAGAACCCAATCCTCGGAGGCTTCTATCCAGATCCGAGCGTTGTGCGAGTGGAAGACACGTTTTATCTCATCAACTCGAGTTTTCAATTCTTCCCAGGTCTGCCAATTCACAGGTCCAAGGACCTCATCAACTGGGAACTGATTGGTGCGTAATACCCAATCTGCCACAAAATAGCCTCCTGTGAAGCTATTGTACCAACAGGTGAGACCAACAATAGGAAACGCCATCAATCGGCCGTCGCAGTTGAGCCTGCAGCATGCAACAACCAAGACGAACAACTTGGAGCGGCGGGAAGTTTATAGCGGCGGTATATATGCCCCAACCATGCGCTTTCACAATGGCATCTTCTACATCGTGTGTACCAACCTAGCTGGTAGCACATCCATGGCCCCTGAGGTTGACTTCGAACCCAACCCCAACTTTCTCATAACCTGCCACGACCTCACCGACCCGACCGCATTTAGTGACCCTGTACCGTTTGACTTTTATGGCATTGATCCAGACCTCTTTTTCGACGATGATGGCAAAGTTTACATGACCGGCAGCTTCATCCATGGCTACCAGAAGAAGCCTCAGACCGTCATTCGTCAGGCGGAGATCGATCTGGCCACAGGTAAGCTCGTAACTGACGCACGAGATATATGGGCAGGCACCGGGGGCAACTGCCCGGAAGGACCTCGTAAGCCGGACCCCAGCGACCTTCCAGTTTCCTCAGTTTAGGACCGATTTCCAAGCTGATGGCCTATTACAATGAAACAGATATCTACAAAAGGCATGGCTGGTACTACCTAATGATCGCCGAGGGAGGAACGCACCGCTGGCACATGGTCACTATGGCGCGGTCCAGGGCAGTCACCGGCCCATTCGAAGGCTGCGAAAAGAACCCGCTACTCACGGCAGTACCGGGCTCTCCCATAACCTGCGCTGGCCATGCTGATCTGGTCCAAGACACAACAGGTAACTGGTGGGCCGTTATGCTTGCGCGCCGCGAGCTCGGTGCGCACGGCGATTCTTACCCCCTGGGGCGCGAGACATATATGGTACCCGTGGACTGGCCGGAAGGCGAGTTTCCGACCTTTGAACCTGTAAAACTGCTGCAATCGGTGCCCGTTTCGCGCGGTGTTGTAGCGGGCAAGCAGCGCATTTCGGGCCTGGAGATGCAAGTGCAGCTGGCTTCCCCACGGGTGCTTTATGTCCGCGATCACGTTCTGAGCAACTATTCATCGGATGGTACAGCTATCCTGCTCCGCCTCAGCGACGTTGAGCTAGGCTCCATGTGCAGCAGTCCGACATTCGTGGGCGAGCGACAGACGTCTCTAACGTGCACTGTTGACGCTCAGATCGATCTGGCTTCAGCTGCTAAGCATGGTCACGCTGGCCTGGCGGTATACAAAGATCCTTTCCGATACGCATCCCTCGACGTCAATCTGGAGGCTAGTCAAGTCGCGTTCAACCTCCGCCACATTACCCAGGAGCACGCCATGTTGAGCCTCAAGCCAGTAACAGAAGCAGTGGCAGTAAGGCTGAAAATCATATCTTCTGTCGATATTTACACTTTCTTGTACAGCGTTTTAGTGGGCGGTAAATGGAGCCCTGAGGTTGAACTGGCCACCATCCCCTGCAATGACATGAGTGGAGACGACTTTACAGGTGCGTTTGCCCAGCCTGCTCCAGCCACCTTTAATGCAATATGAGAAGATATGCCGTCTTAACACAGTTTGTTCATAGGGCCTGTCTACGGGATCTACGCATCTGGACGCACTGGGGTAGTCAAGTTTGACTCGTTCACGATCCGAAGTCACTGAATATAAGGCTGTAACTAGTTTTGCGATGCAATGAAACCTGTTTGATACCGCTCAATTATGCACCTGGGTTATTGTAATACTCTCAATTGAACATCTGCACCTGCATCTTTCATCCAAGTGAGCCAGGGTGGGAGTAGATTGGATCGACAAGACTGGCCTTGTATGCGACCGACCCATCTGGCGAAGGTACCTGGCAGACACCAACTTCGCCGACAGACCTGCCGCGGAGGAATTCTCGTTCAGGAGGAAGGTCCATGACAGACTGGTATCAAGCCAGTCAACATTCTAGTTTCCCGAATGGTGACCACTGACAGCCTGGGCAAGATGGGGCTAACATCTCTGTCGGTGACTCTCGGGCCAACTATAGTCTCTGCGAGCCACATTAACAAAGACCACATATACTATTTATCCGAAGAGGCCTTGGCGGGTAACAAGGACAATTAAGCAGCTAGCATCTCCGCTTTCCGGGCATTCACCGGCATGTCGGTGGAATATGCATTTGGGGAAATCAGGAATTCTACGGAGCCATACGCGCCACACCACATCAGGGGGGTTGGCAAGTTATTGTTTCTCGTTTTCGATTCACATTTCCGTTCTCGTAATACGCCGGAGAAATTTCCACCAGGCATTGCCTTAATGCCATAGCCGTGCACTGCGTCATGATCTCAACGACCGATAAGTCCCTTGACGTTCTCAAGACGATAGTCATAATCTCATCCCATCATTCTTTGAGAGTTAAGCAGAATGATATATCTATAAGATAGTAAGGTAGATCGGTGGGATGTTGTTGTGACTAAAAGCCTCGTCAAGCAAGGCAGCAGCCTCTAGGAAAACGCTTTTTACAAAGTACTTAGCCCTGGCAGTTAGAACGTACCGAATTAATATGGGGGATATAAGCAACAAGTCTAACGTCAGCCTGGCAGCACCAGAAAAGCGGTTCTTAAGGGGAACTGGCTTGTAATTTAGATATCTCAGTATACAAGTATCCAATGACCATCTTCCGCAGTATATTTTCCTACTCGTGTAGTACTAGTGCGAGCAAGTATTTATTTCCAAGCTGATGTTCACCTATTTTGGCTCCCAGTCTGCTCTCAGAGGCCACGGCGGCTGCGCGCCTCTCAACTCCTTATTCAGAATCTGAATCACAACCCGCTTATACACCGTCAAGGCTGGTGTCCCATCATCAGTAACCTCCAGGATAAAATGATAGGTATGACCCTTCTTCTGCGGCTTGCCAGTCTTGAAATCAACCGCGCTTTTCTCAGCTGGCGGCATCATGATCTCAACCCTCCGTCCATTGATGACACTGTCGACGTTGACAATATCCATCACCGGGATAAGAACATCCCATACCCCCTCTGCCATGGTTGGCTCCTTGTAGTGAAACCAATTGTAGCGCAAATTATCACCATCAGGATCATAACTCTCTGAGGCGTCGAGGGAAACCAACTGGCCCGCTTCAACTTCAAGATAGAGACTGGCAGAGATATCCCTATGCCCATTCACGATGACAACTGGTGCATGGTTCGCCTGCGCAAAATCAGAGTGTAAACTCCACTGCATCCGTGCCGCGAAATCGTTCTGGAAGGCCTCCGCCCAACGCCAGACTGTTGCAAAATTACTGCAGTGCTTCTGACCCTTCCTGTATATGGTATCAACTGTGTCCGCATAGTGATTCACCTGGAACGTCGGGTCGACGGGGTCATATCGGCCACCCCAGCTCCCCCACGATGGATTTTCAGGGGACCCAAGGCCATTCGGAATAAGATACAAGAATGACGGCGTATCGCCCTCGATCTGCCAGGCGGGATCCGGGTAGGTACGGCCCAGTGGACCGAGTTGTATATTCTCCTTGAGCCAGTCGAGGGAGAACAGGCTTTTGTCGACTCCGTTCTCAGGACAGGTGATACCCCACCAGGTGGATGTGCGGTACTGGCCCCATCCATGGACTGAGCAGATTAGGAAGATATGTGGAAAGTGAAGTCTAATCCAGGGTCCTGTGTCATCTTGATCGGAGATCATATAGATGCGGAGTTTGGACGTGAGTTCATCTACCTTGTCCTTTGATCGGGACTGCTTGACATGTTGGAGGGCTTGCGCGATGACGTTCGACCCGCCCCAGCATAGAACCCAAAGTGGCTCATCCGACGCATCAAGGGCGTTAATTAATAACTTTGTGCCCTCTGCCAACGGAGTGTCTTGCTTTAATGCCTCGCGTCCGTAAACCGGGGGTCCTGTCTTGACGAGATTGAAGAGAGATTTCGCGTCGGGGTACGGGTATTCTGGGGGCGTGTGGGCGTTCAGGGTCTTGACGACTTGGGCATATGCGCGCAAAGTGACGTGCATGAGATCGGGTCGGGTTGATGTTCGTTGATGGGTGGATGTACATGCGACAAGACCTTCGGTTCTGAACTCGTTGGAGTACAGCAAGTAACGTACAAGGGACTCGGAGTCATCAGGCTCATTGCCAATGTCTGAGGTAACAAAGACCCTGGGTTTGGTTTTGATCACGTCGCGGGAGATGGTTCGGCCTGTCATTTTGCGAGATTTGGATTGTGGCTTCTACTAGAAAGGAAAAGGCCAGCGGCGTTACGTGGGGGACAGGGAGCAAGACAGTTACTAGTCCAATGTAAACGATTTATGCTGAACGGGTGTGAGTCAACTCTTATACTCGTGGCAGTCGGTTCGGTGGCATGGGGCTTTCGAAGAGAACGCCAACCCGTGAAATAACTCAATTCAGTGCCATCGTCTTCTTTAACAGAGAACCCTATGTGGCAGTTCACGGTTTCTCCGCCACAGACCCATCAGCTCGGGGAATTTGTGGGGTCCTTCAACGAGTAGTCACGTACTACTGGGATACAACCCCACTGTACGAGGGCGTGGGTTTCGCGACGGCGTGTATATAGTTCTAACGCATGATTATTAACAAATTTTTTCCACAATGTCTAAGGAAGAGATAGACTTAAATCATCGAGTATATACTTTGTATACAAAATATTAAATTAAACTTATTATTGTCTTGTATCCGACCGATTGAGGATTTTGGGCATCAGTATAATAAAGATATCAACGGACTGTTAAGCTCAAAACGCTAACGAGGGCATTCCTAGTTTAGGAAAAGGCCATGTAGCAATCCCCGCAGTCGTTGTGGATCGCAGTTTGATGATTAGGCTAGAATAATACAACTTTGCATTATTAATACAAACTATATACTCAACTCTAGTAATATCACATTCAAGCCACCGCAATATAATATACTTTCGGGGAGATCGCAAGCCTCGTTTATAACATGCTTTGATCGCAGAATGAAAAGCACAAGCTCTGATAGCTCGCCGCGCAATGGCGCCCGAGACCCTTAGGCATTGTTGGCGAAATCGGCAAGGGCAGCATGAGTGGTATAGAAGGCACCTTTGGGCTTGTAGGACTCGTCAAACATCAAGGGCTTCGCTCCGGGGATCCAGGTATAGCCATGCTTGTCTGTAAAGCCCCAGAAACTAATATCGGTGATTCCTGCATCAAGTGCTTCTCTCATAACAGCACCATATATATCCGCCTGGAGGGTAGCATTAAGTGTATGAACATCAAGTTCAGCAATAGTAGTTTCCAGCCCGAGTGCTCTGTATGAGTTGACCATATCCGTAAGTACGCCCGGGATCGGGGCTACTTCAGTAACATGCATCTGCAGGGCAACTCCATCAATTGGAACACCGTCCGCCACAAGCCCGGAGACCAGCTCATAGAGGTCCTGGCGCTTTTCAGGGAGTGCCTCGACAAGGTTCTCGTTGATGAACAGCTTAGCAGTCGGGTCTGCTGCGCGGGCGATGTGGAAGGCCTCTCCAACAAAGCCGGGACCGAGGACTTTGTAGAAGTCGTTCTTAGGATCCAGGCCGCCACCTTTCGTTTTAATAGCTTCGGTAACAACATCCCATCGGTCCATCTTGCCGTGGTACCGGTGCATGATCGCGTTAAAATGAGCTGTCATCGTGGCGCGAAGTGTAGTCGGATCGGTAATATTAAGCACGTAGTCAGGGTTGCAGCAGCCTGAGATAAGGCCGTGGCCCTTGACTACCATGTTATTGGCTTCAGCAAAGTCAACAAGACGGTCAAGGGTATCCCAGTTATAGTGCCCAATAGTCGGGTTAAGGAATGCCCATTTCATTTCATTCTCGGGCGAGAGGCTGTCGAACTGCTCGCTAAGGACAGCTGCAAACTGGCTGTCATTAAGATAGGTCGGATTAATCGCACCGGACCCGATAAGGATATCCTTCTTGGCTGCCTCCTCTTTCAACGGGGTGGTTCCGGTGTTGGGGCGTGTGGCGCATGCTTCGACAGAAGCGAGAAGCGCGACGAGGGTTGCGGCACCGATGGTCTTCATGGCTGGCTTTGGATTTTGATTGATGAGATTGATGTGTTCTTTGCTTCGAGTATGACCGTCTCATCACGGAGGCATCTCGAGGGCTTTATATAGCATTTTCCAGGGAAGATTCAATGGTTATACGTGCCCATGCGGTCGAATGGCTTGACGTCAGGAGAGGGTAAGAAAACTGTACGAAAGCGAATACGGTCTGTGGGTCGAGAGTCGAGATGGTTGCCTTGACTGGTGGAAAGGCAGTTTATTCGACCACTCTTCAAATAAAGAATGTACCGCAGATCTTTGGACCCACTCGTTTTTGTACTGAAGAATGGTGGAGTCCAATCTGTGGCCAAAAACGGAAACAAGGGAGAAGCTGTGGGGCGTTGTGGACATTCCCGGCAATCAGCAGGATTGACCGATCCCCCCTGCAGTAGTTGTTTCGGGCCCTTCCCCAGCTTGCAGCTGACACGATAGCAATAGTTTGTCCGATGCGGACTTCCATATGTGTAGGGCCGAGGGACTTGGCTAATAACGATCAGCATCAGTACGAGAGCTGATAACCACTATTTTGATCATAGCCTAAATCTCCATACGAGTAACAACAAGGGTCGGGAAGACAACGGTGACTGCTGCTCCTCGCACTTCGGACAAAACCCTGGCGTCCAGAATATCAGGTACTCCGCCTCGGTGAAACTGTTTGTATTTTGACTCGGCTGCTCCAAGCCGGCAGGGGTGATAGTCTCCCATTCAACATCGAGTGCACTAAAAAGCACTCTCGATTAGGGTTGCAAGTGGAAGTCGACCAAGAGTAGCATGGAACCTTATGAGGACCGACCAGGTTGAACATCGTGGAAGAACGCCATACATAGATTTCTCTCTAATCTTCACCCGGTAAATAACTTACACTTAGTGGTGCCATCTTTGCTGGGTCTAAAGCCTGTCGCGTCTTGATGTCCCCCACCGCGGACTATCCGGCTCGAGGACCGTCTAGATATGTGAAATCAGATGCTCTTGAACCTCTGCAAGTATGAACATCTTACTTCTAGCGTCCGATATTCTAGGGGCTATTCCATACTTTCCACCCAAGCCACGGTGGAGCTATCGTGGAGGCCTGCTTTGTAGAAATAATAGATTTCATTGTAGAATCTAAAATGCATTCGTCCCAGCCTGTGGGAAGGAAGTGATAACCACAAACAGTATCCGTAAGCCCGCCTTTTGTCAAATATGATCCAGCTATACGAGCTGCATACCTTGTACGGAGCAAATGATCCCATCAAGTAGCCATTGACGTTGGTCCGGACAACCTTAAGAGACCACGCTAAGGAAAATACCATTACAGGACGTATTTACTGTATACTGGGAGAAAGAGGTCCTACTAAAGGTCATGACAGGCGCGGAAACGAAACCGGAAATTACTTCTGCCTCACTATACGGCTAAGACAATCACATTGACAGGAACAGATCTCGAGAACAGCAAACAAAGAAATAGATTCGCATAAAGCATCAGTCGAAAAAAGAAACAAGGGAGGAGATATACAGCGAATTGGGAAACCAATCATGACAGCATGCTTCATTAGCATAGTGAATTGGCACCAGGATTACAACACCCTCCTCATGCGCCAGGGTACACTCCATATGGCTTTATTGCTTCCTGGTCAGGGAAGGGAGCCATGTCGTTGTCCGTGTGGTTGCGCAGAAGCTGGCCAATTTCGTGCGGATGAATCACATTAAAGATGACCATGGTCACGAATATAAGCAATGCATCGAAGATATATAGATAGGCCTCGTGGCGCAATAGGTACCCGTTATTCCCTTGGATGTACTCAACTAGCCGGAAGATGGAGCGGACCATAACCAAGAAGCTCGTCACATATAGTACCTTGAGGTGTTTGAACCAAGGAATATCCGGAGAGCAGGAGCGTGGGATTGGGTATCTCTTGAGCTTCCAGTAGAAGTGGGAGGCTGTGATGATAAAGAAAGCGAAGAAGAAGACCTGGACGAGGAGGCCGACGACAATAATACGCTCGCCAGTCTTCATGCTGTCTGGGTTTCCGCTGCTTTGAATGCCACCGCCTACATTATATTAGCAGGTAACTCAATGCTTGGAGTTCTTGCTTGGGATTCCTACCAGCACCCTGCAATAGGAACGAGAGCACATCGCCCGTCACGAATATCTTGGTCAACCACTTTTTCTTCAGCAAGGCATGGGATTCGGCTCGTAATACAAGAATAATGCGTCCGAGAAACATGTAAATCGAGGCTGCTAAAAGCGCGGGTGCCAGTAAAAGAAAGAGGGTCTGTACAAGGTAAGGGCCGAGTGTCCAATCCGGGGTCTGCCTGCTGGACGTGGCGCGTCCGATGTATCCGATAATCTCGACTAGACGGGTCAGCATAGTCCCCGGAACAGATCAGGATTGCAAGTGCACCGACATATGCCCCCGATAACGAAGGGAATGAAAAACCACGTGCGGGACCTGATCATTTGGAAGATATGATATGCGGTCGTGCCGATGAAGAGCAGGATAAAAAGCACGGCACCGCCCATGCTTGGGTCATAGCGATAGAAGGCGAAGACTTCAGCGGAGTTTCCTGCGCTCGACATACTTGCATGCAGGGACATTAAACGAACGGAAGAGATAACGGGGGATGAAAGAGAGGACAGCCTCCTAGGAGACCCGAACAGAAGAGACAGTGTGGAAGCCTTGTCGCTGGGCTGATTGAAAAAAAGCTACGTATATCAAGTATTTATATGCCCGCCAAACGGGGCTTGACAGATAAATAGAAATAGAGCAGATCAATAGCCGCGAGGAAGGAACATTCTATACGGCGGGCGACGGTTCCAACTTAGGTATACTGGACCCGTCCTGGGGCCATGGTAAACCGGCGTACAGCCTCTAAAGTCTTAGTGAGGGAGCTGCGGTGAGCATGCCATTCGGAGACGATCGTAGACATGACCTCGATATAGTGAAACGCTCGAACTTGGTGCGATTAAAAGAGGCTGCCTAATCGTATCGGGACCCAGGAGTACTGGGGACGATGGCTGCCAAGGCTCGTTCTCGTCCTCGTTCATACTGCAAATGTCGATCTGGGCTGCGGGTCATGAAGAGCTTTGGTTGGCGAATCGGAGAGCGCGTTCGTGTTCGTATAAACCACCGCCACACTCCACCCAAACCCCCGGCAAGATTCCAGAACGCCCAGATAAAGGATGAAGTTCAATGGGAATACCACCTCTGAAGCCCGAATTTCCAGTCTACTCCCGGGGATAAAATGGGTGCTGAAAATTTGATGTTTGCCACAGGAACTATCAAAGGGAGGCGCGGACCCTAAAATACCACCTCGACCGATTCTAACTTCCACACTTCTTCGCTCAGTTCGAGTCAAATCACCATGGCCGCCAAAGACCAGCCGGGGGTGTTCGAGCTACCGGCAGAACCGGTGATGGTCCTTCCCTCTCTCCCAGCTGCGGACATTGGCCCAAGCGGCGTGAATTTGAACGGTACGGTGCATAAGGCTCATAAAGAGATATCTGAAGTCGGCTAATATAGCAACTGCAGATGACGGTCGCGTGAGTATCGACTGGGACTCCAGATTCGTGCGAGCATTCTCCAAGTTGTACAGTGGTCCTTTTCTAGGACGGCCTACGACACCCCCGCCAGACTACTCCGAGCTGCCCCCCGAACCAGCTGATGCTACAATACAAATCCCTGGGAATCCACCGCCATATCCGGAGTCTGTCGTCGAAATTAAGAAGAGCTGGAAGGTCCAGCTGAATATTGTCGTCCAAGTCGTCGGGAGCCGAGGTGACGTGCAACCATTCATTGCACTTGGAAACGAACTGCAGAGATACGGGCACCGTGTACGACTAGCTACGCATGATGTGTTTGAGAGTTTCGTCAGAGACTCTGGATTGGAATTCTTCCCAATTGGAGGCGATCCAGTCGACCTGATGGCGTACATGGTCAAGAACCCCGGCCTGGTTCCGAGTATGGAGAGGCTATGGGCAGGCGATATCCAGCGCAAACGCATCATGTTCCGCGAGATGTTGGACGGGTGCTGGAGATCCTGCATCGAGCCTGATATGCATACTCAAATACCTTTTGTTGCTGATGCGATTATCGCTAACCCACCAAGCTTTGCTCACATCCATTGTGCGCAGGCGCTGAGCATCCCAGTGCATCTGATGTTCACTATGCCCTGGAGCAGCACGAAGGCTTTTCCACACCCACTAGCGAATATGAGGGGTGGCGATGGAGACGAAAGCTTGAAGAATTATGTCTCTTACGGCGTGGTGGATTGGCTTACATGGCAAGGGTAGGAAGCCAATAACATATTACATCAAGAGCAGTGAAGGTTAACCAACGCTTCCAGACTGGGCGACGTGGTCAACCAATGGAGAAAAGACCTCGACTTGGAAGAAGTGGCCACATTTGAAGGCCCTCACCTTGCAGAAATACTACAAGTCCCATTCACATACTGTTGGTCCCCAGCGCTTGTCCCCAAGCCTCGGGACTGGCCATCTTATATCGGTGAGTTATCCACACATTGGCCTGCATTGTATTCTGTTGAAACTAACTGGACCGTTGAAAAGATGTTTGCGGTTTCTTCTTTCGCGATACCCCGAAATACGACCCTCCAGCTGATCTAACAGCCTTCCTCGCATCTGGCCCTCCACCGGTTTATATAGGGTTCGGTAGTATCGTACTGGAAGACCCGGAGCGGATTAATGCCATTATTACCAACGCTGTAGACGCAGTTGGTGCGCGTGCGATCGTTTCCAAAGGCTGGTCCAACTTGGGAGGCGCACACCACAGCAACATCTACTCCATTGGGGATTGCCCTCATGAATGGCTGTTCGACCACGTGGCGGCTGTGGTGCATCACGGAGGGGCGGGAACGACAGCTTGTGGTTTGCGAAAGGCCAAGCCAACGCTTATTGTTCCCTTCTTTGGAGAGTCAGTGCTTCGTGTGAATTGCTATCATTCCGTCAACTAACAGTTCTCAACAGCCAGCCATTCTGGGGCGCCATGGTCGCTGCAGCCGGTGCTGGACCTACCCCCATCCCTCATAAGCAGCTCACCGTCGATGCGCTCGCTGCAGGTATTCGCTATTGTCTCAGCGAACACGCAGCGGAAGCAGCCTCAGCGATTGCTCACAAAATGAGCTCAGAGTCGGGAATTCGCGCCGCGGTCTCGTCATTCCATCGGAACCTTCCCCTCGAGCGTCTGCAGTGCGATCTATATCCATCCCAGCCGGCCGTGTGGTCTGTATCTGTACCCAAGAGTCGACAAAAGGTCAAGCTTTCAAAGTTCGCCGCAGAGACATTAGTTGCTGACGGAATGATCGACAAGAAGAATCTCACCATGTACGTTGAATGGCCTTCCCCGTTTCTCTCCTGTTGCTCTTGCGCCCCTGACAGTCTTCTAGACATCCTATTAACCCCATACTGATTGAAAACCGTCGATGGGATCCTATCACGGGCGGAGCCTCTGCCCTAATCCGCACCACCACCGACCTCACTGGTTCGCTTTTAGGAACATTTTACAAGCCTGTCCAGGAGTATCAGGATTACCACGAGCATCGCAAGGACCAGCGAGTGAGCAGTAGGTCTAGCCAGGTCTCTCACAGGCCCACAAGCAGCGCATCCTTCGGGTCCACGTCGAAGGATCTCGAGAAGGAGAAGGTGGCTGCGGGTGCTGGTACGGAGAGTAGCAATACTACGCCACGATCTAATCAAGGCGGAGGAAGGCTTGTCGCGAGAGTTGCCGGTGCCTCCGCTAAAAGCCTGGGCAGCTTCGTCCCCACCGCTCTTAAGGGAATGACCGTTGACATCCCGCTTGCGCTAACCGAAGGACTGCGCAACGTCCCTCGATACCACGGCGAGGAGCCCCGGGATCACGGTCCAGTTACGGACATCAAGAGCGGCTTTGCTGTTGCGGGGAATGGGTTTGTGTGGGGGATGGCAGAGGCCGTTAGTGACATAGTCGTCAAGCCATACCAGGGGATGCAACAGGATGGCACCAAAGGTGCGGTTAAAGGAATCGGCAAAGGCATGTCAAATATGGTGTCTAAGGCTGGTTGTGCCATGTTTGGGGTCCTGATATATCCGAGTGCGGGGATTGCGAAGAGCTTGCACGCATCAATTCATTCAAGGACGAGGAAGTTGATTGTCAAGTCCCGCTGTGGCGAAGGTGTATGGATGCTGGAGGGCGGGCAATACACGGTCACGGACAGGGACCAGGTCGTTCGTGGATTTCGAGAAATATTGAACCGTAAGAAAGGCTGAATTGTCTGCAGGAGTCATGGAGTCTCGGGAGTTTTGTACTTTCATAGAGCGCAAATAATACCAGCCAGCCGTCTTCTATTTCGCCAAGGTATCTACATCTGGCCTCACTCTGCTTTCCGCTTCCTCTTAAGGAGGTCTGTATGTATCATTCGGTCCGTTACTGCGCGTTTTGGAATGTTGTCACTACGACATAGCTCTTCGATATCATCGCGCTACAGAAGTAATGGTGAGTTGGAGGACAGACCGTGAATGGATGTATCAATCTACATATATCAATAGCCCAGGATCAAGCATATCATATGGAATTTCAGACAAATCCTTCCCCCTTCTCTGCAACGGCCGTTTTTACCCCTGTTAATCTTGCAATCCTCCTTGTCTCACGGAAGACCATATAACCCGCCATACCAGCAACAACACACGCCAAGGTAACAAATAAGCCCGTTGTCCAACTGGGTCGATTGAATCTGCTCATTCCCCACATACAGCCAGCCAGACACCCTTGGAATATACTATTCCCCATGTTGCACCAGACCACAAAATCCAGTTTCCATGGCGCCGTGGCCGGCGCGGGGACCCCATTCATCGAGAACTCAAGAGCCGCTGTGGTAGGACATCTGCTTTGTTCCGAGTTACAGTCCTCGACACAGCCAGAATGTGAGACAGTAGCCGGTAAGCGATACCACGCTCGATGAATTGTAGCCAAGCGCACGATGCCAGCCAGGCGCTTCTCCCGGTCTATCCCCGCCAGCCGCCAACAGCACCAGAAGTACAAATCCCGGAGCCTCCACGGCGCGAGCCCGAGCCCGGTCACACAGAACAGCCCATTCAGAATCTGGGAGGTGATCTCGATCCAAATCCGGCGGGAGGAGTACAAATCGGTGCAGGACGGGTGGCACATGGCTGGGGCGGCATTGCAGATTAGCAAGAATAGCATCCCGCCCCAGGCGACGATATTCAGCCCGTAGATGGTGATGAAGAAACCTTTCGGGGTTGTTATCCAACGCCACGCCTGAGCAAGCCAAGCTCTTTGTTTGGTTGCGGTTGGGCTACGCTCGGAGGAACTGCTCCTTGTACTCAGCTATCCCATCGATTAGTGTCAATTCGCATCATAGAGGGTTCCAAGTGGATGGAGATATTAAGGATGCTGTACCTCAATCCGTGATTCTATTTCCGTGTTATCCACGGCTGGAGACATGTCTTCAACTCCAGAGCCAGCCCTAGTAAACGGGCCGGGCTGTGCCATGAGCTTGCAGACTTCCAGCAGGCAGCGAGATGTTGTCGCAAGATAAGGAGCGGGATTTGGATCAACCGTCTAATAGTGCATTTGAAAGAATGCAAGAGTGAGTGAGCCTGAAGGGCGATTCTAATACTCCTGTTGAACGCAGTTTTTGGTTCTGGAACGCTTGTAAGAACTCTGCAGCTTGTATAGTCCTCCAACGCCACTGTTTGGTACGAATACGAAAATCGCCCCATGGAACCCACGATACAGGAAGCGGAAGGTCGGTCGGACCCTTTCTCTACCGGGCTGTATATATGATGGGATATATTTCTGGGAGCTCATTATTCAAGACCATGGCTCCCAACTGCGCCGACATCACTCTCTAGATACAGCGCCTTTAGGGTCGGCGGTTCTTGGCAACCTTGCCTAGTTTCTCTATCATCAGATTCGTAAACACGTTCTACAGCTCCACTATACAGGTTCTACCAGCTTGTCGACGGTGTAAAACATTGTGGATAGTGTATACACCGAGGTCAGAGGTATTGCGGGAAATCTCAGCGCCTGCCTAACGCTTAGGCGGTATGCTGCGCCACAACCTGTACCTCAATCGACCTTTCAGGAGCAAAGGCGGAATTTACCAATCAATAGTATATTTGCACAATATACCGTATCCAAGTTCATAGCTCAGCAAGATCACCCTCGCAAGAAGCGGCGCTCGGGATACCTCAACCTTGCCGTCATGCTCTATGGCCTGGTTGCAACTATAAATATGTACCTGTTTTCTGACACAAGCAACTCAGCATTCTGGAGGAAAAGATAAGTAGTTGACTGGATATATCCAACCATTCCCTTCTATTATGTTGCGTAGTTTTCCCTTTACATTGCTCGACTTCTGGCTGCAATGTGTACTCGGTACACCAAGGCAACCATACAATCCCATCGAAGGTATGCAAGTTAAGGACGCTTTTATGTTCACCAACACAAAGGCCCGAGTGTTGGTTACTCAAGTGGCGTTGGCTGACAAGCCCTGCATGGTCAACGGCAGCTCTCCTGGTATTATTGGCCTTTGCTTCACCAGGTTGCATTTGCAGCGCCAACCAGGTGCGCTTTTTCCGAACTGTAGTGGTTTATTGGTTCAGGCTTAGGGCTCCACCCACTTGCAGAATGCGAATACGGGCGGGTCCGTGGCATCCACCAATGGAACGATCCCGAGCCGAGTGATCTTCCTCATCGAGCCCCGCCTGGAATGGCTGCGGAGGGCTGGCGATCTGGCGATCTGCATACTCTTAGATTGTGATGGCGTTAAAGGCACCGTTTCCTAGAGTCATTAAAGATAGCAGGTTGGTTGCCTTAATGTGGTGGTCATGATCCAAATTGGTGAAGAACTGTCGATTGCTGCTTCTGCTACCTGCTCTCCACTTGGACGTACGACCTCGACTATTCTGGCCATCGTTTTGTTTCGGAGTCACCGTACGTCCCGGGCTGCTTCAGGGTATTCTCACATTAGCCAGGTTTCAATTCGTGCCACGATATCCACGACTAGTTGCTCGTAGTGTGAGCCAAGCGCAAGGAAAATGGACTGATGGGCGGTGATTTCATCCATCCCTTCCATATAGATTGGGGCCCAGAGCTGCTTTTTGCAGGCTTCATTCGAAACTAAACAGAAGTGTCGACCCCCTGATCTCGAGCCGGAACTTGAATCGCACGAACTTGCTGGATGAGATATACTGTCCACTTCCGTAAGAGAGGACACCCGGTCTACCGCCCAGTGAAGTGAGTTCCCGTCCTTTCCCTTCATTCGCTGGCCAGGGATGATCGATGTAGAATGCCGATGCTCTTTGACATTCCTATGTAGTTCCGTCGTGTTGCGACAGGTAAGCGACATCTCAGTCCACGGTCTCTTTTCTTTATCGTTGTCACTGTCCCCTTTTTCCTTGACGGGGTACGCAGTTGTGTAATAGTTGATGAACCGGACCCGCCTGCCACTCAAACTGGAGCCGGGCGAATGGTTAACTTCAGCCAAACGGCAGAGCCTCTTGTGCCGTTTTAAGAGACCAAGATACTCGTTCAGGCAACCGGTATGGTCATAGTATGAGAACACATACTGAAGGGCCGAGCGGGATAAGTGACGTGAGTTCTTTTTAAAGAAATGGCGCGCTCCATCCCAACCTTTCCATCGAGGCTTGTTCAAGTCGTTTGGAAAGGCTGGGTTGAAACTTGTGTCCTTAGTGGCGATTATGTCGCGTATGGCATCCTCCTCTTCCTTGTCTTCATTGTTTGTACGTCCTTTGCGACGAAATAGCCTGCCGATTCCTGTCCTAACAACGCGTGGATGAAGCCCAAGGAATGGTGCATCGAAAGCTACCAAGCCAGCAATGTTATGCTTCAGATCCTCGCCTTCGATCTGGCCAGAGGCAGTGCCAGATACCATAAGGGCGACCTCTGCGGCGATAAGACCCCCGAGACTGTGGCCGAGTAGTATAACATCCAAGTCCGATGCCTCGTGCGGAGATAACCTGGAAGACGGTATGAACAAAATGAAATCCCAGGGATGGCTGTGTTGGAAAATAGGCAAGCACTTACCACTGGCTGATACCATCGCGAGCGTCGTGTAAAGGTCCCCGGGTCTTATAGCGCGGGTATATTTTCGTGTACACAACATGGGTTTCGGCCAGCAAGACCGCCAACATGTCATGAACCCTGCGAGGAAACTGGTAAAAGCTGTCCTCTGACCCCAAGAAGCCGTGGATGTAAATCAGCAGTAGCCTCCGCTTTCCTTGCCGCCTGGGAAGTGCCCAGCGGTCGGCGTCGGCAAACCCCGGAGGATATCTCTCAAATAAATCATTCTGGACTTCGTACGTCGGCATTGGGTCATGGATGCTAGGTGATTGCAGCGAATTCATAACGGCTCGCGACCTACCTGTCCGGGGCCTTGGAGGATTTGTACCCCCCGTGCTTACAAGACTTGGACCGCGATGAATCTGGTCGTATTCGTATGTGAGGCCCACTTCGGACCCAAGACTTTCGCAGGCAAGGCAAGATCAAGGCTGGAGCAAGACTAGGCAACAATTAAAGTTTAGTCCCCGGCAACAATTAAAATTTAGTCTCCTTTGACCAAAGTATCGATCCTTATTAGGCTGATATCACCCAGTTAGGGCTAGCGAGTCGGGCATTCTTGGCAGTCTCGGTCGGCCGCAACTCTTGAAGTTCTGCCTGGCGCCCTGGAATCTTTGATCCTGATAATCTCGTGATATCATATTTCTCCCCTGTTATCATGCTGGGTTTTTGTCAAAGAAGTGACTCATTCATGCGCGAGGAGATAGCAGCTCCGAGCAGTCGACAACTGCGAAAACGACACCGCAGCCGCCACCAAAAGTCTCGCCTTGGGTGTTTCGCTTGCAAGTCGCGACGCGTCAAAGTAAGTGCATCTTCCTGATACACTCTCCAAGTTGGCCTGTTAATGCTTCTGCAGTGTGACGAAGCCCGTCCTGTTTGTGGCTCTTGCTCTTCTCGCGGCGAGCCCTGCTCCTTCCCCGAACCCCCACCCGTTTCTAACAGTACACGGCGGGAAGCATCTCGCTCCCGGCATCGCGGTGCTAGGTGCCCTCATGTGCAACACTCGCCATCCTTTTTAAGTCCACTAGATATATATGTGTCACGGTCGGCCGACAGCCCTCCTCCGGTAGATGACCAGTCATTGGATCTCGACGACATCCTCTCTGTGCAGTTTTTCCACATGCACACGGCACAGGAGATGTCCCTGAATCCCAGCCGGAGCAAGGTTTGGCGGCGGGTGATTCCAGACCTTGCTGCAAGCCACCACTATCTTATGCACTTGCTGCTCGCCTTGGGTGGCATACATATGATCACACATTCCAGGCAAAGGCGAGGCGAGACAGCTGCACCCGATTTGCTGGTGGTAATAAATCATCATCAGCGAGGGCTACAGGGATTCAGGGAAGAGGTGGCTAGGATATCCAATTCCAATGCTGAAGCTGTTTACGCGGGATCCCTCCTCCTCGTCGCATTCGTTTATATGTCCCTCCAGGTCCCCGAGCTGAACCCGTCCGCAACCACCCCAAACCATCAGCCCCTCGAGACAATTTACAAGCCCCGTCTGCGCTGGCTACATATCATCCGAGGAGTTTCAACGGTGATTCGAGATCAGTGGCCTGTCTTGAAGGCAAGCCGCATGCGGCCGATGGTCCTATATTTCCACGGTGAGGAGTACTGGGACGACCTTCCACTTGCTTCATCGTTGTCCAATCTCGTGCGCTGCTCCCCGCGCTTTTTAGTATTTGCCCAGGGAACTTGTCAGGCCATCGCTGACCTAAGGGCTTGTTGCGACGCCATACAACCCCCCGACAGTAATGGGCCTCCCTCAACTCCTGGGGTCTCTCCGGCTACGTCGGACGGGGCAGGATATGGGCCATCAAGAGCCGTGGACATGCTTGAAAAGGTTTATTTCTGCGTTGTGGCTGTGCTAAAATGTTCGGTCAGCGAATGGGGTTCGCCAGATGATTCGGACATCCAGGGCAATCTTGAGGAGGCGGCGGTGCAGTCTTGGCCGAACCTGATTCCAGATGATCTTATCACCCTGCTAGATATCGGCGAACCTGCGGATGTTGGGTGGGGACTTTCGCTAGTCATCTTGGCTCACTACTATGTCGTCAACACCCTCATGGACTGCGGGCTTCTAGCGTCTTTCAAGGAGGAAGTCCTTAAGATCCAAATGTCCGTCTCAAATATAGACGACGCTATGTTAAGCCAGCTTATGGTGTGGCCGGTGAAGGTTGCTACCGCTTAATGAGAGTCGGGTGAGGCCGTTTTATGGTCTCGCGATTGAGTGCCCACTCGGTCCTGACCTTTGTTGTTATACGTAGCCAACTCTAGGTTGTCTGTGTCCACGACCTTGGCTTTCATGTATGGAAAACGTCCTGGATCATGATTTCACTCCGATGGGGTTCCTTAGGTCTCTCAGTGTACCGTTCAAATTGCTCACCTGCTGGACCAACGCCTGGCAATTGGATGGGACAAAGAGTTCTTTTGTATCCTCGCCCTCTGCGTCCATCGCAGCCAGGCATCCGATAGGGATGCCAAACATGCAGCAGTCTGGTGGCACCACGGCTGGGGACAGCAGGCTTGTAAATACCTAGCGTGACCCCCCAGGCTCTGTGCTCTACTGTTTAGCAAGGCAGTGAGATGGCTCTACTGGGACATTGGAGGCGAACTGCCAGGGGTGTGTCAGAAGGACAGCTCTCCACGGGGCCAACAGCCCCTCCACAGGGCGAGAACTATACGCATCAGTTTGCGGCTACCTGCACCCCACAGAAGTCAATTTACGGCCGCGGTTCACACCGCATATTTCTTTGGAGGGGTATGGCAGATTGTTCGCGCGCCGACCGCTTAGCAGCTAATGAGTATCTCAAGCCGTATGAGCAGCTGGCGAAAACCTTGTCCATGATATTATCGTTCAAACCTGTCTGTAGAAACCCTAATGCTCAAGCTGAGTTTCAGTTACGCGACGGAGCGTGAGGAACCTGGGTGACGGACTCCAACCGGTGGACTGTTGGCGAAATTTGTCAAACTTCATTCTAATATAGAAATATATATTACAGCTCTAGGTCATTTCGTAAGTAGTGTTCTTAATATATACTTCTATATAATTAATATCTTTAATATAAAAGGTAGCTATATGTGAGCCCGCAATACTAATATATCGACCTTGAAGGAATTATAGAGACATGATACGCGGTTGGCGGAAGGTAGGTCCGTATTTAATAGAACTAATAACCGGGTCCCCTGATAGGGAACTAGCAGCGCAATATATGTCTGTATGTCATGTAACAGCCACCACGCAGCAGCCGTTTGCCTCAGGCAAATCTTCCCAGTGTCCGCATATAGCCACACACAATATATATATTACGGACAGGTAGTGCAAGCTACAGTGCGGACAAGTATTCGATAAGGGGAAAATAGGTAAATATACTTTAGCTGGCAGCGGCATAGCAAGACGCCGGAATATATATTAGACATCATATGGGAGCCAACATCTGTACCCTGCATAGAGCCACGTGCATCAAATAATCTCCCAGGGCGTATCTGAGTTTCTAAGGTAAGGGGTCAAGCCTTCGAAGTCATTGTCATATTCTGCCTTGATCCGACCATTTCCCAAAAATGCCCATGGGTTTTCGTCTAGGTATTCGATGTCAAAATGCTCCCAACGAGGGGTCTTGATGGTTTTGAGAAAGTGGACAGACTGCACATCACGTCAGTCAGTAATGGCGCCACGGTCGTAGTGCGAAGTAGTCACGAAACGCAACATATCGAGAATCGATAAATTCGGGCAAGCAGTTTGGGAAATGGATCAACTCACCGACCCGCCCCAGCACAGAACCTTGCCATCCACGGTGTTGTTCTTGTACCAACTCCGACAGTTCCCAGTAAAGACGCTAGTCTCCTGCCACGCATCGATATACTCGTTGAGTTTATCCACCACGGTCTCGCGCACGTCGAGAACCTTGATCCTGTCGGCCTGCATCTTCTTTGCAGCCTGAATAACATATTCGATCTCCGTCTCAAAGCAAGGCAACACTGTCCCGTTGGCGAGGTTCCCCCGTGGCCCATTCATGACAAAGTAATTGGGAAACCCAGGTGCGGCGATCCCGAGGTAGCACTTGGGCATTGGAGACCAGGCGTCTTTGATATCGCGCGCGTTGCGGCCCACGAGCGTAAAATGGGGGGTCCACGCCATGTCGTACCCTGTTGCGCAGGCGATCATGTCGACCTCGTGGTGGGTGCCGTCGGCGGTTACAAGGCCCGTTTCAGTGATTGAGCTGATCTCGGAGAAGACGCAGTCGACATTAGGCTGAATCAGGGCTTCGAGGTAGCCGTCGCCTGGAGTAAGGCGCCTAGTAGAAGAAAGGAAGATGGAAATAAGTAAAATGGAATAGACCCTGGGAAATCAAGGGCTGTTGCATCTAGTCAATGCTCACCTGCACCCAACAGGCCAAGTAGGGATCAGCCTTTTGGTCAAAACAGGGTGGTTCTGCAATCGCCTCGTCATTTCGGCGCGCATGTACTGCTCTGCCATGCGCGAAGGCTCCATGCCCTTGTAGAAAATGGCAAATCCCACGTTGATCCCGTATTCGATTCGCTTGCGGTAGTTGAGCAGATACTCTGGGTCACTAGACAGTCTTTGAATCTCGTCGGGTGTATAAAAGTACTGTCCTGCCTCTGGATGCGCGGCATCCTGGTCGTGATTAATGGTACTTTGGCCATTTGTTTGTGGTATCTCGACTGGTACGCGGGGCATGGGTGGGCTGATCCAGGTGCTGCCCCTCATGAAGCATTTCACCTGCGAGGCAACTGTTTTGTTGGGTCTTGGTTAGCAAGATAGACTTGAGCTATATTGGAAGTACTGGCCCTTGCGAACCCTTCTGGACTTGGGGGATTATTTGAATTGCTGACGACCCTGTTCCCAGTACAGCAACTCTCTTGCCAGTGTAGTCGACCGTGGCTATACGGTATAATCAGTCTTTGAATGGACCATTGGGCTAGTGAGTATGAACAAAGACGTACGATCCCATTCTCCCGAGTGCAAGAGCGGACCCTTGAAGGAGTGAAGCCCTGGAATGTCTGGCCCTGAATAAACCCGAGTCATATTAGCAATCATGGGGGCCGTAACGGCTGCAGCCAGGCAACTGACATCGATACTGGTTCAAAAGTCCAGATCCATTCACCAAGATATCGCACCAGTCCGTAAGAACCGCGCCATCATGCTCAATCCGAACCTCCCATTTCCCCCTGTCTTCACACCAGACAGCAGAAGTGACCCTGTGCCGCAATTTGATATACTTCCTCAAGTTGTACTTTTCGCAAAACTCCATGAAATACTCGTGGATCTCTGGGGAGTGGGCATAATACGACTTCCATTTCGGGTTGGGCTCAAATGTGTAAGTGTAGATGTGGGCGGGCACATCGCAGGCACAACCTGGATACCGGTTTTGCAGCCATGTTCCTCCGATTTCGTCATTCTTCTCGTAGCACACGAGCTCGCAGTCGCTTAGCTGCCGTTCCATCTTGTATGCGGCGCACAGCCCAGTGGCGCCGGCTCCAATGTGGATTATACGGAGCTTTCTGGGCTGCGAGTGCCATTGCTGGACTAGCTGGAAGCCGGTGGCTGGGACGGTCATTGTACTGGAGGAAGGAGGCCGCAAGAAGGTCTAGTATAGCCGGAAAATTGTACCGAGATGACGATATTGTTGATATTCATGCCCTTGGCTTACAGGGAAACGTTTGTGTTAAGTACTTTTCAATGGACCATGGAACAAACTACCCGGGAAGGACGGGGTCGGAGGCCGACTGGGGGCGTGCATGAGGCGAATCAGGCGATGTCAGTTCGACTGACAGGAGCATATCCACCATGGGCAAGCTGACTCAAATTTGATTAGGACGTCGACAGAAATATTAATCAAGTGAATGCTGTTCCATACTCATAGTCAATTCTTACTCTAAAGTCATGGAGCAAGACAGTATCAAGGCCCCAGCTGTTACAAGCGGCGCGGGCTATAGTCTACCTTACGCTGTGTATCTCCATTTGACGGCATGGATACTGAGAAAAGCCATGGCTCGCCTTTCGGGAACAGGAGATCTGTTTGACAAAAGCCTCTATGTGAGCACCCCCGGCCTGGGCGAGGGACATGTACAAGTCTCAGTCTGTGTACCGAATGGACCGTCTGCTAGTGATGGGCCGAAGCCGCTGGTGCTGGTCATGGAGGGTGGAGGATTTGTTCTAGGACAGCCCAACGACGGCGAGCACGTCGTCCGGTCGCTCTCAGACACGGTATGTGTTTACCTGGGGGAGCATTATGGCGCCTTGCGCAGACTCCGTAGGTTTCTGTCAATATCAATGACTGAGCAGTGACGACGCAATTAGGTCGATGCTGTCGTCGTCTCGGTCAACTACGCCAAGTCACCACGGTACGCCTATCCTCACGCTCTCCTACAGCTCCAGGCTGTGCTGAAATGGGCCCTTTCACCTGAGGCATCGGAAGCCATCGGCATTGCGATTGACCCGTCTAGGGTGGCAACGATGGGAAACTCGGCCGGTGGGAATCTAGCAACTGCACTCTCACTCCTTCTTTCCATCACCTCGGGGCCCTGTGACAAGTTCCGCAAAGACCTACATGGAGAGTTCCGCCTCGTAGGCCAAGTCTTGCTATATCCAAGCACTGCGTGCAACATACCATACCAGGTGCGCTTTAATGCCTGCGCGTCTGAGGTCCAAGCCAAGAGTTTACCCATCTGGGCAGCGGGTTTAATGGAAGCGTCCTATCTGCCACCGTATGTCGACAGGGACAGCATCTTCTGCGCACCCTTGAACGCGAGTGTTGCATTCTTGAAAAGCCTCCGTTCTGTGCCACCGGCTCTCATCATTACTGCCGGAATGGACTGTCTTAAAGTGGAGGCAAGAGAGTACGCAGCCAAGCTGAGGCAGGCGGGCATTGTGGTGGCCGAGTATGAATATCCGGATGCGGTTCATGGCTTCAGCCACTACAAAGAAGGCTCCAAGGGGTATCACAGGGAGGACGTCGAGGGTTGCTGGGACCATGTCACGCAGTTTCTCAAAGACAGATTTCGGCTCGTAAGGTAAATACAGCATGTTCAATTTAAATATATTGCAGCCTCACAATGTGCTTTTCAGCTGCTGGACCGCACCGAACATTTAGCTCGTCCGCTCTGCAGTCCGCCTCGCTCTCATACCCCAACAGCGAACACCACCAGGTTGTCTCATTCACATCAACCGCGTACCCCTCTCGAGTCTGCCGGGCATTGACGCAGCTAGTCACATTCCCAAGCGGCTTAACCTCCCCATCATCCCAAACTAGAACTCTCGCAACCTCAAACTCCCGATCCAGCATCCCTGCCTCCCCGAAATCGTAGTGTCGTACAAGAGGCCTGCCCGCCACAAACAACTCGGTAATGGCATTCATGACAGGTGGAAAAGCCGCCGTCTGCCAGAAATCCCAGTGATCCTGTATCTTCTCCCAGTCGAGCATCCAGACAAACGCCCCGGCATCGTCGACAGAGAATCCGTATGCGATCTTGCGGATCCCCTGCGCGTTGGGCTTGTTCCCACCTGGGGCAGTGTTGGCGACAATCTGCGACTCGAATTTGGCCAGCGCTGTAGAGTGGTCATGCCAAAATTGGGGCTGCAGTTGAAAGATGCAGATCTCGGTCACGGGCTTGTTGTGCGCTACGGTGTGTGAACGTAAGTAGGCGGCATAAGCCGCCATTTGCTCTGCAGTGGCCATCGAATGCGTGGCGGCAATGAAAGTGTAGCGTGCGAGACGTAATTGATACAAGGTTGGCGTGGGTTGGGTCTGGAGAGGATGTACAACTGATGTTTAACAGGTATCAGAAAGGCTAGTCAAGCTCGCTGACTCTCCCATCCACAGTCCCAAGGGACCCCTCATTGTTCTGATTGTGGCGGCCTCTGATCCTCGTCCGACTAAGTACCCCGACCCTGGAAGTGCTTACACGCGGGGGCGTCGTGGGGTCGGCCAGGAGATCCGGTGCGGCCGCTCTCGTATTCGAACGTTCTCTCGTATTCGCGTCTGTAAAACCCCGTAGACTCCGGGTTTGCCCCAAATGACCCCCCCGCGCGTCGGCGGGGACTGGGACCAGCTGTCCCCAGATACCAAGTGGAGTCAATGGCTGGGGCGCCAACGGTGTCGTGGTGCGGAAGCACCTGCAAATGCATCTTCCCAGTCCACCGCTCACACATTAACATTAGAATGGTCTATCCCCAATCCCCATCTTGCTTCTCTTACATACATCAGTCACGCAATCCGGTATCACTCTCAATATTGCTTGAAATGGACCCCCAACACGTGGCTGGACAGCGTCGCACCGCCGGAGCCCACGTCCCTAGAATTGCTCCAGCCGAAGCTAGGGGAGACGCAGTGGCTGCCATTGACCCTACTGACAAGGAGAAGCTTCGCCGGGCAAGGAAGCGCGCGACGGACAGGCAGTCGCAGCGTGACCACCGCGAGCGACAGCGGATCTACATCCGGCAACTGGAGGAAACTGTTCAATCATACAAGGACGCCTTCTCCGGAGATGGTTGCAATGATGTAGGCGCCCTCCTCAAGGAGCAGGAGAGGCTACGGACCAAGTGTAAGAGTCTGGAAGAGACCTTGTCGCGTATCGGCAAAATGGCAAGCTCGTTGCAGGACAGTGACCATGTCTATCGCAGCGAACAAGATGCCCGGGGCAGTTCTACGATCAACCCCGCGCAAATCAACGCACCAACCTCTCAGTCCCCTGCAGCAGGCGCGGATTACCACGCTCCCGGTCAGTTACATGAACCGCAGAGCGGCAACGATCAGGAATTGCCTGCAAGCTCTGATGCCGGTCGGCCGGTCTCGGATATCTGCAAGCTGCCTGCTCACGGGATGGACTATTTTGGCCTGTGCTGCGACGATGCGGCAGCATTGGACACGACAATGCCACTTGTCCACCAAGTGGACACAGCCGAGGTGCTCAATCTCAATGCTGGCGATGCAGCGGTCCAGCTCACCGATGGACCAGCGACAAGTCTGCCCATCGTGCCGGCCTCCGACCTTTCCATGGGAAGCCCCCTCGGGTTTGAGCCTGCTATCTCAGCCGACTTGGGCTGGGTCCCGCCCACACACCCTAGCCCACCCAAAATGTCCCAAGGCACGGGCAGGTGGGACGAGATTCTCTTGAGCATGGTCGATGAAGCACGGCTGCAGCACGTCCGTGGTCAATTCAACGCCGACGAACCGTCCCTGCAAAGCCTGCTGTCAGACAAGTCCCGGGACGTGCTTGCCTACCGGCTTTTCCATCATATCTGTTCGGATCGGTCCATACCACTGCATCTTATGCTATCCATATTTTGGGTCCAGTACCTCTTGTTAAGGGTGGGTTCATGGTTTCCAGTTTCGGTATCCCGAGTTCCCTTAAACTAACCACGCAGCCTGGTCCAGTGGTATGTTCTGGGAACCGAAGCCGATTTCCTTCGCATCCCAGAGTTCATGAGGCCCACGGATCTGGAGAGGCGAATTCAGCACCGTTTTTGTATTGGGATGTTAGTATGGTAAGAATGCGTGTTCGCTCTGCCCCATATAGAATTGCCAGATTGGCAGTGGCTCAAATTATGATGCAGGCCCGACCTGCGCCGCGCATTGATCCGTGATTCGCACACTACCGACCCTGAGCGCATCGGCATCGAGGCCCTGGAACATATGAGCAGGACAAGTTGTACGTGGTCACCAACCGTGCAGGGCTGTAGCGATCTCATTGGCAGCACGGATGTACTTTCCATTATTGAGCGGCAGTCGCAGCGGATGGAGATGTGGAAAGTCGACTGCCGGTTCAAGGAAAAATACCTCCAATTCGCAGATTGCTGGCTGGGGTAGGTAGTTTATCCTCTGCCAGTTATCAACGTATGCAGGGTTACGTTACCGGTAGGGACCAGGGCCTTGTCACCTCAGTGATTGACACCACTGCATGCCTTATTCTTGAACATATGAAACCCACAGCGGGAGACTAGAGTACTCGTACCAAGCTGGCTATCCTACTAGTACATATTCAATACCAAGATGTATTATGTGCACGCGACTGGGACATATGCTGTATTCGTGTTCGTGTTCGTGTTCGTACCTAATCGGGTAACTAGCCACCTCTCCTTAGTATACAGTAATAAGTCAGTCTAGGGTTTGGTTTCCCGCCGGGTTTGACGAGTCAGCGCGATTGACAGAGCTTCAACTGCTCTTGGGTCAATGCACGCGACTTGGATACTCTCAATCCCAAACGCATTATTATCATGCAGCTACCTTAAATATGCGTGCGTGAGATGGCTGCTTGTTTTCAGAACGGTCGCTTTCAGTTGTGATTTTATATTATCTGCGCTTGGTTGACACCGTCCTTCTCGCCATGGCTTATAACGCGGACAGTGAGGTTAGCTTGATAGCAGCTGCTACGCAGTTCCTCATGTCTTCTTTGTGGTCGCGAGCAGTGCTCCTTGTACTTGTTAGTTGCCTGATCGTCAACGAGATAAAATACCATCAAAGAACTGTAAGGCAATGGTGTCCCCGATCACAGAAAGCTGCCTCATCCCCGCGCTAACCGAAACTCCCATTTTCTTCTGTCCAGCCTGCCAATGTCCTCCCAGTCCGCTTCCCCGCGGTATATCTCCCGCTCATCTCATCCTGGATCGCGGCCGCTCGCTTTATGAGAGATCCGTCCGGGTCGCTTCGTGAGGCCATGGCCCAGTCGAAAAACGGACTGCTACGCATTGCAACCCTCCAGGGTGAATTCATTCTCGTGACGGACCGGCACAAGGTCGCCGAGTATCTCAGAGCTCCAGACACTGTCCTGAATGCCCAGGATGGATCCAATGACGTAAGTGAGAGCCCTAAATAAACAGTCCGTGGGATGCGGCTAATGTGGTGTGTTACCGCACTTTAGCAACAGCAGATACCTTTTACCATGGGATATGGAGTTGGCCACCGGACCTACCACACTGCCGTTGTTCGCGGGCCTGTCACGCAGAAAATCGTCCCCAACACTCCAATGATGCTTGACGAGGCGTCAAGGGCCTTTGATGACCTGATTGGCGCCCCTGATGGTATGATGCCTTTCCACTGCCTGCTGTGACTAACAGCTGCCGTAATCTGACTGAAAACTCCGGCAGAGGAGACGCCGATTCCGCTCTACGGGGTGATTGCCATGACAGTTGCACGGATAGCGAACCGGATATATGTCGGAACCGAACTGTGTGGGTTGCACCCTGCCAATTTCGAATTCAGGGAAAGTGCCAAACTTGTACTGATTTTCTTGCCGCACACCAGGCCGGAACCAGGAGTTTCTGCGAAATGCCACCGACTATGCTGAAGCCGTAGTTTTATCCGCCGAGATCCTGCGCATCTTCCCGGAATGGATGAAGAGGTCAGCCCCTCCCCGGCCCGCTCAGGCAATACAAGACGGGAGTTGCTGACTGCATATACCCGGCTGTAGATTCGTAGTGCAGATCCTCCCCGTGACGTTCTATCGTCGGCAGGGTCGTCGGTGGTTGGGGCCACTCATCCAGGATCGTCTCGACGGCAAAAAGGCGGATGACTTGATCCAGTGGCTCATTGACGCCGCCCCGCCCATTGAGAGGACTGTTCCTCAGTTGGCAGAGCGTATCATGGCCCTGAACGTGGCCTCGATCCACACTACCACCATGGTAGGGCTCTGTGCCCGTTCCGACGGCCCCCAGGGTCTTTCAATATCCACGCGGACTGTTTGATTTTACGGCTAACGAACTGTATAGACATTCACCGCTGCCTTATACACCCTGGCTGCTGAACCGACCAAGTATGTTTCAGCGCTCCGCGAAGAAGTGATGGCGAACCTCGAGGAGGGCAAGATCACAGCATCAACACTCAGCAAGCTCCCCAAAATGGAGAGTTTTCTCCGCGAATCCGGTAGAATCAATACTCTGGGACTGAGTAGGGCTACCTTTACCTACTCGTGAGAGATTCTGTCGAAGTCAACTGACATGTTTACAGTGGCCATGCAACGCAACGCCCGCAGGGAATTCAGATTCTCTGACGGAACTGTCATTCCCCCAGGCGCGAAGCTCGGATCACCCAGTCTCTTCCTCCACCGCGACCCTGCTGTCCACGAGAACCCGGAGGCCTTTGACTGGTTGCGGTTCTACCATCCACCACCCCAAGCACAAGATGACGGCACACCAACCGAGACTGTCCAAGCCAAACCAAAGACCATGCTGAACACTGATACCAACTTCCATCTCTTTGGGCACGGCAGACACCCGTGGTAAGCTTCTGATTCATCCATCCATCCATCGATGCACTGCCGCGTGTTTTCCGCCTCGCTCACTAACTTATTACTTACCATATCATATGTGCAGTCCCGGGCGGTATCTGGCCGTACATGAAATGAAACTCATGTTCGCTCTGCTACTACTACGGTATAATATTCAACTCGTGCCGGGAACTGCGCCGCAGCCGTTCTTCATCGGAACAATGCCGATACCAGACACGAAGCTGGAGGTCCTTTTCACGACTAGGAGGTGATATTGCAGCTCTTGTAAAAGGCGTGTTACGGCGACACGTTAGGGGAATTTTGCAAAAGAACTATTCTTTACTGTCAGTATTCTGTTATGCGCCGCTATTTATGTGTGCCGCGCAAGTATGCCTATTGGATAGCTGGCCGGTGGGCTCGACTCCTGAGGTCTTCCTAACCTGACCCCTCCTAGTTAGGCTGCCATGCAGTTTCCTTACTAGATCCTTTCCTAATTAGAAATACATAAGACCTCAGCTGCCTCTATGTAATTAGGGTTAGTAGTAACTCAGTAGTTACACTATTAGTAGTTACCACTTACCAGCCGCTAGCAGTTGGGAGGTGCTCCAGCAACAGTCCGCAGGGGCGATATTACTTAAAAGGTACTCATGCTAGTGTTTTCCAGGTCATTTTCCAGTAGTATTAGTCGTAAAATTCCCGAGTCTTTTATGAGATATACAGAGACCTTTAGTACTAAGATTATTAAAAACTCACGCGCCAGGTGGGACCGGGCTTCAGGTGAGCAACAACGGTAGAGAGTCCCCTGTGCATATATTTCAGTTAGCTTCAATATTTTCCGTACAGCAAACTTACCCTAGCCTAGCGTGTCGGATGACAAGATATCCGTATACACTACTAGCCTAATTCTAAAGGATCTAATCAGGTGGATTGATTAAAGAGCCATTGTTGAGAGATTCTCGTAGCCAGAGGGCTGGTATAAGCATATTACAGCACGGGTATTCTGATACTAAAAGATAGAACCTGGGACCGACTCTAGGTTCCCACCTTGAGAATTGGAACTAGACCATGTCGCGGTGTAGGTCTCACACCAGGGCAGACCTGCAGTCACACGAATTTCCCACTACACTGGCTGGGGGCGCTTTAGCAATTTAGACCTCTTGCTGTTCCAACTATCCGAGTCGGATTCAACTCATCGCCTCTTGTCGATCGGCGATAATGGCGCGGACAGCATCAACAACTGGCTGATAAGCCCGTACTTGCTCCGTCATACCCGAGACATCCATATTGTTATGACAAATGGACACAGCAATCTGATCTCGCAAATCGGCCCAAGCAATATTATTCCCCGCACCAGGACTGTAGATGATATCCCGATGGGCGCCGACCACAGGGTCTGAAACACCGGGCTGCCCGCCTAGCCAGAAACCCGCTGCCCCGAACCACACAGGAATGGGCAGCACCTTGTCCTGGTCGTGTGGGTTTTTACGGGGCCTAGTCAAGGACGCTACCCGTTCCGGAGACAGCAGACGCACCCCGTCCAGGGTTCCGCCCTGGGCAATCAGCGCGAATATGCGCGCAATGCTGCCGGGTGTTGCGACGGCGCCCGCGCCCGGATCAACGGCTTGTTGAATTATGCGCTGGTTGTGGACCGAACCGCTTGGATACACCCCTGGGGGGCATGCATTATAGTCATCAACCATACCGAAAGATTCACCGCCGTAGAGCGTTGCCACGCGACTGAGGTCCCCATCTGGTACACCCAAGTAGAAGTCTGTCACTCCAAGCGGGGAGCAAATCTCTTCCTGAATAAACTGTTCAAACTGACGGCCTTTAGGATCCGTGCGCACTACCACCTCCCCTAGAATCCAGCCCCATACTAGGATATGGTAGGCATTGTATCTCCCTGGCTCTAACTGAGGCTTCTGTTGGGCCACTTGTTTCACCATCCAGTTCCAGTCTGCCAATTGCTGAGGGGTGGTGGCCGGCATCTTGGGGATGCCTGACCGATGAGAGAGTGCATCCTCGACCGTAATATTGTGTTTACCATTGGCAGAAAACTCTGGCCAGTATGTGCTGATAGGAGTTTCTAGGTGTAAATGGCCCCTTTCTGCCTGTATATGAATAGCAAGAGCGGTCACTCCCTTGGTGACTGAGAAGACAGGAAACAAGGTCTTTGCATCAACTGGTTCTTTTGTTTCACTGTTAGTCACGCCAGCTGCGGTGTTGACGATGAGTTCTCCCCGGTGATAGGCTGCCACCGCGATACCAATTTCGCCCTGATGTAAAGAATGGGACAAAGCCGACTGGATACGGGGGTCGTCGTTGCAGCTCATTTTGGGTTTGAACAGGCGTAATAGACAATCTGTTGAGGTGAACAGAACCTCTACAAGTTGAAGGTTGAACCACCGTAAAAATACATCCTCGGAGGCATTCCACCTTTGCTACTGACAGCGCTAGACTGACTCATCAGAATATAGGCTACTGTCTATGCCGCGGGCGAAGGTAGAGAGGGAAATTTAAGTGCTGATGTGGATCTGACTTGCAAGGCTGTTAAGTAGTGAAAATAGCAAGCTCATAAAGTTGAACGCGAGTTCTTACTGCTCACTCTCACATATTACATTGGTTTCTCAAGTTCAACCTTATAGCCCTGCCTCCATATCAACCTGAGAATGACTTTCACGGTCGTACTACATGTGTATCGGCGATCAGACCTGTCTCCCGCGGAATTCAAGAAGCACTATGAAGAAACACACATACCGCTCATGAAGTCGATCGGAGGAGAGGCTTTTCCTCTCAGCCACACACGCCAATACATCTCTCACACAAACCTGGTCAGCGAGGCTCAGTCCGATGTTGGCTACGACGCTATTTCTCGGATGGTTTTCGAAGATCAGTCTACATTCGAGACGTTTAGAGGGCTGCTTCAGAGCCCAGAAAACGTATCCAGAGTGACTGAGGATTGCAGTCAGTTCTTGGACTTGTCAAAAGCCCCACAGATTGTTGTGATTGAGGATGTTTGTGATACCAGGAGGATCTGACACTGGCTCGGCTACTTGGCCTTGTCAGCAGGGTTGACTCGGTGCCTGATGATCTATGGAGTTGACTAATTTCCTGCTAGTCATTAGACTGGAGAGTGTGGAGGTCTGGTAGCTCTTATTACCACAATTCAATGGTACATGTATTTCAGTATGAGATCCTGTTGCCTCTTTCTGCTTTCTGGATATAACTTGTTTTCCCCATCATGGCTTTTTCAGAAGCCGAAAAGAAACTTTCAGGCGGTGTGGCTGTTATCACCGGTGCGGGATCGGGCATCGGGTCTGGCTTTGCTCGCCGTGCTGGTGAACTAGGCATGACTGTTATTGTCACCGACGTTTCTCTTGCTCGCGCTGAATCGGTGGCTATATCCATCCGCGCAGCAGGTGGTACAGCAGAGGCACTGCAGCTCGATGTCTCTAATCCACATGAAATACAACAACTCGCCAATGCTATCTTCGCAAAGCACGGCCACGTTAGGCTGTTGATCAACAACGCCGGCATTGAGACGCTTGGTTTTGCTTGGGAAGTGCCCAAGTCACGATGGGATGCTACCATAGACATCAACATCAAAGGTGTAGTTCACGGTGTCCGAGCCTTCCTACCGCGCATGCTTCAGAGTGGCGCCGAGTGCTGGGTGGCCAACTTGGCCAGTATAGGCGCATTCAGCGTGATGCCAACACAGACGGCATACATAATGACCAAGCACGCCATCCAGTCATTCTCAGAGGGACTCTTCCTTGAAATGAAGATAAAGCAAGCACCCATACACGTGTGCTCTGTTTGTCCAGGGATGTTGAGGACGAGCATATTCGACGAGGAGGCCGGCTCAGGTGAGGGTGATGAGGCATATGCTTACAGAAAGCGGATGCAGGACTTGATGAGGGAGCAAGGCATGGATTTGGATGAAGGATGTCGTCTGATGATGGCCCAGATTGCGGACGGAAGGTTCTGGGTTATATCACAGCCGAGCATGATGGCTGATGCGATTGGCTTGAGGGTGGAATTCCTGAAAGAACAGAGGGATCCTGACATTGCTGAGGGCGGAAAACACTTACTTGGTTAGCGAATAGGTTTCCATACGGGTCTGCCATGCACTGAGGTTGGTGTAAGGGGTTTCTATACGGTTGATGAAGGAAGTTGACCCGGTTCATGTTAGCGAGCCAACGTGACCCTGTCGCATGTAAGTTTCTGGAGTACCTGTATATAGTCTGAGGCCTGATAGCAGTTGCTAAATACTATAGCAAGAGCTATAGCTAGGCTTCGTCAAACCCCATCATTTCAAAATATATAACGCCTGGGGATACTTGTAATGCGTTAACCGCATTTCCTGATCATACTCTGGGGCTATTATCAGGAAATATATCTCGCACCGAAGGAGAGGGGAACTTTTCATCAGATAGATATCCGATCTTTAGAGTCCGCAGACCCAGGCTGCTATGGTGGAGACGCGGACAGGCTTCCCGTGTATAGATTACACATTCAACGGAACACACAATAATGAACAGCCAGAGACCTCTCTTGGTTCAGGATGTGAGTAACGGATTCAGAGATATCGTTTACAGAGACTAGTCCGTGTCTTCCCAGAACCGTATCACTGCTATAGACTGGAGAATACTGACCTTAACTGACAAACATGGCAATGATTTCGATCCCAAAGCTTCCCCAAATCAGGAATGAGCCTAATGTGAGTACTAAAAGCCAGGTGCACAAACTGAGTAGTGGCGGACACTAATGACTATAGAAACACTATAAGACCAGCTCTTCGCAACATGCGGGTTTAACCCAAGTAGATAAAGGACCGTTAATATGGAATGTTGCTGGGCTTATCTGAAGCTATCAGGCTTCATCTAAGTACTGATATAAAGCCTTGTTGGAGCAAGTTGCATCCACGTTACACGGCACTGAGCCATCGGCTGATAATGTCGAGGAAGGATTAACTGGGATAATACATTTCTTCGAGGCTTTCTCGCGACACATTGCCTTCTAGTTGATGAAAAGCTAACTCTCCGCCACCAACCAGTACTACGAATCCCGGCTCCCTTGCTCCACTCCCAGAAGCTGTCTGTAGCCAGTCTAACCGAATCGCTGCTCCTGCTTCGCATCTCCGGCTGCAGCAAGATACGGCACGCGATCCTTCACATAGAACTCCACATCAACCTTGTTCTTCAGTGCCGCCTCGCCCCCATCAAGACCACCAGCCTTGATGACTGTCTTGTCAGGCATGATGTCAAGCTGCGTGTACAGGCTGGATCCGCATTCAGGGCAGAAGAAGTGGCGGTTGTTCTTTCCGCTGTCACCGGTGATATCGTACGTTTTGGGTGTTCCTGTGGTTGCATTTAGTGGCTATCCAGTATTTCACGGGGAAAGAACTCTGTTCATATAGAATACCTTTCACGATTTTAAAGGAGTCGCGGGGCACGACTACATTGGATGTGAATGCTCCACCTGTCCACTATTCATGTTCAGCGGATTAATATATTATGGAACTTTTGCACATTGGCCTACCTTCTGGCAATCAGTGCAGTGGCAGAGCGCCGTAATGAGGGGCTCGGCTGGCGTATGTTAGATCGAGGTTCGCCTGGGTCTGATATGGTTTCTTCACGTACATTCAGCAGTGTAGGTGATACCACCGCACATGCAGCTTCCTTTCAGAGTCATTGTAAACCTTATCACAGAATCAAGTGTTTGATTATGATAATGAGTGTTCTGGGGTGATTCCGGTAGAAAAGGCACTCTTATACGGGGGAACAGATTAGTCAATACCCCGCGCAAAGGCCGAAGTCGTTTCTATGCGGTCATACTGCGGGGCTTTGGACATTCACCGGCTATATCTTCAATCATATAGCGGGTTCATGTTCGGGACCATGTATCATTCAGCCATGGTCTCTTTCACAGGGCAACAAGGGACTGCCCGAAGTCCATGGAGTTCCATTCCCTGGGCACATAGGTACTCAACAGCATATAGAGGGTCTATGAGGCCCCATTATGCGGGAAATGTCTGCGATGAGATGGCTGTCATAGTAATCCAGATCGGCAGTGTCGATAACTGACCGGGGTCGTAGCTATCCGCATAGTTCTCGCGATCGGGCACTGTACGGTCTCTCGGCCATTGGGCTCGGCGTCAGCTTCGGCGTTTGGGTCCACAGTAACTCCTGATCGTAAACCATCACGACTTGGAGTTTCTCAAATATTCCGCTGTCTGCTGCCTTCTCTTTCAAAGCAACGGGCTGTTCAGTTGTAAGGAGCTTAAATGGTGCAGTCTTGTTCTTCCTGCGTCGATCTGCATTTGGCATCTTTGCATCAGGCATACCGCAGGTACCTGGGAACTCGTCCATCAAAATATGCCAGTGTATCGAAATGGTGGGCGAGCATAAAGGATCATCCTGGCTGGCTTTCTATTCAGCGACTGAGGGAAAGCCAGCACAGCAAGAAGCCAGTCCGGTGGCTCTTCACTCTCGCTGTCCATGGGACCATCATCCACAGCCGATCGCAAAGCTTAGCAGTAACTCTCTAGACTTACTCACTGTCACCAAAAACATCTTTCCATCTCAAATTATGGAGACGTTGGAGTGGATTCGCTGAAAGGCGTGTCAAGCAATTTGTATGCACCACTTGGGTGCTGTTGGTGCAGACCGACCTATCTCATAGTGATGAGATGATATCGACAGACAAAGAGTCAGATCAGGTTCGATAAGCAGTTAAATCTGGGATGGCGTGCTTATCATGTTTATGACTGATGAGAGTCACGCGGTGTCGCTGCCTTCCCGGGTCCTCACCACCCCGCTCTTCTCTCCCACTCCAGTTCATCGCATCCAGTCTCATCAACATCAGCGTCGCTGTTATCGTCTTTCTTAAACATGGGATCAAGTTATTCTGTTCCAGAACAGCCAGTCAAGGAGAAGTCTGCTCGGAGGAAGAGCAACGTTCAGGCATCTAATGGCAGTGATATGGATTCAGTGGATTCACGTAGGTGATCCATCTTGCGAGCTTCCTGGCATGATTCCTGCTGGTAGGATCAATGGCTGAACAAAACATAGCTCCGCCCTATCAAATCGAAGAGCGCGAGCCCAGCGTGTCGCTACGACGCCTACAAGGCTGGAACGACACCCTGCTAGATGACCCGAAGGTTCGTCCAACCTGACTATCTCCTGCCACTACAATGGGACGACATTGTTATTGATGACAGGATGCAGAACCGCTTAGCAATCTCGAGCTTGGCTAGTGCCTCCTACACTGACGTCCTTACCAACAGGTCGGCTATCAAGTCTGACACCCAGATCTTCAACATCAAGGTCCCAATCGAGGGCACCCCAGTTACGAACCAGCGATCCTCCGGGCGATGCTGGCTTTTTGCATCAACTAATATCTTTCGAGTACCAATCATCAAGACGTACGGCCTGGAAAAGTTCGAGCTGAGCCAGGCATACCTTTTTTACTGGGACAAAATCGAAAAGGCCAACTGGTTCTTCGAAGCAATCATCGAGACCGCACATGAGGATGTCTCCGATCGTCTAGTCCAGAAGCTCCTCCAGGACCCGGTTACGGACGGCGGGCAGTGGGATATGGTGGCGAACCTAGTGAAGAAGTACGGCTTAGTCCCACACGACGTCTATCCGGACAACTTCAACGCGCAGAATAGTGGCAAGATGAACTGGCTGATAACAGCGAAACTCCGCGAGCATGCCATTGCCTTGCGCAAGATTGCGCGTAGTCCGCAGCTCAAGGATCGAGTTCAACTTGCAAATTCCAAGGAAAAGTTTCTGAAGGAAATCCATTCCCTTGTCACAATCTTGTTGGGTCCACCTCCCAACCCAGACGAGCCTTTTGTCTGGCAATATTACAATGCGGAGGGTAAGGCGCGAGAGATTCGACAGACTCCACTGGAGTTTGGACGCCAGGCATTCTCGCAGTCTTCGCGCAGTAGGATTTCGCCAGACTGGCTCTTCAGCCTTGTCAACGACCCCAGGAATGAATACAATCGCCTCCTTACAGTTGACAAGTTGGGTAATGTAGTAGAGGGCCAGCCGCTCACATACGTCAACGTTGAGATGCATGTGAGTCGCAATTCATTATCTTAAACATACCCTCCTACTGACACGTATGAGGTTTTGAAAAACGCCGCCATCTCGATGCTCAAGGCCGGACACCCCGTATTCTTCGGGTGCGACGTTGGCAAGTTTTCGGATCGTACAACTGGTATCATGGACCCCGATCTAGTGGACCTCTCCCTCGCATTCAATATTTCCCTCGGCTTGAACAAAGCTGAGCGCCTTGCCAGTGGAGAATCGGCCATGACCCATGCGATGGTAATTACAGCGGTGCATGTTGAACAGGGTCGACCGGTGCGGTGGCGTGTAGAGAACTCCTGGGGTGAGGCAGCTGGTGATAAGGGATGGTTTGTCATGACTGATCGGTGGATGGACGAATATACATTCCAGGTAGTAGTTGACTTCAACCTGGTCTCTAACGATGTGAGGGATGTTCTTCGGCAGGAGCCTCAGGTCCTACCGAGGTGGGATCCTTTGGGTGTCCTGGCATGAAAGACTAGTGAATTTCTACATTTATTTCCTGGTTACTTTTACATTCCGGCTACGTGGCGGTATACTGACGTAGTGAAACTCCTATGTAATTATGTCGGTTCTGATTCACTTATACTACTCCTCGCTGCATCTCCGCTCTACCATCTTCACTACCAGGTCAACGCCCTGCTAGGTTTCCTTATAAATATTGCTGTCCTTTCCCAAGCTTTTGAATCCCAACCACCTCTCTGAAATCCTTTACAATGACGCGTATTTTTTACACACCTACCTCCATCCCAACTCCCAGTATGTTCCGCGCTCGAGCTCCTTCTCCTTCTCGCACCGATACCCGAGTCCCTTGCACACTCAACACCAATCTCCTTCACTGCCCATGCTGCCAAAAGGCACGCCGGGAAGTTGAAAACATCCATGCAGACCACGAAAGGGTCCAAACGGAAGAAGCCCATCCCTCCAGGGCCAGAGACAATCCAGCCCCCCGACAATCCCAATCTTATTCTCGGAACGTAGTGCTGGCGGGAGGGGCAGACTTAATCGTGGTAATCTTTATTGCGGCGGTGGCAGCATACATCTGTGTCAGCGAGATTCACACCCCCGAACCTTCCGGTTTTGGTGCCCGCATGTGCCCTTTATTGCTTGCTGGCTTGATTACCATTCAAGTTTTACGTCGGGTGGGCGATCCGGTGCTGCGTACTGGCTTTGCCTTCGAATACAACCGTCACATATCAGTATAACAACTATCCATATCCTGAATTATTCTCCTGGAGCCTCGTTAAGTAGTCCCCAGTACCGAAGCAGGATATTCTCCATCTAATTGTGTAACCAATAACATTGCGTCGACATTCTACTGCTGTTAAACATGCCCAAGTACACCAGCCCGTTCAGTATCTACGCTTCGTCTACAATAACCTTACCCCCCATCCCACCCATCGGATCAGCCAACACCTCCCTGGCAACGCGCGCATGCAGCAGCCGCTCATCATCAGCAAGATTATCCCCAAACACAGCCGCAACCTGTTCCAACGACTTCCCCGAAGTCTCAGGAACAAAGAGGAACGAAAACACAGCAGCAGCCACACAGAACAACCCGAAGAACAAGAACGTCCCCCAGCCCAGTGAAATCAACATCTCGGGTACAACCACGCCGATGATGAAATTGGCCAGCCAGATCATCGCCGTTCCGGCGCCGACGCCCTTTGCACGCTTTGAGCTGGGGAAGACTTCTGCGGGTAGAACCCAGGCGAGTGGGCCGTAAGAGGCTGCGTAGAAGAGGACATATAGATCTGGATTTCTCAGTACCGCGCAAGTGGATTGGTTAGTAGTGGTTACGAGGCATACAGATAAGCGCAACACAAAACCACCCAGCACCTCGGTGGCCAGGCCAGTCAGCGCTGAAACGGTTCATCATGCCAGACATGATGAGATGGGGTATTGCCATTGCGATACCCCCGCAGATAGCGAGGGTGCGCCGACCGACTTTATCGAGGTACATCATGGCCGGAATACCGCCCACCATTTGGATAATGTTTATCATCCCGGATAGGATCAGCGAGGCCTCTCTTTCTTGCCCTAGTGCTTCAAAAAAGGATGGCGCGTAGTAGACAAACGCATTGATACCGGAGAACTATATCGTTAGTGTATTTTCAATGTGTTAGGCAAGCTGATATAGATACATACCTGCTGGAAGAAGGGAATACCCAGGGCGACAAGTGTGCGGCGAAAGTATCGTTTGTTGAATAGACCAAGCCATTGACGAAGATCGGTCTTTATCGCATGGTCCTTATGATTTGGGTATTCGCGTTCTAGCATCTCATCCTGGAAGCGAATCTCGGCAAGGATGCCCTTCCATTCCAGTTGAACTTGGGTATCATGTTCAGGACGGCGGCGGAGGCGTGCCAATGCTGTGAGACTGTCCCCATTGCGACCTCGCATGGCCAGCCAGCGAGGAGAAAAGGGGAACAAGTGAATTGCGCCGCCGACGACGAGCGCGGGGACGATTTGGAGGAGAAATGGTAGTCTGAAAGCCCAGTCTCCGGCTATCATTCTGAAGGAGTATCAGCTAGTGCTCTCCAAGTCTAAAGGCAGAATGTCCTACCTCGTCCCATATGTCACCCAGTACGCTACTATAGCGCCTATAACAATGCTAATAGCCTCCATGACGAGCAGTGACCCTCTCCAGGTTGGAGGCGCAACCTCTGAGATATATAAGGGTGCTCCCATAGCCAGGGTTCCGACGCCAATACCCCCAATGAATCGACCAGCGACAAGTGTATCGTAATTCAGAGACGCAGTCTGGATGATGGCACCAACGACAAAAAACACTGTCGCAACAGTGAGACCCCATTTTCGAGAGATTCTGTCAGCAATGGCGGGGAAGAACAAGCAGCCCACAAAGGCGCCAAGCTCAAGCATCGCCGTCATGAATCCAGTGTGGAACCCGTATCTAGGGCTGTCTGGTGAAGTCTCGGGGTAGGTCTCGCGGAACTGGTCCATGACCAGGATCAATGAGATGACGCCTTGGTCTGAATACGGCTGGTTAATATGACTTCTCATGTATCATTTGGACGAGGTTTCATACCGTAGCCGAAGGAAAATCCACCAAACGATGCCAGCATCGCGGCGCCAAAGACATACGGCGAACGAACGAGATCCCTGATCTTCCCATTGTCATACCGCACCTGCGCCGAGAGGATGGCTAGAGCATTTTCCTCAGCATGTTCCGCATGAACAGCAGACTCCTTGTCCAGCGTGTCTGGCACACCTGTGCCAACCATTATAACCAGTTAAAAAGAATAAATCGAAACCGAACCTCTGAGAACGTTAGCTGATGTGATTCTCCGGGGAAATGGATCTGGGGAAGAAGCAATTTATACCCCACAAACCAGATATGAGGTATTTCTCCGCACCAGAAAGTCTCTTGTTGGGGCAGGAGGCGGCGCGTTTTACCACGGCGGCGTCCTCATTACCCCAGACTCCGCAATGCAGACCCATCTTGCATGAGGTTATTCCCATGGGTTGCGCGCCGATTGGCTCCCGCTTATCAGGATCCACCTGCCGAATAAGGAAATGCCCAAAGTGGAAGTTTTCCCAATTAAGAAGGCGGCCAATCACTCTGTTCACCAGGGCTGCCTCTCATCTTGACACTACACATAGTGCTTGTCAAGAGGTCGGCATCCAACAGGTAATGCATCGTCGGACCGACTCAACAGCTGTAAGCCAGTCCTCTCTCGTCATTTGAAACAAGTCCCAACCCGGTACAGACTGGTAGGCGTATTATGACAAGGCATGGCCTTGAGAACTGCAAACGCAACAATTTCCAGGGAGACTTTTCTTTTTATATGAACAAGGGTAAATGTTAGATTGGCCTTTCTCGCACTCCCAAACCCCTTGCGTTGTGTCAAATTGTCTTTCGTCAGTTGGACCTGTCGTATAGTGACATATCCAGCCGGAAGTCACCACAAAACCTGCTAGAAAGTTCTCGGAGTAATATTACGCAGTACGCAGTATAGCTCGTTCGTTCCATATTGCTCCTCCTCCCTGAAACCGTGATCTGAGCTGCCGAGCCAGACTTGCTAGTGAGCGCGCTATTTCCTCTCCGATCATCGATCTACACCTTTTTTGCAGCTGCTGCGTCAGCAATATCCATTAAAATGAGCCAGACACGACAAGTTCAAGAGATTGCTGCGATCTTCTAAGTCATCCAGTTTGTTTGTAGTTCCATAGACCAAAATGTAATATGGGAGGAATAGCCCAGACTGCTGATGCCTGAGGCCATCCATCAATCGATCTGGTAAACCTCGGTTGTTAGGTGAGTGATCGCGGTATAGCGTCCATAATTTAAGTGGAGCCAGTTGAGTTGCTAGATTAAATATCGAATCCAGTATGGTAAAATAGTAAAAACTTAATAAATAATATGCTGTAAAAAAGATGGGATGCAAGCACACAGTCTCGGATATTGCTGACGATATATTTTTCCGTTCGTGTCCGCTACTGAGCACGATAAGAATCTATCTATAAGCAAATATCCCGTCTACATAGACTAGCCCACATCCAATAAAGTCCAAAGTCAAGTCTTCATTAATCCTACAGGGCTATTCCTTCATTATAATGCATGCTGTACTTTGGTGTTAAGTGCTGGTCGTGGCTTCCTTGTTGGGGACGGCCGGACTTGAATGCGCCTTCCCTATGTAGGACTAGCGTTGGGTCGAGATACTATCATGTGACTAGCCACGGAGCATCAACAACCAATGAAAGTGAGCCCACGTGGTATCTGATCAGATTAGATACGGATCAGGGGATTCCGAAGCCGCCCCGGCCCAACGTCTGACCTGCAACTCTTGTGCGATCTGATAATTCTGTCATCTGTCATGCCACAACCCCCAGGGCCTTGTCTATCACTTCCTCCACATCTCCCCCGTATATCCAGCTACCTCACCCCCAGTAGCTAACTTCTATATTCTCCCCTGCCCTTCCTCCTCTTGTCCTTATCCCTAGAACTCCGCCGCTTCAGTGGGTCCCGCAACATCCGAGCTCGGGGCAGCTTACTCTCAGTCATGCCCCGCGGGCCTTGGATCCCATAATAATTTCCTTTTCCTTTCTTCTCTCGTTGTAAATATCCATCGTCATGCGGGTCCATGTCTACCTTTCAGTCGCTCTATATGCCGCCCTAGTACCAGCAGTCATCGTCCCCGCCAACGAGCGGTGTGTCACATCCATCACCACGGCCTATGGATATATAACTTTCACCGGCTCTACCTCACGGAAGGGGTTCGGGCCACAATGCCAGAATCGTCTCAAGGTCACGTCTATCTACGCTTCTTCAGACGTGTATTGCAAACCCGCGGAGCGATCAGCTGGGATCTCACAACTTGAAGCCCTCTGTAGGGAGAGCGGTCTAGAGCTGATCCCCAGGGACCAGCTCGCCGAGAACCTCACAGATGATGCTATTAGCCGTATGCGTACGGTGGACTTCCTCGAGCTGCCACTGTCCGAACCTGTCGACACTCCTGTGCTTTTATCCCCTTCACATTATCGCAGCGTCTTCAAAACAATAGTGAGCCTTTCGCTACCCTTTTCTGGGGCTATCTAACGTGGTCTTGGCAGGATACTTGGGCGTTTGAGAGCTGGACGCATTATGCATATGGGTATGAATACGTCTCTGTTTAACGCGGCATATCTAACGAATCACAGATACCTTGGCTACCTTTACTGGGCTTGTATATTGTTTGTAGGGATGGCCAACCATATGTTGCAATCTTTGTTCACATCTAGATACGATCAACTACCACAAGGCGCAAGGCTGTCACGGAACTCCCCCGTTCGACGAATATATCACTTGTTCGAGACCCATTTTCTTGTTCCAACAACCATACCATCCCGCGGGCGCAAATTCCTCTGCTGGACATTCTCAACCCGAAGAGACGCGCTTATTTCTCTGGGATTCTGGGTGCTGAGTACAGTGGCGTGCCTAGTGAGCTATCGCCTGTTCCCGGAAAATATATAGTATGGCCTCGTCCTGTCTTCAACCTGCCCCGACTAATGCATTGCAGCTGGCCGGACGAGTCTGCACAACTTCTTCGATACATGGCCGACCGGACTGGAATCGTATCGTTTGCCAATCTCCCTCTATTATGGCTCTTCGCAGGGCGCAACAATATATGCGCTTGGGCAACCGGGTGGAATTTCGCGACTTTCAACATATTCCATCGCCACGTCGCATGGATAGCGACCATCCAGGCTGTTGCTCATACAGTGCTTTACCTGATTCTCTTTTTCCAGAGTTCGTCTCCCCTGGATACTACGAACGAGTATCTAACTGCTATTCCAGATTCCGATCCTTGGAGGAAGCTCCAGAAGCCGTATCTCATATGGGGAACTCTTGTAAGAGCGGCAACCTGGGCACTGCGTGTAGTTCTAACTGAATCCTAGGCCACTGTTTTGATGGTGCTCATCCTACCGGCGGCAGTCAAATGGTTCCGTCATAGATCGTATGAGACCTTTCTTATCATCCATATAGTTTTCTCCATTGGCCTTCTCGTCGGCTGTTTCTAGTGAGCATCCATTCAACCAGCCCTTGGGCCCTTCTAACATTCTGCAGCCACACCATAATTTTTGAAGGCCAGGAATACTGGTTCTATCTTTGGCTGCCCGTTGGAATCTGGGCTTTCGATCGGGCCCTGCGAATTATTCGTCTGCTGTATTGCAACCTCCATGTTCAGCTCAATTCAGCAGGACAGGTGCAGCGTACCACAAGCACAGCGACATACGATAAAGCAGCCGACTTGATCCGGCTGGAGGTTTCACCTGGTGCAAGCTCCCTGCAACCCCGACCTGGTCAATATTACTTCCTCTACCAGCCATTCCGGCTGACTGGCTGGGAGAGCCACCCGTTCACCCTCGGTTGCTGGTCATGCGAATTAGGACAGAATGGATCGACGCCAGGGACTCCAAGGTCCAAGAGCGACGAACGCGTAGACGTCTCCCAAATTCCTCTCCTCTCCGACGAATCTTCTGGCAGTCGATCACCGGATGGCCGACTGCAACAGACAGCCAGTGCGTCTCGCGAACTGCGACTGGTGTTCTGGATCCGACCCTACGATGGCTGGACCCGGCATCTGCAGCAGAAATGCATGAAGTCGCCCGACCAAGCAACCAACGCCACAATTTTCTTGGAGGGCCCCTACGGCCGAGAATTCCCCCTTTGGAGCTACGACTCCGTCCTCCTAATCGCCGGCGGCACAGGTATTGCCTCTGCCGTACCCTACATCCACGACCACATTACGCGGTCTTCCACTTCCCCATCCACATCATCCGACGAAGAAGCCACCAAAACTCGCATCCAAGACATGAATCTCGTCTGGGTTACGCGGCAGCCCGCATTCATAGATCAACTCGCCTCAACCGAGCTCAGCACCGCCTTATACCGGGACGACTTCCGTGCCTCATTCTACGCTACATCGCCCCTTGCGCGATGGCAACGCGGGTCCAGACCTGGCCCAGGCCCATACCCAGACCCAGCCGAACTTTCCACCGACGAGACCGCCACCGCTGTGGATCTCCCTACAGTAACTGACAAGGACATTGATATTAATCAAGGCCGACCGAATCTGGAAAAGATCATTTCGGTCTTTGCTGAGGAGGCGCATCACGCTGATTCGTCTGCGGCCGTGCTCGTTTGCGGGCCGCAGAAAATGGCGGACGAGGCGCGCGCGGCGGTGTACCTTGCTATGCGCCGGGGGTATGCCTTGAGATATGTTGAGGAGTCGTTTACTTGGTAGTTGAGCCGGTTGTTCGACAAATACAGCAAGGAAGGATTTAGCCAGTTGCAGCTTATTACGGTTTTGCATTTACCGAGGCCATGAAGACAGGATTTCACGATTAGACGTATATAAGCTGTGATATAGAAGACATAGAACGGAATATAGCACTTGCGTATGCTAGATATCGCACATATCCTGCGGACAACATCACCCCGATTCCTGTTCAGTTGCCTCTCGAGCATGGCAGTGTGCCGGAGTAGAGCTTTGTCCGACCCCGGTCAGGGGCAGGAGGCTGAAGGAAAAGCCAGTCAAACTATGGAATCAGAGCTGCAGAATGTTCACCGACAACGTCTGTGGCGACTCTGCGCCTGCAGCAGACATGTCCAACCCCTAATCGCGGAAATACCAATCGCATGCTATCCTGGAGTTGTTGGGGTGTGGATATGTCACATCACCCCCAGACTGCATGCATATCGACCCACCGAACAGTCAAATAGTTAGCGACTTTAGTCATAGAGAGGTTTGTGTCACACAAAATCGAAACCTTACATTGTTTGTGGGGGTTTCTGCCATGGTATTCATGATGATGCGCGGCTTGGCTTCCTCCCACAGTATCAACACTCAATAATCGACTTGATATCACACCATGCCGGCAGGAATATTGGCAATCCGATGCAAGGGCATCACATCGACAGAGACCTTCAGGAACATTGTTGAGTTTTCGCCTGTTTACTGAGAGAGCATCGACCAGCCCTAAAATCTATATAGGCAGCCTCGAATCACACCATTCTTCAACCTCATCAGCTCAAACAGTCTCAGCATCAAAGCCAGTCTTCTCTTCACTCTCCAATCCAATCCAACTCCGGTTTCAAAGTAACCAGCACTTTCAACCCACCGTCAAAATGAAGTTCTTCGCCATCGCCGCTCTCGCTGCCACTGCTCTGGCCATCCCCAACCCCCCTGCCCACAACGACTACGCCAGCAAGCAGGATATCGACCAGAAGCAGGCCAACACCGTTCAGTCGTGTGGTAAGGCCAAGCTCAGCTGCTGCGCCTCCGAGGACAAAACCCAGGAGGTGAACGCTGAAGCCGGCACCAAGCTCCTCGACCTCCTCGGCAACAAGGGCCTCGAAGGACTTCTCGGCAACTACAAGGGCTGCGAGCCTCGTACGTTTCGTCCTCCCCTGATATATTCATAACATGAAGAGATTCTAACTGTATCTGTAGTCGTTGATGCCGATGTTCTTAACATCCCCGAGCTCATTGACCAAGGAAAGTGCAACAACAACTTCGCCTGCTGCAACCAGAACGGTGACGGCAACGAGACCGTGAGTTCCCCTTTTATTCATAAATGCCGATAAAAACACCATGAAAGCTTGGAGCTAACATATATTCTCTAATATAGAACCAGTTCGGTCTTGTCAACGCCAACATCCCTTGCATTCCCGTCAAGGCTCTCTAGATGAACCTGACTTGCCTGGGACTTGACTCGGCTGTGCTCCTGAGCCTGACCGACACATAGGCAGACACTGTACCTTAGCTGCACAATGGATTGGATTGGATGTCATTCGTTGGATGGTTTCCAAGACGGCTTGTGCGAGGGAAAACTGTTTTGTCCTGTACCTAGTTCACTCATTTTGTTTGTATATTTCCAGGTGCCTTTATGAAGGTAGTGTGGATATCGCGTTGGATATAATAAATAGTAATTGATTGTTTACTATCACTCTTGCTTCAATTTCTTCTTCTAACTTCCATGGCCTTTGCATTACGTCCTCACCACAACATCCCGCTATCAGGTACAGTTGATGTTGATATATTGCCAGATACAAGGTATCTTTTATTAAATATTAACTACCAGCTATTATTGAGGTGCCTCTTTACGACGATATGTCTCTCGCACCGGTGATCCAGCATGGCCCGCCACTTTCCACTCCCCTATCCCTCGCTCTGGGGGAACCCGCCTCTTGCCTCTCCCTCCCCCTCCTTCAATCAGATTTCCTGGTCGATAGGTCGGATCGGACATCATGCGACGAATTGCCGAGACATGGACCTTAGAGCCCTTGGGGATATCTCGCACCTCTCCAAGAGGGAGTGGGAATCGAACGGGCTTCCAGGACCCATCCTGCTGCAGGCTCATTCTCCGAAAGGGCAAATACTCCAAGGCCCTCCAGGACAGCACGACAAGCCATGGAACGCCTTTTCCGTATTCGAGACAGTCATGGATATGTCCCCTTTCTGCAGCTATACGGATGCCGTCTTCCAGGCGTATCGTATTTCCGCCCTTTTCATCACCGTTCCGATTCGCATCGTTGCTGAGGCTAGGAGGTCTGTCCTGTCGGTCTGCATCGTAGTCCTCGCAGCAGTTGAACTTTTTCAATCTTTCTTGGTCGAACTTGAGACCTACACGCTGCGCCTCTTGGACCATCCATACTAAAGGTACATGGCTGAGCTCCATTTCTTCGTCTTTACTCAACTTGAACCCTCCTCCGATATCAGCATGGCATCCCGGAAACCAGACCTCCTCGATGTCTTGCCACCCGTCACTCCTTTCATCGTAGGGGTTCTCTGATTGTACCCTCGGCCGGTCATGAGAGTCTGGTGGCTGCTGTGAGTCCGTATTTGTTTCTCTCCCCCCTTCATCCTCGTAGTAGAATCTGAATCCACGCTGGCGCGGGAGTCGTATATGATGACGCTCCAATCGCTGCCGCGTTCGGGCTCGCCAGGATACAGCAGTCTGACCGAAATCCGATATGAGGTCGTGTCTAAATCTCGCGCGCCGCTCATCAATGCCCACGGCGTGCCTGATTATCTTTGCTGAGCATCGCGCCAACTTGCTTCGTTGTATCCAGGTCCCCTCCAGCGCCGGCGTACTATTGACGGTATCGAACAGGCCCAGGAAATAGACTGGCGACGCCTGGCAGGTGAATGTTTCCCGAAACGCCTGGATATACTCATACAGTCTCTGGTTTCGTGCTGGGTCGGCGTCTCTTTTATTGCGCGCCCGCTGCCATTTCGAGAATGTCATCCAGGCAAACCTCACCAGGTCTTCGTTTCCTCGTTTTATCAGACCAACTGTATCGAGCATTTCTGCGAGGAATCGCGCCACATATGCGCCCCGGCTGAACGCGAAGAAGAAGATCCTGTCGCCGGGGGAGTAGTACCGCATGAGGAAGATATAGCCCCCCATGACATGTTGTGCGAATGTCGTTCCAATCGCAGCATCTTTGGCTTTCAGAAGCACCGACCTGGCCTTACTGGTTCGTCCACTATGTGACATCCACGTCGACGATACCAGAGTGCCGAACCCTGGCTGGAAATAATGATACGTTCGAGCATCGCTATGTTCGAGCATCTACACTATTAGCATCCCAACATTGTCTTAATTGGATAACTCACCCTATAAATCTTGAGAACATTACTATCTGACTCATCGCCCGTAAACTTATAACCGGTCCCATCAAAGCACAAGACCAGTTCCTTTGGGCTGGCATTGCCTGGCTCTGGTTCCGCCATGCTCCCTAAAGCCAAGCAATCCTGGCAACGGGTTCAGCCCGGGTTTGGGCTTCGAGTTCAAGGATACAGAGAGGTTCAGCGAGTGGATTACTCATTCTGGAAGAGTTTGCCTCTCCAGCCCTCAGCTTAGTCCATCCGACAATCCCGATGGCGAACCGTGGGTCTGTCGTGACATAAGAGGACACTCTACTCGGTGGTTTAATATTTTTGACTATCGAATATATTATACAGGACATCAATTGAATGTATATTACTCCGTCTCATCATGGGTCCAGCCCAGAACCCTGTTCGCCTTGTCCGTGGTCCAAAACGCCTGATTCTTCGACATATCCCCCCGTATCTCAGCCTTGGGATAATACTTCTTCGCCAGCTCCTGCGACGGCGTACTCTGCGTCGTAGTCGGCGCAACAATATTCAAAATCTCACAGCCACGTAGATTCTCCGCGCGCTCAACAGCAAGCAAACAAGCCCTAGCCGTAGCTTCAGGGCTCACCCACCCCCATAACTGCCCAACAGCAGCCCCATCCCAGTTCCGCTCATGCTCCTCCCTCACGTCCTTCAACGGGGCAACCTCATGAATCCGAAGACAGGCAATATTCATCCCAGGGAACCAATCCACAAACGCGCGCGCCTGGTACTCCGCCTCTTCCTTAGCCATCGCATACGAGTCCGTCGGCCGCTGCGGCGCATCCTCGTCCAGCGGGAAATAGTCAAAATGCAGCGGACGGTTCGCATACGCCAACCCCACCGCGTTCACAGACGACGCATAGCATACCCTCTTAATCCCTAGAGACCCTGCAGCATGGAATCCATTGAAAGCGGCGTTGACGTTGTTGTTGTGCACCTTCCAGTCAGCCTTCCCCACTGGGTCTGGCATGGCAGCGAGATGGATGACTGCGTCGCAGCCCTTGAATGCCTTCAGGGTAGCGTCGTAGTCATTTGCAACGTCGGCGGTGCGCATTTCTGAGTTGGGCGTCCCATCGTGCTCTGTGTCGGTGCGGTTTATTTGGATGGTTTGGTGTCCAGCGCGCGAGCATAGCTGTACGGCGGTTGTGCCTACTGTGCCGCGGGCGCCGGTGATGGCGATCCTCATCATGGCGGGTTCAAAATATTAAATATGGTGGTTGTGAGTATACCCGAATTTGTATTCTATGTCTATTAAACCGGCTAGGTATAGGGCGACTGTAGGATGATTTCATCCGGCGATGTCTTTTTTGCGTCATTCCAACGTAGCAGCCCATGACGTCTTGGATGGTAGGTACTTTCCCGGCGACTTCAACATTGTCAAGCAGCTGCATGAAACCTACTATTTTAGCAACTCCCTATTGATGTGAGCCTGAGGTGCTGACACTTTATAGAGCGGAGCCGTCGTAGGCAATACTAGAATGAGTGACAATCCTCGTAGATCACGGCTCGACCAGGTAATGACTTTCGGAGCTTGTTGGTTTACTGTAGAGGACCTATCGTAATCTCATAATACCATGATCATTAATCCCTTTACTTATATTCAACCAAGAAACCTAAGTTAGAAAAGCCATAGTTTTGCAGTTGAAACAAATCTCATGCGATGGTTATCCTGCGGCTTCATGCCCAAGGCAACAACCGGAACTGCAACCGAGAGCCCGAGCGCCAAGACCTTTCCCCGACAACCTTCGGACAAGATTCCGACGACCATCTTCCAACACAACAGCAGGCCATCATACGATACGGACGGCTTCGACGATGGAAACCTCTTCATCGCCCCAGAACGATCCTCAAGCTGACTCATCTGGCCAACGTCCGAAACGCCGCAAGATTGCAGTCGCATGTGATGAATGTCGAGGGCGAAAGGTCCGGTGTGACGGTGTCCAGCCCGGTAAGTGCTCCGACATCCATCACTGGAGTCTTTGGCTGACTCCCCACCATGCAGTCTGTGGGCAGTGCGCGAAAAGAGCAGACCATGGAGTAAATTGCCACTACAGCGGGGAGAGTGAGAAAAAACGGGCAGCGCAGAAGTAGACAGAACCTCTGCCCCGTACATTGTTGCCGTTCTTTCAGCTAATGCTGGCTACTAGTTATATCGCCAGCTTGGAAAACCGCCTTAAGCATCTGGAGGCGCCAGGCTATATTCCTGGTCTAGCGGAACTCACTGATTTCCGGAAATCAGGCCATGCAGCTGTATGCCATCACCCTTGCCTGCGGCGAAAGGTAAACCACCAATCTAACATTTGGTAGCAGATGACCCCGTCGAACAAGCCAGCGTCCTCAGCTGGGTCTCCTGGCTCTTTGCGGTATACATCGCAGTTATCGCCAGTGCACAATCAATCTCAACATAGGCCTAGTATATCCCTGGGGGCTAACACAGAACGTTCCCCAGCACGTACTGTCGCCCAGGATTCCCCGGGAGGAAATCAAACTTGCACCCACAAGGGAGAGCCGTATTCTGCTCAGCGAGCATCGAATCCAACTGAGGCTAGCACCGATGGTGTGATTGGCATGATGGGTGCTATGGAAGAAGAGCGTCCATCCCAAGGATTCTTCGGCAGCTCCAGCGCGGCAAGTTTCATGCGCCAAATTAAAACAGCAGTGGATAAGCGTGTATCGTCTCCAGATCAACGCCCCTCTGAATCCATTTTGGGGCTTCGTCCGCCGTCGAGCCTCAGGTCAAACCAAAAAGAACGGCAGAGTGCCATTCACGACTATGTGCTGCCGCCTCGGAAAACGGCAGATAATCTGATGAACGTATACTGGCACTATGTATTCCCACTGTACCCGCTTGTTGACAGCATCCATCTCCGTGAAGAGTACTCGCGGATATGGACTGGGGATGCAATGCAATCCGACGAGAATATGTTGATGTGTACCTTTAATGTTATTTTCGCCTTATCATGCCAGCTCGCTGATTTCCTCGCCCCGGAAGAGCGCGAAGCTTCGGCAGCGGCGTTCTTCTCACGCGCCAAGGATTTGTTACACTTTAACTTATGGGACTCTGGGTCAGCTGGCCTGATCCAGTGCTTACTTCTAATGGCGCAGTATTTACAGAGTACTGATTCGGCCCATCAGTGCTGGATTGTCACTGGCTTGGCTGTCCGGAATGCACAGAGTATGGGGCTCCATCTCCCAGAGACAATTGCGCGTCTCCAGAGCCCACAGGAACAGCAGTTGGCGCGCAAGATTTGGCACGGCTGCGTTCTCATGGACCGGTATGTGCAAACACCCTTCTCCGTAGGATTCGTCTGACCAAATCTAGCGTTATATCGATGACCTTTGGGCGCCCCGCTATGATTTCAAAAGCATCATGCGGATCGGTTCCACTACCTGCAACCATCGACGAGGAGTATATCGCATCAGCCTCCGGGCATGAGGTAGCACAGCCCGCTGATCAGCCGTCAATAATGGCATTCTACGCCAAGTCCCTGGAGCTTTACGAAATCCTAAACGACATCCTGCTGAGCCTTTACAAGCCTGTTCCGGAGGAGAGCACAGATGACATTTACGATTTCTATTTTAGTTGTGATATCAACGAGGACGAGCTGACCATTTTCGAACTTGACCGCGCTCTTACGAAATGGACGCGCAGTCTGCCTCCCCATCTGCGCGGGGAGCCCGCCCCAGGGCCTAACAATATGATCTTCTACCGCCAAACCGTCGTATTACGAGCAAGGTTGGTTGTTCCATTCTACTCCTTTTCTCATAATCTAAGTTTTTCTCAGGTTCCTCCACGTACGGATGCTGCTTTTCCGACCGATATTATCCAAGTACTGCACATCCCGCGACATGGGTTCTGACCCGCTCATATCGCTCGCCGATTCATTTCCACAACGGGTTGCCCTGCAATGTTCGGTCATTTGCGTCAAAGTCGCCCGAGAGATAATCGAACTGCTGTACGGAAATATACCTGCCGATGGATCCTCCGGCCCACTTCCCGCATGGTGGTATAATATTCTTTGTAAGTACCGACGCCGATCTACCTACACTTGGACTTGGTCTGACATAGTTACACAGACGTATACACCGCCGCAACAGTTATAATCGCCAGTCGGCTCTGTCCCTCAATCCTAGAAGAAGTAACTGAAGACGCTATAACGAGATCTTGGAACTGCGCACTAGAGATTCTCAGAAAATACCAGAGCTACAGTACTTCTGCGCGACGATGTGTTGCAGCCCTGGAGATTCTCTATGAACGAACAGTCGCCGACTCCACTAATGAGCGCCCACAGCCTCAAAGCGCTTTTCCTACGGCCAATACCATGGGTGATACGCCGCTGGGAGAGGGGATAAACGCTAGTCTGCTTGATGGCTTTGACTTCCCGGACTTCCAAGATATGTCCTGGCTCAATAGTGTCCCGAGCCATCTATATTAAGCCCTCCACCTCCGTCGCCGCTATTATTGTCATATTAATACCACCTCTACATAAGTAGTCTGAGAGCATTCAGCGATAGCCAGGATTAAACTCAGCCAAGCACCATGACCCCCGCCGGAGGTGCAGAACCTAACCTCATTCCGCATTTGGATCCCGGGTACCGTAGTCATTTTCTTTCTAGTCCTTCGTCAAATGTCGGGTGAACAGAGCCCGAATAATTCTTCCGTCAATCAAAATGGCGTCGCTCACTTGGCAGGGGAATTCCCCGCAACACCCCAGCCCCAGGGGAACCGAGTCATTTAAGAGCTCGGGCTCAGCTAGCTCCAGATTAATGACATGCCAATTTTCCCGAGAGCTTCCAAAATACCAATCATTGTTGTGTTGCGGAGATTATGGGGCGGTCGTCTACAAACAGTCCCACAATTCGGACACCTTTACCCCGGATTGGGGATTGCGGGTGAGGCTGTTCACCACAATCACTATAAATCTCGCATCCACCCCCTAAAAAGTGGTGGCCCACCGACTGGAAAGTCTGGGTTCGCGTCAATATGCGAGTTGCTAAATCTCTCAGCCTTGGAGTGGCCTGGGCCAGCGCAGTCCATGCAGCCCTCACCGCAACAGAGGACGACAGCTCCATCACCCTCGAAAACAACCGACTGCGAGCCATTTTCGACAAAGAAAAGGGCAGCATTGTCGATATATACCTCGACGGACAAGATTTCCTGGGCGAACAGGACGGGTCTACCGGCATCGGACCGTACCTTGACTGCTACTGCACCCCATCTGGTTTCTACACCGCCGGGTCCACGAACCCCATAACCGAGCTGGTGCAGGGAACAGACTCAACCGGGACAAAGTACGCAGGTATTATTCTTAACGATACATATACACCGACCGGCCAAGAATTCCAGCAATACTGGTTCCTGCGGGATGGCGAGACCGGGTTCCACATGTTCAGCCGCCTGGCGTACTACAACGAGACGACGCCGTTTCTGCGGAACCTGCAGGAATTCCGGACTCTGTTGCGCCCGAATACGGATCTATGGACGCATTTGAGCTCGAGCGATATTCAGACTGCACCTTTGCCTAGTGAGGAGGCGATTGACCAGCAGACGGATGTGCAGGATGCGACCTGGAGTTTTAATAATACGCCGAGTGATGCGTACTATAAGCAGTTCTCGGAGTATTTTACGAAGTATACCTTCTCGAACCGTATGTCTGGCAGCTATCGGAGTATCCTTCTAAACTAACTCTTCTTTTTGCTCAGAATGGCGAGATAATGACGTCCACGGCATGTACGCCGATGGGTCTACCTCGGACGGGATTACATATGGAGCTTGGTTGGTGATGAACACGAAGGTTGGCCGAGACCCCACGGAAAATAAATGCATAGCTGACAATGATTTAGGACACGTACTATGGTGTATGTTATTTGACCTCTGAGTCCCACATAACTAACAGTCGCAGGGTCCGTTACACTCCGACCTCACCGTCGACGGTATAGTCTACAACTACATTGTATCCAACCACCACGGCGAAGGCACCCCAAACATCACCAATGGCTTCGACCGCACATTCGGCCCGCAGTTCTACCTTTTTAACGGCGGAGAATCCGCTTCTTTGGAGACACTCAGAGACGAAGCTAGAGACATTGCACGGCCTGATTGGAATGTGGAATTCTACGACTCCATCGCGAAGCATGTTATCGGTTACGTCCCCTCTTCACAGCGAGGCAGCGTCAAGGGGTCCATCAATCTCCCCCAGAATGCTAAGAATGCAATTGCCATTCTCACTGTGGACGGGCAGTATTTCCAGGATAACTCTGCGGTACCTTCGTCGTATCAATACTGGGCTGAAATCGATAAGAACGGCCACTTCAGCATCGACCACGTAATAGAGGGCAAGTACCGACTGACGGTCTACGCCGACGGAATCTTCGGTGATTTCATCCGCGACGGAATCGCAATCAAAGCCGGCAAACCAACCACCATCAAGGAGAAATGGATCGCCGAATCCGCAGGAACTGAAATCTGGCGTCTTGGAACTCCCGATAAATCATCTGGCGAGTTCCGACGCGGACTGGCCAGGGACACAACACACCCACTCCAGCCTCCAGAGTACTTGATCTACTGGGGCGCATATGACTGGACCTCCGACTTCCCTAACGGAATCGACTACACGATTGGGGAAAGCGATCCGGCGCTAGACTTCAACACGGTACACTGGTCCGTCTTCGGTCCAACGGCCGATAACCCCGTCGCGGAATACAACACCACGCATGACTGGAAGATTCGATTTCCGCTGACAGCAAAGCAACTGCACGCGCGCAAAACAGCAACGTTAACCATCCAGCTCGCCGGGGCAAAAGCCGCGTCGGGAAATACAGATGTGTATAATGCATCAGAGCCATACGTGAATCTCCCACTGGAGAGCTACATCAATGATAATGAGGAACCGCTGACGATGGTCATCGGGTTCAACCAGTCGAGTAGCTGTATTGTGCGCTCGGCCGTTAGTTGTTACCAGGTGAGCTCGCGACTGGAGTTCCCGGCTGAGTGGTTGAAGGTTGGCGAGAATTTGTTGACGCTGCATCTTCCGTATAATGCGACGGATACCGAGACAGCCGTACTGCCGGCGAGTGTGTATGTACAGTATGATGCGTTGCGGTTGGAGGTTAAATAGGCGTGGTTTAATACTAGCTCTGTCTACCTGTCTACGTGAGGAGGTAGAAATATCAGACATTGTTAGCGGTGTAGAACCGGTACAACATGTAATTCTAACAATAGCTATTCGTTTTGAAAGTTGCTATGAGTTGGCTGTTTTGCGGTTTAAATCTTGCGGAGTTGCGGGGTCCGCAGAGAAGTCACCGGCACAGAGAGGCGGTGCCTCCGTAATCAGGGGTAGCAGGCTGGATGATAGGGGATGGAAATCTGCATTTTGATCAGCATGAAAATATCAAATGGCACCGACGTTTAAAGTTGGTGTTGGCAGCCGAGGTTGTCTGATTAGTATTCGGTTATTCCACTTATCCATCCCACCTCACTGGATGTTGTCGTTTGATGCATATATTCAGGGCATTTTATGTATACTTACCCTTTCTAGACACACATATACCGTGCTCCAATACGAATATCGCCTGTTTATACAATAACACAGGATTTATGTTTATAGAGCCGATCAACGGCATGACCTCACTAGTTCCCAAAGCGGAAGTAGCCTCGGCTCCCCGCTGCGAGATATTTAATTGATAGTTGCTGATTGGCTGGTTAATCTAAATCTGGGGAACGTTGGCAGCTCCGGTTGCAACTCTACCAAAGTCCGGTTAGCCGTTATCAGCTCTTCTACCTAGGCACTGGCCGAGGCTGTGAACCTGTGACTCTTGCAGGACACTCTTTTCTGTCCGTCACCTCTCCTCTCACCTCTCCCTCATCCTTCCCTTTACCTCACCCCAATACCTACGAGATACGAATAACCACACCATGTCCAAAACCTTCACCCGCGCTGAAGTCGCCCAGCACACCACCGAGGACTCCCTCTGGTGCATAATCGACCATCGCGTCTACGACCTCACCGACTTCCTCGACGCTCACCCAGGCGGCAGCGTCGTGCTCGCCCAGATCGCAGGAAAAGACGCAACAACCGACTTCTACAACCTACATCGCCAAGACGTCCTCACAAAGTACCGCCCGCAGCTCTGCATTGGGACTATCGCCGACGAGACACCCGAGGTCATCGAGCCGACGGCGACATCGCTGAGTCCAGTCCCCTACGCCGAACCGTTATGGCTGCGTCCTGGGTTCAAGAGCCCGTATTATAAGGAAAGCCATCGCCGGCTGCAGAAGGCGATTAGGGAGTTTACGTCGGTGCATATTACGCCTGAGGCGCAGGAGAAGGAGCGCGATGGCTCGTACATCAGTCAGGAGCTTATTGATAAGATGGCGGAGACCAATGTCCTGGCTATGAGATTGGGTCCCGGGAAGCATCTCCATGGACGGACTTTGCTCGGTGGTGTCGTTGATGGCAAGGAGTTTGATTATTTGCATGATCTGATTGTCGCGCAGGAGATGGTCAGGGTTAATGCCAGAGGTAGGCTTGTTTACTTATCTAGCACGTTGTTATTGTTCTTGCTAACTCTGGTGCAGGTTTCCAGGACGGTAATATGGCTGGCATGGTGATTAGTTTGACGGCCGTGCAGAGCTGGCTGCGGAACGAGCCACTCCGACAGAGGCTCACAGAAGAAGTCCTCTCTGGGAAGAAGAAGATGTGTCTCGCTGTCACAGAGGCATTCGCTGGTAGTGACGTCGCCGGTCTGAGAACAACAGCGGAGAAGACCCCAGATGGGAAGCACTACATCGTCAACGGAACCAAGTACGTCCCTTCACCCCCTCTCCAAGAGGCATATTCTAACTAGTTTTAGAAAATGGATCACCAACGGCATGTGGGCCGACTACTTCGTGACAGCCTGTCGCACAGAAAAAGGTTTCTCGGTTCTGCTCATCCCCCGCGATGACAACGTCGAAACCAGCCAGATCAAGACTTCATACTCGACCACCGCCGCAACGGCCTTCGTCGAGTTCAACAACGTCAAGGTCCCCGTGGAAAACCTTCTCGGCGAGGAGCACAAGGGTTTCATCGTGGTCATGTCGAACTTTAACCACGAGCGCTTCATGATGGTTTGCGCTGTTGTCCGAGCCAGCATGAACGTCGTTGAGGAGTGCATGAAGTGGTGCAACCAGCGCATTGTATTCGGAAAGAGACTAGTCGACCAGCCCGTGATAAGACAGAAGTATGTCCACTATCTACCTATCCAGTTATCCATACCATTTAAAGAATTGTTGATGCTAACGGCCCCAGGCTCGCTCGAATGATCTCCCTAACGGAGTCAAACCAAGCCTGGCTCGAATCCATCGCCTACCAAATGTGCAACATGACCTACGCCGAACAGTCGAAGCATCTGGGCGGACCTATCGGTCTACTGAAGTCCCATGTCACGCGGTGCGCAGGCGAGATCGCTGAACAGGCCACGAATATCTTCGGTGGCCGCGGTATCACACAGTCCGGAATGGGCAGAGTCATTGAGATGTTCAACCGGACGTACAAGTTCGATGCAATCCTCGGTGGAACGGAGGAGATCCTGGCGGATTTGGGTGTGAGACAGGCGTTTAAGACGTTCCCAAAGGCAATGCTGTAAATAGATAAATAGTTTTAGATCAGAGTTGGTTACGTTCAACGTGTCACGAATACAGGTAATTGATTGAAAGCTACCAGTCATATCTAATATACGCTGAGACCTTGCAGCCACTAACATCTACGGGGTCTGAAACTAAGACCCAGTCAAGATGGTATCTAGGCAGATAGATATATTTACCAGGCAGTATTTCCGTGATCAGGTTCAGTGATATAAATAATAACGTTCGCTAGTCTCTTTATGCCATGCATATTTCTATCTCTCTTGAGAACTCCCATGCTCTCTAGACCTATAACCGACTTACGCCGTCCCAGACGCAGCCTTTGACTGTTCTGCTTCCATGCTGGACTCGATCTTCCGAATAACCCTGGCCGGGTTCCCAGCAACAAAATGAAACGGAGGAACATCCTGCAGCAAGTAAGCAACGTGACACAACGGGAAGCAGGGAGGAACGGTTGATATACATACCTTGGTTACAACAGATCCCGCACCAACCGTACTTCCGCGCCCAATCCTCACACCAGCAAGGATAATCGCGCTCCCTCCAATCCACACATCATCCTCAATGTGGATTTCCTTGCCAGCCTCAGGCCCCTCAAGACCACGCCGTTCCGCCGGATCCATTGGGTGTGTCGCGCCGTAGATACGAATGTGAGGACCGAAGAGCACACGCTCGCCAATGGTAATCAAGCAGGTATCGAGGACGGTCGTGTCGAAGTTGATGAAAGTTCCCGCGCCGACTCTGAAATTCAGCCCATGGTCGACGGAGATCGGAGGGTCGACGACGGGATCTGTCTTTTCGAAGAGCTTTTCATCAGCGGCCGGGTCTTCGTTTACCGGTGGCATAGGACGAGTATCGCAAACGATGCTGATATGATTGTTAGTTTGAATTGACCCTGCAGGTAAGTTGCTCCATATGCCGAGACTCACTCTCGCCATAGTTCGACACGCCGCCGCCGGGAAACTGGCCCTGCCTCGTTGAACTTTTTGCAGGCTTCTTTGCATCGCTCGCGATTAGCCTGCAGATCGGCATCCCAGGCCCAGTAGAGCTCGCCGTTGAGCATCTTCTGCCATTCTTTCGAGGTAGCCATGGTAATTCGTAGTGTCTGTAAGTTTGCGGATGAATTGCAAATGAGGGGCACACCCCTCCCTTTTATAACCTTTGGCTAAGACATCAGCGGGTTGTCTGCTTGGGTGACGCTTTTGCCTCTTGCATCTGCGGTCATCCAGACCCAGTGCCCCACCAATTGGTGATACTTCCTGATTAGGCAGGTGGCGGCACCTCCGACCGGGCTCCGACCTGCGCCACAGAACAATATCTTCAACTATATTCACGGAGTGATCAAATTATCAGGAAATCATGTTGTTGCGTCAACTGGGGGAAACATGTCTATTCAAGTCAGTGGGCCACAATCGAACCACGTAATTGGAAGTAGCGGACTTACAAAATCTCGCCAGGAAATGTTCTCCTCGTGCCCAGGCGCCTGCGCAGAGCGAGCTGCCCACAGTTGCTTCAGGAGATCGGTTGGTACAGGGTTGCGCATCTCGGATCGCCGTTCTATTTCCCTGTACCTTCCAAGGATATAGTATTGTGAATGCGGAGAAAGCGAATCCGTGCCTGCCATGAACAGCGGAAGAATTAACAGCTCGATCAGGGTAGAGTCGGCAGGAATAACAGCCGTCGAATCCAGAATCCTTGTGACAGCTTCTTGTATCTCAGGACTTCTAGCAGGCCGTAATGGGTCCAGCAATCGATGTACGTGCAGTATGCAAGCAAACTGAAACGCCACGGCCACATTCAGCCATCGCGGGTCTGCACTTGGGTATGTTTTGTCCCCTGGGTTCCAGGAGTATAGCTCCCGATTTGCGAGAAGTAATGTGGAACGAAAGTCGTCGTCAGTTGTCCAGCCATTTTTGTACTCCTTTGCTTTATCCATAACTCTTCCAATGACCAGGAAGATCTCCCGTGGGCAGCCATTGACCAGTTCGAATCTATCACCACTGGCGCTGGCGACCATCTCGCGAATATCTTGGGTAAAGCAGAGCCGCCTAGTTCCAGAAAAGGCACGGATGATATCTAGCCTGCTGCTGTTAGCATGTGAATATAAAGCCTTCAAGCGGGCTTACCAGGCAAGATTGCCTATGAAGAAAACAGCTCTCTGTCGCCGACCGTTGAATCCCTCTGCAGCGAGAATGCTTTTACACACAGACATTGCCCCTGTGATATGCACCCCATGCTCAGATATCCCCGTTTCCGCAATCTGCCATCAGTTAGCATCTGTTGTTCAGACTCGGATGTTTCTTACATCATGCAGTAATAAAATTTGGATCGTTGCAAAAATGGCATCCTGCTCCTCCTCCGATAGCGAAGCAGTCTGACTTTTGTAGATCTGCTCGCCCAAAGCGCGGATCGCCTTCAATCTGTACTCAACGGCCGTCGTTTCATGCATTGTGGTATCCTCAGTAAGTCTCCCAAGATGGACGGCAGAAAGCCCCAGAACCGCATATAGCAGCCCGATTTGCTTTTTAGCTAAGGGTATAATGTACGCCCTGTAAGGATTATCCTTCTCGTCCCCAATCTCGGCCAGCTGATGGCCGCAAATAAAGTTATCATCTGAGTTGTATTAGCATGGTTTGGATACTCATCTTGCGACCTTACAGTGATGAATAAGGGTCTTCGTTTGACGATATTTAAGCAACGCCGTTATATCCTCCTCCACCGGCGCAGAGTCCACCAACATGGCATCGATCGTCAACCGCCTCGATCTCCGCGGCTCAGGCATAGGCGGGGTAGATCCAGCGCTGGTAACCGCATTCAGCTGCTCCTTGTCTGAATTTGGACTCTCCTGCGCCTGGGACTGCACTTGCCTCTGGCCGGGGATGTCCTTCTGAGCCGCAGGAATGCGTGCATCTTTCCACTTCCCGCGACTGGCAATACCGCAGAAGCGGAATTGGTCGGGGTACCCACGACATACAAGGCCCTTGGAAATACATCTCTGGCAGCTGGGTCGGCCGCGGTCACATTTACGACATTTTTCCCGACAGGTCATACACGCGGGGCCTGGTGTTGGTTGGTTAGCCTGATGCCCGAAGACCGGGATTGGAGGGGGGGCTGCATACCAGCGCGTGACATCGTGCGGCGAGAGTTACACAGGCAGCTCAAAGTAGAGCGGCTGTGCGGTAAGGCTTAGTTTAATAGATCGCGATGGATCTGTACTGTCTGGGCATTTTGGGTTGGTTGTGGAGGTGACTTTGGTTCAGTGCTGGAGTTGTTTCTGTGGAGCTCCTCGCGCTATTCCGTTTGGGGAATCCTCGGCGTTCACACTATACAGCATGGACTTGAGGTCTCTTCGCAACTGTTCGTGGATGTCTCCAATGAAAGGCTTATTGGAGCACAACCTGTCTTTGGAATAACACAGCAATATTTGTTGATTGTTTGAGCCAGCAAAACCCACCCCAAATTGCTCTCTCCGAAGTGATAGTCGCGGTGGTTTGGTACACACTCATCAGCCCTCCATATCCATGCCATCTCTGCCATTTGATCTGGGAAAACACCATCATATTCCGGTTATCATCGAGGTCTATCTTATATGTTCCCCGCGAGAGATCTATTCAATAACGGAGACCAACATAGTTATTTCCTCCTTTCCATTTGCTTCAAAACCGCCCCACGCTTCTCCTCCCACTCATCCCAAACAATCGAAAACAGAGCAGTATGTCTCCCCCCCGTCTCGCCAGTCGTCCCATTCCTCTTCTCCAGAGCATCAACCGGAACTCCCATCGGCCCAGGAAACACCCGGTCCCAGCGCAGTACTCCTTCAAGGGTAAAGCCCATGCGCAGGGCGACCCTCTTTGACGCCTCGTTGGCTGAATGACACTTCCACTCAGCACGCCTCAATCCTAATCCACCCAAAGACGGCGGGTCGAGTGTGTAGCACAGTAAAAGACCAATAGCGCTGCTTGCGACATGCGTGCGCTGGAACGACGGGAATATCACAATCCCTATCTCGGTGGAGGCATTATCCGTGTTTGTGCCTGTCAGAGCAATTGTCCCTGCGTAGTTTGCACTAGGCTCCTGTTCTTGGTCCTGTCCTTGGCCTTCTGGTGTGTAGCTCTTGTCGATAATGGCGTAGAGACACTCGCCCGGTACAGTTGCTATGTGCTCCCTGTATACCGTTTGGTAAAACTCTTCATCGGTTGAGATATCAGGGAACAGGACGTATTGGAATAGCTTGGGGTGTTCCCTCTTCTGTGCCATGAATTTGGCGATGTGATGCGTGGGCTGTGCAGTTCGTTAAGATCATTCTGTCCGAGGGATAATCAGTGGTCTTACATTGAACGGTTCGAGGGAAACGAGATTATTCTCAAGGCGAGGCTGCCCGTAGCAGAATGATGATTCGGACATTTTCGTTTAAGATAATTGTTATTCTTTTATTAGTATCTGTTGTGATAGTGAAGAGTGTAATCTTCCTGACAGCCCCTCGTTCACACGGGATAAATTGGCCTGGACTAAGCCTGTTCTGGTAGTTATGAACGATAATTGAAATATACCTATGAATTGTGCATAAAAATAAATCTATATCCAATAACACTCGTCAATCACACCATATCACAGCATTAATCTTCAGTGACCGCGCTGCCTTCAAGGTACAGGCAAAGCAAGGGCTTTCAGGTGTCCGAATAACTGCATTCATGCCACGGAAAGCGCATACAGCACGAGCCATAGTCTCAGCCCCATTACCGGTAGCATTGATAACCAGCATGTCAGCGGTACGAGCGTCACCAAACACATCGTCATCTAGAAGCTTGTCTGGAGTCCAGCTCTTTGCTGGGTTTATTTCCAGCTCGCTGACATGAATAGGGTGTCCTGCGGGATCAGATGGCTGGCATCGAGGAGGAACGACAAAGACCGGGGTAGTCCGTAAAGGGATCTCAACCATGGTCGATTCATTCACCTCGAATATAATTCTCGCTGAAAGTTCAGCGGCTTGTCCTTCCCCGGCGGACTTGATGTGGACAGTCTTCAGAGTGTATTGACTCGTATCTCGGACTGGACGCTCAGGTGTAGTCCATTTCCCAGGGTCCTCGCTGTCGACTATATAAGAAGCTGTATCTTCATTGTCGAGGTATTCCGATAGTTCATCGCTGCTCTGTAGCTCTGGTGCCACACGCTCTCCATCTACATACACCCATCCGGTCGTCCTGCCACTCTGAGTCACCGTTTCTACGTCCAACATGACGGAAGAGCAGGGACCTATCCAGCCAGCCAGCGATCCTATGCCTGATATGCCACCCAAGACGCGGCCCATCACTGTATGTATCGGCCAATAGGAGATATCTCCCAGGACCAGACCATGGCTGGCGCTTGGTGGGATACCGAGAGAAAGAGACGGGGTACATAGGACCAAGCAGGACATCACATTGTATGCAAAGAACCTCCCTGGTAGCACCAGACCATACAACCAATCGTGGATAATGGCCGGAAGGTTCTCTTCTGCTCCACTGTGAAGGCGTGCGTAGGTGCCCTCAATCCGTTGCGTAACTTCATCAACATGCGGCCATTTGATCTTCTTCGCAAACGCTACCAGTCCTTCCTCTTGACGTTCATATACGTTGGAATGGGACTTCATCACTCCGTCCACAAAGTCATAGTTCCAGTCCTTTATATCCCTCATAGCTTCGTGCTGCTCTACTTTGTCATCCAGGCGTGTTGCGCCGAGAAACTCGTCCACAAGGGCTACTCGCGCTTCCACGACCTTACTCTTTAGGTATTTCTTGTCTTCGTCGCTTGTTGCAACAGACTCGGCCTGTTCATAGGCTTGTAACCCTTTCTTCAACGCACCTCGTCCCATCTGTGCTTCGGCGAGGAGCTCCCAGGCCTGCCAGTCACCGGGGGCATATTGCGTCAAGTACTTGGCCTCCACTGTAAGTTCCGCGTACCGCATCTCCGAGTCCTCCTCATCTCCTACAAGTGCATCGAGCTCGGCTGTCCTGCGAAGCGCACGGCATCTTCTGTGCCGATATTCGACGTTGGCAGGATCGATAGCTATAGCCTCTTCGAGAGTTTCTGCAGCTATATCTGGCATGGTATCCGCCATGAACTTCTCGGCCATTCGAAGCAGCACTCCTGCCTCTATACGCTCCTCCGAGGAGACATCCTTGGCTGGTGGCATCGGCAGCTCGTAGCTGAACTTCAAATCGACATTCTGTCTCCACAGGCCATACACAATCAACGACGCAACAACCTGGAGCGACATCCCGTCTATTTGGTCCTGCTCATCAGACTGCGCGCTGGTACTCCTATCCAAACGCCTCGCAACCTCACCCGAGATGACCATCTGCCAAAAGAAGCCCATAATCCCCAATATCCCTTCTCCCTCTATATGAGTCCACTCCTGCGCAATAGTGAACTTTGTGGCGAAATTCTTGAAAGTATCCCCCCGATTCAGCACAGCAAGACAAACATCCAGCATCGCATCAATACTCTTCTCCCCGTCCGCAATTGCAATGGCAGAATCCCCTACAAACTGCTCGAGGTCTGCCTCGTCATAGTCCAGGTTCTCACCTAGTGGTCTTCCCTCATCTTCGTTCTGCAGCTCATGCAGTCGTCTAATCAGCTCCTTCCCTCCTGGCTCTGGGAGGTCGCCGACGTGATAAAGATAGTTCTTCTCAGAATCTCGGAGTCCAGGGCCCTGGGTCTGCTCGTAATCCCACATTTCTATCCCGTACCCTTGCACTGTTACCGTCCCGGGATGTACATGCTGGTACTCCGGGTTCGCCTCGCGGTCGAAGAACCGGACCACTTCATATTCGGGGGCGTCGCTAAGGTCACCTGGGGCTATCTTCCGTCTGACATGATGCTCTTTGATCCAGTATAACTCTATCTCATATGATCAGCAAATATAAACCAGTCACCGTTGGAATTATAATTTACCAAATGCAGGGTGCTCACACCCAGGGGATTCCTCATCCACTGTCCCTCCCTCGCCGGTAATAGAAACAGCAGCGGAGACCTTGCTGCTATCCTTGGTCGGTCCAGTCAGCGATACCTCTAGACTGCCCTTGAGTCGGGCGGCAATGTAATCTGCTCCCTCTTGCAGTGTTGACTCTCTCTCCCATGTAGTCTCGCCCCTTTTGTTTTCCTCTTCACCTTTGTCAGTATCATGCTCTTTGGTGTTATTCTTGTCGTCGGTGCCCTGTTTCTCCAAGCAAAACGACATTGTGCTGAGTGTAATACACTGATTTTCAGATAACTGTCGTCGGATTCAGGGGCAGATAGAAAGCTAGCAGGTTCCTAAGAGAAGCGATGGGAACATAATGGACCCCACTACTCTATATACCCTTTGCTTATCTTTCTATTATTCCTGTCAAAGCGGCAGCGCCTCATTAATCAAATACTTTGGGGAAATGTGTCTTGTGAGATACAATCAGCCTCGGAAGCCACTTGGACAGCGCACTAAGTCGACCGGCGTAGAATGAATACGAGATTTTGAAGCCATAAATACTCAATCGGTCTTAGTCCGAGAGTGTACGAGCTAAAAATAATAATTGGAAGTGAGTTAAACGAGCCTGTTAATTGCGGCTGAGTCGCTGGTCTCATGATGGACGCTCAGTTAAAAGCCAAGCATTGCACTGGCTCAGGAGCCGACTTCAGCAAAAACCACCCTCTTCTGTCCCCCAACTTCAAGCAGTATCGGTATAGCAACGATAAGATACCTCGTGGTAGAATATCGAACATCGATAGGCGGACCCTTCACGGCTGCGGCCCGCAAGTGTGGAGCCGATCGTCAAGGTCGCATAGGGCTGGAATGTGCATCCATGGATGCTGGAATGAGTATCCAACCAGGACCTTCCTGTATGTTACACAAGCCATGACATTGTGGGTTGAAATTCGAATGCGGAATTTGACGAGTAGTTGTACAATTTTCTCATTCAGAGTATGACGCAGACCGCTGTCACGGTTGACCTCTTCCTGTTGTGGCATATGCTATCCTGGACAGTAATTATAACGCAAACTTTTGATCACCACTTGGCTTTTAGGGTTGGTACAGGTGGGCCCTGGAAAGCAACTCTCTCATCCGGCTGTGCCCCAATAGCCCTGACGTACTCAAGATACTTTTTCAGCTCTTCGGGGTCTCTGGCCCCCACGGTTATGGCAGCATGGCTCAGGCCGCTTGACTCCTCATAGAACCATCCAGTCACGACCAGACTACCTTTGCGCATATCATCCGCAAGCCTCGCCTCAAAAACATCTCGCGAGCACTTGAACTCTGATTTAATCCCAGCAGCCTCGTAAAGGCCTCGCCTGGTAAAATGCCCTCTAAGAGGCCCCAGGTGGAACGAACCGGTCACACGGACGTTGAGGTCGATAATCAAGTGCTCCCCGGAGCGCTCGTCAGTAATAATGTCCACACCAGCAGGGCCATAGTACCCCTTGCCGTGTAGAAACGCTGCCACCTTCTCCATAATTGGAGAAAATGTGGCTCTGAAATGCTCCTGCTGCTTGTACGCGATAGTCGCGCCACACCAGTATCCATGTTCATCAAACAGCTGCCCGCTACAAGCGTTGAAATGAGCGTGTCCGGTCTTTGAAACGAAAAACGTCAGCCCCACAGACGGTCCAGGGATGAAGTCCTGAAGGACAATAGAGCACGGGTATAAGTGATAATTAGATTCATTAAGCTCATTCAGCATTTCGCCTAGTTTTGCTGTGAGCACAGTCTTCACTTCGTTCCTTTCGGCTTCCGTGGCGATCGCAAAGACACCGCAGCCACCAGCCGACTGTGGAAGCTTAATAATGAAGGGCAGTTGACGCTTTTCAATCGAGTCTACCATTCGTGATACCTCGTGTGCCAAAAGAGCCGGGTCATCTGGGTTGGTCAGGCAGGTGTCGATCACCTCGGACCGGGGCGTTGGCAAGGCAGACAGAGCCAGCCCACGCTTCGATAAGATCTCATAATGGGTTTCGGGGTTAATGAGATGGGGAAGATTCGAAAGACAGTCCGTTGGTATTTGGACGGAAATCTGCGCGCCGGCATCCAAGCGTATGCCCTTCAAGTCGTTTGCAAACGTTACACTCGGCTGTTGCTCGCGTGGTAAATGCGAGTATGTCCGATGGAAGTCGACGTGGTGCGGCGCTTCCCCGTCTCTGACCTGTTGGCACATTCTATCGTCTGCTTCTGTTTCCTTATGGTGTGAATCAAAATCCAGAACCACAACTGGCATCTGGCCGGCGGAAAATGCCGTCCGCTGCGGATACAGGCTCCCTCCAATGGACGACGTTCCTTCTTTCTCATCTTCCGGCGCTTTATGTCCATAGACGAATTTTGTTAGTGAGCCGTCGGGGTTATATGTAAAGTTCGGCAGATAATAAATGAGCACTAGATTCGGGTCGTCTTCATTGTTTTCCGAGTAGAGGTCTCGCAGGGTGTAGTCGAGGGTGACAGTGCTTGTGGCAGCCATTTTGCTTGGTTTGTGAGTACTGCAAATGATTTCGAACGAACAGCTACATAGCACTTATAGAATGGATCTTTAATTACATCCATGGTTGCCGGTGGAGCTGTCCGTTTCCGGGTGTAGATCAATGTGACGCTGCGGGACATGCCGAAGATTCCGTGCACCACCGATGACAAAAACATCTAGAACTGGCTCTTCAACCTGAATCAGTGCTGCTCCACTTGCGCCTCCCTATGAACAAAGATGTGGTTAGGTTACCATAGACTTCCGGGTCTGCATTGCAGCTTTGATGCGGGCAATCGATGAACTCACCACCTCCATGGGAGTATAGATATAATAATATCAATCCGAGATCAGAAAGCGGCGGCTCTAGTCTGATTAGACATATATTCCCTCTATATACTTTCTAGATGGAACTTTGGCACTCGGCAGTTGAATCCTGAAAGAAGCAAAAACTTACGCATTTTCAGTGCGTAGGAGCATCTCAAACCGTTCAATGACCCTGTATTGTTCTTGGGCTGTAATTCCCATACCCTCCGTATAGTATGAACCATCTCTGAGACGCGCATAAACAAGATCTCTTCGATCCTTTGATGTAATCGCCGTCTCAATGCTCTTGGTTATCCCATGCATTGGGTAGGCCACCAATCCTACTCCAGCTGCATAACAAATATGTCAGTGCTGGGTTGGCATGGGCAAAGCGTACGATTACGTACCTGAAGGGGCCTTTGTGGCCAGTCCAATCGTCCCTCTCATCAATCCCTTGGCTGCCCCAGTCACCCCCTGCTCTTTAGCACCCTTGACAGGGTGCGTCAAGAGCCCCGAAAAGCCATCGCTCATACCATCAACAAAATTCCTGCCACCAAACATAGCCCCGGATTTCCAATCTTTAACCGTGCCGTATTCCCTTGGCTGTTCCCCGTATAGTTTAGGCACCTGTCGGAAACCTTCGGCTGCCGCATGGGGAATGTCCACCATCACTCCTTTGAAATACGTGGCAGTGAATTTCCCAAATCCTTTCATTGTCGCGGAAGTCATATTCCCTGCTGTAGCTAATGACCTGGTGGTCTGGTTACTGCTATGCTCCGAAACATCCGTTCTGCGAGTCTGGATGTGTAAGTCACCTGCTTCAGGGCTCCGTGAGTAGTTGCCTGAAGCCCTGGTTGTAGGCACAGACTGTGAGCGCACCCTCCCTTCTTCTCCTGATGGCCTTCGTGAGCGAGTACGTCTGTATTCCTTGTAGGGATTGTATATCATCTGCCCTGTGGAGAGTAACATGTTGGATCCGGTTGCGAGAGAGGCAGATAAAACACCTGTTAATGGATCCCAGCGGCGGTTCTCAATGAAAATAGGGTTGGTTTCGTAACTAGGCGATAACATCAGTTGGGGAGTTTCAGTAAAGAAGGTGACAAAAGCAAATCCCTTGCGTACCACTGAAGTTGTTTCTCCTCTATCTTCATATTCTCCACCAATATATTGGCTGCTGCTTTCGATAAGTTGAACTTACGCTTGCCCTTTCGGAATGTCCAAACCGCTGCTTGGTTGGGCATCACACTGCATCTCATCTTATCTAAAGGTAGATGAGTGTAGAATGATTCCACGGCTGCCGTCACGCCACGCTCTGTCTGCATTCTTTCTGCAATATTTCCGGCAGCAGCCCTGGCCTTAGAGGTGAAGCAGAATTCAATGGAGGCTGCCAGATCCTGGCTTGTGAGTGACGCATAAGGTAGCGGGCTAGGACCAGCACCAGATCTGGCAATTATATGGCCCCAAAAGGGTTGGCTGAAAGAAGAGGTAAGTATTAATACAGACTTAGCACAGGGTAGTGTGAGCCAACACTTACTCTCCAAAGAACGGCACTACGACAGTTGGTCGTCCATTTCTCAGACCGCAGGCGGTTGTCCCTGCACCACCATGGTGGACAACAGCAGCCACATGCTGGAATAACCACTCATGTGGACAGTCATCTATATAACATATATTCCTGTCGGTGTTTCCGGACATTCCGCTCCATCCTCTAGATATGATAGCACGGACTCCAGCCATCGAGACTGCTTCAAGGACCGTGTCGATAAGTCTCTGAGGATTGTCGGCCACAATGCTGCCAAAGCCAATGTAGATCGGAGAGGGACCAGAGTTCAAGAATTCTTCCAGTTCAGCTGGCGGGTTATATGCCTGGGCTTCTCTGAAGAAAAATCCACAGACATCTGAAAATGTCAGTGCCGCGTGGCAAAGCTTGCTGGTAAAGTATGTGCATACCAATATGAGATGGCCAGTCCTCGGCCTTTGGCATCAGTGCAGGGGACCAACAGTAGGTGAAAGGAATCTTTAAGGCTTCAGCCAAGCGAGGCCCTTGCGTTGCAGGGATAGGCCCCAAGCCTATCGAAACGCGCCATCGATTAATAACATCGCCTAGGCTATTTGATGGTCAGCTCTCCAAGCTTAAACAACATAGGAGGGATGGTTTTAGTACCCTTGCCAGGTCAACACCTCCACCACTCCATATGAAACCCAATTTGCCGTGGTGGGATTCATTGATGATGGACTCAAGTTCGCAAGCGGGTGTGGAAAAGCCTTGGTACTGCTCCATGGCATGGTAAACATTAAGTGAACAGGGATGCCCAGTGCCTGCGCACAGTGAATATGGGCGAAGCTAGGCGGGTTAGCAATGATTGCATCTGCCACAAAAGGACATTGTATTAGGGGATCATCATCAACACAAGATCTCCAACACCCGTCAAGCATTGTCGCTACCATGCTTTGCTTCTTACGGACTTCGCCCTCGCGCAATGTCCTCATCTGCGGTATTAAGCCAGGGTTCTTGACCATGAATGCCATGAGCTGGGCCGGATCCCCGCCAATAGGGAAGAATTCCAGCCCTGATCCACGAACGAAGTCTGCAAATACATCATGTGTTGCAATACGGATTCGGTGACCATCATTCTTTAACGCAGTTCCGAGCGCAATGAACGGCTGCACGTCGCCCCTGCTTCCCACAATCTGTATAACTATATTAAGTTTGAATTGACAGGACCGGACCTGTGTGGAAGGAGTGTCGATGTAGCCGGGCGGCGGACTCTGAAGATCCTCTTGTTGGAAGTCGATTATCTCGGCGAGTGTCCTGGCGACCTCGGATTCCAAATTGATATCGACGCGACCATTGGCTTAATTAATTGGACCTGGTTAGTTTGACTTCCATCAGGGGGAGCTGGATTCGAGCCACGCACCTTGCAAACTGCCGGCTTCTCTGGTTAATTCATCTTCCACAAAAGCTGAGTATGGCGGGGAAGCTCCCGCTGACGCGCGACCTCCCCCGGGCAGCTCCACCGATTCATCACTACGATGTGGGGGATATGTCATGTTAACATCGGATGTATGGAGTAGACATGGTTTGAAACCAGAGAGCGACCGTGCCAATTTAAGTAGGGCCTGGAAGTAACCTGTATTCGTCACAGGGAAGAGAGGACCCTCCACGGGGAAACAGCAAATCGTCAAGTGGATACATGACCTCAACCCTGATAGATCTGCATAATTAAGGCAGCAAATGGTGGCTGAGGCAGGCAGAACATTTCTGGCGCTTCATACTTCGACATACAATACAAATACGGAGTTCGCCATCACAGCGAAGGCAGCGTAATAGATAAGCCATCCAAAAATTAAACGGGCGGATACTTGCAAATTGGTTTCTGTATAATTGCAAAACATTATCCTGAGATTCGCCGGGGTTATAGATGTTGTGTTCCTTAAAAAATAAAGTTATAGTGCGACCATGACGGTTATATATATTGCTGTTAACCTTCATGATAGTTAGCAAATATCGGGGATGTTTTTATCGGTTAATATTGCGCGATCAGGGCTGCCAAAATATCGACAACAAAGCATTTTACTCTAATTGAATCTTGATCATGTTTGTTAATTGATGTTATGGTCCAGAATTGCAGAGATGCGTTGAAACCTCAGAAACCAGGCACCCTTCCATGGTAACACACTAACCATGTAAAGCTAGCTGCATCAGGTGATCCGATCCGATAAACAAATTGGGGCGCAACGCAACCGCCGTGGGTGCCTGCAGTTCAACCTTGACGCCGCAACAAGGCTGATTTCTGCCCAGTTCTTATCCTAACTGTTGTATAAATCCCAAAAAGTATCTTGCACCTTCCAGCCTTTCAACATAATCTTTCTTGCTACCAAAACACGCAACATGGTTGGAAACACTGATTCATTGAGCCCGGACAATGTGGTGGGGCTCGCCGCCCAAGCTCTCCGGCCAGACGCCAGCTCCGACTTCAGCCTCAACACTCCATACGAGGCCGTTGCTCTCATCGGCCACGCTTCTCTGGTCGCCGTCGGTTTCAGATTAGTTGGTCTCGGTGAAGACCATACGATACGTGTGTACCGCAGATATCCTGTTGAGACTGCTGCTAACACCTGGTTTATTTTATAGAAGGAACACCTGAAAACCCCTCCCTTCCCGCAGAATGGAACGCCACTTCAACCACCTCTTTTCGCTATGCACACTCCCAGTCGTCCATGCAATACCTGCTTAAAATCAGCCGTCTTGGAAACAATGCTGTTGTGTTTGCATTAGCTCTGGGTGATGATCGGACAACTTCTTTCGATGTACCGGTTAGAGACTATGTCTCCGAATCCGCTTTACCACTTTCTTCGTCTGCAGACCTCGCAACCTCCCTGAGGGAGGTATTCATCTCAGGCTCTCGCCTAACAGATCTAATTGCGCTGTTCAAGATCAATGTGATCCAGAGACTTGCACCCGGCCTGTACAAGGAGGGTCAGGAAACGACTGCACAAGCCTCCGACAGGCGACCAGAAAGAGACCAGCAGCCTGAAGCTGCCCCGAGACGCGATCCACTGAGAGATGATTTATACCCACCTGCAAGGCCATACCCGTTTAATGATCCCCTTGCAATACCCCCTCGTAGACCGGGGCCCCCTGGAGATATTACCCCTCCTGGCTTCGAGGATGAATTCGAGCTTCAGCGACCCGCTCGCGGATTAATGGGTCCGGGCGGAAGACATCCGCTAAACATCGGAGAGCGAGACTTGTATCCTCCTGGTCTGGGGCCAAATGACCCTATCCGGGGGGGCATTGGCCCAGGATTGACTCCCGGGGGTGGTGGCATGCATCCTACGTTTGACGATCCCCTTTTCGGAGGACCTCCAGGCCCCGGTGGTTACGACCCCCAGGCCCCCCCGGGAGCACGATATGATCCAGTAGGACCTGGGGATGGGCCACCATTTGGGCAAGGACTCGGTCGGGGCCGGGGTGGTGGCCGCGGGGGACCAGGATCTGGGGGATTTGGCGGATTTGGTGGTGGCTTTGGCGGTGACATCATTTAAGAGCGACCGACCTTGAAAATCGCAGATTCAGAGACGAATGTTATGATTCAGTTAAGGAGTTTATGAAATAGCAAATAATTGCACATAATGGGAAATTTGCAAGAATTACAAGTAGTGAATGACAGTGCCCAACATTGCAACACATGCGCGCAGAGATCCCCACCATTTGGGAGTGTGGCTTTGCTGTGGCGCACGGGCGGCCACACCTCGCCTCATCCACTGTGCCAGCAAACCTGCTCTCTTCCTTGTCCTCGACATCTCCCATCGCCATCCCACCGTCCAACAAAACCGTTTCTTCCCTCCAATAGACTTCTATCTCGTCCTAATTGGTTTTTTCGGTTCCCTGCTCGCTCGCCCCCTCACGCCGCCAACACATCTGATCGCCGCCCTCACGAGACCCTTTCTTCGCCTAGCTATCCCACCCCTCCTCGGCAGCCGCTTCCTTGGTTCTCTTCCGCCCGCCAGCTGCCTCGTCTCTCACCACAATGGATAATAATATGGAGATTGACGCGGCGCGTTCCCCAGAGCCACACCACCTTTCGCCGACGACCGACCCTGGGTCGATTCCTACCCTCGATGGCTGGATTGAGAATTTGATGACTTGCAAACAACTCGCGGAGGAGGATGTGCGGCGGTTGTGTGATAGGGTGTGTTTCCCTGCGGGCGGATTCTGACCAATGCCTTGGATTACTGGAATTCTAACCGAGTGTCTGCTGTAGGCGCGAGAGGTGTTGCAGGACGAGTCCAACGTCCAACCTGTGGTATGTGCTGTGTTTTGATTTTCCTTCGACGCATTGTGGGCCGCTACTTGCATGGAGGGCCATTCAATCGACTCAGTGAATTGATATGGGTTTGCAGAAATGTCCGGTAACCGTGTGCGGTGATATTCACGGCCAATTCCACGATCTCATGGAGCTCTTCCGCATTGGAGGACCCAACCCAGACACGAATTACCTATTCATGGGTGCGTTCCCCAATATCGTCCGATTTCGGGTTCCCTGCCATCTCTCACTCCCTCAGGCTGACCGCTTCAAGGTGACTACGTCGACCGTGGATACTACTCCGTCGAGACCGTCACACTCCTTGTTTGTTTGAAAATTCGTTACCCTCAGCGTATCACCATCCTCCGTGGAAACCACGAGTCCCGCCAGATCACACAAGTGTACGGTTTCTACGATGAATGTCTGCGGAAATACGGCAATGCCAATGTGTGGAAATACTTTACCGACCTTTTCGACTACCTCCCCCTCACTGCCCTCATCGAGAACCAGATTTTCTGTCTCCACGGTGGTCTGAGTCCTTCCATCGACACTCTGGATAACATTCGATCCCTAGACCGAATCCAGGAGGTTCCCCACGAAGGACCCATGTGTGATCTGCTCTGGAGTGATCCTGACGACCGATGCGGTTGGGGAATTTCTCCCCGTGGTGCTGGATACACCTTCGGGCAGGATATCTCAGAGGCGTTTAATCACAATAATGGCTTGACTCTGGTTGCACGAGCTCACCAGCTGGTTATGGAGGGATATAACTGGTCACAGGACCGGAACGTAGTCACGATCTTCTCAGGTAAGATTTTTTTTTGTGCGCGCCAGCTGGCAGGTCGCTAACTTTCTTTCTAGCCCCTAATTACTGCTACCGCTGCGGTAACCAAGCCGCTATCATGGAAATTGATGAGCACCTGAAGTATACTTTGTACGTGACACTGCCCACAGATGTATATTTTTTTTTTTTTTTTCACTTCTGCTAACACTGCTATTTCTTTCCAGCTTACAATTCGATCCTTGCCCACGCGCAGGAGAGCCGATGGTCTCGAGACGCACCCCAGACTACTTCCTGTGATGTTATAGTGATAGATTTCTTTTCTCACCGTGCAAAGCTGAGGCTCGCCGCCCTTCGACAGGGCGCGTGGGAGGTCGGAACGAGCAGACGCCGGAATGCTCTGCCTACATAATCACATGTCCGCCTGTCGCTGTGTTGATACCATTCATGAAAATAAGACATGTTCAGACTAAAGATCAATACGAATTCTCTGCGTGATTTGGTCGGTCGGTTCAGATTGTAGATCTGTAGAGCGAAACTATATTGAAATTATTCAGTAACATATCCATTCCAGCCGTACCTGGATGCTTGATCGATACCAAGGTGGGATCAACAACTTCGGCTAAGGAACATAATACTCCGGGAAACAGTAGTAGCGCGCATTGGTCCTATATACAGAAAAGAAAACCTGCTAGCTAAAGCCCAATAAACTTAACCAGAAGACAAGAATTTTTGTTTTCTAAAAATCAAACCCTCAAACCCTTCGCCTTCTTCGCCAGAATCTCCTCTACCTCCTTCGCATGACTACTAAAGTTATCCACAAGGCTATCCCACATCTTCGGCTCATGTTCGTGCCTCTTCGCGCTATTCCACGCATAATCCGTGATTGTGAACGGGCGGGACGACTCAAACATAAACGCGATCGAACCCTGCGAGATCTGGGACACTGGTGGTGATGTCTCGGTTGCGGCTTTGAACTCCTCGTAGGCGACGCCGTGGGGAACCACTTTTCAGGCGAACACACCAAGCGTTAGACAAGGGATTAAAGAAGAAGGGAAAAGGGAGGTTGAATGGTTTGCTTACTTCCGCATTCGAAAGAGATACTTCCGGGCTTGAACTCGTCTGAGCGGCCGCCGTATTCGCCGTAGACCAGACCCATTAGTTCTGAGGCGGCGTTGCGGTGGTAGTATGGTGGGCGGTAGGTGTCTATTTATGAGGGTTAGAACGCGAGTGATTCAGGATTGAAAGTGCTGGAATACGTACGTGATGCGACGTCCCAGCGAGGAGAGAAGATGAGGACGTCAGCGAGAGGAGCGGCAAGGTCGCGAGACTTTGCAGTAAGGATGCAGAAGATGGAGGGGTCGATGTGGTCGACTGAAATGGAACCAACATTGACAAACTTGGTCATGTCATATTTGTACGGGACCTGGAGTTGTTAGTGGCGAGGTAGCTTAGGGGATAAAAGAGCTCTTACGTAGTTACCGTGCCAGGCGACAACATCAAACGGGCTGTGTTGTTGCGTGCTCTTGAAGAACTTTCCTCCTAGCTTGTAGATGATCTCCCAGGGCTCCTTGACAACTTCATATTGGGCAGTTGGATATAAAAAGTCACGGGCATTGGCAAGACCATTGGCTCCTAGCGGGCCAAGTTCTGGAAGTTCGAATTGGGAGCCCCAGATTTCAAGAATATAGCCACGAGACGGTCCATCTGGTAGTTCCACACGGAAACGAAGACCGCGCTGGATGATGACAATCTCGCCTGGTTGGACGTAAAGGGGACCGAACTCGGTCTGGATGTCGAGAGCACCCTGTTGGGGAACTATGAGGAATTCGCCATCAGAGTTTACGAATGCCCTTTTGGTCATGCTCTTGTTCGCAGTGTACACATGCGTGGCGATACCCTCTCGCAGCGTTGAATCACCAGACCCAGCGACGGTCTTGAGTCCGGAGATGAAATCGGTCTCAGACTCTTCGATATCGAAAGGATGCCATGCAAGCTGGGTAGGAGAGACGTGGATGCGGGGGTTTAGTGGTAGAAAGCTGCACTCGGTGTCTTTGTTGTCAGGGAGTTCAGTCTAATCTATGTTAGTTGAATGTTGTGCCCGTGGATAAACCAACGTACGAATCCTTGGTGGGCAACAGCTGGACGAGCGCGGTAGAGCCAAGCCTTCTTGTTGCAGTGTCTAGGCGCAACAAATGCAGTTGCGGTAACTTGCTCTGCGTACAGGCCGAAGCGAACGTTTCGAGGGCTGTTCTGGCCATGTGGAATGGTGCCGGGAACAGCCTCGGACTCAAATCTGTTGACTGCGTTAGGCGGTTGAATTCTCACGCAGTAACTATTGAACATACGAGTTGCCGAAGCCAGATTGATACTGTAATGGATTAGCATATTATCTGCAGTAAATAAAGATAGGACAAACCTCATAAGGGTCATTCCTCCTCGTCTTGAACGAAGGAATTGTGGCATCCCTCTGTGTCTCGGCCCAGTGGAATATGTTCTGATATTCCTTTGGATCCGTAAGCGTGCCGTTTGAACCCATTGTGGCGGTAGAACGAATAAAATTGACAATAAGCGAATAGATGTGAAGTCAAGTGTTGTTAGAGAATCACAAGCCCAGAGCACTCGTCGACGGGTCAGAATCCCTCATATACTTCAGGCAGTGGGGTCAAATTCGACAAGGAAGGAAGGGCCTCATCGCTTGATCACTCGGTAACCAGAAGAAACTCCCCAGTTGGGGTGCTACTGGCCGACACCGTGGTCTAGCATGTAACACGATCTTCCCCCACATGGCAACCCATAGCATGGTGTGAGACAGCTGAGGAATCCCCCTTCTTCCCCGGAGAAGTCGCCATCCGGTACACCGGGGAGGAGTTTAAATGCCGAAGTGGATCCGGAAAATCAGCCTGCAAGTGGAGTCGTCCAAGGACGGATGGCGCATTCGGAGGATAGCTTTAGCAGCTCGAGCTGTTTGACCCCACATGAGTCAGGTCTGAGTAACAGTGGGCGGCTTATAAATGTGGAGGGTTGGAATGAAGACGGAAGTTACCTGGCTGGGGGATTTGCCGACTCACTGAGAGTAGCTCTTAGTCAATGGTTGGTAATGTGGGGTGATGGAAGAGGAAGGGGAATATGAAGTGAAAGTGGAATTGACGATGGATGGGATAATATCGGTTGCATGGTCACATGTCATTACCTCTACCGACGTGAGCAAACTCAGAATCGTAGGCCATCTATATTGAATTGTTTGTATTATATGATCTAATTTAGCAAACTGATCCTGCCTGCTGTCAAGGCAAAGACAATTGGCAAATACACCCCAATACCGGCCTCCTTCAAGGTCTTGAGGTGCTCAACTCGGCGTCGTGCAGCAAACTGGGCCTCAGAAATCTCCTTGCATTCGCCAACAGGCCCATAGGCAAAGCGCTTCTCAATTGACCAAGGGCTATCGCCAGCTACAAATTGTATCCAGCGGCTTCTCATTTCATGACCAACCGCATCCGCAACAGGATTGAAGGATAGATCTAGACCTCCGAACAAGAAGAGTAGATCGACGGCGTGGTGTGAACGGCTGGACGCTTGCCATGGGTTGGGCTGGTCAACGACGTATTTGTAAACACGCTTGCCAGCGGCCTTTAACTTGTCGGAGATGACTTCGACAGGGAGAGTATATCGTGCGTCGTTCACAAGATCTAATGCGCCGAGTTTGCAGGCTGTCGGGCGATCAGGGACGACATGGTACATCTTCCGCAGGGTTGTACCCCATGTTTTATCTTGTTCGAAAGCGGCGGCAATAGTATCTCCATCGAAGGTTTCGATTCCGTTTCTCCAAATAACAGACTTGTATGGTTAGTACCAGGAGTGTGAATAGTAGAAAGTAAACACACCTCATACTCAGTATCGCCTATCATGATCTCGTCCGCCTGCTCGATTCTCGTCTCCCAGCCCTTCAGTTCGTCGTCTTCCTGCATCCACATGGCGTTGACATTGCTTTCCTTCAGCGCCCGCAGGAGAGCCGGAACCGAAGCTTTGCGGAGGGATGATTCGCCATATTCTTGGACCTTTCCTTCCAGCGATTTGATAAGTCCGTTTCCTCGCTCAACAGGTAAAGGTGACGACAAGTACAATGATCCCGACGCGAGAACTGCCCTCTTCACAGGTGGACCAGTGATCAAGTGAGCATGAACGTAAATAGCCCCTGCACTTTCACCAGACAAAGTAATATTATCCTAAGCCGCGTCAATTAGTCCAAGTTCAAATGTACAGGGAATCCTAACGTACCGGGTTCCCACCAAATCCGCTAATGTTCTTTTTAACCCAGTCAAGGCCTAATCGCTGATCCTTCAGAGCCAGGTTTGTCTCACCACCATCACCAAAACTGAAGATATTGAGGCGGTAATTTATCGCAACAAAAATGAACGGTTGGCCGGCTTTTATGGAGTCCGCAACAAGCTTTGTTGGATCTGTACGTTGTTAGTTTTGATACAACGCATTGCCAGTTGTATCGTACCGCAGATCTTCGACGCCGCAGAGCAGAATGTCACGACTTGTGAACCCCCTAGTACGAAGTCAGTCCAATTGACTCTCACTATACCAACCCTGCGCTTCGCGTACCATGTATCCAAACCAGCACAGGAAGATTCCCCTTGTTCTTGGAATCAGGAGGGCAAGTTATATCAACAGTCAAGCACTCAAATTCATCTTCCGGCTCTTGCTCAATCACAAAGTCTTCAGGAATGCGCAGGAGGTGTCGAACATCGATATCAACCTGGGGACATCGCGGCCTGCGCACAAAGCAAAAATTAGAAACATCAACCCGTGCGGTCAGAGGTAAGAACATACGCAAACCGAGAGCTATCGACAACGCGCCCACCAAAGCCATTTACAGGCTGTGCGCGTTCAAACCGCCCCGGGATACTAGCATACTTGATACCTCTGAAATTATTGACAGAGCTACCATCGCATTGCGTTTCAATACCGGTGAACGTCGCGTTGAGGGAATCGTGGTGGACTTGCGGGGATGCCATTTTCCAGCTACTTTGCGAGCTTGAAAACACTCAACTGGAAGAAAGATGTATTGACAATCATCTCGTCGGCCGACTGACCGGCTTGTAGAGATGTAGACCTCCCCGAAATTTACCCCACATCGTCGTCATTTCTCATTACTCTTTTGGTCGCGGCAATACCGCAGTGTTGCTGGAACTGTGAGAAAATTGTTGACGGAGAAGGTGGTTCGTGGGGCTTGCGGAGATGTGGGCGGTGGTTGGACAACCCCCACCTACAATTCATCTCATGGGATGTCTGTGAAGGTTATCTAATCAATATTGTTCGTGGAATAAATTATATCCCTCCTTTATCCTCTTCTGTAAATATAACCTGGATCACTTGAAAGCGAACCGGAGCTGGTCAGTTCTTACCTCGTGCCCAAGTCGGCAGGTGCAGGGCCCTCCATCGTGCTTTCCTAACTGGTCTTATAATGAGGACATGTCTTAGGAAGGTGCGATTCGGCCTTCGCACTTTCCTTAAATATTATTATTGAATTAGGAAGCTGCGATCCAGAGAGTCCTGGATAGGAAGGGGCACCGGTCGTAGTTGCCTAAGATGAACGGTATCGGATTTAACGGGGCTGTCACAGTATCGCTCAAGAGTAGGTCGTTGCTATAGACATGGACATTTCTGTTATATGGGATTTTTTCTCTATGACCACAGTTATGCGCAGCCAGTGAATGATCCAATATCCACGATTATTACAAGCAAACCATTCCTTACCTGTCACTATTTGCTAAACGCCATACCATCTGGTACCTCCTTCCACTGGCGACTCTCCTTGTCCAGCATCGTCTCCTCACACTCAGCCCACCCAGTACGAATCATGGCCTCCTTTGCTGGTGACCTCGGTTTGATGTCTACATCAAACGGCGCAGGCTGCACCGTGATTCCGCCAACGATGTCATCAATATCAGGAGTCACCGGCTTCCCATCAGCATCTAGAGGTTTACTTAAGTTAAACGCCCACAAAATACCTGACATGGCCAGGAACAGTGAGCGCTCGGCGATATGGATACCCTGACAGAACCGTCGGCCGGCACCGAATGCGAAATTGCCACGTTTGCTCACATCAGGGTCTGTGGCGGCGTCGTATTCGCTCCGGGGGTCGTTGACGAACCGGCTTGGATCGAATGTGCGTGGGTTTGGATGGCGCTTTTCGTCCATGTGGATTGTCCTGGTAGATATGGGTAAGCAGATAAGCAAGTAAGCACCCTGGATTTGGAAGACACACCAGACGTTAGCAATAACCGTAGCCCCGGCTGGAATGCGATAGCCCATGTAATTATCATCTTTTATAGTAGCATGTGGAACCCCCATAATGATAGTCGGCATCCACCGCAGCGCCTCCTTCACGCAGGCCCGAATATAGGGCAGATTGGGCTCGTCGTCCATGGTTGGAAGCCGGTCTGGTCCGACAACACGATCAATTTCTTCCTGAGCCTTTGCCTGCACGTCAGGGAATACCATCATCGCCAGTACAAAGGCAAAAATAGTGGCTCTTGTCGTGTCGGATCCTGCCTCCAGTAACGCGCCGCAGACGTAGGCGGCCTGAGGGTCGGAGAAGCCCTCGGTCTGTTGGGCTTTGAGGAGTTCAGCGCAGAAGCAGGGCTTTGCCGTACCAGCGAGAACCTCCCTCTTCGCATCGAGCCAGATATCGGTGTATAACTTTTTTTCTTTTTTGTGAAGCTCCTCGGCGTACTTATAGCCAGGGACTAGGAACTTGGGGAGCTTGCGTAGCAGTGGATAAAGATCTAGGACCTGGGCATTTGCGTTCCCAACAAGGTCACACCATTTCTCAAAGCCCTTAACAATGGCAGCATGATATTAGCTGGTTATTCATGAATACTCGCGAGGAATATATGTGCTGACCTTGATAACTTGCTGCAACTTCGGGTCATGAATGCTCTCATTCCGCCAGCCGTAAACAATCTGAGTCGTGAGCGAGTAGGAGTATCGCCAGAGATGATTAGCATATTCCTTAGGCTCATCTAGGAGCCCCAAAAGCATCATTTGTCTTTCCAACATTTGATACGGCACATACGCTTTCGCCGCTCGGATATTGAGGATGCTGTGGATGGCCTTGTGCATCATTCGCCAGGTCGCGCCGTACGGCTATAATTCCGTGTTAATTCATTTACCGCATAGGATTTGGGGAATGGGAATCAGTATGAGTGGAAATGAGTACCATGAAAACGAGCCTCAGTCCCCCACTAGCAATGTCCATGCCAACATATAACTCCGGCCTTGACGAGTAATTGACGCCACGCTTGTCTAGGAGGTCTTTGATCGCGGTGTCGCTCGAAAGGATAATGTATGTCTTTGTACCAAGAACAAGTGAGTAGACTGGACTGTTTGACGCGTTAAACAGGAAATCCATAAACAATTCGTTTGCCATTTTTTATTTCTTGAACGTACCCATATTCTTGTGCCCATTTTTGGAATTGGCGGTGCGGATATTCAGTGGGCATCTAGACCAGGAAGTCAATCAATTGTCCCACTCTCTCGGGAAGTATTAGAAGCAGTAACACACCAAGTGTAAATTCCCAATCAGTGGCAGCGTTGGTGGACCTGGAGGGTAATCTGGCGGCCGTTGGCCCACAGTGAAAAGGCAGAGCAGAAGATATCCCACGGCGGCGGTAGCAGCTGATACAACACAAGCAAAGACCAGATTCGCCATGATCCAGAGCCTGGGCGAGAGTGAGACAAGAGGTGTGGGAATATTTTCGGAAATGATTCAGGAATGCTGAGGAAGATAAGAGGGGTGGATTTATTATCGAGCTGTTGATTCGTAATTTAGTGCAGACGCATCCCCTTGACAGCTGCCGCGCCGTTGTTGCCATTGTGCATTAGAGCTACCCCGCCACGTCATTACAAGGTCCTTTACTGGCGTATGAGGTAGACTAATGCAGAATGTCATGGCTCGAAGTGGTTTGGGGTTATACTAGTAAGGTTCGGGCCACCCCTAATGCAGCTCCTTCGAATGGAATCCAGGCCCCTGATGGATTGCGGTGTGGGACCGCTAACAGTCTTGTTTCACGTATTCTTAAGCTGATGAAACCAGCAAAAAGTACTGGGGAGTTTCTGGGAAGCAGAAGTAAAGCGTGCTAGATTCCAAAACTTGCATTGATGTAGATATAGTTCCCTTCAGTATTATACATCAGCCACAACAATCCTCCGCCATAACTTTTCAAATATGCGTTCGCTAGTATATAACAGGGTCACCCAAGGTAGCTAACTGGTTTAAATGTATCTCCCTTATTCTAGTAGCAGTCTCCATTCACATGTAACTCCGCGACGCAAGAACCTCCCTTACCCCTTCAGCAAACAACAAATGCGCATAACAAACATGCATTGCCGTCATGAACGATCCATACACCTGCCCACCTGTTCGGGGATTACTCCGGACATGGGAGTAAATAATTGTAACTCCCTCATCTTCACCATCTCCCGCCAGACTCTCCCTAAGTAATTCGAATCGATGTGACGCCGCCAGGCTGCGGCCTTTAGTGCGCCCTGCGTATTCCACAAAACTCCGCCCCGGTCGAGGAGTTCGAGCTGAAGAGGGGAATGTCAATTCTCGATCTTTAGCGCTGTAGGCGCTTGTGTCGACGAGATAGTATAGCCCGAATAAGCATGCACCGAGCGGTGGGAGGTGCCTTTGAGACATGCCGCTGGGACGGGAGATGTAATACGCATGTGCACATACATCTGAATGGGAACATGAATCCCCCAAATCACCAGTAGATACCCTCGCACCCATAAATACTGGATTCATCCACAATCAGCCATCTCCATTCCAAATAATAGCGTACCTAGAACAAGCATACATACCCTCATGATCAATAACCCCCTGCACGAAGGGAGCAATCCACCTCTCCGGTCCAAACACCCAGCCAGCAAAGAACCCTTTTGAAAACCTCGCCAGAATCTCCTCATCTCCTATCTCCCGCCGTGACCCGCTCAGCGGAATCCGAATAATATAGCTTTCTTCCTCGGTGGGGTTCCCCGCGGGGTCGATGACGTGCATGCCAAAGGAGCTGTCGTAGCCAGGCTCAGCGTGCCAGATAAATTCCATTGACCGGCATGGGGTTGCGAGGATTGTTAGGCATCCTACTCCCCCGCATAGGATGGCAAGGGCAATATGGGTGTGCCAGGATATGGTCATTGGGGTGGTTGTGTGATGTCTGCTTGAGGGGGCTGAGGCGATCGGAGGTCGGACCATGGTAGTTGTTCTAAGGGTTAACTTGTAGGTAGTTGCTAGTATGCCTAGTAAAATCATATAGCCATCTATTAGATATTCATTCGTAAACTACGTGGCATATTCCGAGTTGCCTCCTTTCCCTTTTATCTTTAGAACTCCCAAGCAGTTCTAGCTGGTACAAATACACATCTATTTACATGTTGTAGCTACAGCAGTAATATCTACACTCGTCCTAGCCATGACTGGCCTATAGAAATAAAATATATCTTCCATCACCTCAATTATTAGCCTCGACTTCATGCCTCTTTCGAAAACACCCACCGAAGAAAAGAAAAGCAGGCACACCCGATATCCCCGACACCAGCGCCAGAACCCACCCCATAGTCCCCCAACTAACCTTCTCGCGAAGGCATCCTGCAAGAAACGGCCCAACCAAACTCCCAGCAGAGAAAGAGGAATTTAGAAGCCCATATGCCAGCGCGATACTCCCGCCTTTACCCCAAACCGCAGGTCTTTTTGTCTCTTTCTCCTTGACGATATATGAGACCTCCACCAGGATTATGGCGAGCATTGCGGCGAGACATGTTCCTAGTAATACCAGGATCCCGCATAGTTTGACCTTATCATGAGTTGTATCGTTTCGCACGAAGCGGAGGCAAACGAGGGCCGGAACTGCCCCGATGAATGCAGCACAAGCAACGTACCGCCGGGTCCAGGGAAATCGGTCAGTGAAGCAACCGATTATCGGGTCAAAGAAGCTGGGGAAGGTTAACGGGATGAAGATGAGACCTTGGGCTGTCTGCTTCCAGCTGAACAGCTCCTCAACGAAGAGAGGAAGGACGCTGTCGCAGGAGGTAAGAATGAGACCCCAAACGAAATAAGCCCATAGTGTAATGATGAAGCGGCATGAACTGCACAGGTTGTACAACGCCGATTTCCTCTTCTTGCAGACCTTCTCGGTCTCCGCTGCCACTTCAATGGCAACGCCTCCCTCAAGTGGCGGCTTTTGAACAGAAGAGGCTTTATCTTTCGGTTCACTTTCCGGTGCAGTGTCAAGCTCACGTTCGATCCAGTCGAGATGTCTACCGCAGTCAATCTTCCCATGAGGTCCGGGTACCAGCCCACTGCCTGTCACTGGTTCGACGGATGACCGCCCCTCTCCCTCGGTGTCAAGCCATTTCGCGGCATCCCTTCGCTCTATCATTAGTAGCCGCAACACCACGTCGATGGCGATAAACCCAAATGCCACGCCGAAAACCGAATAGTACCCGCCATGTTCATAAAGTGCACCTCCGAGTAGCGGTCCACCTAAGCTCCCCAAAGTCATGCCGGTTCCGACAAAGCCTAGAACCTTTCCGAGTTCGTCCTTTTCAACTGAGTCAACGAGAAGCGCGAGGCCGACTGTCCAGACCACTGCTGCGGATGCGCCCTGGCATAGACGACCCACGATCCAGAATGCGAGATGTGTTCCTACGCAGAGGAAAGCTGTCGATGCGCCTAGGGCGAGTAAACCGATGAGTAATGGCCATCGACGGCACTGGACTCTGTCTGCTAGATAGCCAGCGAGGGCTGTAAAATTTAGAATAATTAGGTGATGTCTGCGTATATCGAGGGCTGGAGGAAGTACGTACGTGAACATGCTAGAAGTCCGCCACCATATAAACCCAGCAAAACCGACGTCCATCTTTGCGCTTTTTAGTGTCAGCATGCTGTCTTGTATCAAATGATCTGGGTGGAAGACGTACCATCCTGTTCCAATACACCTGCCCTTTCGCGCAGTGCCGTTGGAGTGACAGGCACAACCTGCCAAAGTCAGTCAGTCAAGGTTTCGACGAAGTTAATCAACTAGGGAAAGACAAACAATTCCGTAAAGAAATATGTCCTGCGCATGAATGTTAGCTATTTCAAAAACCGAAAACCGAGAGACGCGGTGGTACTACCGTAAATATCGCAAAGACGACAACGAAGACAATATAGCACTTCGACCCTCTGTACTCCACAAGCCACGGCCGTTTCACCCCGTCGTTGTTCACCGTGTTGATCGACATCGCAATAGAGGAGGCGTAGATATTATAAAGCGCCCATGACGTGAAGGAATTTTGGAAGATATACAAGGAAAAATGAGAGAATAATGTCCCACCGCGGGTGATTCATCAACTTACAGTCACAGGCCATAGGGATTATTAGACTTCAAATGAAGTGTTCATTCCTTCACTAGACCTTGGTCTGGGCCATTTCCTGGCAAGCATCCATGAAGCAGTGTTGACTGTGAACAGATGCAATGCTCTTGATTGGTTTGCGCTGTAAGCTTGTTCATCCATGGGGTCGAAGATGAGTCCGTTTGAATCGGAAGGTGCGTCATCCGTGGTGAGTGAAGACAGAGTCCAATTATGTAAACCTTCACATACTACACTTCACTCGTTCAATTCCAGCTGCTAGCTTAATGGGCATCTTAAATATCGCAACCTAGTCATGGCTTGTTTGCCACGATGTCTACCCGGCTTTACTGCGGTAGGTAAGTCTTGGAATATTCGTCGAGAAGTTAGCGATAGGTATCATCTGCTCCTAAACTCATCTAGGTATGACCACGCTCTTGTATGGAATGTCCTCGACTTGTCTATCTTTTCAGATGGCACTGTGGACCATTGTGAAGGCTGGGCAGCCACTTCTGGACATTATTTATGGATCTACAGAGATCATCCGTGTACCAGTCACCAGTATTTGTCAAATTCATTTGATACTACGCTTGAAGCCTTGTTCAAAATGGAAAATATGCCTTCAATCAACGCGGAGAGTCCAAAGATTGAGTGGCTGTGTATTCCAACACCTTAACAGGAAGTCATCTATGGTACACATTATGCTATTTGAACACTGACCGTGAATATGGGCGCAGGAATCTAGAATCGATGAATCCTATCCTTCCCATATCCCAACTGCTCTAAGATGCCCTCCGGCCCCTTCCCAAACACTCCACCCCCAACCAGACTCGTCTCCATCGCAGGAGGTCCACAAACAAACACCTTCGTGTCCTTCTCCTCATGGCCCTTCATAACCTCCTCCAGAATCTCCTTGGTCACATACCCCTCTCTTACACCCTCGTCCGGCTCAAACTCTGTGCCCGGTCGACTAACCGTGTAGTGAACATCCAATCTCCCAGGGTACAGACGCTTATACGCATCGAATTCCTGCCGGAAGAGCAGATCCTGTTCGGTATTCACGCCGAAGACCACAGTGACTCTGGTCTTGTCGGCGGGATTGTCGAGGATCCCCTGGGTGAGCTGGTAGATGGGTGTGATGCCTGCACCGCCGGCGATCAGGTACACGTGGCTGAATTTATTGGGTGTCCATGAGAAACTGGGTAGAGAGGCGAGAATGAATAAACTATCGCCGGGTTTAAGGCTGTGCAGGTGTGTGCTTGCTTTCCCGTTTGGGTATTTTTTGACGAGGAGGTCGATGAAGCCAGGTTCTTCTGCTAGTTATTAGATATTGGTAAATAGAATGGATTGGGATTGGAACCGTCTCCCTACCTAGTTTGCTGACGGGCGTGTAGGGTCGTACGACGGGAAACCAGCTACCATCGGGTTTGGAGAAGGTTAGGAGGGCAGCTGAACATATTCTCAATTAACGCTCTGCAATTTCATCAAGAGAGGAGACAAGAACCCACATGTAAGACCGAGCCCGCTCCGTGAGCTCTCACCACCGGGCAGCTCAAACCGAAGACGCTTTGTGTTGTGGTTGACGCTCTCTTCGCTATGAAGACGGAGGTATTTGAAGGCCGGGCCCGCACGACTGAAAACCTTTTGGGGCTCCGAGTTGGGCGATTCTGCGAACGCGCTCTTGGTGAGATACTTGGACGCTGTGTAGGTGCCGATTCCTCCGATAGTGAGGATAGCGAGTGAGTTGGCGACAAGACGCCGGTTCAGTAGGGCTGCCATTGTTCTACTTATCTAAGTTGAAACAACTTGCCAACAGCTGGACTCGAAGTGTGCGACAACGGCTGCAAAAAATCTGACATGCATCCTTCCGGGATGTCCTGGTGTTTTAAATTGTGGCAGATGTTATACAATGTCGGGGCATCGGTGTTTGTCGTGCCGCTGAGAAGGCTGTGTTTGTTCCGGTCGGGCATGGAGATCCCCGAAATGGAGCTGGCAGCCGTTGTAGTAGTGTACGGCTCTGCGGCGCTATTGGCCCCGTGGATTTCAAATTTAAGCACCGGAACTTGTTGGCGCCCGTTTGCGGTGGCAATGGTCTTCGGACCAAGCAGGCCATAAAAGTCCGTTTACCGTGAACCGTTAACTGTGAATTCATTGTGAAATCCTCCATTGAAAGATTTGTTTCTTAGGTTTGACTCGCAGTAGATTGGCCCCCTGCCACTCGTAAGCTTCTACGTAGCGCACAACCCCAAATTGTGCAGGATCTTTTTTTTTTTTTTTTTTTTTTTTTTTTTTTTTTTTTTTTTTCCATTATTTGGGAAACCCCTATTCGTATTTCTTACTATATACTCGAACCACTAGATGAAGATTACGCCTTGTTTATAGCGTCATGAAAATGGTAAATATCTTCGCCAGTTCATCAAGCGAAACCTGATCCGTAAAGTCATAAAGGGTTGATCTCCGGCGACTCTGTCCCCCATAAGCCTGCGCCACGGTTCCTGCTGCATTCTCTTCAGAAGTTGGCCCATAACGTCTCGCCGTGAATCCATTGGATACAGTTCCTTTGGTAACAGCAGGCCAAGGAGCCTGCCCATGGCAGAACTTGAAGAAGTCCTCAGCAAATGCAGTCCCAACCGCTTGCTGGTCTGGAGATAGGAACTCTCGGAAATTTTGGAAAAGGTAGGCTAGATCCAGAATGTGGTTGGTCCTGCCTTTCCATTTCCCTTCCCATGGATTTCCTTCATTGAAGTAGTATACGTACGCGTTTCCTTTCCATCCTTGCGCAAATGTCAAAGCAGGGGAGAAGAAGAGCACATCGTTAATGAAGTTCAGAACACCAGGGAAGGCCTCGTCATCGCTAGCTTCTTCTGCGACTCCGTATGACTTTACAATCTGCTCGACTATGGCTGGTTGCGTTGAGAGAGCGGTGTTCGCGGCTTTGACAAACTTTTTAGCGCAGCCCTTCGCAGTGTCAGGGAACAGAAAAGCAATAATGCTTGCCTAATAAATTAGCTTACGGACCCGACGGCAAATCTTCATACTTACATCTATCTGGGCATCTCCAACCATCAAGTCCTCACACCAATTCTTGCCCCTTGGCGCGTCCGATGTTGTACTCGCCGTCTCGGAGTGTGAAGGGGTGGAGGGAACAATGTCTCCATCGATTGCGGGTGACGACAGAATAGATGGGGGTAGTTGAGCAACAACATCAGCGGCTGGCATCTCAAGAAGTGCCTTGATTCTCTCCTCGGGGCTACTGCTATTCGACAGCCCTAAGGCTGAGATCGCTTTCTTGTAGTTCTGTTCGTGTACTTCGTAGGGTAAAGGCTGGCTCAGAAAATACGTTCCGCTCATTGCAATGGCTCGCTTGAAAAGTGCTTCTTCGGATTTCAAGTGGTAGGTCACGGATGCTGGAATTGTTAGCTTTGTGTGGCATCATGAATGAAATTCTAGATATACCTCCACCCGCGCTCATTCCTGCCACCGTGATGTTGTCTGCATCTCCTCCAAACTCGTGAATGTGTTTCCTCACCCAGTCGATAGCCACACGCTGGTCACGAAGTCCATTATTTGCTTTATATCCAGCATTGCGCAGTTCCTCGGAAGTCAAGAATCCGAAGGCCCCAAGCCGATAACTGGAGGTGTCAGCTCGAGTCCCATCGATTAGAGCTTAGTTCTTACTTGATAGAAACTGCTACTATGGGAAGTTTCTTTTCCACAGACAAACCGACAAGCCGAGTATAGTCAAATTGAGGCCAAGAATTTGCGCCAATAACCAGACCCCCGCCATGTATAAACAGAAAAACCGGTAACCGAGAGGATGCTGTCGTGCCAGCGGGGACAGCGATGTTGAGGTTTAGACAGTCGATGTCAGACTGAGGGAGCTCCTTTTTGGGCAGAGCGTGCTGGACGTGCATTAATTCCAAGTCGCATCCAATCGGGAGCGACACAGCTGTAGGTCTATACCTTGTTAGCCTAAGGATAACGGCAGTAACAAGAAATTTTGACATCGCACCCATCTTTGGTCGCGTCCAAGGTATCCCCCCGGGGACTGTCAACTGGAACGGCGTCCGCCAGTCTGTTTTTCAAAGTGGCATATTTGATCCCCAAGTACTGTGTCACACCATCTCCACTCTTCCCTTGGATGGTTCCGAGATGTTGAGTCTGAAGAACAGCAGCCATTTTGCTGTCACTTATATCGCAATGTCTCCAGCTGTCTACAGCGAGTATATAAGCTGAGAAGTGTGTCGCAATGCGATGGAAAGCGGGGAAGGAAGATTGATTCCGGTGTCTGCGGCGTTGCGGCATGCGCACCTGGCAACCTTCATCCCGCACGGTTCCTGGTGGGGGAAATGCCGACAGTGCCCCACCACCAGTTAGGTAGGTCGTATCTTGCAGTATCGCGGCAGCGGGGGAATCTTATGGGAACGCGCTGTAAAACGGGTATTTGGGTCACAAAATGAGATAAACCAACATCACCTTCACAGAAGGTGATGAGTTCATCCTCATGGTTCACGGCTTGGGTGCATTCGATCCGTCCATTTCCAACTCCGGGATTCCCCCAGTGTCACCGTATACCGGCGGAAACTCGGAGGCGAAAACCGAAGGAATCGCGATCAGCGGTAAATCGGAGCAGATACTATGTGAATCCAGGCTCTATAAAACTGACCAGGCTATAATCCTGGTGTGGGCGCAGTTAGCATAGAGGACCAATGGAGAAGGATGGTAGAACTAATACAGTGATCAACCGTGGCTGCTTGAATCAAACATGTTCCTGGAGAAGCAGACAGTCTATTGACCGCGAAATGAGAACAGTTGAAAATGGGAATAAACTTCCATGGAGGTGAGTGTTGGTTGTCAGCTGCGAGGGGGATCGGGAACGGACCTTAAGGAGCGAGTCTCATGCACCGTCCGCCTGACTTCTCTCACTTCCTCCTTCCACCCATCGCCGACACTACAGACACATCCTGCGTAACCCCGGCCAAACAACAGGAGACTCGTATTGATGCTTACGTGCAGTCGGGTTGCAAATCTTAGTTTTACTTTGATCAGTTACCATTATCATTCCTGACCCTCTGGCCGCTAGGTAAACCGTTACGGGCCTTCGGCTGTCAGTATCAACAAAATTTGGAGACTGTACCATTATCCTATCACACGGCTTATGTACGACGAAAAGGTGACACGAGCGACTTCGGTACCACCCCATGATCGTTATCGATCAGTGTTTTGGTGATCCTTTGTTATTATGGAGCACTGACCATCTTCTTTTTACTATTGACCACAATCTTGCAGGAAGTGCAGGGTTGCTATTTGAGGCCATCCCTTGTCAGTGACATTGTTGGCATTCTTCACATCGGGCGCTAACTAAGATGCCTTTAGGTACGTGAAAGTCGGCATGACTCGGCCTCGTCCCACGTGCTGTTCCTCTCTCTGCATCTCATTCCCATGGTGGATAGAACACTCAGGTGGGCAGGTCTTGAGGTTACAACGGCTGAATTTATTCCTTCAAAAATGGTAGACTGAGTCGGGCAGATCGATATTTACCTGCAGCCTGCATTAACCAGCGCTGCAGGGGCCATAATCACCGAACAAATCAAACCCCATGATCGGGGTCAGTCTTCCATGCCATGGCGCTAATATGAATCTAAGGAACACCCCTGGCCTAGACTCCGGTGAATGTATCCAGCAGATGCAACATCACTAGCCTTTAATATCATGTGCTATTGGGTGGTGTAAACAACCAAGGCGGGCAGGCGAAGGTCTTCCCGGAATGTTAAATAGCCCCTTGCGTCGTTGAGCGGACGATAATGCAGCCTCTCCGTCCTTAATGCACACCATATTCGTTGGCCTAAGGAGCTCATCCTTTTGGTTCTAGTCCCATTATGAAGCCGAGTCAAGTCTTAGCCTGGGTGGTTGGAGCCCTGGGTGTCCATGCAGCCCATGCCGCATCCATTAGGGGACCCAACCAAGCAGTGCGCGCGGGGAGATTCGAAAGTCGCCAGTCGGAATCCGGTACATGCAGCCCGGATGATGCTACATACAGTACGGAAACCATGCCAGAGGGGACATACACGGACTGGGGTGCCCTCGGCCTCGATAATCTGACTTCTGGCCGGCAATTCGTGACAATCGTCAACCTTACACCCCACCGGTTCAAGCTTGATAGCACTCACTCCTATCAGATGGATACATTTGACTGGGGGGACATCCCGTCAGGCCGTTCGCGACAGAATATTGCCCACTATACCGAGCGTGCCGGAGCAAACCAGGTGGATACAAACGGCGAGGCATATTACTCGATTGAGGGCACTGATAAGAAATTCGTCATTCGTGCAACAACACATGTACCTGATCGCCACCCTCGTCGCACAGTGATTGACCTCAGTGGCTTGTCCCTAGGCCAGCGCGAATATCTCGACCCTAGACCGGATGTACCGGTTACTTTGGTGATTACTGGTAGTGACAGTCATGGGTTCATGGCTTCTCTCAATCATGGTACCGGCAACTGGATGAAACAAATCTACGATGTCATCAAAGACAGGCCGCTTCAGCATATTATCATGCCTGGTACGCACGATGCTGGCATGAGCACCATTAGTGACCAGATAGTTTCCATAGGCAGCGAAGCCAACACTCAAACCCAGGCGCTGAACATTTATGATCAACTCCGCGTAGGTGCGCGATGGTTTGACATGCGGATTCTGAGTGTCCATCAGTCTAACACCGATGATTATGCATTCTGGGTAGCCCATGTCAACGACGAGACGGCTGATGTTCCTATTGGAAACACCGGCGAAAGTCTGGGCGATGTCGTCGATGAAATCAACAAGTTCACTTCGGAAAATCCCGGCGAGATCATATTTGTAAAGCTCAGATATCTCATCGGCATCCGAAGAGTACCCGGTGGCGCTATCAAATGGGACAATGACATTGTGGACAACTTCTTCAGCGAACTCAAGAAGGTCAACAATCGTTGTGGTAACCTTGACACCAACACCGAATTCCAGAGACAGAAGGCATCGTACTTTATGGACCAGAACAACGGCGCGGGTTGCGTTGTTTTTCTGCTGAATGGAGACAATATACCAGATGAAGTTACGAGCTCATCGATTTCCGACGGTCTATATCCAGCCTCGCAGATGGCAGTTAACGACCACTGGTCCGATCTGTCCACCACAAAGCCAGTGGCCGAGGACCAAATCTCCGTATGGTCAGGGATAAATCGTGTTGAGCCGTTTACCGACGATGAATTCCTCATCAGCCAGTGGCTTGTATCCGCGGATGCCCTCCAAACAACCGCTCTGACAATCCAAAACATTGCCATCATGCCCACTAATCCAGCCCTCTACTGGGCGGGCGTCAATGCTATCAGCCCCACCAAGTGGCCGAATGTGCTACTGGTCGACTACATTGGTGTTGTCGTCACGGATCAGCATTCTTGGAACCAGCTCAGCGCTGAACTGTACACCCTAGCTATCGGCCTGAACCTCTACATGCTGAGTGAGAACTGTGATGTGAGCGACCAACGATCTGTCCTTCTTCCAGCTGCGGAAAGTGCCAGAAAGAATGCGATCCAGAGGGTCTCCGGGTCTTGGAATGGCATCATATATGCCAATGGGACAGTTGTCGATAACCCGCCGCGCAATTTGCATCTAGGACGCGTGGAGATTCTCAGGAACGGTACGGTTTTCAATAACGGCACAGTTCTTGAGAAGGACATGCAAAATCCGTATTAAAGTTTGGTTTCTGTTTAGCTTAGACAAGCCAATTAACGTCGGTCAAAAGGCCCTTTCCCCAGTTAGGACGACATACTACATTCAAAGTGGGCGGAGATATAGCGAATGCCGCACCAAGCCTTTTTTTTCACTTTCACCTATAATCCTTCAAACTGCTATAGTCCCTTCTGCTCTCCTGCCTTTGCATTCTCAACTACAACCTCCGTCTCCCCCTCAAGAGCCGGGCTCCTCAGCACTGCGTCATCAGACTCCGACTCCGAGCCCGTCCCAGCCACGCCATTCCGTTTTCTATCCCTTCTATGCAGCACAATCGCGGTGATAAACCCAGCCCAGAGGAAGAAGTAGAAGACGAATGTCACCGGCCACCCCTTTCGCCAGCGCGGGGCGCCGTCTGGACCAGCCGTAGGGAAGAGTAGCAAAGGGACCCAGATTTGGAAAGAGTAGCCGAATGTCATCATTGCGCCCTGGGAGAGGAGTGAGTAATTTTAATAGAATTCGGCATGTGTAGAATGAAATGAGGAGGATCGTACCATGATCAACGCCCTTTCTTCAGAATCATCCTTAACGACAGTGTTGACTGTAGAGTACAAAATTGGACTTGCACAGCCCGACACACCGAAGAAGTACCAGGCTACGAACCTAGTATAATAACATTAGCCACAGATACCGCGGCATTATGGAGAGATGCCAGGAACATACTTTAACGCTGTCGGGATATCCCAAATACACATGCAAAGCGTCGAGAACAAGGAGCTCAGCGATATCAGGGTGTATATAATCCAGGATGGATTTATTGCTGCCAATGTGGTCCCTAACCATGAGGCAACTATTGTAATGGCGTGAATAACCGTGGGCAGCTGGTTGATTTGCGTGACTGAGTATCCCTCGTCTTTGAGCCAGAGGCTCATGTATGAGCTTGGGTAGGAGGAGAGGATCATGCATCTGGATTTTTGTTAGCGATATCTATCTCACCGTCTCTGCTCAATATTTATTGCTGATGAGGTGGCAGTCAAAGGCAAACAAGCTGGGGGGACGCACGCATAACAAAACAAGAATACCCAGATATGCCACCTTCTCAGACTCCGTTTAAACACATCAAGACCCAGCCTCCCCGGTCTCCGAATATTCGCTTTCTTGATTCTCTCCTTTGCAATCTCAATGTCCCGTTTTGAAAGGAAAAACGGCGGCGGAGAGTCTGGGATGCCGGGGAATATCACAAACCCTATCAGTGCCACAGGGATGGTAAATATGCCGTCGATGATAAACAACCAGCGCCATCCAGGCATCCCTCCGACACCGGAGAGATTGGTGTATGCTGCTGCTTGGAGATACCCGCTCACCATTGTCCCTAGCGGGTTACAGATGAACCAGGTCCCTGCGCGCTTAAAGAGGTCGGGGCCAGAGTACCATGAACCTGGCGCTTGTTAGAGATACAATTCAAAGAAAGGTGCTGGATGCCCACCTAAGATGAAGTGCGTCCCTGCAAATACCGGGGCTTCGAACATTCCTACTAGGAACCGCAGGGCGTACAACTGGTGGACATTCGTTACTCGACTCTGAGCGAAGGTGCAGATTCCCCAGAGAATTTCGAGTCCAGGGAGAAGCCAGCGAGCCCTAATACATGTCAGGATATAGAACTTGACTTATTTTCCACGCAATACGCACAGAGTTGGCCGCGACATTAGAAGCATCCCAGGCACCTGGAATACTACATAGGCAGTGTAGTAGCAGATGTTGAAGTAGTTAAGTTCATTCCCATACAGACCGAAGTCCTCTTTGAGGCCGCTCACGTAGGCATTGGTGATATTGGTCTGGTCCAGAAACTTGACAAAAACTGATATAATTAGTCAATCTTCAGGTAAACGACTCGATAGATATGTCTTACAGCAAAGGCAGGCAAAAACCAAGATAGAGACATCAAGTTTGAACAGCAACTTCCTCTCCTCGAGCGGATAAGACGATGGATACCAATTGAAAACCTCCTTGATTATTCCCAATAGCGAGTTTGACGGCCTTTTCCTCACCTCAGACATCTTTCCCGGCCTCTTCAAAAATCTTTGATGCCATGAAATAAAACCCGCCTGTTTCCCGATTTATATAGCATGTTGACCAGATTGTTGCAAAACAGCTTCTTTGACGCAATTCAACCCCACCTGTCTCTGGGGCCCATCTCTCTGTATTAGGAATGAGACACGAGCATACCTGAGCAACCTGACACAGTCGATTGTGTAATGGCCATTTTATCGCCGATGGCGTGTTCAACCCCTGTGCTGAGCAATTGCATATTGCTCTTATCACGCCAACCAAAAACAAGCATGTACTCCAAACAGATCGGCCCGGCCCTAATGAGTCAGTTCTAGATAATAGGATCATTGCTGCAGTTTTCCCATTGAGTAAGGACTGTAGTTAGGGCAATATTCGCCGTGGATGGCGTGCTTGATTGATAATCAATCAGATATCTGGGTTGGAGAGTAGTGTTGCGGGGTAGCATGAGATGATGCAAAACATATAATGTATAGACTTGGACTAATTGGTTTGCTCTAGTTCAGACGCTTTCGTTGCATTACATCCCAGTGTATTGTTTGTTGACTCTTGCCATGACTGACTTCGAAATTCCCCGCTACGAGCAGGTCCCCGAGACCAAAGAGGACCGTGAGTCTCCTATCCCATAATGTACTTCAATGTTATTAATAAAGACAGTTGACTGGGCCGAACTGGTAACAATTGACCTTGGCCGATTCGATCAACCAGGAGGCAAGGAGCAACTGGTGCAGCAATTGGATCATGCTGTCAAGCACGTTGGTGAGATTTGCCTCGTATAGAGCATACTAGGGCAGCTGTTGATGCAGCATAGGCTTCTTCTACGTAAAGAACTTCAACATCACCCAAGAAGAGATCGACCGCCAGTTCGCACTCGGTCGTGAATTCTACTCCCTCCCTCTCGAGGAGAGACTCAAGTATCACAGCACGCAAGATCTAGAAAGGGGCGAGTACAACGGATACCGTCCCGCAGGACATCGCATGTAAGATGCGCAACTCTATGCGATATTTTGCCGTTGGCTAAGAAAGAAATTACAGTCTTGGAAACGGTATCAAAGACAATGTCCAAGTGTACAACATCCCCAAGTTCGACGGACACCACGAGCGCAAACAACCCACGATTCTAGCTTCACATATAACCGAGATCGAAGCATTCAGTCGCAAATGCCACACAGAGGTCGTTGAGAAACTGCTCCGCCTCTTCGCCATCTTCCTCGAGCTCCCTGACGAGGACCAGCTGGTGCGCGACCACCAATACGACATCGAAGGCGAAGACCACCTGCGCTACATGCACTACGCAGCCCGAAGCGCCGAGGAAAACAAACTCGTCGGCGAGCTGTACAGTCCCGGCCACACGGATCTAGGCACGGTGACGCTTCTTTTCCGGCAACCCGTCGCGGCGCTGCAGATCCTCAATTCGGAGGGGCAGTGGAAGTGGGTGAGGCCCCAGGATGGGACTATCACGATCAACACGTGTGATGCTCTTACCGCGTTGACGGGTGGACTGATCAAGTCGAGTGTTCACCGGGTGCATGCACCGCCGAAGGATCAGGCTGGGATTGATCGGTTGGGGGTGTTGTATTTCGCGAGGCCGAATAACCATGTGGTTTTGGATCCCATTGCGAATAGTCCGGTGTTGCAGAGGTCCGGTCTGACTGGGAATGCATTCACGGAGGTTGGAAAGCATTTGACAACCAAGGAGTGGGTCAAGGCCAGGCAGACACAACAGCAGAGGCGGAGGCAAGATGTCAAGGTTTCGGATGATGGCAAGTATACGTTTAAGCCAAAGGATTTGGAGATCATCCCAGGGCTGTTGGCGAAGGTTTACAACTAGCCTCCCGTGGAATAATGCTTCTGACAGTAAGCTTTCCGGAGATAGTTGGATGTATATTGTTTCTTACAAGAATGTCTGTCTATATGCATTACATTTATTATCACGGTCAAATCAGCATCCAGCGAGACGCATCGGAGCTTGCTATGATGAGAAATTGACACTATATCCGCCAGTATTCGGATCTTGGACAAAGTTGAAGTTATCTGTCGACAGTCCAAAGGGTTTAAGAATACCATTCCCCAACTAGAATATGTTAGCTACCTTCCTATAACCGGTTGGTCAACTCACGTCTTTCAATTTGCCCATCATCTCCCCCATTTCGGCCTCCCGTGCCTTAGCTATCTTTATCGGCAGCTCTCGTAAAGCTTTCTGGACTATTCGCTTATCATCCGCCGATAGGTTCTCCATAGCAGCGAGGATCTTGTAGTCTTCCTCCGCCCCCTGGAGATTCCCCCAGCCGCCTAATTCTGTCTTCGCCCTCGCTCGCCGCATTAGAGCTTTCGCTCGAATCCGTATGACATCGCGCTTCTTCTCATCGCGTTCTTTGATCTTCTTAAGCTGCTCTTCTTCCGCCACCTCATCTTCGCCGGATATTTCCACGACCGCGGCGTCTGAGTCCGCTGGTGCCGTGCCGGAATCTTCCTTCTCCTCAGCTTTCGTGGGCGGCGGTACCACGCGGTCTAGTCCATCTATACACGCACTAGCACTATCGACGGCCGCTTTCCAGTCTTCCAGCTTCAAATAGCAAGCAGCCATATTACTTCGGACAACGGCAATCTCGTAGTCGAGGTAGCTAGGGCAAGACGCGATGGCTCGGTCGTATGCGGAAATGGCTTGGTCATATGATGCGACGGAGTAGAGCTTATTTGCTTCTGCTTTTATTGACCGGGACTCTTCGAGAAGACGCTATAGGAGATTCCTATGTCAGTTTGACCTGGCTGGCGTGGGGGAATGCTGGTCACTCACTGTCTCCTCTTCGGCCGGGAACCGAGCATCATGAAAAATATCTTCGTCCTCGTTGTCACTCCCAGCATGGTCTTTTCGGTCTTTACCCTTGTCCAAGTTGTGCGTTGCCATCGTTCCCGAGATTTTGGAGATTGTTCGATGTTGCGGGGGGTGGCCGATCCGGTCGGAGTCTGTGTCATGGCGTGTCTGCCTGAGGCATATATCGGCGATAAGCTGTCGAGGCTGGACAACATTTGAGGGGGAAAAGCCTGGAGAGATTCAGCACCTCCACAACTCTCTCGTTTCCTCCTCTCGCTTATCAACAACCTCTGTCATTCACTTAACAATGACCGGTGAAGTCCAAAAGTATGTGTCCCATCCCAAATGTCCATTTCTCGGCTGACAATCGCATTCAGCTTCCCGCCAGTGCGGGCATGTCTTTTCGACATGGACGGCCTTTTGATCGACTCGGAAGACATATACACGGTTATCACTAATAAAATCCTCCATTCGTTCGGAAAGCCTTCGCTGCCATGGTCTATCAAAGCTCAGCTCCAGGGACGCCCTCAGCCAGAAGTACACAGTCCCCTTCGTCCCTACTTATGATTACCCCGCCCCCGCTCATAAGAGAAGAACGCACCGCATTCTAACAAAGTTCCAGGCCGCAAAGATCTTCCATCACTGGGCACAACTCCCAGTTCCGCACGAGGAGTATCACAAGCGCCAAGGAGAACTCCAAGCTGAGCTCTTCCCCACCACCCAGCCTCTACCCGGCGTGGAAACATTGCTCGCAAAGCTCGTGTCAACGCAAAAGACCTCTAACCCGGTACACATCGCGCTAGCGACATCATCGCACAGCAGGAACTACCAATTAAAGACCACCCATCTGCAGGATCTGTTCTCACTATTCCCAGACTCCCAGCGCGTTTTGGGAGACGACTCTCGCATTGGAAAGGGACGGGGGAAGCCGCTGCCGGATATATATCTGCTTGCGCTGGAGACTATCAATGCTGGTCTGAGGGAGCGAGGGGAGAAGGAGGTTGCGCCTGAGGAGTGTTTAGTGTTTGAGGATGCTGTTCCCGGTGTTGAGGCTGGGAGAAGAGCGGGAATGAGGGTCATTTGGTGTCCGCACCCTGGTTTGTTGGAGGCGTATAAGGGACGCGAGGCCGAGGTATTGGCGGGGCTTACCGGGGAGCATAAGGAGGCAGAGAAGTCGGTATCAGAAAAGGAGGCTGATGAGCTTACTGCGGAGAGGCTGCAGAGTGCAGGGAAGCCGGGACATCTGAACGATGGGTTTGCGGAAGTGCTTTCGACGCTGCAAGACTTTCCCTACGACAGATATGGCATTCAGCCTGTAGATGCGTGATTCTTGAAAGACAGTCAATGCTTTAAAGATTAAGAATTCAGGATAGATCTATCTAAATGACAAGCACAGCAACGTTAATAACGTCAATCATCAAATATATATATAGCCCGCTAACCCCCCATCATTACCATATACAACCAACCACCCCTTCATAATTAATATTCCATCACTTCGTCTTGCGCTTCTCATCAACCGCTTCCGCGGCCACAAACGCGCTTCTCACCTCCTTACCGGCCTCCCAAAGCACCCAAAGCGGGATCCAGACCCAAAGGGTGTTAAAGAACACCAGATAAAACCAAAGATAAACCGCATTTCCAGTCTCCAGCTGCGCGCTTCCAGTCAACCACTCCGGCGCAAAGGTCATAAACCCGCCATACAGCTCTGCCGTCGCCAACGCGGTAGCAACAAGCCACAGCTTCCCCTTCGCAGATCCCTTCTCTTCGCTCGTCGCATCCTGGCTAGAGTTCCAGAGCAAGTAGCAAACGTAGATTGCGGCCGGTCCACCAAGGAACACGGTCAGCAGTTCCAGCGAGATGACGGTCGCATCCGCAGTCGCCCAACGGTGATCGGCCTTTGCGTATTCTTGCCAGAGGCGCGCGCTGGGGCTTGCGCCGCCGTATGCAGCGCCGTACACGCGGTCCTTGAAGCCCAAGAAGGCGAGCTCGGTGGTGAAACCCGCGGGGAGGATCGCGAAGCTAGTGAAGCATTCGTAGAGGAAAGAGCCCTCGATGAAGAGGTGGGTGAGGGCGTCGTAGGCGTGCCAGAAGAAGAGGATGCGGTTGCGCGTCTGGGAAGATGGGATAAGGGAGACGCCGAGAAGATAGGCGATTGGCATAAAGGAGAGCGCGAACGCGATGCAGAGGATTGTGGGTGTGTCGAGCTCGAATGGAGCCGCGGTGGTGGTGGACATTCTGTATGGCGCGCCTCGTAGGCCGGGTGTATAAAGGGCGCTAAGGATTGGTTATGTTCTGCGCGATCCAATTCCCGAGGGTTGGTTGTGTTTCAATATTCTGCAGCTCTCGCGCGTTCGGGGCGTTGGAAGAAAACGAAGCCAGACCCCTGAAATTCCGCTGTTTACAATTAATTGTGGCCTGAGGCAGAGGTCAGCCGTGATCGTCGATTTCCTTCCTGATCCTTTTCCTGACACTGCAGACTCACTACTACTCTCCGGCCCGCGTCTGCCTGGCCTTTATCGAGTCTTTGGTTTCAAGTCAATTTCTCGAAGTTCAGATTATTGGGCACATCGGCCTTAACGCCCGTCAAGTTCACAATCCCTCTATTTCCCAACTTCTCGCCTTGCTGAGTCGGCGCTGCACAGGATCTCCGAGCGTGGAGTTGGTGCTCGAGTCCCACAATCCACTTTCTTTCAGCGAACGAGCAACGGAATTGGCCTAGACTGAGAGGCTCGCTCCTTTCATTGGATATGGACGCTGTCAGATGGGGTCATGGCGGGTTTGCGGGGGCAGCTCACTTAAACAATCTACTCCAGAGCATGCCCAGACAACAACCAAGGTCCAACTTGGGGAAGAGTCTGGGCGACTCTGTTGGACGGCAAATTGAAAGATGCTCTGATGTGGGATCTCGTGCATGGCTATTCCTTTCAAAATAGGCTGTGGACGCCCATTCGCCCCCTCACAAGGGGAGGCTCTATGGATTCTGAAATGCTGATTTGCGGCCCTCGTGCACTGGACAGCCCAGCTAGCCCCCCCTGGCCAGTCAATCTTCCTCCGATGTCTGACACAGTTACAATGCTGCGCCTCTTGATGCGGCCGAACAAGAGTTTCTCGTGGACTCGCCACTCTCCTTCGGACCATCCCCACGACTTCCAAACTTACACACCAACACTGGACTTCCCCCGCCTCAGGGACTATATCCTCTAAGAAACGCATGAGGTTTATCCATAATTCGCGTGATGCTTTGCTGTTGGCGCGTCTCGTAATTATTCTTCATTGCTGCTGGCTTTCCCCGCCTTTCGCTCCGCTGGGCTCATCATCAGCTACGAGATACCCGAGTTGATAACCTCCCTTCTCTGACCTGCTGGGCGATTGCAGCTCTTCGTGAATCTTGCTCAAGAGGTCTACTATGACTTCAGGGGGTCAACAGCGGTGTGGTCAGTCACCCCACCCTGAGCAGTTGTTATTCCACTGGATGCGTCCCAGATTGGTCACTTCAGACAAAGAAAGTCTTTCATTATGCCACCCAACCTCGCTATGGTAGACATTTCAGCCCTCGCGCGACTGTCTTGGGAATTGTATCATTCATGTTATCTTATTTCTGGGGATGCGCCCGATGGTTTTCGAACTCTCGTAACGCAACTGGCTTCATTGCAAGACACATTAGGCGCCTTTCGTGACCACGTTACTTCCAATTCTTCTTTCTTCGAAACCCTACCCGAAGATCGTATACATGGGTTGCAAGGTTGTTTACACGGCTCCTATTCAGCTCTGAAACAGCTGGGAGATCTAGTCACGAACTATCGAGATTCTGGTTTTGGTAATGGGCCAAGATTTCAATGGGACACACACAGAGAGCAAGTTGAAGGACTTCGGTCAAGGATTATGGTGTACTCCGCAAACCTCAATTTATACATGACGTCCACTGGCAAGTAAGTGTGGTCACTTTTCGCCCCGTCAGACAGCTTCTTACGGGTATAGTTCATCTCAGAAAGGCCTCGAAAGTCTAATACTGGACGCACTGGGTACAACCCCCTCGCAAGAACCACAAGACGATCCCGAACCTGAAGTGAAGCCCTCCGACCCTGAAATTCAGACAATGAGTGCAGAACGCGTTGAACTTGATGTCGCAAGTGAGCTGGATGCGACAAGCTCCGTAAAACCAGATGCTGTCGTCCAACCCGAGACTCCTCCCGGGATTCATCCTAGCAACTCGACCTCGTCCGACTCTCGACTCTCCGAATATTCCAGCAGATCAATCTCCACCACTTTCACGAACAAGACATTTCCTATTCCACCATTACGGACTTCGCTCAACAGTCCTACACCTCTAGAACGCCATCTGGTTGGCCGAAGTCCTGCTTCGTTAGGTTCGCGTGTCTCTGACAGCCTATATCAAGACCATCCCCGGAGTCAGAGAAGCGAGTCGCTATCCGAAAGACAAGGGTCTGCTCCTTATGGGGGTTCCATCAATTCTCCGGTCACTCCCACATCTGCGGGTACTTTGCGACAGCTTCACGGGCTCCAGTTACGCGATCAACACCTGCGACCACTCCGTTACGAACCGCGAGATACCATCCACCAGCCTGACACTACAATTCTGGAGAAATTTGAATTATCTTCCAATTATGAGGACCATTGCCAGAGCCTTAGTACAAGGGACTGGCTCAGGATCGCAATTTGGTGGCAGCTCAAGGTGTGTTCATGTGTCCATTCCATGATAACAGCTAACGAGCTCTAGGCGCGAGCAAATCTCGCAAATGGCGAACGGCCATCCCTCGTCAGCCCTCGGGGTAGCACGAGCCCGTCTACTAACTCTTCGAATTCAGGTCACCAGGCCTATGTGGATCTACTAAAAGCGTCCTATATTCTTTATGATATCGTCCTGAAAAGACAGCCTCAACAGTCATTGGTTTTAGATGAGAACAGAAAACTAATTGCCGACTTATCTGACGTAAGTCTCTTCTTACTATCTGCGAATTTGGCGATACTCATGAACATCAGGGAATCAAAGAGGATTTTTCGCAATTTATCTCTGTGGATATTCCAGACTCCACAACTATAAGCTTGCACAACCTTGACATTTGGGAATCAGTCCAACCAGACGAGTCTTGCTATAATAACGAGGAGAGCCTCCTCAGTCTGGAAAACGTCCGATACATTACCGTTGAGCTTGAGGATGCTGGTGCGGAAGACGAGTGCGTCATTCTCCGTGCATTTGTGAATGCCGGCATCGGTGGTAAGAAGCTAAGGATGCGTACCAAAACCGCTCCCTATATGCTTCTTTTGTCCACGGTCCAAGGCGAGAGCGAACCCAAAATCACGATCTGCAATCAGAGCGGTTCTCTTTGCTTGCAGCGAGACTGTGAGACCACTCTTTTTCTACTAGCACTGAAAATGTTTCGCTAATACAGGCCATTTAGTTACGGCAGATGATCTGGCGCACCTGATAAAGATATCGAATGCTACACTAGGGGGCATCCCCGGAGCGAAAATATCTGAACCTGTGACGCTGAACTTTGGCACAATCCCTGTGTCCATCTCATTTCAGTATTCGTCGGACCTTGGCCAGTTTATCAATATTCCAAAAGCGTATTTCGATGCCGTCTGGCAGCGTGAACCGGCAGATTCGGAGCAGTTCTCCGAGAGCGTCATATTCAAGAGCTCAGTAGATATTGTTGAGCAACTAAGAGCTCCAATCATGAAGTCCATGAATCCTCCTATAATCACCCGATCATGCCAAGTGCGGGTACTAGAAAGGACTTTCGGAGAAGTATGGAGGTCGATTCGACGTATGGTTATTAGCTCGTCCATTGCTGAAAAGGTTCCCACGAGTCTCGAGTTCTTCATGCCACTGTGTGGTGTCCAAGTTCACCGCAACGAGGTGTCTCAATCAGTTCAAATAAAATGGTCCGATACTGGGCAGGAACGGTCAGATAAAACAGATGGCAATTATAACCCGATTTACTCCTATGTCTACGATGAGAATAGCCCCAATATCGGGCTAGACATACATTTTAGGTCTCATGAGCGAGCAGCGGAGTTTGAAAACGCGATTCTTAGACTTACCCAAACACCAACTTACTCATGGGCCCAGCCAAGCAGCTCAGGCAGCGTATACGATGTCGCAGATGTTTCACTTGACCAAAAACAATATAAAGCAATATTGCTACTGGAGAACCGACTATCCTTCCGATATTGCAGTCTCTACTATCTTTACCGTGACATAGACTATATATACGACTCGATCAGCGTCCATGTCAAATTCCCCAAGATCTTCTACGTCGACTATATCTCTTCCCATGTGGAACAGCTATACCGCGCAACCAGCAATATGCAGGTGTTCTTTTCTCACTGTGAAAAGAAGACGGGTAATATGGAGGTGTTCTTCACCGACGAAGCTATCTCCCGCTCATTTATGAGCTCTCTCGCGTCCGGCTACGAGCTCTGCTTCTCCCGCCGCGCCGAGTCACTGACCACAAAAAAGCAGTCCTTCCTCGGCTCCAACAAGTCTACAAAGGGTGAAACGGAAGTGCAACTCTGGCGCAAGGGAAACTCAGTTCAACTCGCAGCACGATGGACGAACAACGTCCCAGATAGGTGGCTCAGCATGTCGGTCCCTTCAGGGAGTTGTCGCTCCCTCTCGTCCCGCGACGGTAACCGTGTCGAGTTCCCTGTGACTGCATATGCCCGGGGCAGTATACTCAATCTTGCCGTGGTAGCATCGGGCTCTCCGAAAGATGCGAGAATGGCAAAAAAGAGTGGACCAATTACGATTTATTTCCAACGGTCGAAAGGTAGGCTGCACTTACCATATGCTCTTATTAGAGAACTTCGTTTTTTCTCTATCTATCCGTAACTAACATAATGTGAGTCATTAGATCGCGACGATTTTATTGCAACTCTTGACGGCAGTGCACAGTCACACTCAGCGTGGAAATATGGACATGGCTACGACTTGCTTGGCTCTTAGCTCAGATATACATACGTTGAGCATATAGTATATAAATAAAATCCGACCCCCAGTAAACTTCAATGTTCCACACAGGAGATAAAAATAAATATCACATATATTGATAAATTATGGTCGTAACCACAATGCTCTTGTAGTTGGTCATGGAAGTCAACGAGTGGCTTCCGAAAGTCCCATGACTCGTCCACCTCGACCAAATATTCAACGCATGATCTCGCCAACTGATTTAAATAAACGGGTGAGCGGCCCCTGTGGCGCCACCGCATCGGCCCGCTGCGACTTAATCTTGCAAGTTACATTCCTCGCAAAGTCATTAATGATGAGGAGTGACGGTGATTGCGGGGTTATATATAGTCACGCTCGGATCTCAATGCTACTCGGGTTTGCATAAGCCCCACCACCATTAAGGAAAATTACTTGGTGTATAAAGAGAACATTTGTGGCGAGTAGCGAATGTGTTTACGAAGGAAGCAATATCCTCAATTTATTTATATTATTACAACTAAAAGCTGTTGTTAAGCTTTGCGGGGCAGTGCTGAAGAAGGAAGGGGTGTCCACACTCGCTAGTGTAACAAGATAGTGAGCAATGACTGTGCTGACTCGACTACATCCGCAGCAAGGGGGCTTAGTTAGGTCTTCGGATACGAAGGGGATGAGATCCGATTAGGCAGAGCTGTACAAATAAAGGCACAGCTTCCCCTGTTAGCTCCAGCCCGCTAGTCATCACCGCAAAAGCAGGGCATGCCTAGCCTACATGACTCACGAATCTACCACTTTACCTAATGGGCAACCTCGACAAACCTACTTGGTTACAGTCGAGCTCGAGCATGAGCCCTCTTCGTGTCTTACATGGTGGCCGAATTTGTCACCTGGGTGAGGGTGCTGCGCGTTTTTATGGTGCGCGTGCGCCCTCTAAGTGTAGTCCGCCTGACGCATGCTGAGAGGCTGAATGCTTTATAATCCGCATTGTACCTGCTTCTGGCTGCCTGCGACAGAAATACGAAGCTTTGCCCGCTGCAGTTGCCCCGGAAGTTGTGCAAATGATGAGGCGAAACAGGGCTGTTTCTTACCACTGACTCTTTTTGTAGGTGCCTGGAGCTCCTTGCCCTTCTCAACCCAATTGACGTGCATGCCCTTTAAATACACCTCCCCCAGCGCGCTCAAGGTGGTTCTTTGACACTGTAATTCACTATGATCACCATGCCGCATTTCCACCATAAGAGACGCCACTCCTGGCCGTACTGCGGCTCGGGGATGCGTCTTCGCGAACGGCGTAACCTGCCCATCATCACGGTGACAGCGCCATCCGATGGGTTCGACTCTGAAAGCCAGTTCATGACGCCGGTCCAGTCTGGAGACCTGCTTGAGGATGACGCCGCATCTGCCGGGATCATTCGTTCTCAGCCAGCTCATTCGCACCGACTTTGGCATCACCCTAAAGACGGAGCAAAACAAAACCAGACCACCGTTGCCGCCGTCTCGCTGCGCAAGATGATGCAACCCCCACTGGACAGGGCGCGCTCACTCTTCGTTCTGCCCACGACTATGTCCGGAGAAACAGTGCTGCTGCCGTACTGGGTTCATCGGCTCTCCGCGCATCCCATAACCACCAACGAGAAGGGAAGACCTCAAGATGGCGAGCGAGGCCGTCTGATGATCGAAAAAAACCACCGACGCTGCCACTCGGAGCGACCGCGGTCTTGGAAACAACCAAGTGAGAAGCTGTGGCCGCTAGCGGAGGAATAATCTGGTGCTGTTATTTCGCTGCTGGGCTTTTTTTTTTTTTTTTTTTTTTTGGTGTTTGGGGTTTGATATTTTGCTCTGCATTGTTGATAGAGCATAATTTTGGCGTAAGGACCGAAAATCGCATACTCCGGTCAGGTGTTTAGTTGTTTACCTATAAGTTTCTTGCATGTTCGCATGGAGATTGCCATCTTGTTCGAAATAAAATGATTGTCTTTTCACTGCAAAACCAGGCCATGAACCGCGTAGGCGAGATGTGGAGCGAGCGTAGGAGTACGTTCGTTATGAGAGCCGCAAGTCCAAGCGGCCGCGGAGATTGTTATCTGTTTCTTTTTGCCCGTGCCGTTTCTGCCGAGTGCCCCGGACCATCTGCTGGGGACGGAAACCCGTGACGACAAAACGGGCGCAAATGAGGGAAAGTGATGCCCGCCATGAAAGGGCGCCAAGGAAAGGCGCTTGGCCTATTGTCGTCATCCGGCAGAGAAAAGAGAAAGCTGGAGCCTCAGCGTGACTGGAGGGAGAACGAAACGGGCAAAGCCCCCAGACCATGTGATCTGACTCAGAGACAGCCAATCGACCGTGAGTCAATCCGACCGACAATTCTCGTCTCACGAATCGCATTCGCCGCTGTTTACTCTGTTCCCTCCATGCTCCCCTTGAGTTGACCGCGTCCGTGTGGTTGCATGATGGGTATCTAGTGGTGGTCTGGGTGTTCACCGACACAAAAGCCTCAGGAAGCGGCTGAAACGGTGCAAATGCAGCGCCGGCCTCCAGGCAGAAGCGGTCAAACTGCCGTCATCATGGGGCCAAAACTCCAGGAGACCTTCTAGCGTGAGCCCAGCGACATGGGGCAGGCCCCTGAAGACGCCATTATTGGCTGATATCGAGCCAGCGAAAACAAGAATTCGCACTAGGCCCTATTGATGGGCCTTCAGCGCACGTTGGCACTGTCTGATTTGTCCGTGATTGACCGTCTCTCCTGCCTTGTCTCATTGCCAGGCGCGTTCTCATAGGACCTCACGCCAAAAAGAATGCCAGCGCCTGCCCTACAAGGTCGAACACCCCGCTTCTTGAGGGTCCGCGGGACCGGCGAACCGATTGCCCGGGGTGTTTCTTGGTTCTCGACGTCAATCAAGAAGAAACGCGCGAGCGAAGGCAGCATAAATAATCGGCCAAATCCCCTCATCTCACAATCTTTCTTTTCTTCATCATTCAGACTATCCAAGGGACAAACCCGCGAATCATTCTATCCTTATACCTATCCAACATATCCAGTGTCTCATCCACAAACAAGGGAAGTCTCCATAGACATCGCTATTCAACCTCTATCAAAATGACATCCATCACGCGCAACTCTTTCTCTTCCAACGAGGAGCGCCCCCGTCGCACCCACAGCCCTGTTCAGATGTCCCGATCGGGCTCTTCCGGCTCCACGAACTCCTACAGAAGCACCGACGACCGCCGTCGGTACGACAACACCGTCTACCACTACGGCCGACACTCAAACTACTGGCTCTTCGGCGGCTTTAGTGTTCGAGACACTGTCCGTGATGGCGTCGACTGGGTCCGCCAGCAGAAGAAGGGCTGAATCCGCACACGTCTCCTCTTCACCAACCGAACAATTTATCAGCCAAGGGATCTATATATGACATCGTCAGCTCGGTAGCTTTCGTTGTAGAATGCAGTCATGCACAAGGCGAATATCAGCCTCCGGTACCCTCGACAACCCATCCATCCATCCATCCACCAGTCAGGCGTCTCTTTCGATGAATCGATTAAACAGTCACCCCAGAATGAAGAACGGTGCGATAACCGGGTTAGAAATAGCCCGCTCGCGGCTTTTTCAGGTTCAGAAACGGAGAACTCGGCATCATTCAACGGCCGTGGACATCAGTCCGCGCTGCATGAGGACTACGTCCCCTCTCTTTACCACTCTAGGTAGATGCTAAGAAATGAGAAATTTGTTCTTCAGCCCATCCGTGACTTTTCCCTTTTTCCAATCGTAATCAATATTCTCTTGTAATACATAGGGAAGCTAGTAGAGTGAAAGCCCTGAGCATCGGCCAAATTCTCCCCAAAAGCCCAGCAGCAGAACCTCTGCACCGACATATGTACGGAGTTAGTTACTGAAGAGAAACAAGACTAGATAATGGACAACGGGGGAAGGTTATATTCAGCCTGCTTGTCGTCTAGAAGAGCCCATACTCTATAGCCCACCCAAAAATAGAACACAACAAAACTGTGCACTTTGGGTATAGGTCGGCGACTGGTGGATATACGCTTAGAGTCTTGGACAGTGTTTTCTCTTGAGGCTCTGAGGATCGTTTAGACTCCCATGGCTGGGGTTGGCGGTTTGAAGGTTAAAAAGTTTACGGAGATAGGACGGTGAGGTTACTGTGAAGTACTATAGGGGCTGTTCGAGGACTATACCCGCTGTGGGTTGGATGTATCATGTAGCATCAATACGAGGAACAAGAGTATATTACTGGGTGCATATGAAAGCCTAGCAACGTAGTGTCTATAAGGAGAGCAGTATGCTGAAACAATAGAAAACGGAAATAGCTGATGAGCGGAATGCATGGACTAACAACAGACTGGGACGGAGGCTCAGTTCTGGTTCTCGAAGCTTCTCCTGACTGAGAATGCTGTAAACGTTGTTAATGTATGTGAGTGGTCGATGACATTGCTGCTGGTGCTCTAAGATTGAAGAAAATGCAGGTAATTCGAGAGCCAGGCGAAATAAAACCCCGTCTTTCTTCTCAACACCAAAACAAATCTGCGCCAACGAAGAACGCCAGTGGGGACAAATGGAAAAGGCTTTAAAGAAAGATAAGCCGCACGGATTGAATAGGGCAAAATAAGTGCCGGGACGACGATTGAAATGCCCCTGAGAGGCCGCTCAATGAAAATCAACATTGCATGTCTTTAGAATGGATTTTTAGGCTTGTTGCCAGGAAGCAATATCGGCTTGCGATATTCCAATATTCTCGGGGATCAATGACTGCAGTTTTGAGATCTGGCTTGGGGCTAAACAATAAATATGTGTTAGCCAAAATACCTCGGAAATAAATCCCCAAGGGCAAAGATGCATGGTGCTTTTGTTGCACCCTTGGTCCGGTTACTTACTCGGTTGCTGTGACGCGGCAGCACCCGCGTGGACATGGATGACAGATGATTCGATAAATCCACGCACAGTCACTCCACTGGATGTATTGTTGACCAATGTAACTCGTAGCTTGTATTTTCCCGGGGTCGTAATCCTCAGTGGACCGAGTCGAGCATACCCGCTTGTGGTATTTCCCGCTCGGCTACGTACGCTTGTCGACACAGTGCCGGTCAGGCCGCCAGAGGGACTGGTTCCGGATTCGTCTCGAAGAGAGGCACCTGCGCCTAGCTGTTGTAATGGATCACTGCTTGCAGTACCGATAGGGCGTACCGCAACGATGACAGGGAGAGAGAAGGAAACACCAGGACGAACAGACGTGGGAGGCGCGATGGCGAATGAGAGGCTGTATTCTCTGCTTGAACTCATTTTGAATGGAGACCAAAAACTTTATAATGATGGTGGAGGAATTGAATCTGATAGCTGGCAAACAGAAGAGGGTAACTGACAATGGTGGTTGGATATTGAAGTTGGGAGAAAATCTGCTAGAATCTGTTGATGCCGAATATCAAGAATTAAGATTAGAGCGGAGAGGTATTGCTATCTTTATATAGGCGACGAAGGCTGATGTGATGGAAAGAGTCGATCATGATCCAGGGAGCGTGCGCATTTGTGAAGGTTCTGCTTGGATAAGCTTTCGCACTTCCTCAACATCATCTGCGCCTCCAGACCTGCTTCATCTAGGTGTCAAGAAAATAGGCGTTTGCCACACATGAGCGGCAAACTATGCCATGAGAGATCTGCAAGTCATGTTAGATGAAGCATAGTAGATTTGTTGGTCAGTGGGTCATCTTAACACGATAAAGCTGCAGGATGCAAAGCGATCGTTTACCGCGGGTTGTGGGCAACTATTTGCATTGGAAGAGTGGAGCTCGCAACGACGATAGACCCAGGAGGATCAGATTGCCACACCATGAAGCTTTGACTCGCTGGACCTGGAGCTGGGCAGCAATATGATATGCTGTGCCTAATGATAGTCTGGCCCGGTGGTACGACCACCCCGGGGACCATCAATGGTGTGCAGACTTGCTTTTTCTCTCGCCATAGTTTTCTTTATCCTTTAAACCGAGACTCGGCGAACATATTCCGCTCCCCATCGACCCACTTGATCCTGCAGAGCTCCTTTGTTCATCGACGGGCGCTTGTGTAGAATGTCGACAGATTGTGCGAGTCGCTTAATGCGGCCGCGTGGGCCACAGGCGGCATTTGTCAAGGTTATGGGCGAGTCAAATCCCGGGGGCTTGGATCTAGTCCTTGGTCCATCCACAGTGTCGGTCGATCATTCAGCGAATGGCAAGGCGCCGGAGAGTTTACCCATATGACTATAACCACATTCTTGATAACAAGGCTAAGATGCCTTCCAACCCTTATAGTAGTCCATGGCCGGGAAATGCACCGGCCACTCTTTTACAACGGGATTGTACCATCTCCCTCACCAGCAGCAAAGCGAGTGGGAACGCACTGTGGACTGGGATTCAGCTTCAACGCTAGGGCTGACGTTGGTTCGTTGAGGCGTGGAAACCTCTCCATTCAGCCGATTCGCGTGTATTGTCCCGTTCGTCATCTTGGAGAGAATTAGAGTTTTGAAATATTCCTGCCTGCTCGAGCTCTCGCCCCTAACAGAACTGGAACGGCTGGAGAAGCATGAACTATCGCCGAAGCGGGATTGAGGATGGAAAATTGCGAGGCCGAAACGGGCAATGACGAGCGGTGGAGCATTTGCGGGCCCGCAGACCTGGATGAGATCTGACAGCCTGGCGCCACAGGCTCACCCCTGCCCCGACCTTGTTTGCGCCACACCTCTGTAGCCGCATACGGTGTATTGTGGCGCATGACCCTCTCTGTTCGTTGGAGACTTCATCGAGACCCTCAGGAAAAGCTCGCAGCTTGTGCTTAAACGTTGCTGCCTTCTGTGGCAAACATCACCAGTTTATCTGATAGATCTCAATGCGCAAGCACGAAGGATCTGCTACCCGCAAGGTAGAGCAAGGACCGCCTATTTGGGTGGCACGCATGAAGAATAAGGATGTTTGGGATCACGCTCGCTTTACATGCCTTTGTTGGGAATGGTTCCGACAGCGATCATTGGCAGCTCAGGAAATGTCAAAGCTCTCTATACGGTTCCCAGTCCTCTATGTTAGTATCGCAATACTGCTGTACTGGACCGACACCTTCAATGACACCATCACATTCAATACCAGCGACAGTAGGATTACTCAACCATACTGAGCCGAAAAGCAAGGAATCACTAAGAAATGGGGTGTATGGATTAGTATACTCATCAACTGGACCAGCCACATCAGCGTGGCGGTGTTATGCGGGGAGTGGCGGTGTAGTCGACTGGGCACTATCCATCAAGGGCCCAAAATGCCAAAATACTCAATCGAACTTATGAAACCCGGTTCGGGGACCAAGAATTGAAACTTGTGAGGCAGACCCCGAAACCAAAACTCTCCGACAGTGACAAAGCTGGTCTTTTCACTATCATACCTCCTCAGCGCCTATGCCTATCTCGTTTAAGATCACCGCCCATGAGATTCTGGAATCTTACACTATATGCAGATCAACTCGATCGAGCACGCATAATGCATCCTTCGCGCAAGATCGGCGAGAACGTGGAAGTAACATCATTATGGAGCATGGGGTCGTTGATAGATTCCTATTTGCTGGCGCTCCACCAAAGCAGCGCTCGTCGTACTGGTCCGGTCGTCCGCGTAGATAAAACTTCGAGTTGATTGTGTCACCCGCGTGGTCGATATTCGGGATTGACCGAAGCCCTCTCGTTTAACTCTATTTCCCAATTTGTCGCCCGCTGTTCGCCATCGACATCGCTGACCCAAGAAGCTTCTTAACCGAGATATCAACCGATATATTGCCGCACACGACATTGAGGCAAATGCACGATGACCTCGAACGGATCTAGCCCATACACGTCGCAACGCTTTCCAAGCTGGAGAAGTACATTTGTAGAGCTCCATCCGTGCCATGCCAACTAATTCCCGTCGATATTGCGATCAGGCTCACCGATTCTCTGGCTGTGTTTGGATGCAGAAGATGATGACGAGTCTGAGAATTGTGTTTGTGGATCGACGGAAGAAGGGAACAGGTATGTGAATGAATTCAGCCCCATAAACTCCAGCGACCAGGCATCCTTCAATCGGTATAATACCCGATTTCTTTTGCCGCGGTTGAGACCTTAGACTTAAACATGTGCAGCAACAGTACTGGACCAGGTCAGGCCAAAGCCTAGAACGCGAATAGCAGTCAGCAAACTCCGAAGAAAGGCAAAAATGAAAAATGCGACAGCTTACCAAAAGGAGATGGTAGACAATGAAGATCAGTGCTTTTTTGCGGAGTTAATTGCTTGGGCCGGACTTGAGTGAATAGTGAGGCATCATTGCTGTACCGGGGAGGAAGGAGAAGTGAGGCGGCAGAGTGAGGCAACATAGTCAATCACCTCATATAGAACGGTCTGCATTTAGAACATTTCATCTGCTCTCAACAAAGATACCATTTGCAATGAGCGCTAGTCGAGTGCCGATGGTGTTCAGCTTGGCGAGGAGATATACTTCGACGTGAGCCAGACACGAGCAAACTGGCGTCTCTGTGAGGGAATAGCTCGGATATAAGGGCTGTTACGTGCCTGGACGTGGGACGCTGCAAAGTGGCCGGCGAGGAAAGGCCGTCCTGCCCTCTACGGCGCCCATCCATCGCGATGACACTCCCGCTCCAACACAATAGAGGCCCCTGACAAACAAAATCCACCACCAGCCTCCATATTGTTATCAGAATGACTACCTTATTGTGTGAATCTACATTCATCAGATGGCACCTGTCCTTTACCGGCCTCCGCCTACGACTCTGATCCGACCAACTCTGATTGCACCGCCAGTTACGCCTGTCCAGGCCACATCGTTTATCCCCCGCAAGCTTTTCCTTCAACTACTCGCCGGAACAGTCGGCATCTTTATCCTTACCGTCCTTATCTGGAAACTACCTCGCTTCCTTCGTTCATTTACAAAGGCCAGAGTCTTGAGAAAGGGAAACGCCCCATCGACTCGCTACGCCAAAACCTGGTACGGCTGGGTGCCCTCTCAGCGACACGAGGCGAACAAACAACTTCTCCGCAAATTTATGGCAAAGCTACGCAGTTTGATTTCTTGGGGCTCAGCGAGTGCCGATATGCAATGGGTGTGGTGGGACCCACGTCAAAAAGAACTCGGTGCACATCCAGAGAGAAGAAAACACCGGGTACCCAAGTGGAATAGCTGCCATGATTCTGAAATGACTGGCGCCCTATGGAACCATACAATTCTTTCCATTCCTAGGTCTAGGTCGAATCCTGGCCCAGAGGTAGCCTCTTCTCCCTTTGCGACTGGGGCACTTCTGCCTCCTGTCGGCTCTCAGTCTTTAGTTACACCCATTCGAGGGCCTACGCGTATAAATGGATCTTTACAGGAAAGCTTCCACAGTAGGCTTTCATCGAGATATTCTACTGCCCCTCGGTTACTTCGTGCTAGGTTTTCTGAGGATCTCGGGTCAGATACAAGCTCACACGTGGTCCCACCTATCAGACAACCCTTCAGAACGTTCCCACGGCTCCCCCTTCCCCAGAGTCCCAGTCGCGTCCCATTGAGATTCATGCATTACACCCAGTCGTCGCCCCACAGCTTTTCTATGCCATGCCTTGCATGGCGTAAAGGCCTCCCGTCACCCACACATTTATGTCGAGACTTGAACTCTCAAAACATTGACAGTGAAGAATCCATGCCTGATATTTCTCCAGTATACCGTCGCTCGCGCAAATACCAAGTTTGGTCTGCTCGGATGGGGATACAGACACTCAAATGCGTTGGATACAGTACTCACACGCTCCCAGCAGAACCTCCAGGAAGCCCCCAGTCTGTATTGTTGAGAAGTCTCTCGCTCGATAGTACTGCACTTGAACGTGCTTATCAATATCAACAGAATCGAAAATGGGCATCGTCCTCGGATATCAGCGACCTGATTCTCTGCAGCCCTGCGCAGCATTTCAAGGTCAGACGACATGCATCACTGAATGGATACAAAGGTGACACGAATGTACGCAATCAATGGAATTCTTTGCCAATCTTGCGCGGTCATTCCACTCCATTCCGTCGTCCAACACTTCTTACTTGGCAGGAAGAGTCAATAGGATATCAAGCGTCAGCCATCAGGACTCGAACAAATGGCAAGAAACCGGATCATCAAAAGCAGAAGCGCTTCTGTACAGTGCGAGTGCCGCATTTTGTAACGCAAGCCAAAGACTGGAGCAGTTGGGAGGTGCGATTAATTTTCAACTTGGACCGAAGACTAGAGTGGATCTCGAGCCAATTAACTCCAGGGCAACGGCCATTTCATTTCGCTCTGCTGGCAAATCACTGGTTAAATAGGAAAACCTGGATCGTTTTCGATCCAGTCTCCCGAGTTCCCACTGAAAAGAGACGGCTCTGGGGGGATCCGCGATTCAACGTCCCATATCCAGCCCCAAAGTCAGCTCTTCCCCAGGGTCCGAAGTATCCCAAATCGGATCATAGGCCAGCGCAAACTCCCAAGATCAACTCATGGAGACTTGCGGTGAATAGACATAGGATGACATCCGGGTTAAAGCCATTCACTAAGGAGATTGAGCTCTATGAGAGCTCAGCTGAGGACCCACCGGATGGTAAAATCGACCCGGACTGTTGGCTTATCCGACGACCTCCGCAGGGACTCGGTCTATCTGCTCGTCAGCGAGAAAGGTACTATGAGGGTGGAGCAGGCTGGCAGGAAAGGTGGAGTGACTGGCAGAGAATCAAACCCGGGTACCGGATTCGCAAGGCAATATATGAAGGCCGAGTAAATAGGACGAGGGTGAAGGAGGTTGCTCATGGCATAGCTCGATATTGCCGACAAATTACTTCGAGACTCAATGATTCCGACTCAAATCGCTCGCTAGATGGGAGAGAAGAACTTCCGACAGACGAATCATTATAATTAAGTATATCTTTAAAAAATTAAATAACCCCCAGACATTGCTGAAAGTGTGCTCCGTTATACAATCCATCTTCTGAAACTGGCGCCCACAAGTTGCAATACGTACAACCAGGCATTAGAGGTCCGCCGATCAGGCCCATACGTCAATTCACCAAGCCATCCAGGTCCACAGCTACCTAATCGGTCATGAAACTGAAATCAAAAGTACATACTGTGGCTGAAATCATATTTCATGCAACGCAGCCTCGGCATTCGACGACATCGCCCGAGGGCAGTTGGGCCGAGAGGGATTCAGTTGAAACTTACTTGAGTTTTCTACCCCGTACGGAGTAATGGAGCCAGTATAACGCCGCGGAACTCGACAGTTGGTATACGTGTGCATTTAGCTTCGGTGCAAGCAGCGGACTTGGCTGTATAAAGAGCACCGAGACACGAATCCAGAATTCTTAGCTCTGAAATATTCGGCTTACAAGACTACATTGAGAAGTCGTAGCCTTCAAGAAGCTGTTTCCACATCATTCAGTCCGAAAGACCAGCAGAGAAGACGACGTGGTATGATAATTTCTTTTCCAGTCCTGCCATTCTTGGCTGAAAATTCCTGGATTTATTGTCTTTAAATTCTATATAGAGATGTCTTTCTCGTTCTCTTGGCGATTAACATATTTAACGCAGTAGACGTTCAACGTGGGGTAAACAACGGGTTCAAAGGCTCAGTTCCATAGATGGGGGGCGTGGTTGCAAAGCGCAAAGAGACATAGTGTCCTTTAGGTATCTTGTAGTCCCTGTAGAAATTCCAGGGGGAGAATGGGCGCTATCTCCGTGATGGTGAGGTGTTGGACCATTCATACTGGTAAATCTTGGCGAATGCGGGCATGGGGCCAAAGCTAGCAAGTGCTAAGGGTGGAAGTACCATTCCATATGATATTTGAAATTAGGAATATAGATAGGTAGATATTTATATATACTACATATGGTATGAGTTTAAGGAATTTAAACCTATTCTCAAAGAAAGGTATGCTTTCAAATTTTGACCTTGTCTTTCACCTCGTAGCGACTCCAAGTAAACACACTGCAGAGATGGACGCGAGGAGCACTCGATAATGCTTGACAAGACTTAACCAGGGAACATTGCAAAGGCTAGGATACATAATGCAGACAGGAAGTGATTCTTTGTTTCCAAAACTCCGTAAAAACCCCATATATTCTTTCGCACCCCAATTTTCTCCTCTAGCGGCTAGTGTGGCGGTACAAAGAGAGGTATATAATACAATGGTATCGTAATATCGATGGAAGGTATCCGATAGTAGAAGGTAGCTGGTAGGAGAGGTAGGGCGCGATTTCGTGGTTCTAAAAGACGGACTGCGACGTCGTTTAGAAACCCGGAGGGTTGACCCGCTGACTGACTCTCGTCCACTTTGGTAGTTCTAAATGAAGGTTCTGTAAGATTTTATGCAATTGAAATTCCAGGGCCTCTGAAAGCCCTCGACCCCCGAAGAAAAAGATGGTGCAGAACCAACTGGCGTGGGGGCAGTGACTTACTATGAATGCCCTTGCGGTACGTCTTCTCCTTCTTGTCGAAAAGAGTGTACTTGTCTCGAGGCAGCATCTCCTCCTCTCGCGGCATTTCCTTGTACCATCTATCGATTGCCTTTGTGGACTCGCCGTTTCGGCGAAGGGCTGTGCTAAGGGTATCGACAACGCGGTCAACAGCACGCAGGCGCTGGCGCTGGCGGGCTTTCTGGGGCTGCGAGATGCGCCATGGGATTTTCCTATACGAAAATAGGCATTAGACTCTGTCATTATTGTATTGAAATTCGGAGGAGGTCGCGTGTTCAAATGGAGGGTGTCAAAACTGGGATGGGAGAATCTGGCAATGCGCAGGGATGTGGAAAGGGGACATACCAGAGAAGACCCGAGAACAACGGTGACGAAGGCTTGAACATCTTTGCTCTATGACGCGAAAGCAGGCAGTTGTAGAAATCCTTGTGATGGTGAGCTTCACGGAGTCCTGCCTGCACGGAAAATCCCGTCGAGGTTTCGGGTGGTCCGTGCTCCGTCAACCTCCGCGGCGCAACAAATTCCAGAGGCCAATAATGTTGCCGATTACTCTCACGCCCTTTCTCCCAGACCTCATCGACGGTGCTGCATTTCATTCCCTTCTTCATGATTGTCCGTTACATAAACTACCTGGTTGCACTTTTCGTTTCTTAGTCTCTTTTGCACTTCCTATGGATACCCGATAGAACCGACACTATGTCGCGGCAAACAGATTCCGGTGCAACGGGCGAAAGTCCCTCTCTCTTTTGGAGGTCGCTCTCGGCCACCACGATATTCAGCGTAGCGGGGTTGTGCCGGTCTTTCTTGTATGGGTGCAGCTATCCCGAAACCCATGGCCTGGAGCAGTTCCTACAGCTGCTTGAGTCGAGAAAGGATCCATCGCAACGCAAGAAAGGGTTACTTACAGGTACTGTTATCTCTTTATGTTTGCTACGCGACGTAAACTTGTCTAACGCAATATACGATCATAGTATCCAACCACATTAGCGTGTACGTACGTATATGCGCCTCTGGACTGAGGCCATTCGATCCTCTACATGCTCATACGATGGCGCTGACCGGCTCGCGACAGAATGGATGATCCGCTAATGTGGGGATTTCTCCCCTTGAAATACAACTTTGGGCTCTCATCGTCAAATAGAAGATGGGGTCTTGCTAGTCATGACATCTGCTACCAGACCCGGTATGGCTCATGTTAACCTATCGGTAACAAATTGATCGCGCCGGCTAACTCTGCGGGTTGGCAGACCGTTGGCCTTGTTCTTCACAATGGGCCAACTACTACCTACTCATAGATCTGCCCATTCGCAGTACGGTGGTATCGCGCAACCAGCTGTGACCCAAGCGATTCGACTCCTATCTAAAGGACCTTTCCCGGCCGAACCACACCTTGCTTCACCCGAGCGTCAAAGCTGGAGCTTGCAAAATGTCTGCGTTGACCCGTTTTCCGACCTTCCTACGGCTTACTCCACGGATGGTTTTGATTCTCATCTTGCGCCATCCGCATACTCCTGCAATTCTTTCTCATGGCTTCATATTTTTCCAGAGGGAAAGATCCACCAAGCTCCGTCCAAAACTATGCGGTACTTCAAGTGGGGTGTTGCTAGGTTGATACTCGAGGCGAGCGAATGTCCCGACATTGTTCCGATTTGGTTAGAAGGATTCGATCAGGTCATGCACGAGAGCCGTGGGTTCCCGCGGGGTATACCGCGACCTGGAAAGGAGGTCAGTGTGACGTTTGGACAAAAAGTGGATGCTGAAGCGGTCTTTGGCGAAATGCGCAGTCGATGGCAGAAGATCAAGGCGAAGGCTGAGCTGGCTTCTCCAGAAACTCGTGATCTTCCACTCGGTACTCTGAGTGACGAGCTTCTGTATGGGGCCGAGGCCGTCGAATTGCGAAAAGAGGTAACGAAGAAGGTCAGGGATCTCGTTCTCGACGTCCGCCGGTCTCGAGGACACTCCGATGAGGATCCTAAGGCAGGTCTCGTCGAAACGTGGATCGAGGAGGGACCGAAGCGTGAGGGAAAGATGGAGGATGAATCATGGGTTCGGGATGTATGAACTTCGAGTTAGTGTAAATTAATATGCAACCTGATAGACACAATGTACAAAATCAGATTAGAATTGAGAAGTGCAAAGTCAGACAAGCTGAACTTTGTGTGCATGAAGCATGGGGCGAATTGCGCAATGACTCCTGCTCTGACTCTTTTGGCTCCGCCTCAACCTCGCTTTCTTAGTGTACCCCTCACCGTCATCATTTAACTCCCCCACCGTTTCCCTTCCTTTTTTCTTTCCATCACCTCAAGCACCTATGCCCAAGAAACACCACAAGAATACGTTTTCAAAGCCCGTCAGCACCCCTCACCATACCTTAGCCACTTCGAGCCCCCTCAGCAACCAAAATGATCGATTCCGTTCACCAGCCTCGCCGAGCGGGGAACCCGAACAACCTTCAGTCAACGACCTGATCAACCACCTGCGCCGGACACAGGTATCGCCGTCATTATCAGGCAACAGTCGCGGTGTGCCCCGGCATGTCGTACCCCGCTCTGTCCATCCATCCTTGCGAAATTTGCTCGAGCTCCCCGAAACTCCACCACCCCGCCCCCGTCCCGATGCTCGCCGCACTGTCATCGGCGGCCGGCGACTGAGACGGATACCTGGTCCGCCTCCGCCTGAGAGCTGGCTTTCGGGTGATACCAGTGCGCAAGATGCTGAAAAGGCTGAATTGGACAGCGCTGAGACGGCGAAGGTTATCCATCGTCTTGAGCGCCTACCGGGCAGAGAGTTTCCTGCGAAGAGGAGCTTCGTGCATGCGCTGATGAAGTCAATGGCCATGCATTGGGCGTGGCATGTCGCATATGATGGACAATTCCTTGGCCTATTGCCCACACATATTAAATTATTGTTGTTGAGCTATGTTGGATACTATTCCAGGGAACAGCCTCTGGCGGGACTGATGCGCGGCCTAAAACCCCTGTTCGACAGCGAGGAGCAAGATCGGATAGCTGATGGCGATTCAGATGTTACTCATCTTGATCTCAGCAGCGCGGTAGGGCGATGGATATCCTTGAAGCAGCTCTCTACGGAACTATTCCTTCCGAAGAAGGCGCCTTCTCAGAAAGACGCCGCGAAATCGGTCCCTCTGTCGTGGGAGGATGAGTACGAGGACGGGGCCGACGCTGGCCCCAGCAATGCTATCCCCAAGATATTGCAGCCCCTACGGTTTGGGAACCTACAATATCTGTCTTTGGCACATCCGCACCCATCATCAGTAAACTGGAATTCGCTTATCAGCCTCCTTTCTCGTCTGTCAACAATCACACACCTCTCTCTAGCGCATTGGCCAGTCCCAACCGTTACACCGAATGCTATCAATGCCAGCATTAGACACCCAACGCATAGATCTCTCACCTTCGCATACGGTGGCACCGACTCATACTCCGCAATGGAGAACAACTGGGCTGAATCCGCCGGTATCCTCCGCAAACTCTCCCGGGTGACATATTGCCTGAAGTGGCTAGACTTGGAAGGCTGCGGCGACTGGATTCCAGCTCTCAATTGGGAAGGCACCGGTCCCCAGGGCGAGACATACTCAGCAGGTCCCGAATGGAACGGGTCATGGAGAGACATCGAATGGATTCGTCTCGGGCCGGGATGGCTCCCATATGTCGATGACACTGGAAATGTCACAGATGGCGTAATGGACCTTGCACCTGAAACGAATGCGGCCAATCCTCGATCACTGGCTTCTTCCGCCCACGCTCCAACGGCAGTCGCATCCGCCGAATCATGGGACGTCGAGGAAGAGCGCCAAAAGTATCGGCTGGCGAAGGAGCTAGAGCGGTTCCGAGAGCAGATGCGCGCCGCGAAAGAAGTCCAGCGGCGGGTATTGCGGGCTAGGAAAGAGGGGCGTGGGAAATGGGTTCATTTCTCCTTCGGTTTGGAGGAGTTGGCAGATGATGTTCGGGACAAACTACTTGGACCAGAGTTGAGAAATACATTTCTCTAGATGGTTTTTGTATTATATTTTCTTTCAGAGAGATATACAAACCTGATGCTTCGTCTCCAACCTTACGCCGGTGATCACATTTACATATGTGTCAATTACTGTTCAAAATGACCGCGAATCTCAATCTATATATCTCAAAATTTGATGCCTATATGCATAACAATGATATCATGTGCAAATTTTCCGCTTCTACAAAATCACAACTACCCTCGCTCCTTCCGATAGACATAATTATTTAGATGATTTACTTTCTCCCCCGATTAAATGTCTTCAACGGATCAACCTTCCTCCCCGGCTTCCCCCTGCCACGATTCCTATCCCGGGCTTTACGAATACGATTATCACCCGCTTTTCTAAACCCAACGAACCCAACATCGTCACTCGAGATCCCTTTCTTCCCCTTTGCCGGCATCAGATACTCGGGGATATGTTTAAGATGCGGTTGGATCCGCGCGGAGCGCAACTCGCCATCGTGACGCAACTGCCTCAGCTCATCGGGATTCTCCTCGAAATGGCGCTTCAGCTTCTCGCTCTTAACCAGTTCCTGGCGTATTTCACGCGCGCGCGCTTCCTGGATCGCAAGGCGGGTGATGGAGCGCAGGGCATCGGACATACGGTACCGGAAGGCGTCGACCTGGGTCATGTCGAAGTGGTAAGGTTTGACCTCGTGGCCGAGTTTAGACTGGCGCTTGGCGATCTTCTTCAGGACAGACTCGTCGTGCTTTGCCGTGGGGATTGAGGTGGGTTTGTGCTTGCCGAAGTGCTCTGCGGGGACGACGAAGGAGAGGGCCATTCCTGTTTTGCCGCCGCGGCCTGTGCGGCCGATGCGATGAGTGTAGGATTTTGAGGTGGTGGGGAGGTCGAAGTTGAGGACGCAGGCGACGTTTTGGAAGTCGATGCCGCGGGAGATGCCGTAGTCTTTTTCCTTAGAGGTGACTTTGCGACGTTTGTCGGAGCGATTGTTGGAGGCTGACGGGGTTTCTTGCTCGTCTTCGTCGCTTGAGGGGTTGGCGCCGTCTTCGACTTCTGCTTCCTTGGATTTTCTTGACGATTTTGATGCGCCGAGGACCTCCTGTTCGTCGGCAGCAATGATGATGTCGTAGACACCCTTGTTGAACTCTTCGACCACGTGAATACGTGAGTTTACTGGCAATTCGGAGTTCAGAACACAGCTCTTGATTCCGAACTGTTCCAAGAACAGCTTGAGACGGTAGCTTCGGTCAATATCCCCGACGAATATGATTACTTTTCCTCTGATCAGCTGCAGCTTGAAGATAACATATGTGAGCAGGAATTTCTCGTCCTCCGCGCACCTGGTTTCAATGTCAGCCCATGTAAAATATTATAGTTATGACCAGGATTTACTCACTTAACGACGAACTGGCTAACACCGGCACCCTGATCATCCTTCTCCTCTAGCTTCAAAACTACGGGACTGCGACAGAACAAACCCTTTAGAGTATCCACCTCCGCGGTGAGGGTAGCACTCATGAGGAATGTCTGTACACCCCGGGGGATTGCTTTCGACAATGCATTTATATCATCTTCATAACCATATGAAAGAACCAGATCAGCTTCGTCAATGACAAAATGTGTGAGGTTCTCCAAAGAAAGTGCCGACGTTCCAAGATTGGCAATGACACGAGCAGGCGTTGATACGACAATATCAGGGTAATCTGCAAGAATTGACTTCTGAACGGCGTCCGAGACCTTCTGTGTCAGATTCACCGAGCGAACATCCTTCCCGCAAAACGCAGCGAATGTGGTGACGACCTTCTGGACTTGCTCCGCGAGTTCTCGAGTGGGGACGAGGATAAGGCCGGTCGTAGCCTTTAGTGAGGGGTCGATCTGTAAAATGCACAATCAGCACATACTTAGATGTCTTCCATAACCGGATATAAGAGAAAACGAACGGCTTTTTTCTGAAGAATGGTTTGCAAAATCGGAAGGACGTACGCGGCCGTTTTGCCAGAGCCGGTTTTTGCACGGGCTGCTTTCGTTAGTATCCTCAGCATAAAATCCGTACAATCAACTCAGCATACCTAAGATATCCTTCCCCTCAAGGGCAAGAGGAATAGCCTTCGCCTGTACTGGGGTGGGCTTGCTGAACTTCTCTTTAACCAGGGCTTGGCGCAGACGGGGATCGAGGCTGAGGCTTTCGAAGTCTTCTGTGGTGTCGGCATCCTTCACCTCTTTGACCTCGGCAGGCTCCGGGGATGGGATATCATTGGCGTCGAGCTTCCGCTTCATTTTTCCTGTATGCCAAAAGAAATGGGTTGAGAAAATGGTTCCAGAATCAAAGTTTCAAGGCGGGTGAAGTTTTGCGTCAGAAAATCTGTATGGCGGTGAGATTTCTCGCGGCAGTATCTTTAGCGTCCCCACCCATGACCGGAACTACCTTATCGGGATTAGCGTTTATGAGAAGGAAGTATATCGACTTCAAGTAAACAACTCAATTTCATTCAACGACTAATCATTCTGGTTATACTATCAAACGCGATAATGCAAGACAAGGACAAAGTGTCAAAGGCCGAAAATCAGAGAACTTCAGAACATCAATAAAAACGTATTGTGTGGCTCCTGGCAACGCAAGACATTCATCAGTTGTGGATCTTGCAAACGTATATTCTCAGTATTATCCATCGTGCGAGACGTATTTTCGCAAATATGTAGTATAGAAACAAACCACAGAAGGTTTAACGTTGATCATTTGACAATATTTTGCATCCCAGCGGAGATATGCACGGGGAGGGCGGGCAGGACTTCGGTTGGCGCTATTAAACCAAGTTGCTCATTTCGTCTCTCGTGTATTGTATAAATCTCGTCATCGATCTGCTTGTTATTCTTCCAATTGGAAGTACTTTGACATTATGCTCCACAGTGTGTACTTTGCCAAAGTCCAATCTCGACATAGGATTGAGCGTTTCATCCAGCAACTCAAGGGCCACTTCCAGAGGTTCCTTAACCATACGTGGCTCGTTGGCCGCTTGGATTGGCGGCGTGCCCCGCGGGTATACGATCGCATGCGTGTAAGGGTCCACGTTTGGCTTTGCGACGCCACGGTTGCCATACGTACTTATGGGGCTGGGTCACGCAGTCAGCCTTGAGTCAAATGAAGGATGAGACACCGATCACTCACAAACACAGTGACTTATTCCTGGTGGTACTAAAGACGACCATACGGCGAATGGAGCTATGAATCGGCTCGTTGAATCGCCCTGTAAAAATCGGGCCGCTGGTAATAACGGTCCCATTCTCGTGGCCGTTCGACACTCCACGGTTTTCGTGCCAAAGGATTGCGAAGATCTATCCATATTTAGACATGACAAAATGACAGGGTAGTCAAAGCTCTTGCACATACCCTTCCAGTAGTGTAGTAGCTGCTTGGCCGCAAAGCGTATCCTGGGATGGTGGTCATTACTTTTTGTCCCAGTGGAATGTAGGGAATTCCTTACGTGGATCCAGTGTAGATATAACAGCAGGATTCTAAATTGTCATTAGGGGCGTCAACCAAGTTTCACAAAGGGACATGACTCACGTCGTCGCAAATGATTGAGCTCGAACCTCCCCGCCCTCTTCTGGAGATTGACTGGAAACCATCTTGTTCTCGAGATGCCGGGTGCATGTTTGGGCCAGGTTGGCCGTTTGGGGGTGGATATTCCTGGTAATTCCCAGAACCCGGTTCGTTACGGTTACCATATAAGATACCACCATGAGAGATGTCAGGTGGTGGGCCATAGAACTCGCTAGGACCCTGGCTGGTTAAACTCGGGGCATACGTATATTGGGCTTCCCCCGGACTTTGCGGGATTAGCATACAAACAAACTCAACATCAAAGCCCCAATGGCACCACTCACTGGCTTGAAGGCCGGGCATGAAAATCTGAAGGTGCAGCCTCCTCGACATGGCGTGGTATCTGGACATCGCGATGAGACTGGTCGGGATAGCCCTGATCGTAATCTTCCGCAGGCACGGGTGGGCGTGAGCCTAACACGGGGTAAGCCTATTTACCCGTTAACAGAGAAGCGTTACTTGCCTGTTGGATAGGTGTAGTAGCGCCCATCAAAGTGATAACCGTCGCCATGTCTGCGAGGCATGTTGATAGCAGCACTCAGGCTTTCCAATTGTGCCAAGCAATGAATTGAAGCGAGGCCCTATCCCGACTCTCCAAACCTCAGCCAGGATGCAGTGAGGAAGTGCGTGCGACGAGAAGTCGACCCGACTGAATCACAACACATCATTTATACCCTGGTCCCTCAGCTCTCGAGCAAGTGGCAGTCTGCATTTCCGGAATAGAGGCGACATGAGGCTCTTTTCAAGCGACAACCCCCGCTTTGGGAGTATGGAATGCATGTCCATCTTGAGTTGTCAACACATGACGCGAACAATGTCCTGCTAGGCCAGCTCGTTATTGGATCAAGAGATGTTGTGGAGGGAGGGGCCGCGCTGCCATCGGACGGGAGGAACTGGGATTGCGTCCACTAGTCCCGGGTCGATCCAACCAGACGGAGTTGCCCCCACGACTCAATCACACTCGATGCTCTCCCTCGCTTCCCTCCTTTTCAGCCCGGATCAAACGGAGTCAGCTCGCTGCCTGTTCGTGGTTCGCTGCAACTCGTCGTCATCTCCCGTGGTCACTGATGATACCCTGGGCCTCTCGGCGTGATCGGATACTCCGGCATCCTGCGACATGAGACGGCAAACACTTGAGACGCCTTCCATGGTCCGAATCCTGCTCGTGATTCCGTGACAGATTCGAACGGGCCTCTCTTGGACAGTCCTTCCGCCTATGAGATGCTATGATATCCCAATCCCGGCGCAAGGCGGCCAAACGACGTGTCCGATGCAGTCGCGAGAGTTACACATTGAGTCACGGCCGTTCTTTGTGCGTTATTGGATAGTCGATACGGCATTATTTGTTATTATTGCAGTTGGGCTATCGCTCCCCAAAATCAGGCTGATTACCCAAATTCGGGAAGGCATTGCGAATTTGCGAGGTTGGATGAAATCCTCGTCGCTGTCACGGAGAAATCCGTTAACACCTCGTCGATGCCCACGGCTCCTCTCAGCCACCCCCTGGCACCCAGAAACCTCCACTGTCTTTACGTGCTCTCCACGTGGGTCGGCCCGTAGTTTTATCACCCCACAGTGTGTCGGACTGTCGGTGACGCCCCCTGGGGCATGGGGTCACCATGGTCGACCTTCGACCCTCAGACGGCACATTCTTGAGGTGGCGCACCATAGCAACGAACTTTAAGAAGGGAATGGGATGGGTAAGGCTGTGTTATTGAACGCACCCCTACCTCAGTGCTTCAACCTTTACACGCGCGCGACACTGCTAACAATAATGCATGTGGAGGCGCTCCAGTATCGCCGAAATAGCAAGACCGACTCCGCACTGAAGCTTGACGGCGAACCTCGCCCTGATTCAACCGGTTTTCTTCATATCAGCGAGTCCGACACGCAAGGTGTCTGTACTCTGCCTACATATGGTTCCCAACAACACTCACCCGGCTCCGAGCCTACTGGGCCAACACTTCCCGGCGCAAATAATCGGGGAATTGACAAGGGACAGGGTGATGGGCAGGAAGACCACACTGTGCCTACCGCAAACCAGGGGGGTGACTCGACAAACGCCCGTGAAGCCGAACTTCTGAAGATTTATAAAAGGTTGGACAACTTCTCTGCGCTAAGAGTTCACGCCCGCCAGTCACGTATGGAACTTAGTTACAAGCGAGAGGACGAAATGAAACTCAGAGTGGAACTCATGAAGCGTCTTAACGCCTTCTTTGCGAACTTTGACCATCCCGAGGCGGGTCCCATTATGCAAGAGTATGAGCTTCTTCAGACAGCCGCGGAAGAATATGTGAAAATGGAAAATAGTTACCGTGAAGAGGAAGACCAACTGGAAGAGCAAGAATACCATCTCAGTGTGTCCATGGAGGATTTTTCCGTCTCGTTCAATAAAGGGGAGGCACCGGATTTTCAAACTTATACGCGAATCTCAAGCCCGAGCACAGGAAAAGAAGAGGGTTCCATGGACGAGACTCCAAGTTGTATACTCACTTACCTAGCCGGCATAGCGCAGGAACGGATGCTTCAAGAACAGCTTGCAGACCTTGAATCAGAATGGTATATGGCCAACGAAAAGCAGGCACAAAGGCAGCGATTAGACTTGGCGCTAGATCAAGAATCTGCAGATTTCCTACGTACATTTGCGGAAGAGCACAACAAGACATGGAAGGACCTAAACAATACACAGATGGACGTGAACGCTTTCCGCATGATTTGCCTAGAGCAAGGCCATAGGGACTTCGTTTATCAAAATCTCTCTTCCCTCCACTTTTACCATCCGTACGTCGATGAAAATACATGGGAGCCGGAGCCAAACCCTTTAAGACTTCCACCTCAAGAACAGGCAGTATTTCCAGAACATACCGGTGCATCACCCCTGGGCAATAATTATTATTGGGACCTAGAAAATGACATCCCTGAGATAACACCAGGAAGCCCACACAAATTCAACCAAGCTCTCCAACAAAAGTCGTCCATTAGTTCTAACGAGTACATGAACAAGTGGATGCTCCACCAGCTTCGAATCTCATCAGTTGGCATATGGCGCCTTACCCACTCGCCTCTCTGGAACCCCCTTCGTGAGCAAGGCTGGCAAGACCAAGATATCGGACAAGCTGTACTCGATAGCTGGTTCTCCGATGAAGCGGCGCTGGCGCCCTCATCATATAGCCCGCATCTGCATAACAACGACGAGGGAGAAGATACCGTGGTCGGTCATGCAACGGGCTACAAAACGGGCGTCGTGGTGAGAGCCCAGTCTTTACCCTCACCACCATCTTCACCACGAGCGTCGGCCCCGAAAGTCGGTAGCATGCGGCCGCGCTCCAGGCCTTGACAATTGGCTTTAACTTTTCTTTCGCTCTTTATTTTCGACATATATCTAGCTGGTATATGCATACTCCCAGTTCATTTTCTTCGCTGCAGTCGACTGCATTTTCGCCATCTTTTCTTTTCATATGTCATCTGCATCAACCGTCGTCTACATATATGGGCAAGCATTCAGAGGGTTTATCAATTTGTTTAGGGTGATTTCTTCTTTTTTCTTCTTTCAATTTTTATTCTGCTCAACGCTGTCTTTGTATTATTAGAAGAATATCTATCGGCTTTCGGTTCAGCATTTCTAGGCAGCAACTAACTATTCTCAGTGAGACAGAGATTTAAACTGGGGTACCTCGAAACAAAGGTACTATATGAAACAACCTTCTTCAGATGCGATCTTGACCATATGTATATCTAACTAAGTACAAAAAAAAGAAGTAAGGAACCTGAATGGGAAAACAGCTTTAGATCGTAGTGCTATCAAATAATACAAACCCCCATTCCATATCCATATCCATATCCATCCATTCCCGTGATAATATAAACCATATGGGCAACAAAGCAAGAAAAACGACTCCAGATGAATATCATTCTCGTAACATAAACATAAATCCCAATTTCACAATCCATTGTTCCCATTACGCTCGTAAAGTTTCTAGACATAGCAGTCTCCGATAACCCAACCACTTCGGTATTATTTACAATTTGATAGGTAGGTAAATAAAATGGAGACTTGCTTCATGAATACCGAGTCTCCTCAGTCGCTATCACTCAGGCTGTCTCTCCGTCGGCTACGGGCTCCATCGCGGCGGTAGCCCTTGCTCAGACCGGGGATTGGGTGGTGATAGCTGACAGTTCCAATGTCTTGTTCTTCGGTGTCAACGTTTGAGTATTGGTAATCTGAACGTGCCTGCGAGTTTGAGGAGAAGTCGAGGGGTTCGGTGTAGTGGCCGCGAGAATCGCGCTTACGCGGACTGCTCTGGCGAGAAGAGGAGGTTGGAGGTGCGCGACGCCGTTCGCGGCGGCGGTTGTGTCGGCGGGCTGATGGTTCACGAGCCATACGTTCTGTTGTGGTCTGGCTCATGGTCTCTTCTGTGCCGGGGGCAAAAGAGAAGTCTCGCTTCTGATTAGAAGGGCGAGAAGGCTCATAAGCGTAGTCGCGGACTTCGCTCATTTCGCTCCGGTTGTAGTGCGTAGGTGGGTTGGAGGTGTCGTAGTCGCTACCGTAGTATGTGCCATCTGCTTCACGGTTGATGCCACCAATCTGTGCAGGCTTTTCCTTGCGGTAGGCACGAACATCCTCGTCCGCCTCGCCCTCATACTTCTCATGTCTGCGCTTTCGGCGGAATTTATCGCGAAGGTTGCGCTTGCGTCTCGGTTCTTTCTCAGTGACCGTAGTAGCAGTATCGCTGTATCCGGGAGCGGTATCGGCCACGGTGTATCCATCATCGCTGTAGCCTTTACCAACGACGCTACCTCCACCTAGCTTTGTGCTTCTTGTAGCATTACTAAGGGTTCTCCCATCAGGCCCCTTTCGCCGCAGAACGGTTGACTTATAATCTTCCCAGTCACCCTTTTTCCAAATGAACCCACCGTCCTTTGCCCAAAAGAAAAACCAAATGGACGCTAGGACAAGTGCTGCTCCCAAAATAGCGAACAAGGCATACAACCCACGCATGTTTATGCTGCTTGGGTCGATTGCTCCTTGTCCTGGTCGGTACGTTCTGTCGGCATCACGCGCAGCCAGTGTATGTGTTTTGTCCAATTGAGTGGTCGGGGTTACAGTGAGATCGTTCTCCAGTTCTCGTGGGGAATTCTGATGGATGCCGCTGAGAATGGATCGACCAAGAATGCTGGGGAACCACCCCGCCTGCTGGACTGGAGGCATGATTACTAGAGCTGTCAAGAGCACGTAGCCCGAGACGAGTCTCCGGTTGTTTAATCAAGGGCAATCCAAGCAAATATTGCGTTCGACTGGAAAGGATTCGTATCGAGAGGCAGATTTCGTTGTGGTGTTCGCGATCTCCAGCCGATCGGTAAAGTTCGTAGAGCGGGTAAATAGAAGGTGCAACTAAAGAGAAGCAGTCGAGGGTTGGGTTAGTAAGTTGAGCAACGAGGAAAGTCAAGCTTCAAAAAATGAAGATATTACCAAGAGAAGAGGGAATGCAGTCAGAGAGGCATCAAGAGATCGGGTCCCAGCCCGAAAAATGCGGTGGTTGGAGGAATTGGAGAGGCTGGGAATGACGCTCCTTTGTTTGGGTTGGCGCCGTGGCCGGGGTAACGGGCTGACTCAGCTGTCTTATCGGCCACACCAACCCGATCTGGATCTACGGCTTTTCCCCCGCCGAGCCAACACTCAAGACGATTCAGTGTATTTCTTCGCTCCCAGCCACGAGGCCGTAGTAGCTAATCGAGATTTGCGAGCCCGCTAGGCTTGAAAATAGGGTTTCCAACCTAGCTAAAGGGTCTGCACTCGGATTGGCCCTGTACAGCATTTATCGACCTTTATGACTAAAATTGAAGCACACAAGCAGTCTACGTCGGAGCATTTTGATGCGAGTGCATGTTAGGACTTGGGACAGTTACAAATCTCAACCGCGTGCTGCGTGCGGTGTTGGACGAGTTGCACCGCGCACATAATATATCATGCTTAGTTTGGTGAGAAAAGCACTCGTCAAGCCGTTAGTGGGGCAGTATCGCTGCGAACTTTACCTATGTGACGCATACTCGAGATCAGAAGTTTTGACGGCGATGGAGATAATCAGATTAAGTCCATGGTCCCTGAAGAAGCCAACTTCTGACAGTGTTGGATCCTGAGGCAGATGAGGCTTGGTTAAAGGTGCGGGAAACGGCATGAGAACAGGGTTCCTGTGCGACGGATGTGACTGTCGCATCCGAGGAAAACACTGCATCCAGATATCGCGCTCGATGTTGTTGAGTGGCAAATTGGCAGACACCGCAGGGTCGTGACTCACATCAACACCTGTTTGGTTGGCATTGGGCAGGAATTGAGCATGCAGGAAGGCAGGATCATGGGGCAGGCTCCATCATCAAGCACGTAGAGTGCGGAATGGGAGAAGGGGAGTACTCTGATTGAGTCTTCCATGTCTAGCATGCCGTAGCTCAGTAGATAAATCAATTGTTGGGATATAATGACGTAAAGACAAGTGCGAAACAGACGATTATCAGCCTCAGACAGACCCCGCCACGGTGAGGACCTGGAGGGGCCATGTTGGGGACTTGGAGTCACCTCAAACGACTCCAGATTCCAGAGACGCAGCATCAGGAGCTGTGGTGGATGGTCTCCTGGTGGGAATTCGCTCCTTGGGGGGGGCGAAGATATCTTCAAACACCACGGGGGGAAGCTGCCGTGGAATGCAACCGACGAGTGGACGACCAGCATTCCCTGTCATGAATCTCATCCAGTGGGCGAATGGAGGGCCGGTCCGACTCCGTTGCGACCATTACGGGCAGCTTGTCGGGTGGAAATTTTCTAGCGTTCTTCTCAGACTTCTATGGGGCTCCATTCACCGAATTGTCCTCCACTTCGCTCATTGATCCAAACGGGAGCCAAACACAGTGGAGGCAAATGCTATTGGGCCGCGACAGCCAGTCCGTCAGCCGTCGTGCATGTCTTTGGGCAGCCAGCACGATGGGGCAATAATACCGGCACAGGAAGTGGCGCAAGTGTTGCAAAGCTGGTCTACCGATGTTGAGCTGGCGGACAGGAAAAAGAAACAGGATGGGATGAATGAAGTTGAGCTAAGAATGGAGCCGGAGTAAATAAAAGTCAGTTCCATGGATTGTTCCATCTGCGATCCACGGCTTCCGGTTGATCCAGCGGGGTCGCTCTGTTATTTCCACTCCTCTCACCGCTTGATTCTCATCGTACTCTTGTCACTCTTGTCCGCAGATGAATGAATAATCTGGACGAATTCTATACTTCCGTGTGGTCTTGGACTCTGTCGACCGTGCAGTCATACGTGCATTCATATCTCCGAGAATCTTCTGGAGACGCAGTTTCCTTGCATACCGCGTCAACCTTTCTCCTCATTTTCCAATCTATACGGAAGTACTATGTCGAGTCCGAACTTGTCGCATCTTGTTCCATACTACTATCATGTCTCGGTACAATGTTTTGGAGCAATGACGTTACTGAGAAGCTCGATTAGTGCCACCGCGTCGCATATCGAGGCGTAGTATCATGGATGTTCCCTCTTCTCTTCCCTGCTTGGAAGCAGTAAACTCCAAGCGAATGCGGAGTACAGACTTCGCCCTCTTGTCTCGAATTGTCACATGGTGGAATCATGAGCCAGAGCACGAGCCGTCGTGTAGAGTTTCACAATCGCCATAGAGTTCTGCCCCCCAGATGGACTGCCATCCTAGCAGTCGCTGGTCTGATATGCCTTCGTCTCACAAAAACGCTCAAAACTCACGCGCTTTCGCAAGGACCCATCTGGTGAAACCACAACTTCTCGGTTGTGGATACACTGGAGTGCGTTTCATGGATGGACGGGCTTTCTCTCAGTCCCCGAGTCGAGTCTGAGTATCCATCGTCGCTGCGATGAAAGCGCGCGATTGAAGCTTCGGGCCCTCCATTATTCCTTCAGAAGGCTGAGTCGGTCACCCCTTGCGTCGCCAGCCCGTGTCTGTGACGGTATGGTCCCTGTCAGATGTACGCTGCACTGAATGTAGTCGAGTAATGCCACGCCGATCAAGGTAAGGTCCACGTCCTTCTGGGGTACCCTGGCACGTTTGGATGTGTCATTCCCGAGTGGAAAAATGAAGAGTGGTATTGATAGCTTCACCTGATGAGGCTGCAATATCTCTGCTGTTGTTCTAAACACGGCGCGTGGTATGACTGCCTATCACTCCGGAAAGACCAGATTCGATTCGGCCACGACGGTGCGAGCAAGTATATATAGTTAGATAGACACTGCAAGTAATCAGTACAATACACTGCTGAATACACTATACAGCAACAAACAATCAGTTAGCGGCAGATCAGGCATCGCTCGGCAGCCACTCGCCTCTCATCCCCACCACAATTCGTCCTTCCGGTTTTTGTCGATGGTGCTATTCCGGCAGGAAAAGTGTGGAAAAGCTGTGGGCAGACGAGGTATTATTCGTCATCCCAAGCAGACTTGCCCATTTTGCATCTCCGAAACGAGGAAGACGTCCAGCAAGGGGGGCCTGCGACGGCAAGATCCATGAGAGGGAAAAAAAAAAAAAAAAAAAGACCCCTCGGGCTAAGAAATTCCAGACGATCCGTTTTCTCGCGACAAGGGCAGCATCATTATCATTATCACGATTATTATTACTCCGCTGGAGGGAGTTGGGTTGCGACTTAAAACTGGCGTCTGCGCGAGGCTCACCCTGCAGTTTTTCTTCCCCTCTTCTCCGTCCGCCGTCCATCGCTGCCTCACTCTCAGTCTCGCCGGCCACTGGTCGGTGATCTTCTTATTTACTGCCTCGTTGACCTCTTCAGCCTGATCCGGCCCTCTCTCGTCTTCTCGCATTCTTGCTCCCTCCCATCTCCACACTGGACCCCACCTGGTCCTGTCTGTTCTCTCCGTCAGGCCCAGATCCAAGTCCAACCCCTCCATCAGTCCAACCGTCGTCGGTTACACGCTGCTTGTCACCATTCACACTCTGCTGCAGCCTCTCGACTTTTTCCTCTTTGAGCCCTCCACTCACCGTTTGCCAGCCGACTGCTGCAGCGCAAGCGCGCTTCCTCGCTCTTCTTTCCTCTTCGCCTGATCCGTTGGTGGACTCTGGATGCGTTCCTGTCTTGTCTGTTCGCTCCCGCCCGCCTCGTCTTTCCACCCACTTCGTCGCTAGTCCTGCGCCAAACTCTCTTGACCAAACACCTCTCTCTTTTCGATGGAGATACCGCTATCTATGGACGACGCTGCATCCACTGTTCATCGCTGACAGTCAACGATTTAGACGCCGTCATCAATTACGCTACGCCCAACTAGCTGATCTGCGCCTCTGGATCCTTTTTTCACCTTACGACTCTCCTCAGAGTGTGGGTTGCTGGACCAAGCCAGGAAGCGGGTGGAAGCACCAAGTGGGAAAGGCACAATTCAGTTGGGGGGGCAAAAACACGAAAGTAAGAAAAAAAAGAAAAGAAAAGAAACGAGGAGGAAAATTTTTTTCTTTGACTCATTTGGATGAGCAGCCGCAGCATTGGCTGCTGTGAGTGACCAAAAACCCCCGAAGCCCTGTCGGGCCAACACGTTTCACGTCATCCACAGTGCCTTCACCAAAGCCAGCACCCCCTCCCGCTTGGGGACCCAACTTGGGCCTTGGCCGCCGCCAAAAAGCCATGTCGAGGAAAGTTCCTCACGCCGCCTTCGTCGAGGAATATGATGAGGAAACTCATGTTAGCCTCCCGGAAACCCGTCAAGTTGCCAACGCCACTGCAAAACGCTCCAAGGCAGACATAAGGAAGCCGGCCAGGGAGCCTTTTGTCGAGGCTGCCAGTGATTCAGGCTACTCGAGCCGCACTGCTGCTACCGTCAACAGTGCCCAATCCGTCCCGCCGGCCCAGAAGCCTCCGGTCCCTCTTAAGGTCGACACCTCGCACAAAAGAACCGAGCTTGAGCGAGTTCGTTCGAGAACGAAAGAACGGCCTAAAGAACGGCCGCGGGATCGCAGCGCTCGTCCAGCACGCGACGACAAGATGCACGCGGGGCCTTTTTCGGCTGGATATCCCCCGGCCCACGTTCCACGATCTCCATCCCGATCCCAAAGACCTGAGCAGATCTATACTCAACAGTATCCGAGAAGCTATTGGGAAAATGATCGTGGCCTATACCATGCGTCAACTCCTGTTGAGCCACGACAACGGGAATATCGGTACCACTCCTCGCAAGGGTCTTCATATGACTTCCCTCCACCGTCACCGTCGCCCCACACATCGCGTTACCCTCCGTCGGCCGTTGTACAAGTCTCGCAGAGTAATCGCCCGCAAGGTCGGAATGCTCGTTCGAATTCCTATCATGCCAACAGCCGCCCTGTGAGCTTTCATGGGATGATGCCGCCCATGAACGGGATGATGTACAGTGGATCCCCGATGGACCGATACGGCCACGGCCCGCCGCTGTCCTCCTCAGCTTACTCCAATTCTCCGGTGTATCCTCCGGCGCCCCTTTCGCTCTACTCTCAACAGTCGTCTTACTATCCTTTTCCCGGCGCCGCCAGCCCACCTGAGTTTCACGAGCGTTCATTGTCACGGCCCAGGGAGCAACAACGTTCGCGTCGTCCGTCTGTGTTCGAGCCTCCCCCGATTGACTATGGTACATCAGAGGAAGACGAAGAGGACGACGATGAGATCGTGGAAGAAGAATTGCCGGAACCAACCCCACCTCCCCCACCTCCCGGACCGCCCCGTCAAGCACGGCCACGGCTCCCATCCCATTCTCGTAGCCGTGGCGAGGAAGACTACTACCAGTACCAATCAATGCCACCGCCACCAGCGCCAGCCAAGAGCAGGGCCCCTCCAACCATCATCCAGAAACAGAAGCGGCCTGAGTTACCACGAAACCCAGCAACCACTGCGTCTGTAATGTCTGAGCGTCGTCCTTCGCGGTCTCTTGACATGACGGACCTTCGGGATGTTCTACCGGAATATGGTTACCGCGGTCCAGGCGGACGAACTGTGATTCCTGAGCGGAATCGGAGTCTCCGACGTCCCTCCATCGCTTATCACGACTCCGCCAGGTCAGGTAGTCCCCAGGTTGCTGTGGAGAACTCGACTAGGCGACGTCGACCACCCACGGTGTACAACTACTCCCCGAGTGACGAGCTCGAGGAGAAACAACGTGATGTGGAGGAATACCAGGCATCACAGTCCAGCAAATCCACAGCCGTCCCAATGTCTCTGAGCGATGCGTTGTTGAAGGCCAAGGCGAATTCCCAGCATGCTGGGAGTGATAGCGGCAGTCAAAAGAGTCGATCAGCTAGCAGTCGGGGTAGCGGCAGTGATGCTCGCACTCGGTCTGGTGGGAGCGGTGTTTTGACTACGACTCGGTCACCTGAAGATGACGATAACATTATCATGACGATGAACGGGGTTACGATGAGCTTTACACAAGAGTCTGTGGGAGGCAAGCGCATCAACGTGCGAACAGGCCAAACTGGGGCTGTTGAGTTGAATATCGAAGGAAAGCGCCCCAAGAAATACTTGACAGGCGGTTCCGAATATACAACTACCAGCAATAACTCCAGGAAGGGCGACCGCAAGTCTGATCGTGCCAGCCGCCGCTCTAGTCGCTCAACGTACACCGGCGGTCGTTACTAGTCGTCTCTATCGCATCGACACCTGAGCTTTCTCCGATAAGAAGCCTGACCGAGAAGCTAAATGAAGAGGACGAGACTGGCCTATGCGCCGGATTTGTCAAGCTTCTGTGTTTTCTTGGACGGGCTACGGTTTCGGTTAATAGCAAGCAGGGAAACATGCGGAAGAACACGACTACACTTTGTTTGTCAGATTTTCTTTGGGAACAGCAAAAAAAAAAGTTTGATGGTTTTGGGTAAAAAAAAAGACTGGCTTTGGATTAGGAGGCATTCTCGATTTCTGTCCTGAGCACCGACTCGATCATTTCCGCTATGCAAGAAACAGCTGGTTCCAACACAACGTCTATCATGTTCTACGTGATTGTATGATTTTTGATGACCTTCCACGATGCACTTTACGCCTGATGTTTAGTTGATGCTCATCTCATGTCATGTTTACTTATGGTTATGGTTATATTTTACGTCGACGTGACTCATGTTATATCTTTGCATCTGTCTGTATGATTTTCTTCTGGATATCCCAACTGGTTTCTTCATCGTTTGTTTGTGTTGCGTTCTTCCATGCTCTGACAGTCAGCATTGAAGAAATGAGCCAGGATTGCAGGAGGAAAAGATATACCCCTTGTTTCTGTTTCGTGTTCGTGATTTTAGCAATTCATGCATCTTTTGCACCTTTTCTTCTGAATTCTTTCTCTTTTGCTTCACTTAATTCCCCCATTTGCATTTGCTTTAACTAGCTAGATACCTTGTAGTCGGATGTTATGCTGGCCCAGGCCAAGCGATCCATGTCCGGCGATGCCCTCACCTCTACCTCTATATCCACATCCCTACCGCTGTACTTTTTATCTTCATCTTCACTTTTTCTCTGTTCCCTATTCATACTACCTTCACATAATCTGTCCATGTATTTTCCGACTTTTGACCCCAGGTTGATACATACACCTACCTAGATAGACTTGCAATCTACTGAAACCTCTAGTTTTGGTTTACTTTGTTCTGGATGGAGGATATAGAGAAGAAGCCGCACCCTGCTGGTAAATGGAATGTTCAGCACTCCAGGCCTCTCCAATCTGTCCCTCTGTCCCTCTCTCGCCCAATTAAATGTCCTTTGTTCTGAGATTTTCAACCCTGCCCATTTCCCTCCCCTTTTGCTTCTTACCAGCAAGCGGTGAAACCTTCACAGTGCTCAGGAGCTTCTGACACGTCGAATGACAAATTCTACCTCAAGTCTTTCTGTCCTCCGAGGCTACGCCTGAACCTACCGCACACCTTTTTCGTCAGATATAACTAAGGCCCTGTTTCAAATGTTCCAAGATTCGGTTGAAGAAGAGTTTTGTAGATAACCTAACATACCCGATAGAACATCTTACAGGCCCATTTCGTGGGGGCGGTAATCTTGTATTTAAAAGAGGTTAGTTGTGTGAAACTGCTTCACGATCCTTTCTCAACATGTTTCATTAGCCACTGGCGCTTCATAACTACATACAGACCCAAAATGCGTATTAATACACTATATGTGCTGCATGCCTCGTACAGAATACTTCCTTGAGCCGCTTGAGTGCAGATGATAAGGGGTGGTATAGTGCGGATTGCACTGACTCAACACTCGAGTCACTCTGGTGTAAATATGCCGTGGTGTACTGGCATAAATTATAGATTGAACTTTATTAGCTGACCATAGTGCAAACTGACGCGATTTCACATAGCTAGCAAAACATAAAATCTTCCACCGGTTTTTATCCTCTTTTGCCGCCGGTCCATGGCGAAATTGGCCATATAGAAGTAAACATCACCTAACTAACTAGTTATGTCTTAATACGGGCTGACTCATTCCGCGCGGGCCCGGCACCCTTATGCGCGCCTGGCCGCTATCTGGCATTCCTTCCCCCGTCATATCTCAACTGTCATAAGAAGAATCGTTCTCTTTAAGGGCAGCACAGCAAAAGACAACACAAGTTATCATTCCAAAATTTATGGCTGGGCCCCCATATTCATCGATTGGCTGCGTAAGCTGCCGAAGACGCAAAGTGAAAGTAATCTTGTCCCTTGTATCTGAGCACGGCGGTTACTTACAACCAGTTCTTAGTGTGATCTCCAAAAGCCGGAATGTGCCAACTGCATCAAGAAGGGTATTTTGTGCTTGGGATATGACCCAAACAAGAATTTTCTTTATCATAAGTTGCGCCCCGAAATAACACGCCATGGTACAGCGAAACGCCCCGTTTGTCAGCTCATTTGGCAACTGAGACCATTATCTCTGCCATCAAATTTCAACATGTGTGCTGAGGTCCGTAATCAGCTCTTTGGTGCATTTATGAGCAGGTTCTTTGCTCCAAACAAGAACGTAAATGGCAGAGACGACAGCCTCTACCTTCTCATGGCCCATTTCCCTACCGTTGCTGGTGAATCTGAAGTATTCGATAGATCCGCCATGGCATTGGTGTGTTCATTCCTGGCAAACGACTCTAACGATAGGTACCTGGAACACCAAGGGCTGGAGATCTATAATAGTGCGCTCAATGCGATGGTTTGTGGCCTACAACACAAATCCGGAGTAAGGATTGATATGCTGTATGCGAGCATTCTACTCCACACACGTGAGGTAAGAGTTTGGTCAAGCAGTAGTATTAAACCCCTTATTATGTACTTATGAAGAATGATAGACTCTTTATAGTAGCGACCACGCGCTTCAATGTTTATTCACCCACGTAAAAGGCGGATCGGCACTTTTGAAGCAACACAGTCATACTGACCTTGATAACATTGCATCTTCCATACTCAAAAGGCAAAAATGGACGATAGTAAGTACAAAAAAGATTCAGATTAGAAGCATTCCTAACTTCTTCCCGGCATATTGCATTCTCAATACAAACTACGGATCAGAAGAAGACTGGGAGTGTCTAAGTAAAGGCAGGACTGCAAGTCCTCTTGATGAAATTTTCGGACTGATTGCGGACTGCGCTTCTCTCCAAAGAGATCTGGCGGTCTCTTTCTGTCTCCTTAGTCCCACGAGAGAGCTCGCTTTCCAAGGACTACTACAACGTTGTTCCGAGCTTGAGAAGCTCCAAAAAGACTGGTGCTCTCGCAATAATAAGGACTTCTTCCCTAGCACCAATCATGAAAGTCCGGAAGACGATCCTGAATCTTTGAGGAACTTAACATTAAGCCCACATGAATTCGGCAGCCTTGATATCGCCAAGACATACTGTCTATTTTGGATATCGTCAATTGTGGTGAAACGAGTCATTTACCAAATTCAGAAGCAGTTGCCGGGGACTCCGGACCCTATATCCATTTTATCCTCTGCGCGAGAAATTTGCAGGACCGTGGCTTTCTGCATGAAGCCCAGTACACAAATGTCAGTGGGACACCTAGCGTTATTCGGAATATCGCAGGTATCTAAAGGATGCATCGACTGTGGACACGTGGAAATGTTCAACTGGTGCCAATATATTTACTCAATTATTCAATCTCGTGGAATTGGCCTTGCAGGACGTGTGAGTAGGGAAGACTGGGCATTTTGGCAATTGGCTGAGAATCAAACAGCCTTTCAATCACACATAAATGTTAATAGAGCCTCACTCTAGATACCTCACTCGCTCACGTTATTCACTCTCTGAATCCTTCATTCCAGTATGATGCGTCCATGGCATTTAATATGCTGATATTCCTAGTTAAGTTGATGGCAACCATTTTCGGCTTTTGTAGGATCAACCCCAGAGGCTGTTGGTGAAGTTTTCACAAACGCGGCGGCAGCGGCTACTATGCACTAAGAAGAAAATCCACACTGCCAAAGGACCATAGATTCTTGTCAAGGTGCGAGAGATACTCCCCATATATTCACTGGTAGCCTGGAACTATGTAGTACAAATTTCCAGAACGACTTTTAAGGGCCACGAGAATCAAAATCCCAAGGAAAAGCCTGATTACGATATGTTTTGTTACATTCCTTGTGAATGAGCTTCGCTGAAAAATAGATTACATAGATAGGCAACACAAACTGTATTTCACACAAGAACAAAGTGGCTTATTTGTATCAGACTGTATGAAGACACCTCTTCTGCTGCCCATTTGGGGCCCGGCTTCCCTTGAGTAAATAAGTGTCAACAAGAATCGTAGCTGTACATTCGGCCATATTTCATTAATCTGCGTCGAGACTGACATTTTTTGTCGTCCATGTGCTTTCAACCAGAGTCACCAGTATCCATCACCCGCAAGATATGGATGTAATGGTCTAGTATGCCCCACTGCATAGACTTTATGCTATATGCGCTGACCCGTAAGACACAATACCAGTTATTTCCCTGCTGGTAGCTCGGAGGGTGGTAATGAAGAGTCGGGTGCCTCATAAGGATAGACCTGAGGATGATCCTGATAACTCTCTGGCTGCATTATCGGCTTCACCAAAGTTCCAGCAGTACCGTCGGAAGATGTGTTTTGCGGAGCTTTGTGTAGCGCATTTCTCCTTCCCCAGAGAAATCCTGCGCCTAGCATGGCGGCCGCTAAAACAGCCAACGGAATTCCAACACCAAGGCCAATTGCGAGTTTTGTGGACGCATCCGACGAGCCTGATTTCATCTTAGCCGGGGCTGTTGAGGCTGTTGCCGTAACCATGGTCGTAGCTATCCCTCCGATCGTGACGAGAGTGTCGTTCAGGGTAAATCCGCCGTCGCCATCACAGCACGACTCGTCGTTACCGCAGCAGTATTTATTACCTTTCCCGCAGGGTGTGACAGCAGTCGTTCCATTTGAATTTCCACCTTCCTATAGGGAAATTAGCATGAGAAAATGGCCGGATATACAGACCTCAACACCGGTGACGCACCGCAGTACTGCAAATAGACTTTGCTAAACAATTTGGGCTCTCCCATGTCTGATCGGTACAAAAATCCCTCCAATACCCAGTGGCAAATGAGCTATTTGCAAAGCAAAGACCAGTGGAAAGGCAGGTATCGGGAATCGTGTCATTGAGCCGACAACACATTGACTCGACTCCGTCAATAGCAATACATGGCAAATATTTGTCGTCCTCGACTGCGTATCCTTCAGCGGTATAACACGTTGTCGCGTTTGACGTGACGAGAAGCGCAAGAACGAAAGTGCATAGTATCATGAGACTCATGGTGAGAGTTTGGTGACCTGGGGTCCTAGTGATGTGGTGAGGACTGTTGGCATCATTTCTAAAATTGCCGAGCACACGGGGGATAAATATGTGGGACAGAAATGCTTTCTGAGTGCTTCGAATGGGTCTACGCCACGCTCAGAGCTGTTGGGGCCATTTCATTTTTAGTTTCATGCTGAGCCCTTTGCTGAATACAATATCGACTTCAGGTTTATCAACAAATCAGGCCCCGTGCCAATATCAACTATTGTTGCCGCTTTACTCATTAGCCTTCTCAGTCCCCTTCTGTACCTGAGCCGTGCAGTTCTCCTTCCCCCTCTTAGTGTAGCGATGTGGCAGATAACGGCGAATGATTCTGAGTGCTATACATACATATGAAGGTGTGCCAACGGGAATAGAGGAGTTAAGCATGTTATTTCCGTTATAACCGCGCCCATTTGCTCGCCAGGGGGGTACCTATGCACTGTCAAGCTTTCCAAGTGGGGCAAATATGACTTGCTTCGCACAACTAACCGCTTTAGGAGATCAGCACTATCACTAATTGGGCCTGTCCCCTTGTCTGTGTATGGCCTCGTATGTATTTTGTTATACAATCCATGCCTGTGTACCAAGGTAGTTCAAAGCTCCCTCGGAGTACCTTTTCTTGGCCTAAGATATATGCGTACAAATAATAGAAGTTATTAATTGATTATGACTGACTATTAAGTATAATATACTCGCAAAAAAGTCTTTCTAGTACTGAACATTCATACTGGGATAGGCATTTCCCAGCCTTTAGCCTCTTTCTTAATTTAGCAATTTCTTTTTTTATCATCTCATTCCTTTGATAGAGGCGAGGAATGGACAATCAGGTATGCTTCATAGTACCAGCCAAGGATTACATCTCCGCCATGAGCTCTCTTTTCTCAGAAGTGGAATCTGGAAACACAAACAGGGTTTGGGGGTCGTCAGTCTGCAAAGGGTAGCCATTTTCAACATTGATTTCAGAGATCCTCATATTCTAGATGTTATATAATAAAACAGCCTTGAAACAAATACCGAAAACTTCGAAGCACCTATCGAGTTTCACCACCTCCCTCTGCAAGCCACCAGATCCCCGAAATATATAATGTAATAATAACAATGGATTGGAACGTGGCCGATGTCCGACATCCAATTGTACTCACAAACTCACCCCACCCCAACTCAACTTAACAAACCAAAGAAATCTATATATACCAAAATAGCCTGACTCAGTAGTAAGACAGCCTACCTCTTCCTCAAAAACAGCACCACAAACCCGAAGAGGCGATAGACCGCAATAATCCCAATGAGGATGCCAACCCACTTACCCGTGCGGCCCGTCGCGTACCCGTACTTCTCAAGAACAGCCGTTCCGCGGATCTGGCAGTAGCTCGCAGGATCAGGCGTATACATGCAGTTACAGCCAGCACCGCAGGAGTAGGTCCGGGAGGCGAATTCATTGACCATCATTCCTTGGAAGACGTACGCCTATTTATTTTTAAAACTCCCGTGTTAGTTTTCGCAACTACTAATTAAGAGGAAGGAAGGGCTGGTACCTGATAATCAATATAATGGAAGACATATTTCCAGAATGGGTTCAAAATTGTAGGCGAGACGAGGAACCCACCGACGCTCATCCAGAGGCCGTTTGCAAATGCGACAAGGGCAAGTGCGATGACGAAGTTGGGGAATATGGAGGTGACGAAGACGACGAGGGACTCGGCGGCGACCAGGTCCAGGAAGAGCTACATGACCCAGGTGAAGAAGGCGGAGGCGCTGGGACGGAAGTTGGAAAGCCAGTAGGAGACGATGGAGAAGAGGATGGATATTAGGACTGTTGCGGATGTGTTAGAATAGAGGCAGAGGTGCGACGGAAGGGACGTACGTACAGAGAAATGGGAGGCCGATGATGAAATTTGAGATTATGAATGGGAGCGCGCCATATAGTCCGTTAGCCCGTTCTTTTGTGAATGTTGCACGGTCTTCAAGAAAAGCTGGGACGTAGGCGACGGCCATGAAGCTCATGAATGCTGACCCGAAGAACTGGCGAGATTGTTAGCTAGCCTGTACTCGAGGGTAATGGCTTAGGACATACAATCGCATTTATAAATGACTGAATATAGTCCTGATCCGTCTTTAGCCGTAGCCAAACAGTGCCCATCATAATTGCCAAACCTGCCCCAGTTAGTATATCCTGTATCTTTAACTGGTTGCGCTTGACGTACCCATGTACATGACTATCCGGATGCCGTACGCCACAACATCGCGATAGCTTTTGATGAACGAGCGATGGAGGAGGGAAAGGGTTATACCCAACAAGCCTGGCCGACTAGTCTCATCCATTTTAATGTTCCTGCTATTCTTTTCAGCGAGCTCCCCGCTCTGGCGAACTAGTCCACCACTCTGCGAAGACCGCGTCCATGCAGTTTGAATTTTCGTCACGTCATCCTGCATCGAAGACTTATTGCTCGCAAAGTCAGAGCTGACAATATCAAGCATGAACTCTGCAGGGTTGGTTTGAGGCGGCACAGGATATCCGATGCCACCGAAGTATGACGGGACGTCCCTGACCGGGCCATAATAGCAGGTTTTGCCGCCGGAAAGAAGCAATAACTTATCGAAAAGTTGGAATGTCGCTGTAGACGGTTGATGGATACTCGCAATAATGATGAGCTTCACAAATCAGCCTCGCCCTTGCTAACAACCGCGTTTTGGGTAAAGCAACCACCAACCTTATTAGCCCTAGCCAATTTTTTGATGTACGAGATGACCTCATAGCTTGCAGTCGAATCTAACCCGCTGGTGGGCTCATCGAGAAACAGAATCTTCGGACAAGTGATAAGCTGACTGGCGACGCTAACCCGCCTCTTCTGTCCACCGCTGATGCCCTTCCTAATCGGAGTCCCAACTAGTGTAGATGCCTGGTTCTGAATTCCGAAAGCCTCGAGAAGCATCTTTATTCGTGCAACCCGCTCCGAATTCCTCACAAACCTGAAAACCGCTCCATGTTAGAACTTTCTCAAGTACAAAATTGCCAGTGGTGCACCAATCCAAACATACCCCGGTAGAGATAGGTCAGCCGCAAACTTCAACGTCTCCTGCACCGTTAACGACCCAATAAGCGCATCCTCCTGCTCAACATAGGATGTAACGCGTCCGAAAGTCGCATTTTCAATCTCGCCGCCGTTGATATAGCAGTGGCCCGAAGACTTAGCACCAGACGAGGCGGCGCGGCGCGCAAGGACATTGAGGAGTGTTGTCTTGCCGCAGCCCGATGGGCCCATAAGCGCAACTAATTCCCCTGCACATCTATTAGGTATACGTACACCGCCGTCATGGCGCGTTTATCCCCCCCGGGTCTTGCATATGGGTGGATAGATAGAAAAGTAAGGTGTCAGGTACGGTACGCACCTTGCTGCACGCTCCCATTGATGTTCTCAATCAGGTTCCGAGGCTGTTTCGTCCGCCGGTCCTTAACGGTGACAGTGAGATCATTCCACGAGAATATCTGGACCGAGTTGTTCATGAGAAAGTTGTGGCCGTCATTCTGTTCTAGATCGCGGGTGTTTAGCCCGTCACTGGAGGAACTGTATGCCATTGTTTGTTTGCGCGAGTTGAACAATAATAATTAATAGAATAAATTATAGTATGATGAGATATTTGTCCTTGGGATCGAAGGCACTCGCAAGTAAACGGACTCGAGCAGAGGACAAACTCCCGAGCCGCGTACTCAAGGACCAGGGCTGGTCCATTTTATCGGTCGTGTAACGGGGACTGGGGCGGGTCTCCGACTCGAAGGAGCACTAGCAAACGGCGACATTGGAGCTGGAGCCAGAATGGAACAGGGAATGATCCAGCTGGGCGCGAGGGTCGGAGTTCAGAGGCGTCTAGCAGAGGAGGGAGAGTGTTGGTGTTTGCCCACAGTGAGATGGTCCCCGAGCGAGTGCCTGAGGCAGCCGCCTCTACTATATCCCTCGCAGTCCCCGTCAAGCATTCCAACTTCCTTTCTAGAACCCATTGCTCTTCTCGATCCGCGATCCCCGATTTAGCGCCTACTTTTTACGAGTCAAAACCCCCGGCTCGTGTGAGGACCCCACTTTACGATCTATGTTGGGCAGGATGTTGCATTTCCTTCATTCCGTGTCACCCCAGCCGTTTCGAAGGCAGACAAAGCTGAGTCTGACAGACTGCCTGACCGAAGCCACGATAATATTTGCCGGGTTTAATTCTGGTAGGTTGACACTGAGACCGGGATTCTCTTGGTTCGTCCATAATGCCCTTGTCGCATCAGCTGGGGATATAGTCGGGGTCTAATTGGGTGGTGGTGCGTCAGACTAACGCCGCTGCGGACGCCGTGCTCGGGGTTCAACTACAGCCCTGGTCCACAGGTTCGCCGTTAACGATTCAGCGATGGCAATCGAGGGGAACAGGTGGGTTCTCCGTGCGGATCAGATGAACTGTTTGCTGCCCGATCAACTAAATTCTCCCTCGAGAAAGATTCGAGAGGCTACGGCTTAATGATCGCCTAGACTACTGTTCTGCCAAGTAGCGACCGTGGTGCTGAATTGGAGAAATCGTGTATTCCGCTTTTCGGGAATCTAAAAAAGGATAAAAATTTCGCTTTAAATTTTAGTTTCGTACTTCGTTTACATCCTGGATAGAAGGTTAATATCGGCTTCGTTTTATTCAAAATAGAGTCTTGACTTACCGGCTGACAGGCGTGAGACCAAGAAGTCGCATGCCGTTGTTCAGGACTTGCCGGGCGGACTCGTACAGAGCCAGACGGGCCTTCTTCACCTCAGGCTCGCTGCCCACAACTCGGAGGGTATCATAGCCGGAGCTGAGGATGTGAGTCATACGGAAAAGGTAGGTGACGATGGTGGTGGGTTCGAGAGTCTTGGTGGTTTGAGCGATGGTGTCGGGCCACTGTGACAGCAGACGAACAAGGTCGGTGGCGTGGGCTTCCGTTAGGAGATCGAGGTTGGCTGAAGAGAGCTCCTCCACGTTCATCTCCGCCTTACGGACAACAGAGCAGAGACGGGCGTGGGCATATTGCAGATAAGGACCGGTGTCTCCTTCGAACGATGTCATGGCATCGAGGTTGAAGTCGTAGCCGTTGATACTATATTAACGTTAGGGTGTTAAATTTTATAGACGGGACAGGGTAACGTACCGCTTTCCAGACATATCCTGTACCATGACGGAGGTGATACCCAGGATATCAGCCGTCCGCTCAGGGTCCTCAATCTGCTCGTACTTGGTGGCGTTCTTCTTCATGACCTCGTGCATCTTTTCGCCGACGTCCTTCAAGATATCATCCAAGAACTTCACGGTACCCTTGCGGGTACTCATTCCGCGGACCATACCGAAGTTGATGTGCTGGCACCGGCTAGCCAGGTCCTTGTAGCCCATGAGCTCTGTGATCTTGAAAAGCTGAGCCAAGTGCAGATCTTGCTGGGAGGCAACAACATAGATCATCTTGTCGAAGTGGTACTCCTCATCACGCTCGAGAATAGCACCGATATCACGGGTCAGGTAGAGTGGCGTACCGTCCTTTCGGACAATGATGGCCTTTCCAAGCTTCTTCGCGCCGTGCTTGACAAAGTCAACGATAACGGCACCCTCGGACTTCTCAGAAACACCGCTCTTCTCTAGTGTGTCGTTCGCGGTAGACATACTCTCCTGTTTGATTTGCGACTCGCCAGAGTAGGCATCGAAATCGATGTTCAGGCGGGCGTATGTTTCCTTGTATTTCTGGATACTGAGCTCACGGAATCGGCGCCAGAGGGCCAGAGCATCAGCGTCACCGTCCTCCATGCTCTTGAAGTAGCGACGTGCCTTCTCGTCCTCACTGACATCAACAAGCTTCGCGAGCTCCTGCTCAAGTTCGGCGACATCCTCGCCCTTCTCCTTCTTCGTCTTGATCTGCTCCTTAAGCTCCTTAATCGGACCATCCTGCTCAGACACAATGCCATTGACCTTGACGTAAACATCAAACAGATGGTTAATGGGGTCCTTCAGTAGCTTCTCCTCATCACCGAACTTCTTGTATCCGTTCGCAAGCAGACCATACTGCTTACCCCAGTCACCGAGGTAGTTCATCTTGGTAACATCCCACCCGACAACAGTGTAAAGGTTGGCCAAGAAACCACCAATAATGGTGCTCCGCAAGTGCCCAGCATGGAAAGGCTTCGCAATGTTAGGCGACGAAAACTCCACGATCATCTTCTTCCGGCCCTTTGAAGGATCCTGGGGGTCGCGCAGACCCAGGTTTCCATTCGATCCATACGCCGCCTTGTTGCTGAGAATCTTTCCGATGACGTTCTTCGAGAGCGGCGTAGTCTTGAAGAAGAATGTGAGGTGGACGCCATTGGCGATGGGGGGATTGACGAGATCGGATTCCGGGAACTTCGATGCGAGCTCTTCGGATAGTTCTTGCGGCTTCTTTCCTTTGATTTGCAGCGAGGGAACCTAGGAAATCCATTTCGCGTGTTAGCCATACCGCGTGAGATGAATATACTGGCTTGATGATCGCGTACCGGCAGGACAAGGTCACCCTTATCCAAAGTGTTCGTCCATTGCAGGCGGGTATAGATCTTCTCGGCGTCAATGTCCGCGGCAGCGCCCAAGCTCTCAGCAATGTGCTGTCTGTAAAGATCTACGGGATTCAGAGACGGAAAGCAGTTAGGGAACTTAGATGTCTCCGAGGTAGTCTGGAGAGAGAGCGACTCGACTGCCGCAGGGAGAGAAGTAGCAGACGCCATGGCTGGGGCTACGCTTCTCGTGAATCCTCGAACAGAGGGTAGACGAGAGGGATTAAAAAGGCGAAAGGAGTAAGGGCAATTTCGCAGTGCGGCAGAGTTATTCCGGAGAGGATAGGATAGGATGCTCCTGCAGAGGGTGGTGGAAAATCGTTGAGCCCCGCTAACCAGACTGTGACCCATAGAGGGGGATTCTTTGAGCTCCTATCAACTGCAAGAGGGGAACTTTTTTTCTCTTCCAATGACTCAAACCGGCAGTTCTGCTGCCCTGTCAGTCGACCACCGGGCGGTGAGCATAAAGTTATTGTCAGTGACTCTAAAGCCCTAGCCCTAGTTATTTCCCAAATTGGCGATACTTTCGATTGGAGCTTAGTCTCTGACGTCAACGCTCCAGGCCTGTTTTACTAGCTGGACTATACGGAAGATGCAATCCTCTATTTCCAATATGGTACTCTCAACGCCCATGGTCCAAAATGGCTGACCGGCGCCAAAAGGCCATATCGCGCTCTATCCTACGCGCTTTAACCCGTCGGGGAACCGCGCGCATTTCGCTAATCCAGCGCATCATCGCCTTCTTTCACATCTACTACCTGACCCTCATCCGCTACGAAAAGGAGCTTTTCCAGAAACTGCGCACGGAAATATGGAGTCTCAGCGAAGAAGAGTATATATCTTGCTTCAAGACAGATGGAAAGTCTTCCTTGGTCTCTATGGGCGATTTAGGCTTCTCCGGTTCGGTCCGTACATTCTTGTCCCAGTTGATCGCATTCAATTATCATGATAGGATCAAGTCTAACAATACAGTAAAGACCTTCTTCAGAACCTCCAACTCAGCCTTTCTTGTAAAGAGCGTTCCCAGACACTTTGAGCACTCATTCTTCCGCAAAGACCTCCTCGAGCCTTACTACCAATACATGCGCAACCACCCTGAATCCCTCCTCGTCTGGATAACAGACTACATCTACGCACCATACACCTCGATCGGTAGTATTTTGCGCACATCACCAGCACACCACATAATCATGGACAACATGCTCTACGGGAAAGAAGAACTGCCAGACGGCGACAAATGGGAAACCTACGACCTCAAACCAATCGACTATTTCTACCCTGAGCGCGACCTTGTGCCGGACCCGCTAGTGAGCGAAGACACGTTGGAACGACTAGCTGATAAGTTCGAGGACAAAGTGCGGCTTAGCCGGAAGAACTACGAGGCCGTGAAGCGGACGTTGGAGACAGACACTGCGTTCCTTGCCTCGGCGAATATCGTGGACTATTCCTTATTCCTGGTGCGGTTTCCGGCATCGCTCAAGCCTGAGAGTTTGGGGCGCAAGACGCAGTGGCGTGTTGGTGTGACATCGAGCGATGGGGTTTGGAAGTATCGGGCTGTTGTGTTGGATTTCTTTTGGGCCAAGCATAAGCTGCATGCGCAGGCCATGACGGGTGCGGTGGAGGCGTTTAATGTTATAGGGCGACAGGGCCCCATGAGTATCACGACTACGGCTGATGAGTATCGGGAGAAGTTCCTGACTATGGCGGATGAGATGATGGAAGTACATGTGCCGCCATCGGAGCAATGATAGGTGGGTTTGTTATCAACTTTTCGTTGGGAAGGTGTCTATATATCAACATTTGTAATATAATATCGAACCACTTAATCTGGCAATTTCCTGAAATGAATATAACACCATAGTTATATTTTGTAAACCCGGGTCGGATCGTCTGATGAACGCATGATAAATGTAGCTGTAGTGTATCTAGTCAACTCCTACGCCTAGTGGATATCCCGTCCCAAAATTAGTTCAGTCCGAGCTATGCAGGTTGAGCACAAATTGTCGTTTCGCTTAGAAGCAGAAGACCTGGTCCTCGAGCTTGCTGACAGGGCGGGCCTTGGTGTAGCCGAGAGACTCGGTAGCCTTCTTCATGGCGCTAACCATGGGAGGAGGACCGCAAAGAAGGATCTTGATATCAGAAGCGGGAGCAGGGAGACGTTCCTACAAGTGTCATTGGTTAGTCACTGCAGCCGTCTAGTTTGCACAAGAGACAAGACTCACCTTGATCATGTCAGGGGTAACGAAGCCGACACCACCAGTCCATCCCTCGGGAGGGTTGTTGAGAACGTAGTAGACGCGGAAACCATCGTCCTCGGCAATAAGCTTCTCCAGCTCCTCCTTGAGCAGGATGTCGTCGGGGTTGACATTGGCGAAGATCAGGTCCACCTGGGTGGTGTCGTTTCCGCCGTTGCGGGGACGGTTGCGGATAATGGCCTTGATGATCTGGAGCATGGGTGTGATACCGGTACCTCCAGCGATCATACCAATGTGGCGGCACATGTTGGGAGTGTAGACCATGGCACCCTTGGGGCCGCGCACCTTCATGGTCTGGCCGACTTCCAGGGTGGTCAGGTACTTGGAGATGTTACCCTGGGGGTACGCCTTGACGAGCAGGTCGAAGTAGCCGGCTTCATTGTCGGAGGAGATGGGGGTGTAGGAGCGCACAACCTCCTTAGGCTGGCCCTCAATGGTGGCGGCGAGAGAGATGTGCTGGCCGATGGGTAGACCGAGAATGTCGGTGGGACGGGGCAGGGCAAAGCGGTAGATGGTCACATTGTGGGAGACCTCGTTCTTCTCCTTCAGGAGGTAGTCTTGGAACTCGGTAGGGTTCAGGACCTTTCTCGCTTCTGCAAAGCATGTCAGTCAGCCCATATGCGCATGTGACATTCCGCGACTGCTGCACTTACTGGGAGCGCCGCCGCCAGACGCCAGCAGCTTGAAGCCAGTGAAAAGGGCAGCTGCAGCGACGGCATAGGGCGTCCATTCATTCTTGACAAAGAATGTTCCGACCACGAGAAGAGCAGAGGGAATGAAGACCGCAGTGACGTTCTCCGCAGAAAAGGCACTATGAGCATCCGACATCGGTCAGCTATCAATTGGAGACTGCAGAGCAGAAGGAGTGAGAATACCTCATGTTGACGACTTGTGAATCCTCCGGCAGCCCCGATACGGAAGAAGAGAAAGGAAAATAAACAGCGAAAGGAAGAGAAAGCGAAGAGGAAGAGAAGTGGATGGAGCGGGCGGAATGGCAGAAATCCAAGCTCGGTCTGTAGTCGGTCTGCAATCGGGGTATTTCAACTTGGTGGGCGGGTAATGTGACGGTAATTACGCCTCCGCTCAACACTCTTCGATCTGGAGATAAGTACTACCAGTACCAAGTAGCTGGAAGTTCTGTGCTCAAGCTTATAGATATGGCTCGGTCTAGAATCGCAGAGATTCTCGAATGAAAATAATACCGTAGAAACCGTGTTGGATGCGGAATTGACTCCAGCAGTGCTGACTGCAGGGCAGGACCCCCGGTGCCTTTTGTGACTCCTTTGACAGCCCCCGCTGAGGGGACAAAATCACCATTTGCATCCCCCCCTGTTGCCTTAATCAAGGTCGAATTCCGCACTGCTTCCTCAGCTAGTCTACGGCTTGCCTATCTTGACTAAATATTCCGGGGCCAAAATTTCATCGCATTCACCATGACAGTCGAGGAAGAGCCGCCGGCTTTCCACCTCACAGACGTAGACCGAGCGGTCCTCGCTCAAACAGACGAGGAATTCATCTACCACGACTGGAAAGACCTGCAGGATGTCATCGGTATGAATACCTTGTCTTTCTCTCCTCCTCCGCCTGCTCCCCTCCTCTCTTCCCCTCCCCCTCAATTCCAACTCCTAATACCCCAGTCCCAATCCGTTCTCCGAGACACCCAACAAGCCCAACTAACCCCCGCACAGCGCGAGGCGATCTCGGCATCCTGAGGCGGAAACCCTCCGATCTGATCCGATATCTCCAATGGTCCAAAGACACTAAGGCCGAGTATGGCACGATCACCAACTACATTTGCCAGCGGCGCCTAGGGTGGCAGTTACCGACGGATGAGACCGCACCGGATTTCAAAAACCCGATCCCCTTTGCCGACCCCGCAGACTACAAGATTCTCCGCAACGACTGGCCGTACGGGCTGGCGAAGGGCATCGCGCATATCGTCGTCTGGTCGCGGACCCCCATCCCTGTGCAGGATGAGAATGGGGTCATTACGAGCGAAAGCCATGCGCTGATTGAGGACTTTGTGCAGCGCACTTTTGTAGACAGGCTTGCGAAGGACGGGATTGAGGATCCGAAGTCGCATGTCTTGTGGTTTAAGAATTACACCGCCCTTCAGAGTGTGAGGGGGTTGGAGCATGTTCATGTGCTGGTTAGAGATGTTCCTGATCAGTATTTGCATGAATGGACGGGCGAATAAGTGGGATAGAGTATAGAGTAGAGTTAATTACTACGGGCTCAATCTATTGAGAGTATAGAGAAGATTTGGAATGCCTCAAACGTGCTAGTATTGGGAATCCTGGACCTGAGTAAAGTACAAATATTAAGCACGGAAAAGTAAAAAAGAAACAAATAAATAGATATCAAGCTCCGAACAGCCTTTCCATAGAACAAAACTAATCATTACCAGTCATCCCCGTCAGCAGTTACCAGCCAACCGACATCTATGACTTCTGCTCATCAACGAACTTAAGCGCCTCCTCTCTTGACACGACGTCGATAGTACTAGCCTTCTGCCGGAAGCTCACACCGTAGCACTTTTCGGCTACATGCAACATCTCTGGACGGAAGGTTGTGCAGATAAACTGTCCATTTGTGGAGTCGGAAATGGCCTTGAGCATTGTTGCAACAGCGGTTCGGTATTGAGCATCCAAATTGGCGTCGATCTCGTCAAAGAGATAAAATGGTGCAGGGTCACAGGCTTGGATAGCGAAGACCAAGGCAAGAGCGCAAAGACCTATTCCATGTTAACAACTGAGGGAAATAATCTACGATGAGGGAGACTCACTCTTCTGTCCTCCACTAAGTTGCTGGATACGCTGCTGGTCGTCATGCTTGCTGTTAAAGCTGACGCTGATGCCAACTCCAACATAGTTCTCTACACTTTGCTTCGCATCCTCATCATCGGACTCGAGATCGTCCTCTTGTCGCTGGGTGCGGTCGGTTTTGCGCTGGATAATCAAACGCCCGCGGCCTGCAGGAACGAGCTTCTCGAAAATATTGGCAAATTCACGAGACACTTGCTTAAAAGTTCTCTCAATGGCCTCATCCTTCCGTTGGTCCAGAACTTGGATCAAGTCATCAATTGATTTTTGGGACGCTTCGAGCTCTTCTCGTCGACTTGTCAGTGTCTCTCGCTGCTTGGTGAAGTTGTTGTACTGCTCAAAAGCTTTCTTGTTGACATGCGAGTATTTCTTCAGGGCCTCGTTGGCTTTATGCAGCCTCTTAACCACTGTGTTGGAATCTGTGTTCTTGTACTTGGTGAAAGCTTCATCCGGAAGGACACCGAGATCACGAATGTTGGCTGCACACTCAGCCGCCTGTTTCGTCAGGGCAGCCTTCTTTTGCATACTCTTCTCCATGCGACGCTGGTGCTTTTCAATCGACTTGGCAAGCTCCTCGAGGTCCCGTCGGGAGTCGGAATTGCGTTGGCTAAGTTCTGTCACGCGTGTGTTCGCTTGCTCGATGGACTCGTCTACCTGAGCAAGCCTTTCACCAAGCTTATCCAAGGCCTTTGTGAGACGCTTCTGCTCACGCTGGGTTTCTTTGATGTTCCCTGTGCCATCCTCATCAGCCAGGTCTGCGTCCTGGCCAACAAGCTGGTCAAGGCGAGGGTTCAAGTTCTCCCGTAACTCGGACTCCAGGACAGACTTCCGTCCCTCCAGCTCACTGCGTTGACTTGAAAGTTCTTGATACTGTCGACGATACTCCTGAGCCTCGGAATTCAAAGATTCCAAGCGTGTTTCTTCTTCATCGCTGAGTGCCTTTTGGAACGCCGAGGAGAGTTCACCTTCAAAGGCATCAACTTGGTCTTTCAGGGAGGCAAGATTGGTCTCAATGTTGCGAAGAGCTCGTCGCTTGGCATCCAAGTTGTCGTTCTGCTTCTGGAGGAGATCACGCTTGCTTCTCAGCTCTTGTCGCAGCGGCCCACTGCTGTTCTGTACCTGGTGTCTTTGCTGTTCCAGTTTTTGCAGCTCACCCACGGCTCTGGTGATGAGCTGATCTAGGTGTTCAAGCTCCTTGCGAATTTCAGTTCCGCGGTTCTTCTTTGTCTCGTACTCGTCCCTCCATTTTCCGAGGCTCTTCACAGCATCCAGGCGAGATGACCGCGTATCATGGAAACCACCAGTAAGAGCACCTCGCTTATCAGAACGATCTCCCTCGGGCGTGATTGCGTTGACGCCATGGCTTCGGGCATACTGTGCTGCAACTTGAAGATTGGGGCAAATGATCGTTTTGCCAAAGACATGTTGGAAAGCCTTGTCATATTCACGATCATACTGCAACTTCTCGATCATCGGGATTGTGTCGCTAGCCTTGGGCAGATTAAGTGGCTTGCTTCTTAGCCGGTTGAGAGGCATAAAGGTGACTCGGCCCCCCTTTTCTTGTTGGAGAATTTCGAGAACTTTGATAGCAGTATCATCTGTGTCAACAACATAGTGGAATAAGCTCTGGCCGGCCGTGACCTCAACAGCAGTACGGTATCGTTCATTCACGTCGAAGAGCTCAGCAAGAGTCCCATAGACACCTTCTAGGTTGTGCTGTCGCTTGATCCTGCGCACTGCAGCAATACCGCGGCTTGTGTTATGGTCCATCATATGAGAAAGATTGCGGTCCGCGCGGTCAACCTCGTTTGATGCATTCGACAAGATCGAGTCTAGTTTCGCCTCTTCTCGCCACAACTCCCTATAACTAGTCAGCAATTTGAAACTGCATATGATACTTCCTTGACATACTTTCGCTGGTCCATCAACCGGTCTCTTTCATCTTTGGCACTTTGCACCTGCTGCTCCACCGACTGGATGGTATCGCCCCTGCCATCGATCTGCTGGCGCAGGCGCTCCTGTTCCGGTTCAAGGAGCGCAATTTCATTCTCGAGCTCTTTGATGTCTTCCTGTGTCTGCGACAATACTGACTGCACGCTAGATATAGAAGTGTAGTTGTTCTTAATCTCTGCCTGAAGCCACTTGTCTCTCTCGGACTTGTTCTTAAAGCGTGAATTTCTGCCTTGCTTCGCATATAGTCTTTGACGGATCGTTTCAGCCTCAGTGAGTTTGGCCTTGACATCGTCCTCCTGATCCTTTGCTGCGTTGAAACGGGGTGTCAGTTCCTGTAGCTCTGAGTGGCGTTCCTGGATGGCGGCTTGGACGATCTTTAAATCTTCGTCGTGGCGCGACTTCAGGGCTTGAGCAGCGGCCTGGTTATCCGAGAGTGACTTGGCTTGCAACTCTACCTGAGCAAGGGCCTTCGAGGCCTCACGTCGCTCATCTTCCAGCTGTGCTTTGTCGACTTTCAGAAACTCGATCTGCTGTTTGCACTCGGCAATCTCGGCGTCAACCTGCGCCATTTCCCTCTCCCCCTGGATGAAACGGTCACGGTTGACGTCCGTATCCTCAACACCAGTTTGTCGTTGCTCTTCGAGGCTGTCGAGGAAACTCGAAATTTCTTGCTGTTCGCGAGAGTAGATTGTGTATTCCAAGCACCTTCGCTCCTTATCCTTATCCTGGAAGTTTCTCAGCTCATCCTTCTCCTCCTCAAGCTCCGCGAGTCGTTCGTTTATGAACTCCAACAGCTCGTCGATTTTCTCCCGCTTGCTGTTGGTCTCGTGCATGATCTTCAGGGATTCCGCACGACGCGCCTCGTAAACTTGAGTACCGGCGACTTCTTTCAACAGGTTCAACCGTTCTGAATCCTTCATATTGGTCAGAGCTGTAACTCGACCTTGTGGTACGATATAGTAGGGGTTCGATCGTGAAAAGCCGGCCGACTCGAGAAGGTTCATCACGTCAGATTTCGTCGCATTTTTTCGGTCGAGGGTGTATTCATCTTTCTTCAAACCAATTGTTCGGCGAAGAACGACTTCCGGCCTTCCGGTCGGGAATCGATCATCGGAGTTGTCAAAAATGATCTCAACGTACGCCGACATGACAGCGGAACCCGAACCTTCCTACTCGTTGTAAGCATTTATCCTGCAGCTGCAAACCAGTTGACATACGTGCAATAGAGCTTGTCGCTCTTCTCTGCCTAGGTGAGTATAGGCATCACTAAGGACGAACCGAATGGCCGCGAAGAAGTTACTCTTCCCCGATCCATTGCGGCCGACGATGACATTGTGTTTGGGCGAGAAGGGCTCAATGACCGTTTGGTCCTTGTAGCTGGAGAGTTAAAAAGGCACATTAGCTCCAGCCTATTAACTGCTATCCAATGCGCATGGGACGGCTCACCTCTTAAAGCCCTGGATAATAATCTGCTTGACATACATCTTGACCGACACACGCGAAAACTCAAGAAGCTGCGGCGTCTACAGCATCACGCGGGCGAAACCGCCAGAAACAAAATCCAACTCCCTGACCGTATATCGCAAGGTGATTGTTGCAAAGAAGCGCCAGGAGCCAGTCGTCGGACCAAGTGTTGATGGCCTCGATGCGCCGATACCGACAGCCTCAACAGAACGCGCACCCACGCGTTTCTCGTCCGCCAGCGGGGTTTCTGCCGGGCGGTCAGCACCGGTCGATCCACACGCATTTTGTCCAATCAGGGAAATTTAGATCTGATAAAGGCACTTTTTTTCTACCCAAATTTCTGCGGAACACACTTGATACCTTTTACGAGTTTCGGGATTAGGAGGTTATCACATTCGTTCGCCATCATGGCTTCAGATCCAACGACCGACACTGCGTCCCCTGCCGATGGCCTAACACCTTCCCACACCTATGTCCCTAACAAAGGGTATGCGAACCCTGATGGCACAGTCCCCGCTATGGCGGGGCAAGACCTGACACCGAACGACGAAGATAACGATGAAGACGAAGACTATTATGACGATATTTTTGAGGAGGAGTTAGACGAGGCTGATTTCAATTCATCAAACCCTGCAGATCTCACAAAAGCCTACAATCGTCAACGCAAAGTAAACGAACTCGCCGCCGACCCCAACGCTCCTAAATGGACATACCCGAAGACGAACACGCAGAAGCCTACTGTCAATACGTATGCATCCGTCGACGACGAGATAAAGTCGTTGACTCGTCATGCTGGCAAGATCAAGCTCGATGATATGCAGTCCGGGTTGGCTGTGCGTGGGGAGCGTGGCGCCGACAAGGCGGACAGAGCTACCTCAGAGCAGGTATTAGATCCCCGGACTCGCATGATTCTTCTGCAAATGATCAACCGCAATGTCGTCTCCGAGATCCACGGATGTCTCTCAACCGGTAAAGAAGCCAACGTATATCACTCGATGCTACAACCAGAGGATTTCGATGCCGCTCCGATACACCGTGCGATCAAGGTATATAAGACAAGCATTTTGGTCTTCAAGGACAGAGACAAGTACGTCACGGGAGAATACAGATTCCGTCAGGGTTACAACAAGAGCAACAATCGAGCGATGGTTAAAATGTGGGCCGAAAAGGAAATGCGCAACCTGCGAAGAATATACGCCGCTGGCATCCCTTGTCCTGAGCCGATCAGCCTGCGGCTCCACGTTCTGGTTATGGGCTTTGTCGGAAACTCCAAGGGCATAGCCGCCCCGCGGTTGAAGGATGTTGAGTTCAGCATTCCTGAACCCGAAACCAGGTGGCGTGAGCTCTACATTGACATGCTAGGCTACATGCGTGTAATGTATCAAACCTGCCACCTAGTACACGCAGATCTTAGCGAGTACAACACCCTTTACCACAACAATAAGCTATACGTCATCGATGTCAGTCAGAGTGTGGAGCACGACCACCCGCGGAGTTTTGAATTCCTGCGCATGGACATCAAGAATGTTGGCGATTTCTTCCGTAGAAAAGGCGTTGAGACCCTTGCCGAGAAAGTTGTTTTCGAGTTTATCATTGCTCCTACCGGCCCAGCTACGGTATCGGAAGAGCTGAACGAGGCTGTGGAGAAGCTTTTTACTATTGAAACTGAGGCAGGCGATGAAGTTGATACTGCCGTCTTCCGTCAACAGTATATTCCTCAGACCTTGGAGCAAGTCTATGATTTCGAACGTGACGCGGAGAAGGTTCAAGCCGGTGAAGGTGGCGACCTTGTATACCGAGACCTTCTTGCCCGCGAGAAACAACCAGCGGGAGCCGAAGATGAAGACTCGGGTTCGGATGTCAGCGGAGGCGTTTCAGTTGGTGGTTCTGACTCCGAGGACGACGAAGAGAAGGATCCGTTCGAAAAGAAGGCTCCCCGGGGAAAGCGATTTGAGGATAAAGACTCCAAGAAGGAGCATAAGAACAAGGTCAAGGAAGAGAAGCGCGAAAAGAGGGCTAACAAGATGCCGAAGAATATGAAAAAGCGCTTGGTCTCGTCCTCCTCCAGAAAGCACAAGTGAACAATCCAACATTGGCATATCGAATCCGCAAATTATACATATTTGCATCAGCTTGCTTCCCAAGCGAGTTACACGGTTTCTTGAAGTGCCATTCCGCACTTTCAAACATCTGAACCGCAGCAACTACGACAAGTAGTCAGGCTGGTTCACCCATTCGGCGCATGCCATCCGGACGAGGGTAACGATGCCCTCAGAGCTTCCATTAAGGCCATCTCCTTAGTATGCTAAATTCTCACGAGTCCCGACTAGATCCCACAAATACCTATCTCGGTCAAATAGAGTACATTATCATTCTTCTATATTGCGTAGAGTAGTTGCTACCTAGCTACTTCGCCCAAACAGCTCCATCAAACCCATCCATCAAAGCCGTATACTCTTCCCCTTCATTAACCCAACCCTTGATTCCGCCCTCCAATTTCCAACTCTTCACCTCACTCTCCGCACCTTGGTCGGCAAGATAATCCGCAAACCACCCAGCAGCGCGGGTGCCACGACCACCACAAGACCCTACATTGGAATTGCGATCAGCAATCACCAATAACAGTAGACCAGGTCCCAAACTCAGTAAGACAATAGAGAAGAGAAATTGGAACATACCACAGTAAAAAACGACATCCTTCACTCCCGCGGCGCGAACAAGGCTATACAGCGTAGACAAGGTCGGGTAAAGGCTCTGCGCGGGGAGATTCAACGAACCCCTTATCGTGCCTCCCTCTAGATCTGTCCTGCGGAGGTCGACGAGCAGGGAATCTGTTCCGGGGGCTTTCGTGCCTTGTTGGAGCCATTGGAGGAGGGTGGCGCGGGGGAGAGCTGGGGGATCTGAGGTGCGGGGGACTGGGAAGGAGGCATGCCAGGGGGCCGGTTCTGTCATTTTGGACGAGTGCAGAGGTGATTTAATTGTAATATGAGATGTTGGGTAGTTGTTTTGGATTTGTAGACGGTGGATGATGATTCCGAGGTTGAGCTGTCACTGCGGGGTTGTCATTGGTTCGAGAGGGGCATCTCCAGGTACGAAGCAGCTGGATATTACCAAGGTTAACCGCCTGGGCAACATAGGAAGTAGTTATCGATTACCTTAGTACTACTATGAGACCACTTGATTTTCGATTCCTGCTTGAATCCTTAGATCAGCCCCGCTCCTGCCTAAACTAGTCAACACTATATTCTGACTGAACGGCCCATCATCAACTTTCAGCCTCAATCCCTGAACACGTTTCCTCCACCCTCTTTTTATGCTGCCTGGAGCCGGATGTCTTTCAGATATTCGTATATATAGGTAGTCCTCTGAAATACCTTTAACCACAGTTATATATTTTCAGTTCACCACAACCTTCAACCACATCCCCAATATATATCCAGCCGCCTATACCAACACCACAAAAATGACTACACCTATTCAAAATATCCCCAAACTGCACCTCCTCTGCATGGAATCCAAATTCATAACGGCCTTCAACAAAGCCATACAAACTCACTGGCCCTCCTACCAGCCAAACAAGCCCACCGAATTCCCATCTATAGAAATCCACAACAGCCGGCTAGCCGCCGTCCCCGCCAGCACAAAATTCGACCTCGTCGTCTCCCCCGCAAACTCCTACGGCCGATTAGACGGCGCATTCGACGACGCTATCTCGCGGGCCTTCTGCGAGCCGCATCACCACTACGACACCCTCACGCATGCGGTCCAGGATGTGCTGTACGAGAAGTATAGAGGGTTTCTGCCCCCAGGCGCGTGCGAGCTTGTGCGCTTTCCCGAGGAGTTAATTGGTCAGAACCCGTGGGGGTGTAAGTGGGTAGCGATCTGTCCGACGATGAGGACGCCCGATAATGTGGTTTGGGATCGGGAGATTGTGTACCAGTGTGTCTGGACCTTGCTTTGTGCGATTGAGGGGTGGAATCGGAGGGCTGGGACGGATGGTGGTGCCGGTAGTAGTCGGATTGAGAATATACTTATCACGCCGATGGCGACGGGATGTGGTGCTGTCAGTCCGGATAGGTGGGCGGCGCAGCTGGTGCTGGCGATGAGACATTTTGTGGCTGCGCTTGAGAAGCCGGAGAGATGGTCGAGATTGGGCTGGGGAGAGATTTATGATGATACAGATGATGTTGAGAAGACTTGGAAATACGCTTAGTCTTAGAGGTAAACTTGTCTGGGGTCTATTGGAAACTGCAGATGCGTTTGCTTGGGTAGGTGAAGATTCATTCTTACTATAAGTACTATATTTTAGACCTATCAGAGCTCTCTTTGATCTCCATTCCAGCAGACAGTGCACTCGAGCGTTTACATCAGCGGCGATGACCGGAGTATACGTCTGCGAGCCTTGCATGAAGGCTGGATCAGCACAGGCAAGGCCTGGTAATAATAAGTTCATCACGTAGGTCATCAGATTAAGTCACAAGGTGCAGCGCTGTATACAGATGGTCAAGCGAGTATGAAAATGGTCAAGAATTAAACTTCCTGATGCTCGAGCATATTTCTGCTCTTGTTCTTTAGGCGAGCCAGCGCCTGCTCAACAAGGGTCTTGGGTAAATCAGGAAGCACTTCACCAGAGCTAGAGCTTTGCGGATTGTTTTCCGGCTGGCCAGTCTCATTTCCCCTGACCTCAACTTGTGGTTCTGGACCCTGGTCAGGGTCCTGGTCAGGATTCTCCTCGAGCACGCCTTTCAGCGGACCACCAGAGATGCGGTGAAACTCGACGCGCATTGGCTCACGGCTTAATCCCGGCCAAATATCAGACGGGAGGAAGTCACCTTGTTCGACTCGGAATGTTTCACGGGCGTTGACGTCTTCCTCGTATAGGACATCGAGTTTGTGACGTGTATCGCGGAGGATCTTTTCGACCCGGTGGCGCACGTGTCGACGGCGTGCGGCTTCAATGATGAGACCATCATAGGCGTCTAGGAAGCCGTCGTACAAGGAGCTGAGGTCCGAGAGGTCTGCTAGGCCACCCTTGATGCGGTCGTGTTCGTCATTCCATACGCCGGTGAAACTATGAGCCTGCGCGATATATCCGGGTAAGCGAGTAGATGCAAGGGATGATAAGTGGTTGTAAACTTCTTTAGTAGCTTGGTAGACGGCGAGAAAGGTATCTCGTTGGGCGAGGAGGTGTTCCATGACGGACTCCATCTCTCCGATACGGTCCTGGATCTCCATCACGACATCTTCCGCCTCAGCTGCGTCATCGATGATGACTTTCACCATTTCTCGATACTCGGTATTGCTTAGGGGGTCGAGCGGGGCGTTCACGTTTGCGTTTATGCTCTCCGCTTCATGATCTGGGCCACCGCGGCTGCTGATTACTCCGGCGGGCATGTCTCCTGTTATTGATTGAGCGGCAGCTCCTCCGCCTTCTGTGTGTTTAACGGCCGTGACGCAGAGGTCGAAATGTTGGACCAATGATTCTAGCAGATTCGCCATCTCTTGCGCGTGCGTCTCGAGCGAGTGCACCATCGACGGCATCGACGAAAGAGACGGAAAACTTGAGCTAGATCCAGACTGCGAGCCGGATGAGGAAACTGAAGAGCGGGAGGATGTCAGCTTTGTCGTCGCCCGGTAATTCCCCAACGCTTTCTTGATTGACTGCAGCTCGTCATCGAAAGCATGATTGGAAGAGTCTAATTCCGCCTGAGCGGTATTTGTACGATCGATCGAGTTTTTCAGTGTGCCGTGGAGTTCCTCAACACCCCGCTCATCCACGAAATCATGTAGGCTCTTAGGCTCTTCCCCCTCGGGACGAAAGGATGCATGCACGATCGTTTCTCGAAGCAGCCCAAGTGTCTTTTTCAGGCGCGCGTCAGCTGCATCAAGGCTCTTCAGAGCTCCAGCGAATTCCGAGCGCCCCCTGAGGGATACTTCCTCTACCTCGGCTCGTACATTGTAGAGCAGTCGCAGCTGATTGTTCAGACCGCTGCGTAAAAAGCCTGTGCGCGCGGAGACCACCACGCTTTCTTCCAGCGTGGAGCGAGCGGTTGTAACAATCTCATTTGCCCTCCAGACATGGTTAATCGATGATAAGGACCTTTTTGCTGCGACCAGATGTGAAATCAGTGTTTCCAGTGTAGGCGGCCCTGTCTCGTGGCCCGGTATGGGCTCAGCAGGTGGAAGTGAACCGCTGGATCCGGAGTCGGAATCCAACGCTGACATGTCGGAGGCCAGTCTCACGGAGGGCGTGGTCTCATACGTTGTGACGCAAGCAAGCAGCAAGCGACCGCTTTATCGCGCACCCAATGAATATCTGGACGGGAGAGCAGCGGGGATACAAGATGGTGATTCCTTGATTGATTGCTTTGAAGCTCGACGGTCGACGACGTGACCCGCTGTCACGGGACCGATTGTGCTCATAGATACGCCCGTGATGTAACTTGCCCGGTCCCTGTTTACAGACGATCTAGAGCATCCAAGCCTACGAAGATGCTTTGAAACACCCTTGCCTAGACTCCAACGTACGATTCTTAAACTTTGAAAGCTGTCCGGAGTAGATCCTCTCCCGTGCGCGCTGTGCTGTTGAAATGCAACCAAGCGCGCGCAAATTTAGTCTTGATCAACCCATCCAGGGCGAATCAGATTTGCTCAACACTGCAGGGGAGGCTGCTTCCCAGCTTCCGGTCAGCGCTGAAACTGCACAGATCAATTGGCGTCGACTTGCGGTGAGACGAAGGCAGGGGGATTTGCAATTTTGCATGGGCAGGTTTCGGCTTCCACGCCAAACCGGTCGGCGAATGCGCAATTGGGAGGCGTTCCGGCAAATCCGGGATATCTCATGCAATCTTCGGCCGTTATCTCGTAATAGAGCTGTAGAGATAGCGTGATCCCAGAAGAAAGGGTGCACTGGGGACCGCCTGGGGTTAGTCACTGAAGCTGTGAACGGTGGGCGGTGGAGACTTCGCTGATTGCGTGCCAGATGCAAAACTGGAGCTTGAAGTCGCGGGGGATCTGAGGCCTGCGAAATTCTCGGGCGAATGAGTCGGGCCAGGTCCAGAATGCCAGCTTAGTGCCATCTCGCAGGCGAATGGTGTCAGCTCTGGCAAAGAAATCCCTTATCTTCGTCAAGCCGGGGCCTGATGGCGCCATCAGTTCACGTGACCCGTCCAGCGGCCCGGAGCACAAGTGGAGCCTCTGCCACAGCACGAGAGGCCGATCCTTACTTGCGTGATCGATGAGCCTTCTTCGCCTTCTCTCTTACCGCTTCTTATTAAACGGACAGGTTGGATTCTCGCCTCTTCGCTCTTTAATAGATCACATCCCACCCACTCCTTGCTTTGACTGGTGTCTTTCCAGGCGCTCAGCTTCGCTTTCACTCGATTCCTCACAGTCCCTCGAGCGGACAGATACCTTGGGAGGTCTCTCCTCAGCGAATTCGCCACCAACGCCAACAAGGTTCCCCTCCGATTTTAACCGCGACCGATAAGAATTGCGACCCCCGGACAGTGGCCTCTCGTTTTCGAACAACTCAGTCGACAGGATATTGAGCCTGGGACATGGTTGTTTGAGATCTAGCCGATAGCCTATTCGAAAATGTCGACTACTGGAGACAACGAGGTTTCGCACGTCTTGACGGAAAGAAACCGATCGAACGACGCCAGTGCTGGATCGCAAGACACACAAACGTCCTTCAAATCTCTGTTTGGCGGCACGTCACCGGAGGCGGAAGAGAAGGACACGGAATTCGACACTCACCAGCATTCATCCCACGGGTTCAGCAACGTAACAAAGGCGCCTGCAAAGCTGGCAACTCAGAATGTCGCGCCGTTTCTTGCCAAACACATCCCTGAACAATATGGCCCGCTAGGCGCTCGGTCGATTCTACCGGATCAACTGAACAGCACAAACTCGAAATACTGCTATCGTCATCGCCCGGACCTGAAATGCAGGCGACAAGCAGATGAGCCGTCCATGGATAAGCTACAACGAGTGAGTCCTCCTATGTTTCCTTCATCAATCACGTTATATGATGCTAACCTGAGATGTAAGGAGTTGGAATCGCTCCCCCAAAGTGACCAACAGAGCATCTCGCATGTTTGGTCCCTGTTCTCCGCCGCACCTGCCAAGCATCGGAAACTCTTACTGCAGGGCATAATGACCCAGTGCTGCTTCCCCCAGCTCTCGTACATTTCCGCTACCGTCCGCGACCTCATTCGTATCGATTTCATAACCGCGCTACCCCCAGAGATCTCTTTCAAGATTCTTTGCTATCTGGACACAACTTCACTTTGCAAGGCTGCGCAGGTTTCGCGCGGATGGCGGGCGCTGGCTGACGATGATGTGGTCTGGCATAGGATGTGCGAACAGCACATCCACCGCAAGTGCAAGAAGTGCGGCTGGGGTCTGCCACTACTGGACCGGAAGCGCCTGCGCGAGTCGAAGCGTGAAATCGAAATGCGTGCTACAAATTGGGAAATGGGTAGCACAGACGCAGAATCTGCGCAGGAGACACAGACTGACCAACAAACGGAGTCTTCGGGTATAGGCAAACGAAAGCTTGAGGAGGATGAAGTTGCTGTTGTCAAGCGTCATTGTTCGTCGCTCGGCACCGAATCCGAAAAAGATGAAGATTTCTTCAAGACCCGCTACCGACCATGGAAAGAGGTGTACAAGGACCGCTTCAAGGTTGGGACGAACTGGAAGTATGGCCGGTGCTCGATCAGATCGTTCAAAGGCCACACCAACGGTGTAATGTGTCTGCAGTTTGAAGACAACATCCTTGCTACTGGCTCTTACGATATGACAATCAAAATCTGGGACACCGAGACCGGAGAAGAGCTGCGCACCCTCCGTGGACACGAGTCCGGAATCCGTTGCCTGCAGTTTGACGACACCAAATTGATTAGTGGCAGTATGGACCGTACCATCAAGGTATGGAACTGGCGCACTGGCGAGTGCATTTCTACGTATACCGGACACCGCGGGGGAGTGATTGGGCTGCATTTCGATGCCTCAATTCTTGCTTCCGCATCTGTTGACAAGTCTATCAAGATCTGGAATTTCGAAGACAAGTCCACTTTCCTTATGCGAGGGCACACTGACTGGGTCAACTCGGTTAGAGTTGACACTCCCTCCCGAACTGTATTTTCCGCTTCTGATGACTGTACGGTGCGGCTTTGGGATCTGAACACAAAGGCTTGCATCCGGACTTTCCAGGGGCATGTGGGCCAAGTGCAGCAAGTTGTCCCTCTGCCCCGTGAATTTGAGTTTGAAGACCACGATGCCGAGTGTGATAACGACGACCACCTCAGCACAGCTTCTGGCGACACATGGCCACCTTCCATCCAAGCCTCGATGGGCTTAGAGCCCAATGCAGCCTACAGCCAGTCTTCAGTCTTTGGACCTTCTTTCGACAATGGCCGGTCTGCACCGCCACGATACATGGTTACGAGTGCACTTGACAACACGATCCGCCTCTGGGAGACTACGACCGGCAGGTGCCTGCGCACTTTCTTCGGTCATTTGGAGGGCGTCTGGGCACTGGGTGCTGATACTCTCCGTATTGTGTCTGGCGCTGAAGACCGTATGATCAAGATCTGGGATCCCAGAACAGGCACGTGCGAGCGCACATTCACTGGCCACTCTGGACCGGTGACTTGTATCGGCCTGGGTGACAGTCGTTTCGCTACTGGCAGCGAAGACTGCGAAGTCCGGATGTATAGCTTCTCTAGCTGAGACTGTATTCTGCTTTTATTTCTTTTCTGCAACATGTTTACATACTTTAATGACTTGTATTTATTATGGATGACGAATACCCTTTTGCCGGCGTTATTTGATTACTTTTCGCTGGTTTCTTCTCGTTGGTCCATATTCATGCAGCGATTTTCTGTTTACTGGGCGTTGGAAAAGTGCAGGGAAATGGGGCTTCAATGATTTCAACCATTTTCAACGCATGGCACTGGCATTTAACAGCCCAGATGGTTATTTTGAAGCGGCGGTTCTACTAGTTGAATCAATATTTTAATGTTTTACGTTTATTTCCCGTGTATCGCCATGTTTTATGGGGTGTTCGTGCCAAGCCGCAACCCAGTCTTAGCCCTAACTCAGTTTCGACTTGGAGAGTGAGGTATGCTTGTAGTACTTGAATACCCTGGCTCAGTATCCTGTTAGATTCCTGGTAATAACGAATGACGCTTCCAAATCCTAATATCTTTACAAATCTAGACTGCTGAAGTAGCATACCTAGCCCGAGTCCCCTAGGCTAAACAGCAAACTGTGTTCAGAGAAACTTCGACATGCCACTTTCTATTGGATAGGAGCGTTATTCCGCCAGGTCCCAGGCTCTTGATCCTTGGATCCAACCACTGTGTGCTATAGTTAAGTTTAGACTAAGTATAAAAATATTGACGCGCTACAACAGGTCCGGAGCCGCGATCCGACTGGATAGGAAGTGCTGCGCTGGTTAAGAAGCTTTTACAATGGGGGGCGAGGAGGATTTCCTGAGTGGTTGGCATGCGCAGAGAACGCGTAGACAGCCCTGAACTCTCACTTAGAGCACACCCCCGTGCTGTTCCGTACGCCTTACCCGGTCCGGGTGCGTGATGGAGAGACAGCTGTGCGTTCTTAGTACCCTGCTAATTACCGTGCTTGTTAGCTATGCAGCACCCTCCAGTATGGGGTGTGGGATCCGTGGAAAGGTACTGTCATGAATATAGCTTATCTAGTGAGGGAATGGTCGCGTAGGCTATCACAAGCTTCAGCCCTCCTAGCACAGGTCTTCCATGCTCCTATACCGGACCGTACCGATAGGCACTGACAACGCGAGCATTCGAAGGAGATAGTTTAAACCAAACCACCATACTTGACTCACAGCGTGAAGTTGGTTACCGAATCCGTATGACAGTTGGCTGCTAAGTTTTACAAGGCCGGAAGTGCTGTCCGACTGGATGAGAACTGCCATACCACTGCGCTGCACTCGTAGTGGCCGCGTCTGAGGTCTCTTCAAACCATGATATAAGATCGAGTCACACTTATACCTTGTCTATAAGAAGCAGCTCGGGGTCGGCCTGATTCCCCCCCTTCTCCATCTCCTTTACATCTATCTACCTTGACTACTTCCTCCAAGTCCAAAGACTACCAAGATTCCAACTCAAGCTACAAGCAAATAACCAAACAAACAACCACAAATCTCAAGCAAGAACAAATCTCAAACAGGAATACCTTCACAATGCACTCTGGCACCACCATCCAGAACAACAACCCCACCACCAGCATGAGTGTCCCTCAGCCCCAGGCTGGTGCAATTAACTACGCTTCGGTTGAAATCATGAGCCCTCGGCCAACTCGGCGAGTGAACATTAACGTTTTCAACCCCATCGAAGAGATGGAAGAGGTAAGCTACCCATCAAGCCAATATATTCCTTCAGTAATGTTAACCTCGTCGTCTAGCCTGCTCCGGAGCGTCCCATAACCAAGAGGGTCCGCTTCGCACCAACCCCCGAGCTGGTTACTTATATCCCAACCACCAACACTTGGGATACCAATCCTCAGTCCAACCCTGAAATAGACTCCGGTTATGAAACCGCTTTATATGAGTTTGGGTTCGACAATGAACATCGTGTTCGTCGAGTCCGCTTCGCGGAAGAGGTACGTCCACAAAACCTAGCCCTAACAAGCCTTAGCCCACCATACTAACTCTCCAGCCAGGTCACCATCATACCAAACAAAATAGAAAGACACGTTCATTGGCCCACTGACTCGGAGCTCGCCTCATTCATCCCAGATGTTGAGTACTCTGACGAGGCCCCAGTGAAGAAGGTCCGCTTCGCAGCATCGCCGGACCTGGTGACATACATCCCCGACGACTCTTCCGTCGAAGATGACTCTGAGTTTGAATATAACAACAACAACTCCTCCGAGCATGGCAGCCCTGGCTCCCATGTCCATTTTTCCCCAGAGCCAGCCGAGCGCCGCTCAACCCAAGTCGACACTCTCTACGACACTGAAGCTGGAGAGGAACTTCCACGCCCTGACAGCGCGTACACCTACCCACGCCTGCGGAGCGTTATTGATCGCACACCCACTCCTCCAGCTTATGTGCCTCTGTCTATCCTTAGCTCGGCACAGGTCCAAGGTAGTAGCCTGACTGATGATCAGCTATTCCGACACATACTAACAATACTTAGAAGAGGAAGACGTGATTGAGAGAGTCTGGGACGACGAAGTATCCTTAGAGGGGTCTCGCAATGCGAGTGAGCTTGACCGCACCGAGACCTTCGAGGACTTTGTCTACTTGGCTACACACTCGAAGAAGAGAAAGAGAAGAATGAGAAGGGCCTTTGCTGGTGTTGTTGCAAGGCTGTCGAAGATTGGGAAGAAAAAGCGAACTATTGATGATGTTTATTGCTGGGCGTGATATGTATGCGTGATGTATGATTGTTGGAGTTTCCTATTTATTGACTTGACTTTGTTTCCTATATAACTGTCTATTGTTATATGTTGGTGATTTAATTTCTTTTGTGCTGCGAGGACCTTTTCCCCTCGCTTGTCTTTTGCCCTCCATTGAGGTTTTGACAAGATTGGGGTTTTTACTGGCTCGTTAGCTTGTTCATATTCTGAGATCTCATGTATTATTAGTTAGTTGATTCTATCCAGGCAACTTTTGGATACAACCGTTCTTCATGTTCTGCCTTTCCTCTCCCAACATAGATATACTATATCTTTCTTTATATCATCACAGCGTATGTCTCCTTTTCTTACCTCTCTTCTTCCTCGCCTAGTTGTTACTGGTATACTATAACCATCGTAGTCTTCTTGCATCCACCCATGTCCAATATGACCGCAATATCGGAGGGCATACGATGCCATAATTTTTTGTGAGACCTATTGTAGCAGGAACCAAGTATCCAACCGAGTTGATTATACCGATAGCTCCGCCTGAATTTTAGAAAATCTTCTTCACCGCGATTATTGCGAAAAGCCCAAAAACCTCCCACGAACCGGCCATTAAGAAATTTATTAAGACATACCAGAATCTATAGGAAAAGAATAGCAGAGTATCCGGCCTTGAGATCTTGACACCAACCACCCCAACTGTCTATCCTGACTGGGCCATGGTCATCAATCAACATACTATGCAAGTCCTTTATTTTCAATGTTCGAAACTATATACATACTACAGTATGAGTTGGAAACATTGGGATACTGACCTCCATTAGATAAACAGTTGAAATAGCTGGTATATTACTCGGCTTCCGACCAACTTCTCGCACCACGACATGCTGGAATAAATGAAAAACAGATAAAAGTCTCTTCAAGAAGTCATGGAACAGCCTAAAATATATCCGGGTTGTCTGTTATATTATTCTTAATCCTATGGGCTATCTAAGAGAACCATATAAACGTCATCCACTCTAGCCCTACACTTGTGATGACCCATTGGGGGTATAATTTTCAGACTCGCTTCAATCCTCGAAGTGCGAACCCCGTTTACCCCAGAATTCCTCCTAGAAATCGGGGCCAGCCTTGGGCCGCTCCAGGGGCAGATACTCTTACGGGGTACCATCCATCACGCTGTTTTGCCTCTGGTTATGACTCCCATTGTAGCATTTACAGGGACGAACCATCTGTCATCCTTTGGATCAGGAACGTTTACACCTGATGTGGAAGAAGTCTGGATCTGGTTGCTTGAGCCTTTTGCAGATTAGACTTTTTGAAGGGTAGTACGACGAATGTTATTCAGTTCGACGTAATGATGCCACCGGTGGAAAAAGCATAATCTTGTCGTTCACAATTGAAGTCGACTGGCAGAGGTCTGGGCCTAGAGATTAAGCTCGGTATCTTGCTGGTAAAGCCTGTTCCTGGAAACTCTATGGCAGCGATTATGACGATGTCTACGTGCTCGTGAATCTAGGTTTGTTGTGTGAAATATTTGATTTCTGTCCAACTTTTGTTCCATCTCATCATCTCTTTCGTTTTATTGCCTTTACTCGTCTTTCTCTGCTCTCGTCTCTCTACTTAGCCCTGAAACAACTGGATAGCCCTAAGAGACCCTCAAAAACGTTTCAAAACTTCTTTCACCATGGTTCGACGAAGCTCCAGTCGAGGCCTCGAGAGACACACCAATAACATGGAGCTACCGAAATACCCTCGCTCCTGTGCCTCTCGCGAGCAGCCTCCAACATACGTGGACGTCGACCTCGAGCAGCAGCGAAGCACCGACCTGCCTGCGTATGGGAACGACTCCAACCAAGCGGGAGCAAACCAATCTACCCAGTCCAATAATCACCAGGGTGAGTTGTATGAGCCATATCCCTGATATGAATCCCAGCAGAGACTAACCGGAAACCAATCTGAATAGAAGTGCGTCGACAAAAACGCGGCTGCCGTATCAGACTCTGCAGTAGGTTTGCATGTGCGGTGGTGGCTGTAACTGCTCTTGCTTTCATCGTTGCGGGTGGCTTGGTCGTTTATGACGTTTATCAACATAACCCGTGGTTGTTTCACAAGTCTCATAGCAAGAGGAGGGGATAAAATCAGGCTGGGGGAGGTTGGCAACATGGAAGTGAAGACACACTCATGGAGGCTTGTAGTTGGCGAAGTTTACCTGTTTAGTGCTTCCCAATGTTATTTGGTGTTTGCTGCTTTATTGCTTAGTCTTAGTTATGATATGTTACTCTGTGTCAGAATCTAGAGGGACTTTTTCCTATCTATATCTTTTATACAGGATTTCAGTATTAAAGAAGGCATATACCACAGGATGGGTATAGCAAGACTCAGAGAGTATGACTTGCTTTGTTACGTAGGTAGATAGATATCATACAGCCCCCTAAAACGCAAACGACCCCATGGACTCCAACGTAATATGGTGTTTGATGAAGAACCGGATATCGGAGCTGGGTTCGCACTGCTTTATATCCTCTTCCCTCGCAAGGCTGGCATTTCAATGTAGTATTTAAATATTTGAAATAGAAGCACAGTGAACAAGATAACACTTCATGCCAAGGACAGCTTGCGAGGTGTTTCCTTCGGGCTTCTGACTCGTTGCGGGCCTGGACATATTGGCAGCGTTAATCTGTTCTGAATGGACCAATAAGACGAGTATCTGCTATTGGGCTTCCAATGCCCCGATCTCAGCCTCGGCTCAGCTCTGATTCTGGAGTGCAGATCGCTCGCAAGCATTGACCAGGAGGCGATTCTGCACAGCTTGCATTGGCAGAGTGAGCACTCCACTGGTTTTTACTGTAGTGGGGGCTGATAATGAATGGAATCATCAAGGTCAATATGATAAGCACAGCCCCAAACAGAACAACCTTTGGATTTCTCTTCAGCTCTTGCTATCCTACGCCTGCGAATGTTGTATCTGTCGCATTCGTGTTCCAGGCTGGTTCAAGCACAGGAAACTATGTCAATGAGGTAAAACTAGCCAAAGTGAAATCCCGTAGCAGAAGTAAAGGATGAAACCAGTGAAAGGACTTGGAGAAAGACTTACTGAGGCTATACTACTGAATCAGTGTTTACTGCTTTGATCGTTCCCAACTCTTTCACCAACAGAAATGCACTGCTCCATTAATAAACTTTCACAATGAAGAAACTGTCCTGAAATTGCGTATTTATACTCTGTTTCCTGCCCACTAACTTCCCCTCATCTAATCCAGTCTGCAAAAATGGGTCTACGCTCCTCCCTCGCTCGCCTGCGCAAGAACAGCAAGTCTCTATCAAAACGCAAATCATCCGAAAACGTCTCGGAATTACCACAAGTCAATGAGACAGAGAAAGCAGGTAGCTCTGATGATGACAGCTCGCCCGCAGTAGAGCAAGAAACCCCTGCTGGCACTGATGTCCCCAAGCGCCGCAAACGCGATCTTCTTAAGAAATTCTTCAAAGGGTTCGGGTGCGCGGGTCTTGGGCTCCTCATAATTCCGCTGGTCCCGCTAATTATCGCTTTTTCCATTTGTGATGGCGTCCTAGGGTTGGTTTTGACCACCTTGTGGAGTCTGGTACTGAAGCCGCTTCTGCTGGTTATCATCTTGCCGTATGAGCTGGTGAGCGCCTGCTTTTGCCAGTGACCTACAGATAGTTGGATGTTCTAGATACTAAATATTATTTCTTCGTTGCCATATGTCCTCCTGTAGACTTTCCTAGCCTTGCCTATAGGGTTAAAGTAGTATGAAAGACGTTTGTCTTGTTTCCCTTTCAATATACTGTCTCCAAAATAAACCCACTCTACCTTTACATATCAGACAGTCTTTGTACAGCCTCACTAGACCACTTATCAAGTGAACTTCTTTATTGGTGTTCCTGGGTCTAAATTCCATTGTCCTGTTGGTTATGTGGATGGTTTCGCTTTATCATTCACTCCCTGACTAGATATTAATATTCCATTCAAGCCCTATTTATGCTTTCTAACCCTTTGATTTCCTTCATTCCATCCCACTTTTGTCCGGCTTAGCGTGGTACAATGGGAATATTCAGTTCAGTATTCTCTTGCCCTACCAGGCGCAAGCCATATCAACTAAGTGGCAACAGGCCCCCCAGCACCGACACCTATACAGACATACCATTGTGTGATATGAAACCCGTCGCAGTCTCCCCGCCAACATACAACCAAGCAGTCGATGCTCCATTTGATCTCCTGGAATACGATGAATGTCTCGGCCATCATGCCGAACCATCCATATTTTCACCAGGATTCCCGGAGTTGAAGGCCCCTGGGCCAACTCCAGCTCCAGCCCCTGAAGCCGACGTCCCTCACTACAGTCTGCTTGGACGACTCTGGCCTAGCATCAAGAAATGGTCCAATATGTTTGTCCTACTCTGGGTGACGTTTGAAGGAGTTAGTCTTATCGCCTCGCTTGTATCTGCCGAACTGGGCCTGCTGTGGCTGCCCATTTCTTGGATTCTATTTTGTGCCCCAACGCTTCTGTTGAAGCCCATTTGCTATGAGTTAGACGCTTAGCGGGTTTTATTTGTGTTTTATTTCTGGTCATGTCGAATGTCTTTGTATCTGAATACTACATGTGCAACTACTTCATATAACTATCGGCCCGAGGCGTATATAAATCTCGGATAGGGGTCCGGGCTCCGACATCGGCGCAACCCTAACTCCACCACATCTCGTCCGTATGAACGAACCAAACCGCCTCACGACCCCAACTCTTATCTCTGATCCGCACCTGCGGGGTAATTACTAACGCTGGAATGCGGGGCTTGACATGTCAGATGAGATGCCTGATGTCTGATATGCGCTGCATGTTGCACACCTGCAATCGACATCCTGCTCGCCACAATGGGCAATAACACGGACAAGCGAAGAGTGGTAAATGCGTAAGCTCTGAAATGGCTTATCCCACCCTGCGCCTGTATTAATTAAAAGTCGATCAGGTGCGCGCGATGCCGACAGCACAAGATAAAATGCTCTGGCGACAGTCCCTGCGGCAACTGCAGACAGCGCAAAGTCCGATGCAAGTTCGAAGGCGAGGACACCAAGGTGCATATCACCAAGAAGCACTTCTCAGGACTGAAGCTGCGGAACCGGGAGCTTGAAGAAGAGAATCGGGCGCTGCAGCAGCGACTGGAGGCTCATTTGAACGCGGTGTCTCGTGTACCTGTTGGGGGCTCGCCTTGCCCGACGCCTCCGTTAAATCACCCCAGTGTTCCCAGTGTTCCCAGTGCGGTATCTTCGTTGAAGCCGCCGGGTGTGGCTCAGGATGAAGCCGATGAGGATGATGGAAGCAGCACTATGGTTAATCCGCTATCTTGCGGGCCTCCAAAGTATATCACAGATACAGCCGGTCGACCACGTAAGATGGAGAACGCCCTTTGGACGGTTGATGAAGCTAACGCAGGCAGACTACCTTGGACACACCTCGAGCTGGTCCCTCACAATACGTCTCCTCCATCTCACCCACCAAGCCTTATACAAGTGTCCATTCCCCAGTGCGGCGCACCACGTCGACACAATGACATACAGCCTGCAATGGAACGGCCTTCGAAGCCCAGTGATCCCCGACATCCGCGGTCTCCCCTCGCTAGACCATGCTCTGTTTCTTCTCAACGCCACCAAATTCCGCACAGGCCAGATCTTCCACCTATTCGACGAGCCGCGCTTCTTGGCCCAGATCCACCAGTTCTACAACGACCCATGCAACCCCAGCCACACGGACAGTCTGTGGTTCATACATTTCCTCGTAATCATGGCGCTGGGGAAGGCATTTATTGGGGAAAAGAGTCGCGGGACAAGTCCGCCTGGGGCGGAGTACTTCACGCGCGCGTTCATGATGCTCCCTGATTACAGCTTCATGTGGAAGGATCCCTGTACCGCAGCTGAGCTTCTTTGTGCAATGGCGCTCTATCTTCAGTCCATTGACTGGAGGACTTCTGCGAATAACCTAGTAGGATACCTGCCTTGATGCCCACATTTTACCGTCATTATTAACATTTATGGTAAGATCGGACAAGCGCTGCGCATAATGCAAGTACACGGCTACCACACGAATGTGTCCGGGGTTACAAACGGCAAAGACCTCATCCGTTGTCAGAATATCTGGTGGACCGTGTATGTGCTTGAGCGGCAGACCTCGGTTCTCCTGGGAGTGCCGCTTGCTGTCAACGATAGCGACATCACAGCCTCGCTTCCAAACGACACCGAGTCAGTGGCGAGAACCCTAACCATTGCGATTCATGTCAAGCTGTCGCAGGCCTTTAGCCAGGTGGTGAATTGTATGTAACCCTATACTCATATTCGTCCAAGAGTGAGATGCAGCTGATTCCTGGAATAGCACTCTATAAAGGGAGTGAGAACCTGAATTCGTCATATGTCAAGACGTCGCAGGATGTTTTGCAACGAGTGGCAGACGTGGCATCCGACCTTCGAGAGTACTTCCCAGTACCTGAGCCGGAATCCCTGAATGGCATATCACGGGTGTCTGGGTACTTGAATCTCCTTTATCACCGGGTTGGTCATTAATTTCCCTTGAAGGGACAGGAGACCTTGCTAACCATAATCAGTGCATAATGCTTGCCATCCGACCCTTCCTGTTCGGCCTTGTCGAGACATGCGTCGCCTTGGATAACCCAGGAATGACAGTCCCAATGCCCATCCAGCTTCTCCTCCAAGTCTGCCTCGAGTCCGCGAAGAAGACAGTGTATATACTGGATTCGCTGCATGATCAGACCCTACTTGGTGCGTTACGATCCCCGATTACCCATATACCACCGACGATACTAACATCACCCTGATAGAATGGTTCCTCCCCTTCGACTTAGAGAGCGCAGTCTCGGCCAGCCTCGTCATCACGATGGCTACAGTGGCCTGTCCATATTTAGTCGAAAGTCCCCAGACCTGGCTCAGCAGGATTTCAACCCTGCTTGACCAGATAATAGATAAAGGGAACCTGATAGCCGCAGACCAAAGGCGAGAGCTTAATGAGCTGCAGGACCTCTGTGCGAAACTGACAGCCGAGCCGCGCATGCCTCGCCAGCACACCGGTTCACAATCGTATGCCTCTGTGCAGCCGAGGCAGGGGGTGATACAGGCGCCGTTAAGCCCTGATAATACGGAGTATGTGGCGGGGACTGTACCTGGCGGCGTAGAGGCTGCTGCTGCTGCAAGGGATATATGTCCAGGACCAGGGCCAGGCCAGATTGATGCTTTAGACTGGGCGCGCGATATGACGCCGTCGCAGCTTCTGGGGGTTGTCGATATGCTTAATGGAGACGATCTGTTAAACTGGATGGATTTCCCGAATAATTACCTTGGGACGGGGGGTATCGATTGATGTGAACATTCGCCATTGTATGATATGTATAATAGAATATGCTGTCCAGTTACAGACGTAATCTCCCGTCTTACCCTGTAATACCTTGAGTGGCACCATCTTTCTGTCCCTTGGATACCTCAGACTCTCTTGGATTAACATCATCCACAAACCCTGTCTGCCCAAGATACGATGTAATCGCGGGGACATCCAGCTGCCCCAGCCTCTCAGCAACAGCCCAACCATTCCCAAACCATCCAAACTCATTACCATCATAGGGCTTCAACTCATAGTCCTCCCAGCGGACCTTCTCCAAGGCCCTGAGACAATGCAGACTACTCCCCGGCCACAACGCCGTCACCCGAGCCTTCTTCCTATCCTCAAGAGACTGCCCGGGCGTAGCCAGTTTATACCAGCTCGCACAGTCGGCACTATACACCGTCCTTTCAAAGTACTTCTCGCAGTATCTCGTGAAGTTCAGCACCTGCGCACGCTTCGGCTCCACAATGCCAATATTATCACACGCCATGCGCGCGACAACCTGCGCGAAATACCCATGGATCTGCTCGAGCATGATAAGCAGATTCCCCGCGCCCTGGAAGGAATTCGGACCCAGGGACTGGAAGAAATTCGGGAATCCGTCCGTCGCAAGACCGAGATAGGATTCTGGGCGCTCGCTGTATTTGTCGCGCAGGTTGACACCGTTCCGCCCGATTATGGGGAATCCAGATCCGATGTGGAATCCGGTTGCGCAGACGATTGCGTCGACGGGACGGTACGTGCCGCATGAGGTCGTCACGCCTGTCTCGTCGATTGCTATAATGCGGTTGGTGATGACGTTGACTTTGGGCGAGGTCAGGGCTTCGAGATACCCTGGTCCTGGTGTGAGGCGCTTGCACAGGGGTGGAAATTCAGGTAGCAACTCCTTCAAAAGCTCAGGCTTGTCTCGTAGCCGACGCTGCATATCTGCCTGGTATTGAGCGCGGGCAGAATTCTGAAGGTCACTGTCGCGTTGTGATTTGGCGTATAGGGTCTGCATCTCGAGCTCGAGTTCCTTGCGATACTCCATATAGGAAGCGGTATCGCTACGCCATGCTTGTTTTTCTTCCTCTCTATACGCGAAGTTTCCGCCCTTCCCGTCGGTTCGTGTTGAGAGACGCTCTCCGCCGTGTTGGCTGGATATCCAGGTCTTGCCTCGGACGTAGTGGTCCATGCGCTTGACTTTGTCCACCAGGGCTGGCACGATCTGGATGCCGCTGCTGCCCGCCCCTATGACGGCAATTTGCTTTCCCTGCAAGAATAAGAACCTAAACAAAAGGTTTAGTAAGTAGGGTTACGTACCGTCATATCATAACTTTCATCCCAACAAGCGCTGTGCAGCAACTTCCCACCGAAGCGCTCAATGCCAGGAATGGCCGGCCACTTCCACTCATTCAGCAGCCCCGTCCCGGTAATAAAGACATCAGCAGAGTCCTCAAAGACCCGTTTGCCTGAGGGTCCTTCTTCCATGATCTGGACAAACCATTTCCCTAGTGATCCATTCCAGCGTGCGCCCAGACACCTGCTGTTGAACTGGATATGCTTTCGCACTCCGTATTTATGTGCAATGCGCTTCCAGTACTCAAGGATCTCCTCAGCCCCGGAGAAGAAGTGACTCCAGCCAGTCCAAGATTCGAAACTGAGTTGGTATCCGTGTGAGGGGACGTCTAATCATAAATCAGGAACATAATACATGCAAACAGGAGAAGCGGAAATTGATATCGTACCGCAAGCACAGCCGGGATACTTATTCTCAAACCAAGTCCCTCCAAGCTCGCTATTCTTCTCATATATTGTAAGATCCAGATTCGGCACCGCCTGGCGGAACTTGATCGCAGCCAGAATCCCCGAGATGCCGGCGCCAATATAAATGACCTTAAGGGGGCGGGCCTCGTCGACAGGTCGTTCGGAGATGAAGGGCGTGAAGTACTTGTAGTTCTGATCACTCGGGCCATATGGGCCGATTTCGGGGTTTGGCTTCACTTGCCCCTGTTCTGACTCGACGCCGATACTGCTAGATGTTGAGTCTGCGGTTTCTTCAACGGTGACGGCGGCAGGTGCTTTGGTATCGACGACGGGCGAGGCCGCTAGAGAGAGGAATGGAGAGTCAGTAAGAGCAGCCATGATTATTTCGAAAAAGGATATGGCATAGTATAATTGTCTCAATGTTGCCATCCTGCTCATTCCCGGATTATATAGTTTATTACGATCGAGCATGGCATGATTGGTGGGCGTCGGATTGGGGTCCGAGAATGCATGGATATATATGTAGATCCTAACGGACGAAGAGCTTCACAGTCTGAATATACGATGGTATAAACTGTCCAGCATCATATCGGATCACACCCGTTTTGGTAACAGTTGTCCTTCCCCTCCTGACCCTCACCCCCACGCGCGGCCGAGTGATATCGGAGGGTGATCCGATTATAGGGCCGCGGCTGGAACTCCAATTTATGATCCAAAGGTCCGAATTACAGCTATTCTGCCTCGAATTCCGCAAGGTTTGAGCCTAGAATGGCTGCTGGGCCACTCACCAAGGGTGGTGGCGACAACGGAGGATCCTGAGGTAGAGAGGACAGAAGCACGCCCAAGATGTTAGCACCAACCTCGTACAGTACTGCTAGCATAGGCCCTGGTTTTTATCTTGTGGCTTACATGCCACCGTACTAGTAGTGAGGGAAACGCGGATAAGTGTCCGAGAGAATATCATAGGATGTCCATAGTTCCCTCCATACCTATGGCAGGAGTAGGGCGTACCCCAGACTTTCCCCCGCATTGTATTCAAGAATCCTGGGGATACCCATACCCAATAATCCTCGTATTATACCAGCTAGTAGTATACCTGGACACGGTTTAAATTCGGCCTCCACCCCCTCCCCTCGGGTGGTTTGTATTGTACTGTTATACTTGCTTTATATATACAAAACCACCCAAGATGAAAACCGAGAAGGGCCCAGCACCCGAGTCTGGAGATGTTCTGACAGCAGCCAGCGAGGTGGGTGATGTGCATGAAACATCAGGAAACACCGACCAGCTTCAGCGACGCCTGGGGAACAGGCATATTCAACTGATAGCGATTGGGGGATCGATAGGAACCGGCCTGTTCATTAACATAGGCATGGGCCTAGCAAAAGGCGGTCCTGGAAGTCTTCTCATCGGTTTAATCATACTCTGCTGCTTCATGGCCTTGGTCAATAACTGCATTGCGGAGATGACCGTCCTTTTGCCGGTGAGTGGTGGCTTCATCCGCATGGCAGACAAGTGGGTGGACTCGGCACTTGGGTTCATGGCTGGGTGGAATTTCTTTCTTTATGAAGCTATTGTGATACCGTTTGAAATCACGGCATTGAGTATTGTTCTCGGATATTGGCGAGACGATATACCGTCTGTGGCTGTTACGGCTGCTACTATCGTTCTATATGGGTGAGCCCTGTTACCCGTGTCTTTGATATCAGTCAACTGACAGAGGAGCTTAGGGTTTTGAATATAATGCCTGTCGGCCTCTACGGAGAGACAGAATTCTGGCTGTCATCGGGAAAGGTCCTGCTCGTCTTCATTCTATTCGGATTCACCTTTTTCTCGATGGTGGGCGTGAATCCAAGTGCAGATGCATACGGATTCAGATACTGGAATGACCCTGGTCCTTTCGCCGAGTGGCATTCACAGGGAAATCTAGGCAGATTCGAGGGCTTGCTTAACGTCATTTGGGCTGGAACCTTTATTGTTGTTGGGCCAGAGTATCTCTCGATGGCTGCAGCTGAAACCAAACTACCCCGGACATATGTCAAGACAGCATACAAGACTGTATACTTCCGCTTCGGTCTATTCTTCATCGGCAGCGCCCTCGCAGCTGGGATAGTCATCCCATACAACAACCATACCCTACAAGCGCTCGCCGCCGGAGAAGAAAGCAGCAGCTCCGCCGCCTCCTCTCCATACGTGATCGCCATGAGGCAATTCGGAATCACCTTCCTCCCTGACCTAGTCAACGCACTCATTTTCACCAGTATCCTCTCGGCCGGAAACACATATACCTTCTGCGCAATGCGCAGTCTCTACAGCATGTCCCTCGAGGGCCGCGCGCCTAGGATCCTCTCCAAGTGCACCAAGGACGGCATCCCAATCTACTGCCTCGCCGTGACCTGCCTGATTTCGTGCCTTGCATTCCTGCAGGAATCCAGCGGGTCGCTGGTTGTACTGCAATGGTTTGTTAATCTAGTGACGGCAGGATGTACGATTAACTTCGTTGTTATCTGTATCACATACCTGCGCTTCTATCGCGCCTGCATGGTCCAGGGCGTTGACAGAACAGCACTCCCATACTACGGCTATTTCCAACCCTATGCCGCATGGGCGGGCCTCGCCTGGACGGTTTTCGTTGTGTTGGGTTATGGGTATTCGAGCTTTACGCCGTGGGATGTGGGGACGTTCTTCTCGTACTACACTATGGCCATCTTTGCGGTTGTGATGTTTACGGCGTGGAAGGTGGGCATGAGGTCAAGAGTAGTTAGGCCTGAAGATGTGGATCTTATGTGGGAGAGGCCGGTTATTGATGCGTATGAGGCATCCTGCGCGGAGGTGCCGGTGGGCTTTTGGACTGAGGTTGCGCAGATGGTGGGCTTTCGTCGGAGGCGTACTCTGGATATAAATGCGTAGGGAACAGGTTGTACTTAATCTGCTTTCACAGGCTATGGCAACGGCGTAGACGAGCTATGTAGGGTTTGTGGTATAGCTGAGAACAGGATTTGCATGAACTCATGCAATGAGGTACGGAATTACTAGAACGATATCAGTTCGAGGTCTACATATGTAACACCGTAAATATCTCCTATAACGATTCACGCCGTATGATCCTTCGACTTAGCTACAGCAACAGAAATCACCCGGTCAAGCACTGCACTAATCTCCCCATCCTTGAACCCAGAAATTGCCTGCTCAGTGATACTGCCTGGAGTAGACAATGAGTGCTCCAGCTCATCAGGCCCAACGCCAGACAGCATAATGCTAGCTGTACCCCGAACACACTGCGAGGCGATACCAACAGCATGCTCAGTGGGAACCCCATGAGCAGCAGCGCTCTGCACGATCGCCTGGACGGCAACGGTTGTAAGGGCATTCGTAGCAGCGCTCATCCCGGTCGCAGCATCGAAGTAGTCATTCGGAATTCGGAAGACGCGGCCGAGGTTACGGAAAAGGTCTGCTGCGAAGTCTACGGCTTCACGCTCCGCTGGACTTTCAGTAGCAGGGTTGGCGATCAGGGTGGCGGATTCGTGGATGCCTGCTCCAATGGTGGGCATTGCGCGTACAATTCGAAGCTCATTCTGACTCTTGGAGGATCCGTATTCATTTGTAAACTGTGCTCCGCGGAAGGTACTTTGTACTTTCTCCCTCGGCGTGCGCGCCAGGATGCTGATGACAATTTTATTCTTGAGGCTCTCGCGCATGCCTTCTTCTCCCAGGACATCGTGGATTCGGTTTGGGGGGAAGGCTAGCAAGACGGCGTCTGAATTCTTGACGGCCTCGATGTTCTGCTGGTGGACGAAGTTCACCTTGTGGAGACTGTCTCGAAATTGGCGCTGCAGGTCTGCCTGGGCCTCTTTGTGGTGCTGCGAGACTGTGATTTGGGATATACGGCTGGTGGGGGATACGGTTGGCAATACAGCGCCTAGTAGGGCTTTTCCAATGTGGCCTACAGGATTAGCTGGAGTGGCAGAAGGGATAGGTCACTTACCGCAGCCCAGGAAGGCTAATCGGAGAGGTTTTCCAGTGGACAGCATATTGACAACGGTACTTTACAGAAGATAGAGGGATGCGGACGCCCTTATATAGCAGCCCTAACTACCTGTAGCTACAGAACGGCCCGAGAACAGCATTGACTGCAACTAAGAGACTCGGAAGAGACCCGACTCGTTACATGAGGCAATCTATCTATCTCGACGATGACATGGCCTTGGACTTCTCGGCCGCAGCCATAATAGCACTCGTAAAGGCCGAGCGCACACCCAGCCTCTCCAGCTCCAGCAACGCCCGAATGGAACACCCACCAGGCGACGCGATCTTCTCTCTCAGCACACTCGGATGGTCACCCGCAGGGACGAGCTTCATCATCCCGATCGCGCTGTTGACAACCAGATTCTGCACCTCGGGCCTCCTCACGCCCTCTGCAACAGCTGCATCAAGCAGGCCGTCAATCGCAAGCAGCAACAGCGACCCAGCACAGCCAACCAAGACAGCGCAAATATCAAACGATCCTTCGGGGATTTGATGTGCTTCGCCGACCTGGCTGAGGATCCACGACGCGATCTCCACGTTCTCCCTGCTCGTGCCAGCGCTGGGCGCATACAGCGTCACAGCCTCACGGATCCGAGCAGCCATATTGGGCATTGCGCGAACAGCCTGAAGCTGTCCTTCACTGCTTGCATCATCCCCAGATACCAGACGACCCACCTCCTTCGTCGTAATTCCCGCCATGATACTAAGCACGAACTTGCCGCGGATAGCCTCTCTAAAGCCTGGTGCATCAAAGACCGTAGCGCGCTTAAACGGTTTCACGGAAAGAAGCACGATATCTGCTTCTTGCACCGCGCGCACATTCTCTTCCTGCGTGAGGACTGTGAGTCTGGATGCGTGGGCACCAAGGGCGCCCTCCACGCGTTGCTTGGAAGGCTGTGTTCCGACGGTGGCGATTAGGTGTTTGATGCCGAATCCAGAGTCCTTTGGCTCGAGCATTCCAGTGGCGATGGCTGTTCCGAGGGTGCCTGTGTGTGAAATGGTGTTAGCGGTCTGCCCGGTGCTTTAGGGCTGAGTCTGGGGATGGATACGTACCGCAGCCGATGACGGCGACGGTTGGCTTTGTGCTGGGTGTCATTTTGGTGGATAATTGATTGATGATTGTACTCTTCTGATATTATGGGCAAATGTACCGTCTATTTATCTGGTATGTGCCCTCGTACCGGCCCGAGAGCTGGGGTCATCTCTCGGTCCGGAGGATATCGTACAAGTAAAATCCACCGGAGATCACATCCGATTGACACATTCTAGAGTGTAATGGCTTTCATTAAACTATCCAGTCTATCTATTCCGCAACATGGCAGGCCCCGAGTGTCTCGCTGCCAATCGCATAGTTATCCTTGACACAGCGCAAACTCGAGAACCGCAGCAGCACATTCACCGAGTTCGCCTTGTCGTTCGTACCACTGGATCTGGCGCCTCCAAATGGATGGGCTCCAATAACAGCACCGGTGCTCTTGTCGTTGATGCAGAGCATCCCCACCGAGTCTCGCAGCTTCTCGTCTGCAACTCGGATGGCCGTCCGATCGCGCGCAAAGACTGAGCCGGCCAGGCCATACTCGGATGTCTTGTCGATGAGGTCACAGACGTCTTCGAACGCGGTTGGCAAGCTGTCGTCGTAAGTTTGCACGGCGAAGAGAGGCCCAAATAGCTCTCTAGTCATCAAGGCAGAGGAACTATTATCGCCATCCCTGGCCACGAAAATCGTCGGCTGCACGAAGAAGCCCCGACTGTCGTCCGTCTTTCCACCATACAGTAGGGTATGCCCTTCCTTCTGCGCGTCGGCGACGAACTGCCTGAAGCGCTGGAACGAGCCATCCGAGACGACAGGACCAAGTGGGTGATGCAGCTGCTTGACATCGTCGCCGTGTGTCATTTTAGCTGCTTCGTCCAGCAGCGCAGCGCGTAGATCACCCTGTTCCCACATGGACTTGGGCACATACAGCCTAGACAATGCACTGCATTTCTGGCCCTGAAACTCGTAGGCCGAGCGCACCGCAGCAGACGCCACCCACTGCACATCGTCCTTGCACGACCTATGGACGAGATGGAAGTTCTTCCCGCCGCTTTCGCCGACAATGCGAGGGAAGTTCTTGTACATGGCTGTGTTTGTTCCGATTTGGCTGCAGAGGGTTCGCAGGACAGCAGAGGAGCCTGTATAGTGAAGTCCAGCGAAATGCGGGCTGTTGATAGCTGTCCCTGCTACGATGGCAGGATCAGCCGTGGGCAAGAACTGGACAACACCACTAGGCATCCCTGCCTCTTCCATAACCTGGTATAGAATATAGTTCGATAGCACAGCCATAGGCGAGGGCTTCCAAAGAACCACATTCCCCAGTATCGCGGGCGTAAAGGCAATATGCGCGCCCAGGGCCGTGAAGTTAAACGGCGAAACAGCCAGCAAAAACCCCTCGAGTGGTCGATAGTCCATTCTGCTAGAGGACGACTCGAACTGTTTAACCGGCTGCTGCTGGTACAGCTGGTCGCAGAAGTAGACGTGGAAGTTGAAAGTATCAATCACTTCGGCGATACAGTCGCCCTCTGCCTGCCCACACGTCTTCCCCTGACCCAGCATCGTCGCGGCCATCAGTCTCCATCTGTATTTGGGAGATGCGACGAGCTGGGCAGCACGTTTGTAGATTGCGGCGCGCTCGCTGAAGGGCATCTTGCCCCAGGTCTTGCGTGCGTTGAGAGCGCCTGGAATCGCCCTCTGCTTGATTGTTCCTGCGTCGACTTCATGGTATTCTGCTAGAGGCTGGCCGCGGTGGTTCCAGGGGTTGACCTGTTTGCTTTTCCTTCCAGTATACAGGCGTTCTCCGTTGATGATGCTGGGGATTTCGGCGACGGCGCCTTCTGTCTGGGAAAGGGCTTCCTTCAGAAGGATTCGGTCTTGGGACCCGGGGCCATAGGCGAGCTGTATCGCAGTTAGCGGGGGCATGTCCAGGTTCTTAAAGTTAGGGGACGCATACCCCGTCAGCGTTGGCTGGTTCTGGATACTGAGGACGTGACATTTTGTAGAATATACTAGGAGGAAGAATCAAAACAGAATTGATACAGCGAGGAGAAGCTGGATGAGAGCTTGCTACTTATCCCTGGCTCTCTAAGCCACACTGTCTCGGTCCGACATGGAGGCATATCCGGTCTACTACTGCGATATCACGCCCGGGCCGAGTCAGCAAGTGGAGATGGTACAGGAACGGAGTCAATATTGTCTAAACTAAGAGCTAAACGGAATTAGGCGCCGTCGAATCTCTCGTCCCAGTCGCACTCTCTCTGCCGCAGCACCTCCTCGTCCTTCCAGAACAGCCTTGTTCTCGGTGGCACGCCGTGCAAGGAAGGGCAGACATTCCTTTAGCTCACCGTAGCTCATGGACTATACACAATATAATTAGCTTGAACGTGCTACTGGGAATATCTCTGGACATACCTTGACTACCAGTGGAAATCCCCCTTCTGCAGTCACAGTCCCAGTGACTCGGTTGGTCAGGTCGTCCTTCATCCCTGTAGATATTTAGTCACATTCGAGGCAGAGAAAGAATGAGAGATATACCATATAACTGAGCGAATGCCAGACTCCCAGCGGCTTCACTTGACAGAACAAGCCTTTCCCCATCGCCCGCATGCCTTGCCAGACCATGCTGTTCGAGCATCCTAATCGCCAGCTCCGTACTCGGGGCGTTATGCGTGGCCAGTACCATGCTGATCCTTGACTTCCCATCCCTTTTCACCTGCTCCGCTATGGCAGAAATAGCCCTCTGAATCCCATAGTTATAGCTGGCGTGGGTCTCCTCGATAGTAGACCATACCGGTCCTGGCCCCGTCCTGCCCTCTCTCTTCCACCTCGCAGCTTCGGTGATCATATACGCTCCCCGGACCTGCTTGAAGAGCAGCTTGTATCCTTTCTCGTCAGCCCGCTTAATCTGCTGATCAAGGAGTTGCGGATAGCGACGAAGGTAAGCCTGGAACGACGCAATACAAGTTGCCGGCCCGTCCAAGGAATTGTATTTTTGCATCAGCTCGTCCGTAAGACTATCAATCACCGGCTGATACCATGACTGTTCGGCATCGATGACAATCCGCACGTTATTCTGGCGTGCCTTGGTGGCGATCTTCTCCAAGATTTCGCGGAGGTGGTTGAGCTCCTCGCGATCTTTATCATGGACCCCAGTCAACGCTGCTTCCCAGTCTCCATCATGAGGCAATCCAGGATATGGCACATCACTATCCAAGCCCCGCTTCTCTCTTGCGTCGAGGATAGCATTAGAGCCGTGATAAAGCGCAACGGGGTTCGGAAGAAGACCCGTAACCTTGATACGCACCCAGCAGCGATTGTCGCCCCCAGTACCAGCCGTTTTACTCTCCGGCCAGAACTTCCGGGCCAGCTGCCCTTGAGTTTCAATGGAGGATAGGACATGCTCTGTCTGGTCACGAATAAGCTGGGTATCTTTACTCGAACCATCCAGTTCAGCCTCGATATTATACCCGAGCAACGTGCCGATCTCCTCCTGGCGCAGGGCCTCTATCTTCGGGATACACTCCGGAGTGGTCTCGCCCCCTAGGAACTGGTTGAAGAACGTGCGCATGATGAAGGCGTGCGCGATGGAGGAAAGTATTGGGATTTTGGAGATACCGCTGTATAGAGACTCGCTCATGTCTACCCATGTCGGGGAGGAGCAGAATGCGAATGCGCTAAACGTGTCCAATTAGTTTAGGGAAATACCTTCAGATTCCGACATACTCACACCCATCCTGAGATTAACTTTGTCAGTGGAACACCTGAAAGGGCGCGTCTATCGCGTGCATCGTCCTCGATATCTGAACCCTTCCGGCCTGTGAAAAGGAGCGCAAACGATGCAGCCAGCACAGTACCACCAGCACCATAGGCGAGTACCTTATTGCTGGCTTTGCTGCTGTTCCATCCCTTCAATGGGGGCTCTCTCACCTTTGCGTTCGAACCGGAATGAAATCTGTAACGAGATTGTAGGGCCCAGCGGCGCAACGCCCTGCCCTGGAGGAGCTGGCGCCTGACCAGCATTGAAGACATCATGTTTGCTCGCTCTGCCACACTCGCTTCATTCACACTCGAGGAAAAAAATCCGGGAAGCTGAAGGGAATCGAAGCAAGATAACGAAATCCCTCATCGACACAGGTTTCTCGGGCCGGTGAGGGTGGGTATCAGCTGCAGGCTGCTGCGGGTCTAGAACACACGCTCCGGAGTACTACCCACACCTGTGGCCAGTGGACAGCAGATGTCTCGGTTGGAGCCTTGGAGATTCGGGGTAGAAAGCCAAATGTGAAGTTCCATCACAGCTGGCCATCTCGTGCGGGTGCCTATATCGATACGGTGGATTTACACGCGTGGGGGGGTTTTACAGAAGGTACGCGGTGATAAACATCGCCCGAGTGACAATGCAGTTGCAACATGGACAGTCACTGTGTCTAGCGAGAAAGGCCTCCTCGTATCATACGCAGTGCGTGAGCCTTCACTTCCCCAGGACGTTAACCAGACGGAGTAGGGCACCCCATGGGCAATTACCCCAGGGCCCACTGCCGGACCGAGACTGAGATGGATCATGATTTGTAGTGATAGTCCGGGACTGGGCAATATAGAATCTGGATTACCCAGGCTCGGCCAAGCACTGGACCAGTTTCGTCTGTCTCTCTCTATCTCCCTATCTCCCTATCTCTTCCAGAGACCACCCTTTTCTCGTATCCCAGTATACAACACTCAATATGACAGACAAGATCGACAAGCCTCCGACAGACCACGATGGTCAGGATCTTAATAACGGGCATTTCCAGGACCTGGAAAAGCCTGGTCAGCAACAAGACCTGTTCACCTCCGAAGACGCCGACGTCAACTTCCGCAGCGTCTCCTGGCAGGGCGCCGCCATCCTCATTGTGAAATTCCAAATTGGGCTCGGAGTGCTAAGTGTTCCAGACACCTTACACACGCTTGGCTTCTTCCCAGGCCTACTGTGCTTCATCATTATCTCCCTGATGACAACAGTCGCCGGGTACGTCTGCGGCAACGCCAGGCAATACTATCCACACATGCACAACATCGGTGACGCAGCAGACCTTCTCTTTGGCACCTGGGCAAACCAATTCGTCGGTCTGGCGTATTATATCTATCTAGCTCTCGTCTCTGGGGCCGGGATGCTCACTACCTCCGTTGCACTCAACGCCCTCTCCGACCACGGCGCCTGCACGATGGTCTTCGTCGGTGTAACCTGCGCTGCGGCATTCATTCTAGGAACTGGGTTCCGGTCGCTGGAGAGAGTCTCCTGGCTTAGCTGGATTGGAGTGGCAGGCATTATAATTGCAATCTGGGTCGTGGCTATCGCTTGTCTCGCCCAGGGTCGACCAGCCGCTGCACCAGCAGGTCCAGATCCCATTGATAAGAATATCCGTGCATTCCCAGATACAACATTCCCCGAAGCCATGTCGGCTATAGCGAACCAGCTCTTTGCTGTTGGAGCATCGGGGACATTCTTCTCTGTCTCGGCGGAGATGGAGCGGCCGGAGCTGTTCACTCGGTGTTTGGCTTTGGGACAGGGCTTTATTGTTGCAACGGTTATCGCCATCTCCTCCATCGTATACGGCAAAGTAGGGCAGTATCTCGCCAGCCCAGCACTAGGGTCTGCAGGGCCTCTGATCAAGAAGATCTCGTACGGAATCGCGCTCCCTGGGCTCATCGTGACGGCCGTCGTGTACAGCCATATCGCCGCCAAATACTGCTTCGTGAGATTACTTCGAGGCACGCCGCACTTGCAATCAAATACGCCTACGCACTGGACTGTCTGGGCTGGGTCGATGGCTGTAACGGCGGTATTCGGGTTCGTGATTGTCGGCGTTGTGCCTTTCTTCGATAACTTCCTCAGTCTGGTTGGGGCGCTGGTGAACCCCATCTTCACGAATATCGTCCCCGGGTTTATGATTCTTTTCTTTCTGGCCAAGAGACCAGAGAGAGGGGTTGGTGTTTATGATGGTGCCTCTACGTCGGCGCCGGACTGGATGTTGAGAGCGTTCGGGGCGTATAGGAATGGGTGGAAGGAAGCTGTGGCACTGGGGGTGGCCTGCTTCATGATTCTTGCTGGAGGGCTTATTATTGTAGGAGGCACATATGCAACTGTGATCACTATCCAGATGTCGTATGCCAGTGGAGAGGTGTCGGGGGTATTCTCGTGCGCGGACAACAGCTCTTAGGGTTGAGGCAGTGGGCTAGATTATTGTGATCACACCATGATATTGTTTATTCTTCATTCATATAGTTCCAATGTCTACACTTAACAATCACCAAGCGATCCACTCTCACTCGCAAGGGGCATCTCCCAGAACAGGTCCCCATCTAGCAAGTTCGCCAGGCTTCGGAGATGCATGTTATTGCCACTATCCCCCGGGCACCCAAGAACGCTACTAGTATTCTCTATGCTGTATGCAGGCTGCGAAGCTTCACCCGCCAGAGCGTGCTGAGAGTGAATACCCAGTCCCCCACCAACATCAAGTTGCGGCATGCCCATGGGTGGCTGTGCTTCGATCCCTTGCTGCTGCTGCTGAGAGCCGTCCAGCAACCCCAACAGTGAACCCAGATACTGCGCATGAAGGAGTACAGTATCCTGGGCCGACTGCACACACTGGTTCACATGCCGCGTGATATCATGAATCAGCGTAACCGCCGTCCGTTGGAACATCAGCCCCAGGATCCCATTCTCAGGAAGACACAAAAGCAGACATAGGAATAATGCAGCATTAGGCGCGAGAAGCAAAACCGCATCAGGTGCGCGGCGAAGATCGTCTGGCGGGATGCAGAGTAGATGCCGTAGGACGCCGAATGCGCTCTCAACGCTACTACTAAGACCAGGAAGGTCGGGAGATAGGACACTTTGCAGAGTTGCTAAATCGAGCTCGGGGAATGTGTCTGGTGAGGGCTGCCAGGAAGTCCCTAGAGAGGATGTAACGGCTGCCATAAGAGACTGCCGGAGGACAGCGGAGGCAACATTCAGCCTGACGCTGTGATCCCATAGATGGACGAGGTTTCTGAGATGGCCTGCATCTGGGAAGAGTAGCTCAGGATTGAGGGAGGCATCACTGTTCGCTGGACCGGTCCCTTGCGTATGGAGATAGTTCATCCACTTCGCCTTCCACTCACTCAGCTCCCCATGCATAAGATCCAGCAGGCATGGCAGCATCACTGACGAGGCCCTCGCTACTAAAAGACGGAGCTTGGACTGAATGCGCCGCAGATCCGCACTGCAACACGCGATCATATCTAATGGCAACGCGCATTCCATCTCGCGCCATGTATTAGGGTTACTGATCAAACAGTAATTCTCATCAGCCTGTGCAAGAGACGCCCTCCGCATGAAGAACAGACTCTGCTGCCTGTCTTGCCTGAATAGCGCTAGCCACGTTCTTCTCCGACGAGCTGTCTGCCACCCGTCGCCGTCGCTCTGCTCCAAGTCCAGGTCGTGGAGGGCCTGGTGGGCATAACCGCTGTGAAGATACGAGACGTCGTCATCGCCGTCCTTCCAGCAAACAAGCAGGTACAGCGCCTGCATTGTTTCCATGGAGCGGTCTCCTTCTGCAAGGGCCTTGACAACAAGATTTCTAGCCAGGCTGCATAACCGTGTTTGCAACACCGGGTCAGGGACAGATACAACATGTCCATGGACGTAGTTTGCGAATTTGGACGCGCAGAAGAGTATTGTAGTGAAAAGTAGTTGACTCCGCCGTCGGATTTGATCGTGAGTGTCGACCCGTGGATCGAGGATATATTCCCATTTAGCGTTCATCCGTAACATGAAAAAACCATACAGCTCCCTCGACGAGGTTAAACTGATCATGCCCCCTTCAATTGGATCCGTGATGGTCTGGCCGAGGGACATCGACGTGGAGTAGCTGGGCATCCTAACCACACCGGCAGGCATTGCGCTATCTGCACCGTTATCGTGTTGAGAATTACTGGTCAGCGGCCGCAGAAGCATGGAAAGTTTCAGTGACACCGACGTCGGGGATTTCTGGGGAGACGGGCGTCGCGGCCTCTGGTCAGTTCTAGAGCTAAAGCATGGCCCATCTTCCGACGTAACGAAGCTGAATGAAGACCCTCGTCTCCCTCTTAACGAGGCAAGCGCAGTAATTATCGCAGTGCGAATGGCATCGGTGATGAGCGGTTGTCGGACATCCAGGTCCTGCGATTCGTTGGGCTGATATGGTGTACTATGATGGCTTGTTGCCGTGGGCGTGTGGAGTGTGGGGATGGGGTCATGGGCCTCTGCAAGATTAGCTGCATTGGGCAGTTCCTCCGAACAGTCAGGATGGTTCTCAGCAGCCTTGTTCTCGCGCGGTGGCGTCGGGCGAGGATATGGAGCCGGTCTGACCCTTGCCCTCTTGGGCTGTGTAAAGACGCAGGACGTGTCGTTCGCTATGCACCGATTGCACCGGTCTAATCGCTGCGATACCAGACATCGGACCTTCGCCTTTCGACACTGCAGGCACGCGCTAGATGGAAGCCAGATCAGACAGAGTATCGGCAAGGCAAGGAATTACTCACACGGGCACACGGTGGAGATCGGATGGGGTTGCAGTGGACGGCGCCATATCGAATACGGGATTCCAACGGACCGAGAGAGAATGAAGAATGAAAGGGGCGGCGTCGTTGAGGGGAAGAAGAGGAGCTGAAGTCGGATGGCCATCCGAACAAGCCCTATCTCGGCCCGGGACTTGGAGCTCTACAGACCCACCCCGACCATACTCTCGAGATAGGCTTTATAAGTAGATATCTATAGGTATAGATAGCAGGGTATCAAGCTCAACAGCCTCTTTCATTCCCTGTATACTCATCGCCTCCTCTTCTCCATAATGCCCGGCCGCCTCGAAGGACAGGTTGCCCTCATCTCCGGGTCCAGCCAGGGCTTTGGACGAGGCATCCTCGAGACATTCCTGCGTGAAGGCGCATTGATCATCGGCATGGACCTACAGGCTGTTGACGGCCCTGTTGAAGGCTGTCCTGAGCATCTCGCCTACCAGATCAAGGCAAACGTCGCGGAGCAGCAGACATGGGTGCACGCGGTAATTCCCCAACCCGTATACCGTTATACTTCGTTCTCACGGTGGGAATAGCTCAGAACCTGCATTGAAAGATACGGCCGACCACCCTCAGTCGTCGTCCACAACGCCGGCTGGTCGTATGCCAACAAATCTGGCCTCGACGTGACGATTGAAGAGTTCGACCGCCTCTTCAACGTCAACGTGCGCAGCATCTACCTTGCCTCGAAGGTGCTCGTCCCCGAGATGAAAAAGAACGGCCCTGGGTCGACAGTGGTTATCTCGAGTGAGAACGCCATCCGTCCAGGTGCTACACAGACATGGTATAACGCCACCAAGGCCGGAGTCTCGTCGGCCACCAAGTCGATGGCTCTGGAGTTTGCGCGCGACCAGCTCCGCTTCAACACGATCTGTCCGACTTCTGGAAACACCCCGCTTCTTAATAAGTTTGCGGGTATTGCGAATGGACCCGTTCCAGAGGAGATCATCCGTGCAAAGTGCGAGTCGATCCCAATTGGGCGTTTGGTTGAGCCGTCTGATGTTGCCAACGTCGCTCTCTTCCTTGCTGAGCCGGCGAGCTCTATCATCAGCGGGGTGGAGATATTGGTGGACGGTGCCAGATGTGTATAGCCTGCATAAATAGAGAAAAATAAGAATATTTGGTGGGTCTGTGGCACTATAGGTCTTGCAATAGGGTGGCCAATGTATTCAACACCACGTAGTAAAGAGAACTAGTACAACAATGGTCCATTCTCATCATCAATCTCGGTGATTCTGCAAAGCCGAAGCTATTGACTTTTGCAATGCCCAGCCCAGAAATATTCAACGACGATGGATCATGAAACCTGGTGAAGACGCGTAGCAGACTGATGCAGCACCGCAGGAAGATTCCCCTGGGAGAAGCAGGACCACGATATGACGACGACATACCCACAACTTTAGACTATTCTAACCAGTCGGATTGTCCTCCGAGCGTTGGATCTGACCGAGGTTATATATAACAGAAGCGCGAGACCAAGCCTCTCAAATGCGAGCATCTCGACCATTTACCCTTCATTTAGTACCTACCACGATAAACTGCTTCCTAGCCACAAAATAGCTGGTTACTTTGACATTCAGACATGGCACCCGAACCCCCCTCCACCCGGCTCGCCTTTCTCGGCTGTGGTAAGTCTGCAGAATGGGCTTTCAGTATAGCGAAAGGCTAACTAACGCATCAATCCAGGCCATATGGGAAGGGCCCTCCTCGGAGCACTCCTCCCATCAACCACCAAATCCGAAAGCCCAGTGTCTGAGATCACAGTGGCTGTGAGTCGACCAGAATCCCAAGAGGAGCTGCAACACCAGTTCCACGATACACCCGGGGCAGCCGTACATTTCGTCCACGCCCAGAATGTGGAAACGGTACAGCAAGCAGATGCAGTCCTCCTTGCATTCCCACCAGAGGAGACCAAGACGATTCTCTCATCGCCGGGAATGAAAGAGGCGGCACAAGGTAAAGTCATCATAAGCATGCTTGCACGGATCCCTCGGGCAGAGATATCCAGACTCCTAGAAAACCCCCATGACGGCACTGGGATCTCCGACACTGAATGTGTGCAAATCGTCCGTGCCATGCCGAGCATTGGAACAGCAGCGCACGAGTCAGCGACCTTTATCGCGAGTGTCGGACCGGCACAGGATAAAGCCATGGACCTTACAAGGTGGATATTCAGCTCTGTTGGGAAAGTCTTTTATGTCTCGGACGAGCATTTCGATACAATCACCGGCATGTGTGCATTTTCTAACGCTCTTATAACCACGTCTATCCAAGCTATAGCACAGAGCACGAGTGCTGAGGGAGTCCCCGTGGAACAGGCTCTTGCCGTTAGCGCGCAGTGTATTAGGGGGTCTTTGGCGTTAATTCTATCCGGTACGAGCCCGGAGCAGCTCCAGACGTCGTTGTCCGCTCCAGGGAGTATTACAGGACAGGCCATACAGGCTCTACAGGATAGTAGGCTGACGGCATTCCTGGACCCTGTACTCCGCGCAGCCATTGATCGAGCAAGAGAGGATGCGACCAACTCTGACTGACAGCGTGAATGTATTATGCATTGTCAGATTGTATCTAGACTAAATCGCATTGACTGATATCTGCCACTTAAACAAGATCTAAATTTACTGAAAGGAAGTTATACTCCGCGATTGAATTCTACCTGCTCCTCATGTCCAGCCCTATGCCAGAATTCCGGCTCTAATTTGCCAACGTCAACAACCTGCCGCTGCGGAAACACCGCTATCGCCAGAGGCAAAACCATCAGGGACGTCGAGAAAATGAGACCCAAATTCACAGGGAGAAGGAGAAATGGATAGGTTCTTAACAATGCAAGCCGCTCAATCCTCAGGAGAACCAACGGCGGAATCACCATGACAGGCGCTGCATTAAGAATCCGGCTAACGGCAGTCTCACTAACCGCAATCCATGCCGCGCGTTGACTCTTGCCCAGAGGTTGTATTGACTCCTCTGGCTCTGAATGCTGTGAACGAAGAGGATAAATGTGGATACCCTGACGGACCTCGTCGCTGCGCATAAGGAGGACATTCAGGGCACTGGCACTGGTGACGGCTGCGAATGGAGTCAGACGGGATAAGACCCTCTTCGTCGTCCCGCTGGGGCTTTTGAGTCGTTGGATTAAGGTGTTCAGACCAAGAGCGACCTAGCAAGATACGGATACTGCAGCGATGTATGATTTTGCGATTGTCGAGTATGGGAGTGGACTGGATTTGTTGGCGTTTGCGTTGTTGATAGCCACGTTTAGGGACTGGTTCATGATTTGCCAGAAGATTATTCCGTTTCTCTATAAATATAATATTAACTTGAGTAGACTCTGTATTCTGCAGGCGAGTTTGAACCCACCGACAAGCCAGGTGTCAGCATGCCCGCATTAACGACGAGGTTCGATAGTGCATAGCAGGACATCCGAAAGGGCAAGAAGACAGGCTCGCCGGTGTCTTTAGTAGCCACTTAGCAGGCGCGGATCAGCTGGGGGATCAGCTCACCGGGATGCAAAGTAGAATCAAGCAGGAGTTTCGCCGCCCACACGTCCGGTGTGATGGTCGGGATATGGCCATGTCTGTACGAAGAGACCAGCTGTTTGGCCTCCTGTAAACGAGCCCTAGAGGCAAATGCCATTCTTACCCGATTAGCACGTGTAAAGTCCCTATCGAAGCGGCTCAGGTACGGTGATACCTTGGGTCACAGAGACCAGCTGCGTGCTGGACACGGCCCCAGTACGTATTCAGGTCATACTGTGACCGGGGCAGCTCTTTTTGTTTAACAGGCGGAGCTGACATTGTAGCTGTTAGATCCAAATGGTGATACTGTATAGGGTCTTTGTTTAGTAGCAGGAACTGGCCACAAGCGCTGCAATATCGGCATAGTTTGGCTCTCCAGCCAAAACACTCTTGCCAAAAACCACATGAAGTCTCGGTCTACATTACCGGAGCGTGCCCAGGGATGCCGCTAGAGTAGCCTACAAGCATATCCGAGCACCCGAGTTCATCTCGGTGGTCATACCCGAGTCCCAGTGCTATATGAGGTTAAGGCACACAGCCATGTGTCCAGGGAAATAATCCCGCACATATCACCGAGATCAATCAGAGACCAGCATGACATCGATCGCGAGCAACAATTTACAGACCCGTGTCAAGTCAGGCTTACTCTGCACGGCAAGTATCAAATTTGTCTATTTGTTAATCATGGCTAATGTAGTCCCAGGCCTTCGGAATCCGTCTAGCTCCATCCCCATGGACCGTCCAGCTGGCCAAGGCAGCCGGGTTCGACGCGCTGTTCATTGACCTGGAGCACTCAGTACTATCTCTTACAGATACAGCACAGCTGTGCACTACCGGGATTCTGGCCGGAATCACCCCGTTCGTCAGGGTTCCGTATCGATGTGGCGATGGATTCGTGCAGAGGGTCCTTGATGCGGGATCCATGGGTATGATCTTTCCACATGTTAAAGATAAAGGTTGGAATAACTTTTAAAGATTAATAGTGTATACTCACCTATTATTAATAGAGGATGCTCGAAACGCAGTCCGGATGTCCAAATACCCCCCTGCAGGCACGCGTTCATTGACAGGACAACTGCCCCAGTTCGGTTCAGCTCCCCATCACCACGAGGTTGTTATCCAGGAGAGTAACACGGTAGGGTCAACCGTATTCGTGATGATGGAGACGGCGGACTCCATTGAGAATGCATACGAGATAGCAGCCACCGAAGGCGTCGATGTCTTACTGATTGGATCGAATGACCTCTCCATTGAGCTCGGAGTGCCGGGCCAGTTCGGCAGTGAGGTCTATCGTTCAGCCGTGGAAAAGGTCGCTGCTGCTTCGCATGCATCAGGCAAGGTATTTGGGTTCGCGGGAGTGTATGATAATGCAGATGTTCATGACTGGGTTGTAAATAAGCTGGGGGCGAGGTTTGTGCTTGGGCAGCAGGACTCGGGGTTCATTGCGAAGGGGGCGAAGGAGTGTATGGCCGCTATCAAGAACATCCATGAATAGTCTAGATATCTGTCCGAGAAACATAATTAGGAGGCTAATATGACCGTGGTTGACATAGACTCGCTTTCTGTCGGGTCTGGTAACCTGCCCAGCTACCCTGTCAGCAATATCAGACCGAGTCAGCTCGGGCATCCAAGCCGAGTATTAAAGTTAGCAGTCATTGGCATTTTAATCAATACGGGGAAGCGAGGTAGCCAGGTATCCGGGCTATCCGGGGTGCCTAGCGCGTTGATATCTCAACGTGGAGGGGGTCTAGGGCTATATAAATGTGAGGCCGAACCTACCATAATTCTCTGACTTTCACTACAAATATCAACCTAGAAACTAGTGACTTATTTGATACCTCTCATTATGCCTGACCCAACTCTCAAGCAGGACGAAGGGATGGGTCCGAAAGAGGACCATTCTATAAACGATAGGAATACCAGAAGCGAAAGCATCAGCCCAGGCACGGTGCAGCGCGTTGCAAGTGGCCACGGTCAATACCTCCGTTCATTCTCTCCTCGCCAGGTGCATGTACGCTCTCATCAAACTCCAACCAACTTCAAACTGTTAACTTGATAGGTGATGGGCCTAGGAGCTAGCATCGGCAGCGGGATCTTCATCGGTACAGGAAAAAGTCTTTTCACCGGCGGCCCAGGCTCTCTGCTCCTCTCCTACTGCTTGATCGTGGTCTGTGTATGGGCGGTCATCCAGTCCCTGTTTGAGATGACCATAGCTTTCCCAACATCGGGCAACTATCTGGACTTTGCCGATCGCTGGGTTGACCCTGCTCTGGCATTTGGTTCAGGGATTGCGGAATGGATTGGTGACTGCAAGGATGGAAGTCGGTTTTGACTATTTTGCTAACAGGAATAGGCTGGGCTGCATCTGCTGCGGCCGAGGCGTCCTTCTTTGCTGTGCTGGTGAATTACTGGGCTGAAGAGCGTGTCAACAATGCAGCTTGGTGTCAGTATCCTTCTCTCTCTTAGTTCATTGACTGACGCAGAAATATAGTAACTATCTTCACGGTGATATATATTCTAGCGTTCTTCCTTCCCAACCAAGTCTTCGCCTGGATGCAATACGTCTGTTGCATTGTTAAAATATTGCTTCTACTGCTGCTTCTGCTAGCATCTCTGGTAGTTATTTGCGGTGCTGGCTCTGATGGATATGTACACGACGGCCATTTCTGGACAGATCTGCCAGCTTTCAAAGGCAGTTTTACAGTAAGCAACTGGTCATCTATTTTCTGGTGGTGTGTACTGACGCATTAGGGCTTCGCAAAATGCACACTCCTCGCCTCCTGGGCCGTCGGCGACCAGATATTCCTCGGAGTCATCGGCGGCGAGACGGCCAACCCTCGGTACTCAATGGCACACACTGCCAAATTAGTCCCCTGGCGCGTCATAGTCCTATACGTGACAACGGCTGTCTTCATCACACTCCTGGTTCCGTCCAACAGTGACCGGTTGCTGGGAGGGAGCGGATCCCAAGCATCACCGTTCCTCATAGCCTTCGACGACGTGGGGATTCGCGTTCTACCGGATATAATGAACGCCGGAATGATGATTGGTATTATTGCCAATGGCTCTGAGTCGTTCTATCTGGCATCGCGAGTCCTGCGGGCGATGTCCCATCAGAGATTGATTCCTGAGAGGCTTGCCCGGGTTGACGAAATGGGACGGCCGCGAATGGCGCAGCTGGTTACTGGTGTATTGGTGCTCACCATGACTTACGTTAGCCTGACTGGTTGGTTCCCCTTTTCGCTGTCTTCCTAGCTCTAGTGGCTTGGGGCTGATCATATTCCCTGTCCAGCTGGAGGAAGTGAAGTCCTAACATGGCTTGTCAACATCACCAGCTCGGCGATTGCATGCAACTGGCTCATCATCAGCGTAACCTCTCTTCGATTCCATGCAGCCATCAAGGCGCAGAAAGACGATCTCTTCTCGGAGCCCTATGCGTGGAAGCTCCAGAGCTATCCCCTCCCCCCTATAGCACTCATGATCCTCTCTCTCTTCCTCATCGGATGTTCACTGACGGCAGGGATTGATTCCAATGTAAGCGCCTTCATCCACTTGAGCTCTGATGGTTAATATAAAAGCAGGGCACCCCAAACGACCGGCTGCAAAACTTCTTTACCTATACAATCGGTCTCGTCATGGTTATTATATGCACTGTGGGATATAAGGTGCTGATGCGGACGTCGTGGAGATCGAGAGATACCGCAGATTGCGTGACTGGCAGACGACGTTTAACAAGAGACGAGATTGTCTTTCTGGATAATTACTACCGTCAGCCACGTTGGCGGCGGTTTCTAGAGTATATCCGGCTGTGGTAGCTGAAGCAAATACCCTAATATCATGTATACTTCGTCACGCAGAGTTTGCTACATCAGTAAATCCTCAATTATACATATACCAACCCCTAGAGTCAGCTCCCATCCCAAAGCCACCGATCCTCCCCCAGACTTGCAATATTGCCCTCAACCAGCACATCATCCGTAGCCAACTGGTCTACCACCGCCAGTATCTGCTCAGAAAGAAGGCCAACCCCCTCGGTCTGGTCTCCCCAGTCCAAACCTAGCGCGCCGTTTATATCCATCCCCGGGTCAAGCCCATGCACATCTACCGTGTTGGTTTCAACCCTCTGTAGTACGGAACAATCAGGCGTAACTCCTAAGGCATCAGCCTGTGTTTGGCTTGGGCCCTCTGATTCCTGGATAAGCCACTCTAGTATATCCAGCTCTGCACGTCGAAACTCCGCGATGCGGTTCCCTTTTAACTTCATATCGTCAAGGATACTGGTCGCTATCTCATAGCAGGAGGTACTACGACTCTCCGTGGGCACAATCATATATACCAGACGCAGTGTAAATACCGATGCAAATGTGTATTCGAGGTCGAATGGGAGGAATGTTTCTGCTTGTCTTATTAGCACAGCCACTTTCTTTCTTCTCTCCCAGTTCAGTTTTACAGAGTGGAAACGCACCTAGTAGGTTCTTCTCCCTAAGCTGTCCCAGAATCCTGAGGGACTTTGTAGCAGAGTCAACGCAGCTCCGAGCCAGTGTGAGCACGGCGTGCGATAGTGGTCGTTGGCTAGTACCTGCTCCACGACTATCCAATCGTTCCAGCAGAAGAGAGAAGATCAGAGGACGAATTGCGATTATCACGCACTAATGGAAGTAACATATATTGTGTTAGCACATATTTAAACCCCTACAAGTACCATGAGCAGCAGATTAGTTCACCAAGTGATATGACAATGTCAAGCGCGTACTCAATCCACAAACCGCATCAACAGATGTCTTGAACCGGCTCTGAAAGACCTGCTCCCATTCGCGCGATAGATCCGCCATCTGGCGCAGGGTAGACTGTACTTTCTGTAGGTATAGCGCTGGCCGCTCCCCTCCCGGGTTATACACGGCTAGGTCCCGTTAGCTACAATCAATCAATACCAAAGGATCTGAACCGACTATGCAAAACGTGATTCATAGCCTGCGATACTTTAACATGCAGGGTAAGTCCAGCCAAACCGCGCGGACAGGTCTGGGGATCCCACAGCATAGCCGTGACGTCCTCCTCACGCACGGCGCTGGGCGCACCAACTGATGCGGTGAGTTTGTTCTCGAGTAAATATGTCGTCCACCAGATTCGGGTACATCTGCTTGCCAATTTGGGATCGATATCTGGCGGGAGGGCGCGGTGCAGGCCTTCGATTACGGCTATGCGCATTGCTTGTCCGATCTATCAGAGTGATTAGGCAGTGTCTTATCCAACCAACGCTGACAACTCACATAGCAGCAGCTGGAGTCCCTCATATCCAGCGAATAGAGATATAATGATACGGCTGCTAGAACCTCTATCGTAAGAATTGGGTCATCCCATACCCTCGACGGGTCTGGCAGAAGCGACATCGCCCTGGTGAAGTATTGCGAACAGGCCGATTCGCCTGTTGCTCGAAGACGCGTCGAAGGGGCGAGAAAAGCCTCTCCAAACGCCATGACAACAAGGAACTGAATATACCACAGCCGCGACGTTCGCACCTTAGCATGAACATCATCGTACAGCTCATGCAAGTTCGCCAGAAACTCCTCCTGGTCAAAGAAGTGGAATAATTCGCCCAGATGGAACCGAGTTGTGCTAACAAGGTACATTGCGTGGTTGAGTGATGGCAAGTCACTCACGTCCGGTGCGCCGTCGGGCCCAACACTTCCCCAGTGGATGTCGTATGCGTCACCGTCTGTGTGGAATGGGATCTCGATTGGGGTGTGAGGGCTGAAGCGCTTGGCCATGCTGTTTAGCACGCGGTGGGTGAAAGACCAGCTCGACGTTGGGCCTTGGAAGACTGGGGGTGGTCAATACATGCCAAAGGCTCTTCGTTGGCAGTTTGCATACACCATGTGCGCCGTCTCTTTCCAACACGATATACGAAGCTCGATGGGGATACTAGAGGGTTCCGGTCGAGATGGGCGTCAGGGACGTCATCTGTGGTATCATCCTCATTTCCACTTTGAGTGGCATGCGGAGAGGGTGCTGGCAGCCATCAGCAACATCAGAGCCGGTCGAATACTTTTACTTACGCGCATTCTGTGGGACTTGGGTTTGTCCTCCTCTTTCCATTGCGCGGCCCTCATTGTCACTCTGCTCCAGCTCTCCCAGCTTACGCTTCAAGGTCAGGAATTCCCTGCTGCCAATGAACATGTGTAATTGCCATGACGAGGCAGTCCTACCTTTTTGATACCGAGATGCGCCGGTCTCCTTCGAAGATGCACTCCTCCGCCCGTCGCTGGCAGCTCGTGCAGGGCTGATTGCCAGAACATTTGACCTTTCGGGCACGACAATGATAACATCTACCCGATACTGTCAGTGAACACTCGTTGAGTATACGGTTGGGGCGCTATACGCTCCTGGAGCCCGTTTCTGGGGCTGTGGACTTCCCACCATGCTCGAGTGATGCCTGGGCGCTTTCTCCAACTTTCCAGCACAGTAGCTATTAAATAGCCGGCCATGCGGGGTAGCCCAGGATTGGGGCTCGTTGGCGCCACTTGGGTCCATGTGCTATGTGGACCCGATATCACTGCCTCGTGTCTACTGAGCCCGAGTAGGGCGTCACTTAGGTTTAGAAAGTAAGCGCCATGTCTCCTACAAATGCACCAGTCTATTTGCCAGAACCTGATTTCAGGTGGTCAATTAGTTTCATATTGGCATATAAACTAGCTAGACCTGAAAAGCCGCCCTCCAGTTCGCCGCCATAACTCTGCACGCAAGGCAGATGCCATATTCCTCGACCTCTGCACAGCATCCGTATTCTCGACGGCCCTTCTATATAGATTTTGGACTAGCTCCGTGGTTGTACCCCACGATAGACACTTAAAGGGTCTCGGGGCAGCTGATTGCACCCGCTCATCGCGGGATTCAAGGTCCGCCTGGCGCCAGCTGAGGAGGTCGCAGCTGAGATCATCAGCCATTCCCTGTATTTGGCCATACTCGACAGGGATGGTAGGCAGGCCCTTGCGCGTTCTGGATGAGTGCAGTGCGTACGCCTTCTGGACTGTCTCGGCGTTATGTGAGGCAACGAATAGGTGCATGTTTGGGAAGCTCGGATAGGGGTCCGATGTGTTTGGGTGCTTGTCGGGGAACTCTTTCGACAGGAGAGAAGACACAATACCGTTATAGTTATTGTCTGTATCCTGCTTTGTGTTGTGGATGACCTCTCGCGGCTCGTTGGCGATGTATGCACCCCGAACTATCTTCAGCCCTAGATTCCAGCCCTCAGTCGATGCCAGTCGCAGGTGATTTGTGACGTTGTCTCGTGCTGACTTGAGATAAGTTTGCACGGTGTTGTATACGAGAGGCGTGGACCCTCGATTATGGCGTCTCATCAGGTCAATCACCCAGAGATCCAGCGTCCGTTGCACGACAGTCTGCTCGGCGTCGATCCAGATCCGGGATCCCTGTGCTCGCGCTTCTTCGCAGATTTCGTCCATTGCGTCTCTTATCGGCGGAGGGGGGAGAGGCAGGCGTTGAAGGCACGCATCGACTGCAATGCGACCTGCGCCTGTATATCTAGATTCGTAACTGTTAGCAGGCGGCACCCATGGCAAGATAGCCTCACTTAATAGCCAGGAAGTCTCCAGGCCCAACCATCCGCAACGTCCTTCTCGTTCCCTGCTTCCACGCTTCAATATCCCTTAATTCTTCCTCCGTCGGACTATCCACTGGCTCCGGCACTCGTCCACGCGTCGCAATCACAATCTCCCGCGCATATCCCAGAATGACGCCCGTAAAGCCCTGTCCCTTTATGTGCCGAATCGTTTTACCTACTTCTGCCTCGTTCTCGCCTGCGGCAAACTGCTTGTAGAAGGAGGCTCGGAGGGCCATCCGAACCAGGGGATTCTTTTCCGGGCTGAATAGCCGAGCGTCATGCGTTGCCATCAGTCTCATGAATCCCATTGCGGGCTTGAGAAGGGCTGTTGACATGACTGTTGTGAATGCCAGCGACCGTAGGAGGACGGTCATTGGCATCCGGCCGAGAGGAGGAATATGGGAGGTCTTCTCCTTTGTTCCTGGTGGTGGTGTATCCAGTCTTGCAGTTGATCTGTGCCGTCTGTAGGGCATCAGGCGTCGGCATTGTGGGAGGAATGTGGCTCTCTTGGCCAGCTGAAGATGGTGCATGTTGGATGTATGCAAAGCAATGGCTAGATAGTGTTCGTCCCTCTCGTACTACGGTGTCGGCGTTATATCTCTGTTGATAACCCTGCGATACTGTCTCTATTCTTCCTCGGATAGCCACCCCGAGGTAGCCAGCCCTACCTCGTGAACCGGTTGGCCTCTACTTCCGACCCTCGAAGATACGAGGGCTCAATGACGTGTCCAATATGCACCCCTCATCTGTCAAGAGAGGGGTGTGCTGTATACCCCCGAGGGATACAATGCTCGGTGGTATTTCCCGTACCAGACCTGGAACCGGTAGACCTGGGACCGGCTAGACTGTCACTTGAGCAGTGAAAGAGTATGCCCAGTTATACTAGGGTCAGTCTAAACTGGATATGGGGACGAGACGAGAATAGCACGGTATCGAGATATCTACAGGAACCAGCTTCTCAACAAAAAGTAAACATCGCATCCACTGTTCTATCATTAACGATCAGCCCGTACAACCTGATCAATAGCCCTAGCGACTACACCCACATTCCTCTCATTCAATCCAGCAACATTAATCCGCCCATTCGGAGGCAAGTAGATATGAAACTCATTAATCAACCTCTCGACCTGCTCCTCCCCAATCCCCAACAACGAAAACAGTCCTTTCCCACGTACCAAATGCTCCCAACCCCCCGGCGCCCCCAAACTCCCAGTCAACTCAGCATACAGCCTCTCTCGATTCCTAACCAAACGCCCCGCGGCACTAGCAAGTTCACCTAACCACTCCAGGCATAACGTCTCATCCTCCAGAATCACCTCCGCCAGACGCGCTCCATAGCCCGGCGCAGAAGAGACCTCCCAGCGCACCAAAGAGCGCAGAACATCCTGCACACGCTCTGCAATCCCCTCCTCCCGACAGACGACGTGCAGAACGCCAACCCGCTCCGAGTACAAGCCCATATTCTTTGAAAAGGACTGGCACACGAGCATGTTGACTCCGCGAGCCGCGAAGTGTCGTACGGGCCAGGTGTCTTGCGCAGCATCCTCTGGCGCGCCTAGGCCATGATACGCAACGTCGAAGAAGGCGAGGTGGTTCCGCTCCTTGATTATCTTACCCAGGGACTTCCATTCGTTTTCCGTCATGTCTGCGCCTGTTGGGTTGTGGCAGCACGCTTGCAGGACGAAGATGGATCCACGCGGAGCTTGTTCGGCTGCCTGCAGTGTGCTATCTATATCAACCTGGCGTGTGGCGGCATTGTAGTATCTGTATGTCTCTGTGGGTAGCCCTGCGTGTGCGAAAAGGGGGAAGTAGTTTCCCCAGGCTGGGGTTCCGATGTAGGCTGTTGCTTTGTCGTTGTCCTTGCTGCGGTAGTGCGCGGCCAAGAATGCGGCTGCTATGCGGTTGGCCCCTGTTCCTGCGACTGTCTGGATTGATGCAATCTGTTTCTGTTAGATTTGCTCTTGATGGGTAGGAGGAGGAGGGGGGGTATTGCCTGGGAACTATCCACTGAGTCTCCGAACATGAACTGTCGTGCCAGACGAACGAACGTTGGGATTCCCGTTGTTGGGTTATACTGTGGCCACATTATAAGCTTCTCTCCAGGCTAATAATAACTGTATAGGGATACTGACGTCGTGGCCTATATTCCTCCTTGCAAGAATCGCTTTCGCCTGCGGTCGTCTGTTAGCCTGCCCCGAATACAAGTTACACAGTGAGTGCACCTTTTTAATAGCCGGAAACTCATAATACCCTCCGTCCCCCTGACGGTATACGCCAACGCCCAGATCAACCTTGTCTGGGTGTTTATCGCTGTCTGCTCGGGCTTTCAGGATAAACATGGGGTCAATAGGTGCCCTGGGTAGCGATGCGAATGGTACGTTTCCAGCCATTGTTGCCGCGCGAGATAGTACTCGTCTGTGAGGCGCCATTGGGTCTAGATTTAAATTCAAGTCACCTGAAGGAAGTCAGTGGGAGATACCAAGAGGAGGAGGACTAGTATTGTCTGGCTCGGTGGTCTGTCCCACCCCCGAGGTATCAATATCAAGCTCGGTGGTCATACCCGAAGAGTTATTTATTAATGCCAGCTCTCAGTCGGAGCAATTCCTACTATTTCTCCACGGCATACACAATATCTAAAATGCGTCTCACTGCAGCTAAAACATGTCGGCCTGTGCTACAGCATGTCCGCCCCCGACCAATCCAGCGGGCATTGCTGTCTGCATACACCAAGCCGCCGTTTACAAACGAGCCTGCTGTACATATCCCTGTCATGTAACAGCCTTAAAGCAACTAACCTGGATTAGAAAGACTACGCAAAAGGTTCACCCGAACGCTCCGAACTGACCGCCGCCATCGCCGATATGAAGAAGTCTTTTCCAGTGCAAATCCCCCTCCCCCTAAGCAAGCAACGTGGAGGCGCCCAAGACATCAAACAACATAACCCATCCTTGCACAAGGAGGTCGTTGCCAACTGGCAGCCTGCCACTGCACAGAATGTCCAGCAAGCCATCGACTCGGCCTTAAAGGCAAAGACATCCTGGGAGGAGATGTCGTTAAAGGACCGCGCGGCTATTTTTCTTCGTGCAGCAGATCTCGTCTCAACCAAGTACAGATACGAGCTCGTGGCTGCTACTATGCTCGGCCAGGGCAAGAATATCTGGCAGGGAGAGATCGATGCCGGGCAGGAGGTTTGCGATTTGATCCGGTAATCCCCTACTCTCTCCCCTCATGCTGGATACAACAGCTAACTACAGCTAGATACTACGTCCAATGCGCATTCAACCTGCACGCACAGCAGCCAGCCATAAACGCCCCCGGAACCTGGAACAGACAGGAATACCGTCCGCTGGAGGGCTTCGTCTACGCGATATCCCCGTTTAACTTCACTGCCTTGGGCACAAACCTCGCCTTTGGGCCCGCGCTCATGGGCAACGTCGTCCTCTGGAAGCCCTCCAACTACTCCCTGCACGCCAGCTGGCTGCTCTACAACATCTTCCTCGAAGCCGGGGTGCCACCGGACGTGGTGCAGTGGGTCCCCGGGGACGCAGTCGAAGTAACAAAGGCATGTCTCTCACATCGTGAATTCGCGGGCCTGAGCTTTACGGGCTCAACGGAGGTGTTCAAGAGCCTTCTCGGCCAGGTCGGGCAGGGGACAGCGCAGAATCTCTACCGGCAGATTCCGCGCGTCGTGGGCGAGACAGGCGGGAAGAATTTCCATCTTATCCACCACAGCGCGGACGTCGATAACGCCGTGAACCATACCATCCGGGGCGCCTTTGAATATCAGGGGCAGAAATGCTCCGCGACTTCTCGCGTCTACGTGCCGCAGTCAATGTGGCCGGACTTTCGCGAGAAGATCGTCTCCAGGATAAAGGAGCTAAAGGTCGGCAGTCCCGAGCAGTACGATAACTTCGTGAACTCGGTAATCCACGAGGCCAGTTTCGACAAACTCGCTGGTGTTCTCTCGCAGGCGGAATCAGATCCAGGTCTGACTCTGCTTGTCGGTGGTCAAGCGTCTAAGAAAGATGGCTATTTTGTGCATCCTACACTCTACCAGGTATCGGATCCGCATCATGAGCTCATGCACCGCGAGCTGTTCGGTCCTATTGCGATGATCTATGTCTACCCTGACGCGGAATGGGAGCAGATTGTCCAGACCGTTGACCAGACCTCTGAATATGGACTTACCGGCAGTGTCTTTGGGCGGGATCAGGCCGCGATTGAGTATGCAGAGCGAGGGCTGCGCAATGCTGCAGGGAATCTGTATATCAATGTCAAGTGCACAGGCTCTATGATCGGGCAGCAGCCGTTTGGGGGCTCGCGGGCCAGTGGGACGAACGACAAAGTAGGGTCTGTCAATGTTATCAGTCGGTTTGTCAGTGTACGGACTATTACTGATAGCTCGAGGACGTTGGAGGAGGTGGTGTATCCCAGTAATGAGATATAGCTCCTAGGCTACAGATTATCCTACGAATACTTTGAAGAATAAATGAAATAGTATAGTGAATGTAGCTCAAATGATAATATAATTATCCCAGTCCCGCAGTACTCTATCACCAATCTAGGTCAACTCGTCGACAACAAAAAGTCTTCACGCCAGATCTCTCCTCAGTAACTGCATACCAATCCATACAGCCACCGTGCACTCATTAATTCCTTACCCCATCCAATTCTTAAACCTCCAAAGTGGCTGACCCGGCTCAAGGCCCTCCGGGTACAGGCAACTCGTCAGACCAAGGAACCCCTTCGCAAACATTGCGAAAATAAGACAGCATATCCCACAAACACAAAAGGCTAACCCTAATGCCAAAAACATCACGGCGATTCCTACAACAAAAAATATCGTCCTTACCGGATACCACACTGCGCGCCCTACAACTATCGCCGTGATGGCAAAGGGGCGCCCGACTTTGGTCTGCCCGAACCGGACGAAGGGCTTTGCGCATTTCTTGCCGTATTTCTTCAGGCTGGATATGAGGCGGTCTCGCTTGCGGCGTTTGGGTGTTTCTTGTTCAGCTGAAGGGTCCTCTTCTGTGGGTTGTTGGGGTGCTTCTGTAGTTTTTGCTGTGGGCTCTGGGACTGTAGCTGCTGGATTGTTAGGGTCGTGTTGGATTTGGGTTGAGAGTCGACAGCACTCGCTCTCTTCGTCAGTGATCTGGTCCACTTGCAGGACCGTTTCCTGGTACGGTGGGGGAGGATCCATCGTTGTCTCGGTAGCTGTAGTAGACATTTTGCTTCAAGAGACTTTGGACTGTGGAGAATGAGTTCGACTGGTTTGACGGAGTAGGTTGGCCGTTGACAAGCTTGGGGACGGATGAAAAGAGGCCCGAGATGGAGAGCGGACAGTTAAATATTATAAGGCTCCTGAATTGACTGGTGAATGTTCATAGACACATAATTGATATATCCAGAATTCATATATTGTGAAAGAAATCACCAGGAAGGTATTCACTACCAGGCAGATACTGAACTGTATAGTGCACCAAGAAGTGTGCAATACAGTCTACCAGTCCAAGTATCTAACAATTATAACCAGGCCAGCTGATAATACAGCTAGACATGGTGCATCCGGGTGCGCAACTAATCCAGCTATATGATCAATCATTCTGATCTTACAGCCACTTCGCGTCTAGCATCGATGTTGGCTATTAGTTATTGCATGCTACGTGGGTTATTCCGCTAATCAGGCAATACATGTGTAAAAAGCCTCATACTCTATATTTCCATATCCAACCAGACATACAAAACCTAGAATCCTCGCTTTCCTCTCTTCAATCCCTCCTTGAACCACCTGCAACCTAGCAGGTAGTTTCACCACACAAACAACCGCAGCATAATACCGCATCGAAAACTTTAAAAAAGATTCCAAAGGGATTCGACAGGTCATCATGCCAGACCCAAACATGAACACGCGTCATATCCAAGCCAAGCCATGCCGACGGGATAAGTAGGTCGGCGAGCTCTAGAAGAACAAACAGGAGGATCCAGAGCGCGAAATAGAGTGGGAATCCAACGATAAAGGCAATCACGGCGCTGATTCCGAATATAATACGGCATAGGAGGACCCCAATGATGGCAAAGCAGTTGGAGGGTTCGTCGTTGAATCCTAAACAGGAATCGATGATGCGCTTGTCTGCTGGAGGCTGATGTTCAGGTTCCCTTGAGTATAGCGAGTCGGATAATGAAGTAGATGGTGAAGCAGTGATCCCTGGTGGTGACGAGTACTTTGGGCCTAGTAAAGCTGCTTCTGGGACGTTGGCAATTTGTTATAGTATATTAGAGAGTTATGGCTTGCCTTCCTCATCGTAGTCGCTCTGTACAGCCAGTTCCTCCTGGTAGGGAAGCGGAAGGTCTGTCGGCCTATCGGTAGTCCCAGAGGACGACATGATGTTTCCGATAATGAACCAAGCTGATATGCTTATTTGGTTGAATGAGGTCTGTTGAGGATCTGGTTGAATAGGACCCGAGAATGGGCGTAATGAAGAAGCTTATATAGTAGCCCTGTGTATAATGAATATGTGAATTTCCTTCTAGACAGAGCTTAGGAACTGGTGGATCCTCAACAGACCCCCGATTATAGCTTTATTCTTTGTGTCTTTGACACGTGGATATGCCTTGTATCTGGAGGTGAATGTAGTAAATTTGGAAATGGAATATAGCACATCTGATTAAATAAAGCCATCACAGAGCATGTATGTTTTCTGTTACACTAACAATATATCAAATCAATATAGCACTCCCCATGTCATATTTTAAGCCCCACCACCGATGTACTGATGGGATACCTCAGGTTCAATCACCATCCATACAGCACTCAATCACATACGTCACAAGGTTTAGGCAGGCCCTGAACCCAGGACTCAAACCTACGCGGCGCACCCCGCTCATCCTCAAATCCCTCCGGATAGATCCCGTCAGCGACGATTAGGAGAATGACCAGCAGACAATAAAGGACTGTGTAGATGGGGAACCCAATAACCCATGTAATCACCCATGTAATCGCAGCGAGGAGGCGAATCACGATGATACCGGTGACGACGAAGGGGCGGATAAATTTGTTCTCGCTCAGCTTGTTGAGTGCCCTGCTGCACGTCTTTGCGGCGTCGATTATAGAGGCTTTTATGGTTTGGACTATGGAGCCTTTAGTTCCAGAGGGGTTAGAGGCCTTGGATGGCTCTGGCGGTTCTGGTGATTCAGTTGTTGCTGGTGTAGCTACCATAGGCGGTGCGGATTTCGGTGGAGCTATTGCTGCTGTTGAACACGTTAGTACTTATTATATCTAGTGTTGGTGTGAAATGAATGTAACTTACACTCTTCGTCAGAGACGCTGGGAGATGCATTTTCATAGGGAGGCGGGGGAATGTCGTAGTCGGTAAGGAGCACGTCGTGCTCTAAGGAAACCTCGGTTTCGGGCTGGCTAGATGAGTTACCCATTTTCTGAAGACTGTAATAGACAGTTAAGGCCTGGTAGGCTTAGGGATTAAACAGGAGTGTTGATCTTAAATATAATGCATCCTTTATAGACGATGTGAGCGTCACAGTGGATCGAAGCTTGACATTAGTGAGTACGCGTGTGAAATGCATAATTCACTGTTTTACTGGTCATTCGCATAGAAAGACTTGGCCTGTGAGTAGAAATACCAAAAATAGTTCCGGATATATCGGCTCTAGTGCGCAGCCAGGCCTTACCTATACGGATCATGGACGTATAGGATTGGGCTAGGGCTAGATAAACCCTACGCCAGCTTGGTGCATCCCTTCAGATCTAGTCTTTCTGTTCTCTACATAGATTGGGCTATTTAGATACTTCTCTGGGCAGTGCAATAGAATCACGCTCAACCGAGCCACCATTACGGCGCTATATGATGGTGATCATACGATGCGATAGACAGAATATCTGACCTCAAGTGTCTATGACTCGTAGTTGAGCTCCAAGATGCCTAAGCAAGCAAAATCCGAGCCAGATCTATCTATCACATCACTGATAATGTTGTCCGAACAGGCTATCGTACCATCGGTATATCAGGCTTAGGAAGACTAGAACTGTAGGGAATAATCCTCCACATCCTGTCGGCCAACCTGGTCTAGATTGTTGCTGGACAAATACTGTCTTAAGTACTTACGGCTCATCAAGAGTAAACAGCTGATGCTCAGGTGAGCTTGCAAACTTTGATTGCGTCAGGCGAGGGCATTGTATAGCTCAGCCCTAACTTAACTTCTCAACGGTGTCGTAAGCTAAAACCATAATCTGCACAGATATCATAAGCCATGGTTCTTGGATCAGAAGTCATCACCACCATGTTCCTGGCCCACCGTGCGATCCATGTATGCAACGAGTCCTACTTCCAGTAAACAGAGCCCCAGGTAGTCGTACGACTGCCTCCTCAGATGGCTGCAAGCTAAACTGATTTATCAATGCGCGATTAAACCCTATTATGTATCCTATGACGCTGCTCGCTACCAGTGTATGCGTAATCAATGTTCTCACAGCGGTTTTATATTTCGATCTTCGAAATTCCTCTCCCTTCCTCTCAACACACAACCCTCGTTAATCCAAAAAGTCTTCACTCTCACTACTCAATCCGACTGCACAATGCGAGATTGCTTCTTCAACGACCTCGCCGGTGGTCAGATGGATATTCCATTCCGGGCTTCAGGCCCTCTTCCCCCAGCTCCTGAAGCCGATCCAATTGCACCTGGAAACCGTCCTCCACCTCCCTCTCCTCAGCCACCTGAGCCTGAACAAGAGCAAAGCGTCCATGTCCCCTCTGAGGAAATTGAAGATGAACCCGTGGAAGAATTCTTCACACCACCAGAGACATCCCCCTCGAGCATGGCCCAAGCCCAAGCCCAAGAAAACGTGGGACAAGAGCTGCCAATCACTACTCCTGAAATTACCGTGACACAGCCGTCTCAGTCTGATTCTGATACAATGTCCCTCATTTACAATATTTTGGTACATAACAGCTATCAGCCTCCAATGCCAGTGCCGGCTCCAGCGTTTCATCCATTGAGTCCGCTGCCTCCGCAGGGGGGACAGCCAGTCTTGGAAGATCCACCTCCCAGGGCATACCCGTATCCAGATCCTTTTTACGCCCGTCTACCACCTAATAGGGGCCGGATTATGCCGACGTCGGTGCCAGAGTCTACTTCGGCGCCCGTACTCCCACAGAGTCTACCGAATTGGGATGATCTACTTGGACAGAATTCGGGAGAGACGGCACAAGCTCAGGCGCACAGGATGGCACAGCTAGAGGCACGACGCGAGAGGCGACGCCTTTACATTGAACAATGGGGCAAACTACGGCAACGGCATCAGCAGCGGCAGCAGCAACGGCAGCAGCAACAAGCCGGGACCGAATCGCAGATCCCAAGCGACGGACCCAGTGAGATTCCCCGGGCTAGATACAGACTAGGTGGTTCACGTATTGTCCAATCTACAGAGGCAGGAGGTGTGCGTGCCACCGCCCCCTATCCCAGCCGCGTACTGACAAGCTGCCAGAGTGATCGTGTCGAACAATCTGGTACAGTTGTATCAGATGCTGAGGGTTTAATGGGGCCATCCCGAGAGGTGGCCCACGCCTTCCCGTCTCCAATAGGTCATTAGGGCTGTCTCTATGTAGGGGATCTAGGTATCTGTCTGTCGGGTCTCCCTGGGTTGGTATCTGGCTGGACCGGTGGTTCCTTCGGTTCTGTCTTTCCTAATATAATCCCATCGAACTAAGGATTTCGGTGGGAGTTCTAAATTGATTTCCCTCCCACCGTAAGGTTTCTCTCGTTTCGTTGGTGGCACGGTGATGTGCGTGAGCATACGAAGTCCGCGTGGAGTGTAAATATTGCGGTAATAATTTGTACTTAGAATATGAACAAATTGTAGTTTAATGTTTTGCAATTATTACTATTTTGATGTTTTTCTTTTCATCACCATGGCATACAAGACTGATATATCCAGTTCCATAAAGCGTGCTGAAGGCATGCAATCGATAAATATACCTAGTATCAAAGCCTGACACTACTTTCACCGTAACATATCAACTTGGCTAATATTATATATAGATAGATATACCTACCCATCAAGCCCATCCAGAACCTCCGCAGACGGCGCAAAGAAAACACACCCAGTCAACGGCCTCGAAAAGTCCAGCAACCGATCATGTAAACCAGGCGGATGGCCCACAAACATACGCTCCAGCATCTTCTCAATAACCCACAGCCTCCTCGTATACCCAATAAAATAAGTCCCATACTCCCCCGAGCCCGGCGACCCAAATGGCATATTATCACGCAGGATATCATGCTCATTCCCTTGCTCGTCTTCAATCGTACTCAGTGTCTTATGCGACGCCTGCTTCCCGTCCTCTGCGTCGTCGAGCTCCATGTTATCGGGCTTCGTGCGTCCGATTATCTGCTCCTGCTGTTCGGACCCCAGACCCTTCCACCCTGGTAGGTCGTGGACGTATTTCTGGACGACGACATAGGAGCCGCCCGGGGCACTAGAGGCAGCGGTGGGATCGTCGTCGTTCGCGACGAGGACTGAGGCGGGAACATCAGGGCCAACGGGGTTCGCAGTGCCGTCTACGAAACCGAGGAGATCGCGAGCATCGAAGTATCTAAACCCGGTAGTCTCGTCTTCCAGATGTACAGAGTCGCCCAGAGTATCCATGAGCTGGCGCTCGAACTCGAAACACAGATCGCGGCGCTCCGAGCGGATATGGAAGAGGAGGTCCCCTGGTGTAGAGATGGCGGTGTGTTTTGCGCCCTTGACCTCGCGGAAGGGGTGTAGTTCTTTCGGCCGGGGGAGGTTGTTTGTTAGCGAGTCCCAGATGGAGGAGCCGATGCCGACGGTGCAGGTGAATTTGGCGTCGGCATCGCGGAAGGAGACGTTTTTGGCGAGGTTGGAGACGCCGGCTAGGGTTGAGCGGATGGTTGGGATCGCGGAGGGCGAGGTGGCGGTTAGGACGAGGAATGTTGCGTGTCGTGTCAGCGGTGCTGTCACCGGCTGGGTGCTTGCGGTTGCGATGCTGCTCATGGCTCGGGTTGCGCAGCGGAGGGGCGATGGGGTTAGGGACGGGAGAGCTGTTGACGCGGCGACGATGGACAAAGAAGCGAGCAGGAATTGGGAATGACGCTGTAGAGAGTCATCGCACAGCTCATGGAGTCTTCTTGTCCCCCGCATTCTGTTTCGCCGCTCACAGTTGCATCTCGGTGGATCCGGCGATCTGGACCGGCCAGTGGGGGCGCAGACCCTTGGATCGCCGTGTGAATGTTCACTGTTTATTGGCCGATTAGTACTACTGGATCGGGAGCGCAGATCCGTCCGGGTCCGTCTAGTCGTTGCGTCACTGTCGGCCCGCCTCTATATCGGGGTATATTATTATAAGTATAGAGTTGACTGCTAGGGAGCATCCAGCAACCATCTCTCTCTTAGAACGAGAATTCAGACCATATTATCTCCAATATCTGACCTACAATGCCTCGAGGTGTGTCATTCCCAGTTCATCGGTTCCTATTGCATTTCTAATCAAACGAGCAGGAACCCAGCAAGCCGGCCAGCCAGGCGACTTCGGTGGGATCCGTTCCGAACAGCCTCAGGACATACGGGGTGGGATTCGCTCCAAGCTGAAGAAGGACGAGGAAGGCATAAAGGATTACCTCAAAGAAGACGAGGAGATTGAGCAAGAGGGCGGGACATATGGAGGTTTGATGTGATAGCTTACCTGCTTCTATCTTATCTACCTTGGTGTGGTTCTTGCTTTTTTGTGATGATTATATACTATGACTATAGGTATCCGGGAATACTCGATGGCTCTACTATTAAGTATTCCATCCGATCCGTTCATTTGTTCCCTAATTAAATAACGAGTTAATAAATAAATGCAAAGCTCATAACATGACATTATATGGCAAGACTGTGTACTAATGCCCATGCATAGACGACAAAAGCGAATCGGGTGTCCACCCGTCATCTATCAACATCGTGGTGCTTTTGTTCCCAAGACAGTACAGCAAATTGAGAAGACACTTTTCAACGCCCTGCCGTGCTTCTAAACTCAAGGTGTTCAAGACCTGTACCAGGTCCATCACGTAGCTCACCTTGAAGTCGCCCTCCTCAAACAGCCGTGTAAGGCTTTCAAATAAGATAACGCGCAGGTTGTAGACTGAATTCATCCACATATGCTGGGAGTCCCGTAGGAATATCTCTAATTCATCAAGTGTATTTGAGCCGGTAGGTGTTGTTGAGCCGCCATCCGAGAAGACGGAAATCGACTCCTGGATCAGGACGCTAATGGAGAATAGACAGCCCAGCATTTCATCTTCCCATTCTGCGATACCTTGACCGCTGGGGGAAGAAGATTCAATTGAATTTTGGAATTTCCGACGCAGAAGCCCGACTGCCGTATGAGTAGTAGGATATCCAAAAAGACCCTGGGTGTAGAACGACCCCATGAACGTTCTCATGTCTTGAATAAACGATATCAGCCAGAGGCAGCGGACCTTTTGGACGTCGAGAGATGGCGCGGGCTGTCGAACTGGGGGCGAGAAAAGAGGGCGAGAGATTCGTTCGAGGTTATTCGTGGATTCGAGCCATGACGGCTTTGACATTAACGAGACACTAGACTGTTAGCTCACAGCCTCCAGAGTATATACCCTAAACTGCACCTACAGGTAAACCACCAGCTCCAGCCGCCAGTTCTCATGCAGCGCCTCAACGCCACCTTTGGCGTCGATCATCCTTTGCAATCCATCACGGTGGATTTTCCAGTCTGCCACCGTGCCCCAGTATCGCTGTCAACATTAGCAACCATAAAAAAAAAGAAAAGAAAAGAAAAAAGGGCGGAACTCAAAGCCAATCCATACCTCAAATGTGAGCAACCTCACAACAGCCGCAAAAGCATCATCACAAAGCTCCTTCTCCGGATCACTAAGCCAACTCCGCAGAATCCTAACAGCCTCAATCTTATATTTCAAGGCATCAGAGGAATTCGTTCCTCGTCGGGGCGGAGTGCCAGCATATAAATGAGACAGATGCGCAGCAGAATGCGCCATAATACAGTTAAAAGACGAAGCATTCGAAAGATCCAGCGGGAACCACACGTCCTTCATCGGATTAAACTCGGTGACGTCTAGATCTTCGAACATCATAGCCGCGTGCGTGCTGATCCCTGCAGCAAGTCAGCATAAATTGCCACATCAGGCAGACAGAGCTAGCAGCGTCAGTCTTCAAGATAACTCAGGCCAAACGCACACTGGTGTAAAAGTTTCTGATGCTGGCTCGTCAAATGCACAGGACACGTCTGGAACGGGTCCGGTCTGGCACTCGACAACGCGTAGCTCATCCCACAGAACATCTGAGCCGGAATACCAGGCTGGCTATGTTTCTTCTTCTTCCCACCGACCTCCCCATCCGGACTACCATCTGCCCTCAGCGCTGAAGAGCTACTAGTGGCACTAGAGTCCTCCTGCCCATCCGAAGCACTAGTCCACCGCGGCAGCAAAATCCTCGACGTCGAAGCCGAGGCTGCCTTCCGATTCGATGTTTTGGCCTCCTGGTTTCGCTTGTGCCGTCGCTTCCAGTGCTCGCGCATAGCATGCTCCGCGCTTCAGAATGAATATTCCCCGTCACGAACGTGAACTGGGATGTATCTGTAGATGTTGCTCCAGGTCCAGTCCCAGTCCCGGTTCCACTCGAGGAGCTGGAGGTCCGCGGAGACATTGTTCGACTCTGGCCATGGGACGGCACACTGTGTTGGCTGGGAATGCCAGGGGACCCTGGGTTTATTATGAATAAACCGAGACTGAATGGAAATGTGGGTGAGATGCGGATCACATGATACACCGACCGAACCGGGGCCGATAATAGTACGACGAACAGGAAAAGATTCGTTGACATGTAAGGGAGATTCCACCTGCTGTTCTTTCTCTGGCTGGTCGCTGCAGCGGTTGCGGGCTGTGATTGGTTGGGGATGCCACACGATATAGTGGGTCCAACGTTGCCTCGCCACAGTGGACAGTATACAACCCATGGATGGACGGGGTCGGTATACATGCAAGCAAATGGTGAAATCTACTTGAACCATCTAGTAATACTGCTCAACTATGTCTGGGAGTATATTAAGCTAAGGGCCAGTCCATTGAATAAAGTGCCATGACTATTTAACAGTTTAGCAGTCATAATCTTCTAATATACTATTCATTAATCCTAATACAAGCTGTGGTCAAACTAATCAAACCATCAAATGAATTGTCCTCCAGAGACCGGCCATTTACAGAACTTAGGTAGAGTAGACAGCCCTATCTAATCTACGCACCCTTGATTGCCGTTTCCGTGCGCTGCTGCAGCGTAGCCCCGAGATCTTTGTTGACACGGGTAAACAAATCTAGACTCGGCGTTAAAGTAATTCACAGTGGCCGGGTCGCCGAAGGCTACAAAACTTACCATAAACACCCTTGCGAAGGTCAGGGTACTTGACGCCCTTGATGCTGCCGACAAGGTTCTCAATGACTCTATCCTGATGACCGGGCTGACGCCCAATAACCTCCCACAGCTGTGCGGGCTGCACAAAGTCCTCGTCCTGGATCTCGCTGGTGAAGGCCGCGACGTCCCCAGCCCATTTCTCGTGTTCGGTGTGCAGAGCCAGCGAGGCTGCGCTCACGCCCTTCCCGTCTTGGTAAAACTTGGTAGGCTTGATAGAAGAGCCAACATAGTTGGGATCTCCGCCGTAGTTGTCGTCAAATCGCATGGCTCCGTCACGCTGGAAGGGACAGTAGACTTGCACTTTTGCGGCGTTGGTAGGGAGCTGCTGGTAGTTCACGCCGAGACGGTAGCGGGCTGCATCAGGGTATGCAAAGAGTCGTGCTTGGAGGACTAGTGGATGTTAGTCTTGTAGCTTTCTGGAAAAAGGATGTGATGTTCAACTTACCTGGATCAGCAGACGCAGCGAATCCCGGGACCATTGTGGATGGCGAGAACGCAGCTTGTTCGATATCGGCAAAGTAGTTTCGCGGCTGTTTAGATCAGCAGCTGTAGATGAATATAATAATTAAACTCACGTTTCGGTTCATGGTCAGACGACCGATCTGCTGCAGAGGAAAGTCCTTGTGCGACCAGACCTTGGTCATATCAAAGATGTTCCACTTGTACTTCTCGGCCTCTTCGGGGCTCATCAGCTGGACGTAGACGTTCCAGACGGGGTATTCGCCTCTCTCAATAGCCTCAAACATGTCACGGATCATGTAGTCGGGGTCCTCTCCGGCAATCCTGGTGGCCTCTTTGCAGGAGAGGTTCTCAATTCCTTGTTGCGTTTTGACGTGAATTTTGGCATATTTAAATGTACCATCCTGCGTCGAGTCAGCGGGACCTCAGGTCTGGTAATGGCTGCAGCATACCGGTTTGGTGAACTTGTATGTGTGTCCACTGTACGAGTTCATGTACCGGACAGACCGGGGAGTGCCGCGGTCACTGAACAGTACAAGAAGCTGGTGGATGCCTTCGGGGTTACCGACGTGGAAGCTAAACCATTAGACTAGCAATCAACTGCAGCTTGGTATACTTACTCCCAGAACTACATAATGTTAGCATCCAGTTGCACATCAAGCTAGGCAAACTTACCATGTTGGCGTCAGGAAGGTGGGTTTGAGGGTGTCGCTTGTGGGAGCGGTTCATTGAGGGGAATTTGATGGGATCGCGAATGAAGAAGACGGGCTATTATCCAGGTTAGACCAAGTTATGTCATATACGGCCACGACATACTGTGTTGTTAAACACCCAGTCGAGGTTCCCCTCGTCGGTGTAGAACTTCATGGCCCATCCGTGCACATCGCGCGAAGTGTCGGCAGATCCGGACTCGGGGCCGACTGTTGACACTCGCTGAAGAACCGGAGTCTTCTTCCCGGCCTTGTTCAGGAAGCTGGCGCTGGTGAAGTCGGAGCAATCGCGGGTGCATTCGAACTCTCCGTATGATCTAAACGGTCAGGATGATTGTTCTAGAAAATTGCTTCCAGGCTTACCCGACAGCTTTGGCGTGGACGACACTGAATATTTGTCAGTATACTGTAGATAATCAATGACGCCATAACTAACCGCTCGGGGATTCTCTCCCGGGAGAAGTGGGCAAGAGTCTCAATGAGCTGAGTATCCTGAAGCAATCCAAGGCTGCCACCCTGTCTGCCTCGCATCAAGACAGCTGTCTTGTTGTTTGCGAAGGGACAGCCTGCATGAGTCAGTCATAAACGTAATTATTAGTTGAAGAGGGGAGTACCTTCGGCCAGAGTGTAGTATCTATCGTCGCCCATATTGGATGGCAATTGGTCTTGTAAAGCAAAAACGTGTTTATTCACAGCTAACCTGGGCTCGCCAGGGAAAGCGCTTAAATAGACTCCAGTCTGGACAGCACAGTCGCAGTTCTCACGTCGGATGGCACCTGCATTGTGTCTTGGAATTGCGTCTACACTCATTGGATCTCAGCTATCTCGGCCAGAGGAGCTGCTGGAAGCTGCCCCTCACCGCTACCAGCCATCATTATCATAACCAGTATCTGCGTGCCTTCAATCTCCGCACGAAGCGACGCAAGAGTGGCAATGAAGTCAACTCAAGAGCTGCCAGACGATGGATCGATGTCTCCACATATATGCAATTCTGTGGTTGGCCAGATAGTACTGCCCGTTTCGGCAGGGACCCACTGCCAAAGCTTATCTTATTATATCAACTTATCATTTATATCGATAGGATTATACCATCCTATGCAACAACAGGCACTGGGTGGCAACGATATTACCATGGTCTTAACGAACCTCAGATATTTCTTTTGAACCGCAGTTTCGTTGTAGACCGCAGCTTCAGCCCCACATCCATTTCAGCCATGGCTGTAGTTTTTATATTCGCATACTTTAGCCATACTTGCCACAAGCCGTCCAATGTTTAGCGGTTACGCTCTAGAATAACACTTGGATCGGCGCCTTGGGCTTTCCGTGCGCCGAATCCAGGGCTTACGATCCATTCTCGGCGTTGCTCTGACACGGGCCATCTACTCCATTCACGGCTCATGCTTTGTTTGATGCTGACTGGGCCGCAGCTTTGATGCAGCCGATCTACGGCCTTCTGGGATTTCGGATAGGCCCATTGGTAGACTCGCTGTCCTTCTCGGTGCTACCTGCTCCATTGCCTTCTCTCTAAGAGGGGCGGCACATATTGTGCTTCAACGCCCAACCATCTATTATGGAGCTTTGGTCGGCGCTTTGTCGATTCGTAATCTATCCAAGTTATGGCGCCTCGGACACGGGTCGTTACCTTGGAAGCTGCATATGTAGTGCCCCTCGGTTTCCACCTGCGGCGACCCCGCGTCCTCAGCTGGATAATGGTGCAAACCACTTCATGTATGGGGCAGTCTATTCTCCTTCCGTCCTATCTACCAGATCAAGTAGTCAGGTAGTCAAGTACCAGTTGAGTTGGAGAAGTCTTGACGTTTTAACAGGCATATTTACAGAGAGCCTGTCGTAGCCAGTGCAGCTGTTACGCATAAACCCGAGATGGAAACACAACAAAGCCAATGGGATGTCACACGGGCCCAGACTGCAAGGCTACTGGAGATGTTGCATTACTATTTGCACCATGTCCATGACGTCCACTGAGGGGTCAAAATGGCTGCATGCCTTCTATCTTTTTTGCCCCGTATTGCTGTATAGAGCTGGTCTCTCAGCAGTCCAGCTATAAAAGACGTGTAGAGGCCGGCGTTGTTTCAAGTGTTCCAGCCATCCATTGCATCTCTCAAGCTTCTCAACTTTATACTTAATTTCCTGGACTTTCTCTTCATCATGCCTGTCCAAGACAATGCTAGGTTCGACTTCATTGTCGTTGGTGGTGGCACAGCTGGCAACATCGTTGCTGCCCGCCTGGCCGAGAACCCCAATGCTAAGATCTTAGTTGTTGAGGCCGGTGTTGCCAACTCCAAGGACATCGAGGACATCAGAACCCCTGCCAACGCCATGGAGCTCCGTGACAGCCAGTACGACTGGGCTTACAAGACCACCATGGTCAAGCGCGACGACTACGAGCGTGTTGAGAAGCCCAACACCCGTGGTAAAGCCCTCGGTGGCAGTTCGTCCCTGAACTACTTCACCTGGGTGCCTGGGTCCAAGGGCACATTTGATATGTGGGAGGAGTACGGTGGAAAAGAGTGGACATGGGACCCGCTCGTGCCCTATCTGCGCAAGTCGGCCACCTACCACGACGATGAGAAGGCGTATTCGCCCGACCTGAAGAAGATCGGAGCTGGTGGCCCCATCCCCATCTCACACTCGGAACTTATTCCCGAAATGCAGCCCTTCCGGGACCTGCTCACCAAGGCCTGGAAGTCCACCGGCCAGCCCATCAACGAGAACATCTTCGACGGCGAGATGGTTGGTCTCACCCACAGTGTCAACTCGATCTATAGAGGCCGTCGATCCGGCAGCTTCCTGGCTGTGTCTGACAAGCCCAACATCACCATCCTGCCCGAGGTGCACTCCAAGAGACTCATCATCGACAATGCCGACAAGACCTGCAAGGGCGTCACTGTCATCACCCAGTCCGGTCAGGAACTCAACCTCTTCGCCAACCGCGAAGTCATCGTCTCCCAGGGCGTCTTTGAATCCCCCAAGCTGCTCATGCTAAGCGGTATCGGCCCTGCTACCGAGCTCAAGAAACACGGTATCCCCGTCATCGTCGATAACCTGCACGTCGGCCAGCACCTCCTCGACCACCCCGGCGTCCCCTTCGTCCTCCGCGTCAAGGATGGCTACGGCATGGACGACTACATCCTGCGCGCCAACACAGCACAGAATAAACAAGCCATCCAAGCCTACCAGAATAACCACGGCGGACCCCTCGGCTCCGGCTTCCTCGAGATGGTCGGCTTCCCACGTATCGACAAGTATCTCGACAAGGATCCTCAGTACCGACAAGCCAAGGCATCCAATGGCGGACAAGACCCTTTCTGCCCCTACGGCCAGCCTCACTTCGAGCTCGACTTTGTGTGTCTCTTCGGCTCTGCTTTCCAGTGGCACTATCCCACCCCAGCCAAGGGCAACTACATCACGGTCATGGTCGATCTCGTTCGTCCTGTTTCTGAAGGTGGCGAGGTCACACTCAACAGCAACGACCCATTGCAGCAGCCCAACATCAACCTAAACTACTTCAACAACGACCTCGACATCATTGCTATCCGCGAGGGTATCCGGTTCGCCTACGACGTGCTGAAGAACGGCGATGGGTTCAAGGATATCATCGAGGCGGAGTATCCCTGGGACATGCCGCTGCACGACGACAAGCTCATGAAGCGCACTGTGCTTGACCGCTCCCAGACCTCGTTCCACCCCTGTGGTACGGCGCGTCTCTCGAAGAATATCCAGCAGGGTGTTGTCGATCCAGGGCTTAAGGTCCATGGTGTCAAGGGTCTGCGTGTTATCGATGCCTCGGTCATTCCTGTTATTCCTGACTGCAGGATTCAGAACTCGGTTTATATGGTTGGGGAGAAGGGGGCGGATGCTATTAAGCGGGACCATGCGGATTTCTACAAATAATTTCTGATGTGATGTTATGCAGATTTTATGATTATCAGTAATAAAGAATGGCATTCCTTATACTCCTCCTAATAGCGTAAATCCCACCCGTTGCGCACCATACATGGTACCCTAGAGGTAAACAGGTAAACAGGTACTGGGATCCCTCACAACAGTACTCTTGTTTAATCCCAGCCTACGTCCATGCACGTACCGGTGTTTGATTTGGAGTCCCTTGTAGTGTCCCATAAGTCATCATGAGGAGAGATGCACCAAGCCAAACAAAAATCAAGATGCAAACACAACTGAATGCCCAGACAATAACACAGAATAGTGCGTATAAGAACGGAGGAACGCCAGAAATGGCTGGCATGGTACTTGTATAACTAGTAGGAGTCTGATGGCTGGATTCTTCACGGCAGTGCTGGCACGGGGGTGGGACTTGGATGTACTCGTGGGCGTTTGGTTCAAGGGATATGTAGGTGGCCATGGTCGTTACCGTGATCGGTGTAGTAAGTAGATGGCGTTCCAAGATTTAGGATGGAATAAGGAGCAAAGGGGATGTCTATTTTGCAGTTGCAGCAGGGTGAGTGAAGCTTTAATCAGGACTACCGCAAACTTTACTTCCATTCTGGTCAGACAACGTACGACAAAATCTGAATATACAGTTTTACCGTACTGAACCATAACCAAACAAAAGACACTGCCTTGCCCGGTGAGCTGATTGCATCACCGACCAACACCAGTAGAAAACAAGCAACAAGATGGTTCGTGGACGTGGGCCTACAGTACCACCACAGCCAGTCCAACTCGTGTCAGGCCAGGTACCAGCGTCAAAATCGATCAGAACCAGGGCTTCGCTCGATATAGCTCGTACATGCAGCGGATAATCAGTACAACGACTAACAATGCTATCATGATCAGACATCCCATTACCGCTTTCCAAAAAACGGCACACCAGTTTTGCAACGAGGGGGGTCCAGGGTAGCTGTCTGGCGGGTCGGTGTGCGACTGTCTGTACATGTACTGTTGATAGTACTGGGCAGGGACTTGGAGGTGGACGTATTCTTGTTGAGGCATGTTTATGTCTTCAGTCTGTCGTATTTTGAACGGGTATAGACTCGGGAGCTGTAGAGGAATGGGTTGAAGAAGAGCATGATGACGGTGAAGAAGATATATAACAGGGGTTAAGGTTTCTGCTTGATAATAGAGTGTGCAGCATCCCAAACCACCAGGTGGGATGGCTATTGACGTATATTAATTATATCGCACTTGCATCCATCTTCCTACCTCCATCTTTACCTTCCCACGCCTATCCATAACCTCAAACACCCAAGTCTGTCTTCACGGCCTTCAAACATGAGGTACGCAGCCTCTTACTACGACTACAGCAGTCTCTCGCAGTCTCCAGAGCTCCCTGGTACGCCAAGTGAATCCGAATACCCAGAATGTACGTTTGTATCTCTATCCTACCTGATACCTCTTAGTATGTCCCATCTAACAAACACATAACGCAGACATCTCAGAATCCGAGTGCGAGCAATTCGAACTGGATTTTCTTAGCTACCTCCAAAACAAACGCCAGAAAGAGTGTGAGGCGGGAAGTACGTATCTGCCAGAAACCACTACTAAGTCCTGGAGAACTGACGATTTCGTTATTTAGTCTGTGATTGCCTCAGCCATGACCCTCCGGAGCCACTCAAAACTGGGCCGAGCCACGAGTTGATTAAAGTCACTCTTGTAATTACGGGCATTTGTTTCTGTACCGGGGCATTTCTTGTGTTGATGTGGCCTTAGTGAAGGGACGGTCTTGGAACTTCCCTTATATGCTCTTCTTGGATATAGCAAGGATGAGTACTTATCCAGAGGATCATGTAGCTGGATAACTTTACGTGGGATGTGGTTTGGCTTATTGGTTAACCGGTTGCTCGTTGTTTAACTGGGCTTTGGCTACTGTTGGGATTTTTGCTTAATGCTGGATATCCAGTTCTGCTAAGGTAATGAGAGCTGACATCGCGTGTTTTCATTTATATCATAGAGTATTATTTGCTGGTTTTTTGGAATAAATTCAGCGTGGCCACTACGTACCCACTAGTAGTGTTTACGTAGTAAGTAGAATGATCTCCGCAGTATAGGGCTATCCTACTACATCTTGCAGGTATTACCATCGACACCACAGCTAAAGCTATAAACTTTGCTATGAGGTCATACAAAACCAAAACAAAAACTTAGATCCAGAAAATCGAAGTTGACTTTTTGCTAAAACCTTTTTTTTCGGGATGAAAAACCTCATACCAAACCAACCGGGGCTATACACCTACGCGCTGGGCGAGAGGACGTATACCTAGCACCAATATCCATATTCAGATCCATAACCATCGACAAAATGAGACGGGAGCACGCTCCTACCTACATCTGTCTAGGTACTCTCCACGCCTATTTTAACGCACAGCACAACCAGCTAACATTGCGTGTGTATCCAAAAAGACGGTCTCGAAGCAGGACTACAGCGACACGGATATCGCCATCCCTATCACTATCCCTATTCCCCTCCCGAACCCAGTCTCAGTCCCAGTCTCAGTACCAGTTCCGATACTGGCCCTGATTGCAGCGCAGTGAGGTATTGCATCGGGATGACAATATTGTTCGTCCTGCTTACGGCGGGTACGGTTCTGTTCTGTCTCTCTTCTGTGGTGATTATCTCTATTATATATGGCTGGGCGAAATCGAGTTTGATTTTTTGATTTGTGATACTCTATACCGGTATATTGGAGCCGTGGTGGTTGGTTTTGTTGTTTTATTTGCGTTCTGGGAAGCTGTCCGTTCTGTACTCCATGTACGTGAGTCAGAGTCAACACCCCCTGGTTCAGGAAATGTAAGAGAAGTGTTATTTCTGTGTGTTGCTGCAGTCTGCAACACATCTCCGAGTCTATAACTACTTATCAATCGTTGGTTTGTAGGGTCGTTGTTGTTCATCTCAACCTCACTTCAGGATCGAGATGAAAGAGTAGGACTGTACCTCTTCTCGCCTCACTTGATCCTTTACTTGGGCGTAAGCTACGAGCATACCTTGTTTCGCTTTTACTTGACGCTTGCTTCTTAGCTTCTCTGTTCAGAGGACCTGCGCTTCAGCTCCTCTCGTTTCACTTTCCCTGGGCGTAGTTCGCTCCATCTCACGTCTCGGAATTCGAATCACTCCATCCTCCGCCATGTTCTCCGGTAACTGTCCCTTGTTATATCCTTCCAATCTCCCATATCTAACCCTGTTTTTACTTTGATATCAGCAAATCTACCACTTACTCCACCCTCCTCCCCAACCAAGGAGGCCCCGCCTCTGTCCCCTTCCTCACACCCTCCAAAACCACAGCGCCCACCTACTCCGCCACCGTCCCCCTTTCCTATGAGCAGAGCTGAACGATTTGAGCGTATCAAAAAATTATTCCTCGATCGATCCGACAGAACCGTCAGAGAAATCACTCGGTCCGAGAAATATCTCTTGCGAAGTCGCAGGGTGGAGCCATCTGCGTCCACATGGCGTGATAGTGACGATAGCGAGGATTACAATCCCATGAGCGACGGAAAGCCGAAAGTCAAACGGCAAGTAGCCGCGGATGGCGAGCCTGAGCGTGCGCCGAAGCGCGCCAAGTCCGAGTGTATGAAGGAACCTGAATCAACTCAATCGGTATCGGAGGAAGACTCAGGGAACGGCGCATTTTTGGATTCTCTCCCCAAATTAGAAGAATATTTGAATCTGGACGATGCTATTGAGATCGATGCGATGGCTGTGGACGTGGTGGAAGAACAATCCGGGAAGGGAAAGGCGACGGTGACGAAAGGTGCTGAAGAGAGCGGCGTTCAAGTTGCGAACAAGCTGAGGGGTTCTGAGAACCAAACTGATCCTAATGAAGGTCCCGCTAAACAGCAATCAGAAGACGATAACGCTCCTATCCCCGTTGGACCCGATGAAGAAATACCGGAGGTCGGATCGGGGATTCTGGGTGAGTCCGACCAAGAAAACGAGAAACAAACCATAGCCAATACTTTCTCAACCCCCGAAGCCTCCGAGGAAGAGAACCCGAACTTGGACGGTGGGGAGCTAGAGGATGCTCCCGCGGCCCTAGGTATTCTAAATAGTAAGGTCGGCGAAGAACCAGTCTCCGGCAAGGCCAGCGGAAAAGACGACGGAGGATTAGATGAAAAGCTGGAGATCGGTTCCAATTTTCAAAACGAGCGCGACGAATATGGCGGAGGGCTGGCCAACGAAGAAAAACCCGGCCTCGGTTGCTCGAAAGAAGCTGAAAGCCATGAGGATGTGCCCAACCTGCAAACTCCCAGCGATGCCGACGGTGAGGCTGTAGGGGGCCAGTCAAAAACATATTATCCTGAACCCATGGCGACAGAAAACGGCGAAGTGGAGGGGAAAGAGGGAAACAATGCTGAAACAGAGCCCGCCGAAACGGCTCGTAAGGCTGAAAGCGATGTAACAAACGTGGATACGCAAGAGCCTCAATCAAATGACGAAGCAAAAGTCGACAGCAAAGACACGGTCACTGAATTTCAAGCCGAAGCTGAAGTTGACTCCGGGATTCCAAAGAGGCAAGACCCCCCAGATGTGGACATGGTGGACTTGCTGGCAGGCGTGAACGCCGATGCGGCTTCGAAAGTGGAAGACACAAGTGTAGCACAGGCACTAACCAAAGATTCCGAGATAACCCAGTCTGCCGAATCTTCGGATCCGTGTTCCTGGTGCGATGATTTTGCATATGGTCTTGTCGGCTTCGAAAAGCACCGACCTGGTCCGATGTGCGCCCGCTGCGTCCAGCAGCGTTCCTGCATTGTCAAGTGCACTGGCCATCGAACCGAGTCGTTGGATGGATTCAAACCGGAGTCGTTTGATTTCAGGGCCGCGTATGATAGTTTGAACCCGGGCAGTGGAAAGCGGGTGACGAAAAACCCATGGTGTAGTTTATGCCCAACACCAGCTTTTTTCCGCTGTGCCACACAGCCAGCGACAAGCGGTCATGAGAAGTCCACGGAACCCGGAGCGGTCATGGGGTGCGGCCTCATGCTCTGCGAGACGTGCAACATCCTGGTTCAAGCCTGCAACGATCTGACCTGGGTTGTGTCATTCATTAGATCCGAAGATCCAGCGGATGGAAGTCGTGCGGACGTCGATTATCTTTTGCCTGGCAGTGAGTTATGCAAATAGGGAACGAGATCTTGGAATTAGATCTTGGCAATAGTCATTTATTTTGTCTTTGTGTATTTCCTTGCTATTGATGGTTTTAAAGAATAGTGAAACACAAAAGAGTGAATAATGAAGCTATTCGTGAAAGAGTGAGAGAAATGACTAAGCTTAAAAAAGTCGGATGCGGGTTTTCCCATTCCACCACCAGTTTCAATTTTCCGGCTTCCACCGTTCCAACTGCCCTTTTCTTTTGTGTTCTATTGGGGCTCTGGGCTGACTTTCTGCCTGTATCCGTCGACTTCACTGCCTCACCCTCTCCCACCCTCCGTGTTACCTAGAGCTGCCACGCGCGCGGCTCGCTTCACGACGTCTTCCACAAAGCGCCGCAAGGTAGCGGAGCCTCGCAGACCAGGAGCCCATCCGGGTTTGTCGTTTGCCTCGCAGGCCGGAAGACGTCACGCCTCCGCTTCCTCTCGCTCCTCTCACTCGCCCTCTAGGCCTCGTCCCTCCTCCACCTCTGGCTCGAACCGCAGCCAGACCTCCTCGCCCTCCCCGCCTCCTCGCTACATTCCCGCCCATCTGCAGGACGAAGTGCTGGGGAATCGACCCCAGACGGACGCTGCTCACTTACCCACCCCGGATTCCCCCTCAAGCACCGACGACTATCCCTCGGCCGCCTGTGCGGGCTTGACCCTTGCTAGTGACGCTGCGACCGACATGTCGGGCTCAGAAAAGAGAGACGACAGCATCCCCCCGCCCGGGCGCGATGCCAGATCAGCCTCGCCCAGTACAAAGCGGCCAGCGCCCGATGCCGAGCAAGATGTCGAAATGAGCTCTGGTCCCGGAGAGAGGGAAGCACAGCCACCTTCCAACAACCCCGATCAGATGGACACGACTGGTTCTGAAGAGGATTCTACGGGCAACGATGGTAACTCTGCATCCGAGAAGGCCTATCAAACACCATCCAGCATGTCCACCTATACCGGCCCCGTGACCGAGACGCACGAGAACACCAAGACCGAAGCTTCAGTTGCGCCCGGCGAACGCCCTTCCTATGATGACCAGGTCGCAAAAGTAACGTGCTTTATGATGCAGCCTCTCCAGGAAGGCCAAAAAGGATATGTTGTTTCGATGTCGTGGTTAAAGCGGGTTCTATCACGAAGCTCCACCCACGCAGACAAGATGGACAAGACAGCCGCAGAGGGTGAAATCGGTCCTGTCGATAACTCAGACCTCGTCCTTGTTACCGACCCGATCAGCACGGGTTTCAAGGACGAGCGCGGCGAACCCTACATCCCTCTGCGCCCGGGTTTGGACATGGGCGAAGACTTCGAAGTTGTGCCTCAGGAAGGCTGGGACCTCATCATGCAGTGGTACGGTCTTGCGGAGCAGTCACCGGCTATCGCACGCTACGCTCACAACACCAGCCCGTCGGGGGATATGGAGAACGTCCAATACGAACTCAACCCTCCCATCTACACTATCTTGAAGCTCTCGAACCCGTCCGCTGGGGTAACCCCGGACTCTCTAAGAGAGAAGAACAAGGCGCCGGTCAACACCCTTGCCAGTCGGCACACCAACTTTCAGGATTGGCTACGTCGCGCAAAGGAGTCGGTCCGCGTTGATTCTTCGTCAAAGGTTCGCGTCTGGCGGGTCATGAGTGGTTTGGGAAGTGGCGCGGCATCCGCCGCCGTCACCCCAGCCGCTTCTCGCAGTGCTTCCCCCGCTCCTTTCTCGCCTCTTGTCTCAAACGCCGGCAACAGCTATATCCTTGATCTCAATGCCTTCCTCTCCCTTTCTGAAGGGAGTCAGAGGGAACTTATTGATATCAAAGATCAGTCAACCAACACCAACTACAATGGCAAGATGACGATTGATATGGCCGGACTAAGCCCCGGTGGTATTGTCGTGCTCGAAGAGCGTAGTGGCGCCGAATGGGTGTCCGAACTATCCAAGAAGGCCCTAGATCGCCTCGGTGTACCTGCCGGTAACCTGAAAGTCAACAAACTCAAAACAAAGAGCCCAACGACGAGCGGACGATCATCTCCAGTATCAGAGCCGATCAGAAAAACGCGTCGGGATGGCAAGCCTCGCGGCAATACTGGTCTCAGCAACCTGGGCAACACGTGCTACATGAACTCTGCCTTGCAGTGTGTTCGAAGTGTAGAGGAATTGACGTATTACTTCCTGAGTAAGTGCCACACTACACTAATTCCCTACTTATGCCATTCCTAATTGTGAAAAAAAGACGATGTCTACAAGAAAGATCTTAACCCTAGCAACCCCCTAGCCCACAACGGGGATGTTGCCAAGGCATATGCCAATCTACTACGCACCATGTTTGACGAGGCAGGTCAATCGTCCTTTGCCCCTAGGCATCTTAAAAACACCATCGGCCGCTATGGTCCAGCGTTCTCGGGATACGGACAACAAGATTCTCAAGAGTTCCTCCTGTTCCTCCTTGACGGTTTGCAGGAGGACTTGAACAGGATCCAGAAAAAGCCGTACATCGAGAAGCCTGATTCCACAGATGAGATGGTGCACAATAGAAAAGCACTCGAGGATTTCGCCAATAGGTGCTGGGACATCTACAAAGCCCGGAACGATTCAGTTGTAACAGATTTGTTCGCGGGTATGTACAAGTCGACTCTTGTCTGTCCGGCCTGCGATAAAGTCAGCATCATCTTCGATCCCTTCAACAACCTCACTCTCCAGCTGCCGATTGAGAACCTCTGGAGCAAGTCGATCTTCTACTTCCCCCTCAACAAGAACCCGATTATCATCGATGTAGAGTTCGATAAGAACTCGAGCGTCAAGGCCCTGAAGGAGTTGATCGCTAAGAAGGCGGGGTCGGATCCCGAGCGAATCGTAATGTCAGAAATTTACAAGTACAAGTTTTACAAGATGTTTGATAATACTTCTTCAATCGCCGAGTGCCAGATTGGCGACACCGACGAGATCGCGATGTTTGAACTCGAATCCACCCCAACAAACTACAACCCCGACAAGCGTACGAAGAGCAGCTACTATTCTTACGGCCGTTCTAGCTACGATGAGGTTCCAACCTTTGAATCGCCCAAGGCAGACCGCATGATCGTCTCCGTCTTCCACCGGCACGAGCGTCAAACAGGTTACCGACCGCAGCGTCAATTTTTCGGAGTGCCTTCATATATCATAGTCAAACGAGAGGAGGCCAAAGATTACGACGCCATTCTGCGCAAGGTTCTTGCCCAGGTTTCAACCATGACAACCAGGGACTTCCTCAACGAAGAAGTGGCCGATGAGCAACAAGAAACGGCGGAAGATTCAGATACCGTTATCATGAATGATGACGATGCGGAATCAGCCGACTCAAAGATCAAGACAACGTCTGTCGATGGCGAAGAAGGCATGGTGGACGTTTCCATGCGCGATGCACCCGACCAAACAGACGCTGCGTCTTCGGAAACTTCCACGCCGGCTGCCTCCCACACCGAAAGCTCCTCCATCCCTGAAAGGTTCCACTCCCTCTTCGACATCAAGATTGCCCGGACAAACGAAGCCGTTCCCCTCGGGTTCACCTCCGTCGACGACCACAAGAACTATGACAAGATGACGTCGCGGATCGTACCTAAGCCGGCCATCTCGAAGGAGACAGATGGTAAGACCGACGCCGACGAAAAGCCAACCGATGAAGGCTCCTCGGAGGACTCAGACAGCGAAGAAGAAGTTGACAGTCTCGGAAACACCATTCCAAAGACGCCGAAACCCAAGGCCCAGGGTCCTCTTATCCGCCCTGGTGAGGCGATTGTTCTTGACTGGAACGAAGATGCTTACGATGCTCTTTTCACCGGTGACCACAGGGATCCCGATGGTGTCCGCGGCGCTGCCACGTGGACACAGATCGAGCGCATGCCCGACCCAGAACTGCAGAACCGACGTATGCTGCGGAACAAGCGTAAGAAGAAGGGTGTCACACTCTATGAATGCTTGGACGAGTTCAACAAGGAAGAAATTCTGTCAGAGAACGATGCTTGGTACTGCCCGCGCTGTAAAGAGCATCGCCGAGCTAGTAAGAAGTTCGAGCTCTGGAAAACACCAGACATTCTTGTCATGCATTTGAAGCGCTTCAGCGCCAGCCGTGGGTTCCGCGATAAGCTCGATATAATGGTCGATTTCCCTACTGAGAGCTTGGATTTGACCGGTCGCGTCGAGGCTCCCGAGGAGGGTAAGAGCTTGATATATGATCTCTTTGCAGTGGACAACCACTACGGTGGTCTCGGAGGAGGTCACTACACCGCGTACGCGAAGAACTTCATGACAGGCTTGTGGAACGAATATAACGGTAAGTTATTGAGAACTATGTAGGGTTGTAGATGGAGAATAACAACTAATATGTGCGTCTTAGATTCCTCGGTGTCACGACCGATTGATCCCCAGAATGCTGTGACTTCTTCGGCATATCTGCTGTTCTACCGTCGCCGCTCGGAACGCCCGCTCGGCGGCAAGATCCTAGAGGAAATCACGGAATCGTCCACGCGACCTGCCAGCAGTGAATCGGATTCGCAAGGCGAATCGCGCCCACCGTCTCCGTCGGGGGAAGGCCGGCGTCTCGGCGGCTCCTCCCGCAATGGGTCGTCGAGCGCCTTAGCCGGAGTCGGAGCAGCTCACCAGTCGGGAGATGGTGGTTTGCGAATCGGAACACAGAAGAGCAGGGATGAGGACAATCCCCCGGAGTACTCGAACAGCCCGTCATACGGTGAGCGAAGCATGGGCGGAACAGGTATGAATTTTGATGATGAAGACGAATTCGGCAGTGGAGCCCTCGGCGACGACCCGTTTCGCGTCTCAAATCTGCCCTCCTGGTCGTTCAATCGAGTCACGGATGCTCATCATGACCCTTCACAGATGACAGAGCTCCCGGGATCACTCTCTGATAACGAACTCCTCGATGACAACGACGACGACGGCGACAGCACCAAGGCCGTAGGTGGGGGGGATATTAGCGATTCTGATACCCGTATGGCGTCTCTCGCGGATAGCCCCCCTTTCCAGGGACCAGTGCACCCAGGAACGCCTCTGGAAGAGTCGACCCTCACGCAATTCCCTCAACCGGATGTGGCGGACGACGACGACGAGCTGCCCGTGGTGGAACTACATGTAGGTGAAGAGGACCGGCTTTGATTGCTTAGATATTTCCTATCTCTCGACGATTTTGGATGTGAAAACGAACTTTTAGACAGCCCTGTGGTCACGGGTGGGTGAAGCAGGCGGGTATTATGGTTGCATTGTGTTTTTTTCTTATGTGCATGGTGGACAGTGTATGTACGCAGTCCTTGCATTTGTGTGTTATGTTGATGACGGAAGGGCATATCCTTTTCTTTCCGGTATTTGCGTGTTATTTCCAAAAGCTTTCCGTGGCAAATTCTAGAGCAGAATGTCGCCGTGATGTGGATGTTGACCGTTCGATAAACCAGGTCGATGATGGCCGGCATAATAGGAGTATTTGTGTATAGGATGAGGTTAGATACGACATGGATCGTATGGCATTGAGCATATCCAGCAGTACTGTATCTAACATGACTAGTACTCTAGTAGGCCTTAACATAAGTAGAGCAAAGTGGCAGGTGCACCGTTCTTCCTTCCATCTTTCAGTTTCGCATCTCAACTACCGTCATCCATTCTGCATTCTCCATCTTCCCATCCTCGCGCTCTCGCTACTCATCAACCAGCAGTCCATATCAATCGTTTATATCCAACTGTTATCGCCATGGACCCCAACACACCACCCACCCTTCCCAGCCTGCGCCGAAGCCTGAACATGGTCGAAATTAGCAACACCCCCATCCCAGCAATCTCTCGAGCATCACCTCCACCAGATACCACAATTGCAGAGTTCTTCCTCTCCCTCGCTCAAAAGTCACCACCGCTACTATCCGACTCGCCAGCTACAACACCCCCTTCATCGAGCCCACCCACTCCGAACATAACCCAAAGCCGCAAGCCGGTCAAGCTCTCCATCAAGCCCATAGATGCCGGCCTCCCTAGTGACACTGAAATCAGTCCTCTCGACCTTGGTCCTGTCTACCCTCGGGACGTCCGAAGCGCATGCCCTAGCCCGAGTCCAACCCTAGGCATGTATCTGGATCTCGCATTTCATGATGGACTATCGGATGAGGAGGCCGTCGCGAGTAACAGCCAAGTCATCGCCGAGATGAAATGTCATGCTCGGAGCCAGCGCAGGAGGAAAACACGCGTCACCAATTCATCCATCGAGTCCTTTTTCTCCGAACCAAAGATCAGTGGCTTTGAGGATCTGAGTATTGAGCGCAATAGGCGGGATATAGAGCTAAAGGCAAAGGATCGGAGGAAGAGTTGGAGGATTTCGAATGATGTTTCTCTGGCGAAGAGGAATTCTAAGGGAGCGTGGCATCGGTAGATGCTGGTGTTGTCAGAGTTCTTTGTTTGAGATTGAGGTATATATGTGGCTCTTTCATTCGTTGAAAGGACCTTGTCTTATTATTATGCTTAGATAGGTTGGCAGATTTGATTGTTGGTGTTTTTTATACAACTGTGTTGATTCAGTGGCTCATGTATATATAAACAGCATCACTAGGCCGAAGGCACGGATTACCTTTTGTGGACCTTTTCAGAGCTAGTAGACTACTATCCGACTTAACTACTATTTATTTATCACCAAAGTAATTTGTGCAATAGAATTGACAAGGTTGAGTGGCGGACTCTTATGATGAGGTGCTTGAGATTTGACTCATCCCGCCACCTCCAACTTCTGCCTTCAGAGAACGACAACAGCAAAATAACAAAATCAGAAGACAAAAAGACCAAAGAATATATAAAATAAAATGCACGTCCATAACCACCCCTATACAGGCCTCCTGGCCCATCTAAAAGCCCATCTCCCACAATCAGGCCCTCTCCTCCGCCGCATCCAGCACCAGATCACTCACCCCTCACCCACAGCCCAAGTCCTCGCTTCGTTCCCTCCAGAGTCGGAGCCAGAGACCAAGGCTGGAATCGAGACCCCATGGCTCGCAGCATACGCAGACATCCATAGAGGGCTAGATACCCAAGTCTGGGTATTCTCGAGCCTCGAAACAAAGACCAAGGCCAATACCAATTTCAACTCCAACTCCGCATCCGCACCAACATCATCAACCTCAGAGCCAACTCAAACTCACCATGACAACGAAGCACTCTCCATCCAAGAAAAAGAAACAACAAAATCCCACCTGCTGTCTCTACTCACACACATCCGCACCAAGCTCGTCCCGCCCTACATCGCCTGGCTGGCCTCCCAACCACCCGCCCCAGTCCCAGAGCCAGAGAAAGCAAGGGACGAAGGCGTGAAGAAGATCCCACCGCACCCAACGACCTCCGTCTTGCTCGGATCAGTGCACAAGACGGTCGTTGAACTGATCTGCGAACTTGCAAACGAGACACTGCCTACAAAGCCCAGTGCAAATCAGAATCAAAGTCAGAGTTCAAGACCAGGGGTACGCATCCACCGCGGCCAAAACGTCTTCTACGCCAAGTACTGCTTCCCCTCGTCATCGTTTGATGATCACGATGACGACGATGACGACAAAGTCAATAATGACCCGGGTCCTGAAAAGGGGAGCTTAGTTGGAAAGGGGTACGTGTATACGTTCACCGACTCCACTGGCGTCTCAGGGATCCAGGAGAAGCATCTTGACCTGGTGAAGCACCGCACTAATATTCCGCGCTCGAAGAAGGCGTTGATGGCTATGGGTGGTGTGGCGTTGTATTATCGGCCTGGCGATGATGGCTCACCTGCGTCCTCCCGGCCTGTTGCAGATGCTACGACTTCTGGTACCGGTGCGGGTGCGGGTGCAGATGGGGATGGTGAAGGGGAGATGCCAATTGGATGGGCATTCCTCGGGTTCGACGGGAGCCTTTGCACGTTGCATATTGAGCCGGAGCATCGCGGCAAGGGCTTGGGAGGGGTTGTTGGGAAGGAGGTTATGAAGAGCGGGGTGGGTGTTTTTGAACCTTCTGCGCGTCATCATCACGACAGTATCGGTGGAGGGGAAAAGGAATGGTTCTTTGCGGATGTCGCTGTGGATAATATTGCTAGTCGACGGGTGATGGAGAAGATGGGGGGTGAAATTGGATGGTATGTTGCATGGATGGTTGTTGAGGCGGATATCCCTTGTTTTTAATATATTTAATCTGGTTTGTTTGTTTGTATGTACGAATTATTATATTAGTCTATAGATGGTCTATATCCACTATGCAGTATGTATCAAGTCTAAGTAGCGGGTAGATGCTGGACATATCCAAGTCGGAAATGCAAATGGTCTAATAAACGGCGACAGGCCAGCCGTCCACGTATTCTAGCCGGTTCCATCCAAGTCTTGCTTGGCCGAATTCGTAGCTGATGGAGGAATTGACTAGACACGTTAATAGCCGAACCATTGGGAAGAAAAGGATAGGGCGGACACTCACGGTAATGGTAGTAGAGGATATCACCCGTCAGGTCGCTCATGATACCTTGACCCCCCGGAGCGAAGACATCACCATTTGAGCCGTAAACCGTCTCGCCGCCACCATCAACAAGGTCGTTGCCCTGCTTATCCAGGAACGGGCCGCGCACATTGTCGGATCGTCCAACTCGGATGCGGTACCTGTGTCTATTAGTCACAACCTTCAATCAAAACAAGGAGTATGGAAACGCACTCTTGCCCATTCGTCCGCATTCTCGGATTCTTGAACTCGCAGCACCTCCCCCAGCTATACCACAGATAATAGTACGGCGCACGGTAAGCCAGAAAGGCGCCCTCGATGGGATGGCCTCCGGACGCGTCGCCACAAATGGGATTCGTTGTCTTCCTCCCACGCCACACTTTCCCGGGCTCTGCAGCAAGATGGGACGAGCTAAGACTCTTGGTACTGTGGCCTTCCACAGAGACCAAGTCCTTATCAAGCTTAACCTGCCAAATGCCAGTCCAGAAGCTGCCGAATATCAAATACGCGGACCCGTCAAAGTCCACAAACACATTGGCGTCGATCGCGTTCGATTGGTCCATGGGGGGGATATCCGAGCCATCGCCGGAGCCTGACTGAAGAATAAGGCCGTGGTCTGTCCAACCCCCGGGTCCGGGAGAGTCAGATGAGGCTACCCCGATTGCACTATCGCGGCAGCCAGCGTTGCTGACGGCGTAGTAGCAGTAGAACTTGTCCCCGATCTGAATGGTGTTGGGCGCCCAGGGGGACTTGCTGTCGCCCTTCCGGATGACGCTGTTTCCGTCGAGAAGACTGCCGGTTTGCGTCCAGGGCCCGTCGAGGCTAGGTGACTCGTGGATGGCGATACCCGGGGCGACGCTGTAGGAGTAGAAAGTATCGCCTACCTGGACGATACTCGGATCATGGATAAGAAAGTTCGTCCCATGGGCACGAGCATAGCCATTGGCATGGGGAGGATCATCCTCACGAAAGACAGTATCGTTGGCACCTCTATATAAGGAAGGCCTGATACGGGCCGAGTAGGCCAGTGAGACAAGGAGGAGAACAGCCAGGAGAATGGCCATCTTCAGAAAGCGACGACGGGACAAAGTCAAGCGGCGGATCGCTAGGGAAGATAGCCTGGACCTGGAAGAGGAAGAGTCTCTGCTTCTGCTTCTGCTGCTGCTGCTTCTTCGTCGTCTGCCCTTGCCCCCAGGACGCGGAACAGGCCATGGTAATAAATTGGCCGTCTCCGCGTCCCGGAGACGACTGTAGTCGTACATCCTGTTTGCATGCGAAGATGAAACTGTGGAAACAACTCACTACCTGGGTAGGTAGGGGACTCTAGGGCCCATTGTTTTCCCACCTTGGAGCCTAGCAGCGTCGAATAAGAGTTGCCCGCGAGAGCTCTGTGATAGGGGAGCGGAGAGTCCCAGAGCTTCAAAGCATCGTTTGCGAGTGTGCCTGGCTAGGAGAGTGACAACATGATCGACGCGCGGAAGAATGCTTGGATTTGGATGATGTGTCGAATGTCCCGGAAAGATTTTCGCCGGACGCGGCAGTTTGTCGATGATGGATAAACGCAATGGCCCTGATCAACGGCGAGACGCGGAATCAAAGACAGGAACAGGTAAGGAGTCAGAAAAGGGGCGTGGCGAGTGCAGATGAAGGACGAAAGGCAACGACGAGGACAAAAGGCAGTCTAGGGATGGCGTCTGGCAGGCTGGCGATGGTGTGTTGTCGATCCAGTCACGGCCGGCAAAACCAGCACCGAGATCCACCCTGTCGCATGCAAATTGCCCGTTCATGGCGCCTAGATATGACTTCAGTCGCCCTGTCGAATTTCTTGAACTGAACAGTGCGCCCTCGATGATTTACCGCTCTTACGCAGCCGGACCATGGTTCCGCCCCGACTCCTGAAAAATGGCCCTGAACCGATCGACGGCCGGTTCTCGGTAGCTTCACCTACGGGGTAACTATACAGGGCATATCACATCGGCTATTTATAGGTGTGTGCATAACATCATGAGCATTTCAGGCACCTCGATATGAGGATTGTCCGTGGTCTAAGGCAAATCGCCCTCGGAGGGTCATGGAAAATTAAAAGGGCAACAGAGTATCTCAAATAACAGATCGTCCACCAACGCCGTCATCAGGTCCACCACCCGAAAACATCGTCGGACAACTGCCCAGTACCGAATGCAAGTTACCGGGCCTCTATTTTGTCCACCTCGTCTTTCGCCTCGGTCCACGTCTCGAGATTCTTGCGAGCCCAGTCGAGATGGCACCGTGCGTAGGCGACCTGCCCTTGTGTCAGTTGGATAAGACAAGTCTTGAGGGATCTACACATACCATGTACCGGCGGAGATCTCCTTCCTTGTCCTTTTGGAATCGCTTCAGGTCATGCAAGACCCCTGCACTAGCGTCCTTAACATCTTTCTCTGACACTCCCAACGCTTGCTCCAGCTATAGCGCGAGTTAGTTTTAAACCTTAAAAGGAGCTCGGACTTTCCAAAGTAAGCATACCTGGACCAAGCTTTCTTTAGTTTTCCCTATTTGGTCCCGTCGTGTCCGCTCGGGATCGACGTCCACGAATCCATGGACCGCATGACTGATGCGACCGAAGATCTTGTTAGCAACAAAATTCCCACTCGACGTCTTGCGGTGTGCCTGGGGTGACACCGGCCCAGAATCCGGGTACCGTTGCGCTGGCGCAGACGGATGTTCGGCATGCGCTGGCGGAAAATCGGAGTCAATGGAGGTTGTGTCCTCTCCGCTCGGTCGTGACTCGTTACCCCCCTGACTGCTAGTTGCCGAAGATGTTGAGAGGGATCGCTGAGGTTTTGTTGGTGCCTGTGGTGGGTTTCGGTTAAGGTACTGCTCTATACGTTTCGCTTCCTGCTCGCTCCTTTCTAGAGACTCCAGTAGAGTCCTCTTCTTGGCCAGCTCATCCTTTGTCATATCTTCCTGCACCCTCTTAAGCACTCGGTATCGTAGAACATTACGGACCACACTCGCAAACTGGGCGCTCTCTCTCATTGGCTCCGCGAAGTTTGCGCTCAGCGCGAGTGACAGCTCTTCCGTCTCAATGTAGGAAGTGTCCGCTGCTTGTCCGACCCGTTCAATAGCAGTCGCCACGGTGGGAGATTGCTCAGAAAGGGAGAATCCATTGTATCGAGCACCAAGTTCCATCAAATCTGCGGACAGTCCGGACAAGTGGGCAAGCGTGCGGCGATTGACCTTCTCCATGTTGCCCTGGAGGAGGAGTTCTAACTCACGAGTAGAAGCTTCAAAATTGATAAAGTACGGATCTAGTTCTTTTTCGCTTAGCTTTCGCGATTCAGGGGGGAACCGGCCTAGAATATCCGCTCCTGGTGTTTCTGCGATCGGAGATGTAGCGGTCCCGGGCGTGTTTTTCAGCTTTGCAGACGCAGAGGGGATTGGTAGCCAAGCATGCGCGGCCGTTGGGTTTGCAGGGTCAAGAGGGGGTGCCTTGAGGTTATTCTTGGGCACCGAGGAGGCAGGGTGAGTATTCAGGACCTCACTCTAGACACGAGTTAGCGTGCTTTTTTCCTTTTTGTATGAATCTTCCTTTGCAAACATACCCAGCTAACATTAGGATCTAGAAACCTCCACCAAACGCCATCTTCGCGGACCTCTTTCATTCTCCGACACCGGTTCAAGAAAACCGCCAACATTCGTTTCCGGAGGTCAATTATCGTAGCATCTTCTTTAGCTTTTGTTGGTTTCGCAGCGTAGTCGGCTATAGTGTGTTTGTCTGGGATCGGAGGAACGATCAGGGTTGGGTGGAGGCTTACGAGCGTAGCCCGTAACGAGGAGAATTCCGAGTACCGTCGCCGAACTTCCAAATCCTGATCGAACAATTAGCAAAATGAAATACAATAGCCTTGGGTGCAGGGATAGCATACCCCAGTCCGTATTGTGTACACAATGAAACTCCCCCCGCCTTCATGGTTCTTCCCGGCGTCGGTGATAAGAATCGGCATCTCCGGATTCTCGTAGAGTAGCTGCTCTATGCGGCTATCGTATACGCTCTTGCGAGAGTAACCGGCACCACTCTGCTGCGTAGCGTAGTTTCCATCGTCGTCATCGCTCTGTTCTGGATTTTGGGAGAAGTCTGAAATGTCGGGGTTGGAGGAGTGGCTGGAAGGCGGAGGGGGGTAGTCGGCATTGTACAGAGCTGGAAGTGTTAACGGGGCACGTCATTCAGCGGGCATACATTCTTACGAGATTCGAGGGTGGTAGAGTGCAGTGATTCCGATAGCCGGGCTTCGCTATCGAATGCGCCGTACGGGTTGTTATCTTCGTCATTCCACATAGCTAAGGCGGAGGCTGGTCAGGCAGCCTTGATTAGGAACGCGGGGTGGCAGACGTTTTCATGCAAGAGAGGAACGTAAAGTTGGAGGATATGTATAAAGAACAGTCTATTTCAATGAAAGACACAGCAGAATGACCGCCAGTCCGTTGGTGAGAGCAGAGAAGGGGAGGTTGCGTGAAGCTCAATTGGCAACCGCATCGTCACTCGTCACTCGTCACTTGGCGCCGTCAGCCTCACCGCCCGCCGCCTCGCGGGGAACGACTCCACTCTCTACCAGGCACTCTCCAGCTCCAGCATCACCACAGGTCCTCATTATTTCTTTCGTCTGGCTGGCTTGCAGCTGGCTGCGATGATGGTGGCAGTGCTGGCAGCAGTGCCGTTTTCTGAGTAGCCATCGCATCAGAGGCTTCCGAGCTCCACCCTCCCTTTTGCCCTCCGCCATTGTTATTGTCATTAGTTTGGTCCTTGCTCCCAGCATTCCAGTCAAAACATCCAGACTTATTGTCCCGGTCATCTTTAGAGTCATTGTTCTCAGCCTGGTTGAAACCGGTTGTGTTCTGCGACTTGTCTTTGTTGTTATACTGCTCCCAGTCATTGCTGTTATTACTTTGGTTATCCCACTCCTGAGGGCGCTGCGCAGTGGTATTCGTAGCACCGTTACTCTCCAACTTCCTCTGGGCAGGCATCTTAGATCCAGACCTCGAACCCGGTGGCGCCTTTCTCCCTGAAGACCTCATGGACCGCGTGTCACCATCCTGCTTCTGCCTCTGTTGCTCTTGCTCTTTCTTCCCCCTGTTCCCTGTATTATGCTGATTACGATTCTGATCGCGATCAACCACTGCCCTCCTATCGTAGCCGGGAGACACATCGCGCCGTCTCGAACGAGCACGGCTTCGGCCACGACTCTGGCCACGACTCGCCTGTCTTGCACGTACAACCGCCGCAGAAGCTGCATGTAGTTGATGCATCCGTCGTTTCTGGGACTCGACGCGGACTATCGTCATCTCTTGTCTCATCTTTGCTCGAAGGTTATAGACGTAGATTCCGCCTATGGCCATTGCGGCGAGAACGACGATGATGACGGTGGCAACTATGGTGTTGTCGTTCATTTCGGAGATCTCGTAAAGTAGGGACGATGTTCGGGGTGGTGGTAGGGTGGATAGCTTCAGTAGATATCGACGATGGTTGAAAGTTGCAATACTGGCTCACTTCTCACTCGGGTTTTCTGGAGACGAGAATGGGGCTGTTAGAGAGGCATTGCGACAAGGACGGGCGTTACAGGCATGGAGTTCATGCTGCCTTCTTAAACGGCTGGGATAGTGGAATGAGTAGACGATTGTGTTAGTAGGTGAGAGTTACAGACCACCCTCGCGGTGAATAATGATGTTGACGCTACTTGACTACTTATGATATTTACCCAGTTAAGGAATATTTGCAAGCCCAAATCAGCCTGGTTCTATGGTATGTATAACTTTTTATCTATTCTCAATCTATAAACGCCCCAAAGCCACCTCAATCCTTGACAAAAGATCAGCATGGAACAAACCAGTCTTCCCACGCTCCAACAGCGTTTCCAGTTTCTCTTCAATGACAGATTGAGAGTCACCCAAAAGACCAAGAGCGCTGAATGCCTTTGAAATCAACAACCCCGCAAGACTAACAACACGCACTCCAAGGGTATACGACTCTGGCTTCGCCATCCAACCTATTAATCCATCCTCCCCATCAGGGCCCGCAAGTGTATCAGCAAAACTCGTTAACCCTTCAGAAACCCAGTCGAAGACATCCCTCAGTAGCTGTTCATCATACGCTGCCTTCGTCAATCGAGTCATTACACCCGACCACAAATCTATTTCGCGAATTTCCTCAATGAACAGGTTTTGTTTCTCCTCCTCAAAGAGAACAGTACTCTCCTTCCTAAGCTCAGCAATAACCTTGGAAACCGACATGGGGCTTGCTTTGTTGCTGGAGTCGCCGATCCGTGGCTCAAGACCTAGGATATACCGGATGGCTCTGGTATAGAGAAGCTGCGAATCCGCGTAGTTATCCGTGATAAACTTGGCAAAGAGTTCGCTTGCGTTCAATGGCGACAATGTGACTGCTTTCTGAGGGGAGACTGAGGAGTACGAGAGAACCCATGAGGCGGTCGAGGCAGCGATATCACGCAGCTCCTCGTCGTCGTCATTCAGTAGATCATACAGACTCAGGTATATGTCTAGGAACACTTTATCTGTTCGTGGTGGTGTTCCCAGCGGGCGGTAAGCTCGAGCGAATGCAGCAATGGATGTCGCAGCCGCATAACGAGTGGAAAATTCCTAAGTAGTTCCAGCGTTAGAATATTTCCAAATACCAAAATCCAAAGCGTGCACATACTGTTTCTTCAGCCAATGCGAACCGCAGCCGTGTAGCCCACTCCTGGATCTCTGTTCCCGAGAGCTGCTGTCCCGGAGTGACGGATCTCGAGCCGACGATGCATCCTTCCAATTGTAAGTCCGCATCTGCTCTGTCTCTATTGAACCCTTTCTCGGCTGAGCCAATCTTGACTTGCGCAGCTAGATCATTCCAGGGTAACACAGATGTCTGAAGCGCTGTGTGCTCCGATTCAAGCGCGACCTGGATGTAGGATGCAAGATTCGAGATAGCAGGTGTCTTGACTTCCAAGGGGACATTTTCACGAATGAGCGAAGTGTAAAGCTTGACCAATGGTTCGGTATATCCATCATTGGCACCAAGCAGTTCGTGGAGATTTTCCAGTATCCATTGGCAGGCGTTCGGGTCGAATGTAGCCACTTTCTGCACGAATGGCTCCAGGTTCTTCGTATCACCCTTTGTAAGTGCTTTCAAAACTGTAACCCAGGCGAGCTCTCTGCGAAGAAGAGAAAAGGCGCGGGTCGTGCTTAGGGTAGTGAATGACGGGTTGCTCGAATCGAATACGAAGTCCACAGTTTCGGGGATCTCGTATGTGTCGAAAACAAAGTCCAGAAGGTCAATCATTTCCACTGTTTATAAGTTAATGTTGATGGCTTATCATAGGACACGGTCATAGCCTACCTTCAGCACCCGTCTCCAGGCTCCTTTCAACGGCGTCAGTTAGCATCTCTAACAAGGTTATTTGCACGAATGGCGATTTAGAGAAAGCATATGATGCCGCAAATATGGACTTTATAGTTGACTTGACGTCTCCAATACGCTCTGGGATAAGTTAGCAAATTGCCACATAAACGTGGACAGCGAGGACATACCATTCCAAAAGGCTGAAGGTGCGAATGCAAACCGGCGAAGCGAATATCTGATGCACAGAGATTCACCATGAAGGTAATTCTGAGTCTCGGTGTCGCGTGCTTTAAGAAGCACCTCGATCTCATCCAATATATCTCCACGCTCCAATAGCGAAGTATAAACCCGGGCTGCGTGCTCGCGGATACCCCAAACGGGGCTTTTCAGATGTTCCCGGATAAGGGCAAGTAGCATAGGATCATCTGTATCCGTAGGGTTGGGGATCTTTTCGGCAATCAGTTCCAAAGCTGGGAATACTCGCTCGGTCATCATAGTGCTATCAGGTTGTTCACCCTCGCTGTCTTTCTGCGGCGGAGCCAATAGTTTGGATAACAACTGCACAAGGCCAGGATATTTCTGGAATGAGATCCTCGATCCAGGTTCTGATCCAGATTTGCCACCAAATCCTTGGAAGTCATTACGGCACATGCGGTTCATCAAGGCACGGAAGAGCATCAGCCCAGCATTACGAAGCGCCCAGCTAGACGGGTCAGAATATATCTAAGGCGAAGGGCAGATTGGAATCACTTACATTGGTGATCCCATGCGCTCCGCTGAGAGGTTCAGCACAGGCATGAGGAAGCCTTCCGTGTGAGGTCCAAGTCGAGCGTTGGTGATTACCTCTCGGAGACAATTCATTGCGTGAACTTGAGGCAACTCCACAGTTTGGTTCTCAGCCCCAAGCTGAGCTGGCAAATGAGCGACATCTTGAAGTTCTTGAAGGACTTGTTGGAATAATGGGCCGCCTGGGTTTGAAAGCAAGATGCCCCCAACTAGAGCTGGTAGACCAGCTGAACGTCGGGTGAGCTTTGAAGCTTTCTCGAAAATAATCTTCTTCGCTTCCTGTATGGAATAAGTTATAACGAGCTCGACTTTTCAAGAGTTAATATCGAGTTGACGCACCTGATACCAAAGCCCTGGGAGCGTAGCAATTTCGGGGTTACTTGATTGACCGCACCGCTGACAACACGTCGAGAATGTTTGAGCCACCGTAGAAAAAGCACCTCGGTGACGGAGTTCTGCAAGTTGCGTGAAACTGCTTCTCCCTATTTTCTCGTAATCGCTTCTTGTTAAGCCAGATTCGCCTTCTGGTCCGTACGTCTTGTTGGACAGTGTTGCATGCACAAGCATACTGTATTTGTTAGTATTGGCCATGGACATGAATATGAAGGGACAATCTACCTAGACTCTCGTAGTGCACGCCACGAGTAAGAGAGAATGTCCTTGGGGCCGACTTTGAGATCCTCAATAGGCTCAGCGGCGTGGCCTTCAGGGGAGTCAATGCATAGCTGAGGCTTCACTTCCTCCCATATCCTATCGCATATCGATGAGATCCTTGTATGGATTGATTTCCAGTTCTCTGGGCTATCGGTTCCTTCACGAGAGACCAACGAATAGAATTTAGGGGACGAGATAATGTATCTAGAACATCAGCTAGGTACTCAGTTAATTGGAACGGACATAGCATACCGTAACGCGCAAAGATAGCCGTGAAGGGGCGCATCGCGAAGGGAGGAGTTAAAAAGACCCTCCGCAGAGGATAATTTGTCCTCGAGTTTCTTTAGGATCAATTCAACAACTCCCAGCTTCGTGTTCCACCAGTCAGTTCCTTTCGGATCCTTTGCATCCGCTGTATAGAAAACCAACTGATATAACCGGGCAACAGTGTCGGCATGGTCAGCCCGACTAGTGTTGCTTGCCAATATTTCTGCCTTGGCCACGGCAATTATCAGCTCCGGTCTTTCCCTGTTAGCTCCAGCGGCATGAAGAAGTACTGGTTTCGGAAATAGCTTTAAGAGGTTAAGGGCCATTCCCCGTACTTCGTCGTATGGGTCCATCAAAAGGTCAATCAACAATCTTTGAAGCGCCGGTCCGAAAATCTCCATATGGAATCTCCACCTGATTTGGCGGTGTTCAGGCTTGCTTGACGTGGCGCCAATGTAGCGTTCATCCAGGCCAGATTCGACCAAAAGGTATATGGTCTTCAAAGCCATGATGTGTCTATGGTAAGAAGCTGTGGTTCGTAGGTCCGCTGCCAAAAAGTTCAAATAGTTATTCAAACATGACCGAGTTTCAACATCATCTCTGATAAACACAATCGGCTGTTTCTTGCTTAATGTGGTACGGGGCTCAACCGGATTTTCTATATCTGCAAGAATGCCACCCTTCAAGCGTACAATCAACCCACGAACCATGCTCAAGATTTCTCCCCTTGTGCAGGGGTCAGATTCTGCGTGGAGAGATGGCAAGCTCTTTATGATAACCCTGATAGCAGTCGAGGATAGTGGTTTAGTAGTAGATGGCGCCGTGATTAGCAAAGAAAGGGCTGCCATCTTGATACTGAAATCATGATGAAAAAGGAATTGGCCAATGAATTCACTTTTCAAGATCAGCGGCGGCTCTTCCTGCGTTTGGAATTTCGTGAAGTAATCTGAAAAAAAGGAGTCAGCCAAAGAGTTGCTGAGTCACATTGTTCTCTTGCACTTACGGTCATCGTGGACTAGACCGATCTTCTTTCCTATCTGTAGACATTCGAACAGGAGAGTTAATTCATTTAACGAGCAGCTGCCCATGTCACCAGAAAGGAGATTGTTCAACGGCAACGTTTCTAAAAAGCACCGGAAGCTATTTGTGCCGAGCCCAAATAAGCGCAGAAGTATATAGTTAGATAGCTTCTCCAGCATCTCAAAGTTTTGCAACAGAAAATACTTGATTGGCTTGACCCAGGTTAAAGCAAGCCGCTCTTTACCTTCACCGAGCGGGCCAGAATCGATCGTCTGTTCCAACTTCCGAAAGAACATGGTCATCAGTTCTCCGGATGATGCTGCCAGGT